TCCATTTCCACGCGAAAGTTTCGAGCAAGCCAAATCCGTTCAAGTTCTGTATAACGAGCTGTATGCCAAGATCTCTCAAAATCAGGATCTTTGGTTGAGCAGCCACATAAAAGAATTGGCCCAATTCGATCCAGAGTTTACGGGAAAGCTTTGGGACCTTTATTTGAAAGCCCAAGATATCGGGATTTGTCAGAGTATGACTCTTGGGGTGTTCCGATCAGATTATCTATTGGACTCAGAGAGCTTAGAGGTCAAACAGGTTGAGTTCAATACCGTTTCTGTGTCCTTTGGTGGGCTTTCTACTAAAGTAGGACAGCTGCACAATTTTTTGAATGATTCTGGCAAGTATTCCAAGGACAGTGGATCGAAGTTTTACGAGCAAGATATTCCGGTGTCAAGCTCTGCCGATTTGCTAGCTAAGGGACTATCAGAGGCAGTGAGAAACTTCAAAACCGAAGAGAAACATACTCTTGTTGCCTTTATAGTACAAGAGAATGAAAGAAATGTGTTCGATCAACGTATTCTGGAATACAACCTTCTTGATAAGTACGGGATAAAATCGGTCAGAATATCTATTCAAGAGGTTCACATCAAGACTTCGATACATGCAGAGACCAAAAGGCTCTACTACGAGCACACAGGAGAGGAAATATCCGTGGTTTACTTCAGAGCTGGCTACTCTCCTCAGGATTTCTTGAATAATCAGGACTGGCAAAATAGACTTTTATTAGAAACGAGCTATGCCATCAAAGCGCCAAACATACTTACCCAATTAGCCGGCTCCAAGAAGATTCAGCAAATTTTAACTGATGATTCGATTTTGAAGCAATTTATAGACGACAGTGATGTTCGCAAAAAGCTTGGCGATTCATTTGTCAAGATACACCCAATGGACAATTCAGATGCCGGTTTGAAAGCCAAAAAAATGGCGATGGAAACTCCAAACAACTTCGTGCTGAAACCTCAGAGAGAGGGTGGTGGGAATAACATATACAAGGCTGATATTCCGCCGTTCCTCAATAGTATCCCCGAGCAGGACTGGAGTGGTTATATTTTGATGGAACTGATCAAACCTGAACCTACGACCAAAAACATCGTAGTAAGAGGCGACCAATTCTCTCAGGAGCCAATTTTAAGCGAACTGGGTACTTTTGGCTACATTCTTTTCGATGCTAACAAAATTTACTTAAATGAGTACGCAGGTTGGTTGCTGAGATCCAAATCTAGCTCCTCTGACGAAGGTGGAGTGGCAGCTGGTTTCGGATGCGTAGACAGTGTAGTTCTGTATTAGTAAGTGTGAGATAGCGAGAGCCAGAGCTAAGTCTGATTTTTGTTCAGTTCATTTGACGCCCATAATGCACCCGCGATCAGATTGCTGGGTATCGTAATGATTGACATCACTGGTATCAACTCTAAAAGGCCTGCCATCATTCCAAAAGCGGTGTATTGACCCAAATGCTCATAAAACTTGTCCTTTATCTGTCCGCTGCTCAAATTCTTCAGAACGTATAGTCTTCGACTATATGAAAATCCTCTCTTGGGGCTTAGCAGTTGATTCACGAGTGTGGGGCCAATGACAGGTATGAGTGAAAGAAGGCTGAGAAAGATAGTGGTAGCTATTTTTATCTTCAGAGTTATAATCTTGCCGGGAAGCACGATTAACCAATAATCAAGAGACTTCCATGAAATGACTTTTGATGGAGTAACGGGTAATTTCTTCGCATTTTCCAGGAACTCTGCATGCCCCAGTTTGGCTAGGACAGCATCGAAGATGCTGTTCGCGAAAACGGGTGCTATTAGAATATTTGTCAATGTGATCGCTAATGCATTCGATTGCAAGAGCCACTGTATGTGAACAATGACAAAGCCAATAGGTCCCAGCGTAGCCACGGCCCAAACTAGTATAATGGGAAGTATAAAGAAGTAGTAAAGGGCGGCCACGGTCACAAAAATACACGCAAAACAAAATGCTAGAACAAGGCTGTACAACCAAAATGACGGCGTCACTAAAAATTTGAAGAATCCCTTGGGAAAGAGCGTTAACCCGTTAGTACGTTGATAAGAAGATTAGAGTGGGTGTTTGCACGATTCATCAACCTACCAAAAGTGGATAGACATATGTCTGGTCAACAAAAAGTCCAGGCAGAAAACCGGTCCGAACAAACCCAAAGCGGCGTCTGAACTTGTCTGCGAGGACCGAAATAAAAGTTGTGCCAGCGAAGGCCTCTGTTGTTTCCTGGGAATTCTGGTTAATCCCAGCCTTGTGGCGGACATTTAGTGCGGCCAATTCGTGGGCGTCACTCATTTCAATCTGTGTGTTTACCTTGATTGGGTGGTATTTTGGCTTAAAGTTCTCAACTGTCACAGAAACTTTAAATGTAAAAAGTGTCAGCCAAAACAATGTGTTATTATATATGCAAACAGACTAAAAAAAAATATGTAAGCTGACGCGGGTTGAAGTTTCACCTAAATAGCCAATTTGCAAAACCTCAACTATGACCGGACTGAACTGTTCTAGTCTCATCTAGCAACCACAATCCCCTTCCAAGATAGCTGCTCACTATATTCAAGCCTGAGAAAACTGGCAACACTTCTAAGAGGCCACTACTAATTCCGAAGGCTATGTATTTGCCCAATTCGCGGTAAAAAACATCTCCAGCCCTCAACTGGAGAGGATTTTGCATCGCAAGGTATGGCATTGAGTATTGATACCCAATCACTCCTGAACGCAGAAATTTTACCATTAATATGCCAACAATTGGAATCATTGATATAACAAAAAGACAAAAATAATTGGCAAGCCGAATAGCGGTTTTGATGATAAATATCGGTATACTTTTGGACCAGTGGCGCTGCGGTTTTACTATCATGGGTTGAACGGCTGGCAAATATATCAGGCTCACAAGAGCAACGTGATCCGCTCTGCTATCCACGAGCTTCTCAAACATTATGGTCGCATACTCAAAACCACTCAACCTTGTAAGATTGGACGCATACAAATTCACCTGAAGGACGGAATGTACCACAGCGACGGTTACTCCTAGCGGGCCCAGGAGAACTGTATTTATACCTAAGACAAACGGGAAAAGCACTAGATAGTATAGAATTGCGATGAGCACGAATTTGGAGATATAGATCAAGAAAATCAAAGTGGCCTCTCTCCAAAACAAATTTGTCCATACTAGATAGCTCATTCCCTTGGCATTTGCTAGTTAGTAAGGCTGTTAGCATACAAAACTGTTTACCGCTGGAACTTACTTTGAACGGATAAAGCCAGTATTTTGCCATGAATACGTCGGTGAAGAAACTGTCTGAGGCCAGATTCATTCGGAAGCTCCACAATTCTAATTTAGCGAGTAAAAAAAGACGCATATTGCCAATAAATGTTCCTTTGCAATTATGATTGCATTCCTCGCTTTGTAATAGTGCTGGTAACATGATTGATGTCATTGTGTGACGGCTATCGAACTGTAGGTATCTTGCTTGTACTGGCAAATAATTGCAGACTTCAACAATATCATCTTTTGACTTAGTGACAGAAGTTGTCACAAAAAGATATATTATGAAAGCTTATATATTTAAAAAACAGTATACGCTCAAGAGAGTGAGGCCGTTTGTCTCAAAAACTGATAAAGGAATGAGCAAGTCATAAATCTTAAAGTAAACAATATGAAAGCTAATAATGCAAAAAGATGAGGAAGATCCTCACATCTATAATTTATGCGACGGTGGTATCTTGACGAGCCTGAGAGCCACTGACAGCAGCAGTAGCAGCAGCAGTAGCACCTGATGGAGCAGCAGCATGTTCAGAATCCAAGGCCTTGATGGCAAACAGACCACCTCCAACACTGTTGGAAGAGTAAATCAAACCCGAGACAAAAGGCAGGATTTCTAGTTGACCAGCAACAAATCCAAATGAAACGTAGGTTCCAAAGTTGAAATAAAATTCATCGTTTCTTTGCTTGTTGTCCAACTTTTTAAGACGTAGGAATCTTGAGAAGTAGATACGAGCAATGAAAGGTGAGATGAGCGCATTGAAGATGAAGGGACCAATGATTGGAATGAAGGAAATCAACAAAAGGACAATCAATACAGTAAATCCAAATCCGAAGATGAAGATTCTCCATGGCAAGTAGTTGAGCCAAAAGTAATATGTGTTGAGTGGAACGTAATATCTTTTGGGCAACGTTGGACTTTGGATAGCTGTCTTGACAAAGATTTCCTTACCATTGTGTACCAATGCCAAATCAAACAATGAATTGTGGAGCTGTGTAAATCTCATAACCATCATGGTAAGCATGTTGGAGTGCAGCAGGAAATGCAGGTATGCAATTGCAAATCCAATGGGGCCTAAAAACGCCAACAGGGCCAAGTACACTGGCAGAATGGTGCAAAAATAAATAAATGCGATTGTGAGATAAAGGACCAGATAGAATGCAAATGCTCGAGCCCATGGGAAGAAATAAGCCCCGCTCCTGAACATTTCGGAGACCCCCTAGAGACGCGAAGTTAGTAAAACGCACACGAATGTGTTGTTTGGTCTGGCCGTTTGCTACGGCTCAGATGGTACGAGTCTCATCACTTGTACTTACTCGGATAGGATATTTGTAGCCGCTGGTCTCTACCAGCTGGCGCCAAAAAGTTCTCGACAAGGTCTCCAGACGCGTTCTGAAGACACGAATTCTAGCCTGGAAAAATCCAATAGTTAGGCTTTGGAACCCAACTGGTACCTCCGTCTCCCTCTCCGACTGCTGGCCACCATATTTATATACCAGGCCACCGATGCCGCTGAGCACCAACGATCCTGTGAAACTCATTATACTTAATTAGGGCTATTTACGCTAACCGAGAACTATTCCTTGCCTTATCTAAATACACTCAACAGTACAAAAACTAGTGGTGGACTGTTGAGAAGAATGCCAAAGAGGTCTACACGAAAACCAGCCGCCTTTTATACCCCGAGATCTCAGATTTGTGTCACAAAAACAATGCAAGAACCTTATACCGGATTGGGAAAATTGAAATTGTGGGGAAGGATCGGCGATGTAGCGATGAGAACGAAAGCAAGCTCGAAAGGAGCGACACAACTCACAAGCAAGTACGTTATTGACCATGGAATTGAGAACTACCTTGCTGAAAGAGGGTTTCGAAGCTTCGGACGTGTTAGGTAATTATGGACCATTGGTTCTTTATCATAAAAAGAGGGGAACTCAGACTTATTGTAAGATGAGCAACAAGGACGCGATCATTCTCAGCTCTCTGTAAAATGGGCAGCGTTTTATGATTGTTTTTTTACCGTTTTTTTTGGAGCTAGAGCTGATGCAAAGTGTTTTCCGTCTTTTCGTTCGTTTCAACAGCCGAGATTACATTTGAAGTCGTTTTGATTGTGCCAGGGAACGCTATAGTTTACGGTCCAGTTCTCCTGGAAAATGAAGCAATTCACATGAAAGCGTATACAATGCGTGTATCGGATACGATGGTATCACAACATATGCTGCGATTTCCGCCCCTGTTTCCATTACTTGTCGACCTAAAGCATGTGAATTAGACACCAAAACAATGATAAACAGCCCCCACGCCGGCGCGTAAAGTCAAAAGATGCACTCCGCCCAGGTGATTTATTATTGAATGTTTCAGGACTCCTGTCGCGTCAAGATAGTATAAAGTGACTTAAGAGAAATAAAGATGAGCTCGTTGAACAATGTGTGTAATTACAATCCTTTAGCGAATAACCCTTTCGCGAATAATCCATAGCGATATGAACGTGATTTTACATTATTTATCAGGCCCGCTGACATGAGTGTTTTATCGAGACTCATCTCATTTATGAACTTTGTTTCAAACATAATCCATGAAGAGATAGCAGTCGGCCATGATCGCGGTACGTTCGTTTCTCTATCCATAACTGAATTTTGTCTGATCCGTGTTCGCTGTCGCCAGTGATGTGATTGTGCCAAAAATGTACACAGTGACATGCAATCAGATAAGTACGACAGATTATATCGTTTGCAATTTTGCGGACTTGGAGTCTTAATGCTGCTCAAAAAAGCGCTTAAGCATAAGAACTTAAAAAGTTCTGCGGACTTTAAGCCCTTCAGACCTCAGAAGCTGCTTTAATCAACCCTGAAATAACCATCCACTAAGTTCTTCATTTAGAGCAAAATTCAGTGCGTAGAGCAGAGGTCGAACGAAACGAATTCATCCATGTTTGATGTCGATCGAACTCTATGATACCCATGAGATGGAGAACGGTCTATAACGAAAGTATATTCCTCCTAGCTCGTCTTGTCCTCTCAACTCCAAGTGAAATCCTTCGTATACAGTGCCAGGACTAGTAAAATTTCCATCTTTCATTATCGTGACTGCCAATAAGAGGAGTAAACTTTAAACTGCTTAGCGTCTTAAGATCAATTAGGAAACCAACCGCCTATTTTTTAGAGCGCTTACAAGCGTTTCAGGGCTTCCACGACTGAATAGCATACTTCTCAGGCTGTTAAAGTACTAGAGTTTTCCTATTTTCGCTATATTTGGGATCATTTTTTGATTATACTGGAAAAGGATAAAGGCTTCAATAGTTGACGCAGGGCAAGCGTGAATCCGAGAAACAGTAACAGTAGAAGCCAGCAGCCAAAGAAACTCGATAGTAATACCACATGCCGTATATTGGTGCTCCACGTAGTAGGGATAAGTTTGAAACTTTGAAGGAAAAGCTGTGCCTGGATAAGCAGAAGCAGTCCATGGAAAATCAAAGGAGAATCGACAACACAAATATAGAGCACGACCAGGAGGAACAAACTTCTGCTGTGCTGCAGAGCCCTTTAATAATGTCAAGCCCGAAGCAGGGAACTCCAAGCTCACTCTCCAGCAGTGAAATTGATTCCCGAGAGTTGCTCACATTTCCCAACGAATCCACACATGCCTACTCTTACAACCCGTTGTCGCCCAACTCACTGGCGGTCAGATTACGAATTTTGAAACGATCACTCGAAATCATGATTCGCAACCCGACCCTGCTGCAAGAACATCGGCCCAGTCACCACGTTCGTGTCGACACGCCCAATGGCAGCCAAAAAGAGTTCAACTTTACTACCAATGAAGAAATCTCACCAAAAATGGGACAGGAAATCTCCAGAAGCTACAGCCAAGATGGATTGAAGCCTCTCTCGACTTCTCAGCTAAGAAATGCTTCCTCCGCGGCACTTTCAGCGCTTGTCACCAATGCTCAAAGCCCTTCAAAGCCATTTTCGAGACCTGTAGCGCCTTTTCAAATGTCAGCTTTTGCCTCAAGACCGTCCACGGGTCGCACGAACTCATCCTGTTTTGATCAGTCTTCAGCTTCAAAAGAACTAGGTGAGAAAAAACGTAAATCAATGGGTTCTTTATTTTTATCAGCGGAAGATACAAACACTATTTATAAAAATGCGTCTAACCAAAGTTCCGAGTCCTTGAATGCCAAAAGAAGTGAGTTAGAGGGGTTGCTCGTTCTTTTAAATGACGCGCTTGAGAACAATAGGACAGAGAAGGCCTCCGACTTGCACATGATATCACTTTTAAACTTAAACAAGTTGTCGTTGGACGTCGACCAGGAAGATAAAGATAGCCAGCAACTTGAAATTCGTACTGTCAAGTACGAACAAACCTTGAAGAGAAATCTTTTGGAAAGCTTAGCACAGCCCTTTTTTGAAAACTCCAATACAGGGGAAGGCGTAAATGATGCTGAGACATACTTAAACCTTGATGTGGACAACTTTTCCAACGATAGCGCGTCTTTCGCCAACCTGAAAACGACACCGATGAGTAATAGGCTGTTGCACACTTTCGTCTCGAGTAAAAATTCGTCTCCTCAAGCAATTTTCACTTGCTTACAGCAGTACCCATGGCAGTTCAAATCTGCAAACGACCTCGCTTGTCTTACTTTTGGAATTTCTAAAAATGCACTGCGTGCTCTCACGCTGCTGGACCTTATACACAGTGACAGTCGAAAATTTGTCTTGAACAAAATAATGTCAACTGAGAACCAAGAGTTGGCGTTCACGGGTGAAATCGTAGCCATTGTTCAACCAGGTGACTCATCTTCGGAACTCGTTTGGTCATCTGTATGGGCCAAGAGAAGGAACGGCCTAATATTTTGCGTCTTCGAAAAGGTGCCTTGTGATTTTATGGATGTCTTGCTAAATCTCGATGACTTCTCGGTCGATCATATAGCAGGAGGCGCTGGCTTAAAAGGAACGAAACAGAAGGCCGAAACTTATGAGGAAGATACCTCTAATAAAAGCAAAGCAGCAAGAAAATCTGTCAAGTTTCCTGACGAGGTCCACGACGTGGGTGACTTGAGTAAGTCTCTCAAAGAGCTTATCAGAAACGTTGAAAGTGGAGTTTTTCAGACTAAAGATAGTGACCTCTTGCCCATGTCAATTAGGGTAGCGGATGCCATAAACGAAGTTCGTTACTTTACCCTTAATCACTTATCTTTCAACATACCTTGTGCGATATCATCGTCTATTTTAGAAAGTGAAATGAAGCTGAAGATTCATAGCATGCCCTACCAAGCGGGTATTTTCTTCATTGATTCTAAAAACTTCAAGATGGTAAGTTTCAATAAATCGATCTCGAAGAACATGTTCGGGATACATGCTTCTGGACTTTTGGGGAAATCTATGAATGTTGTAATTCCTTCCTTTGGTGATCTGATTAATTTTATCAGAATCAAATATCCTTCACTGGATACAACGTTGGCGAAGAATAAAGGTTTAGTTTTAACGGAACATTTCTTTAGGAAGATACAAGCTGAAATGAACAACGACGATGAGAGCTTCTTCGACTCCATTGGTATAGACGCTATTCACAGAGATGGTAGCATCATAAAAGTCGATATTCAACTACGTGTCATAAGCTCTACTAACTCTTTGTTGTGGATTACTCACTCAAGAGATGTTGTCTTTGAGAATTACAAGACTAATCCATCCCAGTTACTGATGCTCAAAGAGAGCGAACTCGCAGTAGTTGGTAGTGGCACCACTTCAAGAAATTCTTTGAAATCGCCTAATGGAAGACTGCATGTTGATGATTTACCTAATCTCAAAGATAGTCTAAAACTGGATGGTAGCACTGTTGGTTCATTTGATGGCGCCAACGGACAATCTCAACATAGTATAGAAGAGTCGCCAGAAACGCCAACAGACGACAGGTGCCACGAGGAGTCAGGAAAACTGGAACTGCAAAAGCTCAACGACGAAATTACAGCCAAGCTCAACATAACAAAAAATTATGGGCAAGACAAATCCCTTTTTTTGAAAGACAACAATTTTAAGTTAGACGAGGACCTTATATTATCTTTGTCCTCGATTTCCCCCTCGAAAGGGGATAACGGTGTAGAGTCTGCCAGAAAAAACCTTACTGCGCACCTGGCACGTTACAAATTAGAGGACGCCTTTTTGGCTACACCAGAACATAGTATCGGGGCTTTAAAACATGTTAAAAAGTTCTCTGATTTTATGGTACTTCAAAAAATGGGGGAAGGTGCTTATGGGAAGGTTGATTTGTGCATGCATAAAAAAGACAAATACATCGTGGTGATCAAGCTGATTTTCAAAGAGAGAATTCTAGTTGACACATGGGTAAGGGATCGCAAGCTGGGTACCATACCTTCCGAGATACAAATCATGGCAACACTTAACACAAAGCCACATGAGAATATTTTAATGCTTTTGGACTTTTTTGAAGATGACGATTACTACTTTATTGAAACGCCTGTACATGGGACCAGTGGATCAATTGATTTATTTGATCTTATTGAACTAAAAACCGACATGACTGAACATGAAGCAAGGTTGATTTTCAAACAGATCGTATCAGGAATAAAACATTTACACGACAATGGTATTGTACACAGAGATATTAAAGATGAGAATGTAATTGTGGACAGTAATGGGTTCGTGAAAATTGTTGATTTCGGTTCTGCCGCATATGTGAAAAGCGGCCCTTTTGATGTTTTCGTGGGCACCATCGATTACGCTGCTCCCGAGGTCCTCGGCGGTGAACCTTATGAGGGTAAACCTCAAGATATATGGGCCATTGGAATTTTGCTTTACACTATCATTTTTAAAGAAAATCCTTTTTACAATATCGATGAGATCCTTGACGCTGACTTGAGGATAAACACTAGCCAGAGGGTTAGCGACGAGTGTATTGCTCTGATTCGCAAAATTTTGAACAGGTCAGTATCCAAAAGGCCTTCCATTGATGAAATTAATGGCGACAAATGGCTAGAAGTCAGAGTGTAGTCAGCACATTTAAACGGCGCAAATATATGTGAAGTTACTATTCAAAGGGAATTAGGCTAACATTATCAGCATTTTTAAGCATTTAAGAGCATATAAGGAACATTACAGTTTAAATTAAGGAGTTGCAAGACATTGCTAAATCATTTAACCAATCGATTGGACGGCCGACTAAGTCGAATGGTTTTGCAATGAAGTTTTGTTTTTTTGGATGTTGGGTGGTTCGGTGTCAAAGCATTTGCGGCCAGGGTTTCCATTATCTAGTAGGTGCAGTTGTCTAATTGTGTTTACCCAGAGAGGCAAGACCCTATAAGCTCAATACTTTATGTGGTACATTTTCCAACGGGGAGACCACGTTGTCACGCTGATAGTACTTGTTACTTTTGCTGTTAGAGCTCTTACTTTATCAGGGTATTTGAGAGTAACATGTCCACTCAACACTTATTTATTACAGAGTTTTCGGCCTCGATCACCTCATGTAGGTTCGACGAGGTGGATCAAATAGCCTCTATAGGCAGAATACCTTGACTAGTTATTTCTGACCAAAAACTTGGTCATGAGAATTCCTACTGGTTTTGAAGATTTGAAGAGAAAAACCTGAAACGCGGAGGGAACCATCGGTACTCGTATAATCATTCTAGTCAACAAGAGCTTATAAATAAAATAGTCCGAACTAGACAATTAATCGCTATTATATAATTGCCATGTGCTGTTTGATGGGGCTTTATCGTTTATCTATGCCATCCTAACAGTGCTCTGATGTGCTATTGGAACCGTATTGCCGATATTGGCATGTTCTCTTAGTAATATACTTTGTCACTCTATACTAATGTGTCATGTTTAAAATCGATATCTTTAGTCATAGGCATTGGCTGTTGTTCTTTTCTGTAAGGTTTATCAACAATGTCAAAAAACCAAATAATGCTTGCAACACATCCATGAGGTCACCGAACTGCCCCATAGTATTTAGATACGGTACAATTTCGATCATCTTGGTTCTATATGCTTACGCTCGACATAACCCTTTGCATGTTTGATTATCACTACCCCTTTATCTTTAACAAATTCAAAGTCAAAGTCCAAGCATATATAAAACGAGCAATGTGACAAGTTCACATTCTTTGATCCAGAACTGCGTACTTCCCTTAATAGCTACGACTATAGCATTCACCAAATCGAAACCGACACCAAAGCTACTACAAAAGGTCGAATAAAGAAAAGCTACAAAACTACTCCGAATCCTGCTGCGACAAAACCTGACAGATTCAGAACTTCAGGCAGTGAAGAGGCATCCCGGAAAAGTACAATGCTCATAACAAACAACAACATCACGCGGATCTCACGTGCGTCGATCTTTTGATATGGCAATGTAGGAAATGGCTTAAGCGTAGAGCAGACAATTAAGGTTATACAGCAGAGTCCATTAGTGCTTGCAAGAATCATTTGCTAGCCTCTCTAGTGGGCTATTTTTATCGAATACGATTTAGATAATTGGTCTGCATAGATGAGTGAAGTGAAGTCGGCTCATCAGACAACTTTAGAAGAGCTTTTGAGGGATGAAAAGTTCGTATCACAGGAACATGAACAGGGTAGTAAAGGTGGAACAGGCAGATATCAAAACTGTTTGAATGACTTTTTGAAGGGGGATCACAAAAAATGCCTGGAGCATATGCTGGAAAGTGGGCTTTCAACAGAGGAGTTGAATACGAATTCAGAGGTGTGGAAACTGTTTATAAGCGCCTGCCGAGAAGCAGACTTTAAGGTTTTAGGAATCAGTGTGGTTAAGCTAGCGAAGGCCGCATTTGCCAGTAGCGACATTTCTCAAGTTGAAAAGGTCTTGGCCACAGAACCCCTGCATGAGCGTATGGCTGGTGTGCTGATGTTCCTAGAGTGCAATCTGAAGGTTTGTAAACTAGACGGCGCAGGTTCATTAATGTCGGCGAAACTAGAACAGGTCACCAAAAACTTGATATTAGCCGATTGTAGAGTAGTGGATACGTTACCGGAAGCGACACAGCTACGAGACTTGGTGCTTTTCTACATTTTCGGCGTTCAAGCTCACAATGCGCCGAAGCGCGCGCCAAAGTCTCAGTATGTAGCCTTGTGTGAGTATGTGCCAGAGCTTCCCAAAGTTTTAAGCAATTTCGCTGCCGAAGCAGATCACCATACTACACTAGAATCTGAGGTACGCGCAAAACTAGGCGCAGTGTCTGAAAAGACTAAAGCTAAACAACAGCAAAGTCTACAGCATACCAGCAGCCGGAAGTCCAGATCTTTGCCGCATGATTCTACCATTGAGCGTCAAAAACCTGGTCCTGCTGCTGCTCCAAGTTCAAACACCATTGTGGCAGATCGTAAAGATGCAAGCATCCATACGGCACCGATGTCTTTATTAGCGCGACTGCAGATTTCCGTCACGAAGCTGTGGCCGCAACAACTACACAAGAATTTCGCACCGGTCGCGGTACTGGCAATATTTCTCATACTGAAAAAAACGCAGCGACTGAGATTACTCACAAAAAAATTGCCAACGCTATTCAACCGTTTTTGGGCTCTGTTGAGCTTTCTAATGAGCATTTAAACAAACACCGTTGAAATCGAGAACCTGCTTCTCGCTCGAAACATGATCCCCACGAGATTCGAACGCGGACATCTCGCATAAGTTACCCTGATATAATGTTTTTCTCCCCTTTAATATTTCTAACCTCTAGGGAAAACTTGTACAGGAACAAACCTTTAATTTGCATCAAAACTGCTAATCAAAGGCTCGTACGGTGTTGAATTGCCCAGGTTTCGGAGCATTCTCGGTTATTCATTTTCGTCAAACGGTTTGAGTTCGTAAACCAAGCTTCTGGTTTTGCTTTTTACGCGTAAAAACGTGAAATAATGAGCGACAACAAAATGGCCGAAAAGGATGGGAGAAGCAAAAAGGAAGCCACAAGTAGCGACAGTGGCGCTACAGATCCTAACGGTGTCCAAAACGGCGAGGATTTATATCCGCTGGCACTGCTGATGGACGAACTGAAGCACGATGACATCGGTAATCGAGTCGAGGCGATGAAAAAATTAGACACCATCGCCATAGCGCTGGGCCCTCAGAGAGCTAGAGATGAGTTGGTTCCGTTTTTGACAGAAGTTGCACAGGACGATGAAGACGAGGTGTTTGCTGTACTGGCGGAACAATTGGGCAAGTTTGTGCCGTTCATTGGTGGCTCCAAGTTCGCCACGCTTCTGTTGCCAGCACTGGAAATACTAGCATCCACGGAGGAAACCCTGGTTCGCGACAAAGCTGTTGAGTCGCTCAACAATGTCGCTCAGGAACTATCGGAAGATCAGCTGTTCCACGATTTCATTCCACTCATCGAACATCTCGCTACCGCGGATTGGTTCTCGTCTAAAGTTTCTTCTTGTGGGTTGTTCAGATCTGTTCTTGCTAGAGTTAAAGACGACAAATTTAGAAAGGAACTTTTGGCATTGTATCTACAATTGGTTCAAGACGAGACTCCTATGGTCAGGCGCGCTGCCGGCAAAAACCTGCCAGTGTTAATAGACTTACTCACTCAAAACCCAGATTTGTCTACGTCGGATGACTGGGATTACATTTCAAACATGTTCCAGAAAATCATAGGAGACACTCAGGATTCTGTCAAATTTCTAGCAGTTGACGTGCTGGTCTCCATTTTGAAATTTTTTAATAAGAAGAATGATACAACTCATGCGAAGGACCTATTAAGATCTGCCATCCAACTTATCACAGATGAAGCTTGGAGAGTCCGCTACATGGCAGCGGAGAGGTTCGAAGATCTAGCATCTCAATTCAAATCCAATCCACAATACATTGATGAACTCTCGGGCCCATTTTTGGCACTTTGCGAAGATAACGAAAGCGACGTAAGGAAAGGCGTAGCAAAACAATTGCCAGGATTTTCGAAGCTTTTAGGAGATCCACAAGTTGTATTGAAAAAAGTCCTGCCAGCAGTGCAAAACTTGAGCATGGACGAAAGTGAATTGGTTAGAGCTTCTTTAGCTTCTGAAATTACCAACTTAGCACCTTTAATCCCTAAACAAGATGCTATTGATAGCTTGATACCTATTTTGCTAAACATGTTGAAAGATGAATATCCCGATGTTCGTCTGAACATTATCGCCAAACTAAAAGTTGTTAATGAAGTCGTTGGAATAGATTTACTATCTGAGAGTTTGCTTCCAGCAATTACAGAACTGGCAAAGGATGTGAACTGGAGAGTAAGAATGGCGATCATCGACTACATTCCGCTACTCGCAGAACAACTGGGTGTAGAATTCTTCGATCAGCAGCTCGGGGACCTTTGTCTATCCTGGTTATGGGACACAGTATACTCCATAAGGAGTGCCGCTGTGGTAAACTTGAAGAACCTAACAAAGATTTTTGGATCTGATTGGTCAAGCGAAAAAATCATTTCTCGATTGTTGAAATCTGACTCTCAGTTGTTAGAGAATTTCGTTTACAGAATAACGCTTCTATCTGCATTAACTGAATTAGTGCCCGTCGTTTCGGCAGAGGTCACAACCCAAAAGATTCTACCTTTCATAAATCATTTGGCTGACGATGCTGTGCCCAATATAAGATTTAATGTGGCACAATCTTACGTCGTGGTACTTGAAAGTCTCCGTGCAGATAAAGACAAGTACAAAGAATTGATCAACCGATCAATTCTTTCATCTTTAGAGAAGCTTCGCGAAGATAGCGATATCGATGTTAGATATTTCGCCAATAGAAGTTTAGAGAGGTGTCAAGCTCTGCTGGCATGAGGTGATTTAGTAAAAAGGCTTTTCGATGCTTTTCTTTTGGTTTTATATAGAAACTCAATTTGAACTCAAGATTTCTTGTTTGCTCAGCTCTATCTTAATGACGATGATATATACAACAAAGACGGAAACAGAAGCACAGATCATATCATCATTATTTACAAGTATAAATAGACTCCACATTTTACATAACAGACACTAAGAATCTGTCTTCGATAAAGGGTTGTCATCTTTTTCCAGCACCAATTTCACATCTCCCTCAGGTTCTAGTGTCTCCTTGGCATGTGCAGTTTCTTCCATATATTCCACCCACTTCGTAACATTTCCTCGGCTCTTACGTAGTTCAGTCCGATTTTTTGCTGATTTTACGACCTTCCGATCAACTGCATTGCACACGTCGTTTGCCATGCACAGGTCACATCTTTTCCCTCTCGGAAGACAGATTACCTGTCCAAACCCAACAAGAATTGGATTGATCTCATACCAAAGATTGCGGGGAAGCCACTCTTCGAGAAGTTTGCGAGTGTGCTCAGGAGACTTGGCTTTCTGAGGGTCAACCCATCTCCACATTTTGCATAGCCTGTCTAGATGGACATCGACTCCAATCCCATCTACCTTCCCCCAAGCCATTTGAAGCGCGAGATATCCCATTTTGGGACCAACGCCAGGCAACGAGCAAAGGCCGGTGATATCAGGTGGCATGTCTCCATCGAATTGGTCTTTCAAAATCTGTATGGTTTTTTTGATGTAAAGAGCTTTTCTGGTGTAGAAACTAACAGGATATATGAGCTGTGCGATCGTTTCTTCATCAATTCGAAACATAGCTTCAAGAGTAACACCTTCAGAGTTCTTCAGTACGTCTTTGCAATGCTCCATAAGATTGAACATAGCTTTGGCGTTGACTTCGTCTTTTGTTTGCGATGACAGCATGAGGGCGATGAGCAGCTGGAATCGGTAGGTTCTGGGCAACATTGTCTCTTTTGTTTCGCCAAACTCCTTCCCGACGCTCAAGGGGATCATGGAGCACCCAACAGAGTCCACGGGAGTGGCAATCTTCGATCGCATAAGTCGTACTTTTTGGTAGATAGGGACGAAATTTCGTGGAAAATTTGGCTGATCCTCAAGCGGGCCATAAGTAACCTCGTATTTGGTTCGAGCTTGTACCCAATCGTAGTAGGTTTCGGGGCCCATTTTTTTCACCATCTCTACATCGATTACGTCTTTTAAGGGCGTCTCCCGGACTTCTTCCTCGTCCTTTTTGAAGTATTTGGAAACTTCGCCATCTTCGATCTCTACTTCTACTCTTTTCCTCTTAGAGCTTCGTGTTCTCATTAGCAACAAATCGGTGGTACTTGTCGTAGTACTAATACCAGTCAGATATGACTTCCTGCTTTCGTTGTTTTTAGGTCATGTAAATCTAATGAATATCGCAAGAAATGAAGACCCTCGAACTTCAGTCAATCACATTAATTAAAAAGAAAAATCACAAAAAGGTATTGAAGTATCCATTCTGCCCACTTTGAAGCATTTGACTGGCATCCAAGCACCTAATTGGCTTTTATTGCTATATCTGGCTCTCTTGACGGGCTTCATACGACCTCTGTTGGCTGAAGAGATGTTTCCCAGAAAGCTTATGTCCGTGGGCAACTCCTTGCTGGAAAAGGCGTCTCTGCCTGTCAGCAAGGCCACATTTACGCTGATGACTTATAACATGCTTTCTCCATACTATATGTGGCCGCAAGTTTATACATATGTGCCGGATAAGTACAAAGAGTGGTCATATCGACATCGTCTGCTGGAGAGGGAAATTCTCAACCTGTACCGAGCGGACATTATGTGTGTGCAAGAACTGACTTGCAAAGACTACGACGGCTTTTGGAAGACGCATTTCAAAAATAAGATGAACTACGGCAGCAGTTTTATCTCGAAGACTCCACCCAAGTACTGGAAAAGACCCAATGACGAGATGGACGGGGTGGGAATATTCTACAACTTGGAAAAGTTTGAGCATATCTCGACGACAAGCATCTACCTTAACGATTTGATAGGACTCTTCAATATTAGTGAGTTGAACTATTTGAAAAGCACTATTATCACGCTAACTAACGGAGCGGGGGAGCCCGTCGACAAAGACAGTCTACTAAACGTTTTACATGGCAGAAACCAGGTTAGCTTGTTCGTTTCTCTAATGCACAAAGAAACGCGCACGTTGTTTATTGTCGTCAACACTCATTTATATTGGAAGTACGACGAGGTCAAACTTTGCCAATGTCTAACAATCATGCGGAAACTCCATCGCGTGATCAAACAACTACTTATGGGAAGAGAAGGTGCCACATACTCTCGTGTAAAAATCCTGTTCGCAGGCGACTTGAATTCGACTCCGGACTCGCCTGTCGTCAAATTTCTGAAGGGAGAAAGCGTCCATCGGTCGGATTTCAGCCTCATCAACCCTCTCAGACCATACCTTAACCACTACATTTACCAAGACACTTCATCCGAACTATTTGAACACACATGTTATTCTGGAAAACTCAAGGGCATATTTGACTATATTTGGTACCACGATAGCGATTTTCGGCTCAAACGCATTTTGAGCGGAGCAGAAGTCTCACAAGAACTGCGACAGTTGAAGGAACATGGACTACCCAACAAGTTTCACCCAAGCGACCACATACCGGTGCTAATAGAGCTAGAGTTACTTGATTGATGTTTTTTTTGCCTTTGAAATTCTGTTCAGTAGCGTGCCGTAGGGCCTTTTACCTACTGTACAGAAGACTTCGACTATAAGAGAATAATGATCACCGAAATAACACCCAACAAGACTTGTTAGTAAGAGGGACTAAGCTTGGCGGTATGCCAATGATGTCTGATGGTCAAGCATCAATTTTGCCGACGTATATTATTACCCATCAAATCGCTAGTACATTGTGAAAAAAAAAATGAAGTAAATGCATCAAACGGTTTGTGCTAGCACTAAGAAGCACCGTTTTTCTGAAGCCTGTCAGGATCTAGATTCAACGCCGAAGGCAAGACCACTTTAAGATGGTACAGGACCCAGCGCAAAGACTACAGCAGCAGCATGAAGAAACAATAATAAGAGAGGCTAGAATCCGATTAGACCTGAAAAAAACGTTTATGGACGATGAGTTTTTCTTTCCGGAGATCAAGCCCTTCGTGAGCACAAGACTAAATTCTTCTCTGAAAGGGAGAGACTTCGCATCGCCAGCGAACCTGCGCGCCGTCCTAAAAGCCAGCCATCAGTTAGCTCCTAAAACAGATAATACCAATGTTTCAGAGGCCGCAGGACGTTTCATAGGACAGCAGTATTACCAAAACCAACTCGTAAATGCGGTCCAGCAGCAGCACCAGCAGAAACAACAACAGCAGCAGTACAACCCGTACTTGAACAATTCAGGATTTCACAGCTTCGGTACACAGCAGGACGGATATTCGATGAAAGAAATGCGGAACTGGTAGTATGTTCGAGGTTGAATTCTGCTGGTCACTTTCATAAGACAAAATTGGGTATTAAGGGAGTTTTCTTTTATTAGTTGTATTCCATTTGTAGAAAAAGATCTACGATAACGGTTTTTTTTGGCTTCACCGGCAAGTCTATAGTTTATCTAGTCGGTCTTGTAACTTAAGCTTTTCCACGATACTATCATAGGGCAATCAACAAAAGCACAAGTATGAGAACTAGAAGTACTATTATCAGACAGGGCCCATTTTCTCGAGCCGTTTTCTCGTAGACATGCAACCTTTTCTTGGCTCTATCAAGGTTTCTACCACTGTTGTCGACCAAGCTCTCTAAATCCCGCAAAACGTTGTCGTTTTGATTCGTCATTTCATGATTTATGTCCAGCGATAAATCATGTCCCCGGTGAACGGATTGGGATAGCTCCTCCAAATGGGAGTCCTGCTCCAGGAGTTGTTGCTGTTGTTGTACGAATAGTTCTTGATTAGAAAGTCGAGGTGCTATTACTGGCCTTTGAGAATCAGGATAGTCATTGCTTTCAAACAACCTGGCCCTATCTTGATCCTGTTGGGGGGTCTCATCGGTGTAAGGCAAAAAGGCATTTTCTGACTCTCCAGCCAGCTCCTGAAATTCAAGGATGTCATCCTTGAATCTTACCCGTTTGGATTCGACAGGAGATGTCTCGCTTGCTTTCTGGGGCTTGGCTTCCTTAATATAAGTGTAAAGATTCTTTTCTACCGCCTTGTCAGGTATTTTGGCGATAATTCCATTGTACTTGTCTGCTAGGCCATCAAATTGGGATTCATCAGCTCTAGAGATATTCTCTTCCATCTCTTTCAGCGATTCTAAGGTCGCGTTCAGCTGTTTCTTCACATTGATTGTGTCATTAGTAGAAGGGTTCATTTGCAAGTTCAAGACAAGCCTACATCGCTCATCGACTAGATTTTCCAATTTGTCAATCCCGTATGACAACCTCAGTAGCTCCATAATCGTTTCGGCGTGCTAAGTTGTTTCAAAGGGTTGAATTTGTCACCTCTTCTATTTTTTTGTATATATATTGCACTTAGGTAGTTGTTTTCTTGAACAATTCCCATCTTAATAGTACTAACTAATATACAATTATAGATACTTACTTTACATAAATGGCAAGCCACTTTTCAACTACTGGTTAGTATTATTGGCCTTCTTGAATGCTGTAGAACGTTTGGTGACTCTCCCACCCTTTGTTCTCTGCTTCTTCTTCTTCAGTATAGGAGCAGATGCACCTTTCGTAGCTCTGAGACCTTCAACGGTAATTTCCTTGCCTGCTGTGGATCTGTCAGCTTTACCCAAGATTTTCTTAGCTCTTCCAAGGTTGGTCTTCTGGCGGTCAGTTAGCGGTTTGCCATTAGATTGAGTTGGAGCCTGCGCTTTCCTCATGGTTTTGCATCTGGTGACACGTAGCTTCCGTCCAGAGCCATTGAGCTTCTGACCATCTAATAAAAGGGCTTTATTCACAGCTTGAAAGTCCGAAAATTGCACGTATGCGAAGCCTTTGCCAACGTTGGTCTTAGAATCTCTCACTACCCTCACATATTCGATATCGCCGGTTTTACCAAAGTGCTTCCACAGGCTTTCCTCGGTCTCCTCGAAGTCCAGGTTCCCCACAAACACAGACCTCTTGTTGTCGTGCTGTGTTGGATGAGCCACGGAATCAACTCTGAGATGGTGATCCTCGAAAACACAGCCGTTGAGCTTTTGACACGCGATCTTTACCGCATTCTTGTCGGCGTAAACGACGTAGGCGTTGACTGAGTCTCTAGATTTGTGCAGTTTTTGTTGCACAAATGCCACTTTACGGGGAAGGGCCTCTTCGAAAGAAATAGACCTAAACCTGACGCTCTCAACGGCGAAAAAAGCGTCCTTGTCAGATTCCTCTTCCTTGTCCTTGCTGTTATCTTCGTTGTCTCTCTCGACTTCAGGCTTACTAGCATTTTTGGCGATGGCAAAGAGCTTTTTAAATTTCTTGGTCAACGCCTTAGAGGTAACAACATCCTTAGGAACATTTCCAACAAATACAGTTCTTTCTGCCTTTGCTAGTTCAGCTTCTTTCATATCGCTTCTAGAGGCTGCCTTGGCGGCGGTTGGCTTTTGCTCTGAATCTTCGGCGAGATCGGCATCCTTTTGATCTTTTGCGGTCTCCTGATCACTAGTTTCCTCTTTCTCAAGAAGCTTGGAGTAGTATTCAGACTCTAAGTTTGCATTCTCAGAGGTATCCTCCAGTTTGCGCTTCTGTCTTTTGGATATTTTTTTGGTTTCCTGAACAGCCTCCGGTTCGGCATCCAACGATCTTTTTTCGCCAGTTTTACTTCCATCATAACGGCTAACACTTCCTGATGCGTCTTGCTTTGGCGCTTCTGCTTCCGGACGCTTGATGTCGGGCAATACAGTCCTAGCCTTTTGCTTCACTTTCGTAGCATCCAAAGGTCCCGAAGAGCCCCCGAAAAGCTTACTCAATCCATTTGCCAATTTTTGGCCACTCGCTGTGCCAAACAGCTTATCAATTGAAGCCATTATCTATTTATGTGTCTTGAAAACTTTCACCTTCGATAGGCGATGAGCTGAAGTTTTCAAAATTTTCCAAAATAATGATTTTCAAGACTTCGTCTTTAGGTTGGCTTGACATTATCAACAAACCAACGTATTTCTGCAAAGTCAGACAGAAAGCTTTCTTGGGCAAATTTGTAGCTCAGGAGTGTTGTGAAGCACCAAGTAGTAAAGACTGAATTGAGAGTTGAAGAAAACGCTCAAAGTATCGGTTGGAGTTGGATTTACGTTAGATGAATTTAACAGGGGAACCTTCTCAAGGTATGTCACTCGGTATTACATACCATCCAATAACAAATCGCAGTATCCGAGTTACTAACACAAGACAGTAGACAGTAGTTTGCTGACAGAGGAAAATCTGGCGAGGAACGAAGCTCACGAAAAACAGGACTCACGTCGTAAACTGGGGAAAGACGGCGACGGAAACTACGATAACGAGAGTTTCAGCGACTTGAGCAAAATTGATAGCACCACCCAAGCTGACTTAGACTTGGACGGATTCTGCATGTCGTCCGACGCAGAAACTGAAAAAATGGACGAAGAAACCGGGCATGTGGTATTGTCCCAATTGGCGAAGGACGCTAGTGCCGAGACTGGAACTGAGCTGGCAGGTCATGGAGTCCGCGACTCATCACAAGCTGAATCGGAATACGATATAGGCGATACAGAAAATACTGTGCCAGGAGCCATAGTCGAAGACCGAGAGTCAGAGGTACTGGTCAACGAGGAGTTAGAGAACGTTCCTACCGTAGAAAATCCATCAGAATATGCTCTAGGCATTGAGACACCGCAAACGCTATCAAACTCATCGATTGTACCACTCCAAGATCAGCTAGACAGGAAACCACAGGTTTCGGAAGCTCCTCTGCCCGAACAAAACGATGCAACGGTAAAGACATCTGGACCACTACTTATACAAGAACAAAGCGAAGCGCAGCAAATACCAGAATCTTCTCTACCGCAGCAGCAAGCGGAGAGACCTCAAGAGCTGGAATCTCAAGAGGATGCGCTAGCTAGAGATCCAGAATCCGTATCTTTATTCGAGTCCGCGATGAACGCAAGTGAACGACCTGCAATGACTGAACCGCATGCTTCACCTGGGATCGTGGATCAAGAGCTAATGACCGCTGTGAACCAAAGCCTGAACACCGCGGCAACGGAGGCTGCAACCACTAATGTGTCAGAAACTCCGGCTGTCGAAAAGTCAGGTTCTGAAACAACTGGAGCAAGCAAAGGGTTGGTAGAGGAGTCTTCTGCTAAAACGGGGCTGCCCGCGGAACTTCAAGAGAACGATACACGACAAGCCTTAAATGAAGGGCCAGGTGTGGTAACGGAAAGTGATCCTCTAGCTCTTCCTCCGCTCGAGCCTATACCAAAGCTTTCAGATGCAGTATATGCAGATGCAGATGGGTCTTCGGCCGAGACTCATGGTCAAAAACGTCCCCTGGATGAAAGTGATCTCGGAACACAATTTAAAAAACCTAGACCGCCAGCAAATGAAGTCAATAAAGAGGCTGACAACGACGACGACAATGACGCTGATGAGGATGAAGATGAAGTAGAAGACGATTTTGCCGATAAAGCGGACGTTAATGATTCTTCGACTAGCATTACGCCGAAGCTTGTCGCCAAAAAACATAAACCCAGTACAAGCATCGAATCGCACTCGCCTATGGAAGTTGAAAATATTAGACTAAGCGCGCTCAAAGAAATTACGGAAATTGAACATCAATTTGCTGAGTTAAGACAGCGCTTGTATGAAAATAAGCTGGTCAAATTACAAACAGAAACGCAAATGTGCCTAGAAGGGTCACATCCTGCATTACAGAATTATTATCAAAAAATCGATTCAGTACGAGACTTCAAGCTGCGTCGTGCATACCAGAGACAGAGATATGAATTGGAATGCATAGATAAGGAAACCAAGGCCACCAGATGTTGCATTCATCAAGAATTCCAAAGGAAAGTGACTAACTTGAGACATGATTTGTTGGTGAACACTACTCAGAAATGGTACGATATCAATAAAGAGAGAAGAGAAATGGATGTAGTGGTGCCAGACGTAAATTATCACGTTCCAGTGAAGATTGATGGCAAAACGTTAAGTTGTATTACCGGATATGCGGCACCCGCACAGTTAAGACGCGAAGGCGACCCACTAAGCGAGGATTTACAGTGCGAAGGCATTCAAGTACGATTCAAGAACAATCCAGTGGATAAATTGGAGGTCATTGTAGACCGTATGAGATTCAACAACGAGTTGAGTGATTTGGAAGGTTTGAAAAGGTTTTTTAATGGGTTTCCTGGAGCGCCTAATTTGAGTGGGCTCAAGGATTCAGAAATGTACGAAGACTTGCAGAAGATGCAGAGGAGCATATAGTATTAATAAGTAAAGAAGTACGTACATTTGAAAAGAAACGGTGTATCATTGAGCTGTGGTGCTGGCGTGCAATCAACCTTCGCTGTCGACACCTACAAGCGCGATGATTTATGCTTCTTCATGGAATAGTAGCAGGTATCGTGTTGGGTGGGGTTGTTACAGTATGTTGGTTAAGGTATAGACTTGAATGCATTAAGAAGTAAAATGTTATCGTTCGACACACATTACGAGAGCTGTTCGAAAGTAGCACTCTTGGAAGATTAATATACGTCTCGCTAGAATTGTGATTGAGTCTGATTAAGAGCGTGGGAAGCCGAGCACTTCCAAAGACACACAAGTTTCCCAAGTATCTGGGCGCTTTGCTATTGAATAGAACATTTTCGCAGACAGATAATTTAAGTAGAGACCTCCAAGTCTGTTAGCACTGCGTTTTAACAAACTCTTGAATCTTGGACGTTGAGGGGTTGAACGTTCAGCTCCTAAATGATGTTCAAGTTACGGCCAGGTTAAGCAAACATATTGCTAGGTTGGTGCTGGGGATCAGCGCACTACGCGTGCCAATCCCACACAGCTCGCTAATTAACTAAACCCATGGTTAAATTACAAAGGTACGTAGAGATGGTGCATGTGCATATATGGCTGGACGTAGCAACACGCTTATTTCAATGGGATGAAACGGGAGGTGGTGGCACCGGCTCTACCGTGTCTGACTGGAGTGTAAGTGATGGAGAACTCACCCAAGTAGTGGCTAACCATTTCAGGCTTGACTTCCACCTGGTTGAAGGTCTTACCGTTGTAAACACCGATCACAGAGCCGATCATCTCTGGAACGATGATCATGTTTCTCAAGTGGGTCTTGACGATGTCTGGTCTCTCGTTTTCAGGAGCAGCCAACTTAGCGGCTCTCAATTTCTTCATCAAACCGGCTGGCTTGGAAGACAAACCACGGGCAAATCTTCTTCTAACTCTGGCTGGGGCCAACTTGACAAATTCTTCGGTTGGCATTTCCAACATTTTCTCCAAGTCCACACCCTTGTAGGAGTAGGTCTTGAACGTTCTCTTTCTGGCAACGGGAGTAGACATCTTGACGCGCTGCGGGTTTTTGCTGAGACAGTTGGGAAGCTTATACAATACTACTAAATCGCTAGATAATCGCGAATTAAGTGTATATCGAACTGCTATTCAGTAGTTGGCAATGGTACACACCGGAGACACTGGAGAGAGAGAGAGAGAGAGAGCGAAAGCGAGCGCGAGCTAGCGACACATCTCCAGACAGACGAGCTAGGCGGAAGCTAGACAGAAGCTAGACAGAGCCCACTGGGCCAGTGCTGATCCAGGCTCGACTGCGAGGTATTCGCTAGGCAGAGACTCTCGCCAGCTCCTTCCAGCAGCTCTGCCTAAGCTCTTTGCAACCAGAGCGTGGAGTTTTTGAAACTTTCCGACCGACGCAAAAATCATCTCTTGTGACTGCTAAATCCATACACCACATGCTTTATACGGCGGTTTTTGCCATTTTTGTTATTTTTGCGCCCTGTGGAAAAAACGTGGAAATTGACAGACCGACGCAAAGGTAGCCATGAAATTTCAGCCAGTCCACTATCCAAAATTTGTAGGAGCCAGAGAGGATGTTTGAACACCCGGTGGGTATACTAGAAGGGATATTGGAATTTATTCTCTTTTGAAAGAACCTTTTACAATCACCTAATCATCACAATGAAGTACTTGGCCGCCTATTTGTTGCTAAACGCTGCTGGCAACTCTGCCCCAAGCGCCGAAAATGTCAAGACCGTTTTGGAGTCTGTTGGCATTGAGATCGAAGAAGACAAGGTTTCTTCCTTGTTGAGCTCTTTGGAGGGCAAGTCCGTCGAGGAATTGATCGCCCAAGGTAACGAGAAATTGGCCGCTGTGCCAGCCTCGTCCGGTGCTGCTGCCCCAGCTTCTGGTGCCGCCGCTGGTGCCGATGCCGCCGAGGAAGATGCTCCAGAGGAAGAGAAGGAGGAATCCGACGACGACATGGGATTCGGTTTGTTCGATTAGAGAACTAGCAAGCATGTGTAAAATCTGTTTAAAAAATCAATCAGTACACGAGATGTATTTTCAATGGCGTTTCCTGGGGGCGGTTTGCCGCCCACTGCACACTGGAGGTGGAGGTCCAGTTCACGATACGCAATGGACAATTGCTGCACCTTTGGCCGATGCCATTTTGTTGCATGTAGAGAATCGAGTAGATGGCGATCGGCGAGTAGCGGAAAAAAACGTTTAATTGTGGGGCTTGTAAATGTAATTACTTGCAAGCCTTCCTAATATCGTTTTCGTTTCTTTACGCACATATCCCAAACGCTTGGTAGTCGCTCTTAGCCATTCTTCGGGCTACCCATTAATCGGGTCAATGAAACAGCATCGTAATTCTTTGCCAATGCCCGTAACTGTCAGAATAGTACACAGTGATAGAAAGTATATCGAGCGAATATCACACACGGCACAAATTCTGTTCGCAACGCGTTGTTGCAGCACTGAACAACTAGCTACAATTGATTTTCTTTCATAATTTTGAACCGCCGAAAGCATCCGCCTCACCTAGCAGTTTCTAAAAAAACGATGGTTTCGACGGGATTCTCCCGACCAAGTCAATATTTATCCCACTAGTATTTATTTGTTATCGATGTCTATATATCGTATCTACTGAAACCCTCATCAATACCCTCCGAGGCTTAAAACTGGTCCGCAAATTTCAATCCCAACAAATTTAGTGGCAGAGGCTTGCCAAACGTGGGGGCCCGTATATATAAGTGATCTTCAACCTGCTGTTATTTGTTGTGAAACTCATTGGATTCATATAATAAAATTAATGTACACGTTATATGAAAGTATCTTCTACCATTCTGAGATCGAAAAAAGGGTCCGGCATCTCATAAAAGAGTTGGTCTGTAGAAGAACGGACATTGTTGGCCATTTCTGATATCGCTTGCGTCAGGGCGTTTATCTTCTGTTCATAAATTTTATTTTGTTTCTTCAGATTGATGTTCTCCCTATTTTTCGTGATGCGCCCAACGACGTTATCAATGTGATAAACCAAAAACCAGTTCTGAAGTATCTTTTGATTTTTGTCATCAGTGTCAAAAGGATCGTCCTCGATCATGGTATCGCCTTCCAAAGAGTTGGAACTATCCTCGATTGCGGCCAGCTCTTCCAGAGCGCCCGTTGCCACTTCCCGCAAGGCAGATAATCTCAATTCGAACTCCTGATCGGAAATCGTAGGATCTAACAACTCGTCGGGTACTGCACCAATACTTTCGATTTTGGATACTAAAGGCATATGTTTTTTGCTGAATGGTAATTTCCCATTATGATCAAACATGCTGCGCACGGTTGCGGCCTTAGCAAGTGCCTCTGGTGCGTTGAGCGCTGTGGAAAGCACCTTCTTTTTTAGCTCCTCTGATTGCAACGAGAGCACAGAGTTCTCATCCTTTACCATGCCTTGCAGAAAGTCCCAAACGCTAGACCCTAATTCATTTATCAGCTCCTCGCTCATCGATTGGGCATCTTGCGATGTGTTCTGAAGAGTTGCTATTTTTTTGGATAATTGGCGATCCATGTTTCCTGACACTTTTGGAAATAATTTGAAAAACTGCTTCTTTGATAGATCTCTTAAAACGTCGGAAGTAAGTCTGGCTCCTGTTGTGCCTTTGGAACTCATCGCTGTTTCGGCTCCAGTTTCGTAAATCTGCAAAGCTTCTTCTATTTTGCTTTGTTCACGTAACCCTAAGAAGCACGCGCCAAAGTAGATTAGATACATTACGATCCCCATGACATTTGCCTGTTGCTCTAAGAACAGTTCTTTTGTTATAGTTAAGTGTGACCCTGTTCCAAAAGCCAATTCTGAACATTTATCTAGTCTTTCCATCAGTTTGGGTACCAGCGATAGCTCTTCACCATCATTTTCGCCGCCTATAAGATCAGTGACCAACTTCAATACGTCTTCGAATGTGAATTTAGATACAAAGTCATTTGTCAGAGTTATGTCAGGAGAAGACTCCTCTTTGACACCCTCGAGATCTTCTGCTTCTTGGCTGCCTTGTTCACTTTCTGATTCGTTTGCTGCTTGATTCGCAATCTCTGCCGCATTGACTGATAGAAAATCCAAGCTTTCCAATTCATCCTCGCCAATGAAAAATGCTTCATTGCTGACCAATGGAACTAATGGGCTTGGAGGACTGTCATCTCTTGTGGCCCCTGCGATAGTTCGAGCCCTTGGTCTACTATCTTGAGTCACAGGTAAAATATTTGTGAGGAATATATCCTTCATCTTGGCATGCGCGTCAAAGTGTTTCATCACGGATCTTACAGCCGGATTGAATAATGTTTTTTCTGGCGGGAAGATTCCAGCAGTTTTGAATGCTTGAGATATGGTAGTTTGCTCAAAATCGTGAGTTAGTGTATGGTTCAGCGCGTTCATGAAGTTGCACAAGATATCAAAGTGTCCGTACCTAGCCTTTCCATCTGGGCCCAAGGCAGGACTAGGACACCATTCAGTGGCCAATGCACGAACTTTCTTTTTCAAATTACTAAAAACCCCAACATCTAACGGTTGGAGGACATGGGTGGTATTAGGAGGAAGTAGTAAAAGTATGATACGCCTCTCTGCAACAAAATCTAGAACGTTTTGGCAATAGTGTGAATAGTGATTATCCACAATCAACACTCTCTGTCGCAATCTTCCATCGTGACTATGCTCCTTTGCAATATGAAGCGTTTGAGCATCAAACCACTTGACATACTCGAAAAAAGCCCTAGAGTTATTCCATCCATTGGAGGTAAATAATAGATTTACAGTTTCGCTCACTCCAGGATATAGCTTCGATCTCGCCAAAGTTTCGAATCGCGGATTGAATATGTGACATTCAGTTTTGTGTTTAGCTATAGAAGAAGCTGCAGTTACCATTGGGGGGACAATTACACCTGCTGCGGAAACGCAGGCCGTAACAGTGGTTAGAGTTTTTGGATCAGCTTCCGCTTCTTTCACTTTGTAAACCACACCTTTCCTTTTATTTTTGTTGGGATTGTTCAGACTAACATACCGAGAATGCTGGTTGACAGAGTTTAGAGTATGCGCAAAGCCGATTTCATCCGCATTGAAAATCAGCTCCGCGGGCGTAGAATTCAAAATTTTGAAAGCATCTTCGTTAAGCCACATTGCGATATTGTTTACATCCGATGCTCTTAGTCTGCGCGAGTCCATGCGTTTGGCTTTAGAAGACGCAAAGCCGTTGCGCTGGCGAAATCTCCAACCGAAGTTCTTTCCTAGATGTGTCTCTTGGTCTCGAAGCAACTGCGGCAGGTTGATTTTGCCATTTTCGTCAAGCGTAGAACTGAATAGTTTGACATCTGAACAATCTGTAGTTGTAGCCATTAGCTCACAAATTGCGTCAGCTTGCTTAACTGTGATTTGTGCATTTTGCATACTGCAAATAGCATAGAATGTAGTGAGAAATTGCTCGGCAGATTGGGAAAGTTTCCGGCGACGAAGACCTTCGGCGGCTTTGGATATGCTTGGGTTGAGAGTTTTGAGCCGATCGCGAAGTGTTCTTTCTGGAATATTATATTTGAAACTCATCTGCGGTACAAGCCGGCAGCGTTTGGATGGGGAAACAGGCGAGTTTAGTACGTTTAAAAGAGCAACACTGGCTACCCTTTTGCGTGTCGTTTGGTCAGTTGCTAATCTATAGTCCATGGAATGCCCTGCATTTTCATTTGATATCAACTCTCGCTGACGCTTCAATCTTTTGATAGCATCGTTGAGTGTGGAAAGAGAGACACCGTATCTGTTAGCTACAGCCGATTTAGAGGAGTTGGCAGTGTTCAAGTATTCTTGGGCGGCAATTTTGGCTTTTTCACCATTGAATTTCTTCTGCTTTTGGGACCCAGTGAGGTGAGAATAGTCACCTGAGGGCCTGACATTGGCCATGATGTATTGTGACAGCGGTATTACCAAATTCCAGTAGCATGATCCGTCAATTGGAAGATTCGTAGATACCTCAGTTTGTCCATCTGGTAACTGAAGTATAGAGGGAAATTGTTTATGGTGTTTAAAGTGAAGAATCACTTGGTACTGAACGCCTGTTTCCGGAAGCTCATATATCTTGGCCACCATTAGAGGCAGATATAAGTTGAGACCATTAGAGTGGACGTTGTGAGAAAGTAGAAGAAATAGCTGCTGATCATTAAAATCCAACTGCTGCGTCGCGAGAAACGTTGTTAGCTCATTCCGCACTATTTTGTACTTGCGGTAGTCTTCCTGGTAGAGAACCCTGTCGATAGGAGGCGAGGTCATGATGAACTATGCTTGTTTGCGTCTCCTTTCAACAAGAAATCCGAAGCCCTGCTACTCAACTTCCGGTCTCTCTTTCTTATACCTTTTGAGAGCCATTGACTAAAGGCTTGCTGGATCAACGAAAGATCCTTGGTGTTTTCGTTTTCGCCAAAGACACGGTTCACGAAACCTGGAGCCGCGCTGAATTACGCGCTGGATTACGCGCTTGCATACCGCTAACCACGATCCACAATAGCCATGGCCCCATACGTTCCGACATTTAACTGGCTCATCGCCAAACTCTGATCCACATATAACCTACATCGCCCCTAATTCTGGATCAAAAGCTACTGTCGCCATCGAAACCGGGCATTGGCCGCCAAAACGCCAGGATGCTAGTCCACGAATAATAGATATGGGCGTCACATTCTGCTCGATAAAGTAACAGGCTTCTTGCCTTGGAAGACTATGGCCCCTTAAAATGCGTTTGTTATGTACCTCAAAAACGTTGAAATGAAGAATTTAAGAACAATAAGTGCAAGCGGCTCGTAAGTGTCGCTGAGCATTTGTTCGAGATCCTAATTTAATTACGCGTCGTTCGACAAACGCGTCAAGTCCACGAAAAGTGTGCGAGCTTTTTACGTACGCGGTGATATGTTTTTGAGTGCCATTCCGCAGCAGGAATAGAGTGGAGGACTGAGCTTAAGGCAGCCGCAGCATTGCCTTTTGTTTCTTGACTACTTAGTGCTAACGGGGACGAAAGGTGATTGAGGCTTGGCATGGTGCCTTTTGAAGGATGACTTTATGGAAAGACTCTTACCGAAGTATATCGTCTCTGTATACGGCGCATTCCAAAACGGGGACGTCGTTTCTAATCCTTAGGCAACTGCTTCTTGAAATTTCTAGACGCAACGCACTGGCGAGGCCGAGTTTTTGCTGAGAAAGACGCTTCTTAGCTCTCCTTGTTGGCAACCAACCCACAATCATTGATTCACATGTGTCACGTGCAATTAATATCACACGCTCAACTCCAGTGTCCAGCGCAGACTAGATTCACGTAGCACACCGGTAGCCCCGCTTTGCCGTCCGTTTGTGTGTCTTTTCCAGTTTGCTCTCCTTGTGTTCACAATCTCGCCAGACCCAAATTCGGCATACATCTGTATTTAATGCATACACCTCACTTGGGTATCAGATGTACTAAGAGTGGCCTCATGTTGCCCAAAATATCACGGGCGCACAATTATTGAGCGCCTTTTACAGCGCCTTTTACAGCGCCTTGAACAGCAGCTTTTTCGACACCGGTGCCTCAAAACGCCAATGGTCGACATCGTTGCCTCCGCAGAAAACAAAACTCGACCATATCTGCATGGAGGCTTACCGGCTTGAAAACGTGCCTTACCAATGATATCCCTCACATCATAGAGTTGTAAACTCATATCTATTCAATCTAGACACTTGGCTTTGTAGTTTGCTTGGCTTTTGTTCAATGTTTCGTGCTCATGAAGCTTAGCTAAGCAATACTTTCGGTGCCTGTAAGATAGTACCACACAAGAGATGAACTTGTCTATGATGTGCCCTACAAACCGAATCTCGCAATTGCTTTGTAGGCAGCTTCGGCGCTACCCAAAAACCATGGAAACGATTGTCTAGAGACGCTGCATGCATATGCTTATCGCCGTGATTAAGGTTTTACAAGCTCATCGGGATCTGACAAGGAGATCGGAGCTGTATCCTCTCCAGTGAATTTTTAAGGTGCCACTTGTTTTCGATCAAAAGGTGTCGTCACAGGAGTAAGTGGATCGATCTGTTGAATTCTTTACAAGTTTCCTGAAGCAGTCTACTTTAGTCAAGCTGAATATTAAATGACAGGGGGACATCTAAATTTGAATAGCAATTAGTGAAATGTGTATTAGCTCACTAGAGAATGAAAATTGTTTGTACATAGGGGGGTCAGAATGCCTTAGTGGGAATATTAGCGTTCGGCAGTAGAAAGGCAAGAAAGAGAAGGAACCAAGATGCTTAGAGGCATTGAATAATACGGTCAAAAGTGACCCGAAAGGTCGAACACCTTTGATTATCTTGCGACCATATATTCCTCTGCAGTCCTTCTATCGAGTCCATCAATGATCCTTAATTAAATTGGAGTTGCGCCAGCACAACTACTCACGCTTTTAACTTCTTCTTGGTCTTCATAATTTCGGTCAGTACGTAAGCCTGGTGCTCTTCGGTGCCCACAATGTGTGGACACTCCTCTAGAACTTTCTGTAGCCGCTTGTTGAAACGACTGTCAGTTTTCTCATGAACCATGGCGACGTGTCGGGCGTAGGAGTCGCGGCGGAAAAAATTCTTGTCACAATAAGGCGAAGGACATTCCATGATTGGGAAATCGGATTCTCCTAACTTGAGAGAGGATTTGAGCTCTCGAGGAATCTCCATTTTGTGTTGGATGGCGCAATGGCGTCGTAACTCGGGCCGCCGTGGTAACCCCAAGATTTTCCAAGGACACAAGACGAAAGGACATTTGTAGTCGCGCTGAATTTCAAACTCGTCAATGTGTTTGGCATAATCCAGGACGCTGGAAAACATTTTGGGGCAGTGGGCGCATCGGTAGTAGCCCCGCTTGACACGCTTTAAAAGTGCTTCTGTAAGCGGCTTATCGTCAATCAGCTGTTGGTAAACAGATTCGTGCCTAGATGTGGGAGACCTTTGTACAGGGTTGTTGAATGATTGGTAGAATCGATCGTGAAGGTCTTCCGATGATGTATTGGTCAAAAATTCCGACTCCGACTCCGCCTCTGGTTCGGTGGCTATAACGTCTGGAAAATATGCCGAGTTAGACGTTGAAGGGGCCTGTGGCGGACTTGAATCGAAACCAGAAGATTGTAGCCTGCCGTCGGAGTTCAAACTTACGGGCGCCTGAAAATCGTCGAAGTAGTCAACCCGAGGGATGTCCGATAAGCTGCTGGTGGGCGTCACCTGCCATGGAACGTATGCGCTTGAATCAAAAGTAGTAAATTGATGGCTCTCGTTGTGGTATTCCGATATAGTCAAGTCCTCGCGACTTTCGTGGTCATGCTCGCAATCGCGGTTGTACTGGTCGGGAAACTGGTGAGCGCACGCGTAGTTCTCATTGTTGGCTGCAGACGTGGCGTGTGCTGAATGCGAGAACCTGGAATATTCTGGGTCCTGAGGCACAGAAGCACGCTGTAGTAAATACGGATGCGATTGATAACTTGAATTATGCTTCGGTGGGTGATGTTGTTGATTGTACGGTACATGGTGATGCACATGCGAATTCTGCTGTGTGGAGATCTGATTGGACGATAGATAATGCGACATCTCGTCAAAATCGTGGCCTCCCTCTGAGTACGAGTTGGCTTTGACAAATGTGGGTCTCGAGCTCGGGGCACTGTAGCTAGTGACTGGGGGCGCCATGGGCGGCGCCACAGCTGGCCGTATGTGGATTGGTTCTTGCTCCAACAGTTCGAGAGTCCAAAGAGACCTCTGAGTTGAAGAGTCGTTCCAGGACTGCATAGAATTGGATCGCTCGGGCCGTTTGAGCCCTTTCCAGCTGGCCCCGAGATAAAGTGGGTCTTCGCAAGCAATCGTATTAGATGGCGACATTTTAACGCTTATATTAATGAACTATGCAAACAAACACACTTTTTTTTTCTCTCACTCACACTTATTTCTCTCTCTTTTCTCTCGCGCTCTCTCTCTCTCTCTCTCTCTCTCTCTCTCTCTCTGTCACTCTCTTTGCGAATTCTGACACGCGTAGGTTGGCTTATGTGTCGCTCCCGGACTCTGTTCTTTTCTTCCTTAATCCTCCCTTTTCTTCTGTTGTAACTGCGCCCGATTCCACTGTGTCAAGTCTCGGACCTCCTTCTTATAAGCAGCCTGGCCTGCGGGGTAGTCATTTTCTCTATCTTATTATTGTCACGGTCCTAGATCCCCGAAGTCTTCCCCCATTCTAGGACCCATAAGGGCACCATGACTACACCTGTCCCCAGTCTCCGTACTACCATTATCATCTCCCATCTCCTGTTTTTTGCGTATCATCTCTTTACCACAGTTGACGCTTGATATGATCTGAAACGGCGCTGCAAGGATCGGGCCATACCATGTACATTTGGCCTTGCAGGATTATGGTCAGCTGGCAACCTAGCTAAAACCGTTTGAAATAGGACAGCAACTTGCATCGCAGAATCTGCCACAATACTTCTTAGTTGCAGCAAAAAATCGTTACAAGTAGCGGAGTGCTGCTGTTCAAATTCGGCGCTCGCCGTTTGTGGAGGTTTCCATCAGGCAAAGGTGTGCTTTGATCTGCTGCACTTTTTTGCTTGCCTCGCAGCCAATCACCTCAATGAAAACCGACTTGTTTGATAACCAGCTGCTTCGGACGCAGAGCAACATGTGTAACATTGGACACATGGAAAAGGAAATTTTTACACCGGAGCCGCATTGTGAATTGACTGCCTCGGCTCAGCGACAAGAGAAAGGTTATCAAACTATGACAGCTGTAAGAGCCGATAGTATAGGGAAGGCACGGCTTGGGCAGTAATGTTCTTTCGCGTAAAATCGGACTTTTCGACCTAAGATCCGACATTTCGATGTCGTGTGATACGCTCGTCCCTTGTAGTCCTTGACAACAGCAGGTCTATGTAGGTTACGACCTCGATCGAGACCAGCTCGTGAATCTATTGGCAACTTGTCAGCATTATCGCTTCTTCCTACGCAGTGATACGAGGGGTCTCCTTGGCGCATCATCACCATGTCGAGGTGAGAGGAAGAGGGGCCAGTCGTGTTGATTAATAGCAACTGATCTTTCGCTAAAAGCGGAGTTGCTATGGAGCAACTGAGTCTTTTAGAACCAGATCTCGCCACTATTTCGCAATAGTGTGTATGTGAGCCGGATTGCGCAACGCCACACACCTTTGGTGCCAAGTCCCGCACCTGGGGAAACGCTTTTCCAAAAGCTAATTGATTGACATGTTCGCACGTGTTTATCATGTGAGCTGTCCTATGAGAGCTCTGGTATATAATTACGCCTTCCCTGGGAAGAGCCGCCGAGGTTTTTTAGCGCGAAGAGGAAGGTACTCGACGGTTCCTTCGAGCATTGAGAGGGTATCACGATGGTTGTCGATTGTTTGATAGCTGTTTTTGATGAACATGCCTGCCATTTGGCAGCAAACACGCCGATTCTGCGGCACACAACATTATCCCGACTTTGAAAACATCTTAACTAGCGCTCACTCCGGCGTTACAGTTGGGAACATCGCATAGCTGGTCTCAATCGGTAGTAGCTCGCTTGCGTAGCACTCAATTTGTCGCGCTATCAGAGTTCTTTTCTTTGATCATAGGGTTTTGAGTATAGTTCGGGTTTTTATAAGAATCTGGGGTTTTATTAAACGAATATATCTCACTATGTACGTGCGACTGTTAACTCAGTTGAAGGCCACACCGTATTGGCGGGCAAATCTATGGCATACCGTAAGATCTATTATATCGAGGCTTGCTTTACTTGATTCAGTAGCAACAGAGTCTTGGGCTCTTATCGCAATTGAAAAAATTCAGCATCTATTGTCTAAACACAACGAAACACAACGAGCACTTAGCAGAGGCAGCATTTCAAGTACTCATTGTTTGACAAATACGCTTCTTTCATTTACACGTTGCGTTAGATCATGCTTGTTTTCTGTTTTACTAAACATTCAATGGTGTAAAGCGTAGAAATTGCCGGATTTGTAGCGAGTCCAAAAACCCTCGCTGGCTGTCTATTTCAATCAACGTCCAACGGTGTAAAGCGCAGGTACGGCCGAATTTCGCGCGAGTTTGGGAAATCTCGTTCTGCTTCTCTCGGGCTTACCTCGGGCGCTAAAATCACATCATCACCGGGGATCCAGTTTATCGGTGTCATAACTTTCCCCTTCATTTCGTCTACCACTTGCAAAGAGTCCAAACATCGCAGCAGCTCAGCCGTATTCCGCCCAGTCGATAACGGATACGCCTGTAGCAAACGTATTTCATGCCGCGGATCGATGATGACTACAAATCGCAGAGGTACGGGACGACCTTGTGAGTCGAGATTCCGCGGGTCAATCATTCCATATACCGTAGAGACTCGACGATCCTCGTCACAGACTATCGGGAACTTTACTTTGGTCCCGGTGACGCTTTCAATATCCTGAATCCATCGCACATGCGTCTCTCTCGAGTTGGTTGAGAGGCCAAGTAACTTGCAATTTCTTTGTTCAAACTCACCGGATAACTGCGCTAACGCTCCAATTTCCGTGGTACATATGGGCGTGAAATCAGCCGGATGTGAGAAGAACAAACACCATGAGTCTTTCGTGTAGTTATAAAACTCCAAAGGTCCCTGAGACGTGCTGACTTTGAAATTCGGGGCCAGGGACCCTAGGAACACTTGGGGTCGCAGTTGAGTGAACATGCTCAAATAACGTGGGTTTAGAGCTAGGGGCAAGACATTGGACTTTCTCCATTGTTTAAAGTTAATGGAAAGCGGAGTGTATTTTTAAATTTCGATGTTTCGTGAGTCGCTCTGTACGTTTTTAAGTACTTTACAGCGCACCTCCAAGCTATGTCTCGCTGTGTCTTATCAACTCTCAGCCTTTCGGTTCCGCGGGACATCTGTTTATTCTGTTAAACACGAGTGCCAGTTTACATAAAAACTACAGAAAACTAGAACGTTAATGTTTTAATGCATAGAGGGCGTACCTGGCGCTCTCTAATTAGTGTACAATGTTTTTCGGTCAATTCAATTTTGACTATTTGAATATGTGCTGCAACCTCACAAGGAAAGCATTTACTGGTTCTCAGGTCTCAACTTTCTGACCTCCTTACCCACTTTCCAGATTTCCATACCTCTGATGACTTGCAATTCTTCCTCCAACTTGGATCTGTAGTCAGGTTGAGAGTTGAATTCTAGAGATCTCTTGGTCTCGGAACCGTTCTTGGTGGACTCGTACAAGTCTTGGAAGACAGGCTTCAAGGCATCCTTGAAGATTGGGTACCAGTCCAAAGCACCACGTCTGGCAGTAGTAGAGCAGGCGTCGTACATGTAGTCCATACCGTACTTACCAATCAATGGGTACAAAGATTGGGTGGCTTCCTCAACGGTCTCGTTGAAAGCTTCCGATGGGGAGTGGCCGTTCTCTCTCAAGACTTCGTATTGAGCCAAGAACATACCGTGGATACCACCCATTAGACAACCTCTTTCTCCGTACAAGTCAGAGTTGACTTCCTTTTCAAAAGTGGTTTGGTAAACGTAACCGGAACCAACGGCAACGGCCAAAGCTTGGGCTTTTTCGTGGGCCTTACCGGTAACGTCGTTCCAGACAGCGTAAGAAGAGTTGATACCACGACCTTCCTTGAACAAAGATCTGACGGTTCTACCGGAACCCTTTGGAGCAACCAAAATAACGTCGATGTCTTTTGGTGGCTCGACGTGGGTCAAGTCCTTGAAGACTGGAGAGAAACCGTGAGAAAAGTACAAAGTCTTTTCCTTGCTCAACAAAGGCTTAATAGAGTCCCAAGTCTCGGATTGGGCAGCGTCAGACAACAAGTTCATGACGTAGGTACCTCTTTGGATAGCCTCGTTAACGTCGAACAAGTTCTCACCTGGCACCCAACCGTCCTCAATGGCGGCCTTCCAGGAAGCACCGTCCTTACGAACACCGACAATGACGTTCAAGCCATTGTCTCTCATGTTCAAACCTTGGCCGTAACCTTGGGAACCGTAACCAATCATGGCCATGGTGTCGTTCTTGAAGTATTCCAACAACTTCTCACGAGGCCAGTCGGCTCTCTCGTAGACGGTCTCGGTGGTACCAGCAAAGTTAATTTGCTTCATACCACGAGTAGCGACCATTGGCTTGACGAACTGTCTAGCGGCAGTTGGTCTTAGGGTGACACGGGAAGCCAAAGAGAGGGCTCTCTTGGCAGTGACAACACGGGAGTTGGCGATCAATCTGGAGGCTTGAATTCTTAGGGACATTTTAGACACCGAATAGGAGATGGAAACAGAAAATCAGAAAGATCTGAAAAATCAAAAATGGATCCAATGCAGGCAGCGTCCACTTGTGCATCTCATCGCCATTATATACTTGAAAATTTTTTCCACGACCATCCATCCATCGTCTTTAAAAATTTTCAGATCAGTGTGTGTGAGTCTTCTTTTGCAAACGCGCATGATGAGAACCGGCGCTTTGGCCGACACCGGCGTTTAAACGAAAGTATGAAGTGAATTTCCAGCAAGGTAGAGCCTGAGCGAGAATATTGTGAGCGGCTCTGCGGAGTTGAAGAAAGGTAGTCGTGTTGAAAGTGTCAGCAAATAGGGTGAAGTGTGAAGTGAATGAATGCGTGCAAAACAGCTGGTGGGTACTGGGTCCGCCTCCACGGCGTACACTATCGAACCTGTTTGAACGGGACAAGCAGTCATTCTCAGCCAATAAATTGTAAAGTTACTCTGTAGGTTCTCCAAGAACACTCTGGCGGGCCGCTAAAGCTGTGTTTGGGGTCTAAATTAGGTGCTTGATGTCAGATTGCTCCGCTTAGCATACAGCGGGCGTCAAATTCGTTAGAAGAATCGCTTTACCAGGGTGGCGCTGTTTCTATGTGTGTGTTTTCTGGCACGTTCACGTTTGTACTAAATTGCTTCGCAGCTTTCAACTTCGTAACGCTTAAAGAGGTCTGTACTCTAGCCATCAGGCCCCGTCCATCACAAATTGTGCCTCATCCCAAGGTCATGTGTGAGCTCCTTCAATCGCACAAGATAAGACTACCTCGGAACGCGTGCTAAATTGCTGTTTTATTGATTAAAGCCCTAATAGTTTCACCAATTTTCCGAGCTCAACAAGACTTCCAACTAAGTGCGCTCTTGATGTAAGACTTTACAAAGCCTTGTCTGTATTTATTGCTTACCATCATTCCAAAACCTCAGCGGCTCATCTTCAGATTATATATTTCAATCTTTCCCTGACAACTATTTTTTGAAGATTCTCAAAAGTAGTAGATCACAAGCTAGCGAGGTATAACAATGGCCAAATCTCGCTTTGAGTACGTACGGCAGTTCGAGTCGCACGATACTTTACTTCCAGAAACGTACATAGTTGTGAGGATTGATGGTAAGAAATTTCACCATTTCTCTAAACATTACGAATTCGAGAAACCGAACGATGTCCGAGCATTGAACTTGATGAACGCGAGTGCTAAAAATGTCATTTCAAAGTACAGGACCGATATTATCTGTGCATTTGGAGAAAGTGACGAGTTCTCCTTCATCTTGAAGAAAAACACTGCTTTGTTCAAAAGGCGACAAGATAAATTGAGTTCACTTTTCGTTTCGCTCTTCACCGCCAACTACGTGGCATTGTGGAGCAAGTTTTTCCCAAACACAGAGCTAGACTACAAGCACCTTCCCTTTTTCGACTCACGCTGTGTATGCTACCCAAATTTAACGACCATAAAGGACTATCTATGCTGGCGATTTGTTGATACCTATATCAATAATCTGTACAACACTGTGTTTTGGCAACTGATCATAAAGTGCGGTTTAACTCCCCAAGAATCAGAGCAGAAGCTTTCTGGGACCCTTAGCAGCGACAAGCAGGAAATACTATTCACAGACTGTGGCATTAATTACAACAACGAGCCTGAAATGTTCAGAAAAGGCTCGCTTATAAGCAATAAGGGAGATATTTCTCACGTTGACGTTGTGAAACTCATAGAAACTCTATTCGCAAATTATTAATTAATCGTACGACAATCAATAAAGTCTCTATTTACCATGTAATACACATTTGAGCCCAATAATTGAAGACCGTAGACTGTATCTCCTTCCCTTCCTACTTCAAGTTCATTACTCTCCAAGATAAGTTCGTCGCGATAATCATATCGCCAGTAGAATATCTTGCCGCACTCGCTACCGGTAGCGATTCTCAGTTGCGTGCGACCATAACAGCTTACGAGACAATCGGCGAATGGCGAGAATTCCTCGCTTGAGACATGGCGCTCAAACAATTGTACTTTATCCCAGTCATCATTCGCGCTTCTCTTGAAAAGATGACAACCGCTGTTGAGTACGTTTGCTACATAATACCGTAGACTTTTAGTGCTGTACTGTTTGGCAATTACGCCAGACGCTGACACAAGTGTCTTGTTCTCGGTCATCGGCTCAAAAATAGGTAATTTCTGTAGCGTATTTTCGAGAGAGTAAAGATTATTATCAAAGCTTGAGAAGACCAGCTCAGGAATATAAGTTGTCAGTGGGTCAATGTCAACTGGCATGCACGGGCTGCATGTGTTTATAGAGTCAGCAGCCACATCTTTATGCTCCTCGAGTTTCTTAAATGCACCCGACGCAATATTGAAATCAAATTTCACCACAGCGCCTAGTTTCGTGGCATAAACTACTTGGACATTACAACCTCGAACATTGTACCCGTGAAATGACGTGATTGTGTCGTTAAATGAACTGTGTTGCCACTTACGTGGTATTTCTCCGCCGACGGAAAAAAGTTGTTCTAATGTGAGGAAAGAGAGTCCATCCCCTGTGTTGATGATGATGTAGTGTTTAACTTCAGCTTTATTTTTGTGCGCGATTGATGCTTGCACAAGTTTAATGCCAAATGATTCCTTTTCAAGAACCGTCGATGATATATCCATAGGAAGCTCATATTTTCCAACCTTTGAGTTGGACTTTAGATTTTTAACTCTGACAAATACCTTTACTGGTCGTACAGTCGTTACTTCGAGGCATAATAAGAACTGCTCACCCGGTGAGACGCAGTAGCTGACAAGTGACTGTTCTGGATCTTCTTTGCTCAGTAGAGCATCATCCATCTCCTGGTGCTGAAGGCCTGAAATCTTGCGTTAAGCGCAGTCAAAAAATGTTTTATCAACACTCCATGCTACTCAGGACTTCAAACTATGAGCTGAAATCTCAATGGGTGTTTGCCGATGAGATTATTATAAGTAGTGGTACGTTCTAACAAAAAATTGAAAAAATAAACTCCGCGACGGGGAATTGAACCCCGGTCCCGGGCGCGACAAGCCCGAATTCTAGCCACTAAACTATCGCGGATAGATCTTAAAGAAGAGAAATTGTAAGCTAGACATAACCTCTAGTTATATAGCGCTGCAGGTGGCGTGGCCCTACTATATAGAAACTAGTTTGGGGAAATCATTCAGAATGAGACATTTGAAAAGTGTTTCTACTTTGTGGTCCAGAATTCGTATTTGTTTTCTATTTGGATAATATCTAATTTAGTTACCGAAATTTTATTGTTTTTGTTTATGTTTATGTTTATGTTTATGTTTATGTTTATGTTTTGCTATATTTTAGCTTCTCGGAGTTATACCAATATACACACTATTTGATACTATTCTCAGGTCCATTCTATTCTTCTGAAGACTCGTAACGCGAACCAACTTACGAAAAAATAAATTGGGCGCTTGTCATACTGCCCATACAAAAGATTACATGAGCGATGATGTGTGTGTATGTTGATAATTGATCCTCAGAATTAATAGGTCTCTATCAACTAAGGAACTATATATAAACGTAGGTAAATTTTGATTAATCAGAGGATTGGTTTCAATCATGGATTGAGGCCGGCATTCTGGGCTTTATGCCTGATTCTTTTTTGATGTAAGGAAGGCTCTTTTGTAGAAAGATAATGCTGTTTTTAGTTTATTAGGATGGAAAAATTGGTAACGGGTCAGTTTGAGCGTAGGAGACTGTTCCATTATATGCGAAGTTGAGGGGTGCTAGGTTTTAGTGCATTGGTAAGCGGTTAATGGCTACTCAGGAACTTAATAGTTTCTCGCGTTGAGTTCGTTGCCATTATCGTCGTAGTATTTTTCCTCGTCCAGCATTAGTTCGTTGGAATGAGAACCCTTGCCATCAGTTGGATTTCTGCTTACGCCATTACTACGATGGCCAGAACCATTATTGTTGTCGTCGTCCAGATCAGACGTACCGCCGATAGGAGTGTCGCCATCGTACTCATTGCTGACATCTTTGCCCATGAGAGAGTACCACCATCTAGTCAATTTGTTTTGTTTGTATGCCGTCACAACATGACCTTCGGAATTGATGAAATTAGTTTTCTTGGATCTGACACAGTAAAAGTAGAAAAATGCCAGAATACCGAGCAGAATCGGAACACCAATACCGACCACACATCCAATTACGATATTGCGATTTTTCTTTGAGAGTCCAGAATTTTTACCGCCCGCTTGCTGGGTACTTGCAGCACCAGAAGCGGTAAAATAGACCGTAGATACTAAAGTTCTGCCATCCACAACGGTGGTAAGAGTTTGGGAACTAGTAGTAGAGGGTGCAGCCGTGATGGACGAGGATTGGCCGTCTTGAGTCTGTGAGGTGGAATCGGATGAAGAAGTAGTAGAGGAAGGGTTGGAAGACAAGGAAGTTGCGGAGGAGGATGTGGTTGATTCCGGGACAGATGAGCTGGAGCTGGGTCTTGCGCTCGAACCAGAAGAGCTCGATGACGAGGCCTGGGAGGAGCTCTGGGAGGAGCTTGGGGAGGAGCTTGAGGAAGCACGAGCACTGGAAGAATCATCGCTAGAAGAGCCAGAACTGGAGCTTCTGCTACTGCTGCTGCTGCTGCTGCTGGTCCGGCTCGTTCCCGATGATATGGAAGTCAGCGACGTCAGCGCAGCGCTGGTTGACGACAAAGGCGACGACGAGCTGCTTCTTGAGGTTGTCGACGAGGCCAAAGAACCACTGGAACTTGAGCTGGCCGATGTCACAGACGACGACAAGAACGATGATGATGTAGCTTCGGACGACGACGATGGTGTCGTGGAGGACGATGCCGAGAGCGACGAAGAGACGGCTCCCGCCAGCGACGAGAGTGCAGAGGACGAGCTTGACCCTGTGGATGAGCCTCCCGTGCTGATGCTAGTACTGTTGCTGCCGGTCTGCTCCTCAAAGGCTTGCTGAACCGATCTTTGAATCGCCACTGCTAATAATAGCAATCCGTGCGATACTAGTCTCATGGGGTATCTTGAGCCTGGAGAAGTGCTATATTTCTTTCAACACACTTTTTTCACGGTCTCCTAGTATGCTTCTTTCGCTCTGGTTACTCGTTTGTAGCTTCGTTGCCTCTGTCCCGATGAATCCCAGTACTCTTGGTTTCATCAAGATTAAATAAATCTTTAAATTCGATCTGACAGAAGAGGGATAAGAAAAAATGGAAAAAAGGCTCACAAGGCTGAGATCTGGAAAAATTGGCGTTTGAAAGCGCCACGTGAAGAAAGGCTGGAACCATTGACCAGGAATGGAGCGAACGGTTGAGGCCCAAAGATGGCATGGAAGCCGATTGCAAAGCCCAAAATAATGGTGTGCGTGCTTTTAGAGCATTTATGCTATGAATCTATGTAAATGGAGTTTTCTCCGCAAGCCTAGAGGTAGTTTTATGTGGTGATTGATACAATGCGTCAGATCTGGGTCTTGAAAATGAAATTTGCCGAAAGCCGAGCTCTAGTAGGCGGGATCTCCAAATATACCCCATCTCTGCTCGACGTTTTCGGGTCCCGGGTTTTTCCAGTAGTCGTTGTAGGTAGTGAACAGCAGTACTTGTGATCCGAGCGCGCTGTTGATGGATTCCACGCATGTCTGCATGTTTTCCGGCGACGGCCAACAGTTGCCGTTGGCGTCTCCGCTGTTGGGCCAGCCGGTCTCTGTGATGAGAACTTGCTTGTCCGAGCCGCATGTGGCCTGTAGATTCGCTATTTGTTGCTTGAGCCAAGGCCCGCAGTTGCTGGGTTCCACATTGCCATCCCAATACGGATGCGAGTTGACAGCCAGGAAGTCAGATATTTCGCACAATCCGGGATTCGCAGTTACGGCGACGAGTGTGTCGACACTGACCACCGAGCCGGAATACCCGATGGCCTGTAACTGGCTTTTGGCACTAGAGACTGCAGTTTGGATGTCCTGCACCGTGGCTTGTCCCGAATTAACCAGCTCGTTTCCCACCGAAACGGACTGTATCTGGGAGAAATCGGAGCCAAAAGCAGAGGTAATTGCAGTGACGCTGTCAGATATCTTGGTCAAATCCCAAATCCCAACCATGATTTTTTGGTTCGACGAGACTGCTGCCTTCAGGTTTGCTAGTACGTTGCAGTCGGTTGCGTAGATCCGTATTATTCCAAAATCTTGAATCTCAGCCATATCGGCTGTCACCATCTCCAGCGTTTTGCACTGGCCGTTTTTCTGGTAAGGCGAATAGGCGATCCCAGCAGCACCGCTGTAGAAAGCGTTTCCAGCTGATGAACTGGATTGTACTGGCGCTGACTGTGTGGTACTTGACGAGATGGGCGTTGACGATATCCATGACGATGTCGATGCCGGTACTGTTACTACTGCAGACTCGGTGGTAGCGGTGATCAAGACTGCCGACGCAGACACATAGTTGGTAATGCTGGCCTGACCAGTCGCCAGCATGCCATCCACCACCATAGGCGCCATGACGAGGCTAACATCTTTTTCTACCCATAGAGGACGGGCCGACACACACGCAAGAAGAGAAACAAGAAGGAGACGCATTGAGTAGCTGAAAGTTTAAAATTGAGCTCGGGCTACATGACTAACAATTAGTTCCCTAGAAGCCTTTATATATCAGCATATTGTGCTTCTATCCTCTCTAACAATTCTGACGCCAAGTATTTTTTGAAACAGGTTATTATCGAATGTGACACATTTACATCAAATTATAAACAACAGTAAATCTGGAGAAAGACGATTTCATAACATGTGTGTGACAAACACGTTTGATTCAAGTTGAAACACATGTGAGTGAGTAGAAAAACTCAATCGCTAACGAATATAACTCTATTGTAAACAAGAAGCGTTCCAAGCCGACATACCAACGTCTTCATTTGTGCATCACTATATTACCTGGAACGCAGATTTGCCGAAAGTAAAGTATCTATGGGCTACATACAACACACATCTATCAAACAACTTGAGAAGCATCTATGCATGGGTCACACGAATCCGTGCAGGGCCCTGGTACCTCATTTAAAAAGATGAACTGAAACCAATGTGGCTTTCAACTACATCATATGCGAAAGAGGGAACAGTTGAGAAAATTAGTATGTTTTACGAGCATAAGTGTGCTGTCTTGAAGTGGCGCTCAAGCGCTTTTGACTATCGACAGCAGCAAACAACTTTTCAGTTGATCTGAAAAAAAGAAAGCCCTGTAGGGGGCTCGAACCCCTAACCTTATGATTAAGAGTCATACGCGCTACCGATTGCGCCAACAAGGCTCTTATTTGATGAAAGATTGTCTTCATTGTATTGACCCTATCATAATGCGCGGTTCACGCCTCTACTGAAGTTGCTCAACTTTAACTCGTCATCAATAACAACTTCTGGGCAATGTGGCAGATAACTGCCATAAAATCTTTAGGCCACATCCACATGAGATATTTAGTTACACTCTACACTTGTGTGATACTTTATTATCCCAAAAAGATAGCGACAGTTTGGCACCAGATCCAATCTACCTGTGTGAGTTTTAAAAAGGTGAGCGAGCACTCCTTGTTGCAGCTTTCGCGAGTGTGTCATCTAGTCCTTATTTCAAACTACACCTACTCAACTTTCTCCTTCTCATCTCTCCTCCGAATGCCCACCTTATGTATGTGTGCTCCAAACATTTCATCTCAGTCGGTCGATTAGCCGCCGAACACATACGAATCACTAGATACGGATAATGTACTCAAAAGGAATGAAAGGTCAAAAAATTTTTCAGAATACCAAACTTTTTCAGCCCGGAGGGCATCGCATCTCATCACTAATTTTGTTGTCGGATAGAATCTGAAAGCCGTGTGCTAGTAAAACCCACATTCGGAGCTCTTTCGATTAGCAGCATTTAGTAACCGTAGCCATGAGCAAAGTTATCAAGCTGCCTGCTAATGCCAGAACGGCTCATTTTCGCACTCTAGAAAGAGAAAATCGGTTTGTGAATCCGCCAAAAGACAAATCTGCATATCCGCTACTTCAGGAAGCCGTCGAACCTCATATTGGGTCGTTCAATGCACTCACGGAAGGTCCAGAAGGTGGTCTTCTAAACCAGGCCGTCGAGGATCTTGGTGGTAAAGTCGTATTCGATGGTGCCATTTCCGACGAGAACCCTAACTACCTGGGCAATAAGCTAACGCTGAGCGTTCAACAAGTGTCCATTGCCAAGCCTATGTCCAATGACGGCGTCTCTTCTGCTGTCGAACGTAAAGTTTATCCTTCGGAGTCGAGACAGAGACTTTCTTCGTACAGAGGTAAGTTGTTGTTGAAACTCAGCTGGTCGGTCAACGACGGCGAAGAATCATTCACCGAAATCAAAGATTGCGGTGGACTTCCAGTGATGCTACAATCTAACCGCTGTCATTTGAACAACATGTCTCCTTACGACCTGGTTCAACACAAGGAGGAAAGTGATGAGCTTGGGGGTTACTTCATCGTCAACGGTATTGAAAAATTGATCAGAATGCTGATTGTTCAACGTAGAAACCACCCTATGGCAATTATTAGACCTTCTTTCTCTAACAGAGGTGCCTCGTACTCACAATACGGTATTCAGATTAGATCAGTAAGGCCAGATCAAACTTCTCAAACGAACGTCTTGCATTACCTGAATGACGGTGAAGTTACCTTCAGATTTTCCTGGAGAAAGAATGAATACCTGATACCTGTTGTAATGATTTTGAAAGCTCTGTGTGAGCTCAATGATAGAGAAATTTTCGATGGTATCGTTGGTTCTGACACCTCGAATTCTTTCTTGACAGATCGTTTAGAACTGTTGCTTCGCAGTAACAAAAAAAAGTGCGGTAATTTGCAAAATCGTCGTCAAGTTCTGCAGTATTTGGGTGATAAGTTCCGGGTGGTGCTCCAAGCCGCACCTGATGCTTCTGATTACGAAATCGGTGAAGAACTTTTGAGACGTATTGTTCTTGTACACTTGGGCGAGAACAATGAAGACAAGTCGAGAATGTTACTTTTCATGATTAGAAAACTATATTCTTTGGTTGCAGGTGAATGCTCTCCAGACAATCCCGATGCTACTCAGCATCAAGAAGTCCTCCTAGGAGGGTTTCTTTACGGTATGATTATTAAGGAAAAAATTGAAGAATACTTGCAAAACATTAGACTTCAGATCCAGTCTGATGTAGGCCGCGGCTTAGCTGTCAATTTCAAAGATCGCAAGTACATGACTAGAGTTCTCATGAGAGTCAATGACAACATCGGATCGAAACTTCAGTACTTTTTATCGACCGGTAATCTGGTTTCTCAGTCAGGTCTTGATTTGCAGCAAGTTTCCGGTTACACCGTCGTTGCAGAAAAGATTAATTTCTACCGTTTCATTTCTCATTTCAGAATGGTTCACAGAGGTTCCTTTTTTGCTCAGTTGAAAACTACTACTGTTAGAAAGTTGCTGCCTGAATCCTGGGGGTTCCTATGTCCCGTCCATACTCCGGATGGTTCCCCGTGCGGTTTGCTAAATCATTTTGCTCACAAATGTAAAATTTCCACCACCCAATCTGATGTTTCTCGAGTCCCATCTATACTTTACACTCTAGGTGTTGACCCAGCTTCTCATGCCTTTGCTGCCGGTCCTTCATTGTGCTGTGTTCAATTAGATGGTAAAATTGTTGGTTGGTGTTCGCATGAGCAAGGTAAGATCATCGCTGATACTCTAAGATTCTGGAAGGTCGAGGGTGAAACTGCCGGCCTACCTTTGGAACTTGAGATTGGTTACGTTCCGCCTTCCTCCAGCGGTCAGTATCCTGGTCTGTATCTCTTTGGCGGGCATTCAAGAATGATGCGTCCTGTCAAGTACCTACCTCTCGGAAAAGAGGACATTGTGGGCCCATTTGAACAAGTGTATATGAACATTGCTGTCACTCCTGAGGAGATTGGCAACAACATTCATACTCATGTGGAGTTTACGCCTACTAACATTTTATCCATTTTGGCAAATTTGACTCCATTTTCTGATTTCAATCAGTCTCCAAGAAACATGTACCAGTGTCAAATGGGTAAGCAAACAATGGGCACTCCGGGTGTAGGACTCTGTCACCGTTCAGACAACAAGCTTTATAGACTGCAAACAGGTCAAACTCCAATCGTGAAAGCCAACCTTTATGACGAGTATGGTATGGATAACTTTCCTAATGGTTTCAACGCCGTGGTTGCGGTCATTTCATACACCGGTTACGATATGGACGATGCAATGATTATCAACAAATCTGCTGACGAGAGAGGATTTGGATATGGTACCATGTACAAGACCGAAAAGGTTGATTTATCTCTTAATAGAAGCCGCGGTGATCCTGTCACACAGCACTTCGGCTTTGGGGAGGATGAATGGCCCAAGGGATGGCTTGATAAGCTGGATGATGATGGGCTGCCCATGATTGGTACTTACATGGAAGAAGGTGACCCTATCTGTGCATACTTTGACGATACATTGAACAAGACTAAAATAAAAACCTATCACTCATCGGAACCTGCATATGTCGAAGAAGTAAATTTGATAGGAGATGAATCCAGCAAATTCCAAGAGCTACAGAGCGTCTCGATCAAATTTCGTATTAGAAGAACGCCACAAATTGGTGACAAGTTCTCTTCCAGACACGGACAAAAAGGTGTTTGCTCGAGGAAATGGCCTACTGTTGACATGCCGTTCAGTGAGACTGGTATCCAACCCGACATTATTATTAACCCTCATGCTTTCCCATCTCGTATGACTATCGGTATGTTCGTCGAGTCTCTGGCGGGTAAGGCAGGTGCCCTGCATGGTATGGCGCACGATGCCACACCCTGGACTTTCAGCGAGAAAGATACCCCAGCAGATTACTTCGGTGATCAGTTGAAAGAGGCTGGCTACAACTTCCACGGAAACGAGCCAATGTACTCCGGTGCCACCGGCGAGGAACTAAGAGTCGACATATACGTTGGTGTAGTCTACTACCAGAGACTGCGTCATATGGTGAACGACAAGTTTCAAGTACGTTCGACAGGTCCTGTTAACAGTCTGACGATGCAACCTGTGAAAGGTAGAAAGAGACACGGTGGTATTCGTGTTGGTGAGATGGAAAGAGATGCTTTGATTGGCCACGGGACATCGTTCCTACTGCAAGATCGTTTGTTGAACTGTTCAGATTACACGCAGACGCCAGTCTGCAGGGAGTGCGGTGCCTTATTGACGACACACTACAGCGTGCCTCGTATCGGTTCACAGTCCACAGTAAGATGCCGCCGCTGCGCATTGAAATTCGAGGACGCAAAGAAACTCGTTTCTCAATACCAAGGCGACGATCAGATTTTCATTGACGATGCTCATATCTGGGAAGATGGACAAGGCAATAAGTTTGTCGGAGGTGGCGAGACCACCACCGTTGCCATTCCATTTGTGTTGAAATACTTAGACTCTGAGCTGGCGGCCATGGGTATCAAGCTTCGCTTCAACGTCGAACCTAAATAAAAGCATCTGCTACATCACTACTCATCGCGAATATACACGCCTCTGAGTTCTACTACTGTACCATAATGCCGATAGCCGGCTACACCACATATAACTAATAAATATAGCCACATCTTTATCATACTTAGCCATGACCATATCGCGAATTCAACATTACTTGCTCGAGCTGCTCGTCAGTTACGAAGCCTTTTAGATCACTGACAAAATCGAAAAAATAATAAAGAACACTGAGTGTAAAAGCACAGCACATATATTTGACTTTTAGAGGCAACTTGCGCTTCAAGCAGAATCAATTATTGGGTCAGGAAACCGTACAGCAGTATTGGTTGTTGGTTTTTGTGGGCTACTTTTTTTTTGTTGCTAGCTTTTTTGATCGAAATCTGTTGATTTATCCACGATAGATCGATATTTCAGAAAGGTCAAATAAAGAAGTGCCGCAGAATGAGCGACAATCCATTCGATCTGGCTGCGAATCGTGGCTTGGATGCTGGAAATCTGGCTGCCGAATCACCAAGTAAGCCTTCGCCTTCATTGGAGTACTGCACAAAGAGTATCGAGGAAACAGCGTCATGTTTGACAACTGATCTTAATAGTGGGTTGCCTTCCGCTAACGAGGTCCATAAGCGCCAAGAAGTATACGGTAGCAATGAAATTCTGTCAGAAGATGAAGAACCGCTGTGGCGCAAATTTTTGAAAACTTTTGTTGGCGATCCGTTGATCCTGCTACTTATGGGTTCAGCCGCTGTGAGTTTTATAATGGGAAACATTGACGACGCGGTAAGCATAACACTCGCCATTATTATAGTAGTAACTGTGGGGTTTGTACAAGAGTATCGGTCGGAGAAATCGATCGAGGCACTTAATAAATTAGTGCCCGCCGAATGTCATTTGATCCGTTGCGGCCAAGAATCGAAAGTTCTGGCTTCGGTCCTAGTACCTGGCGACTTGGTGCGTTTCGGTGTCGGTGATCGTATTCCTGCTGATTTAAGAATTGCGGACGCGGTCGACTTGTCTATCGATGAAAGCAATCTAACAGGCGAGAACGAACCGGTTCACAAGTCCAAAAGGTCCGTTTCCAAAGACAGCTATAATGACATGCCAGGATCCATCGTACCGCTGGCTGATAGAACTTGCATCGCTTACATGGGAACTTTAGTCAGGGAAGGCCATGGTAGAGGTATAGTGGTCGGAACCGCTAAAAACACTGCGTTTGGTAAAGTTTTCGAAATGATGAACTCTATAGAGAAGCCAAAAACCCCACTACAAACAGCCATGGATAAGCTAGGCAAAGATTTGTCATTCGTCAGTTTTGGTTTGATAGGTATGATTTGTCTGATCGGTATTCTACAAGGAAGATCATGGTTAGAAATGTTCCAAATTTCTGTCTCGTTGGCTGTTGCTGCAATTCCAGAAGGCTTGCCAATCATTGTAACTGTAACTTTGGCGCTAGGTGTTCTGAGAATGGCTAAGAGGAGAGCAATTATCAGAAGGTTACCAAGTGTCGAGACGTTAGGGTCTGTGAATGTCATCTGTTCTGACAAAACTGGTACCCTGACTGCTAATCATATGACCGTCAGTAAGATTTGGTGCTTGGGTAGTATGTCAAACAAATCTAATATTCTAAACCTCAATAAGGCGGGGGGAAGTAACCTGAAAAAACATTTGTGCGAAGACGTATCGACCACTTTGCGTATCGCTAACATTTGCAACAACTCGACCTATTCTCAAGAACATGTGAAGTTCTTGGGAAATCCAACTGACATTGCCTTGCTCGAAGTCCTAAGAAAATTTGGGTTAGACGATCAACGCCAAAAGGTAACAAGATTAGAAGAAATCCCTTTCAATTCTAAGCGGAAGTTTATGGCCGTAAAGGTGAAGGATTCTAGCGGTAAAACCACCATTTATGTGAAAGGCGCTTATGAGAAAATTGTTGAAAAATCTACACATTTCGTTAACACCGAAAAGAAAACTATCAAGCTGGATAATGGACTGAAAAATGTTATTACTGACTGCGCTAATACAATGGCATCTGAGGGTTTGCGTACTTTAGCATTTGCTCAACTAGATTTGCCCAATGGGTCGGATGGGCCTCTAACTGACGCTAACATCAATGGCCTAGCGTTTGCGGGATTACTTGGCATGAACGATCCGCCAAGACCAACCGTGAAGGCGGCCGTAGAAAGACTATCCGAAGGTTCTGTCCATGTCATCATGATTACTGGTGATGCCGAGAACACAGCGGTGAATATCGCCAGACAAATTGGTATTCCAATTGTGAATCCAGAAACTGCTGTTCTCACTGGTGATAAATTGGACCATATGACTGAAGATCAATTAGCAAGCATTATAGATCACGTTAGCATTTTTGCGCGTGCTACGCCTGAGCACAAATTGAACATCGTCAGTGCATTACAGAAGAGAGGTGATATTGTTGCCATGACTGGAGACGGTGTTAACGACGCGCCTGCTTTAAAACTTGCAGACATCGGAATTTCGATGGGTAAGATGGGTACTGACGTTGCCAAAGAAGCTTCTGATATGGTCTTGACAGATGATGATTTCAGCACAATCCTAACCGCTATTGAAGAGGGTAAAGGTATCTTCAACAACATTCAAAACTTTTTGTCATTTCAACTTTCTACATCAGTGGCTGCTTTATCTCTGGTTGCGATTTCTACAGCATTTAAGTTACCAAATCCCCTCAATGCCATGCAAATTTTATGGATCAATATTTTAATGGATGGGCCTCCGGCTCAAAGTCTTGGTGTTGAGGCGGTAGATCACGAAGTTATGAAAAAGCCTCCACGTAAACGTACTGACAAAATTTTGACTCCAGACGTTTTCAAAAGACTGTTGCAGAGTGCGGCTTTCATTATAGTCGGTACAATTTACGTGTTCATCAAAGAAATGAATGAGGACGGAGAGATTACAGCTAGAGACACGACAATGACGTTCACTTGTTTTGTATTTTTCGACATGTTTAACGCATTGGCATGCAGACATGCCACAAAATCGATTTTCGAGATAGGTTTTTTCGCCAACAAGATGTTTAATTATGCGGTTGGATTATCTTTACTCGGTCAATTTTGCGCCGTCTACGTTCCATTCTTCCAAAGGATCTTCAAGACTGAGAGTTTGAGTCTCGGAGACTTGGTATTTTTACTCACGCTCAGCAGTAGTGTCTTCTTCGGAGATGAATTGAGGAAATGGTACATTAGAAAGCAGAGAACCAGTGACCCCTACTACTACTCCGTTGTTTAATTAGTATATTTTGATACGCTCAATTATCTAAAACAAAATTATATTATTACTCGCAGCTTTTCTGAGCCTATTCATAACTGCTAACCCTTCGCCTTCGTCGTCGATCCCTTCCACAAATATAATGTCAACATTTTCCATTTCGTCGACTTCTCTCAAACATGCGAAAAGATTGGTCTGAATTTCCGTATTTGTGTGCCCAAGAGACCTATAAATCCCGTTAGGATAATTGATCATATTACTGGGAAACAATAGTGTCGACAATACGGCAAAGTTCCGAACGTCACGAATTTGTTCTTCGATGGTTTTTTTAACATCGTCAAGACGCTGTGACAAATTCATTTTACCTCCTTTCGGAGTGAAGAGGACAACCTTAGCTTGTGGCGAGTAATGCCTGTATTTCATTCCCGGAGTGCGCACCTTCTCACCAGCTTTTATCGTCTTTTTATTCTCGACTTTACAATTTGACCAATCCTCACCTCCCATTGCTCGTATCTGTTCCCAAGTAAAACCTCCTGGGCGTAGCAAAAGGGGTGGGGTTACCAGTCCGTCAACAACTGTACTTTCTACGCCTACTGTGCAAGCCCCTCCATCCAAAATAAGAGGTATGCGACCTTTCAAGTCGTGATAAACGTGGGACGCCAGTGTCGGAGATGGACGGGTAGATTGGTTGGCGGAGGGAGCGGCAATCGGAACGTCACTTAGCGCAATGAGGGCCCTAGCCACAGGATTAGATGGAATTCGGACCGCAAAAGTCGGTTGATCCGCTGTGGTATATTTGGATAACGTGGAGCTCTGCGGTACCGGAAGCAGAATCGTGAGAGGACCCGGCCACAGCTTTTCAGTCAAGTTGCGGTAAACTTGAGGAATATTTTGCAAGACATCAGAAACTTGAATCTGGCCGTATATTTTTCGATTCAGCTGGTCGATTGACGAGACATGGCTGATTAGTGGATTGTCACTGGGCCTATTTTTGGCTTTGTATATATTTAAAACGGACTGGTCGTTCAAAGAAGAGCCTCCTAAGCCATACACGGTTTCGGTAGGAAAGCCCACGGTATTATCGGTTTCTCTTATAATTTTGGCAGCCTCTAGTAGATTTCTCTCAGTTTCCGGGTCTGTGATGGTCGGAAGAGATCCGTCAATATGCGCGGATTCAGAGAAGAATATCGATTTGGGGTTTACCTTTAAAACTTTAGTCTCAAAGCTTAGTGTCATCATGAGCCTCTTGAACATTCATGAAGGCGGTTATTTTACGCGATGAGCTGCAATGCTTTTCAAAATTTTGAAATTCAAGCCAGTCGTCTAAATTTTCAATCGATTCAATCAGGATTATCACATGATCATAAAGTTCAGGTTCTGGCTTCTCCATAGATACCAGGTAAAAGGGCAACAATTGAGTGATGCCGCGACAACCCAGCCACCCTAGTCGCACTCAAAATGAATCTGTGATACAGTTCGGTTTAAAATGAGAGATTTGAAAAAAAAAAGATCGTTATGCTCATCGAAAAGACATGTCTATTATCAGTCGACAGGATGCTTCGAAGCTATCAAGAATTTTACAAATACAATGCAATGAATATCCTTAATACTGCTCAACATTTGCAATGCCCGCTATAGTTCAGCATGGTTTTTGATGCTGCTTTAAACTTCTGAACTTTTTCAATTCAAGGACCCTTCAATTTATATTCTAGCTTTGGGCGTAGTACAAGAGTTTACCTTTAGATATAAGCCCAAACGACCTTAGCTATACTAGGAATGGAAACTCAACATGCAATATTTACGCGCAAAATACGCACTCAATGAGTGACAGAAAGCTCCTGTATGTGCTAATCCAATAATGATTTATACTACCTGGAAGTTGGAAGCTGAAAGCTACTATGGCATGAGACACTGAAATACTGGATCTCATGGACTAAATGTTTTCAGAGCCACAGACAGCATTCGCTAGATAGGCTGCTACATCTGAAATGCTCCAGAAACGAGACTGTCAGCTCACATTTCAGCGACAACGTAGTTTACTGTCGATGCTACAATAACGATCGGTAATGATTGCTCTACGTTTTATGTTATATTCAGCGACTCATGTCCTCAACAAGAAGCGCAAGTGGTTTAGTGGTAAAATCCAACGTTGCCATCGTTGGGCCCCCGGTTCGATTCCGGGCTTGCGCAATTTTTTGCCCATTCATTTCGAATGGGATATATAAGTAAGAATGACTTTAAAGCCAGAGTTTCTAATGAAGACCATCGGAGTTTATAATCTGAGTAGGTTTGTGCCTATTAAGATATACTATGAACATGTAGGTACGAATATTTACTCAATTGTAGCTGATCCCACCGTCGACACTAATGTTCTGGCCAGTGATGTAGTTGGATTCCTCACCAGCCAAAAAGGCCACGAGTCCCGAAACGTCTTCAGCGGTTTCACCACGCTTGAGGGCAATTCCATCAATTTGCCTCTTTAGGTTCTCACCCAACGGTAGACCAGTAATCTCAGCTAGCTTGGTGTCAATGAGATCCCACATTGGCGTCAAGACGATACCAGGAGCGTAGGCGTTAACAGTGATACCTAAGGGTGCCAACTCTTTAGCAGAAGCCTGCGTTAATCCCTTAACCGCGAATTTTGACGATGAATACAATGGCAGAGAGGCGAAAGCTTCGTTACCGGTAATAGAACAGCAGTTGATAATTTTTCCAGTCAATTTATGCTTGGCAGTTTTTACCGTCGAAGGCGTGAAATCGCCTCCTCTATTTAGCTCGACGAGTTTCCTGGCCGCGGCCTGGGTGCCGTAAAGGACACCGCCGACGTTAATACGCATCACACGCTCTAATTCCTCAGGCGTGGCCTCAAGAACTTTGGAAACCGTAGCAATGCCAGCATTGTTGACCATAACGTCGAATGCACCGAAATGCGCAGCGCTCTCATCAACCACGTCGAATACGGATTTCTGATTCGAGACATCCACTGGCAAGAAAATCGGAGGTTTGTTATTTGGCCTAATAGCCTGAATTTCTTTCAAAACCTCTTCTGCTTTATCTTTCTGCTGAGGCAAATCGGCAATGGCCAATTGAAATCCCTTGCGGGCCATGTTAAGCGCGATGGCTTTACCAATTCCTTGGGCGGCACCAGTGATCAAGGCAGTCTTAGACATTAAGGGTTTGTAATACGTGAGTGAGAGAAGTTAGAGAAAATACACAGATGTGTGCAATACTGTTATCCTTCGAGAGTCCAACAGCGACATCAATAACATGAAACCATCGGTCCATTTATATACGTTTTCAAATGATTCTTAGGAGTCTCGAACTTCGCCCTTATTGGCCTTTAGGTGCATTTTCTAGAGTGGAATTTTTACATCATCACTTTGAACTGTTTCTGACAGGAAATCATAAGATATTCAGAAGAGAGCTCAGAAGGGCCAGGAAAGTAAATTTGAATGACTTTGAGATGCCCAGGCGGAAATTATAAAGTTTAGTACTAATGTGTAATAGCGCGTTTTTATTGGTGGCGGTCGGTGTTTGATTCCCAACTTAATGAACACAAGAATTACGTATCTGACCCAGCGCCCGTCCGTCACCGTTTTGGGCCTTGGATATTGAAATTTAGCGAAAACCGGAGGTCCATACATTCATAGGGTCAAATAGTCTGTCTCTCACTATCGTAAAACATGAAAATGCAGATAGGCCGTAGCCCGTCTTTCAAATTTCTGTCTGACCCGCAAAAAATACAGTGCCATAAGGTTAGCACACCGTACGCGAGTTCTTTGAAGTAGTCATTTTTATCATCCAATATTCAAGGAACAGCTCCTCGAATAAAGCAATCGAGAAGCGTGTGCGGCCTAAGCTTTGTTAAAAAGATCCAGAGTGTACATATTTCATCCGCTACTAGCCTTGCACGTGACCAAGGCTTTTGGCGAAAAGTTAAGTCCAAATACCCATTGACGTTGCAATGCGAGAAACTTTCTAACCCTGTTCTCGCTTATCATCGATCATGGAAGAGCCAAACCCGTTTGCTGATGACTTTTTAAGTGATTACGGTTCAGCGACACCGCAAACTGAAACCGGTCCTCAGGTTCCTGTCGACTTCAACAGCTCGAAACAAAACACAACCTCGAGTGGTAAATATGCCGATCTGTATCAAATAGATGGCGACAGTTTGAAGCGTAGACTTAGGGCAGCGCTGTTGCTACAAAAAGTGCAACCGGAAGGGAAGTTCGAGACAGACTTGTACGCGCCTGTGTGGGTGACAATTACTGTCGCAGTAGCGCTTTACTATAGCCGGACTTTACCCGAGTTCTTCTTGGGACTACTTAGAGGAGACCCTCCATCAGAAGCAAGTCATAAGCTTACGCCGTATTTGATAGTACTAGCGTTGTATAGCATATGCAGTCCCGTGCTTGCTCGCGTTCTGGCCAGATACGTGTTCAAGATCGATAGCGATTGGGGGGTCTTAGAGTTGATTTGCATCTACGGGTACTCCATTGTGATATGGGTTCCGCTGGCCCTTGTGATGATGGTGTTGAGGCCATTCGGAGAGATTGCTCCCAATCTATTCAAGATTCTAGCTGTTTCGATCATTGCCGGTGTTGGTGTCGGCCACACTGTGTTTTTCTTCTTCCGACAATTCAAGACTGAAGGAGAGGAAGAAAATGCCGGTTGGAAAGTACTGTGGGTTATATCTGTAGCAGTGGGTCTAGCGTGTTCCGTGATTTTGACATTGGCATTTGGATCTTCGATGTCTTAGAGCTCTCGAAAACGAGCAATTTCCAACCATTCAGAATGTGTCTGAACATATCGTATCAATGTAATCGTCTGAATGCGCGACCTGCAGCTTATCACGGACTGCCGTGGAAACTAGTTAATGCTTGTAATCACCTCATAGATTAACCAAAAAGTCCTCCGAACCCGCATGCATACTATACGCATTCGCAAGGCTCGCTGGCCAGCTGGCGTGCAAATTCCATATGCACCAATGCTCAATGTGTGCGAATGATCGACGACCGGCCGGTACTCGCTACAATCTCGCCACGTCACGTGTATGTTTCATGACTTATTTTTTACCTGTTCGTTTCTGTAAAAATGTATCATAAGCGGGCCTTATGCACTGTACGAAACCTAACCTATGATTTCGATGCTTTAGCAACGCACCCTCTACTGCTGGACACGGAGAACAATGCCTCTCTTTGCACCTCTTTAACTTCATACTGAGCCGTTGCACGGTTTTTTAAAAACCGTAAATGACTTTCGGCGAGCTGGCCCGGTGCCTATTACACATTTTTTTGGTCTTTCCTATCTCGGTGTGCAGGGCCCAACATTGATAAACAAAGCCGAGATCTCTATGACAGCAGCAACGAAGTAGCACATCAAGACAATAGGTTGGTCAAAACGAAAGGAATGGCTCTCAAGATGCATGTTACTTTGACGAACCGTAATAGAGTTTGTGTGCAGGATCTCGAGAACGTGCATGCAACAATGGCATGAACGTTTCAAACTTGACCGCGGACTTACTATGCATATGAACGGTTGCGAAGGAGCGCACTTGTCAACGAAGGAGTTAGGCGCAGAGTATTCTAATACTAGCCATTGTCTTCATTCTTTCATCATCTTCGCGTGCAGAAGACATGAATGGACCGATCGATTGCAAACCGAAGAAAAACCAACTCTGCATGTCAAGAAACTTGGTTGGCTTTGTCATTGGCGAGAAGCTGGAGAGGAGGAGCTAAGTATAGATCACTACCTCTGGGCTATAATCCTGGAAGAGCTGAGCGTAAGAGCGGATCCAAGGAATGCTCAAATCAGAAATCTGAAAGCTGTTTTGGAAGAAATCAAGAAGCAAGAGTACAGAACTGCCGAAGATGGTAGAACTGCAAGTCTAAGTGAACTTTTGATGCTTATTTGCTATATTTTGAAGCACTGTCACCGTATTGGCCCTTTCTATGGCTACGAGAATCTCGAATATAGCTCGTTCACAAAATCAGACCGGAGTAGCCTCATTGCTCTCAAAAGGATTTGTATTTGGCTCGAACTTTAAATGGGTCAAATTGTAAGACAAGAATGTCCAGCTCAAAACTAAATATATACAACTTCTTGAGCAGGCTTACCCGAAAATGCTTACAATGACGACGGGAGAAGAAGAGAGGAGACCGTTCTCCGTCACAAGTGTAGGTAATACTGTGGAAAATGTTGACGGTTGGAGAGCAATGCAAAGGGAAAGAGAACAGACACGCAGAGGTAAGAAATTCAACGAGACAGAAAACAAAACGAAACGCTTTGTGATGCTAGCACTCTAAGGGTGAGAAAGAGTTCAGACGATTCCGGAACGGAAGGAAATTTAAGTTTGCAACAGAAAGTGTTGAGTGGTCACAACTCATAACAGCTAGAAAAACACCAGATATTGAAGCAATTGCCAGTTGACGTTTGCTGAGCTGAGTTATGAATTGAAGGAAGACTGCAAGAATCAATTGAAGCTGCAGTTCTTGACGAAAAGAGGTACAGGGGCCAGCTGGTGCAGAGCGAGGGTGGAAAATTGATCACGATAGAAGGAGGTGGACCTGCGAGCAGGCGAGTGCTGCGTAAAAAAGCAAAGCTTGAATTGAAGCGGTTCTCTGGTCTGTTCAATTCCTGGACAGAACCCCAAGGTCGGGCCAGATTGCAGTCTTCGCTTCTGCAGTTTGATGAAAAGTACTTCAGGACTCCTTCGAACGGCTCAATTCAACGCAATCCCGTACTTTCTCAAATAGAGCTCTACATTTTTGATAATCCTATAGAGAGATGGCCTAACAACGGGCTGCAAACGAAGTTGTACCGTAAGCATATTATGAAATCTTTCTTTGTGCATTCGACTTCGACTGCGAGCGCACGGGCCGGTGAATACATTATAGGAATAAAGGCCGGGGACAATACTAATCGTACCAGAAAATAATTCCACGTTCATATTGAGAATGACAGAAAAAGTACCAAAACTTTTTGTTTCTCGGCCTATCCACGTACCGTTTGTGCTGTTGGTGTAAGACTGTACCCGTACTACCCACTGTGAAAGATGCTACCCACGATCAGATACGTCATGTCTGACACCTGTATTATTTGAGCTCAGTGCGTTATCGCCATCAAACCCACTTGCCAGTAATAAAGGTTTTGGAATACTCGCCGGAGTTTACGATGGCCCGGTTCTAGAGAAGGGCCCAAACGTATTACATTCCATAGTGCATGTGTAGAATTTAAGTGCCATCCCACCACCATGAGTGCACTCTCAACATGAACCTCGGTGATCGTGTTGTTAATAGTTCATGCCGAGTATAAGACGCTTGTGCTGTCTAGAGTTTCGAGTAGCTGCGTATGTGCGATTCGCGTTGACAATGAAGTCCTTCGTGTATCTATGATGGGGTGTCGCGTGTGTTTGGTGACTTACTGCGTAATAGTGTCAATATGGGAGCCAAGCCCAAGCTTAGCTGATTGCACAGTGGAAGGGAAAGGATACAAGTGCGAGAAGTTGTGACGCTCGAGTTCGTCGGACACGCTGGTACAAAATGACAAAGGTTTTATTACTTGCAGTACATGTCAAAAAAAAAAAATGGCCCGACGGCCCGAATTGCGGATCCGAGCATTGAATGAAACAGCCGCTGTCAAACCTAGTGCAGGTAAGATCAGGTTTGTGAACGTGGTATAGCAGTGCAGAGCAAGTTTTCACAAGGCTTGATTTGCTGATGTTTGCAGTGAGGCCAAGAGGGGGGGCCAAGAGGAGGGGCTTTAGTAATTGAAGCGTCACTGTGACAATTTTGGTAGTTGTAGTGCTTCAGTACCGGGTGCTGAATATTCAATAAAAACACTCACATGGGTGTTTATCACAGTACCTCTCGCACTACTAATAAATACCCGCCCCCACGCCACCTCTTTATCAAAACCATGCTGTTAAATCTATCTAATTGGGATTCCCGGTACGAATCCCATATGCATCTATATGTATATATAGAGTTACTCCTTGTCCTCTCAATACCCTGCGCTCTTGTAATCGCTCACTGAAAAGTCTGAAAGTTGAGCTCGCGAGCCCAATTTCTGACACAACCGTGTGAAAACGGCAATGTCTGCGCGCGTGTAGCCCTTTGCAAAATTGCAACATCCCGTAGTAGCCGCACCCACGGAAGCGGGACTGCTGCTGCTGCTGCTGCTGCTGCTGCTGCTGCTGTTGTTGTCTTTGTCTTTGGTGGTGGTGGTGGTGGTGGTGGTGCCGTCGTCGGCGACATCACGTGCGCCCCGCGTTTTCGCGCACGAGGCGCACGGCTTGAACAGGATGAGCTTGTCCACATGGCGAATAAGCTCGGTAGAGTCGTCGTCGCCGCCGCCGCCGCCGCCGCCGCCGCCGTTCGAACGCATTTCGTTCACCGTGCGCTGCACGTGCGCCGGCAGCGTCGCCACCGGCAGCTCCCCGGGCGCCAGCGTCACGTGCAGCGACTCGTGGCGGTCCCCGTTGAACGTGATCAGCGACTCGTGCTGCCACACCGTCTGCACGCGTGCGTCGCATTTGATCTTCTTCAGCCTGCAGGTGTCGCAGGAGGGCCCTGCACGCTGGCGCTTGGACGCGCGCAGACCCGCTGCAGGCACGCCGTCTGCAGCAGCGGGTATCTGCAGCACGGCCGCGGGCTCGGGATCTGGCGCCTCGCGGCCGCCGCGCGCCCGACTGCGCAGCGCCGCCACCGGCTGCGGGGGCGGCAGCTGTACATGCGTCCGCGCATGCGAGTGTGCATTTGCCGCGTCAGCGGCAGCGGCAGCGGCGCGCTGCTCACTTGCCACGGCGAGCCTGGCCAGCGACTCCAACGCGCCCCCGCTGCGCCAATGGGCCGTTGCCGTTGCCGCTGCCGCTGCCGCTGCCGAAGACGAAGACGAAGACGAACCACAAGCGCTCGCATGCTGCCGCGGAATGGGCCCGAACAACAATGGTGGGTCCATGCGCGTTCCGCGGAACGCGCCCGTGTGCGATGACATCGACGGGTCGCAGCCTGCGCCCATTCGGGAAACGTCGGGCAGCAACAATGGCGGCAGCGACCGGTGTCTGCCGTTCTGAATGGCAATGGGAAGCATGGCTGTGTATGTGTGTGAGTGTGTGTGTGAGTGAGTGCGCGTCTCTGTAGCACCTCTATCTCTTCTATATCCTAGTAGCGGGGCTGGCTCCTCTCCTCTCTCCTAAACTCGCTGGCCCCACTCCCTCTCCTTTTTCCTGATCTCGCTGCTCTTATACTCTGCGCCTATCTCACGAGCCTACTCCGGCAAAAACAACGCACCCACAAAGGGCAAAAGCGGAGCTCGTTCCAACCGCTGCTACTGCTACGACTCCGGGTGCAGAGAAATAAGCCCAAAAAGATCTCTGATATCATCATATCACGACTACACACACACACACAGAGGGCAAAAAAAAAATCTCAAACTATAATGCTGGCTGTCTGCACGGTTCATGCGGCCAAACCCGACTCGGGCAAATCGAACTGGTTACCGCTACGCTCAGCATGAGCGCATCGTCTATTGAGCCCGGCATCTGAACGTTTCACAAACGCCTGTGGTTGTGATGAGTAAAGCTAACAATGGCGGGCGCAGACCCCGAGCGAGCGAGCTAGCGGGGGGGAAGCGGGAGGCGGGAGAAAATCTGATGGGCCAGCCAGACCCGAAGAAAGCAACGGGCGGAGTAGTAAAGTAAATCTCACCCAGAGAAAGAATGGGAAGGGAAAAAACCAAAAAAAAAAGGCTAAAAAAACACCGTGCGTGTTTTTTTCCCATCGCGCTTTCTTTTTTGTTTTGTTTCTGTCGATGCATGTGGCACGGACTTGCCAAAGGACTTGCGCAAGAGCAACAAAAACAAAAACCTGTATTCTGTGTGTGCACAGATTATACAGAGCTGGCCTGATCGCATTCTTCGGATTTGGATTTGCCACAGCTGTTGGGTTAGGTCAGCGTTTTAGGTTAAGGTATTTGTGACCGTTGCTGGGGGCAACGGTGTGTCGGTGGAACGCCGAGCCGGAGGCGTGAGCGTGAAAGAGAGAGTGAGTGTGGTTTGGCAGGAGACCCTGTCGGCAGCTGTTGGAGCGTCTTTTACGTTCCGTTGCGTCGTTGGGTTTGGGTAGTCCGTTCGGTAATTTTGCCTGTCGCAGGAGGAGGAGACTGCGTCTCCGAATTAGGAAATTCCAGCGGGCTGGTCAGGAGAATGTGTCGTGCGGAGTGATCCGGCGCCGGCGCCGGCGCCGGCCCCGACGAAAAAAAAGAAACAAATCCAAAAGAACACAGGCCATTGTCCCGGACGGGTCTGGCACAAAGACCTTCGACCCAGCGTTTGGTCAAAGCATCATGGTGCGTCAGAGTGCGTTTCGAGGCATTGGCGCCCGCACTCGCAGCAACAAGCACTGCGTCTTCTCCTCCAGGCACTCTAACCCATCGTTCGGACCCAAGCCTTGCGCATCGGCCCTATCACCCAATGTGGGCTTCGCGGGCTATCTTTCGCAGCGTCGTTACCACCCGGCATAGGAGTTCTGACAACACACGAAGATGATTCCCCCCAAGGAGGAGCACGAGGTCGTGGAGATCAATATTTCGATCGTTGCCCAATCTTCCTCACCGCTGTATCTTTTCGTGGCCTGCTCGACGCCACGCTCCCAGTGCTTTCAGTGCCGGGGTTTCTGGGACCCGTGCCAGAATGGTACAAAGTGATGCCACAAACATGACCGGTTGGTAGATCATTCCATACGGACTCTCCAAGGAAGGATTTCAAGTACCAGGCGCTACCGCAAAGTGGTCTGGCGACCGGCTGGTGCTTGGTATGTGTGTCGTGCGATTATTCCAGACTGAACGGTAATTTTTTTTCGCGCTCAGTACCGGCCAGGGATCCACATCAAACGATACATCGTGTGATACACTGGTAATATCCAACGAATCGTCAATCAACTGTCAGACCACTAAAGGATGTCTTCGGTTTGAGAAGACGTATTGAATACATCACCGACTGATCAATGTGTTGTGAGCATCACTCTGTACTATTATGTCATTTCTCTTCGCCATGTAATTGACTCTATCCTAGCAATAGCACACAGATCCTGACAGATTTTGTTGCTGCTTCAAATCCCGCAAACGCTTATTTGCTCGTAACAACTACTCAACCACGTTTATTGACAACATTATCAACAGTTTATATTCTTCTTTAGTCACTGACACATACCTCAAACTAGCATATCATTTAGCGCTCTAGTGGTATCTATATCACTTTGTACTATTCTATCATTGCGCAATTTGCCGCCAGCATCACTCAGCTTATTATCGCGTCCTTTTCTCTTTATAAACTTTCTCGACATTTCCTTGGTGCGTCCCAGCCTTCAGTGGCATATTAAAGTGCCCAGCACGTTGAAAAACTTCTCTCATAGTGACCAGGGGTGTGGTGATTCTCTTCAACTCAAAATCTAATTTTTCGTGCTTACTTTTCTGGCTATATTCCACACCCTTTCCTCTCTTTCATACTTTCTGGCTCACGCTGAGCTATGACCTTTATTTAACCTGCTTTTGTGCACCCTTTAAACGGTCTTTGAATTGACGGTGTCCTCCGTTTGCTCAGGTTGCAGAGATGATTCGTCGTAATCACAGCGGCCGGTCAATCTACCTGCTCGACATCCGCCTGTTTTTTTCTCTTCGTAATGTGGCAGATGTTGGTAGAATTGCATTGTTTAGCCCATCGCTTATCACTTCACTGAGTCTTGTGTTTTCAAGTTTGATCGAAATAATCTCGCTCCCACACTTTTCAAGTTCTATTCGAACACCTCCACTAATAACACACCATTAGCTTTCACTAAAAGCTCTTCACTCTATCCTCATGCGATTAATCTACACTTCCATCCTTTCAGATATCTATCTCATCGCATTCATCGTCTCTGTACACGATTCCCTAATTTCATGTCAAATAATTATAAACAAACGCGTAATTATTTGGAATCACAACACAATTATTTTTAAAGACGCCACTCTCAGGACTTCTATGGCAAGACACAAGCTTCCCGATAGACCGCCGAATGGTATCGGAGCCGGTCAAAGACCTTCCCTAAGGCCCAGGCAACTGGATATTAATGCTGCTCACGCCACCCTTACAAAACCCTTCAAAGTCCCATTAAGATCCCTTTCTCCCAATGTGACCCCTCTAACAACTCGAAACACCCGTAAAAGGCCCAAAACCTACTCCTATGCGGAACCCAGTTTAGATGAAGAAAATCTTCAAGACGAGAACTATCAAGACGGTGAAGAGCCCGCTTTGTTACACCACCACAAACGCATAGACGCGCTTTCCGCTATCCGTCTTTCGCAAGATCCAGACCGTCTACAGAAGATAGATTTCGCTCTCAAACGATCGTTCACAGTTCCCATCAAGGGCTACGTGGCTCGACACAACATGCCACTCTCGTTGGGAACCAAACCCAAGATTGTACTGGAACCTCGTCCGCTGCATGACCCTACCGACGAACTCGCTATAGTGCTGTACGACCCTAGCGTTGATGGCCAAACTCCGCAACTGATCCAGGAGCAACTATCTGCCGGCGTTGCAGTATCGGGGTCCACTACAAAATCCAAGAAAAGACTATCCAAAGCAGAAACAATCATAGCAGCTGCCGCTGCCACTGCTGCAGCAGAAGCTCTTGCCGCAAGCGCATCTGCATCTTCCTCGCAAATCCATCGCAAAAGACTTTCAAATGGACTGCCGAACAAGACATTGCGACAGTTATTGGGTGAACGCGAAACAGAGAAGCAATATGCAAGTGTACCCGTTGTGATAGATCCACTGTTAGCCAAGATTCTACGTCCACATCAAGTTGAAGGCGTCAGGTTTTTATACCGCTGCGTAACAGGATTAGTTATGAAGGACTATTTGGATCAACAGAGTGTACTCAAACAAGCCGATAAGGCTACTGCTATGGAAGAAGTCACTCCTTCACCGTCTCCGCCACCACCTTCCTTGCTGCAATCCCCCGGTACTGAAGAAAATACAGAAACAGACGAGTCAGCGATTCTCGCCGCTCAAAATAGAGGTGCTTACGGATGTATCATGGCAGATGAAATGGGGTTGGGAAAAACACTACAATGTATTGCACTTCTGTGGACTTTGTTGCGGCAAGGTCCGCAAGGTAAGAAAACTATAGACAAGTGCATCATCGTGTGTCCCTCGTCACTGGTAAACAACTGGGCCAATGAATTGGTGAAGTGGCTTGGTAAAGGAACGCTTTCAGCTTTGCCCATTGATGGCAAAAAAAGCTCGCTTAACAATGGTACGGTTGCACAGGCTGTACACTCTTGGGCCAACGCCAAAGGAAGAAATGTGGTGAAACCAGTGCTTATAATCTCCTATGAAACTTTGCGACGTAATGTCGAACATTTACGCAACGCTGATGTGGGGCTTTTACTAGCAGATGAAGGACACCGGTTGAAAAATGCTGACTCCTTGACTTTCACTTCCCTTAACAGTATCGACTGTCCTAGAAGAGTGATTCTTTCTGGTACACCAATACAGAATGATCTTTCGGAGTATTTTGCCCTACTTAACTTTTCCAACCCTGGTCTATTAGGCTCAAGGAGTGAATTCAGAAAAAACTTTGAGACCCCGATTCTTCGAGGAAGGGACGCGGATGCTGATGAGGCAGAAATTAAAAAAGGAGATGAAAAATTGCAGGACCTTTCAAACATAGTCTCCAAGTTTATTATCCGCCGCGCGAACGATATTTTGTCAAAGTATTTACCGTGCAAATATGAACACGTAATATTTGTGAACTTGAAGCCCTTCCAGAAAGAACTATACGAACACATGATTAAAGCCCGATTAGCTCTTAGCGCCGCCAAAGAAAACGGTGATGACTTAGAAGCAATGAAGGGTGAACAGCCACTTAAACATATTGGAACGTTAAAAAAACTTTGTAACCATCCCGATTTATTGCAACTACCAGAAGATATTGAGGGCTCCGAAGATATAATACCAGATGATTACCATAACTCAAATTTATCGAAGCGTGCATATTCGGAAGTTCAGACCTGGCATTCGGGCAAGTTCTCGATATTAAAACGATTTCTCCATAAAATTAAAACGGAATCTGATGATAAAATAGTACTCATATCCAACTACACGCAAACTTTGGACTTGATAGAGCGCATGTGCCGAACCAGTCACTACGCGGTTGTGCGACTTGATGGTACAATGAATATTAATAAACGTCAAAAATTGGTAGACAGATTCAATGATCCCGAAGGACAAGATTTTATCTTCTTGCTAAGTTCAAAAGCCGGAGGTTGTGGTATCAACTTGATCGGTGCTAATAGGCTGATTCTGATGGACCCAGATTGGAATCCGGCTGCAGACCAACAAGCACTGGCCCGTGTCTGGAGAGATGGTCAGAAAAAGGATTGTTTTATCTACAGATTCATATCCACAGGATCAATTGAGGAGAAAATTTATCAAAGACAGTCAATGAAAATGAGCCTTAGCTCATGTGTTGTGGACGAAAAAGCTGATGTTGAAAGGCTTTTCAGTGTGGATAATTTGAAACAGTTGTTTGGCTTAAGAAATGATACCGCTTGCGATACTCATGAGACTTATCAGTGTAAAAGATGTCATGGAGACAAGCAAATGATAAAATCTAAGGCGATGCTGTATGGTGACCCAACGACATGGAATCATTTAAATCATGACGCACTAGCGAAGAATAGTGACCACCTGTTGCAAAATGAAGCGAAGTATCAAGACATCAGTTACGTGTTTCAATACATCTCACATTGAACGAAAGCTGCCACTTTACAGTGGCTAAATCGATATACTTAAAAAGGTAGAAGCTCCACCTTGAAGATGTAAAATCAACACCATTTAGGCCTCTCTACTAGTTGTCAATGGATGAAATTCTCGCCAAAGCCGGGAGTCAGGCTGTCACATTTGCTATAAGGTCTGGCATCTCTATTGCATCCAGCTATGCCATAAAAACCGTCGCGACTTTCGTTACGAAGATACCCGAAGCCGATGCCTCAAGACTCCGAAGACTTCGACAAAAATTAGAAACTCGGATTGAAATCATTTCCTTTGCTATCGATTTGATCAAGCTAGTGGCAGCAAAGGGAAATACCAATCTGGGTAGCACGCTGAGACTAACCAGAGACTTGAAGGAGGAGATCGACCAGTTCGATTCAAAGATTACCAACATCACGAACAATTATCATGCAAAGAAGAACGAAAGAGACTCTATATCAGCAGTCGAGAAATACATATTGGATTTGCTTGCGAGAATAGAGGAAGTCATCCCGCTAATAAACTTATCGCTTACCACTTCAGGCGCCAAACTAAGCACAGCACTTCCGCAATATGTGTCACCAGGACGGCTTCTGCAAGCCTCAAACCATATCAACAGAAATAACGAAACTTTCGCTGAAGGCGTTGATCAGAGCTTCCAAGTAGGTCCGACGTTTGAACTCACCATGTTTTCTATTTTTCACAATTTGGCGTCGGTAGATGCTAAGACGCGCGTAACGTGGAAGGAAGACATGAGAAAAGCACTGCTCAGCATTTGGAGAAGGAGCTCTTCTGAAAGAAAATATGATTACTACATCAGATTAGAAGAAAGCTTCAACGATGGCTTGTATCATGACGCAGAGGAAGAAACGGCTAAAAAGATGCAACTGGATATTTGGCAAATTGTTAAACTATATTTTACTGCATCTGGAAAGCTTTTGAAATTAGAGGAAAGGAACTCGCCCGTTCTCGTGTTGAAAGTGGATAAAAACTTAAAAAGTCCTTTCGTCGACGACCGCGGTACTTCTACTGAAGATATTGAATGGCTCGCGTTTGGAGAATTTGATGCGCAATCTAGTTCTGATGATTCAGACTCCTCAGACTCGGAGCAGGAAGAGGCTGGCGAGGTAGACCAGAAAACCATAAATGATAGTGACAACGAGACAAGCGACTCCATAGCTCTATTGGAATACATCATCAGATTGGCATCTCTACAGTGCAACGATCAACAAAGCATATTACAAGTGCATGATGAGCGGCTCTCTATGTACCTCAATGATGAAAACCCTAACTCAATCAAAACTAAGAAGTACAATGTTGACGAAGTTACTGACAAGTTGGAAAAAGTTGAAATAAATGAAACTCATTCAAGCGCGTAAGAGTTTCCATAACGTGAAATAGTTAATTAATCATTATTATCCGCTATATGACTAAATAAAAGAGGATGGTTAGTTTTACAATTTAAGCTCCATAAGCGGGTCTCCTGAACTACGGGGCAAAACACAATTAAGCTTCTCGAAAGGAGAAAGGAGGAAGCAACAACACTAGACCAAAAATGAAACATTGAGGATCTATGAATCTGACATTAGCTTATCGAGATCATTAAAGTTGAAATCGCTTGCAGGCTCCGAGCTCATTGCAGGTGAAAGTTTAGCATTTTGGGTAATTGATGGACCATCTACATTAATTTCGTTGGTCATGTCCCTACAAATAGATGGTCCTGAAAATAATGATTGAACATCGTCATTATTGTTACATCCTAATATTTCGTCGATCTCAGAAATGAAACTCGAAGTTGGCTCCATGGGTCGCGTCATCATACCGTTGTTTGGTGAACTTAGGTTTGATGCCTGAGGTATCAGCCCGTTATCACTATCGGGTGATTCTTCTATTCGGAAACTTGAAGGCGCATTAGCTATCGTTGGCACACTATTCGTACTATCGTGAAGAGAATGGCTGAATTTAAAATCCGGTTGTTTCATCCCAGTGTCGATATAGCTCAGAGAGGACTGATTGAATGAAGTACTGTGCATGTTTCTAAGGCTTTCTCGTGAGAACGAGTCATATCTGTGATTTCTGTGTATGCTGACAGACCTTTTTCGTGGCTCTGTTTCCTCCTGGGCATGCAAGAATGGGTTTGAAGTGGCAGAATATAAATTAGAGTTGTCTGGAATATCCATGAAGCTTGGCGTGAGGGATAAAACCTCTACGCTTTGTGAGTTTTCATCTTTCAAGTTGGCAAACCCAGGGGGGTGATTGTCTTTACCGAAAGAGGCATGGGGTTGAAGCTGTCTCGCATCAATGTACGGTTGATGTCCACCTTGAACTTGAGATATTGAATGCGTTGTGGCCGAACTGTCACGGCCAGTCAAGCCACTTATGGAGTACCTTGAAGAATCTGAAGTGGTGCTGTCAACGGACGGCCTTGATGTTAAAGACTTCGGTACGTCTCGGTGATACGATACCGATCTGGAGCTTGCATTGTTCGTTTGAGATAAGCCTGGGCTCTTGGGTTTTTCAGATGAAGTGACGCCACAGCCTTTATGGTGGTTATGCTTCAAAGTTTTGTAGTCGATGTTAGCATTCTCTGACGTATCTGCAAATAGATCCAACAGTCCATGCTTCGTGTCTGTTTGCGGCCATGCCATACGGTTTTGGAAACCCATGTTATCGAAGCTACCACTGAGACTATTCAAGTCTGATATTTCATCTTGCGGTGCCGGGGCCTCTCCTATTCGTGTTTTGCCCTGTTTCGTTACATGTTTGTTTCCATTGGTGGCAGAATCCCCATGGCCAGGAACAAAAGAGGGCTGCCCACGATCCAGTAGATTTAACCTCGATTCTGACATTAGTGAGCTCGTTATCGAGCTGGAATCCCAGTTGCTGGCATTATGGTTCCCACCGTGAAGAGTTGGAGAAAACGGCGGACTTGTGGCTAGACTGAAATCCCGATCTAACGACTGAGACGAGTGGAACGACGGCAGTGAATTCAGGCCGTGATTCTTGCCGACTCTTCCAATAAAGTCCGAGCCATCCAGGGCTGACATTGTTGGAGAGTCTTCCGAGGCAATCGACGAGGTGGTAGTGCCTTTGGTTCTTGAGGAAGCGGACCTTCGGGTTGCTCTTCGCACATGGCACGAGCACTTGTCGCCTTCGATGCATCTACAACTGTCGTCTTTCAACTTTGAGTTGGAACGAGCTTCTTCCTTGGCTTTCTGAGCGAGCCGCTTCTTCTCCTGGCGACCACAGGTGCAGGCGCCGGTCGGATTGGCATTTTTGTTTCTGCGCAGTTCTTTGCAGTGCGAACAGGTCGTCGATGGACGACCTTTAGGTTTAATCATCATCAAGGGTTGGTCTGTATGGTTGCAGGTGGTAACTCTATGACCCCTGATACACCTTTCGCAAGCATACTTGATCCCTTTCACGAGAACCATAGTGTGAAGGTGGATAGGAAACTTTGCTGTACAAGTGTATCTGAAATCTTGCTCGTATCTAGGTTGATAATTGAAGGCCTCTGATATTCACTTTCCAAGCCCATTCCACAGCTGCTGGTGCTTTCTGCTGTTCTTCTCAAGATTTCGAAGAAGCTGATATTTTAAAACTTCAGTTCGCTCGCGGGGCTAACAGTTGAGCGTTGAGGTGCGAAATGAAGCAGAACGACAAAAACCGATTTTTTCAAGAGATAAACCGAGACAAAGAAACCCAAGTAAATCGGTAGAATTGTAGCCCAATTTCTGCAATGCAGTACTTCTCTTTTGGCCGTAGATCTGTCTAAAGCTCTCTTATCACTTGCCAAAATAGCAATTTAGCCAAGCGTTTATTAGTCGGATGATTTTGAAAACTGAACTCTAAGAATTTGGGGGACTGAGCCATCACCGGTCTTTTGAACCAGAACCAGCTACTTCTTTTTACAAGTGTAGCCATGGGAAAATTTTGGGATTACCCGAAGACAATACTAACCGGCATCAGCTGATATTCCAGCCGGGAACAGAGCCGCTGAGCAGTGAGTAAAAGGCAAGAGTCTTTAGTCATGGGAGAACCTGCGAGGCTATTGTTGGTAATTACTCGAAGATGGGTGGGTGATGTCGGTCCAGCAAAGACGATAAAGACTTCGTACTGTCGAAATCAGTTTTTCCATTGCTCGTTCAATTCTTTTTGCACTTTTGCATCAAGAAAAGGCAGAATAGTACTCCAGCGGATGTAATTGGCCTTCTTTCTTGCTCTTCGTTGCAAACTTAGCGTAGCTGTGGGCTTTTCGCTCGGTTTGACCCTCCTACTTGCAGCTTAGTGTTAGTGGTGGCGCCATCTAAGTCTACGGGGCGCTCTTTCGTAATAATAGAAGTTCTCCGAAAACTGTCTTCAGCAGCTGCCTGTAGAAAGTAAGAAGTGCATCTCGACGGCGCAGAGGTAGATGCTTTTCTTTGCATTTCTGTTTTATGCCCCCCTGGAGCCGCTGTGAGAAAGTTCTCGGCTTAAAATCAGGACTTCCTAGTTGCCTATCACTTACTTCTTGTTCTTCCTCCCCAAATAAGCACTCAATGGTAATTCGAAAGCTCATAGGTGTCATTTGTAGCCTGGAATAAGCTAGATTCCTACTTTCTTTAGAGATTTCTGGTCTGGTTCTTGTAGGCAATACTCTCAGTAATGCTATGAAACAGATGCGTAGCACTTGGGTATTTCTGATATGAATTTCAGGGGCACTGCATAATCTCAACTGTGAGCCGCACTTGCTGTTTACATCAAACTTGGATTAGCGCCACTTACTGTTCATGTCAAACCTGAGAAGATCTGTACAGCTAGATGTCAATCGGCGCTATCTGTTGGTTTGAAGTGACGGGCTCATCTTATAGATATTCAGAACCGCATTCCTTTGTCGTCATTAGGGTTGAGGTAGTTTTTCTAGGCTCATCTAGCCGCCGAGATGGCAAAATCATAATAAGACAGACAAAGTTATTACGAGCGATAACAAAAAGGGCACGTCCAACTCCTAGCACGTTTTACGAGCTGCCTTTACCTCACTGCTCACTCCAGCTGGTTGCTTTTGTTCCTCAATGTTCCCTAGATGTCTTCATTAAAATCTCAATTCCATCCAGCTTAGACGATATATGTTTCACCTGCGGGAAAGTCGCAGGGCCATTGCCTATCAGCGTTCCTCGTCACATTCTCTATTTCTCAAGCGATTATTCTATATATTACACTTTCGTGAACTAATGTATATGATTATTTAGGAATTGTTGTTACCACGTCTCCTTCTTTCTTAATGGTGGAAGACGCATTCGAGCCGGAGACCACATTATTTTCGGCATGACCAAGCTCACCCTGGTCGTTGAAATTCAACTTCTCGACTCTTTGGAACAATTCGTCCTCTTGAGCTTGAGTCATTTCGTTCTTCTTCTTGTTCTTTAGCCAGTAGGTTGGACTCAACATGCGAAGTCTGAGATTCTTGCAAAATGGAAGGTGTCCTCTCTTCTCCTCGAACATCATCAAGCCAACGACAATTATCAAACTTAGCCAGTAAATGTTGTAGCACAACATGGAGGACAAGTAACCAGTGTTTTGCCATCCCAACAAGGCGTTGAAGATATCCCAACCATTATCCAGCTCAGGGTTGCAGCAGTTGACGTGGTACACAGCCTTTCTGATGTTGTAGGACCCGTTACCGTCACCACTCTCAGAGGCGTCACCTCCAGAAGCTTTGTTGTATTTGTAGTTCTCGAAGTACCAGGCTCCTCTGGAAAACAAACCGGCACTAATCAAGTACAGGATGCAAGTGGAGGCAACCAAGAAAAATTGCATGGACGATTGGGAAGTACCGTAGTACAAAATGGCACCAACGGCAACACCCGCGAACAAACCAACAAACACCGGTAGTGGGTACGCTGTGGCACTGGAGCCTTGAGTGGTGATACCAGCACCGGCCACGAAAACGACGGCTTCCAAACCTTCTCTCAGCACCGTGATGAAAGGTAGCAAAAACATAGCGTATCTCCTAGACAAATGGCCGATCTTGAAACGATCTCTTTTGCGTTCTGGAATGTCGAGCAGAGCACGGGCAATCTTGACTCTCCACTTCGCCTGCATCTTGTTGACTCTCAACATGGCAATACCCATGATCGAGATCATGACCGTCGCGATCATACAGAAAATACCCTCCCACAAATCCTCGGCAGATCCGAAGATATCATTTTGCAGCGAGTAGTACGCGCCAATAAATCCACCACCGATAGCGAGACAGATGAAAAACCCAGAAGCAACTCCGATCCAAACCTGTTTGCGCAGTCTCTTGTAAATCTTGATGTCCTGCGTCCCAACGGATTGTTTCAAAAACGACAACAGAACTGACACAATCACGACGGCCTCCAGACACTCTCTGAAGACCACGAAAAACACCGACACATTGAATACCTTACTACCTGTCGTCATCTTTAAGTGTGTTCCGATTGTCAAATGTGCTCACTGATATTTCAATGCTTACGTTACCACACAAGAAACTCAACGGTAGGTATCACGATGATTCTCGATTGTCAAGTACTTTTCTACTCAAATCTTCTCAATGTGCTCACAACGCTAACGCCAGATCCGTGTGGATATATATATATTGAACTCCTGCCACTCCTGGCCTGTTGTGCACCGAATTTTTTCACCTATTTAACGCTATGCTAACTCTGCACCCATCTTGAGCTGGTGTATCTACGCACTAGGTCTCCTTTGGATGCATGTCGGAAGCTATAGTTCCAGGGTGCACTTTTCGACTTCACTGTAGGCGGTTTTCAAGCACTTTAAATTAAGAGATGCCCATTTGTTACCGGAGACGAAAAAAATTTTCGCTGGCGATAGATTCCCAGGGTGCGCAACACAGATAGATACATGGGGTGCAGTATGATGGGCAAGTTCGGCCAAGCTGCAGGCCTGAAAATTCAAGTAGGAAAGGGTAACATTAGAGCACGTAGCACAATTTATAGCTGTCTGAATAGCCCAACGAATGAGAAGTGTCTAATTGTCGAGAATCAATTAAGTAAGCTTGCCAAGATTTCTCGAAAAAATGTAAAAAGATAAGCATGCGCAAGCCCGGAATCGAACCGGGGGCCCAACGATGGCAACGTTGGATTTTACCACTAAACCACTTGCGCTTCTCGATGTGAGATGTTGAAGGCGTTATTCACTGATCTCCTAAATTAAGGGGCGTGACTCGACGCTTGAGACACTGTTCCTTGATCTCTGCAAGTTCAGCTTTCAGGAATTGACTTCATCATACTAATCTGTCCTGTACGCTGCCTTGGACGCATGTGAGTCCATGACGGTTCGCGTGGAACACTCTTAGCTCGTACTACATACACATTCTACCATGCAGGGTTCATTAAACAGCAGATACTTACTTTGGCTTAATCGGAGCTATGATTCGCACGCTGCTGGCACAACCATAGTTTTCGCTGAGGCATATATACACGCTACGCTAAATGTGCAAGTGCTTCAGTGCTTGAGGCCGACTTTATAAATCTCAAGATATCTACCTCCGCGAAGTGGAATTTTGTATCGCTCGATATCGCCGTTAGTCCTTCTGGGATATTCACTCGATCTACGGGTAGTTCCTAATCGTTCGGAACACAGGAAAATCACTTACAATCTTAGTAGCTTATTAGTTTCGGTAGTCTTTCCTTAGACGGAAGATAGGCTGCTGCTGCTCGTAGAAACTTAAGAGTTGTTCAAGGCGGATGCTGGTCATGTCGGGCTTTTCCTGAAACGCGGGCGCCCCTATCGTTTGTGGATGTAGTACATTTCAGTCATTTCGAAAGGACGCTCGAGGCTGTTTGTCACAACAGATTTGGCTTTCTGCCAAAACCTAACCTCTTCTGTGTATCAAGAGTTGTCGTCGGGCCTAAATGAGGGTTCAACTTCATGTCAATCGGAGCAACAGTCTGAAAATTTCCGAGATTTCCATGAGCTCCTGTATGTCACTAATATTCTCCATGTAACGTCGAAACTCCTCGTCCTCTAGCATGCAAACCCGTTCTTCGTAAAGCGCACGACATCTTCCGATCAATGCCTGATGATAAGACAGTACGTCTCGTCTCAGCAGACTAACCACGTCTGACAGATATCCTTCGTGCACTTTCAGCAGTGCCAACGTCTCGTTGTTGTTGCTGCATTTGTCTCTTAGCATCGCCTTAAGCAGACTGTTTTGCCTTCGCAGACATTCCAGTTCAACATCGTCCTGGTTGTCGCTGTGGTGTGTCACATCCTTAACATACACATTTCTCTGTTTCAAAAAATTCGCAATGACTGGCAAGTTGGAATCCTGCGGCTGCTTCTTAGACGACAAGCGGTTTGATTCATTGACTAAGACGTCAATTTCGCGCAAAAGTTCGGCCCTTTTCAACTTGTTCTCTGTCATCTGTTGCGAGATTTTATCAACAAGGCTATATAAATACTCGAGGTTCTCTGCCTGTGGGCTCATAAATACCACCTGTTGGTCCCCCATACTGAAGAAACAGTGTAAGAACTTCTGACTTTGGTCCAAGTCTTCAACCAGGTACTGCTTCGATATTGGCTTTAGTATCATCTTTCACTTCTACATTAGTATATACTATCTCGACTTTTGAAACTTCAATAACTTCGGGTAACCTGTAATTTCACTATAACGAAAACAAGACCCTCGGCGGCTAGTTTCTTGAGGAATCCTCATCAAGAATAACATAGATACTCTAGAGCGAGCTTCAATTCCGACAGAATGAGCACTGCTGGTCATCGAAACTTGCAACTGCAACGAAATATAAATGTCCCTGACGCGTACTCCGGGGTCACTACAGTTTGGCTCCTATCGACACTGGGAGGATCGCGAAACGCCAACGCGATTGGAGTGAAAAAGAAGGATATTTTATCGGTATCAATTCCCAAAACCTGTGAGGCATTGCTTCAAAATAAATCGGATTACACGCTACGGTCTGCTTCCAACCTCCTGTACGGAGTTACGGTGTGCTACGGACGGAAAACAGACTATGTCTTGGCAGATGTTACGAGTGTCAAATCTCAGCTGCAAAGGCAGCTGATGGAAACTGTTAGAAAAGGAGCTAGGGTGCCAATGAATAACTCTAATCAGATCATGATTTTTGACGGTGTGAACGAGTACCGTAATATGTTAGAGTTCCAGACAATGCAATCAGCAACGCAAGGTCAACCCCAGGGGCGTCGCAGCGCTTTTCTGGTAGACGACCCAACATTCGATATAAATCAAATCAGAGATATATCGTTTCTTGATGGCGAAAGACGCGTCTTAAGTCAATCCGCCAGTTTAATCCACCAGCGCGATATTATGAACGAATTGCAAAACGGCTACAGCTCCGAGAAGGGGCCCCGCATAGGTGAAATGAACGCTCACAGAACGGCGTCTTTTGACTACGGCGAATTATCAGCGCTCGACGCAGATCTACATTTGGACTTTGATGATGTGCTCAGTGAGGTTGACATGGGATCTGCAAAGTCCAGTGGAGAGGGCAATCAAGATCTTTCAGACCGCGAGGATTTTGGTTTGAATTTCGAAAAGGACACTTTAAATAAGCTCACTCACGCTGTTCTACCGGATCTCGGTATGGAGCTCCTTGATGAGTCAGAAGAAGGAGAGTCTGGCAAGAGATCTCGTTCCAGTGTTGCGATAACAGGGTCTCAAGCACACGCAGATGGTAGCCACTCAAAAAGATTTAAGGCAAGCAAGAGCTTGGGCGTACTTCTCAAGCTGAAGATCGACGATAAAATTGCTTTAGCAAACGATGCTCTAAGAGATAATAGCGAAAAGTACTGTGAATTAATGGAAACCAGAGCTACAATTGGCTATGATAATTTGAGGCGTCCTCGTAATTCAAATGAATGGCGAACAGTCATTTTCGGGGACGATCAACCCGATTTTCTAGGCCTTTGTTTTCAGAAGTTACTTTTGCTATCCGAAGACCCTTCTTCATTCGATGACAGCAGTTCTATTATTGATGCCGTTGAGCGGGGTCGTCAAAGAGTGCGCTCGCTACCGTCCTCTAGGTCTAGTAGCAGCGCCATGAGCACCGAAAAAGGCAGGAAATTAGGACCAGCCGATCTTTTCAAGAATGGTAGTGAAAACAATGACAATTCCTTCATCCTTCCTGAACTGCATCAGATCGACGAAAATGGAGAGCTTGACGATGTTTACGAAGAATTCGATGGAGGCGGGGAAGATTTAATGAGAATTGATTTGCAGCTTCCTCCCTCCAGTTTTGGAAGAAGTTCTAGTAGAACCGAAGCAGGATCAAGAGATCAGATCGAGGAACTAAAACGCATGCATAGCGAAAGACGGGTGAATAGAAACAATACGCTCCAAAGTGTCGAAGATGTTGACGAGAGTCCCGCAGCCTCAGATTCTTCTCACAGCCGCGCAAGGAGCTTTGCTCAGAGTCAGATATTAGATAACCAGAGTCGCCGTCTATTTGACTATATTATCGAACGCGCTTCTTTCATTGGGCGAACTACTAGATCCCATCCGCCATACCAAAAGAAGCTTCTTCTTGAAGATCTGCTCCCGAGTAAATTGAGTTCTGACATTTCCTCAACGAATTCGAGCGACAGCGTCAAACCTGTGAGCAAAAAGCTGGCCGCCAATGCCTTTCTCTCGATTCTTCAGCTAGCTTCGAAGACGTACGTCCATATTTCAGCATTTAAGTCAAGCGAGGGCTTCAGATGCCTAAATGGAGACGACATAGTCATCTGCGTTTAAGTTCCAAATGGGAAAACATAGCTATAAAAGTTCGTGTATCGCATGACGTGGATTGGTCTATACCTTTTTGATCCAATATACAATTACGACTTTCTGTTCTCATGGAAATTTGCTGAACACAAGCGTCATGCCATTAATTGTGCTACACTCTATATGCTTTGACACATTTTTCGCCACCAAAAACATTTTGTTCTGATCCTTTATCCTTTTTTTAAGTGTTGTTGGCAGATCTCGAGCGAGTAAAAAACGTCTTGTGATAAGGGTTGATAAATGGGAGTCAAGAAGCGTCTCGAAGATGTACGCATTTTTCGGCTGCAAAGATCACAAGTGTACAAACGCCACGATAATTAACTACTAGGATGAGCCTTTTTGGTTCAAATCAGGATGCCGGAAGAAATTACTTTAAAACAGTCTCGATTCCGGAGTTGAGTGAATAGGTGAACATACAAGCCCATGCCATTATCCCAAGCTCATACATGAATCTGTCCATAGAGAATAGATCTCAAAATTTAGAAATGACTTCGACGCAGCACGAAATTAGCTCGGCAAACCTGGGGGGATCAGAACGAACTGACTACTTCGGTCTGCAAGAGAAAGCCTCGCCTGGTTATGGATCAGAAAGGAATTACGGCGTTGGCGGTAGAAGGAGAGGAGCAGAGTACGCCAAAAGATACCTAGAGGAACACCAAGCTAAAAAGGATTCAGAAGGGATGAAGAGAACAATGGTGGATGTAGTGAAATCTCAAGCCATTTGCCCAATGGCGATTCGAGAGCACGGCTCTCCGGAAATCGTGCACACAAACGCATACGCGCTGGATAGTGACTCCGAAAGTTGTATTGATTATGACAGCTGTATTGAATATGACAGCGACAATACCTGCTGCAACTTCAGTAGAAGAGAATTTATCCACACACCTTCAGACGGAGAGATTTCTTCAAACAATTCATCATTTCTGAAAGATAGTGAGGTCGCTCATCAGAAGAGCAAGCGTTGCGGTCAGAGCAAAAAGCATTGCTACAGATCCCAGAGTCAAAGAACTAAATGCGCTTCATCCTGTCCTAGTGAAATAATCTTCGAGGATACAAGTGGAAAACGCAAAGAACCAATTGAAATATCATTTCAGGTAAAGCACAAAGAGCGGCCAGTTGATTCAGCGCAATTGTTGCCCTCGGATGACAAGATTCAGCGACTACCCAAGACTCCTATCCCTAGAACACCTGGAGGCATGGATACTATTATCAGTCACAAAGTAAGTTACGACACGCAGGCTCTCGAAAATAATATTGAGGAAAGGTATAACGGTGGCAAAAATTTTGAACTGAAACTCAAAGAAAGCGCTATGTTTGATCGTCGCAAGCGCAAAGATAGTGGCTCGGGATCGCGGCAAATTTCAAATTCTTGACTAGCTTTTCAGTCATTAGATATAATCACTATATCATCTGCATCTAAACTTTGCTCCTTGATCTTCATGGCATTGGGGAGATCATTCATTCTAAAACGTTCAACTCCGGCTTCCAGGGTGGGTGCTAAGCCGGCTGCGAGATGCCTTTGTGCGACTCTTTGCTCTAAGAGATCAACATCCGAGTCGAGCTTCCAGATTATGACAGCATGTGTTTCTTTGAATACGGGATAGATTTCTTTCCAATTTTCTTCATTCAGAAGTAGATAGAGTCCTTCCATCACTATAATTCTTGTAAATGCATCTATGCAATGCTCATCTGTGGTAGGATCCTTGCGCGCATGATCGAACCCAGGGATATTAATGGAGGGTACGTCTTTGCTGAATGACGAAGACAGTTTGTCAAATAAGTGGCTTCCACAATCGGTTGAGAGGCTTGGTTTCACTTGGCAGCTCTTAGCAAGTAGTCTGCATAATTGTAAGTAGTTGTTGCTATCGAAGGTGAGAGGTGAGCCTCTACGTTTATGAGCTTCAGCAGAGTCGCTAAAATGGTCGAGGTGCTTTCTCGAAAGATGAAACCCATCCATGGGGACAATCTGTGCTATGTTGATATCATTACCTAAAGATCGTTCTGGCCTCAGTTTGCTTACTCTGATACTATTAGGTAAACCACCGCGCCCGGTAATTACCTGGGATTCGCACGCATCGTCTTTGAATCTGTGAGGTGTATAATTTAAATCCTCGACGTGATCGAAAAGACCACTTTCAAGCTTCTTGCGAGCATTCGGTCCTAAAATTGGTATCTGTTCGCAAAAATTTTCTACTCCACCGTCAAGTTTCGTCGCCTCAAGCAGTTGAGTTTTGTAAGATCTCTTTTGCAAGTATTGCCGAAATCTAGCGTTGATTTCTTTACACAGTTTCTCGCTAATAGTTGACTTGCCCGATCCGGGAGGCCCTACAACAATAACAGCAATACGATAATTAGTATCAACCCTTTCAGCTAAATACTCGAGTACCTTATCAGCCAAAGGACCTATATCGACCATGGCCTCACTAGTATACTTAGCTTCTTCGAGATAATCGCTTTAAATATAATATATGAGGATGTTCGATATATTGAAAAATTGAAAAACTGAAATTTCAAAGAACCACCACTATTATTTATGGGTGACGTAAAAACAAGATGTTCTCTATGCTTCGCGTGCCTTCGATCAGCGGATCGCTCAAAAGTGCTTCTAGGACTCTAATTACATTGAGACTGGCATCAACGTTGGTCTTTCTGGAGTCCAGTAGGGACGGAAAAGTACTACAATCTTCACTGAGCGCTTTGTCCGCTGCACAACAGTTGGGAAACCCAGTAACAGCTTTGTTTGCAGGATCATCTGCTGCTACTGCTGCTGAAGAACTCAAGTCAACTGGAGGGTCCACACTGCTGAAGAAAATCATTGTGGCTGATAGCAAGACCTACGACAATTATCTTCCTGAGGCCCTTACTCCATTGGCCTTGGAAATACTTAAAGATCCCGAGTTCAGCCATTTTGTAGTTGCCAGCTCTGCTGTAGGTAAAAATTTGCTACCTCGTGTTGGTGCTTTGCTTGATTATCAACCTATTTGTGATGTCACCAAGATCGTGGACTCATCAACTTTTATCAGGCCAATATATGCTGGGAATGCCTTGGCAACAGTTCATTGCGGCCAGAACAAAAAATTAGTTAGCATAAGAGCTTCGTCTTTCCCAGCTGCCTCTGCCAGTGCCACGGCTGCGTCGGTTACCAATGCGCCGGAGGTTCAGATCTCCGACTTGACCGTACAATGGGAAAGTGAGAATTTGGTGAAAAGTGCCAGACCTGATTTAGGATCGGCCTCCAAAGTTGTTTCTGGTGGACGTGGTTTGAAAAACAAAGAGACTTTCGACAAGCTTGTAACACCGTTAGCCGACTCGCTCGGTGCTGCCATTGGCGCGACCAGAGCTGCAGTAGACTCTGGGTTTTGTGATAATTCTCTACAAATCGGTCAAACCGGAAAGGTTGTCGCTCCAGACTTGTACATAGCCGTTGGTATCTCAGGAGCAATTCAGCACTTGGCCGGTATGAAAGATTCTAAAGTCATCGTGGCCATTAACAACGACAAGGAAGCACCTATATTCCAAGTGGCTGACTACGGTTTAACTGGCGACTTAAATGAAATAGTTCCAGAGCTGACCGAAAAGTTGAGCCTAAACAAATGATTAACGTGAATATTGTAGCTGCTGTATGAGCAGTATTGGACTTTTATAACTGAAAAGATGCGTACTCATCGCATACCTATCGCATAAAAGAACGAAAACATTTTTGAATATCTCGCCATCTCTTTCTATTGCTTGTTACTGAAGAGGTTTCCATACTTCTTAGAAGGCCAGCACATTTTGACGGTGCGATACTAAATAAACGCCAAGTAAAGGGTAATCGCCATATCAAGCTTTATTGCATGTTTGACATATCTGTTCACTAAAGTTAGGTCTAACATTGAAGCGGCCTCGATACGGGTTTTTTTCAAAGGAAAAGAATATTATCTAGCCGCGAAAACCGAGAAGTAGCCAAATATTATGTAGACCGCTTTCATCCTTGCTTGAAGGTATAAATATTCATGCAATTTCGCAACCCCTTCGATTAGCTCGATGGTGGTGGGTACAGTGGGTGGAGAACAATATCACACTTTCAGGACAAAGGCGAAATGATAGGATGACAGCCGAAGGCATGTTACTAGTCACCTATCTTCAATTACAAGATATTCACGAGCGAGTTATCTTTATTTTCCCCTTTCGAACAGAAATTTTCAAGGATCTCTCCATAGCACCCGCAGCTGCTTGATGAAGTGAAACGGTGACGAATTTTTTATCATCTCAGTGAAATCAGTATATATACAAATCATAAACCTTTGTCCGTTGAGGTACTCGTGTTAAAGTTGACTATCCATGTTCAAGCCAATACTAAATACTGAAATGTGTGTCCTTGTGAGCTAGATCTGTTCTTCTCATGTAAGACAGTTTTAGTACCTTCGTGAATATTTATCGCCCTACAACGCCTGTCGCGAGTTACTTGTTACCCCAACACCTAGATTGTGTCTATCGTAGAACTTGTAGGGTTTGAATGCCAACTTAAGAAATATACACATGAATTATTATATCTGTTGAGCAAAATCCTTCCTATTTGCTTGGATTCTTGGCAGTTTCTCAGAAATACTTACTCACCCTACTTGGCATTGTTTTTTACAAATGTCGATTTAATTTACAACTACTACATATTGAGCCTAAGCGTGGTCAAATGCGAGAGGAAAGCAAGCCCCTGCTCTCTAAACATGCGATGCAGAGGGCATCTACTTACGACTCTTCTCTTTCGGAAAATGCTGTAGGAAGCTCTTCAAATCCCGAAGCGAATTTGAGAGAAGGTCAAAGTCCGCTTGCATCACGATCAAGTATGGAAATAGTCGACAGGCAGAAGGAATACCAACCGCTGCCGTCTACTTTTGTCGGCCATCAACCTAATCCAACATTTTGGCATCATCTGACATATTACCTGCCGTGTTTTTCGTGGCTACCGTCATATAATTCCTCTAAGCTTATGAGAGATCTAATTGCAGGCGCTTCGTTGGCATCTTTCCAAATTCCACTAGCGATGTCCTATTCAACTTCAATCGCGCATGTTCCTCCGATGTGCGGTCTAAACGCGCTGGCAATAACGCCATTCGTGTACGCCGTTTTTGGCTCTGTGCCACAAATGATTGTCGGGCCAGAAAGCGCAATATCTTTGGTTGTGGGACAGGCCATCGAAAAAATTTCCAAGCACGACAACAGCATAAGTGTTACAGATCTATGTGTTGTCTTAACTTTCAGCAGCGGCATGATATTATTCCTCTTCGGCTTGATGAGATTTGGATTTTTGGACAGTGTGTTAAGCAGGTCCCTTTTAAGAGGATTTATAAGTGCTGTTGGGCTAGTGATGGTGCTGAATTCTTTAATCTCAGAGCTTAAGCTAAAAAAAGTGTTTGAAGATGCCCCAGATCACTACCATGCACCTTTTGAGAAAGTTAAATTTTTATTAAAGTATGCCCCTGAGAACTATGACTTGCCGACTGCTATCTTGAGCGGTGTCACCTTCTGTGTTTTGATGATCTTGAAACAGCTAAAGAAGCGACTATCCAAGAGGTTTAGGAGAGCTGTCTTTTTTCCAGAGATTCTCGTTGTTGTCACAATGGTTACGTTGTTATCCTTCTTCCTTGGATTTAAACAAAAATATAACATTGAAATTGTTGGCGACATAAAGGCTGAGAGCTCAAGTAAGTTCAAGAATCCGTTTGCGAAGAAAAGCCTTCCTTACTACAATGACTTATTTCATGCTAGCTTCATGATTGCCCTTCTTGGTTTCTTCGAGTCTACAACGGCTTCTAAGTCTCTAGGTACTAGTTATGACTTGGCAATCTCATCCAATCGTGAGCTCATTGCCCTGGGGAGTTTGAATTTGGTTGGATCGCTCTTAGGAGCTTTACCCTCCTTTGGCGGGTATGGCAGGTCAAAGATAAACGCGTACACAGGTGCTGCAACCGTTATGTCCGGGGTTTTTATGGGTGGAATAACGTTCATTACATCCAAATTCCTACTTAGCATGATCCACTACATTCCCATCTGTATCCTTTCTGTGATTACAACCGTGGTGGGAATTACCCTTTTTGAGGAGGCGCCTGCTGATCTCAAATTCCATTTTAGGTGCAGTGGGTATAACGAACTCATTACCTACACCATTACAGTTCTAACCACCTTTTTCTATTCAGTTGAAGCTGGCATTACTGTCGGTTGCGGCTATTCCATAATTAGAGCAATCAAAAACTCAACACGTTCTAGGATTCAAATCTTAGCAAGAATCACAGGAACCAATCGTTTTGTGAATGCAGACGAATTTGATACATCTCTGAACCAAGAAACACTAAGCTTGCCTAGACTCGAACACTTCGAAGGCTGTCTGATCGTGAAAATTCCTGAGCCATTGACTTTCACCAACACAGAGGATCTCAAATCGAGATTGAACCGCCTTGAAAGTTATGGCTCTGTCAATACACATCCTGCTAGCCCTCGTAGTCGAGATAAAGATCTCACGAAGCACATGATATTCGATTTGAATGGCATGACGCAAATCGACTCCTCTGCGTCTCAAATTTTGTGCGAAATAGTCACAAATCTGCGTAAAAGGAGAGTGAAGGTGTATTTCACGCGGATCCCACTGACCGCCACTGTTCGCAACAGACTTGAAGCTTCGGGCATCGTGGGCATGGTCGAAAAAATGACGGTGAATGACCCAATGGCACTTACAGAAGTCCCGACACCATCATGGTGCTTTAATAGTATTCAAGATGCTCTTCGAGCCACAGACGAGGCAGATTCAGATACACTTTCAGAAGCCGTCAGCGAGTGCACTTCTTTGAGCGGCACTTTCGTACGTTCGTCAGCTGTCTGATGGCATTATTTATGATATTTATTATATTTATTACTCACGAGGTCATACCTTAGTGACGGTACCAGGAAAATAATCTTCTTTGTTAAAACCGGTTGTATGATAAAAACATAAATGTTGGGACAGAGGGACAACAATTCTAGTAGTAATCTGAGCGAGGAATAAGCCAAGGTTCAGATACATATAGGGGAATCAACGTCACTTGTCGTTCTTAGCTTGCGGCGTAAGCACTTAATTATATAGTAAAGGCCGTTGTCCAAGAGCGTTATCGTATCTCCATTTGAATATGCATTGAGTTGTTTACAGTCCTAGATATTAATTTAGCACATAAACAACAACGGGGCGCGTCTATTTTTGTCTTCTAAAGTCTTATTTCATGTTATTACTCAAAGTTCTTCAAGTTCTTGCTAACATTCCACTCTTGGGGTTTGTAGCTAGATAATTCAGCACCCATGATGCTATGTTTGCTATTGACGGTCTAGGAAGGTATTCTAAGGCTTTCAATATCGTATTCAAGTCACTTGGCGTTCCATCAGGTAACGCTGAGAGTCATTGACGCTTGCCATTTTAAATTCATGATAAGCACGACCAAATGTACTAACTCCATGTAATTACACAAATCTTAACCTCTCACAGTTAAGGCAACTTGGCCGAGTGGTTAAGGCGAAAGATTAGAAATCTTTTGGGCTCTGCCCGCGCAGGTTCAAATCCTGCAGTTGTCGTAATTTTTGTTCGCGTTACCAATAAATTCCTTTTTGACCTGTCGATAAACATATTTTATTCAAGCCGAATTTGACAATATGATGCCGTGGCATACTATGCATACGGACAATCCAGCACTGCCTGCTACTGCTGTTCCACTCTGATGATTTATAACATTACCGGTTAATATATCACTATTCACGGAAACTGTAATAAATTCATAAGTTGCCATTTTGTCCGACTGGTGGCAAATACATATATAATATACATAACTTTACTCAACGTCGACGTGAAGACAAAGCTTGTTCAAGTCGTTAACAATGGTATGTTTTGATGCAATTCAGCAACAGATATGCACAGGCTGATAACTCCTGATGCTGGGCGTATAGTGAACCTATACTAACTTGAATCACACATATATAAAGGGACAAGGTGCATCAACTTCCGGCAAAGATAAAAAGAAGAAGGACAAACAGAAACCTAAATATGAACCACCAGTACAATCTAAAATTGGACGCAAGAAGAGAAAGGGTCCAGCTACGGCAGAAAAACTGCCTAGCGTCTATCCTAGCACGCGGTGCAGGTTGAAGCTCTTACGTATGGAAAGAATCAAAGACCATTTGCTCTTAGAAGAAGAGTTTGTAACCAATTCTGAGATCTTAAAACCATTTGAGAAGAAACAAGAAGAAGAGAAGAAGCAGCTGGAAGAAATACGCGGTACGCCGCTGTCGGTAGGAACGTTGGAGGAAATTATCGATGACGACCATGCTATTGTCACGAGTCCCACCACACCAGACTTTTACGTGTCAATCTTATCTTTTGTCGACAAAGAGCTTCTGGAACCTGGATGTTCCGTTCTATTGCATCACAAAACCATGTCTATTGTTGGTGTTTTGCAAGACGATACTGATCCTATGGTTTCAGTAATGAAAATTGACAAATCCCCCACAGAAAACTACAGTGATATCGGTGGCCTTGAGGCTCAGATCCAGGAAATAAAAGAGGCAGTCGAGCTGCCTTTAACACATCCAGAACTTTACGAGGAAATGGGTATCAAACCTCCAAAGGGTGTCATTTTATATGGTGCCCCAGGTACAGGTAAGACGCTGTTAGCCAAAGCCGTTGCCAATCAAACTTCAGCAACATTCTTAAGGATTGTTGGTTCTGAATTGATACAAAAATATCTCGGAGATGGTCCCAGGCTTTGTCGACAAATTTTCAAGGCCGCAGCTGACAACGCCCCCAGCATTGTATTTATCGATGAAATCGATGCTATTGGTACAAAACGGTATGATTCGAATAGTGGTGGTGAACGAGAAATCCAGAGAACCATGCTGGAACTATTGAACCAGTTGGATGGGTTTGACGACAGAGGCGACGTCAAGGTAATCATGGCTACCAATAAAATCGAAAGTCTGGATCCAGCATTGATCAGACCAGGCAGAATTGATAGGAAAATTTTGTTCGAAAGTCCTGATATCTCAACGAAGAGGAAGATTTTGACCATTCATACATCCAAGATGAACTTGGCTCCCGATGTAGATCTCGAGAACCTCGTCACTTCTAAGGATGACCTATCTGGTGCTGACATCAAGGCCATGTGTACGGAAGCGGGATTACTCGCTTTACGCGAAAGACGAATGCAAGTAACGGCTGAGGATTTCAAGCAGGCTAAAGAACGAATCTTGAAAAACAAGGTAGAGGAGAACTTGGAAGGTTTGTATTTATAGTATATCAGAAACTTTAAATACATGGGCTAACCTAAAACCGAAGGTTCAAAGATTCAACTATGATCATTTCTCCCCTGAAAGTAAACGAAAATGCAGCCGTTCAAGTAAAGGCAAAGAAGGTTTCCCACGTTTAATCATCTATTCAGAAGAAGCTCTTGATTGCCAGATTGCTCGCAATTCTACCATTTTTTCTTTCTATACTTCTATAGTGTAATAAACATCCAAGAACAGATTGAAATTGGCAGAGGCTTTTATATATATATATATTTCCACAGACTTGCCATGACATGCATCGACCAACATTCGTTAATGAATGATGCGTTCAAGTCTTTCTTCGTTCGCGATCTTTCTTGCTAGCCTTTCATCTCAATAACAAATTATTGCTTGAATTCGCTAGCAGTATCTCCTACTAAAATTGTCGATCCTGACATCTTAATTTTGAGCACAAGATCCATCCAGCTGTAGGAAGCTCTATGATTTTAATTTGTTTTCAAAGTGCGCCGCGACCTCTGTGAAGTATTTGGTAAATCAAAAAAATCAAATTCTTGTCAATATGAAAAAACGGAATAAGTATGAAGAAATCCCTTAAAACAGCACTCGTAAGGCAAAACAGTTTCTAACTGATCTAACCACAGAGATACAGATAGCAACTCTCAACCGTAACATTCGCTGTTCAAAGTTTACGAAAACTTTATCAAGAGAGCTTCTTTTTTATAGCGATCTTAAATTGAAGTCAAACCTAGAGATGACAAAGGTCGATGAATCAGAAAACAATGGCATAGCCAAGAAAACGTCGGGAGAACAGCCTTACAAACTCTCCTACTCAGTGGGTGTAGCAGAAAATAAGAATTCGAAGTTTCGCAAGACGATGGAAGATGTACATACTTACGTCGAAAACTTTGCCTCGAGGCTCGATTGGGGTTATTTTGGAGTCTTTGATGGCCATGCTGGAAACCAGGCTTCTAAATGGTGTGGCTCTCACCTTCATTCCCTATTACAGAAGAAGATAATGGAGAACGAGAGGAGGGATGTGAGAGAAGTGCTTGATGAAAGTTTTACGTACGCAGACGAACATATCAACTCTAGTCTAGGGGGCAACAGCGGATGCACAGCTGCGGTCGGCATATTGCGTTGGGAAGTTCCAGATAGCGTGCCGAGTGAACTCATAGAGCTGGACCAGCATAAGAGAATGCTATATACTGCGAACGTTGGCGATACCAGAATAGTATTGTGCCGTAATGGACACAGTGTAAGATTGACCTACGATCATAAAGCATCAGATACTTTGGAAATGCAAAGGGTGGAAGCCGCTGGCGGATTAATTATGAGAAGTCGCGTCAACGGAATGCTTGCAGTTACGCGGTCACTGGGTGATAAGTTTTTCGATAGCCTGGTGGTCGGGAACCCTTTCACTACCAGTGTCGAGATAACCACAACCGACCAGTTTCTTATAATAGCCTGTGATGGACTTTGGGATGTAGTTGAGGACCAAGAGGCGTGTGATATGATCAAAAAAATTGGCGACGCTAACGAGGCGGCAAAGACACTAGTGCGAATGGCCCTAGAAAAAGGTACTACGGACAACGTCACAGTTATGGTGGTGGTGTTTGATAGCAATCCTTAGATACCTTATTATGTTTATTAGATGAAAACAATAGTTTTATTGATTCGTTCACTTATTAGTTGTTCGATGTATTGTATAATACGGCCCAAGTGTCGGTGTTGTTACGACAGCTTCATCATTTACTATATGCTAAACTCGTCCAGGCCATTTTGACCTTCAGATGCATTCCAATCCAACCCTAGATCATTGAAATCGTTCAAAGTAAGGTAGCTATCAGGGTTCGCGGCATTGTTGTCATTATTCAAAGCCTGGGAGGGATCATCGTTGTTGCTGGGGCCCATTGACGTAGTGTAGGCATTTTCGTTGGCTGCAGTCTTTTCGATATTCGTTCTCATTTGTTCCTCCCCAAAATCAGCAAGGCCTAAGTCATTTTGTTCCATTCCACCAAACATCGAGAGATCGAGGTCGTTTAAATCGTTGAAGTCTGTACCGTAGTTGCTGTTGGAGTTGCCGCTCTTTTTACCACTGTCAGCATCACTCTTGCTGGCGTTGCTTGCCTTGGAGTTCGGTTTGGAGCCCGCAATCTCTGTTTTCGAGATCTCGTTCAGAAAAGCGCCGGGCGTGGACTCTGTAAAATCTGCACTGCTCGGTGGTGCCGGTTCTGGAACCCGCTGGGCTTCCACAAGACGTCTCTCGCGCTCTTCTTGCTCCTCTTTGAGCTTTTGCTGCTGCCGTTGTTCCTCCAATAGTTTTTGTCTGCGCTCGGTGGCTTCTGTTGCAAACTTGTCCACGCAACTTTTGGCAGTCGTGAGTGTCAAGTCTATGTCATCCAAAACCGAATGGAACGTATGCACTTTTTCGCCAAGCAGCTTGTGCTGCGATTGTGTGAAACCTGGAGCTATGTTGGAACTCAGCTGGATACTCTTAATTTGCTGCTGCACCAGCATTTCAGCTGCTGCTTTCATGATATCGTCAAAACATTTGGTGAGTTTGTTCTGGTGCCGTACGTCAGCGGTCATAATTGAAGAGGTTACTGAGTTTGGAGCAGTGTATTCCCCACCGTACCCTGCTCTCTTTTCTTTATCTTACTTCTAGGACTGATGATTTACCACATAATCGAACTGCAAGAACGCGAGTACACGAGTACAAGGCACCTGACGTTTTTTACGGATGGCTTGCATAATCAATACACGAGTACAAATGTATTTGGATGCACGATTTAAACTGGCGCACGCTGTTCTCACATGTTGAACATAATTGGCCAACGGCCAATCATTTGGCGTCAAAGGCTGAGTATTTGTGTTAGTATGAAACGATCTAGAAAAGGAGCTGGAAAATTTTCGTCGTGCTCCGGGACGACGAAGCGGAACCCTCTTTATCCTCTCAATCGAACAACTGTCTACTGGCAATTCGATAATTTGGGTTTGGGATATACGGTTCTGAAATCTGGATTGTTGGACTTTGAGCTCATTTCAGTTAGCGATTAAGTCTGATTTTATCGTTCGTCACAGCATAACCCAGGATAATGTTTCGTCTAAGTAGTGGGAAAGCCCTTGCAAGATCTGCCAACTTAGTTGCTAGACGTACCTACGCCGAAGCCACTGGCGACTTTTTGAAGCTCCAATTTACATTGCCTCATGAAACACTTTTCGCAGGGTCCCAGGTCACTCAGGTCAACTTGCCAGCCCAATCTGGCCAAGTCGGTATCTTGGCCAACCACGTGCCAACCGTGGAACAGCTATCGCCAGGTGTGGTAGAGGTTTTCGAGGGCGGTTCGTCAAAGAAGTACTTTGTTTCTGGCGGTTTTGCCACGGTCCAACCAGATTCAACACTTTCCGTGAACTCGGTGGAGGCTTTCCCTTTGGAATCGTTCTCCCTTGAAAATGTGAGGTCTTTGGTTTCTGAGGCGAACAAGAACACTTCGTCCTCCGATGAGAAAGTTGCTGCCGAGGCCGCTATTCAACTAGAAGTATTGGAGATCTTGCAAGGTGCTTTGAAATAAACGCACCATTTAGCTTCACGACCTCACGTACCAATCAACATGCACCTCAAATCCGCATCAAACCTCTTCATATTCTAGTTATTGAGAAAACAATACATGATTCACGTTATTGCAATGCAATACATTCTATAGACATTTGTTACTAGCCGCAAATTGAAAAAGGCATCAAATAATTGAGTCGTATATTTTCGGGAACCAATAAATACCTCCGCGCACGCGCAAGTTTAAGCATCTTTCAGTAGTCACTTGAAGCCTCGACATCGCTCTACAATCCTTCCTTAACGATGGCACGTGAGCACCGCGCCTCAACATTTGCGACGCCATATATTTCCAAATTGAATAAAACACGAAAACGCGAAAGCAAGTGATGATTGAAATAATCTAAGATGTCCGCACTTCTCTTCTTCAATAGATCCCCACTTTCCGTTAACCACCTTTTACCTCGCGCTCGCTACAATATATAGGACTTGAGGTAACTGACAAGGACTTTGACTTGCTTACCTTTGCTATTATAAACCTTTGCTAACTAAATTCCATCGTCCAATTGACATCCTGTGCTCAAAATGGTGAGCAGTTCAACGTCTAGAACACCTACATTTATTCAATTAACCACAAACAATGGACCTCTAGCCCAGATTTGGCTGGCATCGAATATGTCTCACTCGCTATCCAAAAGTGTATCTCAACATACAGATATTATCAAATCCGTGGAAGAAATTGCTCGAATCGCTGGCTGTTCTTTGGACAGCGCGAACGTTGAGTCTATAACATTAAGGGCTTCTGGTGAATTGCTGCATGGCGTGGTTCGCGTATACTCCAAAAAGACCTCGCTCTTGTTGAACGACATTAAGGACACTTTAACACGCATGACATCCCTATTCAGATCCTCTCCGCATACCTTGACCTTGCAGTTGGAACAAACTACAATTACTAACCCAAGCCAATACTTGCTGCAAGACGCTGTTACGGAAAGAGAAGTTTTGCAAGTACCGGGTCTTGAGTTTTTGAATGAAGTATCAATTCCTCGGGGATTTATGGACCATGAAAGATCGATGGAGAGACACGTTCAAGGCGCTGCTCCCTGGGATTCCTCAATCGAAGTTGGGAGGAATGTCAGGACCAACAATGAACTCGGATATAATCATTCCTCTGTGCTAGATCTTGATTTCGATATCGACGATACGGAAACTAAAGCAGTAGGCGAAGGTACGAACACCACTATTAATAAATCTACGCAAACTACAGGCAGTGCCCTGATACAAGAGGATGATTTCCCGGCCGATGACCAGTTCGATTGGGATCTAGGCATCAGAGATCAATCCGTAAATCCTGGGAGCGATCATGAATCTGATAGATCGATGGAGCTTGGGAGAAGAGTGGCTATGGACGAAAGTCAGCAGGATCACACAGAGTTTGACTTTGACTTGGGCTTAGGAAAAGACCCTGAGGATGCCGCAGTCGGCGCTGGAGCTCAGGACGAAGAGATGCCAGATCCTGTGTCATCACCGCCGTTGCCAGAGCAGCACGAAGTGGACCTATCGCGTCTTAGAAAGCTCACAACTGATAGTGATACTGAATTGAGGGATGAGCTTGTCAAAGTTTCGCAACTGGGCCCCGATTCTCATATCATTGTACAACAATATGACGTGCCGCACCTGCAAGCTAAGCCTAACAAGAGACTTTGGACCCAAATAGCAGATAAAGTTGACTACCTTCCTGAGTCTATTCTGAATAATCTGCTAGCCTACAAGCGTATTAAAAAACCTCGCACCGCAACGGAAATATCCCAAGTCATCGAAGAAGAACCACAACTTGACGTATCTCTAGGCTTTGACGACGACCTGGTAACGAGTCTAGATAATGATCATGATATCCGGGAGGAAGTTGAGCTGGCAGATCCATGGGAGCATGACGAGGACCACAACTTGGAATTGGAAGCCGAGATCGCCAATGGTACTAGCGCCTCAATTGATATGGATGGAAACTCGAGCCTGGAAACTGAAAGCGGATCCCAACAAAAACCCTCTACAAATGTTCGTCTTGTGACAGGCGAGTATATATCGCGAGGTACCACTGAAATGGCTGCGGAATTGAAAACTCAGTTTTTGGATGTCGATCCCATACCGTTCTCCAGGTGCCTGGAGTCCAGGACCAACGCCAGTCAATTAACAGACGGTCCGACAAAGAAACAAGCTAGCAAGACCTTCTTTGAGCTTCTTTCACTTGCAAACATGGACTGTATCGATTTGAATCAAGAAGCTAATTTTGGTGATATCGAAATTAAGAGTAGGGCTTCGTTGTACAGCAAATTTATTGTAGCATAATTAGACTTTAAAGGAACGGGAGAAATGAAGGAACTAATACTTGAAAATAGGATGTGGCTTCAGTATATATAGAAAGGAGTCATGTCAAAGAGGAAATAATACCTCAGCAGCGGCTAAATAGAACATATCGTATACAATTACTGTTTTCATGCAAGCCAATTCCTTAATTTTGAACAATAAAAATTTTCCGCTGAGCTCTTATGATGATGCGATGAGCTTGAAGTACTTGTTCTCTACCGACTAATAAACATAGCTCGATTGAAGCTCTGTTTAGCTATCTCGAGACTTTGGAGGATAGTTTCAGTTGCAGATAGACGTTGATCATTATGGTGAAACAGAAAGTGACTTCAAAGTCGTCTAAACGGTACAGATACTCATCATTCAAGGACAAGATAGACAACCTGAGGATAGAGCCAGCAAGAGATCTAACCAAAAGAGTTCACGATCATGTGGAAACCTCCCACTTCTTGGCCTCGTTTGATCACTGGGATGACATTAATATGAGCGCTGGTTTCACTTCATTTGCTGATGATGTCAGACCACTGGTACAAACACTCCCCCAGATTCTCTTCCACGAGAAGCAAATATTTGAGCATCTGCACGACAAAATTAGCCAGCATGATGAAAATTCGCTTCAGCCACTTTTGGACCTTTTGGCTCAGTTTTGTCATGATTTGGGCCCGGACTTCATGCAATTCTATGAGAAAACAATGCGAATGCTGACAGCCTTGTTAGACGATGCTATCAATTTCGAGTCCTCGAACGTTTTCGAGTGGGGTTTTAACTGTGTTGCCTACATTTACAAATACTTATCGCGAATCCTGGCGCAAGATCTTTTACTCACTTACAATCTGCTTTTTCCACTATTTTCTCACAACAAGGAGTATTTGTCTAGATTTTCTGCTGAAGTCTTGTCCTTCTTGGTGAGAAAAGCAAAGCAAAAGAGTTTACAGGACCTAATTAACCATACGTTCAAACAACTCGAGGACACCCCTGACGGTAGTGTTTATGATGGTCTCCTTGCTCTTTTTACTGAAACACTTACTTCTACCAAAGAATCATTACATTCCAAATTCGGTACCATCATGGAAACTCTGGTACAAACATGTTTAGTAAGCAACAACAACTCCAGGTGCATTTCTCTGCTTGCAGATGTCATAATGAACATTCTCAGGCATGTTTCTACAGAAAACGCTGCTCAAGTATACGACGTTACATTGTCTAAAATCGATGTACTTCTCGCCGACAAGCATGCTGAATTAAACACTCCTGCTAAAATTTTAATATCACTGGCGTATGCCGAGAGTGGTAGAAAAGTTGCATCGTGGTCCACTTTAATTGGTTGCATTCAAAAGATGATAAAGCACCCTAACTGCAAGTCTCTATCAGCAGAAGATACAGCTCTACTTTTTTGTTGCATACTGCGTAATTCCCCAATCCCTGATTTAACACAGTGCCATAAATCTCTTTTTTCATTCTATATTGAGCACTTTGCTGAAAACTTTCTCGAGTTCTTCAAGTTGGCCCTCACGTTTGAAAAAGACCGCATGTTGTCCTTTGGAGGAGCTAAATTTCTACAAAAATTCATTAGCGTGTCTTGGGCTCTCCAACCAAAAAAAATAGCTCTTTTCTTGTTGCAGTTGGAGAAAGATGAACAGTTGAGGCAGAAACTAGCCATAAAAATTTCTAACGAATTTGTCGAAAGTCAGTTTTCGGAAATAGATTGCACGAATGCTTTACTGAATGAAGAGGCCCTTTTTCAGGTGTACTGGAGACTGCAAATTTTGAGCTACTCCGATTGCGATAACGCAGAGGTGCTTTTGCCTCTTCTAGAAGCCCTTTTACAAAGAGAAGCATTATCCGACTTCGAAAAAGATGTTATAGGAAAATTGTTACAAGTTTTGACTATCAAAAGCGATATCCCCTTCAAAAGAGTGGTAAACCTGGCTATTGTGAAGTTTGGAAACATCCAAAACAGCAGGTTGTGCGTGGAGAGTTTACACAGAATTTTGCGCGAATTCGCGAAGACTCAAGATGCAACGTTATTATCCGTGAGTCCAGTTGTCTTGCTCGGAATCACGAAGAACCTGAGTCTTCCCGATCACAAAATTCGATATGAGTCTCTGAAATTGATTCTCGCAATTTTACAAATACAAGGTAAAGAAGCTCCACAAATCCTGAACGATTGTAAGCTTATCGAGGAAATACCTCGTAATCTACAAACAGCCCGCGATGTTACCATGCGAATTAGAGCGATGGGTTCGGATTTCGCTAAAATAGAGTCTGAAGAGTTTATATGCCATGCCTTTCTCAACTATCTCTTCGGTATTTTAACGGTAAGATTCTCGCCAGCTTGGGAGGGTGTTTATGAGATTTTGCCAAATATCTATGGAAAAGACCAACAACTAACATGGAATCTGTTCTTGAAATTTATCGATGCGTTAGACGAGAAATTTAATCTCGAATATTATGAGCCATCTGGTTTAGAAGCTGAGCGAGACGAGAATTGGTCTGTTAGCATTTCTAGATTGAACGAAGGTCTACAATCTTGTAATAAGGTCTTTGAGTCATACTTCATGATTGATTTTTCGATAATAGAGCTCTCCAAGGAAGACAGGAGCAATTTGAACTACCCTGGATTAATAAGGAACCAAGCATTGAAAGGGCTTCTACTAATCCCACAACTTGCAGAGCGCCACTCAAGAGATATTATTCCGTATTTTTTGAAGACGAACCCCGCTGACGACTTCGTTGACCATTCAGAGGCTGAAGAGGGCGTTCGAACGGCCAGCACTTGGTCTGAATCTGACCGGAAGCTGCTTTTGACATTAGTCGGAAAGTTTAAGAATATCAAGGCTGTTTTCAGGTCAGAAGAGGTGTTCGAGAGGCTTTTGGATTTACTTGGTAGTAGAACCACGGAGGTGCAAAAGCTAGCTCTCGATGGACTATTGGCCTACAGAGACAAGGTAGTGATCAAATATAGGGACAACCTGAAGAACTTACTCGATGACACTGCTTTCAAGGACGAGTGCTTGAAGCTGTTGTCTCAAAGTGAAGAGCAAATAATCGAATCGAATGATGAGTGCGAGTTGATGCCAATAATTTTGAGGATACTCTTCGGCCGCGCACAAACCCCAGTGACTAGTGGTCTGAAAAAAAGTAGGAAAACGGCTGTCATTACCCTTTTGCCTAGCTTAGCCGAAAGATACGTGATTGATTTTCTCAAACTCGCAAGTAATGGCGTGCAGCATGAGAGATTCTATCAGGACGAAGTGGCCTCAGAATCGTCTGAGCAGACCACATTATCGCTTAGAAGAATGGTTGGTTTTGCGACTCTTGGGCAGTCTGCAGTTAATGCTTTAGGATCTCGTTATCCACGCGCTACAGCAACTTTGATAGATCCTGTGCTTTACACAATTTGGGCGTCCAACAGGGTCTCCTCAAATAAAACTGATGAAGAGTTCATGATTAAACAAGCTAACAATGTTAGACAAATCTCTATGAAATTAATGTTGAGCATCTTCTCAACTGTGGGAGGTCTAGTTGAATGGGATGATTGGATTCCTAAGACATATAAACTAATGGTGAGTCCCAGGCTAGAAAAGTTTGAAGATGAAAATCTCCAACAGCCGTCTTCCTTGATGACAATAATATCATTTTGGGCAAGTGATATAAGGTTTTACAAATTCCTTTACTACGACCATTGCTCTGCAGCAGGCGCTCTCATGAAAACACTCGCGAGGCGCAATGCTAAGGAAGCTGTCGTTGGGATGATATTGAGTTTTGCCAATCAAATTATAAAGAACCCAACAGGAGAAAATGAGTACGTTGACCTAGTATCACTGGTGGCATCTTCTTGCTTGAAAACTTTACCGGAATTGCTTGGCATGGTTACAAGTCAAGAGGTCGTAGCGGTCGCAGTTGATTTACTTCTCAACTTGATTGAGGCGGGCTATGTCCATGAAAACGAAACTAAGAAGTACCTTTTGAACTCCTTGGCCGCTATACTCGAAGGAGGTTTGAAGGGAATCCGCGGTACAGAGAAGGTCAAAGTAATGCAGTCTATTGCATCTTTGATCATTGAATACCAGTGCGAGTGGGAAGATATCGATCGACTATACAAATGCTGTTCAAAGCTCTACAGAACTTTTTCCGAAAAAGATTTGAGACTGTCCCTCAATCAAGTGTTTTTGAGTATCGGAACAAGGTTTGAGACTTTCAGCGGCGTTGCTAAACTACTAAGTGAGCTCAATGGGTACTCTTCCAATCGCATGGAAAGCTACAACTTCGAAACTGTCTTACCCGCGTTCAAAGAAATCAATGAAAAAAAGTATCTGTCTTTTACCGAAATAGAATGGCTGCCTATCATTAACAGTTGTCTCTTTTACATTACCGACGAAGAAGAACTGGCGATTAGAACAAATGCTACCTACACGTTACAGAGGCTGGTTGATTATGCAAATTCTAAAGCGTTAGAAGTTGCTAAACCTGCTATTGAACTAATAAGATCAGAATTAGTACCTCAGCTCAAAAACGGATTACGCAACAAGAGCTATGAAATTCAAACAGAGTTCATTTCTATCGTGGCTTACATTGTCACTAATTCAATTCACTACAGTGAGCTAAGTGATATGAAGGTTCTGTTATTCGATGGAGATGAGGAAGCAAATTTTTTCACGAATATCTCCCATATTCAACTACACCGTCGCCAGAGGGCAATCAAAAGGCTTGGTGAGAATGCGGCAAGCTTATCGGACAATAGCATTGCACATTTTCTTATTCCAATGGTTGAGCACTATGTTCATTGCAGTGATGAGAAGTACAGAAATCTTTGCAACGAATCAATATCTACTATGGGGCTTTTAACTCACTATGTTACTTGGAATCAATACAAGGCCTTGATGAGGCGTTTTGTTTCAATGCTCGAGCACAAGCCTCAGTTCTTGAAAGAGACAGTAATCTTAATCGTGCATTGCTCCCGATCACTAGCGGAATCTATGAAGGCTCTGAGACTAGATGACTCCAATACTTCAACTATGAAAAAGCTACCAAAGACCCTCGCAGACCCAGAAACCTTTATTAAAGAAGAAATTTATCCCAAATTTAGCAAGATTTTGAACACAAGAGATGAGCAAACCATAGTAGCCAGAATTCCGCTATGTGAAGCTATGGTCAACTTCATCCTTGGCCTAGATTTTGCGGACAGAGCATCCCTCCTTCCCGGAATCTTGAGTAGCGTGTGTCAAGTCTTGCGTAGTCGCTCTGAGGAGCTTCGCGAGGCTGTCAGGAAAAGCTTAGCCAATGTAATTGTCATTTTAGGGCCGGAATATTTGACGTTCATGTTCAAGGAGCTAAAGGGAGCACTACGGAGAGGCTCTCAAATTCACATTTTGAGTTACACCATTCACTCAATCCTCATGGCGCTCGCGCCAAAACTTACTCATAAAGATTTGGACGCTACCGCACACATGATAGTTGGAGTCATAATGGAGGATGTTTTTGGCACCGCTGGACAAGAAAAGGATGCCGAAGGATACACTTCAAAATTGAAAGAGCTTAAATTCAACAAGAGTTACGACACGGGTGAGATTCTCGCGTCCAATATCTCTTTATCTACCTTTGGATCTCTTCTGCAGCCAATAAAGGCACTACTGTCAGAGAATCTGGGCCTGAAGATCCAGCGGAAGCTCAACGAACTCATGAGAAGGTATGCTCTTGGTCTCAATCACAATGAAGAGAGCTCTTCCACGGATGCTCTAACTTTGTGCTATGAGATCTTTACTCAGTCATCAGAAGACGCCGAGAAGAAAAGGAATAGAGGTTTCAGGGGGCCACGATCAAGAACAGACTCCTTTTTCATCATTAACCTTAATGCCAAAACTGACCGAGTCCAGAATGAACACGCATTCAATAGCGCTATACTCCAAAAATTCTCGCTCGACTTGCTCAGAACCGTACTATCAAGAAATTCAAACCTCCTTGATGCCGCTTACCTTGAAAACTTCGTTCCTCTTTTGCAATGTGCGTTGGACTCGAACGATGAGGGTGTACTGATTAGCTCCATGCGAGTTCTAATTGCTCTTGTGAAATTACAGTTTACCGAAGAGAACGAAGGTGTTTTCAAAAACTGCGCCAGGAAAGTTCTCAATGTTGTGAAGGACTCCCCTTCTACATCAAGTGAGCTTTGCCAGGTCGGTCTAAAATATTTGTCATCTCTGATTCGCTACAAAGATATTCAATTAAAAGACACGGCGTTGAGTTTTATTCTGGAGAGAATCAAGCCAGATCTAAATGAGCCAAACAAACAAGGTCTTGCGTTCAATTTCGTGAAGTCTTTGGTTCTGAAACATATTATCCTGCCCGAGCTTTACGATATCGTTGACACAATTGCAGAGGTCATGGTCACGAATCACTCAAAGGAAATTAGAGACGTCTCCAGAAGCGTTTATTATCAATTTTTAATGGAATACGACCAGAGCAGAGGCAGGCTGGAAAAGCAATTCAAATTTCTTGTTTCGAACCTCGAATATCCATCACAAGATGGTCGTCAATCCGTAATGGAGCTTGTAAACTTGATCGTTAATAAGTCCAGCTCCGATTTGCTGCTGAGACTATCAGGTTCATTCTTTTTGTCTCTATCAAATGTTGCTGCCAATGATAGCGCTCCTCGGTGCCGTGAAATGGGTTCAGCACTTCTTAAGAATTTGCTAGTGAAGTTGGGCAAAGACAATGTCGCCTCCGTTGAAAAATACATAATGGCATGGTTGAAGCAAGACGATCAAGTATTTTCGGAACTTGGTTTAAGAATTTACAAGATTTATATGGCAGCTGTCTCTATGGGAAACAATCCACAATTAGACAACATGGCTATTTCTAAAGCGAAGCGAATCATTTCAGAAAGCACGATGGGGTCAACAGCAGAGTGGAATTTGATTTACACTGCATTAAATGTCTTAGACACTTACACGAATATATCGGAAGAAGCTTTCAAAACTGCAAATAGAAGCATGTGGTCAAGCACAACTGATTGCCTCTTATACCCACATCCTTGGGTCAGATTGATCAGCGTGCGGATGGTCGACAAGTACATTGAAAAGCAGGGTGAACTTGAGACTCCGTTATCCGACTACGAGATCCAAAGCATTGCTTATCGTATTTTCCGCCAACTTGGTGCGCTTTCCGTCTCAGAATCGCTGGCTACCGTTGCGGTGAAAACATTAGTCTCAATATTGAAGAAGTGGATCAAGAACCAAACGACTTTTATATCCAAGGATGAAGAAACTGGTAAATACGAAAGTGCGCTTGATTTTGCACTGGCCCGAATCGGCTCGATACTTAGAGACGAGGAAAACTTTCGGGAAACTTTTGTGTCGAAAAAGGCATGTGTACAGTTATTTGCTCTAATTATCCAAATCATGGATGAATCGCAGGCGAGGTCGAAAGCAGAGAAGATCATATTGCCGCTTTTTATCTACTTAGAAGACGATAGAAGGGTCGCTGATGAGCAAGTTCAAGAGCTGCAACAGATATCATATGAATGCATGGAGCTCTTACAAAGTAAACTCTCCGTTTCCGACTTTAGCATCGCTTACTCCAGAGTTAAGCAAGACGTTACGCGTCGTAGATATGAAAGAAGGGCAAAGCGGGCAACGCTAGCAGTTACTGCACCAGAGGCAGCAGCGAGGAGAAAGTTAAAGAAACATGCCAGGTCAAAGGACAAGAGAAAGCACGAAAAAGATGAAAACGGGTTTTATCGCGCTAAAAACAAAAAGAGGAAATTCTAAATTCAGTAGTAAATAATATACAATTGCCAACTATCAAGTAGTGGGATGGTAAGAAAGCTGGGCTTCAATGCTTTGCTTTATGCTTGCCTTTTTATTGTTTTTAAGCCTCACTGGTGGGTATGTCAGTGGTGGCATCGACATCTGGCTGAGTTCCGTCGGTATCGTCATCTTCGTCAGCTTCCTCCTCTTCGTCGTCGTCATTCTTCTTCGAGGGTTTGGTATTAGCGTTTTTGCTTCTTGCATATGCCTGCATTTCCCTTTGATATCTGTCGCGGTCCTCGCTGTATAAATCGTAATAGGGCCTTCTGCCATTCTCATCGAGACCTTTCCAGGCATCCGTGAGAGCTTTAGAAACGTCATTGGGGCCTGCACTTTGTTTCATGGACTCTTTGTTCATTTCGCAAAAGAGCAAGTAAGCATTTGTAGGTCTCTTCGGCAAATTTGGATCTCTTTCCTTTCCCTTTTTTCTTTTGCTCTTGGATTTGGGTGTGTCCTCTAAAATTTGCGTTCTGAAACTCTCTAATGAAGGCAACGGATCTTCGTAGCACAACTCTGGGTCCTTATCAATTCGACTTTCTAGTCGTTCTAGAAGCGTTCCATATTCCAATCTTAGTCTTTTGACCGCCAACCTGGTTCGCTGTACAGCTAGCGCCAGCACTTGGTTACTCTCCTGGAGCTCCTCTAACGACCTTTTATGATCACTGCTTTCAGACATGTCCGGTTCTTTACGCTGGATTGAGCTGAGCTATCTTCGGTGATTCCAAAATTGTTATGAAATGCTTTGTAGCTTATAAGCTAATTAAGAAAAATAATTGGTGCCAAATGCTCTTTACACAAGTTAATATTAAATAACCTAATCAGAGCTGTTCGACCCCGCAGTGGTGAAGCCCGAACGAATGATACAAGATGGCACAACTAGAGAGAGAGCCATTGCTAACAAGGCCTAATACTGCATCTGATGGGCGCAAAAACACGCAGGATATGGAATCTCATTCTATTCGCGGAGGCTCATCGGGAAGCGGTAAAGTACCGAAAGTTGGCGCTCAGAGGACCTCCCGTACAGCACAAAAACTGAAGCTTCTACCCGAAGAACCTTTCAATAGACAGGGAGACGAGCTTCTTGATGCCACCGATAGGGATGTTTATTCACAGGTGAACAGAATTACAGACACTCCGGCCAGGAGAGACGCAGAAAAGTTGGGAAAGGGCCAAAGACACCTTCTTCCGAGAGTGACTGGTTACTGCACATCTAGCTCATATAATATGAAAGAACTGATAAGATGGCTCAAAGATTGCAAAAAGCTTCACCATACGCATCCCAAGTTATTCGACGAGTGTCTGTTCACTCCTTTTATTTACACAGACTGGAGAGGTGACAAAAGGTTTGCCGATGAGGACGTAATACGACTTGATGACGAAGGCGGTGAGATAAACGTAAGTGACAAACAGCCGGACCTCTTTATATTCGAGTACGGTGTTATCGTAATGTGGGGGTTCACTGAACGCGAAGAGAAAGCATTTTTAAATGACGTTGAGAAGTTTGAGAAAGAAAAGCTGGCTGAAGAAGACGTACAAATCGAGGAGTTCAACTATTATATTACTCAAAGCTACCAACCAAGAATTTATAATGATTTTATCACCTTGAGGGATGGGTCGAACTATATGATAAAATTATCTATATCGCATGCCATTGCACAGAGCGTAAAAATATCACTCTTCGAAGAACTAGTCGACAATACTATTGAGGACACCCAAGATATTCCTCAGCAGATTGCCTCCAGTGGTAAAGTATCTATGAGCAAAGAGGATATCATGAAGAGTATAGGAGAATTATTCATTCTTCGTATTAATATTAATTTGCATGGTTCGGTACTTGATTCACCCGAGATAATGTGGTCTGAGCCTCAACTGGAGCCCATATATTATGCAACCAGGGGATATCTTGAGATTAATCAAAGGGTTGCATTAGTTAACCAAAGGCTCGAAGTAATATCTGATCTTTTGCAAATGCTTAAAGAACAATTAGGGCACTCGCATGAAGAATATCTGGAGTTTATCATCATCGTGTTGGTCGGAGTGGAAGTCCTCGTTTCTTTAATCAATATTGTTGTTGACCTCTTGTCTGATTCTAAGTGAGCTTGAAAACTAAGAACTACTTGTTCGACCCGCAATGAATAACTTTTCTATTTTAATAAACCGCGATTTGATTTGAATACATGGTAGACTAATTAATGTACAAATGATGGAAATAACCTGATATCCAGAAATTTATAATACAAGTGACATCCGTTCTTGAACAGAGGTCACAGACCCCAATTGAAAAATAAGTTTGAAGAAGCACTAAACTTACAATTCCTGAGAGGCCTTACCTGGCTTGGCAGACTTCTTTGGAAGCAAGTTTTGGTGGATGTTTGGCAGAACACCACCTTGAGCAATAGTCACGTTACCCAATAGTTTGTTCAACTCGTCATCGTTTCTGATGGCTAGCTGTAAATGACGGGGAATGATTCTGGTCTTTTTGTTGTCTCTGGCGGCGTTACCAGCCAATTCCAAGATTTCTGCGGCCAAATATTCCAAAACGGCCGTCATGTACACTGGAGCACCAGAACCGACTCTTTGAGCGTAGTTTCCTCTTCTCAAGAGTCTGTGAACTCTACCGACTGGGAAAGTCAAACCGGCCTTTGCCGATCTTGATTGAGAAGCTTTAGCAGCGGAACCAGCTTTACCACCTTTACCACCGGACATTATAATGAGTTGATTATTTGTTGATTATTTGAATATTTGATAGTTAAAGTATCAAGAACAATTCCAAGCTACCAATGATGTCGAAACTCGAAAAATGCTTGCCTTTATATATTCATAGCCCCTCAAAAACACTCTGAATGCCTTTTTCAACGTCGCTAGGCAAGTTTAACTTTTGCTTGGTTTTGGCATTTAGGACTCTATATTGGCCGGCCCGGTTTCTTCACCCCTTCAGCGAAAATCTCATACCGGCCCTATGATTTTGACTGTAGTTGTAAGTAGATCATGCTGGAACGTTTTCCAGACCAGTTTCTTCGCTCTCGTGAGAAATTAAATTGATTAATTGGGCCCTACTAATTTATGAACATATAGTAGTAAACTCTAGAACAGCATGCGGCCAGGAATGTTCGCACTTTGAGAACATTATGATGTTCAAGTTTCGTGTTTTCGCGTTAAAAAAAAAAAAAAAAAAGATGAGTACCGCAAATGCGGCGCGTAATCCTAGTACAGTTGTATGGCAGAGCATTTGCAGATGCAAATTCGAAGCTATATAAAAGGCGGCCAGTTTTCGTTTAGGTATCACTCTAATTAGATGATTAGTGTCTTCTGTACCCAGGTCATTAATTAAGACAATACCACACAACCATCGCCATGTCCCCAAAAGCCGAAAAGAAACCTGCCTCAAAGGCTCCAGCTGAGAAGAAGCCAGCCGCCAAGAAGACTGCCTCTTCTATGGATTCCGGAAAAAAGAGATCCAAGGTGAGAAAGGAGACTTACTCTTCTTACATTTACAAGGTTTTGAAACAAACACACCCTGACACTGGTATTTCTCAAAAATCTATGTCGATTCTAAACTCATTCGTCAACGACATTTTCGAAAGAATTGCCACTGAAGCCTCAAAGCTTGCTGCCTACAACAAGAAATCTACCATTTCTGCCAGAGAAATCCAAACCGCTGTCAGATTGATCTTGCCGGGTGAACTAGCCAAGCACGCTGTCTCTGAAGGTACCAGAGCTGTGACCAAGTACTCTTCCTCCACTCAAGCTTAAATTATTGTCTCTTTCGATAATAAGGCTAATCAAAACGGGTTTTGATTTGTATTAAGTGTAATATTATTTCGGGTTTTTGTATATTAGGTATGTTGCAATCACAATTTCAAACTTAAAAGTGAAAGTGCTCATAAGATGGGCTATAGTTGAATATATATTCGCTTTGGTGAATAAAGATCTAGATTTACTACCTATTTGCTTAGCTTTTCCAAGACCACATCCATCTTGTCCTGAGCAGTTTGGTCTTTATCGCTCCTGGTACCAATTCTAATATCCGTGTGGACTCTGACGTAGCCTAATTCGTGAGCGTACTCGTGCAGTTCGCCAATCAAATTGGTAACTTCATCCCAAGGGCCTTCAATAGTTGTACCGGCACTATGCAAGGTACTCTTCAAATGACTTTCACGGATTCGTTTCTCGATAGCAGCGACAAAGTCAGAAATGCTAGCGGAAGCGGTCCCCAGCTGTGGAATAATAATACTACATTTAGTAAAAGAGTCTAGGGTAGTTTGAATTTCTATTAATGTCTGAACTTACTGGGACCATACAAACGTCGGCCAAGCACGGTATCTTAGCCATTTTTACTTGTGAACCTTATTTGCCGCAAAAGATCGCATCGCTATAGATTAATTTCAACTATATTTTTTAATTTCAAAGCTCAACAAGGAGTTAGCAACTATTCGTTTCACGTGCTCGAATACTGCGATTTACAATCCGTCATCAAACAACTTCAAAGATATTGGCCTTTTGTAGTGAGATCTCGATATCATACCATGGAAAAATGATAATGTCCTGCGAAAGAATGTTCATCTAGAATAATTTCCTATGTCTTAATTCAATTAATGTTTACAATTCTCCAGGACCTTTCCGATCTGAAAAGTATTACTTAGCAAACATAAGCTCGAAATTCGAGTTTAACAAAATCTTGTAATGCTCTTAACTGGCTTACACGACTGTGCCTCATAATCATTAGCAATACAAAACCATTTGAAATATACTAATTCAAAATGAGACCAAAGCACGATAACAGTTACAGATATTATGCTATCTCGGCCATTTTCAGTTCCCTGTAGACTCAAAGTCATGTTCAACCAACCCACCTATTTATGGCTGCAAACCTGAAATAACCCAGATTTGCATACAGACAGCTACACTATCGACCCAGTACGTTGGGACCTAAATGTAAAAACATTTTTGTCACATATAATCTTTACTTAGATACATAAATGTAGTTCGGAAACCTTACACCTCCTAAAATTTGAAATATTTATACTTTGTAATACTATATAAAAAGTTTAAAAGAATAATTTTAAAAATTAAAAAAGATTTTGGCCTAAAAACTACCACCTGATTGATATATATTATATATTTTTTATTTATTTTATTTATCCTTGGTTGATGCCTTGTACTAAAGCGAGCAACCTGACCTTGACAAGTTGTTGGTGTTAGTTCACATTACAACATAAATTCGTTATATAGATTGATTGTAACTTTACATGAGCACTGATGAAGCCGTAATGCTTTTAGTATCATGATAAAGCATATTCCTTCCTCTGATCAGGCTTTAGGTTGCTGAAGAAAGAATCTGGATTGATGCACGATGCAAGCGCTCTTCTCGCGTGTGTATCCATGAACTTTAGACCTAGAATGAAACTAGCATTAACCCATCCGAATCCCTCTGTAGCCACCCCTTTAAAATCTGCACCTTGGTTCCCATATTCAGCCTCTACTCTGTGTGGGTCGGTTCCTTTAGTCACGTCGTATTTCTCAACAACAATTCCATTGTAATCGACAAAGGCTTTCGTCATCAGGAATAGCCACCTGTAGGAGAGGCGTCTAGTCTCACCTAAAAAGCCGTACTTGGAAAGCCCCTCCCACGCTAAAATTTGATGAGGCGCCCAACCAAAGGGATAATCCCATTGTCTTGTTGGACGTTCGATAGATACCTCACCTCTTGACTCTTCTGAACAGGATACCAAACCACCCAGCATTTCGAGTTTGGGTAGTGCCTTTGAGACCATTGCAGCAGCTTGCTCTTTGGTAGCTAAACCAGCCCACAAAGCCCAAAAGGTAGTGGCTGATTCGTACGTCATCCGCTCCTTAAACCGGATGTGGTAATCGTAATAAAAGCCAGTTTCTTTATCCCACAAATACGTATTAATCTTTTCTTTTCTACGTGCAGCGCGCACTGTCCAATAGTTCGTGTCGGTTTTCTCACCTAGTAAATCAGTAAATTCACCGCCATGAAAGTTCTCAACGTGATGCGCTATGTCTACCTCGTACTTGTACAACAAAGCATTTAGATCAATGGTTGCCAGGTGGCCACAAACTCCATCAAATCGATAAGTTGTGTCGTGCCCGGATTCCCTTACACCTCTGTCGTGTAAAAAATATTCATCTAGTTCTGGTTCCACAGCTTCACCGTTATTGTAAAGATCTCTGAACTCGTCAATTGCGATATTGTGCTTGTCGGCAAATGGCTTTAAGACGCTATCGAAATGTCCAGGCTCCGTTTCTGGAGGGATACCCAGCCCGTTAGGATGATAACAAGATAAACCGGTAGTCTTGTCGTACCTAGGAGATGCCATCCATACACTCTTGTATTCCTTGACCGCTGCAGCAAATGCGCGATTCAAAAGCGAGATCGCGTCCGGATTGCTGCTACCGCCCATGTTGTCAAACACTTTGAGCGCCATATCTGTGAGAAATGGCGGTTGAGATCTACAAAGATAGTAGCTCCTATTGGCGTTGAGAACTTTCCCATAGTGTTCAATTTCAAAGATGAAATGTTCAACCATACCGCGGGCAATATCAGTCTTTCTGCAATCTAATAGGCCAAGAGCCATCATATAGGAGTCCCAACCGTACAGCTCGTTGAATCTGCCACCCGGAACAGCGTAAGGGTAACTGAACATAGCTTCTTCACCTGTAGCTGGGTCCATGTGTTTCTCCATTGCCAATGCCAAGAGCCCTGGCCGATCGTTAATAGATTTTACAAATTCCTGGGTGATATCCTTTGGCAAATATTCCACGTCTAGATTCGATGTTGGATTCATTTGAGACGCCTGAATGTAAAATTCATATTGGTCAGGACAATTGTAAGGGATGTAGATGCGAGGGACTTTCGCAGCAGGAGTGTCGATCTTTTCGTCGGCTGCGATCTTTGCCACATTGTTGAGATCAATTCGCCTGGTTAGGGACTTCCAAAATTGAGTTACGATTAACCTCTCAAGCCTGTTAACTGGATTTTCGTTCAATCTGGCTTCGTCCAGAACAACTTGTTTTCTGCCAAAGCTCTTGGCGAGAGTAAGCTCCTGTAAGAGGTTGGAAAGCATGTAAGTACCCCTGATACTTACATTTTTGTACCCGTTTGAGTTGGCCGTTCCGATTCTAATTGTTTTGGGTCCAGTGTCCTCTATGGTAATCTGATAGTTTCGATCGGTGTCTTCACGATTGAGGAGCTGCTCCAAAGTTGCATCGACGTCCTCTATGAAAAACATCCGTCTACCCTTAGAACTCCGATAACTGTCGTCCTCGGAACCGCGCCGTCTCACAGGCAACGAGCTAAAGTCTGATAGCTTGTACTGGGAAGCATTTCCCAGTACACTCATTGTTCTAGTTCTGTTGAAGCCCTTGGCCCTTTTTTTTGTGGGGTCTGTCTCAGGCCCATAATAAATTTCCGCAGTGGAAAATGGGTCTGCAAATTGGTCCAGCGAGTTATTCCTCCGGTGATGACGATGAGCAACTTGCGAATCTTCTGTCATGATGAAAAAACCAAGAAAACCTAGAAACGGACGCTCTCTGATCCACTAATCTCCTAATGCCCGTTATTTTCAATGTAACACTTAAATGCTCATAATTTCCAAAATTACCAAAAATTAGGGTTTCTACAATGTCGTACAGAGGGACATTATTAACATCAGATCGCTTCTTAATACAGTCTAAAATCTATAAAAATTTTAGTACACGCTAATAATTTTGACGAGCTCGAAACCTGATCAAGTAGATCAACAAGACCACAAAACCACCATGTCTGAAGAGTCCAAAGCGCAACCCATGACAGAAACATCTCCCAAGCCACCTACGTCGGCAGTCTTCTCGATGTTCGGAGGTAAAAAGGCCGAGAAGAAGGAGGAAACAACAGAATCTACAGAGGAGACGAAGGACGAAGTTAAAGAGGTCAAAGAGACTAAGAAGGATGAAGAAGAGGCCCCAGAGTCTCCTGATGTGCATTTCGAACCTGTAGTCACACTAGAAAAGGTAGACGTCAAAACCATGGAAGAAAACGAAGAAGCGTTGTTCAAAGTAAGAGCTAAGTTATTCAGATTTGACCCGGAGAACAAAGAATGGAAAGAAAGAGGTACTGGTGACATCAAGTTCTTGCAGAACAAGGAGACCGAGAAGGTCAGACTTTTGATGAGAAGGGACAAAACCTTGAAAGTTTGTGCCAACCATTTCATTTCCCCGGAGTACGTCCTGAAACCTAATGTTGGCTCTGACAGATCATGGGTTTACTCATGCACTGCCGATGTTGCGGAGGGCGGTCCAGAGGCGTTCACCTTCGCCGTTAGATTTGGTAACAAGGAGAACGCTGACAAGTTCAAGGCTGAATTCGAAAAGGCACAGGCTATCAATAAGAAATAAGTAAGGTACACTGGTTCCTAGATATCCGGTTTCCCCCAAAGGCATAATACGTAAACTAATCTATCAAAATCATTGATTTTATATTTTGAAAGTAGCGGATCTATTTGATATTTGAACATAGGCGTAATCAGTCCCTATGAGTTGAATTTCTAGTTGTAGGTTACTTAGTGTTGTTTTTTCTGCTCTAGCGTACTACTTATGGCATCCATTTCTTCTTCGAGGTCTGGCTCCGAAGCTGAGTAACTCTTATGGAAAGCGAACTTAAGAAGAATCCAAGCCATCTGTCGGGACCCAAAGTCTGGCCACAGGCAATCCAAAAATTCTATCACTACGTCCCTTCGGCTTACTTGCCATATCAGAAAGTCACTTAAACGCGTCACACCACTAGTCCTGATTAGTAAATCTACAGGCGGAGATCCCCCTGTGTACAAATGTTTGTCAATTTCATCTTCATTTATGTCTGAGAATTGCAGCTCTCCACGCTGGGTCTTGTCTACTGTTGCTTTTATGCCATAAAGAAGCTCGTCTCGTCCTGTGTAGGGAAAACATATGTTCAAGACAGCCCTCGTATTGTCTTTCGTTATTCTCTCGGCCGTTTCTACTTCTCGCAGGACGTCATCCGGCAACATAGCCCTATCTCCAATAACCCTTATCTTAATGCCAAACTTTTCAGCCATCTCTCCATTTTGAACCACTTGCTTGATACCGCTTCTTGCCAGGTTCATTAATGAGTCAACTTCCGCGGCGCTCCTCTTGAAATTCTCAATCGAAAATGCAAACACAGTCGCAGTACTGACCCCAGCTTCGTAGCACAGTTCGAGTGCCCTACTCATACTGTGAAATCCTGCATTGTGTCCCTCTTTGATCTCAACATGTTTTCGTTTAGCCCAGCGGCGATTGCCATCCATGATCAAACCGATATGTTGTGGTACATTATCTGATGCTCTTAATGCATGGGAGAATATATTCTTGCAGAAATTCAGCACTTGAGAAGAACCGGGGAATGAATTATTCTCCATCATTCGCTGCTTACCCAATGTCTGCTAGTTGGCAAGGTTTGAACTTCTTGGACCTTCAAAAAATTTTGAATATCTAAATTGATGCACACAAGGGAATCTGAAAGGGCGGAACACAATGCTACGTTCTTGCACCATTTGGGCCTACAAAAATGGTTTACCAGGATATGTGCGTTACAAGTCCTCTTTTGCTGCTGCTTTGGAGACCGCAGCTAGGTTAGTAACACCCAAAAGTTTATTGAACAACCCGATTTCGTTAGTTTCCCAAGAAATGAGCACATTGGCTAAAAATATTGTGGCATTGATGGGGTCTGGTCATCCCACCTTAAACAGAGTTACTGGCTACTACTTTGAAGCCGAGGGTAAGAAAGTTCGTCCCATGCTGGTTCTTTTACTTTCTCGAGCCCTTGCCGAAATTCCATTAACGGAGAGGAACAAAATCAAGGTTGACTATTCGGATGTCCCAGAGGACCCCGTTTACTCTAAACCTCCGCAGTCTCTACTATTTCAGCATCCCGCCAGAAACATATCGCCGCTGCATATTCTTCATGGAATAAAGCCCCTAAATCCATTGACAAAAGGGCCAGAGCCCTTGCCCGAGGAATTCGATAAGGAGAGAGGAATTTTACCAAAACAAAGAAGGCTAGCAGAAATTGTTGAAATGATACATACTGCATCCCTTCTTCATGACGACGTCATCGACTACTCTGACAGTCGGAGAGGCCGCGCAAGCGGCAATGTAGCCTTCACCAACAAAATGGCCGTTTTAGCAGGAGACTTTTTACTCGGAAGGGCTACAGTTTCTATATCTAGACTTCGAAATCCTGAAGTTGTGGAGTTGGTTTCCAATAGTATCGCAAATTTAGTTGAGGGTGAGTTTATGCAGCTAAAAAACACTGCAATTGATGATGATGTTACCACCATTTCTAACGGAACGCAAAAAATTCCTCCACCTTCTCAGAAGTTAATGAATACCGTTCATGAATATCGTGTTCCAGTTGAAACTAGCCAGCTTCCGCAGTCCATTGTAGCCACGGCTTTTGAGTACTATCTCCACAAGACATACCTTAAGACAGCCGCTTTGATTTCTAAATCATGTAGAGCAGCCGCTATATTATCGGGTGCCCAAGAATCCGTTGTCGATGAGTGTTACAATTTCGGGAAGAATCTGGGAATCTGTTTCCAGTTGGTGGATGACATGCTAGACTTCACTGTATCCGCGAAAGAACTAGGAAAGCCTGCGGGTGCAGATTTACAGCTCGGAATTGCAACGGCTCCTGTGCTTTACGCTTGGAAAGAGGACTCGTCTCTTGGACCCCTCATTCAACGTAATTTCTCTCAACCAGGCGACGTTGAAAGAGCAGCTGAGGCGGTTGCTACTCACGATGGTGTGATGAAAACACGGGAGCTTGCTCACGAATATAGGGATCGTGCGCTTGCTAATCTTCGTAATGCCCTCCCCGATTCAGATGCCCGCTCCGCCCTGGAATTCTTAACTAACAGCATTCTGACCAGACGTAAATGACAAGATACAAGATACATATTCGACTTGTAAATATGTCTCAATCCAGATAGAACATGATAATTTGACTGACCATGTAGCTCCAGTAGCTCCAGTAGCTCTGATCTTGCGCCAAACAAACGAGGGAGAGCTCAAATTGATGGCATTAGTGAGCCTATACTTACGAAACCTATGTTGATTTGTATATACTAGTCTATAAAATTCTTGAACGATTTGTTACAAGTTGGTTCAGTAGTTTTCATAATTACCTTTGATCGGTTTCCGTAATGGTCAGGTTAAAACTTCATCCCTTCAAGCAGGAGGAAGGAAAGATGCGAATAGCGCAGTTTGGAGGGGCGCCCAAAAGATGAGCCAAACAACGTAGAATCTTATCAATTTGTCGTCACCTTTTAAATCAGCATCTTTAGCAACATTCAATTTGTTCAAACGATCCGCTACATACCACAAATGAAGGGGAATGAATGATGAGACTCGGTTGATGACTTGAGTGTGTGCAAAGAATATTAAGATGATCAAAAAGATTCTAGTCAGTAGAACCAAAGGTTTCAAATTTGAGCAGGGATATTGATGCGAGAAGTAAACAGTAGAGTACCACAGAACTATGATTGTTGGCAAAGCAAAAATAAAGTTTGGAATATTATTTGGTGACCAATAGCGAAGAAAACCCACATTCCAATAATGGCTTTGGATGAAGGCGTAAAAAGACTGGTGACTGAGTGGTAAGTTCAAAATTTGTTTGAGACACCATGCGCCCCTTTCAGGGCAGAAGGTCTGGTAAGGCTCGTAATATTGATGGTGAACGAAAAAACAAAACATGCAGAAGCCACTAATGAATGGCATAAAAAATGCTTTGCCAAAGCTCTTGGTCTTCAGCAGTTTAACCAGATCGTTCACGTAATACAACCCCAGCAAAATGCAATTAGGCCTATTGATAAAGGCCAACGTGAAACAAAAAGTAGACGCCAGAGAATATAGAGGCCACTTGATCCATGATACGCTCAAATTTCCGTAAGCATCATAGAATATAGCATACTCACGAAATAACATCCCAAGAAACGCCAGAAATGCAGAGAGAGGCTCAGAATAAACACTCAAGAAATAACCAGATGCACTGCTGCTGATGAAGAGTATGGCGGTCTTCTGAGCCAAATGATGACGATGATGCGACTTAAGAGCGTTTGCTTCAAAACTTTTGACGGTCAACAAATAGAGGAGTAACGTGGCACATAGAAGAAGACAGTTTTCAAGAACGACGGCTGTCTTTAGAACATGGTAGAAGTCTAGGTTACCGCGACAAGCAACCATTATGAAGCGAGACCACAATTGAGAGAACGCATGTTCGTGCTCAAACTCTGATACTCCACCCCTGATAGCAGTTTTGAGAAAGAATACAGCGTCCCACGATACTATTTTATTCCAGAAACGCGCATTCCACCAAGATGCAATGTCATCCTTTTTCGCCAATTGTTCTAGAAACAATCGCGTTGAAGTATCAAACTGTATTACAGGTGTTGAGAATACTATCAAAAACTGTAAAGCTTTGACAACAACAAAAAACCCGGCTAGTTGGCCCACTTTCATTGTGCATTATTCAAATTTGAATGACCCGCGATGAGAATTATTAAATTAGATATTTTTAAGGTTCATCCTTGTCAACGAGCAACTAAATTAATTAGAAAGGTAAGATAAAAGGATCTTTCACGTCATCTTGAACATTGAAGTTGCATACTCACCGGAAGTAAGAGCCGTTTTCTTTTGAAGATGTACATAAGTGGGCCAACTCACACTGTGAACATCATGCCAGCTACGGGTGCCAGGTTGCTTCCCCGGGCCTCTGACAGCACATCTACAGACAACGACTACTGCTATGGGTTAAGTTGTGGAAATGAGTGGGTATGGGCTCGCTGGATTCTCTTCGTCTTCTTTCTGCTTGCCATAGCCGCACTCGCTCTAACTGCTGTCAAGGTGAACGGAAAACGACTTAGACTGGGTCAGCGGCCTATCGTAGGCACTAGTTGGTTTACGCCTCCCACGTATCGCCAGTCTGAAAGACAATATCGGAGTACTACGCAAGACTATGTGCCGGTTTATACAGAGACCGCGAATGCAAATGACATGGGCTATTACGATAATCAGGGCATCTTCCATCTGAACAGCAAAGCCGAGAATATGGACCCTCCACCCCCGCTAGACTCTCGGGAAATCAGTGTAAATCCTCAAGCGCCGGCCGCAGCTATTACCAGAGATAATGAGAGTGTCCGAAGCCACTCTATTGATTTTTCTCGGGATTTCCACCAGTACTATCGTGGCACAGCGGCCGGACAAAGCGATACAGGATTCGATGGGAACTCCAGTACGACACCTCCTCAAGGTGTGCCGGACCCTAATTTCACGTTTTCTGAAATGCAGCAGGTACCCGAGAGACCGCAAAAAGCTTCTCAACATCGCACCTGATAGGCACTTAATATAGTCTTGAAGGGGTCTTTGGGACAGCGGCAGAATATAGCCGTGCCAATACTAGCTTTCTCATATTGAGATGATTAATACAACTTTGGCGGATAAAACTCTCTTCTTACGCCCAACACATATTCGCTTGGTGGTGGCTGTGATAGGTTGAGGATTCTGAGCATAACACAAGCTATCTATCTATACTAAAGTGCCGGCTTCATTGAGCATCGGTGCAGTGCACTGTTTGTGGTGCTTCTGGAGCTCTTCTCTAAACGAATCGACTATGGCTTGCTCCTTTTATCCAGTTGATTACTGCTCCCTTATAGTTAGCGACTGGGATTCGTTTTGAATTCTAATAGTTCGAGACCCATCATTTACTTGGAATCATTTGCATTTCCTCTGGTAAGTCTCTAGGGTCGTGTTAGGCGCAGTAACTAAGACCGCCATGTTTGGCACTATTCCCAATCTCACGTGTGTTTTTCATTAACTAGTTCACATTTTTTTTTACTATATAAATGGATGGCAAGCTATCTGCTGGAAATTCTCTCGCGGGACTCAACCTTACGACTTTGTAAACAGCTCAATTGAATAGTTCAAAATGGTTTACTCCGCCAGACAAATCGGTGCTAAGAACACCCTAGACTACAAAGTTTTTATCGAGGACAATGGCAAGCCTGTCTCGTCCTTCCACGACATTCCTCTGTACGCAGATGAAGCTAATGAAATCTTCAACATGGTAGTTGAAATCCCACGTTGGACCAATGCCAAGTTGGAAATCAGCAAGGAAGAAACCTTGAACCCTATTATCCAAGACACCAAGAAGGGAAAGCTAAGATTCGTCAGAAACTGTTTCCCACACCACGGTTATATTCACAATTACGGTGCTTTCCCTCAAACTTGGGAAGACCCCAACTCTGTGCACCCAGAAACAAAAGCTGCCGGTGACAATGATCCTTTGGACGTGTTGGAGATCGGTGAAACCATTGGCTACACTGGCCAAGTTAAGCAAGTTAAGGTCTTGGGTGTCATGGCCCTATTGGACGAAGGGGAAACCGATTGGAAGATCATCGTTATCGACGTCAACGACCCATTGGCCGGTAAATTGAACGACATTGAAGATGTTGAGAAGTACTTCCCAGGTCTTTTGAGAGCCACAAACGAGTGGTTCAGAATTTACAAAATCCCTGATGGAAAGCCAGAAAACCAGTTTGCCTTCTCTGGTGAAGCTAAGAACAAGAAGTATGCTTTGGATGTGATCAGAGAATGCAGCGAAGCCTGGAAAAACTTGATCAAAGGCAAAGCCGACTCCAAAGATATCGAATTGACGAACACTACTTTGTCGGGCACCTCGACCTACTCGCCATCTGCTGGCAATTCAGTTGCTGCCAATGAAGTTAAAGAAGATGCTCCAATTGACAAGTCTGTTGACAAATGGTTTTTCATTTCTGGTTCTGCTTAAACTAGGAGGGTAAGCGTAGTTTTATAGGGATTACTTATTCTCGATTACCTGTATACCTTAACCTTTAATGAACAAAATGCTTGGTGCCAACCAGCGCCGCTCTCAAGTCTTTCAGAATATATACGTACTTAAGATGCAAACGCTTCTCGAAGAAAGGTTTTTATTTTATCAGAATCTTTTACACCATCTGTCTCAACTCCTCCGCTAACATCGACGCCTCGTACTCCAGGTAACTGCGATGCCAATTTTACGTTTTCTGGGGTGAGACCTCCTGCCAGTATGAATTCGGCCCCGCATTTTTGACTCCATTCGGAGATAGAATTCCAGTCTAATTTTTCACCTGTTCCACCTGCCTCAGAATCAAATAAGGGCACACAGCCAGGATCTTCCAATTGACACATTGCTAGCACCTGCGAGCAATCTTCTGGGAAAAGGAACCTTTTGATCAGACAGGTGTCACCGAGCTTCAACTTGTACTGTCTCCAATCCTCACTTCCATGTAGCTGAATAATATCTAGCCCATATTTATGTTGCAACCTCTCAACGTCCTCGATATTTTGATTACGGAAAACTCCCACTAAAAAAGGCCCTGGTAAACCGTTGCTCTGTCTATGCTCACGAGCCTTCTTGACTCTACGAGATATTTCCCTAGCTACCTCTGCGTCTACTGTTCGCTGTCTGTTGGGTACACAAATAACCCCAAGCAAGTCGGCACCGGCATCGATGGCATCCTGAGCTGCGTCAACACTTTGGATACCGCAAATCTTTTTTACAGATTGAAATGCTTCAAAACAGTTCATGAGCTGTATTTTTGTTAGTCTTCAGGTGTCTGGCAAATATTGTTCTTGAAATGTCAGGAATTTTTATTGAAATTTCAGGCTAGAAAGGTGAATTAACACGCTTGCCCTACAAACGATCCATAAGAAAATATCGACTAGATTCGTCTATAGATAGAACGAAGCACTGTTTTGCACTAATTTAACTTTCCACGAGTCATAATGACACCGAGAACGAACGTGAAAAGTATCTGGAGTATAAAACTGCAGCGCAAGCATAAATAGACTTCGTACGAGCCTAATAGCTTTCGTTGTTCAAACACCGCCAGAACCGTTCTTGGAACTTGACAGTAGTCAGAATTGTGACGTATCGCCCGTCTTATCTATCGTATCTTGTTCAGATAAGGTCTCCCTTGATGAGTTGGCTTTCCTTTCCCAGCCTGACATCCGGAAAAATGCAACGATGCTTGCTAAAGTATGGAGCATTATCAATGGCGAACTTGGCCAAAAATGTGTGTTTCATCACGCTACGATCAGCGGTATCATGGACGACTCTAGATCGTCACCCACCAAAAAATGAAATGCTTACTACGCATCAAGTCAATTCAAAGGTGACAGAAAGAAACACACATTTCCTCAGAAGGCGGCGATGACGATGAGCGCCAACATCTCTTGTAATTCGTTTCTAAAACATTCATTGAATAAAACCTATTATACAACTTTAACCAAATGACGGATGGGTCAATTATTTATCACGACCCCGTCATGTCTCGCTATAAAACCCGAAGATAACGACAGTAAATAGACCAAAAGAACCCTAAACACTCCTTTAACCAATGGTTTAGGATCTTTCGCCTCTCAATCTTCTAGCCAATTTGATGTCCTTCTTTTGAATGGTCACACGCTTGGCGTGGATGGCAGCCAAGTTAGTGTCTTCGAATAGCGAAACTAGGTAAGCTTCGACAGATTCTTGCAAGGCACCGATGGCGGAAGATTGGAATCTCAAGTCGGTTTTGAAGTCTTGTGCGATTTCACGCACTAATCTTTGGAAAGGCAACTTTCTGATCAAAAGCTCAGTGGATTTTTGGAATCTTCTGATTTCTCTTAGGGCAACGGTACCAGGCTTATATCTGTGAGGCTTCTTGACACCACCGGTAGATGGCGCAGACTTTCTGGCAGCCTTGGAGGCCAATTGCTTTCTTGGTGCTTTACCACCAGTAGACTTTCTTGCTGTTTGCTTAGTTCTAGCCATTCTTGTGTGTGTTGATGTTAGACTGATTACTAGTGATATGTAAAGGATAAGAAAAATATTTACCTCATAATTCGAAAACCATCCTCTTTATATAAAAAATTTTCCCGTAGCCTTCTTTTTGCGGTCAAGTCAGCCAATTTACTCCCTGAGCGCCAACCGTCATACTAAGATCGTGTTTCAACTATGGTCCAAAATACAATCGTATTCGAAAAAAGTTGTTTTGCGCGTAAAAATGGGACCGTATAGTGCGCGAACATTCTGGTCCGCCGGGTAACCAGTTTATATTACTGTTTTCACGTAAAGCGGACCAGTTTGTTCGCGCGGTTATGGCTACTGTCATCTTCCGGCTGCGTAGCTTGTGGTCTGCATTAATTAGACCGTGAAATAATTTTGCCGTATGTAGAGGGCCGGACTGGGATGTTCGCGCATGAGAGGCGAAAAAAGCAGGCCGCTAAACCACCACCAAATAAAGACGACAGTTGGGCTAGTCAGGGGCAATTGGTCGTGAGGTAAAACATGTACCGTTACAATTGTTTGGAATGTATATAAGTAGAGAAGCAAATTCGGAGTGAGAAACTTTTCGATTGAGTTATATTCAAAAGCCAAGAATATTCATATTCAACAACACACACTCACACACACATATAATCAATAATGTCCGGCAGAGGTAAAGGTGGTAAAGGTCTAGGTAAAGGTGGTGCCAAGCGTCACAGAAAGATTCTTAGAGACAACATTCAAGGTATCACTAAGCCTGCTATCAGAAGACTTGCCAGAAGAGGTGGTGTCAAGCGTATCTCCGGGTTAATCTACGAGGAAGTCAGAGCTGTGCTCAAATCCTTCTTGGAATCCGTCATCAGAGATGCTGTCACATACACTGAACACGCCAAGAGAAAGACTGTTACCTCGCTAGACGTTGTCTACGCTTTGAAGAGACAAGGAAGAACCTTGTACGGTTTCGGTGGTTAAAATTGTTGTATCTAATTATGATATAGTCTGTACATTAATAAGATGACTGGTTCGGGAATATAAAGAAAAGGTTTTACCATGCAAATTTGGACTGGAAGAGGTTCGGTTATGTTTAAGATGCGGTAGTGCAATCTGCGTACTCGTCTAAATCACAAATAAGAGCAGCTACATGTTGCGAATCGACTTTGAGTCCCACCGTAAGCCGTTTTGAGAGTTCAGAGGACACGGGATTTCTTTGTAACTACTTGCTATACGCGACTGATTAGTTTCTCCTTTCTGTTTATCCAACACTAGGATGTTTCAGGAGTCAAGGTTAACGTGTAGCGAAAATCAAGTAATTCTTAATAAACATAAATAAACATCGTTCAAGATGGACAAGAATATTAATCGTGTTTCATCACACTTGTAGTATTTAATAACGGAGGAAGAGCGCGCTAGTCGGAATATGCCAGATGACAAGCCTGCAGTTTTAAATACTTCGTTTCCGCGTGCGCAATGTCACAGCAGTTACCGGCGGCGGGTTCGTTCTTGTAACAAGAGGAGTTAAGAAGGATATGCTTCCAGTGGCTGTGAGAAAAGCTTAAACGTGTTAACAGGGGCACTAATTGAGGAGGATCGATAAAACAAAGTCGAACGACAGTTTAGTACACAATGACATCGTTAAAATGCGGTTGTAGGGGAAGCTCGCCTGCATAATCAAATATTCCATTACTTCAACCAGATTAGCTTCCATGAGAAAGGGGTGAGGCTAGTCCAGAAAAAACGTAGCGTAGCGTAATTTAAAGGCTGCAGGTGGGGCCTAATGCGAGTAGTTAAATCGCCACCAATAAAGGTAGGCACTTTTCTGGGTGACATAGATTCATCCACTGGTGCGTTCGCGTGCCCAAATCAAAGTCCCGTCTACCAATAAAGCGAGAGAGCCACTACATCATCTCTAGAGCTGGGAAGCCTTTTTCTTAGCGATTTTACAGTGGCTGTTCTGGTGGTCACAAGACAACAGGGGCGACGCAAACGTACAAAACGACACATCTCGTGCGCTGCACTTTGAAGAGGCAGATAGTGCGAACAGCTATGGACCATGTTGCTGCCCGAAATGGTCCATCGCTACCCGAAGTTTGCCAACATCCCAACAATACGTCAATCTCTGCAGACAGAGTAGAAAGGGAAACGGGAAATTTGCCGTATATCACTTTTCCCGGACCGCATAGCTTCGCGAATCAGGCAAATTGTTTCCGTCCTCATTGCGCGCCTACTACCGCAAACTTGGAGCTCTAAATCTCTCCGGTCTCTCTTAGTTCGTTGAAATCAACACCGTATCGTGCGATCATGATGCCCTCTTGGAAAAGAAACTATCATGGCCTACCTATAACATAGTCACTCTCAACGAAGAAACTGTGATCTCATGGGTACTTACTGGAGTAGAAAATGACGACCCAAAAAGGCATCATATTTAATAAGTACGGTAGCTTATCTTGCCACCAGTGAAGAGTGGAACTAGAGGCAAACAAGAGCTATTTACGCACGATCGGCGTCATTGAAGTATTTTGAAGCTACTGAAACGTTCTGACACGACCACAAATAGAGCTGTGGACTTTGGAAACTAGCTGAACTCTCTTCAAAAGTAGCGCCTACAAAGCGAAAGGGAACTTGGGAGTTCGATTTCTGCTAGTTCCGTCAGACTAAAAGCCGATACGGGTCATCATAGGACTTACTAAGACCATGAATATGGACCATACGCGGACGCAAACTAATACGCCGCCGGCAGAGACCGTGGCGCTGCACCAGGACCCCAGGAGGGGATCCAGAGGCCCACCAGAACCGAAGTCCAGCGGGAAGGTTACGGGCAGCCAGACAGCGACCAGCTCTGCTAGCCAGGCTGCCTCAGCATCTGCAACTGCTGCCGCTGTTGTAGGCCCCCAGGAAAGTTCCAAACGGCTGGGGTGCGATTATGTTGGGGACGTGAGAGGTTCGTCGGACCACGGCTCCATAACGCCTTCTCAGCAACCGGAACTTGACGACACCAGCTCGCAGCGGTCCGGAGATGAGTCCGGCTCGTCCTCCTCACAGATACAGCACACAACACACACAGATGCCGACCAAATCGCCCATCATCAGCACCCCCATCCACAATCATTTGTATCGTCGCATGTGTTTCTCCAGTCTGGTAATAGCGTCGTTTTCAAGCCATTCGATCACAAAACAGGTCGCTTTTTGGCCTCTGCTGGTAAGGGAAATCCTCCTACAACCTCGTTGGAACCACAGTCGCATGCAAGGGCCGATGAGGATAATTCCACAACCTGCCATGAGGTCGACTTGAGATCCTTGGCGACATTCAAAGCCACAGCTGTTAAGAACAACAAGTTCAGGTCACATTCAGTACCTTCGATCTTACACTCATCTCTTCGAAGTATAGGACTAGCGACTAATTGTGGGTTTTTCAACGCTCAACAGCAGCAACAACAACAACAACAACAACGACAACAACAGCAACAGCAACAGCAACAGCAACAACAACAACAACAACAACAATCACAGCAGCAACAACAACCACAACTACATCAACAACAATTTCAACAACAACAATCAGCCATACATATGAACCGTGGCATAAAAAAGAAAAAACAAAGTAAGCACTCCGCATCCTTGCGTCATGCACTTTTAATGAATCAAAGAATACAGTCTTCAAATAACAACGTTAGTATTGGAGATAGAATCAAGTATATGGAGTCATACCCAGGCCCTACTCCATTACCACCGATCAATCTGCAATGCTTGAAAGAAATAGATCTCCAGGAAATCGTGAAGAACCCTCAATTGAGACACGACATAATATTCGATCCATTATTGCAATTCAGACCCAATTTGGACGGTGAGAGAGGTCTCAAGAAGAAGCAGGTATCAGATAAGTATTGGTACGATGTCGAAAATGAACTCTTTGTTTATAAGTCAAAACCAGAAGCATTTCGGTTCGATCAGACAAGGCTCGTTCCTCTTTTCAACAGTTTGAAAGAAGTTTTGGTGACAATTGTACCTCAGAAAGAAGTCCATACAGTCCAAAACATTTTGGATACCGAACTATTAGTACAAGAACTTTTAAAAGGGTCGCTCATGATGTCAAGTTTCTCGGACTGGCTGGCTCAACTGTTTAAACATCATTGTGCACCAATGAGAGATCCATGGGTGGACAAAATGAGTTTAAAGTTCAAGGAGTCGGAAGACGAGAAATCTATATCTAAGCTTGTTGAGGGTCTTCGACTAGTTTTTCAAATTTTGGAAGCGATGAAACTTGATATCGCTAATCACCAGATAAGAATTCTAAGGCCTGCATTATTGAGCAATGCTGTTGAATTTGAAAAACAGTATTTTCAATCCTTGATGACTTCCAATAGAGTGGATTTGAAGTCGTCTTTCAAGTGGTTCAGTAATAAATGCATTGATTATCAAAACTCAATGGCAACACCAAGCGATCGTCTTAAGGCTTCAGAGGTGTATCGATTGTGCATCAGAAGTATAATCAGTCTTTTATCGTGCCGGAAAATGGTCCGCGAGTATCCCACCTCGTTGTCTTTTGATCACGCCAGACTAATTTTACTAAGGGCAGACATCAGGCAAATTGTATGCCTTCTGGTTTGCCGGCTACTTTTCAAGCAGTTGGTTGCTAATGATACCTCGATGGACAAGTCGACGAAGGATCACATAACTAATTCCTATACCAACAAAAAATTGAAAGATGAAATTGTTAGCATTATAACGGATGAGCACGGTAACTGCAGGTGGACCAAGAACACAATGTCAATTGCCATTCATTTCTGCAAAACGATTACGGAGCTAAAGCAAGACTTTTTGTTGCAGAGAAATTTGGGTGACGTTACCTTAGCTCAATCTACTACGAACGCACATCCTATCACTCAAACTCCTCTTTTAAACAATGCGCAAATTGATTTTGCCAAATCGTGGTTGTCTAAGCAAACACAGCCTTTGAGTGAGGTTTATGGCGTTCTAGAGGCCCGTGTGCTAAAACAGTTGGAGAACAGCATATTCACACGCTCCTGTTGTACTCAGGATGGTACTATCAAACAAGATTTTGTTCACCTCTGTAGCACCATGACTTCAAATGGAACTGCCGCCTCAAACGCGTCATCACTGGCGAACAACAGTGTTCAACTCAAATCTCTAAGTTCCTCTGCACAATTTAAAGACGCTTATGCCGCTGAGCAGCAGGCGAGCTCAGCACAGCGGTCGTCCGGTGTAGCATCTGTGGATATGGAAGAGTTTGAAAGCCTGTTTTGCCATTTATATACTTTAGTGAATTTCCACTGGTCGGTTTTTGGGTGTCTCTACATGGATTATTTGGGGGACAAAATGGAAGAAATTCCATGACAAGACATTTTAAATAAATAGCATCTAATATTAGACTTTGTTACTGAATATTACCACTTGCCAAAGTTCGATTGAACTCTACGTCCCTATCTACTTACAGGCGATCCGATACCCTCGCACGATAAGTGAACCGTTTTTTGACATCGAGACAAGATCAAATAAAGTGCACTGCATCAAATTCAAGTTGCCCCATATTGGCCTGACCGACGCGCATCTTTGGTTGTATACTGTTAACTCAAACCAAAGAGCGCATAGCTAATATTGAACTGTTCCCAAAGCAGGGCGCACTGTTATACGAGAACTTCAAACTACCGAGGAGACAGAAATAAAGACGAAAAACCTACAAATCAAACCGTTTGACACCAGTCAACCGTGACGCTAATCAATTCTGGCTTGCTTCACTCATGAGCTTTCCGACCAAGAAGCTCTCGCCGCTCGATGGGTTACGAAATAAATCTGAAATTCGTGGCCAAAATTCTGCTCGAAAGTCGGATATCTTAGTTTTACGAGAACGAAATGATAGCATAGTGTCATTTGAATCCATCAAGACTACTGAAAGACTGTTGGATCGCTTGGAATTGAGTGCAGATGACGAAAGGCTTCTACAGCAAGCACTCAAAGAAGAAGAAGAAGCTCGAAGACAGGGCTACCGAAACACACGAGAAAAACGCGTAGTTTGTGTACCGGCATCAAGCTTTCCATCGCTACGCAAAGCAAGTGGCTCTAGTAACCACATAAACTTGAACGATTGCAAGCCTTTCATGAACATCATTAATGAGCTATCAGAAAAGGAGAAGATCAAATTATCCCAAAAGAAGGAGGTAGAGCTTCATTTACCTAAGGCCAGATACTCCTACCTTGTGGAAGAGGGCAGCGATGAGGAAGGGAATGGAGTTTTAGAGAAGGATTTATGTTCCGATGGCCGCGCTGTCAATTTTGAGAAATTTCGAAAGCAGAATCTTACAGGAACCTCAGCGGTAAGACCTCCACTACAGAAGAAGCCAGTAAGCGAATCGACTAATAAGATATATCAACATAAACCAGTTATGAAAAATGCATCCTATAGTTCTATGGAGGTCCCCTACGAGAGCACATCATCTATTGAGACTAAATATCTCGTCAAGCCCAACACAATGTCTTCGACTGAGAGCGATGTTTCCAGAGACAGTGATTACAAAAACACAATTGCTGAGAAGTCCCCGAAATGGAAATTTTCTTCTCCGCGGAAATCGACCTCCGCTAGCAGTCTCAGTCAAGAATCCCGGTCGCCCACTAAACTTTCAACAAACGGTAACGTCAAAGAACATAAAAAGAAGTCATCATTTTCCTTCAAAAACTTATTCAAATCTCCCAAAGTTGAGAACTTGAAGCCGGTCATCACAGATGTCAAGCCCACTGGGTCAACTGCTCCCACCACCCCTTCTGCCGTTAAATTCAAGTTTCCACCTTTGCATTTGGATGATATTGGAACTCAGAAATTTTATTCCAACGCGCCAGCCACTGCATCTTCCGATAATGCTCCTGATCAATTAAAGGTGAGGGCGACCCAGTCGGAACACACACGGGCTTCCTCTGATACTAATGTTTATTTCAGTCGTAAAGACGATGTTACAGGAGGCAAAAACATTAGATCAGACATGGCTCGTGCTAAGAATTCGCAACAGAAGTACGAGCTAACCCGACCTAGAACACACGAAGCTGCGCGACCTTTCTCTCAAGGTAAAGCACTAACTCCTGAAGCCAGGGTACGAGTTGCTATAGACTTGAGAAATCAAGGAAGTTTAAAGGAGTCTGCTGAGCATCTGAAAGTGCTGTGCGATCTGAAAAACCTTACTGGTTATCTTCTCTTTGGTCTCGCACTTAGATACGGATCTGGCGTCGATAGAGATTACCTGGAATCTTTCAGACATCTCAAAATGGCTGCTGAAGTGCATTCAGAAGAGGCAGAGCTGTTCAAGCCCGACGTTGACCCATTTAAGCTCGACAAAGTTCCGCATGTTCCGCCTGAACCTCAGGCGCCAGCGCTGTACGAATGCGGCATCTCATATCTTAAAGGATACGGGGTTAATAAGGTGGACGAGGTAAAGGGTCTCAAATATCTCGAGAAGGCCGCATCTTTGGGCCATCTCGATTCTATGTGCCTCAGCGGTACCATATGGTCCAAAAGTTCCAAAATTCGCAGGAAAAACAAAGCAAGAGCAGCAGCCTGGTTTCGGCTTGCCGATAGACGAGGTGCCGACCTCATAGGTGCCGACTGGATATACAAAGATAAATACCAAAGTCGAAGCGTCGACAGTTTGTAATAATTATATTTTCTGCATTTCATCCCAAATTTAATGTTGCAAAAACTGTGTTTGACGGAAGACAAAGGTGACCGCCTAAGGATGATTTATATCCCACTCTTCTTAGCTTGACGGATACGGTATGGCGCCGAGAAGTTTCTAAATCGATTAAGCCCGAATCGTAGGTGACACTAAAAGATATTTTTTTTGTTAGGTAGGCAGACACTCGTTCTGTAGTGAATGAAAGAGAAAGGATTTCTTCAAATTGCATTCAGTGGACTTCAATCACTCAGTATTGAGAGCCTTAAAGAACTACCTCAGCTATTCCATTTTTTCCATCATCGGTCCGCAACATTCTCATGAAGTTGCAATACAATATGAAGAATAAGCTGAGCAGTCTCATTCCATTTATCTGTCCAGTTCTAAGAGAATAAATTTGAGATTGTTCGTACATATGTATTGCGGTAACTCGTATCTGTTACATTGATCAGCCGCCTGTATTGAGGGTGGGACAGAATCGCCATTTACATATATGTGCGTAAAGAGAGTGCTTGCCGAATAAATTAAATTAGTTTTAGTAGAAATTGGGAATATTACAAATGCAAGTAAAGACAAACTGTGCTCGAACTAAAGGCATACTCGGTCTGCGACGGAAAATAATATTCGCTTAAACAGCCTAGCAATTAAAAAAGGCCATCGAGAAAACTTAAGTTTGAATGTAACAATAACATCTTCGAGTAGAGGGTTAAGAGCTTGAAATTGAGTAAAAGAGAGGATACGTGGGCACCGCATAAATTACCACCATCAGCCATTACAGCTAGATAGTGTCATAAATATTACCCGGATCTCGTGATAATTATTTTGAGTTAAATACTTCCTGCGGAAACGTAACCACGCGACAGAAACTCGTATCGTGTATTATTTTATGTTGCACGGGGTGCTATCGACCAGTTGATATAAGGCCGAAGAGTGTCAGCAAAGGCTCAGGAACCTCAGATAATAGGCAAACGGAAGAGTGAGCTACTCAAAGCTCGCCAACGAAAAACATGAAAGTATGGAGACTGCTATTGTAGGCAACGCGCTCGGGGAACTTAATTTAGGGCCAACTGAACGCGAGTCACTTCATCTAATTTACTGCTTCATTTTACCCTTACTAACAACCATGGAACAGTTCATCGATGAGTTAGACGTGGAGCTCGTAAACCAAACGCTCAACTTCGAGACCAGCGATTGCAAAGTGAATGGAGGCTGCGACATATTTACTACGAAACCCGTGGCTTCCGACAAAAAACTGTACAAGACTATAGACAGGCATCTTGACTCACTATTGGTCGAGAATGAGGGCTTCAACAGTGCGGTACAACAGCAAATAGCGCTGGAAAACCCGGGAAGCGTTTCCTCGTCCCCTCGAGACCAGAAAAGCGATGCCCACCATTTGTACAGTACTCGGGGAGACTCTGGTTCTCCTTCGTCCTTTTGGGAGCAGAAGAGAAGGATTTCCGTGAGCGACAGCAGCAATGGAAGCGGCGCCAATGGGTCGTCCCTCAAAACGCACAAACTAAATGACCAAAATCTAAAGGATTTGGTAAACTCCGAATCTGGCTATATGAGTTCTTCTTCCACGGAGTCGCATTCGCGCCCAAGCGTAGGAGTCAGAAGAACAAGCAGCTCTGGTAGCTTAGCCTTTGGTTCTGGTATCCAACGGCGGAGATCCTCGGCACACAAGGAAAGTGTAAATATTGGGCCTTTTGGTCCGATAAACGAAACCGCAAGTAGAAGGGCTTTCGCGTACCTAATTGCTATTTTGAATGCTTCATATCCTGATTATGATTTCGCTTCGTTGGAGCCTACGGATTTCGTGAAGAGCTCCATGAAGTCCCTTATCTCCAAATTTGAAAACTCGCTGATATCTTTCGGAAAGCAACCTCAAGAGTGGATATGGGAGACGATTAATTCACACATGGATGTCTCAGATTGCGCGATTTATCAATACAAGCCATCGAAATCGTTCCTGGATGATGAGCCTGGTCATCTGTGGAGTTTAATGTGGTTTCTGTTTAATAAAAAGAGGAAAAGGGTTGCGTATTTATACTTGAATGTGTTCAGATTAAAGTCCGGTCCTTTAGCTGATAACTTATCCCCATTAGGTCTTGCCGACGAAGACGAGGACGACCACGAGAAGGAAAGCTCAAGACGCAAGCCAAAGAGGAAATCAACAATTGACCATGAATCAAACACTTTCGAAGGTGAGTATGACCTCACTTGTGCATCAAATGATGAAAACGCCATCGAAGATGATGATGAGTCCACGGAAAACTGAACCCAAGGGCTCTTACTTTTCAGCCAATTGTGGCTCGATCTGTGTCACTGGTCCTGATGTTTTTGATATTGCCATTCCGGGGCAGAAGATGGACGCTCTTGAGAGAAGTGCTGGATCATATAATTCAATAGGCAACCAAGTGTTGTAGCATAAGTAGCCCGTCTTCCATTTTTTCGATGAAATAGTTGTATTATTAAGTTATTATTATTAGTGTTATTTCAATCAGCCCAGATATTCTTTTGGTTTTACTTGAGCTCGCTCAATACTTTCTACCCCGTTGGCACTAATCATAAATTCCAACTCTTGTCTCTTCGTGAATTCGGAGAAGACTACCTGTAGCGTACGTCGAGGTTGCCAAAAACTATTCGTGTCTAGGACTCTATTCAAATCGAAGTCCTTTTCTTTGATCATAGGAGATGCTTTGTAGCTTTTTGCGAGTAAAATTCTTGCACCAACATGATTGGCCCACGATAATCCAAGATTCGGTACTTTTGTATCAACTTTACGTTTCCGGCCATAGCAGGGTGTAACATGCGTTGAAGTGCAGTAATTTTGGGATTGTTGCTTAGGTCCCGTCCTTACAGACTGCGATGAGTTATTTGCTGAAAGTTGATCTGTACTACCACCATCACGGCCTCTCTTCCTTGCAAGAGCCGTCGCTGCGATCAAGTTATAATCCTCATCATCAGAGAGAATGTGTTCGTTCCCAATATGTGAATCGGATCGTACCTTGCTGCCACTATCAAACGTAAGACCATCCATAGTCTGACGATAGAAGATGCTTGAGTCTTTCCATCCTACAGTCCAGCCCAATTGATACCCGTATTCGGCTGGTCCAGTGATTGAAATAGAGTTTATAGGATTGCCCTCAGGTACAGGCTTATCACCAACCTGATTGGCCACAACTATGGCCAACGAGTACTTGGCGGCAATTTTTAAAAGGTTTTGTGCCATTCGATCGATGTAGTGCCGATTATCTTGAGAATCTCGGAACGTCTTGCTTTCTAACTCTACCCGAAGATGATGTGATATTGAGTCTATTATGATTAGTTTTATATCTCGATTTCTTTCCACGAGGATGGGAAGTTGAACAAGAAGGATATGTTCTTGACTGGCCAGATCGTTGCAATTGACGGTGAAGATGTTATTCTGGGAAACAGATTCAAATCCTGTCAACTTTGATTTATATGTAATCATCTCATCCAGCCTTTTTGTCGGCAAGTTGCCTTCTGTTGTGATGAAAACGCATTTGCCGTCGAGACCACCACAATCCGTTGATGCCTGCACACTCAAAGAGAGCTGCATAAGTAACTGAGACTTGCCTGTGGAACTACTGCCGAAGATTTCAGTGATTCCATGGGTGCGTATTCCACCGCCGAGAGCTTTGTCGATGTCTCTGTCACCAGACGTGAATACAAGCATCCGATGTTCATCGGAAGAGAACTCGGGTTTGTTGAGCTCAAATACTTGATACTTGAGCTCATCCCTCAATGCTAATTGAAATTTGGCGATTTCTATTATGGAACGTGGAAATACTTTGGTAAGTTCTGCTGGTTTCAATGTTAACAAGTCCACGACGGTGATCCCATTCTCCTTTGCACTTTCGAGCATCGAAGCATACTCTGAGAGGTACGTCAATTTGCTATTCGGAAGCTGATCATAGAGGTCCATGTAAGTTACCAATGTACTAGCTTTTCCAAACTTTGAACCGATATTTTCAAAATGAATTTGAGACAAGATGAATAAGTCTCTAAACCTAGCTCAACAGCGAATATGAATCAAATATTGAAAGTATTCTGGAACATATATGAATAGAAACATTAGCATTTATATTAAAAATAGCAGGATATGTATTTACTGACAGCCGTAGTGATACTAACCCTGCGTTGCATCACATTCGTTTTGGTAAACCACCGATGATAGTCGACTTGATGACAGTATAGTCTTCAATGCCGTGTAACGAGCCCTCTCTACCAAATCCTGACTCTTTCACACCTCCGAATGGCACCGTCGAGTCACTGAAAACACCAGTATTACAAGAGACCATACCGGTTTCAAGAGCTTCCGAAACAGTGTAAATGGTATCAATATTTTTTGAAAAAACGTAGGCAGCCAATCCCACTTCGGTGTCATTAGCATAGCCGACAACCTCCTCAGCTGTCTTAAAAGGGATCATTGCGCATAGAGGACCAAATGTTTCCTGCGATGCTACGTCTGCACTTTGAGGAACGTGCGACAAGACGGTGGGCGAGTAGAACGTGGGTCCCAAATCAGGCAAACGACCGCCCGCAACAACAACTTTGGCGCCTTTTTCAATTGCATCCTTGGAATGAGCCTCCACCTTTTCAATAGCTTTGGGGTTGATCATACAGCCATGAGTGACGCCTTCTTTGAGACCATGCCCAATGACAAATTTTTTCACCTTTTCAGCAAACTTAGAGGCGAACTCGTCCATGATAGATTCTTGAACGTAGAACCTGTTGGCGCAAACGCAAGTCTGACCTAAACCTCTAAACTTGCATGCAACGGCTTCATCCACAGCTTTGTCCATGTCTGCGTCCTCGAAAACGATCAGAGGTGCATTACCCCCAAGTTCAAAGGATAGCTTTTTCAGCGTGGAGGAACATTGCTTCATTAAAATCTTACCAACAGCGGTGGAACCGGTAAATGACACTTTTCTCACTTTGGGAGATTCGCATAGTTTGATACCAAATTCTGGAGTTCTGGTATGCGACAAAACAACGTTGAATACACCGGCTGGGAGACCTGCTTCATGTGCCAAGTGTGCAATCGCTAGCGCCGAGAGCGGGGTCTGGGAATCCGGTTTCAACACAATAGTACAACCGGCTGCTAGGGCTGCTCCCGCTTTCCTTGTAATCATGGCACTAGGGAAGTTCCAAGGGCAAATGATACCGCAAACACCCACGGGTTCTCTACGGGTGAAAACCCGATTGGTCTCGATGCCAGCGGTGATCGTGGTTCCGTATATGCGCGGGGCTTCTTCTGCATACCATTCAAAGAATGAGGCTGCGTACTTAATTTCACCAATCCCCTCTGCTAAAGGCTTACCGTTTTCCCAAGACAGAATCTTGCCCAAGTCTTCAATGTTATCCATCATCAAGGTGTAAAGTTTTCTGAGCCAGGTGGCTCTTTGTCTGACGGTCGAGTTCTTAAATGTCTTGAATGCGGAGTACGCAGCATCGATGGCTTCGTCCACGATTTCCACATCCTGGTCTGGCAGCTTCATAATGACTTCGCCGGTGGCAGGGTCCGTTACTTCAAAAACCTGCTCGGATTTCTTGATCCACTTGCCGTTGACATAAGCCGCGTCTTTCAAAAGCGCATCGCTCACAAAAGTTGGCTTGAAAGAGGTTACCATCGTTTTCAGTGGGCTAGTTGGTATTGTGATATAGCTTGCGAAGTTCAACAAAGATGTCCCTGTCGCAGAATAACTTGAATGAAACTACTTTGCAGCTGCTTTTATACTTGGTAGGTTTACGAAAACGAAACACAGACGCTCTTATAGCTCACCAATTGGTGAGTTAATATTTGTCAGATGATAGGGGTTCCGCGCGGGACTAGTAAGAAAAATCAACACATCACTTTGTACTAGAGTGTTGGTCCCGCTGGAGGTGGGCCACCTGGCCTTTTGAAAGCAGCTTCGGCGTCGCTGCTTGGAGGCGGTACGTTGGGTCTCTGGTACTCGATGGACGAGGTGGGAGAGCTCGTCGTGTCCTCAGGATAGTGGTTGTCTCGAGTCACCGCTGGTTCCGGGCTCATGGGCATTGCGCCCTGAGTTCCCGGAGCCTGGGTTTCCGGGCCCTGCGCCTGTGGGCCAGGGTTGGTGCGGTGAAACTTGCCGTTCTGGTCGAAAAAGCCAGCGTCGTTGACGTTAGCTGTGGTCGAATACTCAGGAACGGGGTTCACGTCTGTAGGCAAGTTGTACTGGTTCTGGGACACTCCGTACGAGGGCGGAGGAGCCAGCCAGGCGGTGCCTCTAATGGGGTTTCTGCCCGACCGACGTCTCCTCACGTTCAGTAGAAACACATACAGGAGCAACACTACTGCCAGCACGATGAACAACAGCCATCTGCCCCATACCCAGCCGCTGCTAGTGCCATTGTCGTTGGTGTAAAGGTAGTCTAAAGCGAGCAAAGAAAATTCTGTTAGTAACTTGAACACTGGTGGAAAAGCCAAAGTAAACTGCCTTCAGGACTGTAAAAACCATGCAACGTACATCTTTTGTTCAAAATAACACCCATGTCGCTGAGTGTTTGAGTGATAGATGATGAGAAACCTTGAAAACCTTGCGAACCTTCAATATCGGGCTTTTAAAGAAAGGCATCGCTAATAAATACATCATCGACGCACCTTTTTTTTTTCCTCCTTCGAATACGCATAGGGCTGAAGAGAAGAGGTTCAGTAGTAACTCAGGGACCAGGCTGGTGTACAAGTTGCTGTGGTGCAACTAATTTATCATATCAGTGCCGTTGTGCGTTTAATTGCGTAGTGTTCCACACTTCTGCGAGTTTCGCTTTAGCGGATGCGAGATGAAGTGAAATTTGAGGCTGAGCGTAGCGAGTTACATTGTTCAGCTTGAAGGCGCAGGCAAAGCAGCGCAGATTGGTAGGAAAGGAACGGAGAGAGGAACGTTTAACAGCCAAAATGAAGTTTCGCAACCGGAGATGAAAGATGCTAAGCTGAGTAATGTCGGGGATGAGAGTGGCTTGGCATGCCCGTGCGAGAGTTGCAAGTGACAAATCTTGGCTCTTGCACTCCCAGCTTCGAATGTAAAGCGAATGTGGCAGTAAAAAATGTTCCATGCCCTCAGCCCAGTGCCTTCGGTGCCTCTGGAAAATGTGCCATTATCGCACAACAAACTCTTGCTCCATCATCATGTCCTGGTCGTCGTTCAAAACCGCGGGCTGCGACTGTATCAGGAGGTTGGCGAGCTTGTCTATCTGGCTCTCGTTGATGGCCACTCCTCGTTTCAGCGAAAATGGCTGGCGACACATCGGACACAATCCCTTCGCAGTTGACGTGTCGAGCCATTGCTGAATGCAGTGTACGTGGAAGTTGTGATTGCATTCGCCCATTACCAGCGGACAGTCATCTCCCGGGAACTTGCAGCTCGGACAGGTGCCGTTGTAGTTTACGCGGCAAATGCCGCACAAGTCCTCATCACCCATCTCCTTTTCCGTGTTGTCATCGCCAGGGATGTCCCACGACCACGAAAAGACTGGGTAAACCTTAGTAAACTCGACTAACATCTTGTGAGATCCCCAGGTGCGAGTGTAAAAGCCGGTCTTGCTTCGAGGAGGGCTGACCGTTGATCGCTCGCGTCGAATCATTAGTAGCGGCTCTGCCATAAATAATAGAACTTTAAACCCAAAAAGCACGTGACAATAAAACATGCACACTAAAAACTGTTACATACCTTGAAACAAGCATTCCAGCCGGAATGCGCGCCTTTCTTCAATTGTTGGACGGCTTGTCATTCTTAGTGACCGTCAGAGTCTTCCCAGCCCATTCTTTGAGCGAACTCAGAAGCTTCCCGTCTGCCTGAAGGGCTTTGAGATCGTCACACCCGCCTCTCGAAACTCCGTTGATAACCACATTGGGCACAGTGGTACGGCCCGTTTTGGTGCCAACATATTCTTGTAATTCAGCGCCATGCTTATGCAGATCGAGTTCGACGACAACGTATTCAGGTGTAAACAAGAACTCTTGGTGGAGCAACTCTTTGAGACGCTTACTATATGGGCAGTAAGACTTGGAAAAGACGATCATCGGCGATGAAACAAGAATCATCTGGTAGGCCTTGACCGCGTCGAACGCGGGATCCTCATGCGTTGCGAGATCAGTCTTGGGCAGCTTCCCGCTTATGTCTTCTTTGATGCCGACCTCGTGTTTGATGTTTTCGATCTCCTCATCCACTTCCGAATCTACCTTTGCGCTCCCTTTGGGCTTTGCCTCCGCTTTCTGCTTTGCTGGGTTCGGAGTAGTATTGCTCTTGACAGTGGCACTGATGCTCCCGCTGTTGCCTACGCTAGCAGAACTGGTCGTGTGAGCATTTTGAACAATGAAGTAAATCAGTACTAACAAAACGGAGGTAAATGTCAGAACCCTCAGATTTCTCTTGTATGCCATTGTATCTGATGTATATTATACCAAAAGCTCAATAGCCTCAACGATAACTTGGTCTTTTGAGAGCAAGTTTGATTCGGACTATTCGAATTCAACTTTTTCTATATATTCGCGATTTATGAAACCATCAGACAAATTCGTATGGGATGAAAATAATCAACTATGTAATATGAAATTTTAAGTTAGTAGAATTGAAGATTAAGATGATGAGATGGCATCTGAATGCGTGCGTTCCAGGAACCGCAGCCGATCGCTGATATACGAACACATGCCTTTCCATTTTCTCTGGTCTCCGCCCAATTTGTCGTCCAAATATTTGAAGTGAGATCTATGAACGCACAGATATTCGTTAAAAGCCTTGAAATTTTCAAGCTCCAGATCGTAGTGATTGAGTCTTTTCAAATTAGTGTATGACCGAATGTGCTTTCCTTCCACAATTAGGTCTTGGTCTGACCACAGTGTGAAGGGATCAAATTTGGGCAGATTGGAATGCACGAACATGATATCTACTTCTTTGAGGTCCTCCGGCTCGAAGTACTTCTTGTAGACCGCCTCCGGCGTGTAGTCCGGATCAAGTTTGATATACTGCTGCGCTTGACCAGAATACTTTGTGTTAATATCGTTAGTGGCCCAGCGGTATCGTTGGTAGTCTTGCACAAAATCGTGTTGAAGCATGGCCACACCACGGAACCCCGAGGGCTGATGATACCCATCCACTGCGGTTACAGATTTAACCTGATAGGATGGCAGTTCGTAGTAATTGGCTGCTGCAATAAACGTTTCCTTGTCACCTTCACCGGAGGCCTTCTGAGAAAAGATTGGATAATACCACGAAGGGCCATTCACGTTGTAATAAAGCGATAAGAGCACTGTGGCTAAGTGCTTCGACTTGCTGATCATCAATTGGCCCGATTCCGTCGACACATCTGGGATCGTATGCTCCAAGTCATGCAATGGAACGTTTGACAAGTCTGTCATATCCGGAGTGTATAATTGGGGCGGAGTCATATCATCCATACAGTTACGCACCCTTTTCTTGTAGTTAACAGAAATGTCTGCAATGTCATAATATGCAGGGTTTGTAGTACGCCTCCAAAAATCGGGCCATAGAACCATACCACGACTCTTGTATGGTTCCTCATCGAAAATCTTGTCCAAAGGTTTGATAGGGAAGTTATCAGCATCTAGCAGCAACAGGTTTTCAAAACTCGAAGCAATGATAGAAATCGATTTGAATTGATAACCTTCAAAATTGAAGTTATCGATGGTATCCTTGGGTAGCACATCCGAAATAAAGATACACTTGGCGTTGTATTTGGGTAGAAGAGTCTCGCAAAATTCTGTCTCTCCCTCATCCTTTGGCGGAATGAAGACTTCAACAGGCAATGTGGTCCCTAAATTACGCAGCGTCTTGATGATCAAGAATGAGAGCACCGAAAACTTGCCTCCTCCCACCGTAACGATCCCGTCGCCTTTATAGGTGCCTTTGGGCAGCACTAATGGCTTCAAACTTTCGACAAAATCGTGATGTTTACTCTTGAGCAACGCCTTTTCTTTGGGCGATATGATTAAACACTCCCCCAAATTTTTGCTAGTCAACTTATCCCAATTGTTGTAGTCGTCCGGCCGACCGCCAATATCGCCACTGAGCTTACACCGACTATCGTACTGCCGAGACGATTTGCCCATGGGAGAGTTCATCCGAAGGTTTTTAAACACCTGCTTGTAAAATTGGTGCATGTTCTCCTTACGCTTAGTGTCCCTCAAAGTTCCGCCAGTGGACTTCATAGCGTCGTCCGGGGTTGCTTCTTTCATGTCATTACCTAAACCACCACTCCCACCGTCTTTGTCTTGACTCAGACCTGGACTCGCTTCACCAGAGCCATCTTCTTTAAGACTACCTGCGGCCTTTGTGTAGGTATCAATGTACTCCTTCAAGTATTCACGGTAATCCCGCGACGGCATGTCCCTGTCGACGTACTTGCTCGACAGCACGAATGCTACGCAGCACAGTGCCGCCACCAGTGACAGCTTAAAGATTTTGGTAAACCGTTTTGTAATTAAAACCATAGCCCCTTACTAGCGACGCAAACGTGTCGATTTCAACCGTCAATTGTCGCGTTTGACCTCGTAAAACAAGCCCACGATTGAAGGTTTCCAAATCTTGCCAGGAACCTCAAACTCGTCTGACAATGACCAGTACTGAAGTTGTGATGGCGTATGTTATTTTCATATTTAGAGTTCTTTTCGGGCACGCTTGTTGTCCGAGAAAAAATTCGAGATGGAGAGAAGTAACTTTTGACGAACACACTGGCTTAGTAGACAGTAGCGATTCGCGGATGGCTCCATGTTAAAGATTGAGCTCAGAGGTTCCTGGCGACTTTAAACGTGGCCATGATGGAGATCGCAACGCATGGTTCCTCTGAGGCAAATCCAAGTCGTTTCAGAAGCTGACTATCTACCTTAGTAGAAGAAATGGCAGCAATGTAGTCTTGGAAGTAATCTGGACCTAGGTCGCGCAGTTGGCGGAGCTGCGTCTTGATAGAAGTTTTGCATCCAGGGTTCTTGATTCGCTTAAGCTGATCTAGAGATTTAAGTGTGGCCATTTGCGTGTGGAAGTCATGAGCCAGCCTCCAAGTCTGCCTATGGATCTCAGGCCTTTTGTTCAACTGTGTTTGGAGCTCAGAGATTTTAGACTCATCAAATTGCGACTCGTACACGAGGCAGATAGTAGTAAAAGCCCAAAACTCACTGGGAGTCATTTCTTTGACTAATTCCTTCTGATTGTGATGCATGAGCATTTCCTCCAAAAGCGTGCTACGTTCTCCCGAAACACTTAGTTCCAGTAGCATTTCTTGAATACATTCTACGATCACAGCGTCATTGGACTGATCAATGTATGCCGTAACCTCGAAACACGAATCCATGGGTCCCAGAACGGAAAGATCGCGATTATCTTTCAAGTGCAGCCTGTGTCTATCTAGAAGCGAGTCACGGTTGACGTGGGATTGACACAACGCGCGAAATGATTCGTGTAACTTCTTTAGCAATTCTCCGCGCTTGTCGTTGAAGAGCCGCGCGCGTTGCAATTGCTCCGTCAGCTCGGATAGTCGCGTTAATGAGAGAGTCATCTTGTCATGTAGCTCGAGCATGCCTAAAATCTTACTATAACTTTTGCGCTCAAAAGCTATTTGAATAAATCTTGGCAAACTAGTCGTAGAGTCGTAAAGCTTATCACTAGTCTCCAAGTGTTCGACAAATGGATGGTCTTTCACCGGAAATAAAGACGAATATCTGGATGCCATAAGATAGTTCAAACTTTCGTTTTGTAGATTTTTAACTTTTAAATGTGCAAAATGTTCGTATGCCATTGTCGGAGAACCCAAATAATTGTATAGCACTACCAGCCATACTCTAGTGTCAAAATTATAGGGATCAAGAGCTTGGTATTGTTCCAAAATCGCGACGCTTGTCAAAGCGTTTTCCAACGTCAAGTGTTTGTCATTCACCAGATTTTCGACAATCCTCAAAATGAAGTATGAACACGAAGAATAATCAGTCTTGGGCTTTTCACTTAGCGTGGGCTTATATTTGACAAAAAGATCAACAAAATGCTCCATCTTATGGTCACCAGTAAGCTTCGAGTAGTTACAATCGTGCAAGAGACCCCCAGAAAATGCATTCATGCCGAGTTTTATAGTTTCTGGTGACATATAGTCTTGAAAGTGGTTCAGATCGGCCACACAACATGGTTTGTCGTGAAACCGCTCCAAGTAGTGCTTAAGAGATTTGCTTTTTATGGTCTCGCAGTAAACGACATCAAGTTGCATATTTGCAAGGCGGTGATTCCGCGAGTCTCGTAGCGAGAGTATCATTTCAACTTCTTCACGAGGCTTACCCAACGCTTTGGCACTCTCAATAAGTTTGGTGATAATCTCAAAGTCGTCAAGTAAGGTGAGCAAAAAGCTGCACACAATGAAGAGGTTAGAATAATCGCACAGGATGGTAAGATGCTTGAGCATGAAATTCTTGAGATATAAGTCGACGGAGAATTTTGCATTGTTGGCACCTTTAAATGCTGGAAGTAACAACTCAACAATATCCTGGGACTTGTCACCACAAATTTCACAGACAAGACAATAGATGATAGTTTCTTGGTCCGATTGAAAAGGTTTGAGATTCTCGACAGTTTTGAACGCTATTTGGATGTTGATTTTGTCTTCCGCACGGTTTTGAAGCTTGACTAGTGCCACTATCGACAAAGCGTTCCAAAACTGCATCATGCGAGGTTCCTGCGACCACCGACGCAGCTGGAACGACGCCTGAACCATGTGCTGCAAATTGAAGTCTTCAATAGCCTTGCTAAACCAATTATAGCCAATTTCGAGGCTCGGATACTTTCTCATTGCTTTCTTGTAACCATCGAGAGAGCAGTCGAATTGTTCCAACTCTTGACGGAAAACGTGCAATAACTCAAGCGACCGTAAGTCACTAGGCGGATTTGGGGTATCCAACAGCGGTTCTAACATTGTTTCCGCACTATACTTGCTCTTGTTGTGCCGAAACCGCACGTACTGCTCGAGCAGCTTGGGATAGCTTGCCTTTGGAAACTGAGCACAAAGTTTCCCGCTCAATTGCAGTGCTAGTTTGCCGTTTCCGCGCGCCAAAGTCTGAAGGATCTCGTCTCGACCATTATCCATAGTTGTATACCTTATTTTAGTGCTATCGGAGTCCCTTGCTTGCTCTTCCCAAGTCTATTTTGTCTTTCCAGCGTTCTCATCACGTTAGATCATTTCAAAATCTGATATTGTCTATCACGAAGCGCTAGTAAAAAGTGAAAAATTTTAGCTGCATGCGATGAGCTCTGTTCGCGATGAGCTTCAAACATCAAAAGCATACCCATCACTGAATTTGTGTATCCATTACAACTTTAAAAGGTTTTGGTGCTCATATAAGTGGTTATAATTTGCATTAGTTTGTGCTTAAGAGTAAAAGAAAGCCAAATACCCCAAATGTCCTCTATTCACAAGGTTCTGGCTGGCAAGTCCTCCGGAAAGTCCTCCAAAGATGAAAAGCCTTTCATGAACAAACAGCGTACGCTTCTGATCTCGTCGAGAGGTGTCACTTACAGACACAGACATCTAATCCAGGATCTTCACAGCTTGTTGCCTCAATCGCGCAAGGAACCCAAGCTTGATACAAAAAAAGACTTGGGACAGCTGAACGAAATTGCTGAGCTGTACAACTGTAACAACGTGGTCTTCTTTGAAGCACGTAAGCACCAAGATTTGTACATGTGGCTATCCAAGCCCCCCAACGGGCCAACAATCAAGTTCTACCTTCAAAACCTGCACACTATGGATGAGCTCAACTTTACCGGTAACTGCCTAAAGGGCTCCAGACCAGTACTATCGTTCGACGCACGTTTCGACACGTCTCCACATTACAGACTTATCAAGGAAATGTTTGTCCACAATTTCGGTGTGCCTCCAAACGCCCGCAAAATGAAACCTTTCATCGATCATGTCATGTCTTTCAGTATTGTGGACGATAAGATTTGGGTTAGAACCTACGAAATATCACACAAGGCCAGAAATCAAGACGAGTACGAGGAAAACAAGGAGCAAAAGGACCAGGAAGATGTATCTTTGGTGGAAATTGGACCACGTTTCGTGATGACCGTCATCTTGATCTTAGAAGGTTCCTTTGGTGGTCCAAAGATCTACGAGAACAAACAGTATGTCTCGCCTAACTTCGTCAGAGCCCAAACAAAACAGCAAGCTGCCGAAGAAGCTCGCAGCCGTTCCGATGCTGCGGTGCAGCGCAAGATCAAGAGACGTGAAAACGTTTTGGCTGCCGATCCGTTGTCGAACGATGTCTTGTTCAAGAACTGAGCTTGAGTGTGCTTATGTGTGTCGGGCAACAATGCTTCTACGCGAATCAGGATTGCAAATTTGCTCCTTCAATGTCGGAAATCATATGAGACTCGAATGGGCGCTCTTCCGTTATCTGACCGACAAGGCAAAAATTATGTCAAGTCGATTCCCTCGTACCATGCACTGTAGCCAAGAAACTGTACGACATGTACGATACCACTCTCCTATAGGAGCTGCACTCACAATGGCACTCGGACCCGAGTGGTTCGGGAGGCCCCTCACAAGTAGCTAAACTAGACTCTTCAACTATATGTACATTAGTTCCGTCATTTTTTCGATTATTACATGAATATAAACACACAGCTTCCTACCTAATGTTTTTCAGCATGTTTTTGTAGATACTCAGCGATGAACTTCTCCTCTTCCTTAGACCCAGCTTTGATTTCCACTTGCTTACTGGCAGAGGATGCAAAAGGGTTTGGAATAGCAAGCATCGCAACAGCAGCGATCGTGCCTAGCGCCAGCTGGTGTGGTTGGACAGTTCTTCCCAAAATGTGATAAGCAGCACCCATATTAAGCTTTCAGTTCCTGTATTTGGGTCTCTTTAAAAACATAATGTCAGAGTTAATATTTCGTCTTCTCGAGATTTTTTTTGATTTAATACTGGTCCAGCCAATGAGCGAGCTAAGGTTAGAACCGATACTACGTAAAAGGTAGTTACTAGCCGATACCGATGTCTAAAGAGAGCTAGAAACCACAAATATAAAGTTACGAGACAACAGTGAGTATCACTTTTCTTCTCAGCGGTTTATTAGCGGGCGGGAGTTTTGAATATGTGGGAACTACCTAGAAAAATCACAAACAACGAAACCCTCGGGGTCACGGGTCCTGCGATAAGAACCAAGCACAAACTTAGGACACCCCGTTATCCCTCTGCACCACTAGAAGCGCTGTCACTAGTTGTGTATCCATAATTCAACGCCAAGTAACTACTTGTCAAACCAAACGTTCATGTTAAGTGGGCAACTGTGGTCATTGGCCACTATTCTTTCGTTTACAAGTGCTTTCAGCCTTTGGGAAGCACTTGGATTTGACTACGACACTTCAAAGCAACTTGGCGTCTTACAGCCACCCAAAAACCAGGTTCAAGAGCTGCACGACGCAACAGCCTTATCGGAAACAAAGTTCAGTACGTTCCGTTCGGATCTCGACGACAGCTACTCGTTGAGAATCAAGGAAGTGGCTCCCGCAAAGCTAGGTATCGACTCCGTGAAACAGTATTCAGGATACTTAGATTATGAGGACTCCAAACATTTCTTCTACTGGACCTTCGAGTCCAGAAATGACCCCGAAAATGATCCTGTTATCCTGTGGTTGAACGGTGGCCCTGGTTGCTCGTCCTTGACCGGACTATTTTTCGAACTGGGACCTTCTTCCATTAATTCTGACATCAAACCCGTGTACAATCCTTATTCCTGGAACAGTAATGCTACTCTGATATTCCTAGACCAACCACTTGGTGTCGGGTTTTCTTATGGTGACGATCGGATTGCCTCTACAAACGCTGCTGGTAAAGACGTCTACATTTTTTTGGAGATGTTCTTCGAGAGATTTCCTCACTTAAGATCTAATGACTTTCACATTGCTGGTGAATCTTACGCAGGGCATTATATTCCTGAGATTGCCCATCAAATCGCGGTTGTTCACGAACACGATAAGACTTTCAACTTAACTTCAGTGATGATTGGAAACGGAATAACAGATCCTTTGATACAATATGATTACTACGAGCCCATGGCTTGCGGGAAAGGTGGTCACAAAGCTGTTATTTCCGAGGAAGAGTGTGCTAAAATGAGAAATAGTATGCCTCGTTGCACGACCTTAAATGACGCTTGCTATTCATCTGCTTCCGCATTTGCTTGTATCGCAGCAGCTACCTATTGCGAAAATATGGCCATGAATGCTTTCTCCAAAACTGGACTAAACGTTTACGATATGCGCCACCCTTGCGAAACCGAGGAAGGGGGTCTGTGCTATAAAGGGCTAAGCTACGTTGAAGAATACCTAAATGACCCAAGTGTGCAAGCAGCGGTTGGCTCGGACGTATCGCATTTCACCGGGTGCAATAATGACGTATTTTTAGCCTTCCTCTTGACAGGCGACGGAAACCGTCCTTTCCAACAATATGTAGCTGAACTTGCCAACAGAGACATACCAGTCTTGATATATGCGGGCGACAAAGATTACATCTGTAACTGGCTCGGTAATCTTGCTTGGGTTGAAGAGTTGGAATGGAAACATCAAATTGAATTTACTCGACTACCTCTGAAGCCTTGGAACTCGAAAGAAGCCGGAGAAGCCATTGGCGAGGTGAAGAATTTTGGTTCCTTCACTTTCTTGCGTGTTTACGATGCCGGTCATATGGTGCCTTATAATCAACCTGAGAATAGTTTAGAAATGGTGAATAGGTGGCTTTCAGGCGAGTATTCATTGGGGTACTAGAGTATTCTCGCTACATGTTTCGTTTGAACTATAGAGCACTCCCCTTGTGGTTCATTTTATACGCTGATAAAAGACTTAGTATTCTAGTGACAAGCTCGACGCATTCTGCCGAGCTGACAGCCTCAAAGTAGTAACGTTTCAATCCTGTAGGTCTATCGACAAATATCTTGAAATATTCGGGAACGCGCTTAGACTTTTGAATTAAAGATACCTGGCTCATGTGAAAGCATTTGGTTTTGGCGTTTTCGAGATGCCAGTTGAACCCATTCTCTGGTGGAATGATGTAAATGTAGTCTCCATCGATAGCCAGGGTCCTCTCATGCTTGCTGATGAATGACATTTGTTGCCGTCTCCAAACTCTGTACTTGTAGTACGCTCCTGCAAACACGTCCTTGTAACTTGTGTCTAAATTCAACGCAGAATTATCGGAAGATGAATGCTGATTCCCATTATTGTGGTTGCGCAGCGAAGTCTTGGAAGAGTTCTTAAGTTTAAAAAAGCCCGTAGCGCCGCTGTTAATGTCGCTACCTTGTGAAAACTTCGACAAACCACGCCTATACTTGACCGAGCCTCTCTTGCCTAGAAGAGCCAGGGCTTTCTTGCTATCTGCATCAGGAGCAACACTGTCAGACGACTTTAATGTGTTTGTAGCAGCTAAGAAACGTTCTCTAGAATCCACTGCGTCAGGTGTAAGATCTGCGCTCTGGATCGTAGGAAGAGTTGGCTTACCGAAGGTTGCCATTTTCATCTTTTTCAGGCCTAACGCTTTTATCTCTTTTCTCGTAATAAGTTCCAGTTCATAATTACCATCTAACTCTCCAACATTGTCCTCTAAGTTGGCTGCAATACGCTTACCACACAGCTTTAAAGCATAGTCAGAAGGATTCATAGATTTCATCTTACAGTACTGCAAGAGAATTGCGTTGAGCGGGGTCGAAACTGATACCTTTATGATCGTGTAGTTGAAATCAGGGTTCAAGTTTGGATATAAGAACACTTTAACATCAACCAGTTTGTCATCTTTTGCGTTAGCGTTATTTGTTGTTGTGCTTAAAATTGGCTTGTAATAACTTAACTGATTAATGCTTATATCAGCTCGATTCTTATTCGCAGAAATATAATCACCAGTACTCTCATGATCTTCAGAATAAGGTAAAGGAGTTTGATTCTCGTTGTCTTCAAACTCTTGATGGTTCTTTACTTTGCAGAGAACCACCTCATTATCAAAAAGGCTCCCTATCAACTTCTTACGGTCTATAGTGCCGAAATTATCTTCAAAAGGTTCCCCTTCTTCGTCTACAATTTTAAGCACGAAGTAATTTGGATTTACTAGAAATTTTTCACTCAAACTGTCATTTTCGCGAGTGGACTTAAGCTTCCCAGAAAACTGGTATAGTATAAAACCAATAACTTCGAAAGTAGAAGCAGATTTCCTAACACTGATCAAAACCGGATCCTTCTTGTACTTTGTAGAATCATGAACGTAAACGTGTAATATAGTTGATTCAGACTTGGGCACTTGATCTCCTGAAACAAAGGAGAAGTAGCTCGTCGGATTGGAGTTCTTGTTTTTCTTTTCATTGAGCATGTTTGTCAAGTTTGAGGAAGCAGGACATTCCCCATCTGGAAGTATAATTTTTGAGAAAACTGTAGGGTCAAAGCCCGACAGCACAAGTTGCGGTGTATTTTTTATGTCACTTGCAGATCTTTTGTGCTTACTTCCATTCTTAACGAATCCGCTATGGTCGTTCTCATTGACATTACTCTGCATCGAACCTTTACCCCATTTTGCGACACTGGTTGATAAGCTTCGTGCATTGGAGTTACTTTTTCTACTTCCTGCACCACTGTTAACAGAGCAGCGGGCAGAAGAGTTATTGTGTTCTTCAACTCTCAATCTTTCTTCCCCCGGTTTTACTAGCGGGCTATCGTTGATAAATGCTGATTGTTGGCTGCCATTTAAGAGTTTGAAAGCATGGGAGCGAGGGACAGAATTGCGAGGCATGGAATCTAAGTGAAGGAGATCATCCGCCAGAATCGACTCATCAATAACCGAGCTGTTAGAAATTCGCTCACGATTATAGCTCGGTCCGTCTAATGACTCAATGTCCGAGTCTAACAATGATCGTCCGTACGAGGACGCATCAGAGGAAGAGAAACTGTTGTCCTCAGAGAGTGATCCATCACTATCATCTATAATTCCTACAGATGACAATTGTGCGTGAATTGGATTGTGCCCCTCCCCATTGGACTTACCACCTTTCTCATTTTCGAAGTCTAGCTCCTTCAAATCATCTTCGTCCATATACGAATCAAGATCAGATATATCCTCTTTTCTCGCTCCACTTTTGAGGGTTTCAATGTCATTCATCGAAAGAGCACCTTTGCCATCGACGAGGGCGAGAACTGAGTTGCTTTTGGCGTCCGATACCGAAAGCACATTTTGTGCATAGCGTGGCAGGTTCACTAATTTCGTAGATTTGTTATGTTTCATGTCATCGCTTGTGGGCAAACCGCCAAGAAAAAACTCGTCGTTTTGTTTGGTGTCGTCGTCGTCATCGTCTTCATCATCATCATCATCCTCTAACGATTCGTCGTAGTTGAATGCACCATCATAGAAGTGCAACTTAGACTGCATACCTTTAGTCTGATCTCCCTCTGTTCCTCCATTTGTTGACGGTTGTCTGCGCTGATTAACATTTTCGTGGCCATGTCCTTTGAATATTCTGGAGAACAGCAGCGCTTTCCGCTTCGATTTTGGATCTTGTGCAGGTCGAGGAGTCCGAGTACTTAAGTCGTTATTAGAATGTGTTGAAGGCTCAGGATCTCCCCCTGCTGTCGAAGGTCCAACGGGTGGCGGAGCTTTCGAATCGGGGGTTTTCGCTTCCAATGTATTATAAGATCCGTCTCTGGGAGGTTTCCGTTCACTCTTTGAACCAGTATTTACATGATTCGTTATGTTTTCACCGCCAGGACTAGCTCTGGATCTGCTAATACTACCGGTGGTCACCGGTGCCTTCTGAAACCGCGCCTTTTGTAACGACTCAATTCTAGCCATGTAATTCTCTGAAATCGGCGGTGACTCAAGCATCTCCAAGAGATCTTGCCCACTTTTAGAGCGGTACAAAGCCTGCAAATCTTTTGGTAGTTGGCCTGTCTCATTGACGTCAAGGGTAAAAGGTTTTATTGTGCGTTTAGCTTGATCCTCATCTGAAGACTCACGCAGAAAAGACGAACGCAGTCTGTTTATTGATCTAACTGCATCCATGGCTCTTCTTGGACCATTGCACCGCTATTAATGCCCTACTTTAAATGTTTTACTTAGTATGTGAGAGCGGTTGAGATGTGTTTACGGGACCTAAGTTAATAAATATATTAATCTAGTGAAAATTAAAAATGAGATGAGCATCAAGAAATTCGATGGCCATTAGAGAAAACTCGAATCCAACTACACTTCGAGGTATATCAGGTTCTGCACATACCTTTAAGGAGTGGAAGATCACAGCAATCTCATCAAGAAGATAAGAAACCTTCAGGAGCAGAGTAATTAGACCTTGAGAAGCAAATTGAACCTCACGCGTAGCTACTATGGTTCTTTCTTCAAACTGGCTTAAACTTCAAAGCTCACAAAAACCTGTGAAACCTGTGAAACCTCTGAAACCTGTAAAATCCAAATGTGTGGCAAAAGCAGTTCCAAATCCTGTTCAGAAGGCTTCAACGAAGGACAAAGAGATCAAACTGCACAAGACCAATAAAATACTGAAGTCTAATGATAGAAAAACTGCAACTAGGAGTAAGAAAAACATCATGAACATGGTCAACTCCATGACTCATGAAATGGATAAGCTTGAGGACCAAAAAAAAAATATACTCGCGTCAGGTAATCCGCAAAGCGCTTCATCTGCCGATGTCGAGCAAACATTGCAGGCAGATATGGCCGACAGAAGTCTGAACAGAGCTTCAGAGGTAGGGAAATATGTCGCAATTGATTGTGAGTTTGTGGGAGTGGGGCCTGATGGTAAAGATTCTGCGCTAGCAAGAGCCACGGTAGTTAACTTCTTCGGCCATGTTGTACTCGATGTTTTTGTTAAACCTCAAGAAAAAGTTACTGATTGGAGGACTTGGGTAAGTGGGGTACGACCTCAGGACATGCAGAGTGCTGTTCCGTTTGCGGTAGCTCAGGAACAAGTAGCAAAGACTCTAGAGAATAGATACCTAGTCGGACACTCGGTAACGCATGATTTGCAGTCGCTTTTCCTCTCTCATCCACGCACCATGATTAGAGATACGTCAAGGCACATACCCTTCAGAAAGAAGTACGCAGGCGGAAAAACGCCAAGCTTGAAAAAATTAGCCAAGGAAATTTTGGGACTTGATATTCAAGGAGCTGAACATTCACCTATTGAGGACGCGAGAGCAACGATGTTAATCTATAAGTCCGATCGTAAGGAGTTTGAAAGACTACATCAAATCAAATATGGGCCGGCAAAGTGACTAAATAAATACAATTGTTCGAGATTAAATGTATAATACAAAATTGGATTCACTTACCTACCCACAGATTGATATATATGTATATACCTCATTGATCACCTTGAGGACCAATCATTCGTGACAGAATTTTTACTGTTAGTTTTTTTCTTTCGTAATACGTGTATGGGTTCACTCTAACACCAGCCATAGAATCGTTAGAACTATACGGAAATTCGATATTTTGAATTCCTGAAAGATATCTTGACTTCAAGAATTTGTTTGTCTGGGCTAAGTGTGTCTCGCAAAATGTGTATTCTTTCTCCATTACAATATTTTGAGCGATGGAGAATACTAGCTGCGGAAAGTCAGATTGTATATCTAGAGTTGATATTCTCTTCAGCTCAGTGCGAACAACAGAATAAATTCGAATGACCTTCATTGGATTAGTCTTCACTAAATGATTCAGTAACAAAAGGTAGCGAGTCTTGCTCAGCTCATCAGAGGAACCAGAAGCAAAATACACGGACGCTTGGTAAAGGGCAATTAAAGATGTTTCTGAGTCTGACTCCATCCATCTCAGAAGATTTCTCGTGACAAAATTCTGTTCATCAAAGTAAACGAGTTCGTCATCAATATCCAGCTCGCTTAAAATTGTCTCTAATTTTGAGGGACGCGAAACTTGGTAGACAAAAAGAAGGTAACAGAGGTAGTCATCACTAGGTGCGTAAGCCAGGTCATTGTGAGCCAAAGTCAGAAAGAGAGTCAAACATTCAACAGCTGTGGTTTTTACGTAGGGAACAAGCATACCTTTGCTCACTAGACTCAATACGATATGAGGAAGATTCTCTTTCGTCCACTTGAGGCCAACCATGGCCTCCAATTCAATGAACAAAGGCTCTGCAAACGCACGACTGCCAAATAGAATGGAGCTCAAAGATTCCTTGTTCACGGTGCGATCAACACTAGATATACGCCTTACAGCATTTGCCATAAATAGGAGGCCTCCATGGTAAAATATTGTGTTTGGCGACTGAGCAAAAGTGGTTGAAAGCCAAAACAATTTCTTCAGCAGAGGCGACTTTGGTTGGAGACCTAGAACGATCTTGCTATAGGTAAACGAATGTGATATCACAAAAAATATCAGCTCATCGTTAATGTGTGGCTCAGCTACAATTTTGATTGTTTGCATAAGCATGTTTTTGCACAGAAACTCTGACATTCCCGCTTGCCCGATAATTCCAATTATCATTGCCGCTCTAGCGGACAGAAATGAATCTAAATTGAAAACAGAGTCCATTATGTACTTGTTGTACTTCGCTTTCCATTGTAAGCCATCTGTATCAGAGGAGTTTTCCATCAATAGAATAATATTACCCACAAAATGCTCCAAAGTAGTAAATTTGCTGAGAAAAGAAGAGGCGCTAAAGCTCTGTAAAATTCTTCCCTTATCTTGACTGAAACCCGACATAAATCTCATCTTTTGGCGTGACAAGGTTTCCTTGACCATATCTAAGGTTTCTCGCTTTCCAACGGTTAGAGCTTCGTTAGTTGATAAGGATTGACACACATTCACCAGCAACTTATGCAGTGCAAGCCTCATTTCTGAAGGGCCGACGTCGATTAAGAGGGACACAATGTAAAGCACCTCGGGCAAGAACAATTGTGAGAGTAATAGAGAGTCAAAAAATAGTGCCACTGTAATGTTGACTAAGATTATGAGTTCTGACCAACTGTTCGTCGAAGCTTCCATTTTCAAGGACGGCAAAAATGATCGAGAAACGCGCAATATTCTATTGACAACTTCACTGCACATTTCAACGGTAGAAACCCTCGTCAGAAGAGAAATAGCATTCTTCCATTCAGCACCTTCAGACTCTCTGTCAATTGAGTGGTTGACAACTTCATCAACAATGAGGGCTATTAAATCCGCTTCGAGAATTAAGGTCGACCAAATACACTGGCTGTAAATCATGAGCAATCTTGTGTCTTCCACACTGAGCTTAATCAAAGTGCGGATAATGAAAGATACGTTCTCTGGTCCCTTTTCATCATCTGCCAGGTAAACGTGCTTGTATAGGTTTGCTGCCCATGGCGTGAGAGTACTAATAACGTGTGGAATGTGATTCACTTCAAAAATACCTGACAGGCCCTCCAAAATCGATTTCCAAACCACTAAAGACAACTCTGGTGCTGTACGGGCAAGCCCCTTGAGCAAAGAATCACAGAATGCAGACGTATCATGGGGAACATGAACTTCGGGAGATACACGTAGTTTGCATCCAAAGTCAAGCCCAAATGAATCCTGAGTCGCTGCCAAAACGTTATAAGATATGTTCTTAACGTCTTCATCGTTACTGCAAAATCCTGCATATACCACCAATATGAGGCTACCCAAAATGTCATTGTGTTCTTTGTCTTCATTTTGATACACTTGGGTCTGTTTCGGGTTTTCGTAATTAGCATTATCGTATTCTTCTTCTATCCTAGCCTGAGCATAGTAGAATATTTTGATAATCTCAAGATATTTGGAGCTGCACAAAACAAGATTTGTTCCGTCATCAAAGTTGATCGTAAACTCAGAAGGCACTCCTGTCTCAAAAGAAACAACTGTTGATGCAATTCTGCCAACTTCGTAGACGTTATTGAAGTTGATTTCCACGACATTATCAATACCGGAAACTTTGAAACGGTAAGGAGTTTCAGATATCATCTGGACATATTTGTTACCAATCTTCAGTGTAACTGGCGTAAAGCGGCCTTTCTGGGGATCGTACAGAGAAACACCATGCAACGTCACCCTTACATCTGAGAAGACTTCGTTGGAGCATGAGTCAAGCTTCAAGCTTTTGATCACATTAGGACTTGTGTTACTATTGATAAATTCATGAGGCGTCTTGTGTGGTCTGAGATATGGATTGTGGCCTTTGAAAATAGGTAACCACCAAGCTATGATTTGTTCAGTCATATTTAAGTAGTAGAACTTGGCACAATTTCGGGCTACTTCGTCGGGAACCAGATTAAAAAAAAAGGTCACAACTTTTTTGTCATCCGCCGCGAGAGGTTCAATACCCGTGCAATCAACAACAAAATAATGTTTTGAGCTCCAAACTTTAGAATATACCTGAAAAGTACGGTATATTAACGCCTCTGAGTCACAGGTTTGTTTCTTGAGCATTTTGTAGGTCAGAACAACAATAGGAAGGCCGTCAGATGAAACCGCCTCATGAATAAAAGGAATATCGTCTTTGAAGTCAAAAGTCCTCAATGAGTGCCTTGACATGAAGTCGTAAAGTTCGGGGTTTTCGTCCATTTTGTCCCTTACATATGAAGGAATTTCGCTCCTGAATTCCATGCGCGGCTGTCCCAATGTCCACAAGAGAACATCAGTAGCTTTTGAAATTCTTTTCAAGGTCTCAAAGTCTTCAGTGGACCTAATGCGTAAAATTGATTCATTTCTGACCTCAAGGCCATGTTGATAAAGGTACTTGTGGAAATAGTTGAACTCGTTTAATGTAACTTTTCGTTCCATGTGTAGCTTTAGGTCGACTACGCGATCGGGTCGCCCGATCTCGGATAGGAACAAAGATACCCTTTCGCTGCATTTTTGTAAGAATGAGGCCTTCGAAATGAGCAGTGGCCATTTCATTGAGTTTATCGAGCCATTTGCGATGTTTTGAATAACTTTCGCGAGAATAACAAAAGCTCTTTTCTGTTTGGGAGAGACGATATCCACAATGTTTTCAGAATCAGGGCTAACTAAGGCGGGACAAAAGAATCTTAAAAAGATGAACGAGCCAACAGCCACAGTCTCGTAGCCTGGGAATTTCTCCCTTACACTCAAATATATTGACTGGCAAATCAAAAAGAACTTGGCGGGAAACGAAGGAATAGAGTTGACTATTGAGTTGATGAGCATTTCCAAGTACTTCGTGAAAAGTTGTACATTCTTCTCGGCATCGGGGTGATCCGGGGATATTTTCTCTATTTCGAAGCCATCATCGTTGTCAATAATGCTGCTCAAAACTGGCCTTAAAGTTTCAGTCAAATATTTCGAGCCTTTGAGACGCGAAAACATGGACAACGTCCTTGTCGCGCAGCTATTTCTACGCAAAACATCAGCATAACGAGAAGCGCTTTGAATTTCTTCCTTTATCAGCTCAACCACAATTACGTGAGATGCGTTCTTCACCTCGCAGATAGTCAGCATACTACTTGCTAAAGCATCGATGTCGTTTGCCGGGCACACTCTTGCAGCCAGCGGAATAAGGTAAGGAATTTTCAGACTCTCGGTGACGTAGCTCTCAATCAGTTCGTTTTTTTTAACGATTCTTTCAGCGGTTTGAATGTCAAAATTGGATATTATTTCGACAAAAACTTTAAGGAAAGCAAGCTTTATACTTTGATTATTGGAATATCCAATAGGCAAAGCATATCTCAAACCCACATCTACGTTAGCGTTCAAAAGATTTGTCAAACAGTTGATAATATTGTCATTTAAAACGCCAATCTTATGACGAAGAGTTGAAGGATACTTCTCGACACTTGAAGTTTTCTCAAGACCTTTCAAAAGTATACTAAAATAGTTTCCGAACGTAACGGCCTTTGATCTTTTTAACTCACTTTCTGATATCGACATTGGAACTTCGAGCATCAAATCCTTACTAATGTATGCTAGCGCCCTAGACGACTCAATAGAAGTGTCAATATAAAGATAATCAAGATCTCTGCGATTGAGGTCCATTTCACGATGAGGACGAGCTAGGTTTTCAAGGTCGAACTCTTTAAAAAGTGCAGACTTGAACCATGAAATGGCCAGTCTCAGCCATTGATTTTTTATTAGCAAGTATCCAGAGACGCATAAAGTTTTCTCAGCACCTTCAAACGACTTCAACATCTTCGAAAGATGAATAATGGCCTTGTAGTATCTCGTAGATGAATGGCTGACATTCTCAACAATTTTGAACAGTTGACCAATCAGTGACAAGAGTTGAAGGGAAACAAGTATCAATTCTTGCTTTGCATCTTCCCTCTCTAAGATAGTTCGCAAAATGAGTATTATCTGCTCTAACAGTAGAACTGAAGAATTATATTGCGTTTCAGTGAGATCAAGAGCTTCGAGTGCATCGGCCTTGAGCTTCAAGTGCTCGAATAGTAATTTAAAGCCGAGTGGGTGAAGTTCAGTGCTCACAATGTCTTTGGAATTTTCACGAGTTAAAAGATCCGGGTCATTTAGCCATGAACACTGGATTGACAGAAAGTAGTCAATCATTTCGACTACCTCGTTCTGCGTGCTAGCGAATGCAGGATTTTCAGTAATCATATCCTTATCAATAGTGAGAAAGGTGCCACAACTGGAAGCAATGATACCGGCGATATTTCTGAAGTGGTTTGCCTCCATAGAACTAAGGTGAGGCCTGCGCATGAAAACCAGCCATTGATTATACATCAACTTTAATGTGTCGAGCAGCATCCTATCAGGGAATTCAACATATTTCAGGATGTCGCTCCTCAGCCGTCTTTGGAACGCGACTGCGCCCGTAGATACATAGCTGTCTTTGCACATTGAGCGAAAAAAGCTCTTGTTATACCTTTCGGCCTCATGTGGTTGTCCCATAATCTTGTCGTGAGAGTCCAGCTCCCTCAAAAAGCTTTTAAAGCAAGCTCTAAGCAGCTTGTGAATTCTTGGTTCATGTGAATAGAGAGAAGCTAATAGAGCCCTTCCCGTAGCACCGTGAAGTAATTGAAAAGTGTCTTTTTCGATATCCCTTAGAATTCCTAAATCAAAGCCTGACTTCAGCTCTAAACGAACGTCTAGAAAGGTTACAACAACCTCCAGGAGCTGCTCACGTTTCGTATCGTCCAGGTTAAGATTGAATAGCGTCGCAGATATCAAAGTCACCAAGTATACAGCACCTTTGTAGAGAATCAAACGGATATCTGACGAATAGGCCTCATTTTCACGGTCTAGTGCATAGGTGGCAATTGCTGAGGCGAATGATTTTGAAGTTTTTTGCACAACAGGTTGATCATCTACCAAGCCAACAAATAAAGGCTTAATCAATAGATTGTAGTCTTCAATTACTTTCGTTAAACCCGATTCACCCAAAGAGATAAAATAATAGTGAACCATTCGCTTGTAGATAGACATAATGTTGACCAAAGTAGCCCTCGCGTCGGCCAACTCGGTGTAATTTGTGTTGTGTGTAAAAAGAACCGAATTTTCGACAACAGATCTTTGATTATTGAGCTGTGTATTCAGGGCCGGCAGGTTGCCATCTGATGGCTCCCTGGAACGCGAAAATCTCAGAGGTGACTTGACGCCTTTGTGCATGTTTTCGAGTTGCGTTCGTACACCTTGGACGGATTTCTCACCCTCAGACGAATAAGAAAGCTTTGAACTCATTTTGCTAGCAGCTAACACTGAAGATCCTGAAGATCTTCTGGCGCGTGGAGCTAGAATTTCGGTTCTTTCGCTTGCGCCCTTTTGAACACCGCTTTTCTCATTATAGGAGCTTCCCTCAGAGGAAGCGGAAGAAGACGATGCAGTGCTTCCGGCGTCAGGCTTGATATTACTATCTTGTGATATAGGTGGATGAAGAGGCTTGGAAGGAAAGCTTGGAGACAGAGACCTTCCAACTTTGGAAACATCGGCACCGCTCTTTAGAGAACCATTCAGAACTCCTTCTACGATCGAGGAAATATCATCTGAAAAATACAGCGATGCACTTATTATTACGTCTGACATTTCTGCCAAAGTATTCCTGAAAAATTCTGTTGACTTCAAAACAGTTTCTAGACTTGTTTTTGGAACATTAGGAATGCTGAAAAATAGCTTAAAACCTTCAGTGAGTGTTCTAAGATGCTTAAAACCGGTATGCTTGTTCTGTGTGAATTGATTTAACCGCGTAATAAATGAATTCGGGGCAATAATAAGAGCCGGTGCGAAAAATGCTATTTGAAGTTTTGTGTGTGAAGTTGGATTGCGAGATAAGCACCGAGCAATTACTGGATTCTTTTTGGATTGAGAATAGTCACACAACTGCAATAAATCACCCACGACAAAAAGCATTCTCTTGCAGAAAGATACAACCAGAGACTCTTCATCTGCTAGGTGAATGGAGGATGCGGCTCTAAACATTAGGACGATCGTCCTCAATGTGTCAAGGAGGGAAGTGTCGGACACAACTTGAGACCCATTGATATTTTTGATCAGAGTCGTCAGAAATTTTATTTTTTTGCTGCTTGAGGTGAAGGAGGGAAACTTTAAGGTTTGGAGCTTTCTATGATTAGATTGTCTGAGTTTAGAGAGTTGCGATTGAGGTTTCTTCTTTTCTTCATCTGTATTGACCCTTGAGATGGGTTCTTCGGGCCTCGCGTTCACCTCGTCGGGAATATGCTTGAAGCTCATGAAATTCATTTCTTCGAAAGTACTTGGTTGAAATAAGAGCATTACCACAAGAAATCTTAAAACGGACAAATTCGCGACATCTTCTGCTTGAAAGAGAATTCCTGACAATGCTGACGAATTCAAAAAATCCCAGCTTACCGGATAACCTTGTGAATCAAAGTCCTGGCGTGGAGATGTGTAAGATCTTCTCAAATCTGCATTATCTGGTTGAAAGTAAGAAGTGCTTCCCGAGGAAGAGATTGGCGAAGAGACATCTGATGAAGGTGGTGAGCTTTTAAATTCCGAAATTGCAGCATTAGAAGTTGCAGTGGTAGTGAGTAAGTACGAGACATTGAAGCTGGAGTAGATTTCATCAAAAAGAGACGACGAATACTTGCAAATAGCATGTACTACATCATCTTTTGAACCAGCCTTTATCTCATTTATCACCAAAACGTATTCGTGAGGCCTTGATAAAATCCAAGTCATGATAGCCTGTGAAGTAAACATTAGCATCAACTCCTGATATGTGTTTTTCTTGAGGTTGTCCAGAACTTTTGATATGTTCTGCAGGAACTTCGGCAGATTCGTAGAAGTAATGTAGAATGAAGAAAACATGTCCAAATATGGTACGACATCGCTGTCGTTGCAAGTATGTGTTACGACTAAAGGGTTTATGATACTGGAATTAATGAACTCCAAATATTCGATAGGGTTTGCCGCCGAGGAGAAACGACTGAGGTATTCCAAATTTGTGTCCATTATCTTTAATAGTGTCGACTGTTCATAGTCAGCCGCGTGAGGACCTTCGCCTTTACCACTTGAGGCCGGTGCTGTTTGGTTGGTATAATGTGATGAAGATAATTTTCGTAACGCCCGCATGGTTCCAAAGCTGAATTTCAAACGACTTATAGTGCGCACAAGCCGCTGTGATATAGCAGATTCAAGCGCCTTGGGACGAGCGACGTGAAAGCATAGCTTCTGAGTGGAGAAGCCCGCGTCGTTGGCTGAGGCCATCTCCTCTTTGCCCAACTTTTCGCTGGTTTGGCTTGTTTCTTGCGCCTCTTCCTGTTTCCAGCATGTTTCTGCGATATCGCTCAGTAGTCGCAAAAGAACTATCAGGGACGAAAGCGATTTTTCAGACAGCGATGTAGTCTTCTGTTGTTTCGTGATAAGCTCTATTAGCCGCATGCTTTCTTCCGCGACTGAGTCGATGTTGTAGGTTGTGGCCACATTTATCAGTAGCAAGCGGCAGTTACCGAAAACTGATTCGCTTTCAACTTCGGCGAAGCCACCATTGCCAGATTTTATCGGAAGTGCACTAAAGATCAATTCATATGTAAATCTCACCAGAGCAACGCTCATTTTGCGTTGAAAGCGTTTTGCAAATGTGAGGCCTGGAATTAAGCCGTGAGGTCCTTGATTCCTTCCGATTGGAGCCAAATGACCTGCTTATGTTTGTCGTTGATTCAGGATGCAAGGCACCACAACTCAAATATTCAGCGCCCCCTTGTTGACAAAACTTTTCTGAATATAGCTAGATACTGCTTCACGGCAAAAAAGCAGAAGTTGGTCACATGCGTAAATAAGATGAATGGAGAGTGCGCCAGTAAAGAAGCTGGTCATATCTATGACACTTATTCATCGATAAACTACAGAGTGTTGATGATCTGTTACTTTCTACGTTCGTGAGATTATACAGCACCATGGTTGGCTGCAAACCTTTCCATAATGTTAATCAAAAAAGTCGGCAATGTGTAGAACGCACTCATGTCTTTGACCAAGATTACCTTGAAAAGCCTAATACTCTATTGAATTTCAACAGCTAAAACTTAACGAAGCGCTTCAGCTTTGATAAACTCGTCGTGCTTCGCGGTCTTGCAATTTTGTCCAAGCATCATAGGCTGGAAATCTCCTCAAAGCGCTCATAATAGCAACATCAACCCACCTGCCTCTTCTTTGAATTTTATCAGCAGAGATCCCAAACCTGCATCACTTTCCTTATTTATGAGCTTTGGTGGTTCTTATGGAACTGTATTGTTTGGCGTCACAGTAGTACGCTGAAGTTGTTCATGCCAGGCTTGTCCCTGACAATCTGCTTTTTGGACAGCGCGCCTGCTGTACCAGGTTCAATGGCATCATTAGACAGCTTTACTGAAGTGTTTTCAGTATTGCGTTCAAACAATAAATAAATGATTTTGTAAGATTCGTGCTTGTGAGTCTTTTCATAGCCCAGGAACGACATTATATCACACAGGCGAGACTCACTCATGTAGCGTGAGTTTGAAACACATGGTAGTGGCAATACTAGGAACACATAAGTAGACTTTACGTCCATTCGCAAAAAATTTTGAAATCGACTGAGCATGGCACCTCGAAGTTGCGGCGTGGGTACGAAGTTTAAAACCAAGGAACACGATATTAAATCGAACCGCTCAGCATCACTAGCAGGATCAGGTCTATCCATAAAATCCTGGCGCTCTATATAGGCGGGATCGTTCGAGTTTAGATCGATGCGCACAACAGGCTCGAAAACACCGCTAATGGAAATTGCATTTTTGGCGCTCAACGATCCAATCTCTAGAGCCCTGTAACGGTGATTCGGGTCACGTATTTTGCGGAACCAATCCACCAGTACCTTCGACGAATCCCCGCCCCGGTTTTTATCTTGTCCAATGGTGCTTGCTAATTGATAGTTCTGAAGACCGCCTTTTTGAAGAATTTCACTCATTATATATCCAAGAATTCGGACCAGATCTTTATTTGAGGGAAGAACTTGCACCTTGAGCATACAGTTCTCTATTACCGAATCCGGATGAGATGCGTTCCAACCCTCATCGTAGTCTTTTTCCATATTAAGCGACTTTATCTTCTTTTTGATCAACTTCTCATTCAACTCTTCACCGTTTTCGACTAGCTTGAGCTTTAGCTGTGCACATATAATACGTCTCTTGTTAATCAACAGATGAAACCGCCGTATAATTCTTCGAGCCTTAACTGGCTTGATGGTAGGCCTCCGTTTTAACACAGGATTCCCAGTTACCGTTTTCCTATGCCTCGATAGCATCACGATTGTAAAAGGTAAGATCCAAGCACTTTACGATGGATTCCGCCTTAACTACTCAGCACGCGTATCTTTGATCAAAATTAATATTCTCCAGATTTTTTTGAAGCTCATCGCATAAAATGCGACCAAAATTTTTCAGAATTTAAACAGCTTAACCGATGACATGCAAGAAACAGTAGCACCACTGGTAAAGCCTCACGTCAACCATGGCTGGAAAACTTATTCGAGGGCTAGTTAGAGCACATAAGGAGAAAAAGAGAAACAGCCTCAAAAAAGGCGGCTCAAATTCAAGCCTCAAGAAAGTTTTAAAGACTCCAAAGCGAAAGGCACCAGAGCACAGAGATGAAAGTCGAAAGTCCAAAGTTGTTGACGCCAGTGAATTGAACTGGAAAACAGTAGATATTCCTGATACAATGGATGACTACGGCGGCTTTTATGGGCTCGAGGAGATCGACGGCGTTGATGTCAAGATTGTTGACGGAAATGTTCGATTCATCGCAACAGATCAAACTAAATCAGTCAAACCTAAGCCCAAAAGCGCGATACAGAAAGATGACGTTCTAGAAGACGAAGACGAAAAAATGGACGATGTTATAGAGTTCAAGAACATGGACGATATGGAGGAGGGCGAATTGAGCACCGCGTCTTCTGGCGACGCAGAGGAGTCTGATGAAGAGTCCAACAACAAAGTATCTGGCGAGGAAGAAGAATCCGAGGAAGAGCTTGATGACAAAGAGTCTGTTGAAGCAGAAGTGAGGGAGGATTCAGACGTTTCACCGCCAAGAGAACAAGAGGGGGAAAAAGGAAGCGAGCTTCAGGCCGAGGATGTATCACAATCTGTTGAGGGAGATGAGCTAGAAAGTAACGTTTTCGGCGGCGACTTTGATATCGACAACATCGAGCCCGGTCTATTACCAGAGTGGACTGACAAGATGAACCTCTCGTTGACTACTCTTCAAGGCCTTGCGGAACAGTACTTTATGCGGCCAACTGAGATTCAAGCAAAAGCTATTCCTGTTGCTTTGAGTGGTAATGATATCATGGGGAAAGCATCTACCGGCTCTGGTAAGACGCTGGCGTATGGTATACCGATCTTAGAGAAGCTCGTTGCAGATAAGTCTAACAACAAGACAATTGGTCTTATTTTTACACCTACCAGAGAACTTGCGCAACAGGTTACTCAACACATCCAAAAATTAGCGTTTTCCATAAACAAAAAAAACCCGTATGCCATTGTATCTCTTACTGGCGGTTTGTCGATTCAGAAACAAGAGCGTTTACTTAAATACGACGGCTGTGCCAGGGTTGTAATCGCCACGCCTGGAAGATTTATGGAACTTCTCGAAAGAGATGCCAAGCTGATTGATCGCTTTTCAAAAATTGACTACTTGGTTCTTGATGAGGCGGACAGGTTGTTACAAGATGGACACTTTGATGAGTTCGAGAAAATTTTGAAACATTTGAGCATGGCAAGAAACATGAAGAAGAAGGTAAAAAGCGAGTACGCTGGAACCGGATGGCAAACAATGATTTTTTCTGCAACGTTTTCTATGGATTTATTCAACAAACTAAGTTCTACAACTTGGAAGAAGATAGGATCCAAAAAGGACAGCGATGAGATGGAAATAGCTTTAAAGCATCTCATGTCGAAAATTAACTTCAGATCCAAGCCAGTCATAATCGATGTAAATCCAGACGACAAGATACATTCAAAAATCTCAGAATCCATGTTAGAGTGTTTACCCACAGAAAGGGATCTTTTCACTTACTACTTTTTGACTGTTTACCCAGGCTCCACGCTCATTTTTTGCAATGCTATTGATTCTGTTAAGAAATTGAATGCATACCTCAACTTTTTAGGGATATCGTCCTTCCAAATTCATTCTTCTATGACTCAAAAGAATCGTTTAAAAAATCTGGAGAAATATCAACAGCAAGCTGCCAAAAATAAAACCACGGGCGGATCAACGGTGTTGATAGCAAGTGATGTTGCTGCTAGAGGTCTTGATGTTCCTGATATTAAGCATGTTCTGAACTATCATTTGCCGAGAAGCGCCGATGTTTACATCCACAGATCAGGAAGAACTGCTCGTGGTGACAATGAGGGTGTTTCTGTAATGATATGTTCTCCACAAGAAGCAATGGGACCTCTAAGAAAATTAAGAAAGGTACTGGCTTCAAAATCATCAGTGAAACATGGCAAAAAATGGCAAAAGGATGTCCCGGTTTTCCCTATCGAACCCGGCATCCTATCGCAATTGCGCGAGAGAGGCGCGATCGCCCACCAGCTCGCAGAAGACCAGCTGGCTACGAGATCTCTCAACAAAGATGAAAATTGGCTGAAAAAGGCAGCAGGTGATCTTGGAATTGAGTTGGACTCTGACGACGAATCCAAGGACATCATTCTTGCAAAAAATAAGTTCAAGAAGCAGAACAAACAGCTGAGAAAAGGAGAAACCAAAAATCTACAATTTGAGCTAAGAGAACTCTTGAAGAAGCCAATCAGAAAAGACTTAAGAACTAGTTATCTAACGGGAGGTTTCACAAATCTTGCCGATGACCTGATAAAGAATAAGGGGCATGCTAGTATTATTGGCCATGACAAAATCGGAGCATTAGAGTTATTAAAAAACAAGAAAAAAACCGCAAATAGTTTTTCATACTATATATATATAATTATTTAGTCGTAAGGCTTGTGAAAAGACCTCTAGCAACTTCTGACAAAGGAAGACACTGGCTCAAAGTTGTTTAAGTTTACAGAATGCGATATCTACTATACACTAATTTGTTAGCTGTGCTGTTAAGCTTTAGCACTAGGCGATGAATACAGTCTTGGATTTTTGAAATTTGTCTGAAATTATGCAATTAGATGAAGTCGTAATCAGAGCCATCGTCATCGTAGTATTCATCATCTGATTCCTCTACCAACTGCTCGAAGTTTACCTTATAACGTAGCATAGCACCGATACCACCAAACCCTGTAACAAATTGTGCACCTTCCGAAGATTTATCAGTTACAAATTCCAATGTGGCACCGTAATTTTTGTAATTCTCGGCTAGCCACTCAACCAACGGTTGTTCCTCCACTAACTCCATTTCTAAACCAGTAGCTTTGTCGATGGTATACGACTTGTCTTCTTGGTCGGGTTCAGCAAATCTCAAAACGTCGCTTTCTTCGGAGTCCCTGAAAGTGTATCTGATAGTATCCAAATTCTCGAAAATAATAAGAATCTCCACAGCCCCTAAGTCAAGCGCCTTAAGAGTGTCATCAATACCGTAACAAAATTTACCGGTATCTTGAGAAATTTCATCGAAGTAGTTTGTAATCAACTTCTTTTCTTGGATAAACTTGACGTTGGCTAAAGCTTCTGCCGATTGCTCAATGGCTTGGTTGAAACCATTTTCACCACCATATGAAATATCGACGATCTTGATTATTCTTGTTGCCAGCCTTTGATCGAAAAGTTCGGATTTAGCCAAATCAGTCTTGAAATCGGCAGAACCAGCCAAAATCAAACCTTTTACGTTGACCTTATCGTTCGTAATAAAGTTTTGCACCGCTACTTCGGCCACTTTTCTAACGTAGTTATGTCTTTTTTCTTCTCTCAAACGAGCGAAACGAAGTGCGGATTGACCACCTCTACCGTGCTTTTTTGGCAGGTCGACAGTGAACTTATGCAACACCGTTCTAGTGTTACCTGAAAGCAAACCAAACAAGGAACCTTGACCATCCATGACGATGAAACCAAACTTCTCGTCGGCTTCGAGCAGCTCTGACAGCACGTCGGTGTGAAATTTGTTATCACATAGGTACAGGGAAGTGTTGATTGGCTTATATGGCTCGATATCAATTGTAACCTTCTTCTCTTTACCTTCTTCGGTGATGATGTCACCACAGTACAGCACAAGCCCATTAGGTGGCACTTTTGTGTACAGTTTTAGCTTTTGCTGGGTCGATGTGATTGCACCCAGGACAGACAAACGATTAACCCTAGACTTGATATTTGAAGCGGTACCGTATTCGTCTGTTAGCATCCGCTGTATCATCGAGATTTGGCCTTTGGGAGGGATCACTAGCGAAATCATCGAGGTACCATTACCTCTGGCTTTCTCTAAGGATTTGATCAATTTTCTGACTTTCCAGATAGCAATGTTCTTTTCAGCGTCAGTCTCCATTATATGTTTTTATTGAGCGGATATAGCTACGGTCTCTGAAACTGTTAAACAAGTCTCTAAACGTTAGTTAGAGCCTCTAATATCTCAAAGTATCATTATTGAGAATTAAGTTCAAAGAGCTTAATATTTAAAATTTTTCACCAAAAGAAAACAGCGATGGCGATGAGCAAAATCATGTGCAGCTAGAATAATACTTAAAGCCTCGAGAACTTGAAACTCGAGCTAGTTATATACAACCCGTGAGCCTTTGCACATTATGCATCAAAAGCGTACGTGGGAAGTAGAAAACCTTGAAACCTGTGTGAATTGTGTGTGACATGTAAACTTATTATGAGTGACGTACCTTACATAGCATGGCAACTGAGAAAAGTGAGCGAGACAAGAAATATAGAATGAAAAAGGGGTGTGAGCTATAGCTCCTTATCAGCTATGGCTCTGAGTGACCATTGGTAGCTTTTACCTCCGGGGTAATTTTAGAAATGATGCTACCTCAAACTTCGATATCGCTATCGCTGAGAAAATCGTAATCGTCAAGTTCGGAGTTTCTGGAGCCCTCGTTGGTGACCGTGTTGCTAATTATGTCGCGGTCGTCGTCCTGCGAATCTGACCCTAGATCTGGCACGTCGCGAGCTTCCGAATACACAGACTCCTGAATCCCCAGCATCATGGGAGGAGGCCTTAGCAGAATGGTGGGGCCACCATGTGAAGTACCGGAGTAGATAACCTGATCATCATGGTCGACAAGATCGATCTGGTAGGTGTTCAAGACTGAAAAATTGTCAATCAGTCCGCGACAATTGAAATTTAAGGTCTTGTAATTGCCCTTCAAAAACTCGTGTGGCCCCATGTGCAACGTGCATTTGACTGGTAGTGTACTGCGAGGCTCGAAGTACCGAAAAACAAGTTTGAGCCCATTAGACACGGAGTCAGGTCCTTGGTTTAACAGCTTGAAAGAAATAACATGCTCACGCTTGCTAATCTTTACCTCGATTGAGTTTTCGTCTTCGCGTGCGGTTTCGACGGATGCGCCTAGCGAACTGGCGGATGCTTTGGAACTCCTTGGGGCAAGAAGTAGTTCTACGGCATCAAAGAGTTTGGCCTTGTCACCACCTACTCTGTGCAAAAGATTCTGGTAAGTTTCGTGGTCATCGATCAGCTCCGCTAGTTGACCCTCGGTCTCCACTTTCGAGAAGAAGTCAAAAACTTTCGAGCTGTGGTCGGGGATGTCGATTATTACGTCCTTGTCCGAGCTACTAACATTGAAGTGAGTGGACTGGGCTACGTCTGGCTTAATTTCCATCTGCGGCTTGATTTTCGCAGCTTGGGGTGCCGAACAGTTGAAACGGGCCCACAAATTGTTCATGTCTGCGTCAGGAACGTTGATTTTTATCATATTGTGGTATTTCTTGTGAGTTCCCGACTCTAAACCTTTAGCCACACATTCTGAGCAAAGATCGTAGTTGAAACAGTACAAGCACTTGTACCGAGAGCCTTTGATAAATCCGGCATCCGAGCAACACTCGCTCGAAGGCTGAGAAGTGCTCCAGGATTCAGGATAGCACCCGTCACAAACCACTTCTTCGTGGAGTGTCTTGCAGTTTGGATCCGCATACGACACCCGGGCCGTAGCCTCTGGGTGTGAACTTGGGCTCTCTTTCTTGTTCAGCGATAGCTCCAGCTTACGAATCGACTCGATCAAGGATTCCAACTGCTCTGCTGGAATCGAGACCGTTGGCTCCGAAGCAGGCAAACGCTCAGGCGATCCCCCGTCCTTTCTATTGGTGGCAAAGCTCCCGACACGTCTGACACTTAATTTCGCTGCGTGTTGCGCCTGAAAGCGCTTTCTAAACAGGGCAACATCGGACTCGTTGTCTAAATAGCCTAAGCAGGATCCTTGTTCGCCAAAATGCTCGTAGTACAGAACACCGGATTCAACGGCGTTGGCCACGCCATATTCGGACATGACCAGCTCGTTCAAATAATCCTTGGTGAGCGTAGTCGGGTCAACTCTGAAATACCTGCCATCAGTATCTGAATCCCAGTACAGATAGAGGGGGTAGAGACTGTACGATTTGCAAGTTTCCATTATGAGGTTGATGAGCGCCAGATACTTTACGCACGGCTAGTAAGCTTGGTCAAACGGTTGAAGTTAATCTGACTGATCCTTAGCTGTTCTTTCAGACGCTATATGTTCTGTAGATCGAGCGTCTTTTTGTATAAACAGTGTAAGGGGTTGGTGAAATCAAATCTGGGACATTGGGTTTTATCTTATCTGGTTGGAAGGGATGAATACTTTGATGTCATCGTTCGTATATTGTGACTTTTCGCTATTTGAAACAGTGTTAGTTTTAGTTTCAGGTCAATTGACAGACGGCGCTCCAAGCAACAGTAGCTCAGATTGGTTGAAAGTACCTATGTAGACTGTTGAGTTACCATTTCAACATATATATTAAAGGAATTGAACAAATTAAAGAAGTAGATTAACCATCAAGTAAGAAGTATTGTAGGAAGCAGGAAAAGAGTGGAGAGTAAATTAGTAGAGTTATTCTTTGGGGAGGTGAACATCAGATGCTGCACATAACCCCTTATTGTTGAGCAACAGGCTCGAAGTCGGGAGGATGGAACGAATATGTGATCCGGTTTTTCTCGTCGAAGCCGGTGAACTCGTCACTCACCTCCACACCGTTAGTCCTTGCGAGCGCGACTTGCTGGGTCGAAAGTCCTAGCGAGTCGCGGGCAATCCACAGCTTTGGAGCAGGGTCTGTCACCGATGGATCCGTGTAGGCGGTCTCCAAAAAGTCCTTATCATACTGCACAGACGTGTTGAACACGTACGGTAGGCTTCTGCGCACCGCAGAGAACTCGTAGCTCTTGTGTGGCTTGAAGTAGTAGATAACTCTTTCCTTCAAACTCCAAGTAGAAGCTTTGTTGGGTGGGAAGGCCTTGGGATCCTTAGTAACAGCCTGAGCGTCCGAAAACACGTTTCCGGCGTCGGCGTTAACAACCACGGCACCGTTGGCATCCACTGTGTGCTTAGGATGCTTATTGGTGTCCAAATCCTCGACGTCTTTGTAACCGAATTTGTGGAACTCCTCGTCCTCTGGAACAAAGTTTGGTTCTTCAAGATTAGTATTAGCTTTGCTGATATTAGAAGATTGGCGCTTTTTCTCCATGTCGGAGTCCTTTTCGATTTCGGCATCGTCATCAGACAGGATACCAGCTTTTTTCAAATCGGCAGATGTGGCGGGTTGAATAACGCCACCAGTTTCACTTTCATCTAATTCATGCTTCAATTTCTCGCCAGTACCCTTAATTTCGCTCAAACCTTGATCCTGTGAAGGATAGAAGTACGTAGATTCACCTCTTGCATACTTGATGGCACTCAATGGCACCGTGTCGAACAAGGGGATGAATCTTCTCTGGAAGTATAGGTGACACAACACAGTAAATACGATGAAGACCACTTCAATGACAAGTGGACCCCAGGTCTTAGCCATGATAAATAAACCGAGCAAACAAATCTCAGACAAGTAAAGCCCGAGGAATACTTGGAATAAAGCCCTAGCGTAGTTTCTTCCCTTCATGTCAAAAGAGAATCCGAGCACGTAGTTCAAATTGTATTGGTACGCCAAGTAGAAGAAACCGAATGCAAAAGTCGAGAAAACCAAGATAATTGGAGCGATAATGGAATAGCAAATCAAGATACAGAGCAGAAGTTCGATGTTTGGGAACATGACACCCCACGTAGGCTTCGACAAAGTGTTGTAACGGTTCCATTTCTGTCTAGGAGTAGAGTCGAGGATTCTACCCAAAAACTTACTCAGAATCAAATTAACGATTTGTAGCAAAGCGCCACTGGGGAAAGTCAAACCCTGCAACAGGAAATAGGCAATGTAGAAATTGGAGGACGCTGGCAAATGCGCAGCTAACAAAGTCATAGCAGAAGAAGGATTGTCAATGATGGCACTCACAGTAGAAGAGGCAGATGAAGTCAAAGTTACCACAATAAAAACCTGCACAACCAAAAAGCTGTAGTACCACACTTGACAATAAAGTTCTTGTTCTTGTAAGCTGGTGCAACCGCTAATGGCGCCTAGTTTCTTGATGAAGATAGGTACCAATGACATAAGAATGGCTAAAGCCACAGTGGGCAAGACACCAGTGATGAGACCAAGTAAAACTTTTGGTAGATTATTGATAAAGCTGAGGAACTTCAACGTACCAATCAAAAAGTTAATGTTGGAGATGAAACCGACAACTGCAACTGGTATGGCCCAAAAAATGATCATGAAAGTTAAGACGGTGTTTGCAACACCGCGCTTCGACGCTCTGACTTTTTTAGACATGCCAAGGGCGTTCCAAGCAACGTCTTGTGGCGCAACGCCAATTACGCATTTATCGTAGGAACCTTTATCCAAGATGTATTTGACGGATTGAAAAGCTCTTTGAGCATCAAGTTGGCCCTTGAATTCCATGAAACAGGAACCAACTTTGTCGCGAGTATCCCAAGATTGTTGTTCTTCTGCGATTTCGTCGTTGAGCTCGCCAATGCGCTTGCTGCAATATTCCAAAGTATCGTATTTCTTACCACCTATGACGGGCAGAGGAATCTTGCCCAGACGTAAGGTAGGTCTCTTTTTGAGAGGAATATAAGTTTGTAGATCATCTTCGGGTTTGTTGCCAATAAGTTCTTCGAGTTTGCCCTTCTTTTCGGCTTTGGCTCTGATCTTCAAAGACTTTTGGATAACTTTGTTCATAGCACCTTCGTATTTGCCGGCAAGCTTGGTACGTTCCTGAACCAACTTTTGGAGTTTCGTATTATCGTGGGCAAACACGACGCGGGAACAGTTTTGGAATCTGCGCTGAATTTCGGATTCGTTAACAAGGTCCGAGGACAGGTCGGTCAGAATCACGGTTCTGGAGGAGACGAGGCCATCGTAAAGTGGACTAGTCTGAACAGCGTGTCTGAGCGAGACGTAGTAGTAGAGCTCGCGGTAGATAGTGTAGAGCACAAGACCAAAGAAGATCCAGGACAGGAACACGTGCGCGTAGAAACGGTTCTTGTTGGTGACGTTGGCGAAAGCGAGTAGCTCAAAACCTTTGTAGTTGTTGCCGTTGGTGGCATTGACAGGCAGCAGTATGGGCAAAAGGATGAGACATCCCATAAGTGAGATGGAGCCGAAAACCGCGATGAAGCGCAGGAACAGGTAGCCGTCGAGGCCCGCGTGCTGGATGACGTAGGAGTGCGGCCTGGAGAGTAGATATTTAACCCACGCGAAGTATCCGGCGGGAACGGGCTCGCTGCGCTCTTCCTCGCGCACCGTGAGGATTTCTTTGATGGACCGGGGCTGGTACACACGCTCTTGGCGCGGTCTCAGGCGCACAAACAGCGCGATGAAAATGAGACAAATGACTCCATAGAAGATCAGCGTGGACACGAACGCAGAGGTCGACGCTGTGGGCGGTTGCGAGCTGTCGGCCATGGCTGACGTGTGAGTGTGGGTGAGGTGAGATGAGCTGTGGTGTGGTGGTGTGTGGGTGTCTTATAACTCCCGTGCACAGCGATGTTGGGGGAAAAGGCAGACCAAGTCAAACAAACAATCAAAACAACTACGAAAAACTCGAGTCTCTGTGTTTCTGACGGTCTTGATAAGCAGTGCGGTCTGTATGTCGCTTCACCTGTATCCTGGGATTCTTGTGAGCGTCTCAGATGCCAAAACTGGTGTTAGGAATGTAGCTGGAGCCAGAGATCACAGCCCCTCATCATCTTCACGTATATATACAAGTATTTGTTATTCTGCCAACCCCTGTTGAACAGTCGCGGCTCTAGCAAATAATACGAATTTTGCTTCAGCGCAGTCAGCTCGTAGTTACTGCGTTGTTCATGCACAGAAAGGAAAAACAGAAGAAGAGGAAGGGAGGGAGACGAAGAAAAAAAAAGCGAAGAGTACGGGCTGAGGACGGGTAACAAGGGGTGACGTTTTTGTGACGCCTAGACTCTGAGGCCGGGTTACCCGAAGACGGTAGCCACGAGCGACGACAGGTCGAAAAATGGGTCGAGGTGTGGGTCGAGGCACGAGGCGAGATACGAGGCGAGAAATGGGTCGAGAAGTATGCATAATAATAGTAGTCGAAGAAAAAGAAAGAGGAGAAAAAGGGCCTGGGCGCTGGTGGGGGGAGTCTGTTAGGTAAGCGCGCGTGATGCAGCAGGAGAAGGGCAGGGCTGGACTCGTTAGCGGTGACCGGGAGTGTCGCGCGTGCGTGGTGATACGCTTGGTCAGCACGAATGCGGAAGCGTACGGGGGCTGTGCATATATGAGAAGAATGAGGTCGGTCCATCGACGGTTGGTTCTGTATTGTGGTATTCAGAGTTGTCAAGCTGGCAGCGTCAAGCGTAGAGGAAGCCTGCTAATATTTTTGTTCAGTTCGTAGACGTGCGTTGGACCTCTCCGTTACGGTCTTGTTGGTGGTTCTGTGAGTCGTTTGATGAGGCTGCGGTAGAAATCTTGCTGGCGGCGCGTAGTGGTTGCAAGTAAGTTGGCGGCGTATCAGCCATCAAAGGGCCTAGATCCCTTTGTTGAGCCCTCCCTCCCCTTTCTCTTCGCCTTCGGACATTGGCTATAGTGTCCGTTGGTTTATCACTGTGTACGGCTCTGTCATGGGGCACCTTAGCAGCATCGTCACCACTCACGTGCTGCGAACAGGATAGGCTTTGGTTTTGACGCTAGGATTTTGATGTTCTTATTGCGCATGGGTCTTTGCCGAGTAGTCCTGCTTCGTGCGGTGGCATCGTGTTAAACCAGTGCTTTTTGAGACTCATAGCATCACACATCTCACTTCGTACTATCCTGACGCGCCCAACAACATGGGATCAAACTAGTAGGGATAACTAAGAAAATGTAAACACCTGCATTAGCGATGAGACCTTTTATAGGGTGCCTGCTGAATGCAAATTTTTTTTGGGCTCTGTCTCGCTTTCAGGGTCAGTGGGACATGTCTTTTATAAATGTTCGTAGTTCTATAAGAGCTAGCCAGTACTGAGTATACGACAAACGCGACCTTGCCTCGGTAGGACATCTGTCTGGCGCAATTAGTCGAACAACCTTGCGAGGTGCACAAGCTGCATTAAGAAAAGAGCCATCTTTAGGGTTTGGGTCTCTCTAAAGTGTGTTCCACTGATACACGTATGAGAGCATGAGACTTTCGCCATTTACTTGACGTTCGACGTACATGCACCTGCATTACCAACAGCTGTATACAGCAAGAGTAAGGAATTTAGGCCATGTTGGTATAGGGGTATTACACGGTGCTCATCCATTACTTTATAAACACCGCTACCGAGCTCCAAAATCTAAACTATGTTTTGTTCCTGATATAAGTACTTTGTGATGCCGTTGACGACAGTGATGAGGGGATCTTCGCGCATAATCTAAGCCTGTAATGAGAACATCTCTTTACAGCTTTCTGCGTGTCCATCACCTCATAAACCATCGGAATTAATACATTTGTTGTGGCAGAAGGGCTCTGAGGATATGAAGACAGGAAACAGAAGTTGCATCGACCTTCATTTCCCGGATGAAAGATGCTGCTGAAACGGTACAGCCAGAGGTACTACTCGACATCAACGTCAACAATTTTTCATTTTCATTAGCCATTCGAAATGATAAGTCCAATATCTGGCTTTGTCACTTTGTACCAATCTGACATGCCGAACAGCTGGCAAATCGTGTGAAGATGAAAGATAGTCATCATGGCTTTGCAGCCTAGCCCCTCAATTATTTAGAGGCTTTTGAAGTCTATACGTGGAGCTCACCCGCGAACCACTCACCTACCTGCTTCAAAGTACTGGCAGTTCGGGACGTTACATTGAGGGTTTCTGAAAACTTCGAACTTCGACGCAATGTTCCAAAATCACATAGTCATTCATTTCGGTTTTGAAGCTTACAGGACACTTTTGAATCTTGTTTTGGTCAAACCTACAACGGTGGAATAGACTCAACAATCTTGAGGTAGATCTCACCCTTACTGAATAGTCCCCATTTGTATAAAAAAGCCATAGAGACCATTGGATGTTCAAAGGATATCTTTAGTGCTAAGTTATGCTCGCTTGCTCAAGTAAAATATAAACTATTATCACTTGAAGTCGACCGTGTAATTCTTCAAGCTTTCAGAATTCGTCGTTGGAGAAGAGAATAGAGAACTAAACATCACGAATTTTCCTGCAGTCAAAAGCTCGCCCTTATCAGATGGTGGCAATAATCTGGCTAGCAGGAAGCCCCTGATAGTGTATTTGAGCTCAGTATTGAAGGGCGATATGGTGCACTGTCACGCTACTCGCGGCAAACAATATTCGTTCTCCGATATCATCTCAACCGTTTTCTGGCGCGACGCGAACTGAGAAGTGGGTGGCATCTTGTCCTTTGTATCACACTAGATAACTTCCCGAATTTTCGGAAGTTTTTGGTCAATCGGAGTACAACTGTAGGTGCCATCCCAGTGTACAAATATCTTTTTGACAATTTGAAGTGTTTCTTCTTGCATCAACTTTCAAACTTTTAGTGTGTGTCAGGTCCTATTCACTCGTCTTGATCATGGATTAAAGCTTCGAGTTGCTTGGCGCATAATTGTATCCACGAAAGCAAAGAGTTAATAAAAAACCAAGAATCATTGGAATTACTGGAACAGATTATACCTTCGCAGTGTGAAAATATAACATTAATCAGTGGTTTTCGAAGACCATTGAATTATATTTGCTCTATTCATGACTGTGATTATTGGAAACGACTGTGGGCATCCGACAATAAATTCACAAAACACTTCATCTTTCGATATTTCAATGAAATCACAACTTTAAAGAAAGCGCGAAAGCATCTTAAATTTCCATTCAGCTTATTTTTGCTGTAGAATTGGCTGTCAGTCATCATAGTTCTGTTCAGACCATATTCTCATATTCTCAATTGCTCAGGGACTTTCGACAGTTCATGTAATCATTTAAAAATCGTCAGTTCATTATAAAAAAGGGCTATACTTTATATATCACGTTTAGGCCTTGCAGACGTGTTCAACCAAGTCGACAACTCTGGTAGAGTAACCGTACTCGTTGTCGTACCAGGAAACCAACTTGACGAACTTTGGAGACAATTGGATACCGGCAGCGGCATCGAAGATGGAAGAGTGAGAGTCACCCAAGAAATCGGTGGAGACAACGTCTTCGTCAGTGTATCCCAAGACACCCTTCATTTCACCTTCGGAAGCCTTCTTGACGGCAGCCTTGATCTCATCGTAGGTGGTTTCCTTGGCCAACTTGACGGTCAAGTCAACAACGGAAACGTCGACGGTTGGGACTCTGAAAGCCATACCGGTCAACTTACCTTGCAAGACAGGCAAAACCTTACCGACAGCCTTGGCGGCACCGGTGGAGGATGGGATGATGTTACCGGAAGCGGTTCTACCACCTCTCCAGTCCTTTTGGGATGGACCGTCAACGGTCTTCTGGGTGGCAGTCAAAGAGTGGACAGTGGTCATCAAACCTTCTTCAATTCCGAAGTTGTCGTTGATAACCTTGGCCAATGGAGCCAAACAGTTGGTGGTGCACGAGGCGTTGGAAACAATGTTTTGGTTCTTGTATTCCTTCTCGTTGACACCCATGACGAACATTGGGGCGGTGGAGGAAGGAGCAGTGATGACAACCTTCTTGGCACCAGCGTCGATGTGCTTTTGGGCGGAGTCCAATTCCTTGAAGACACCGGTGGAGTCGATAGCGACGTCAACACCAAGTTTGCCCCATGGCAATTGAGCTGGGTCTCTCTCTTGGAAGACGGCGATCTTCTTGCCACCGATGATCAAGGTGTTGCCCTCGTAGGACACTTCACCGTCGTATCTACCGTGGGTAGAGTCGTACTTGAACATGTAGGCAGCGTAGTCGACCGAGATGAAAGGGTCGTTGATGGCCACGACTTCCAAGTCGCTTCTGGCCAAGGCGATTCTCAAGACGATTCTGCCGATTCTGCCGAATCCGTTGATAGAAACTGTGGTAACCATTTTAGTTGTTGATGTGTTTGTTGTTTGGGAGTTCTAATGATGTTCTCTGGAGAATTAAAAGAGAGAACTTAAGTTGAACAAGACCAAACATCAATCTTTCGCCGCCCTTATATACACTTCCCAGCCGCACGGGCCCTTACCATGCGTGGTCTTACAGGCCCTTACTGTCGTTGATTTGTCGTCGTGCGCTCTTGCTTCCACTCCATTTGCGTAATGACATGGCGCCATTCGCCTATGCAACAGCAAACTCGTTGGTGCTGCCATCTTCTTAGTTCCAATCGGACTTACGTGGAGACTACGCTACATAGATTGAGATACCTGATGGTTGTTCGTTGGCTGGGTCGACTGTTGGTGTCAGTGGAGTTGAAATGGTGGTATTTTCTCGAAGAAGTAGTTGTTGCTAACCTGGCACCTGGTGATTTTTCACAGGAAGACAGGAAGTTGAAAAATTGAGAGAGGAAGCGGAGGACATTAGAAGAGAATTGGTAGGAATGATGTGATTACGAGGTGTGAAGGAACAAACGTGTGAGGGATCGGACAGTGGTGGAGCGATATCGAGAAATGTGATGAGGAGATTGAGATGAGTAATGGGAAAAGCGATGAGGATCATTGTCGACGATATCGCTGTTGACGGGTGTCGGAATTGTGAATAGTGATGTGTGGCCAGCACGAGGATATAGAGATGCCGGTGAGCCTGGGTGAGCGTGAGCATGCACTGTCAGCCAGTTGTGATGCGGTGTTGTTATTTCAATGCCACTCTACTTGTTTGTGGCCCTCACTGATAGTGAAAGTGTCCGGTTGCATAATGACATACTAGTAGATAGTGATACGAAAAAACGAGCGAAAAGACGAGCGCTCGACAAGTGGGCTATACTATACTGCTAATGTATTGCACCTCTATCGCGCCCAACTTGCGCTTCCACGTCTCTCTTGTGGATCCCAGAGTTGTTTACTCAATGATTACTTACGCTAACAAAACATTATTCTCATAACAAAAAACAATGAGAAAAGCTACAACTTTCTGCAAACAACAAACCAATCCTGGTGAAGGTAAGCAGACGCCAGCGAGCTTCTATTGCAAGTTTTCTTGCCGAACTGAACCAGCCGCAAGAAAGCTGTATCCCAAAGGTTTCATAGTAGCTCTCCAGCCCAATTCAGCAACAGCTCGACATAATGTCGTTTGGTCACGACTATCAACCGCGCTCGCAATGCATTCTTGTCGGTGTGCACAAGTAGGAAACCAGTCCCGGTGAAAGTTAGCAGATACCAGCAAGCTTCTACTGCAATATTTCTTGCTGAACTGGACCGGCCTCAATAGAGCTCGTTTCCAAAGGTTTTCGAGGCAGTTCTCCAGCCCGAATCAGCAAGAGCTCGGCTTTCTTGCTCAGTCACGACCATGAACCGTGCGTTTGTTGCAATGGCTTCTTGTTGGCGAATGGACAACGATGCTGAGTTCTCGATATTCACCAGATGTCAGTATAGTACAAAGTGATATATATATATATGCCAGCGACAGCCTAGTGTGGCAGCAAAGGCGCTTTCGCCAGCTTTGCATACAGCGGTGCTTCTGATTCGTAAAATCGTCGTTATAGCCTTAGAAACCCCAGGCTCGAATCTCGCTGGTGCGACTTCCAGCCTCTTTGCGAAGTGCATCGCAGAGCCAACTCCGAAAACGTCTCGTCTCGCCAGCGCGCTTAACGAAAAATTCCAAAATTCCCAGGCACTGGAACAAAGATTGATCCACATCCAACTGCAGATTCTCGCATACGCTACCTCTACGTCTGCCCCCTACTCCTACGCTACTATACTAGTCTCACTTTCCGGCGGATTCTGCATGCTCGTTTACCCAACGCTTTTCCTCTTCGAACCCCGTCTCGAACCTACAAACCACCCTGAAGGTCAAGTGAAATTTTCCTCGTACGCAGCTGCCCCACTTTCACGCAACCTTTGGAGTTACAGAGTCCTGGCACACTTTTTATGTGTTCAGCTCTGAGCCGTTCCACTTCGACATACCTTGCTGGTGAAGTCATCGGTATATAAAGAAGACGGTCCGGAAACGCTTAGTGAGTACCATCCCGGTATAAAATCCTAAAAACCAAGCAAAAGCAGGCTACATGCCACCCTCAAATATGGTCTAACACATCAACAACTTCAGCCGCTGGCCTTCGACGAACCCATTCATCGGTTTCCAAAACCGTTGGCGCCCGGTCACATGTCAAGGAAACACGTGAATGACACGCGAAAAGCACATGCTCATACTCTAAAGTCCTTTTCCCACTATAAATTTTTTTTTCCCGTTCCTGTTGCCAACGGGCCCAATATCAAAGATTTTCCATCTCAAATTCATCTGGTGATGCCTTAGAAGAAAGACAGGTGGTGCTGAGTCTGCGCAACTGCAACCGTTTCTCGGACTAGCAAACACCAGACGCGCTTCGAGTGGGAATATCTCCGATGCTGGGCTTCCTGGAGTGGCAGAAGCAAGCTTGAAAAAAAGCAACTCACGGGATTTATGGTGTGGTGGTGATGCTCTAGATGCGAACTCTACTCTCCGCCGCAAGTGTCAACTTAATCACTGGAAGGTCGTACCACTGGCGCTAGGTTTCGCTGCCAGGAATTCTGGCTCATCGGGTGAGATGTCCAAAAGAAAAAAAAAGTGGGCCGGAGCGAGCCAGCACCCGGGTCGTACTTTCAGTCGGCCCTTGCCGTCTCTCTCTGTCGATCGTGCTGGAAAATACGCCCACCAGCTCTCGTCGCGTGTCAAAGTGGTCTTATGCTTTGCCCTCGAGTTTGGATCTCGAGGACGAGTATATAACTACGTGCCATATCAGGTTTTTGAAGAAGAGGGTACTGTATTATCTCGTTTACTATATATTCTCATACTCCAGAAATCATTAGCTATACTCCTCTAAGTATAACTAGCCACAGATTTACACATATCCAAAAAACTCCATTCTAAACCCTAAAATGGCTACTCCACACATCCCAAAGACCCAAAAAGGTGTTATCTTCTACGAGAACAACGGTCCTCTACAATACAAGGACATCGATGTGCCAACCCCAAAGTCCACTGAGCTTTTGATCAACATCAAGTACTCTGGTGTCTGCCACACTGACTTGCACGCCTGGAAGGGTGACTGGCCTCTAGGCGTTAAGTTGCCTTTGGTCGGTGGTCACGAAGGTGCCGGTGTCGTTGTCGCCATGGGTGAGAACGTCAAGGGCTGGAAGGTCGGTGACTTGGCCGGTGTCAAGTGGTTGAACGGCTCGTGCATGTCGTGCGAATCGTGCGAACTTGGTAACGAGTCCAACTGTCCAGAAGCCGATCTTTCTGGTTACACCCACGATGGTACTTTCCAACAATACTGTACCGCCGATGCCGTCCAAGCTGCCAAAATCCCAGCTGGCACTGACTTGGCCGAAGTTGCCCCAGTCTTGTGTGCTGGTATCACTGTCTACAAGGCTTTGAAATCCGCTCACTTGGAAGCCGGCCAATGGGTCGCCATCTCCGGTGCCTGTGGTGGTCTCGGATCCTTGTGTATCCAATACGCCAAGGCCATGGGTTTCCGTGTCGTTGGTATTGACGGTGGTGAAGGTAAGGAAGAACTATTCAGACAATTGGGTGGTGAGACTTTCATCGATTTCCGTACCTCCAAGGACGTTGTTGCCGATGTCATCAAGGCTACCAACGGTGGTGCCCACGGTGTCATCAACGTTTCCGTCTCCGAGGCTGCTATCGAGTCTTCTACCAACTACGTTAGATCCAACGGTACTGTTGTGCTAGTCGGTCTACCAGGTGGTGCCAAGTGTAAGTCTGACGTTTTCAACCAAGTTGTCAAGTCTATCTCCATTGTCGGTTCTTACGTTGGTAACAGAGCTGACACCAGAGAAGCTTTGGACTTCTTCGCTCGTGGTATGGTCAAATCTCCAATCAAGGTTGTTGGCTTGTCTACTCTACCAGAAGTCTTCGAGAAGATGGAAAAGGGCCAAATCGTTGGTAGATACGTCGTCGACACTGCCAAATAAGCGGATGTTTTTGATAGATTAAACGTTTATGTAATGAGCTCTTTATGTTAATGAAAGAAATGTAAGATGATAAAGCCTGATAACTGCTGTGGTTATAATAAACAAGTAAACTTACAGCTAAGTGGAGCTACAAGTGACCAAAAAAGAATCCAATAATTCTAGCAATCCGTTCTTGATTGCAAACGCAAAAAATCTGTCAAGCCTTAAAAAATTTATACGACAGGTCTTGTCTGCTGTAAGGATTATCTACTGGCTCTTTGAGATATCTTTCCATAGCTTTACAGTCATTTCAAGTTTCCAGTGTCAGTTTTCTATGCTAACTAAAAATTTTCAATATTTTCGAAAAACTTCAGATCGATACTAGAGTTAGAGAATCAAACACCGTTTTGGCCAGCCTCAGCCCTCCTTTTGTGCCTTGAATTTTGCCATGTTCACCAGGCTATGCAATACTGCTAGAATAGCAGTAACGGGTGGCGGGTTCCAATGTCGAAACTTCTCCAGTTCTTTCTGTTTGAGTAAGGATTACACTTTGCAACAAACCCGCATTGTTCCCAAGTTGACCACTTTTTACTCTGCCAATCCACATCACGAAGACCGCATCGATCGACTTGAAGCTCTCTTGCGCAAATACGTGAAATTGCCTACGATGCAGGTGGCTCCCAAAGAGAGACCTGCGTGGCTGTCCTTCACCGAATATGGGCTGATAGGTGGTGGTACTCGTCTAAAGCCTATCCAGTACCAGCAATTAGTACATCTACTGAATAGATTACATTCTATTGAGCCCGAATTGACCAACGATGAAGTCACCATCGAGCTCTCTCAATATTTCAAGAAAACCAAATTACAATCATCACAGGGGTCGGTAAAGACGCTCGATGAATTCGGTAGAAGTGTTGCAGTAGGTCGTAGAAAAACCTCGACAGCAAAAGTGTATCTAGTCAGAGGTTCTGGTGAGATTTTGGTTAACGGCAGACAATTCAACGACTATTTTGTCAAGATGAAGGACCGTGAATCAGTTGCGTACCCGTTGAAAGTTGTTGACAGCATTGGCAAATATAATGCGTTTGTAACCACCTCAGGAGGTGGTATCACTGGACAAGCCGAGGCCACCATGCATGCGATTGCCAAAGGTCTTTTGATTTTCAACCCTCTGCTGAAACCCAGACTTCACAAGGCTGGAGTCTTGACCAGAGACTACAGACAAGTTGAAAGAAAGAAACCAGGTAAGAAGAAGGCTAGAAAGATGCCAACTTGGGTGAAGAGATGATGGGATGGATAACACAACACGAGCAAAAGATTAATAAAACACACAAATGGCATTCAACACACTACAACGGTTCTTGTACATAAAATATATAACCAAGTCCCATGATCGTTATTTGTTCTCATAGTAATTACTGATTTGTTATCGCTTGTTCGTTCTCGCTTCTGGTGCATCGCGCTCCAGTTTTTGCCGAAGCAGTGTTTGCAAATCTTGAGACTTTCGCAGCATGAGCATCAAATCTTCAGGAACAATAGTCTCGCGGCCCGCATGCTTCGCAAACGCCTCCAGGTCGCAACCAATGTCAACAAGTTGCGTAAAACTCAGCTCGACCAGTGCATTTATAAATTTTGGCGAGTAATTCACACCATTCGGCAGCTCCTTCTTAACCTGCTGTTCCAAACAATACCACAGCTTGCCCTTGAGCTGGGGTATCAATTTTTGGCGGTAATCCTCCTCAGTATTTTCCATCTTGTTGGCCTCGAGACCTCGAGCCCAGATTCAATCTGAATTTTACCAATTCAACTTTTAGCATCCCCCTTCTACTACTTTAGATTCTTGAAAACCACTTCAAATACGAACTACGAGGAATTTCGATATCACATCAAGTTTCAGAAGAAGTGTCCAGTACCTAAAGACTAGCGGTTGGTGTCAATTGAGCAATTGACTAGTTTGAGCTACATTAGCTTCTTCAAATACCGATAAGCTAATATAGGTCTTGCCTCATGAATAAGTACACTGTTACTTACGGATTAGTACCACCTCAGAGCACCAATATACATGAGTCGCACATTCTTCCTGTAACGAAGATTGTTCAATCTCGAAGCTACTCAAACTTGATTCTAACATGCGGAAGAGATGGTACTGTTATAAAGCACACCGAAAAGGGCGGGGTATGGCAAAGGCTGAGAATGCAGACCAGTAGTGATTGGGTCAGCGACATAGTAGAGTTGGACCATGACCGCTTCATAGTAGTGAGCCATGATTTCTTCGTTTGTCTCGTAACGCTGAACCCAGAGAACGATACTTGGACCAGCCGGATGATAGGCTATCATGATGATTATGTGAAGTGTGTCGCAGCTCTCGATAAATCAGGGTCGGATGATTGGACATTTGCTACTTGTGGCCTCGACATGAAGGTCAAGATTTGGAGGTTGCTAGAAAACGGCTCATCTACGTTGCTGCACACTGTTGACAATAGCCAGCCCGAAGGAACTGGGTCTTTATACGCAATGATCTCAATACCTGTGGGGGATCTACCGTTTGACTTAGTAGCTGGTGACAACAACGGAAACCTGATACTTATATCCAGCGAATCAGGCGGGAAAAACTGCCTAATCTCTTCTGCGCATGATACCAACATTAAACAACTTCATTTGATGAATGACGGCTCTTATATTATCAGCACAAGTGCTGATGGTGTTATAAAGCTCTGGGATACTCGAAAATTACACATCAGCGGCGGTTCAGAAGCCCTAGTGCATTCCTGGAAATGGGAATCCCCTGTATGGTGCATTCAAGGCACGGTCTTTAACCAGTTTACTGTGGGCGATTCGCGTGGTGTTATTACGAGAGTAAGCATATTGGATGACGCATGGGATTCCCCGCAATTGACGACTATTGTCTCACCGCCACAAACCACTACCAAAGGTATACTAGCGATGCTCGACCGTGGTGACGATAAACTCTGGTACTCTTACTCTGGAGATTCAAATTTGCATACACTTGATACAAAAACTGGCATAGTGGAAACATTGAAAGGCGGGTATGCTTTGCTGAAAAGTTCCCTACTCACAAACAGACGACAAGTCATAACTCAGAATACTGAAAGCACTATTCAAAAATGGGACATTGTATCTTGCGAGCTGCTGGAAACATTCGACGCTGCAATGGGAAATTTTGATGACATGGTCAGTAGTCACAACACAAAGGAGATTTTGCCGCACTGGTGCTCAGTTTCCATCAAAACTGGTAAACTATTCGTCAAACTTTCGCCAAAATTCTTGAGTACCGAGGTATACGGAAGCGCCCTTGAGCATTACAATGTCGTAAACGATATCAAAATAGAAATTGATGAGCGTTATAACCTAGGAAGGATCGCTTTGAATTCTCTTCTTAATGAATTTATATCCTACATCATCGCAAAGGATAAAAGTTTCAGAAAAGAGCTTGTAGCCAAGAAGAGCTCAGTACCAGGGTCTCCATCTCAGGCTCCAACAGATTCTTCGCAAAGCGAAACTATCAGACCGTCCTTTAAAGACAAACGAAGGCTTTCCTTGTTCACGAAGTTGTCGACGAATAACAAACAGTCGCCAACACTCACGTCACTTCCAAACACGCCTCTAATGCTCGAAGGATCTTCGATACCCACAGATGATTCTTTCGCTTTGCCGCCTCCTGCAACGGCGCCACAGGATTCTGACTCTGCCAAATCTGCAAAGCCCGAGCTACCTAAAGCTCCCCTACTGGCAAAGAGGTCAGCAAGCACAGGATCTCTTCTTGCCCAAAAGCTAAAATTGCTCTCTACCAATACGAGTAGCCAGGCGTCAAATTCTAGTGATGTAGGGAATCAAACTTCAGAAAATAAAACTGCGCCAGTAGAGAATGTGCCTCAGACATCTGGCGAGGATTTGGAAGGTCTGAAGTGGAGTACTCTTAACAATCATCAAAACGACGAAAAGAAGCTAATTGAAGGTAACTCCGAACATGATAAGGATGCCAAAGTTGGATCCGATAGTTCAGAGCAGAAGCAAAAGTTCCTATCTGACTTTCTCGTGAAGTTGCGGGACGAATACATTAAGGAATTTGATGCAACGACATCTTTTAAAATTTTGGGACGCAAACCGCCCAGCTCTAAAATAACGAGAGAAGACAAATCTCCTATCATCGAAATCAAAGCCGGTGTTTTATTACTAGTGAACTGTTGGAAAGAGGGGTCTTCTGGTGACACTGTTTGTTTTTCAACCTACTTACCTGCTCCACAATATGACGATACAGGGCGTTCTGACAAAACTCGCGATCATCAGATATTCGACAGTCTGGAGAGCAACCTCCCATATTGGACTGCTCAGGCACTGTTTAAGGATGAGAAAACTGCGAAAGATTACCCCAAATTGACCTTTGTTCTGAAACCGTGGCAGAATCCTGACCTACAGCATAATCCAGAGCCCGCTCACACTTCCGAGGAGTCTCAAACACATCACAATCATCATCATTTGTCTTTCCACCGTCATAAGCACAATGACCGCAATAACGAGCGTAAACCTAAACCCCTACCAATTGTGGCAGACGCCTATACCAAATTACACGCGCCTAGCATGATTAAAGTAAAGAAAATTTTGAACTATGTGGTGGATCGGTTTGACACCAAAACTCCGGAGATGAAGGCTCGGACCCCAATTACCGAATGGCTCGAAATTATGTGCAAAAATCAGTTGCTTGATAACGAGATGGCGCTCAGCAGTGTCAAGACATTATACTGGAAGTCCCAAGGTGATATTATACTGGAATACCGTAGAAAAGCAAATCGCACCGACTAGTGTCACATTGAAGCATGGTGACTTGGAGAGGCATAAAAAGAGGGCGCTAGACTACAACTACCCGCTGACGTAGGCTAACAAAGGGTGATTGCAAGCCTCAATGGTCACCGCAATGCTATATAACTCTCTTGATGAGAGCGGATATGCCACTCTAATCTCGAAAAGTTGTTAATATCTTTAAACATGGATGGGAGTTAGACAGCACTGTGAGCTGAATTATGATCATCAATCCTACTTGCAGAGCTGCTTAAGAAGGAGAAAGCTTCACTCCCATTGATGAATTTCAAACATTTAATGCCATTTTTAATGAAAGGGCGTTAGGGAGAGAATTATGTGCTATGTTCAAGTACTTGAGTCAAGAGAGAACATGTGAGTGTAATTCGGAACACCAAGGGAAACTGGAGAACCCAGCTCTAAATCTCTGTATGGCTCAAATTTCTTCTCTTCCTACCTGTGGATTGCTGATGGCATGATAGACGGCCGAAGGTTGAAAAAAATTTTAAAAGTTCATCTCATCTCGAATATTGATCTTCGCGATAGGTAAAACAAGTGTGGGAAAGACAAGCTTCCAGTGGCTCTTTATAGGTTGGAAACATGGATCAAGAAAACGAAAGAAACGTATCAAGACTATGGAGGGCTTTTAAGACCGTGAAAGAAATGGTCAGGGACCGTGGATATTTCATTACGCAGGAAGAAGTTGACCTCTCGCTCGAGGACTTCAAAGCTAAATATTGCGACTCGATGGGCCGCCCACAGCGTAAAATGATGTCATTCCAATCTAATCCTGTTGAAGATTCTATGGAGAAATTCCCCAACATGGGATCGCTTTGGGTGGAATTCTGTGACGAAGCTTCGGTTGGTATTAAGACCATGAAGAACTTTGTCATTCACATCAGCGAAAAGAACTTTCAAACCGGTATTTTCGTTTACCAGAATGGTGTAACGCCTAGTGCCATGAAACTGCTGCCATCGGTGGCGCCAGCAACTATCGAGACCTTCCACGAAGCGGCTCTAGTTGTTAACATTACCCACCACGAGCTGGTTCCCAAGCATATCAAGTTGAGTGACGAGGAGAAAAAGGAGTTACTTAGAAGATACAGACTGAAAGAGTCTCAACTACCTAGAATCCAGAGGATGGATCCGGTTGCATTATATCTAGGTTTGAAAAGAGGAGATGTCGTTAAAATCATTAGAAAGAGTGAAACTTCTGGACGTTACGCAAGTTACAGAGTGTGTTTGTAAAATACTGGAAATAGAATGAACCCCCATAAAAGAATTGTTGATGTTATCGCTGTTGTAGCTGTAGTCTCAAATTCTTTGCATTTCAATAATATCAATAAAGAAGCATTTTTAAGTTAGCATTGGATTTTACGGAGCCTGGCGGCCATAACAGCATCGACTGTGCCCTTCCACCAGGTTATGTTGTCCAGCTCAATCTCCCCGGCAGGCGGGCTAACCTCGACCCCTTGCTGGCCTAAGTACTTGGCTCCGATTGTGACTATAAGACTGTCAACCACGGTTGGTTGCGATAACAATTCGTTAATCACAATTGCGCCACCTTCAGCCATGATTGAAGTGATTCCGTATTCACTCTTAAGTAGTTTAAGGAGATGGAGCCAGTCAAAACGTCCTTCGACGTTTAGCGGTGCTTCAAGATACGTGACATCAAGATTGGCATCAAGATTGGCAGGTCTCTTTAGGACCACGATTATTGGCGATTTACCGCTGTTTTGAGATTTCAACTCCTGCATTTTGGAGCCAGAATACCCCCATTTGCAGTGTGGATCAATGATGATGGGCCGTGGTGAACAACGCCAACTCACGGTATCTCCTATGGGGCTCCATTTGCAATTCAAACCAGGGTCGTCAGCCAAGGCCGTGCCGCAACCAATCAAAATCCCGTCATGGTGGAACCTCAAATAATGTGTCATAGTCTTAGTTTCTAGGTGTGAAATAACCGTTCTTTGACCTTTGCCTTTTGAAATTCGAGAATCTAAAGACTGAGCATATGTTAGGGTTAGAAAGGGCTTTGAACAGTCATTTTTGAATTGCGTCGCGGGCAAATACTCTTTTAGAAAGGGTATCAAGTCCTCCGGCAGTGGAATCAGCGCCATTGTATTTACTGTTGAATGAGTTGTGTAGTATGCTTTTAAAGTTGACAAACTCTAACCAAGCATGCACATGGTTCTTCAGTTGTCGTCATAAACGTCCACTATGGAATTAACGATCGCCCGGTTAAATCACTGAGTATTCGTTCTCAGCATCTTCAACCTCGCGGGGATGCGCCGAGCGAAGTATTATGTCTTTCTTATTAAGCGATTGTGGGTTGTATCTCTTGTGTTTCTCGCCTCTTGACTCTCGAGTTTTCAGTTTCCGTTTCCCAGAATCACCGACTAGAGGAAGAGGTTTACTAGACTGAGCAGAGATGTTGATTGATTCTTGATTTTGTTTTCGAGGATCGTCAAGTATCCTTTCTTGAGAAATAGAGTAACTCTTGGCGAAATTATCAGTATTCAAACCACTTGCCAGTTTTGCGTATTCGCGATCCTCAAGTTCCCTCTGTTTCTCTTCCAAGATTTGACGCCAGCGGACTGCACGAATTTTTTGTCTTTCTTCCCATTGCGCACGCTCGGCTTCTGGATCTTTATCGTCGTTGTCATCGAGCGTCATAATGTCCTTAAGAAGGTCTTGATCCGCGCTAAAATTGCAAGCAGCAACTGCAGCGAGTTCCTCAGCCTTTTTAGCTCTCTCTCCTTCTTCTCGTACTCGCGATGCTACTGCTGTGTGTGCCTCCTGGCCACCAGTTGAGTTGCGCTTCCGCAAATCCTCCGTAAGACCAGATTTCTTCGTCCGTTTTAGAAACACAGGTTTATGGAGTGCGTAGTCGTCTTCACTTGATGAAGTATCAGAAGATTCGTCGCTTGATGCAGTGTGTTCACTTTCTGTATTCTCATTCTCCGCGGCTGGCTTTTTGTCTTTGGATTCTATATTAGCACCTGCTGCCACGTTCTCTGGTTCTACCACCTTCTCTAACGGTTCTTCATCGTCACTCAGCTCAAGTTCCAGACTAGCTGACTTGTGAATAGTTTCTTCCTCACCAGTTGCTCTTGAAACGGATTGTACTTCACCAACTCTTTGATCTTCGCAGGAGGATTCGTCTGAAGAACTTGATACATCTTCGGGGATTTCCTTGCGCCTAAAATGTCTGATTGCCATTACCGCGAGCCTCAGATAATCAACCCTGAGAGTGTTTAGATCCACCCGCTACAGTTAAATGTGCAAGGATTAGAATCAAATCTACGTGCGAAATTATGTGTTCATATTATCCAAATTTATTAAGTTGGCTACCTATGAGCTTGACATAATGCAGAGCATGTTTTCAGCGTCACTGTAACGTTGCCATATATTTTACTGAACTTCAAGATATGCTAGTTTTTATGTTTTATTCGTCATAAGATTTCCATAGATTTATGTATTATGTGTAGAGGACAAGCAGTTCATTGGTGTTGTCTGCCGCCGCGCATCGAACCGTGGCACCCACCTTTGCGGCCGCGCTGTCCTTTGTTAGCCTCCTTTTTGTTTTCGGGGCTACTCTTTCTCTCATCTGATTCATCTTCGGAGTTGGAAGCGCCATGGATGGGTTTAGATTCGCGATCATGTTCGAAAAAAGATTCCTCATGGTCCTCTAGATGTCCAAAATCTTCGTGCTTGCTAGGAGCCAGAATCTTGCGAGCTCTTCTCTCGTCGTGGTCGTCGTGGTCGTCGTGGTCGTCTTCTCCATGTGGTCTGGGGTTAAGTTCAGCACTTGGGCCATCTTCCCTGTGTGGTCTGGAGTCAAGTTCAGCATTTGAGCCAGTTTCTTGATCAAGCTCGTGCATCTTGACACCATGGTGGCCCGGCCTTGAGTGATTGAAAGCGCCGTGGTAATCCTCGCCGCTAACTGTACCGATATAGGCTCTATCGCCAAATCCGCCAATAAAGTAGACCTCACTGACGTCGAGCTCAAACCACTTGGCGTCGTGAACCTTATCGTGTTCACCGTCTGGAATCCACCAGCGGGCATCCGGATGCCGTTTCAGGAAGCAATGCTCAAGGGCCTTGGACTTTTCAAGAGGTTTCAACTCGCCAAAATAGTTGGCTCTGGGCGAGGCCATGGCAGGCTTCCCAAAACCGTGGTGCGCTTCAATCGAGACGGAAAGTTTCGAATCGGCGTTCCAGTTTTGGTACGTTGAGCTCATGTTGAGCAACAGCAGAATGATGTTCCCGTTGCTGGAGGTCTCGACGCCCCTGCAGGTGTCTGATCCTACAAAATACTCGACAAATGACACTGGTGTCCCGGACTTCTCATCAATGGTGTTTGCGTGCAACAAACCTTCGTGCAGAGCCAATTTGCGGGCTATCTTGGCAGCCGCATCGGGTCCCATGTACTTTTCCTCTATTGTATCGGCTTTCTTATGACCAGTGACATAGTCCAGTGCCAATATAAGGGCAGTGCCCAAACCAGTGAACTTCATTGTTAGTTGGTGTTACAGAATAAAGTAGGAGATGAAGAAGCTCTTGGTTTTCTTGTTCACTTATAAGCCTCTTTGCCAAGAATTGGATGAGGCGGAGTGCAGGGTGCAGTTAATTATCCGCGTGCACCTCACGTGCATTGATTGTTCAAAACGAGCCACGAACTTGCTAGAGCAAGCGGTGTTGAAGTCGCGAGCGTTCGATAACTCGACAGCTCTAGCACTCTTTAACCTTCCCTCTATCGAGTTTTGTACTCGACGTTTTTCGCAATTGGGGCATTTTTTTGTTGAAGAGATACGTCCTTCGTAGACTTCAACCACTCGAGTATCAGAAAGTCCCTGCGCAATCCTGAATTAACAAATATGAACGAGACGAGTTCGTTTTCGTAAGCACAATGGTTGACTTCATGGAGAGTACATATGTAGCGTTCGCAGATATGCCTGTTATATTGGAATCGATAAGAGTTCTCAGGTATTTGACCGCTTCCCCGATACGAGAAGCGAAAGCGCAGGAGAAAAGTCTTTTGCCCACTTGATTGAAACACGCGCATGATTTACATATATGCCCGCCTGCTTAAGAATCCCAGTGTAAAGCTATTCCCCCGCTTTAGCGATGCTGCTGATAGAATGGTAAATGAAATCGCGTATACCACCCGCTTTTCAGTTACAAGTTGTACTTGCGGGACCAGTTCTGGCAAGGCTCTCGTTTCCTTTTTGTGGATAGTTCGATCGTAAAGCTGTCGAGAATTGGGTGGCTTCTGTCCGTTACGTCCAAGACCAGTGTTTGAGAGTTTTCTTTTGCTCGACGATTGGGTCAAGTTTGAGTGTTCAAGCTCTGGTTGTATTAGTACGCTGCTGCGTTGTGTTTTGATAGCAGAACAGCAGAAAGTTCAACAGAAGCTGGGGGAGGGGCAAACCTACTGAGAGTGCTGGATCACGGAATCTCCCAGACTCGAAATAATTTCTTTCAGCCGCCGAGGCTTATTAGCAACCTATCCAACCACTGTATAATAGTATGAGCAATAGGAGACCTCGCATCGGTCTGTTACAAGTGGAGGTAATTTTTGAGGCATAGCCGCCCACCTGACAAATGGAAAACCCTGGGACATAGCTAGGGGATTGGTATAATAGATCGTTGAGGTAGAGAATGTCGTCCTTGGAATTATCCAAATGCCCTTGGCCATCAACATGAGCATTCGACAACCCCTAATGTTCGGGAAACTCAAGGTGTAAAATATACATCCAAAGATTACCAGTAAACAAAAGCCAGCTAACAGATCAAACTAGCTAGAATGGACACTAAATCAACAGGAGCGCTATTAATTCATTATAAGGATTCGCAAGAGACGAGAAGATAACCATTCAAGCATGATGTTCATCAAGTACACTGGTCCGGTCCTGTTTCGCAATTGTATTGAAAAAGCTCCATGGTGAAATAAACATCACATAACACGAAGCGTATAGCTTTAAAACCGTAACATTGAAGTCTCGCTATTACAGATCTGCTTCGAAGGGTCCCAGTTTCATAAATTTTGGCGCTAGCAAGACTCTGAAATGATCAAATCAACGCTAATCTTTAGAGACGATGGTATGTGGCAGCTTTGGGCTCCTTAGAACCGGTGTTTTCACAGGCTGTCTCCGTATACTAACACTTATACAGGTCTCCCACTATGCTCATCTGTGGACGATGATACCGACTCGCAATTGTCTGAACAGAGAAAGAAGGTCAAAGTATTGGTGTCGAGACTGACGCCAAACTCGGCTGACGAAGCCACGCTCGAAAGTGGGAGTTTTGAAATTCATTACATTCGTGAAAACATGGCAGCGTATTTTGTCATTGCTGAGAAAGGGTACCCCAGAAACTTGGCGTTTTCCTACCTGAAGGAGGTGGCCCAGGAGTTTGAACATTCCTACGGCAACGAGTACGGGAAACCCTCGGTTCGTCCTTATGCATTTGTCACATTTGATAACTTTTTGCAGAAAACCAAGAAGCTCTACAGCGACAAACGGGTCCAAAACAACTTGGATCAGCTGAACCAAGACCTGAGCGGCGTCAAGCAAATAATGACCAAAAACATCGAAGACTTGCTCTACCGAGGAGACTCTCTAGATAAGATGAGTGATTTGAGCGCATCATTGAGACAAAATTCCAAGAAGTACCGCAAATCGGCACAGAAGATAAATTTCGATTTACTGATCAGTCAATACGCTCCGATTGCAGTTGTGGCATTTGTGCTTGTGTTTCTGATCTGGTGGGTGTTCTTGAAAAGCAAGTAGAGAATCCTTAACGATGGTATATAATTAAGAAACTTCTGAGCAGGTGGAGTGGTAGTGTGTTGTGGCGAATACAGCCGTAAGCATGCGCAGGGTGTTAATTATATCGATATCGGGTCAGTTGCCACAGGTACCTTGTTGCCGAAGGATTTTCTAACAATGAATACGGAGCGAAGGCATTTGTACCAAGCAGCGAAGTAATGTTTTCAGCGACCTGAAATGTGGGTATCACAAGTGGCCGGCTCATTCCTTTGATTCTTTTGACATACAAATCCTGGCAGTGGTCTGAAGAAGAGCAGCGAGTGCCCCGAAGATTGATAAATTTTTAAAAAAAACGTCAATCGCCCGTACACGCTAGAGCAATTGGTGCAATAACTTGCATCAAGAACAGACGCATGCCTAGCAAGCGAGCGGTGGTGTCTTCTTATTCGATTTACAGGCCAAATGACAGAATCGCAGCGCCAATTAAAATCCCACAGCCTTGTTAGAAATTCATGCGAACCAAATTAAACGGTTTGGAATTTTCGACTGGCTTGCCACGGTCCGAATGATGTTATTCAATCTCTCACTTCTTCGCTGGTTCGTTTCTGTCATCGAATCATCTCATCAACTAATCGCTGACGACGACAGAATACCTTTTTGCTCAACAAATGAATCTAGCAAAAAATCCCTTTATAAAAAAGCTGGGGTCTCCGGCAGTGATGAGAAAGTTAAATTCGTTGCTTTAGAATCAAATTTAGTCATAAACCGAACCTTAAAAAGTGTAGCTGCTTGAATCAAGAATTCCGGGACACATTATTCAATCAGAGATATAAGGCAGGTATTTTGCGCAAGTGACAAGTTCCTAACAAAGTTTGACAAGTCAGTATGAATTATTCGTCGTCCACTTCCAGTGGATCCACCCAGACTTCCAGCTTGCAGGAGCTTTTAGACAGGTTCAAATTCAACAGAGTCTTAGATTCGAATCCGCAGACCAAGGTGATCTCGTTGCTGGGCAGAATAGACGGCCACGATGCCATTGTCACAATGGAGAAAATGCACTTCACGTACGAGACTAATGTGTTGAAGAAAGAAAATGGCCGCAACACGCCGGTTTTGCACAGTTGCGAGGACGAATTTTCGTGTCTCAAGTCCATCGAGGCGATGCGGGAGATTGCGTCAAACGACATATACTACTGGGGCGCGGGTTTGCTGAAACAAGATCTCAACCGAAACCCAACGGCCAAGATCAACCTTGTATGGCCAGCCACGCCAGTCCACATCCGCAAATTCGAGGTGCAAAGCTTCCATGTCATTCGCGAGACGCCGGAAATTTATCGCAAAGTCGTTGAACCTTATATTGAAGAAATGACCAGCGAATCTCGCCTCAAGTGGGTCCAAAACATCTTGTACAATGGTGCTGAGTCAGACCGGGTGGTGTACAAAGATTTTGTTGAGGGGGAAGCCCCCAAGGGGTTCTTGATTTTGCCTGACATGAAATGGGACGGTGTTAACTTAGACGCATTGTATTTGGTTGCTCTTGTCTTCCGTAGCGATATCCGGTCACTTAGAGATCTAAAGCCAGAGCACAAACCCTGGCTTATTGAAGTTCTCAATAAAATTAGAACTGTTATCCCTGCTTGCTACAACTACGCAATTCACCCCGACGAGCTACGAGTCTTTGTTCACTATCAGCCTTCTTATTATCATTTCCATATCCACATCGTCAACGTCAAACACAGTGGGTTAAGCGATAGTATTGCTGCGGGTAAAGCGATTCTTTTAGAAGACATTATTGAACAATTGGGTTTCTTGGGCGAGGATGGATTTGCAGGCAGAACTATAACTTATGTTTTGGGCGAAAATCATGATTTATGGAGATTAGGCATGGAGCAGGAAGTTTCCCGCCAATTAAGGGAAGATGGAATTCCCAAAGCGCCCAAAATTGTAAGTGATTTCAATTCTTAGCGTAATGAACTGAGAGGTGTCAATTTGGCCGCTGTGAGTTGAGAGTTGTTTGTTAAGTTGTTGTTTGGATTATGAAATCGATTATAGCTTGAGTTTCAACCATAGTCCTAGAAAGGGGCTGAAGTTAAATCGCGAGTATCGATTTCGGGTTTTGGTTTTGAGTTTGTCCCGATTGCCTGCCATTTTCTTCCAGAAAGAGATCAATGAATTTAAAGTAAGTAACGAAGTAAAAGAATAAGTAATTTAACATTTAGGTTTTGAAGAAAGTGTTAGGTATTTAGCTCGAGTTGCTTTGCGGGCGACAGTTAGCAACATGTACCATGACAAAGAGAGACGCAATCACAGCAGACAAACACGATCGGCAGAAGAGAGCGAAATTGACCGCCGAGGACGGTAAGGAGGACATCAATAGTGGAATTGATGAAGAGGACTACATGACTATGATTATAGGTGATGACAGTCCGGTACAGGCGAAACACCAAACACAATCCCAATCTCAAAAGGTCGACAGAAACCAAGAACAAGCCTCTAAAATTTTACCGAAAGGCTTTGCCATGATGAGTAAGATGGGATTCAAGTTAGGTGAAGCTTTGGGGCAAAATGAAGAGTCCGCAATCAAAGAACCCATATCAGCCAGCATACGTCGAGGCCCAAGGGGTATTAATATTTCGCAGCAACCATCCAAAGAGGAAAACTCGTCTGCAAATGAAGCGGATTTTCAAAGGTGGACTCAAAATAATGGCGAAAGATCGAAGAAGATGCATACGCTCCATAAAATGCAAAAGATGGCACTTGAACTGAGCGGTGATGTTGATCGCTTTGAAATTGACAGTGATCCCAGGGACTTCAATTGTCTTTGGAGACGATACGTGATGGAATTACAACAGAAACTGAAACCCCCGGACTACAGCATTCAAGAAAAATCTCATCAGTCTGCTGATTTTTCTTCCAAGGCTCAAGACGTGGAGGCTAAAGTTGCTCAACACCGAGAACTTTACTCATCTTCCTTGAGAAACCGGGATCAAGACACCGAAACTAAGTTGTCCCCCAGTCGCGACTCAAGTTCTTCTGAGAGTGAAAGAGACGAGGAGTTATCAATTTTCGAAGAATTGTCTATTGATCAACAAGTGCTAGGGGTACACACACATCTACGAACCGGATTCTTTTACTGCATCTATTGCGGAGCACAATACTCTTCAGAAGAAGATTTATACAAGAATTGTCCTGGCCCCACAGAAGAAGACCATACTTAGCGTTTGCTGTAACAAGTGTTTGATCAGACACTGGTATTAACCATCCCATTGAGTCTAGTTATAATTAAGATCTCGGGATATAGATATTCCGTCAGAAGCGATTTATACTCTAATTTAGCCGACTTGCATTTTATCCAATAGAAGACATACAGGTGTTGAAGCTTTGTATAAGGAAACATATTAGGTGCAGCACTTTGCTAAAACCCGTGGTTAATATTGAAGCCTCAACTGAATGAGTTTAAACACAATACACAAGAGTTCGGGGCCTGATCGCTCTGTCTCAGCTGAAAATCCATTGAAGAAGGCTCAAATATACAATGACATATGCGAATACGAAGAGACCTTAAGCCGACTTGTTGCATCTGTAGACAGGTTTCATCCAGACATACAAGCGGTCAAAGATCTAATTGAGGCCGATAGAAAGCTTTCAGAAAGTTTGAAATCGCTGCCGAAATATGATGAGATAGATGCCAGAGTTAAGAAACTGGATCAAGAACATGAAGAAGCGGACAAGAAGACCGCCCGAATACTTGAGACCCTGACGGCATGTCACGACCAGCTCAATTCACTTCCCATGCTAGAACAAATAGAATTCGAGCGAGCGACCATGCTCAAACAACGAGAGAAAGTATTTACCAACGTTTTACTGGATTATGCTATGAAGTTAGCCAAGTTTACTCACGTACCACCTACGTTTGATAAAGGTACAGTCGGCCCCAACAATTTTGTTTGGCCTGCGGAAGACGCAATGAGAAGAGGAATGCTGGCTATAGCCTCTCTTAGAGCTTCTGGAAATGACGTTCCTCCAGAATTAATAACACAAGACAAAAATAATCAAGAAGAGAGTGGAGAAGTACACGAAGAAGCTACGGCGCCCACTGAGGAAGTAAGATTGGAAGCTCGTAGGCCCTCTTTCGAATTTGATAGTACAAGGATCAAAGAGCCTCAGGACGAAAAACATGATGATGACATAGACTTGGATTTAGATCTGTTCAATTCGGAGGAGTTTTAAGAAGAATAGCCCCCGGCTTTAAGTAAAAGAAGGTGTTAATAATGCAAGCTTGTTGTGATTTCCTAAGCAAATTGCTACAAATTGAATACTAAGTTAGTCCTCCTTCTTAAAAGGTTTTGGAGAATAAAAGCTGAAACTTGTTCTTCTTTGACCAGAAGACAATTCTCTTTTGAAGTTCTCGAAGGCCCTTTGCAAGTTGTGTTCCTCAATTTCTAGACCTTTTTCAGCTCTCCATTTGTCGTAAGATTCGAAAAACTCGCTAAACTCGCGTTTGGCTTCTTCAAAGTTGAGCTTATCAAAATTTGCCTCGGGAATCCCCAGATGCATATCACTCGGCAATTCACCTTGCTCGAATAGCCTCTTGGCCCTGGCAATATCACCTAATGGCCCAGCTTCCTCAAGCTCATCCTTCTGTTTCTTTTGTACGATAGCAGCGGCCTGATAAGACTTGAGATATTTGATCACAGGTTTTGCAAATGGACCTTTGAATGTAAAGAAGGTTGCAATGATACCCAAGTGAATGTAGAAGTATACTGAACGCCAGCATGCCAATGAGTCGGGAAGGTCCAAAATCACGAAAGGTTGCACCAAATAGCCAAATGCGAGCTTCATGACATAGAAGCAAATAACGTCGTAGAATATCTTAGAGGGCAGAGCCTTTCCATCAGCACTCAAAAATATCGGGCGCAAGTTTCGTCTGAACAATTTACCGCAAGTTTGATACAAGGCACCAGTAGCAAAACTTAGGTAGTACCCAGGTCTGGTTCCATGCCAGAATGCTGATGTCAAGAAAGTGAACAGGGTGCTGCGGAACCCTGGTCTGGATCCTGGCGCTACCACTCTTAAGTAGACGTAGTGTTTCAACCATTTGTTCGTGTTCATGTTCCAAGCTTCAAGGCCTTCATGTGTGTTAGAGGCGGTTTCAAATTTCCAAATATCTATATTGCGAACCCTATCCCATCTTATTTTCTTAGTCTTGGTGTCATAACCATTATAACCTAAGCCACATAAAATGCAGGACGCCTCAGACATGGTCCAAGCCGCATAGTACTTGAGTCGGAAAGTGAAGCTCAGAATAAAGAGATAATGGATCTTGTATAAAAAAGATTTTTGGCCATAGTCCGCAGTAAACATGAATTCCTTTGAGATGTAATTTGGAAGAATGGAAGAAAGCGTAATCCAAAATACGCCTTGGACAACACGCCATGATACCAACCAGCCACATTTCGGTATTTGTCTGCGCAAGTTGCGATCCGTTGTGGTCCATCTGCGTCTGGGCTTTTGTGCGTCTGGTAGATCCCGAAACACCTCACAATTGAGCCACGACTCAAAATCTGCGAAATCGAAACTAGGGCCTGTGAACAACGAAGGATAAAAAAAAGTATAGGCGAGGAAACTGAGTAAGCTTGGGTGCTTCTTGATAGCGCGAGTTTTCTGGTATTCCGAGAGTTTGCTTTGATCCAATTCCGTGCCGTCATGATATGACCATGCGAAAGATGTGAGTTTCATGACCAACACCATTTGAGCGCCTGTTATGTCGAGTTTAGAAGCATCTCGCGTGGTGAAGAATTGTGCTCCCAAATGACTTATTGCCAAATGCCCCATCACTACCACGAAGTTGAGGTACGGCATGAATTTGGAGCGGTAAAACCTGGAGATCACGTATGTGAACATCGAACTAATAAACAACGTGCGAAACCCAGTGAAGATGTTCAGAACTCCAAAGAGATAAAATGCTGAAATGCCCACAATGTACCAACATTTCAGTGTTATTCTGCCGTCTGGCAAACGTTTGAGCAAGGCGTTGAAGGGAAACGATGAAAAGAGACATATCGCCAGTTTCAATGTGACTTCATCGAGCCCGGTTTTGTCCGCCAGCTCCAAGATTTTCGACTCGATAGGATTAGCCATCTTGACTGGATTATACGCAGCTTAATATGCCACTAGGAACGCCTTCGGAGACTTCAGATTTTAAACAAAATCAAAGGTTTGGGTTCCAGAATCATAATTCCCTGTAGGCAGGCCAAAAAAATATACTGGCGTCTGAAGTGATGAGATCGCTGAAGGACGAACGACGACGTCCCTACACTCTAAGGCACCGTAGTGAGCCAGGTGTGTCGATGCTAGCTGAGTTATCTAACTATGTGTGCCTGACTAGCTCTGCTAGCGGCTTTTCTACGACGATTGGCGTGAAATTCATGTCCGTGGGAGACTTCGGAAGCCTGCGTCTGAAGACGAGAAACAACAAAGAGATGTTGGAGCAGATGATTCTGCTGGGTCTAGCTCGAAAAACGAGGGTCTAGCTCGAAAAACGAGGGTCTATGCATCGACTTTGGAGGCCCAACTAAACTACGAACAACAGGCTCGAAAAAGACGCAGCTGTTCTAAACAGGATTTTTTGAATGGTTTTTCTGACGTGTGTTGTGAAGATTCTTTAGTGGCTGGTCTCTATCTGATGTTCAACGTATAATCGAATGCGTTCGTAGTTACACGTATTATACGAGTTTTGCACACATGACGCCAAACGAAGTTTAATAGGCCGCTACGCTAAGAATCTCTGAATTTCAACCTCACACGTCGCACTACTTCGCCTGCGCCTCTTACCATCGTACCTGCGAGACTCTGCATAGTACAGTGAAGTTGCTTTGCTCGTTAAGTGCACCCGTCTTTCGCAGCATGTTATCACCCACTGACACCAAAAAATAACATGCAAAATGAACTGTTCGAGCAGATAATAGCCTTCCATCAAAGGCACTCTCGGGCAAGCGTGTAAACTTAGTTTCCAGTAGTTTCCATCTTGTAGCAATATTGGCCGAAAGATCTATAGTTTTCCGCTAAAGGTTGATTAATAGAATTTCAACATTAGCAAGCAATAAAATTACGAACACCTTCAGAAACTTGAACGAAATACAAGTGACAAAGTGATCCTGGTTATCTAAAAAGCCGAGTATGTCACTACTAAGAACGTCCATTCCGACTGTGCGACTCTTTTCAACCTCCAATGCGCTTTTCCAGAAGAGCCCCACCGGCGTGGTGTTCATGAACATGGGAGGCCCTTCAACTGTTCCGGAAACTCGAGACTTTCTTTACCAGCTGTTTTCAGACAATGACCTGATTCCCATCAGTAAGAAGTACCAGCCCATGATTGCCAAGTATATCGCTAAGTTCCGGACCCCCAAGATCGAAAAGCAGTACAAAGAAATTGGAGGTTCGCCAATTCGCAAGTGGTCTGAGTTCCAGGCAAAGCGGGTGTGCGAGATTTTGGACGACACCTGTCCAGAATCGGCGCCGCACAAACCTTATGTGGCGTTCCGCTACGCCAGACCCTTGACCGGCGAAACCTACGAGCAAATGTTAAAAGATGGAGTACGGAAAGCCATTGCCTTCTCACAGTACCCACAATTTTCTTATTCTACAACTGGTTCTTCAATCAATGAGCTCTGGAGACAAATAAAGAAGTTGGACCCAGAGAGGACTGTTTCTTGGTCTGTCATTGACCGTTGGCCAACCAACAAGGGTCTCGTGAAGGCCTTTGCCGGTAACATCCAAAAAAAACTACAAGAATTTCCAGAAGATGTCAGAAAAGATGTGGTTCTCCTATTTTCAGCACACTCTTTGCCAATGGACGTAATCAACACTGGTGATGCTTATCCAGCCGAAGTTGGCGCCACCGTGTACAGTGTCATGCAAGAACTGAAGTTCTGCAATCCATATAGACTTGTCTGGCAATCACAAGTGGGCCCTAAGCCATGGCTCGGGGCTCAAACAGCTGACGTTACCGAGTGGCTGGCTCCGTCTCAAAAAGGATTGATATTGATTCCTATTGCCTTTACCTCGGACCACATCGAAACGCTTTATGAACTAGACCTTGAGGTTATTGGAGAGTCCGAATATAAGGATAAAATCAAGCGTTGCGAGTCTTTGAACGGCAATGAGACGTTTATTCAAGGCTTAGCTGATCTCGTGAAAGATCATTTGAAACATGGCGAATTGTACTCCAAGCAGCTGCCGCTAGATTTTGACCTAGGAAAGTCTAACGATACTTTCGAGCACCCATCTCAAGTTTTCGGTGAACATTCCAAAAAAGACTCCCAGAGCTCCACATCGAAGAACGTTAAACATAAGTAAGATCACCCAAGTTCCCGTAAGTGCGATCTATCTACAGAAATTGTACACACTCAGAGCCTTTCAGTCCCTTGCTGCTACTAGTTTAAAGCCCTCGGTCAAAATTACAGAGGCTTTTTCGCATTTGTAAGGCAAGTTATTGAGAACAAATGCAACGTCGTCCCATTGTTTTTGAGTTTCTGACTTTTGCAAACGCAAAAGTAGTTTCTCGCTTAGCTGCTTCTGGTGCTTTTCCTTGTCGATGAAAGAAAGCAAAAATTTCAGAATCCTCTTGAAAGAACTATGCTCCAATTCTTCGTCTTTCGAAAGGCCACTAAATATGTCAATAAAACCATTGTAAATAGCATTATCTTTTGTAGCCAACTCGGTGAAGAACAGTTTACACATATCACTGATCCCTTGATCAGAGTTTTCTAAGCATTTAGCCATTTGACCCAGCTGCCCTTTGACCTTAACTTGGCCTGCAAGAATGAGGAAAGTAACAGTCATCAAACATGTTTTTTGGACCATCAAATCTTCATCGTGTAAGTGTCGGTAAAGAAACTCCGTATTTTCGTCAACCAAGTTATTGAAACAAACCGCCATATCACCTAGACCAAGAATTGCATTCGAACGAATAATAGGGTCGGGAGACTTCTCTAGTATTGTGATAAGTAGGGGAAGATTTTTCTCGCAATATTTGGATGAAACGCACATAAATTTTTCGAGACAAAGTACTGCAGTTCTTTGAAGCATACCATCCGCGAACTTCGCGCTATTAGAAACAACTTCTTCAACCAGCGGCCCAAATCTTGCTAGCAAGGATGACTCCCCAAAAAGCAACTCCTTCTCTTTTACAAAATTCACAGCATCAGTAAAGTCATCTTCATTGGTCCCGCCAATCATTTCGAGTTCTTGTTGGCGCTCTTCTGTGCTTTGAGTGCCATTTGCGCTTGACTTTGAGCTACTTTTGCTTTCTGCTTCAATCTTACGTTTTTTGAATTCTGCTTCGCACTTTTCCACATAGACTGTCGTATTAAGAGCAATGTGCCCGACTATGAACAAGAGCTGAGCCAATGAAACTGTTCTAGAAGTAGTGTAGTTCGGGTGGTCATCATCTTCCTTCCGGCCAAATGTCATCATAGTCTTTTCCCTCACTATTTCGGTGGCAACACTGTCGGGAGAAGAAGAAATTGTAAACAGGGCTTTTATGGCTTCTTCACAAGCAGGATAGTACTCTGGGTTTTCCACATAATCGATGATTCGTGCATGCAGCTTTTGAACAGCATCGTCTTCCTTCACAATACTAGATGTTACAGCGTTGCTCCCCTTTGGAATGATTCTTTGAAGCGCAACGCAGGAATATTTGAGTAAAACGAGATCTCTTGTACCTGGCTTACCCAGACCGACGTTTAATAATGCATCTAGTCCTTTTAGAGCTATTTGATTGTCAGCCAAAGAGAGCATACCAAGTACAATGATTGACCCGTGGATTTGCTTTGTTTCACCAGGACTTTGGGTTTCGGTTCCAGAGCTGTATATTGCCCATAAAACATTGACCGCATCTTGATCGATGTAGTTTGCTTCGTACACTAAACCCAAAAGTTTCTCCAGCGAGGCCAAATCAGCGGGAGATGTGTTCTCAGTTAAGTGAATCAAATTCTTAGCAATGTATGCGGCTTTTTCTCGAAAATTAGATCCTTCCGGGGGCGTGAGAAACAATTGATTGTAACTTGAAATAAGGTGAGAAACGATGCTTGTACCTTCATCATTTGTTCCTTTCATCCAGACGAGGTGCAGCATTTTGCGCACTCCAATTGAGCTGAGCTCCATGTTATAGGCATCTGTTAATACAAGGAAATCCATGACCTCCAACACCTCGTTTCTATTCCTCGATAATAAGAGTTGGCACGACTTTTCGATCCCTTCGTGCATGGTTTCAATAAAAGCCACCGCATCTTTATAGTATTGAATAGTCAATTTCATTTTGAACGCTCCATTTGCATTTGTTGTTGGCAGATCTTCTGCTTCTCTCTCAAGTCTAGATAGTTGCTCATCTTCGTCTTCGCTGGAGGAGTTCTCATCGTTTTCTCGAGCGCTTTTTTCGATCAAATCATCTAACGTATCTCTCCTAGAGTCCTGAGATGCAGACAAAGTTTCCGTCCAGAGATCTTCTGCACTTTTTAGACGAGCCTTCCACTCAGACAAATTCAATTGCATTCCATGGAGAGCATCAAACTGATGAGTCAGCAAGAGCTTAGTTAATAACTTGACTGCATTTCTTCGTACCAGGGATGATCTGTCCTGCAGAGATCTAACAGCCAAAATAAGGATGTTCGATCTACTTTTTTTTAATTTGATAGGAAGATCGCAAATCTTCAGGCAGCCTTGTATAGCTTTTGTTCTCACGTATGGATTTGAATCAGTAAATCGTTCTTCTAGCAATTCCAACAGGACTTCTACAGACTGCTTGTATACGTCCAGGTCTTCACTCTTCGAAGAAATCTCAATTACAATATTACCACATGCCTCAACAACTGCGCATCGCAAGGTAAAGGAACTATTGTTCAGAAGCTTCACAATCAATGTCATTTGTCTCAACACTATCCTTGGTATAAGCTCAGATAACTTTATCAAAAATGTGGCGATGGATTTAGGCCCCTTGGCATCCTTGCTATTGAACTCTTTGTTACTGATGTCGCGTAAAATATCTTCTGTAAGTTGCGGGAAATCAAAATCATTATTGATAGTCTGTAGCAACTCAGCGCTGAAAGTATTAAGATGCACAAAATAGGTTAGAGATGTTAGAATTGCATTTTGTGTGCTGGAACTCTGGCCATGGTTTTTGACAGCAGTGCCGATAATTTTCAATATGAACAACTTTATGGCTGACATTTTCAGAATTTGCTCTGTTTCAATCAGTAAATAAATGGGCTTTGTGAAGAGGCCCACGAAAAGGTCTCTTTCAGGAGTTGTTGGGAAAATCCTGGATAAGTTGAGGTTGAAAACTTTCAGAACGCCCTCCAAGACGTTCTCAATTTGAGTTGATATTTTCTTAAGTGTATTGACATTATTTCCTGAACTTTGCTGTGTCTTCCCATTTGTCTTGGTTATGTTGCTTTGAGATGCGGTGGTCGCGATGTCCTTTTCCAGGAAGAACAGCAAAACGTGCGTTAAATAACCATATTCTTCCAACTGTCGTTTCCATTGCGGCACGAAGCTTACAATTTCGGCGTTCGTTGTGCCGCCTGACAGACTGGACCCGATGCCCTTCGCTAGATTACCCAGAGAGGAACTTACAAGGTAAGTGAGTTGGGTCTGAAACTGCGGTTGCAAGGTAGGAAATACATGTGCCAAATCCATAAGACTCTCTAGTGTATCATCGTTTTCGTCTATGAGCTCTGGAGAAACAGCTAAAACATCAATTGCGCTATTCAGCTCGCTAGACGGATTTTCTATGCTAGGGAAGCTTTGCTTGTCACTCGTCTGGAATCTTGTAAGTTGCTCCGAAAGACTGAATTCTATCATTCCCAAATAATTACGTGATTGCTAGTATGGAAAGCTGTGAAGCTCTGGTTTTGTTACAGTTGAGCTTCTATAACAAAAGACTGGGATGAGATCGAAATCTTGTAAAAACGGAAATCAAAATAACATATAATACTGGACCGGTTTAAAAAATAAATTTAAAAGTTAAATCTCCAAAAAATAATGATTTCGCCCAGGATCGAACTGGGGACGTTCTGCGTGTTAAGCAGATGCCATAACCGACTAGACCACGAAACCACCGATGGAAAATTAGGTAAGGCTGGAAAGTATTGACACAGTTCTAAGCACACGTGTGGTTAATCATACACTTTGGTAGTGAACTGAAGCCACACGATCCTAACGATGTAACGATCTCTTGGAATAATGCGAAAGACCCCGGTCGCACATTTTGGAATTAGTGGTAAGTCTCAACTGAATCTCGAATAATGTGTGTTTACCTATGTAAGTTGCGTACCAAAAAGCTTTGTCGTTGCGTAAAGCTTTGTATGAACATGCTTGCTCTTGAAATGTATGTGAATAAACATATTTCCGAAGGTGTTATCAGAAGACAAGTGTAGACCACCATGATAATAAAAGCCGATTTCCCGTTTATCACGGAGAATATTTTTCGACAATTAATCATAATCAAGTAAGTGTCTTGAGAGCATTATGCTCTATTCTACCATAATTAGTCTCTCTTCTTGAGCGAAGCGGCTAGAACAATGTAAACCTGGTTAATTTGTAGATAGTAATTAACAGAAAACAGAACTTGGACTACTGCTGAGTTTTCGGCTCACTGGTTAAATACACGTAAAAAATCGAAACTGAACCAACGTGAAATGCGCTGGCAAAAAAAGGTAATTATGATTTAAAATCAAGCCCTTACTTTATCACTTCGTATAATCTCATCCCAGCAAATAGTACAGCGCACGAGTTGATGACACTAGTAAGCATTTATATGATTGGTCATTACTCGCAACGGTCTTTGCTTTCTCAAACTTTTGTGACCGAGCGGTGAAATTGGTGGCTGGAATGCTTTTCGTGTCTCTTGCACAAGCCTTTTGGACTCTTCTAGTTCTTTCAGTAATTGTTGATTTTCAGTTTCCTTGATTTCATACCTATCTATGGCATCGTTGATCTGGGTTCTGAGGAGTAGATCGATGTGCTGCATTTGTTTGTTAAGTTTTTTGATCTCCTGCTTCGAACCTCTTAGCGAGATTATTTTGGCTTTAGCTTTTTGCTTGAATTCTAGCAAAGTGTCCAATTGTGTTGATATGAGAGATACTCTATCTTTTGATCCTTTGTTTTGAAGCTCCAAAGATCGAATTTGTTCCCCAGCGGCATGCAAAGCAACTATGGAGTCGGCTGCTCTCAACTTGTACCGCTCCATGTCCTCTTTAGTTTTTTGTAAGTCCTTTCTCATGTTTTGGAATTGTTGATTTTGCTCTTCACACTCTTGAGCCATCAAAGAGTAATTTCGCTTCCATATTTTCTCAACATGCTCGCACTTTACCTTTAGCTGGCTACATTGGTGCTTGCTTATATCCAAAGCTTGTATGGCTTCCCTTTGCTCACTGATCATGTTTTTCTGTAGACGCTTCAATTGGATTTCACGATCTTTCAACTGAGCTTCTCGATTGTTTAGTTCTGTCCTTATTCCAGAATTTTCCTTAAGCAATACTTCATTCTTTATTGTCTTTTCTTCCAAGTCAAGTTGTAGTCTATTTGCTTTTGCAGAAGTTTCTTGGTACTTGATGCTTTGATCCTCGTACATCTTCCTTGCTTCTTGAGCATCAGCAATGTTTCTATCGCATTCCTGTTTCAAGACCACTTGATCTTCTAACTGCGATTCTAATGTCAGTACCCGATTTTCCAAGAAAATTATGCGACTTTCTTGCTCGGTAATTATCGTCCGTTGTTCAAACATGTCTTTTTCCATAGACTCGACAGTGTCTTCTAACTGCAATGATTCTAATAGTTCAAGCCAGCACTCTTCAAAATCATCAGTGATTTCGGCAATTTCGATTTGCTTGACGAGTTTATTGATAGCACCTTGATTGGCCAAAGCTTGGAGTATTCCATAGCTTAGCTTTTGTACAGTCATAATCAGGTCTTCAGAATCGAATTCAGCTTCTGGAATACCGCATGCATCCCAACAACGTAACATTCCCTCCAATACAATTGGATTTTTGATGACTATGTTTTCCTCCCAAGCCGAATGAGAGTCTTCTTCCAAATATTTTGGGTCCTGTTCTTTGACCACCAAGATTGAATCTGATTCGTCAAGCCCCAAACAACGTTTTTTGTTCGAATAACCTAAAACAGAGTCGTCATCAAAGAACTTTGTTTGATTCGATCCAAATCTTACCATTCTAGGAGGTCTCATGCTTACTTTCATTCTGGCGGCCACAAAGTCTTCTACGAAAGGGTTTACATTCTTTATTTCGTGAATATCCGAAATAGACGTAGCCGCCGGATTGTTACGATAAGTGTCAAACTGAGTCTTCCCAAACCTAGTGATTTTCTTATTCGCGTTCACGGTGCTGTTTGTTTTTGAATCTAAATCATGTTCGCCTTCGTTCTTAGCTAAAAACGTCTTGAGCTTCGCGTTTGCGCTGCTGTTAGCCGCGTACTGCTCCAGGTTAGCTTTCAGGGTAGAATTATTTGTCCTAACCTGTCCAAGCATTTTTTAATGTTGAAAGTACTTCGTCTGCTTGTGGTAAGGTAAGTGATTTGTGCAAATATTATTCTTTGTTTTTTTAGTGTCGCCAGGAATTGGCGACAAAGAAATAATAAATGACAAATAGTATTAACCGGAAGCGATAAATGGCGATGTGAAGGTAATGTATAATGGACCAAGAAGGTGGCCCCAATCTAGTGTAAATTTACATACTTTTGAGCAAAAATAATCGAAAAGCATTGCTTGAAAGACCAGCTTTCAAACGGGAACCACATAAAATTAATGAAGTGACGTGGACGGATAGCGAGAAACTTGCAGCTGTTCAAGTTTAGTTTGAAGTTAACTTAGATCGTGGCAGGAGATTGAACAAAGCAGGCTCAGGAAATGGTTTGAACGATCGACTTGATAGTTTTGACGATCCAACATTCAAGGAGAATAAATGATTAAAAGTGAAATACTTGTTTCTGCAAATCATGACTTAAAGCATCCAATCATGTTTTCGAGTTGGAGATAGAACCGGTGGTGTGTTTGGAGACAAATGCCGCGTCCAAAAAGACGGCGTGATGGTTTGGGGGCCCGAAGATCCTTCCCTTTGATCATGAAAACAATAAGAATGAACAAGTTTATCGTAGTCCATAGCGGCAGCGGAAGAATCCGGAGCCGAGTTCTGCCTATTCAATTCTGGGGATGGCATAAAAAAATCACCTCTGACTTGAGAAGATGAAAATTCTTGAAGCGAGCGTGGTTTTTGACTCGCAATTGAGGAGGAAGAGCTATTGGTAGTGGTTGTGTCCGCAGTTGAGTTTGAGGTTGAAAACGAAACGTCCGCCAGCGGGTTACGGTAAGTACTGGTAGATGACATATCCGATGATATCGGCATGTCTTGTTTGAAATTTGAGTTCTCGTTTAGAGATGCAATAGCCACCGTGGAGTCGGAACTATTTTTATTCAAAGTTGCCGGTTTTGGAGCCTGATTTTCTTTGTTAATTTTCATGTGAGAAAGTGGGGGGCTGTGCGTGTAATGCTTCTCTCCCGGATGTTGATCGAGAAGATAGTGAATTGGAGTAGTTGGAGTAGTGTCGAAGTCAAAAGTGACTTCATTTATCCGCGAAGGCTTCGCCAACGTAGTATCATTGTGGAACAGATGTTTGAGAGGAGAAGTGTTGTAATAATCAGTATTGTCTGAGAATTTTCGACTTGTAGAAGTATTATTAGTAGTATTGTTGGCTTTGGGTGAATTTTTCAAAGTGCTATGAGAGAGTGTTGTTGAGATGAGAAAATCGGAGCCAAACGGCCTTGGATTTATCGTTTCCGAGTTTACCGCAAACGAGCTCGATGAATGATGTTGTGAGTATGGCGATGACAGAGCAGTTAAGTTTGGTACTGACGCGGTAGTTCTATGAACCACTGGATGTGTAAACGCTTGCAATTCGACATGATAATTATTGTAATTATTATTGTCGTAATAAGTTTCCCCATTAACGTCATATCGACAGCATAATTCCATTTTTAAGGAGCAACAAGTTTCGGGGGCATGAGAGTTGCAGTGAAGCAGGTTTTTGGATTGCATGAAAAATGATAAGCTGGTCAAATCGATGGTGAATTTAAACTCGTCAATGGCATTAGTAACGGTTCGATGGTAATAAGCGGGAACATAATGAACGTCTTGCCAATTGTTAAAAGTAAACTTGATCTCTATAGACTTTTCAAAATGCAAGTTTGTGACATATATGAGGCCTTGAATCTTTTGCGAGTCCAGACAAGAGGAAACTTTGTTGAGTTTGATGTTGTGCCCTTTAAGATGTGCCAGTATATGTGATTGCAAATCGAGGGCCCTACGGGTGATGAGGGGCTGTATATCAGACGACAGTAGAAGCCACTTATCGACAATGAAGCGTTGGGAAGAGGAAGAGGGAGAAGTAGAAGCGGTAGATGTGTAATTTTGGCCACGGATGCTTGCTGAATTTTTGAAAGTAGCAGTTATAGAGTTTGGTCCGGAACCGGGCGGTAGACCGGAGCTCTTGAAATCGAGATCCAAATCGCAATCGCTACTGTCGCCGTCGCTTTCGCTGCAAATGGTTGGGTCAAAGAGGCTGAAAGTTGAAGGTTTATGGCTGGCCGTGGACGTAGATGATAACAGGGGCAACTTGGCTCGCGAAAGCGCGGTTCCAAACCAATAGTCGTCCTGTTGCCGGCCGCCGTCTCCGCCGTCGTCGTCTTCGCTACCAATGCCGTCGTCGTCGTCACAAATCGGCGCCAGTTGCGGCGAATTTTCGGTCGAGATCGAGATGGGCTCGGAACGGGTGTCGAAACGCTTGACGGTTGTGAGCTGGTGGGCAAACCGCACGTTTTTGAGCGACGAACTGGACCTGGAAGGGGTGCTGGAAAGCCCCGGCTTTAGCGACGGACGGAGCAGCGCAAACGGTGGGAATTGCGACACAGCCGCGACCGTTGTCGAGGGACCTGCCGTAGCACTCGCGGAAGTACTGGCCGAAGCGCTGGCCGAAGCCGTGCTGGCGCTGGGAGACGTATCGCGCCATCTCGTCCACGTGACCAGATCTTGCACGGATATGTCATCTTTCACGGCGGTGCCGATCGGAGTTTGTGCTAAAAGGGTGTCGTGGTTGTTGTTGCTGTTGTTGAGGCTCTTGTTAGAGGTATCGGCGACGGAATCGAAGCCGTCGTCACTGGCGGGAGAGTCCATGGACCGGCCACTGGAGTCACACTGGCTAGCGTGTAGCTGAGCGTCTTTTCCGCGGCAATAAGATGCAGAAACTTGGCGCTGCTGGCGTTGAAAGACTTCTTCCAAGAATCTGCTGCTGATCCTTCTCTCTCCTGGTAACAAGCACACGCACACACTCACGCTCGCTCAACTCAGACACACGCTAACTCGATTTTTGCGTCAGGTTCTGCTGGCTTGTGTTTCGCATGCTTTCTAAAATTCCCGCTATTCGATCTCTTGACCTCTTATATATATACCCATTTGCTACCCAACGGAAATTCAGCATTTTCCTTTCCTCTGCGGCACGTTGCTCCTGGTTGTTTTGTCCTTGCGTCAGTTCTGCGATAAGGCGGGTCGTGTGCGATGACGAGTGCGGGGCGAGCGGGGAAGCGGGAGCGGGCGGAAATGGCAGAGCTGTCAGTCCATAGAGGCTTGATAGTATTTAGTTTGTGCATGGGAGCTGGGAAACGATTGAGGCAGGTTTGATTTAGCTATGGAGTCACGAATATGTAAGTTATGGAAGCTTGGTAATATTTTGTTCATCCGTGGGAGCTGGGCAAAATTTGTTGATCCGTAGAAGCTGGGCAATAGTGTTTGTCGTAGAAGCTGGGTAACATTTCGTTCATCATAGAAGCTGGGCAATATTTCGCTTATCCATTACGCTTGGCATATTTCGTTTATCCATCACGCTTGGCAATATTTCGTTCATCCATGGAATCTTGGTATCTTGTTTATCATAGAAACTTGGAAATATTCCGTTCATCCTTAGAAGCTGCGCAATACTTTGTTCAGCACCTGAGCGACTGGGGCAAGCCTGGTTTAGCTATGGAGCCACGAATATTTTTCTTATCCGTAATTCAATCTGTTCATGGCGATTCAGGATCTACTTATCTCGACCTAGAGACTACAATATCAGTATTTACACGGTTTTGGGATGTCCAGTTCTGTTGAGAAAAACACTCTAAACCGGAGTGTACCAAGCCTCCAGTCCTAGCACGCAAAGGGCGATTTTTTTAGTCCCACATTGACGTCTAGATCGAATCATGTCACTTTGTACTATGCTGTCATCGTTCTTGGTTGCCGTTATAGTTTCGTTCCAATGCCGCAATTGACGCTAAAAATAAACCCAGGGATCCTCATGTTTCCGGCCAGTAAGCTAACGCCTGATAACACTATCTTCTCCCAAGATTTGATGTTGATTGATGTGGACAATCTCTCGACTACGAAAATTGCAACGTGCGACGATAAACCGCTAGCCAATGTAAGCTCAAGATATCATCAGATGGGTTATAAACAGCCACACCTATCTCAATGCAATTGAAAAAAATTGCCAACAGTAGTAACGTTTAAACCTCGCGCCGGACTTTCAACGCCCCATTTTGTAGTAGCGAAGCGCATTTCGTGCACACGCCCGACCAAGCCTTTTCATCCAGCTACTAATCATAGTGCTCAATCAATGATGGAATTTGACTTCGCGAATACAATGCGCCGTGAACTTGTTCTTTGCGTACTCCAATCCTAAAATCAGGCACCCACATTCATCGACCATATCTAAAGCGCATATACGTCTTGTGTTAATCCATGACTAGTGGATTGTACACTCATCCTCGAGTCTCAAAGAATTTCTCTCATGCCCTTCAGTCGCTCTGCTGGTCAAGTACAAAAAGGACTAAAAGACGCTAGACCCCTCCTCTTACCCCGCAAACCCTTTGTCTTAAACGCGGGGTGCGTGAAACAATCGCCTTGAAGTAGTTTTCTCAACAAAAAACCAAACCGCATTTTTGCAGCGGGAGCAGCACCTCAATAAAATTTTTTTCACAGAACCGCAGCGACGGAAAGGTACATAGTGATGCCAATTCTTCAGACCCTGAAAAATTTGAGTTGCTGAGGGTTTGTTCATTGGTGGGGATACTTACGGCTGGCTATACTAATACCCTCTTTTAGTATTATCTTCTTTTCTTGAGGTTTTTATTGATTACGGTGGCTAGCCCTATCATTTAATGTGGGCTATTTCCTGTATCCAGTTCTTTCTGCATGCTTGAGAGTGAGATTTCATCAAGAGCTCTCCCATCTTCATAACAAAGTTAAACGGTCAATTTAATCAAGTATCATGATTTGGGTTGAATCATCGGTTCGATGATGAAATCAATTTTAGGAGGGGTGAAAGTGGCTAAAATATCAAAATAATTATATAGATAGATATTCTGGGTAGAAAATATCAAAAAGCTGATAGCATTGTAGAAAGGGGACTGATTTGAGTTAAACTTGTCAGGATTCATGTGCTACTATCAAGATAGCGTCAATTGCGTGGTAAAGAGCCATGTCATAATAGTACAAAGTGATATCATCAAGCATTGATCAGTCGAGGAACTATTCGATATATCTTCTCAAACTGAAGACAAGTACCAGACGATATTCTATAGTGGTCTGGTCATTAATTGATGACTCGTTGGATATCACTAGTGTATCATACGATGTATCGTATGATTATATAAGCTGAATGATAGCTTTCATGCTCAGCCGATTTTTATATAAATACCGACCAGTTACTCCACTCGACGAATTATCCTCTGATCCGCCTCAATAAAAGTATCGTTAGAATTCTATCTGAATTGTGGTATTACATGAAAAAAATGTGTATTTTAGTGTTTATAAAGGAAGGTGACGATAATTATGATCCGGGGCTTTTAGAAAAGGAAAATAAAGATGTTTCTAGAATTGTTTGGTATAAAACAGAAGAGGATATATTAAAGTTCATAACTGATAAATTTGATGGACATTATCTTGATATATATATCGTGAAAAAAGATAGTGAGTATGTTTTTCGTTCTAAACAGCTAGGTTATAATAAATTTTATAGTATTGATGAAATACCATTTGGGATATTGTCGTTAATTTATGTTGGTAAGGACGATATACTTCAAGCCTTGTATGAAAAATATAACATTTGAAGATGTTTTTGCAAATATTTAGACGTAATTAATGAAAAATGGATATATTAACAATCTTCGAATTTGACTCTTTCAAAGTAAACATCCGAGCAAGAACATTGATTTCCGATCCTTTTTATTTCGTTAACTTTAACAAAACGATTTGTTCTGTTAGAAGGTGTGAAAATTAGTTCGTCTTCGGTATTTATGTAATACATACTTAAACAATATGGGACATTTTTTTTATATTTTTCGGAGAGTTGTTTTTTATAGTCTTCTATACTTACATTAATTTGTTGCAATTTTATAGTGTCTCCATCGTAAAGATTGTATTTTATATTTAGTTCTTGTGGTGTTTTGTTAGTGTAACATACTAATATTTGAGAATGTTCAAAATCATAAGCTGTAGTCATATATTTAATTTCATTTTCTCTGATTTGTTTTTCAGCTTTAAAAGCTAGTCTAACATCCTTTAAAAAATATCCGTTTTCTCTTATAACTAGGTATTGATCATTATAAGAACTTACTCCTTCGTAGAGTATATATTTTTCTATTTCCTTTTCATCTTCTACGTCGATATATTTTAGTTTGAATTTTAGGTTTAAGTCTATGATTTTTTTATTATTGCATCTAAATGCTAGAGCACAATTCATTTAGTTTGCCTGGCGATCACTTAGTGACTCTCTCCACCGTTCAACAGGGCTATGTTCTTTAGGAACTTGTTTGCAAATCCTTTCAATTTGTTTTTAACTGCTTTCGCATGAAGTATCTCCAGGTCTCTTTTTTTATATTACTATTTCTTCCGCGCTTGCCCTTTACCTGTTCTATCAAAAAATCAACTTTCTTCCCTCTGTGTTTTCCCCCTTTACTTTCAGCTTTTACCCTCAAGTTTTTCCAAAAAAGTCTTTCTGTTAAGCAAATTTCCAAAAGTCTTGAAAAAATTACGATGACCACCCCCCGTCCTGGAGGAAAATTTATTGTTGTCCTCTCCAGATACAAATTTCAAAAAAAACTGAAGCCAAATTCTGACACAGTTGTTCCTACAAAAGAAAGTGTACAAAAACCTCAGAAAATTTCAAAATTATGATAATGCAAACACATGTTTTAATCCTTATGGCCTGGCCTCACCTGATATCTAATCAACAGTTCTACTTTCGAATATTTTAGTATATGTCTTACTACTGGTCAAAGAGCGCTTAATAATTGTACCACCATGCGTATCTGCTTTGCATGTCGAGACCGACATCAAAAAAACGATCTTTTATTTCCTCTCATTTGCTGACTTGTTACGTCGGATCTTTGTGGTGTTGTTAAGATAGCGTCACTTGCATGGTGAAGAGCCATGTCATAATAGTAAAAAGTGATATCATCAAACATTGATCAGTCGATGAATTAGTCGATGCATCTTCTCAAAGCGTAGACAAGTATAAGCCGAGTAATAGCCTTCATGCTCAGCCGGATTCTATATAAATACCGACCAGATACTCCACTCGACGAATCACCCTCATATCCAAAGAGAATCACGGAGAGATAAGAAAAATTTCAAATTCCAATACAATCTGTTTAATACATTATGAACGACCTAAATGACCAGTTCAGCAAGTTAACCACCACTGACGCAGATGGCCTCAATAAAAGAAGACACTGTAAAGTATGCAAAACTATAATCACATGTAGAATCTTATAAATGAGGATATTTCTGTTCTTGCGCGCCAAAAATAAATGATTATATCGAAGTAAATGAAATAGAGAAAACAGATTTTTTACATGCGTACTCAAATATATGATTTTTATTTTTGAACACAAAAAATGTGGTATGACACGAATGTATTACAAGCTATCATTACCGTGAAGAAACAAATAGAGGATGTTTATTCATCTCTTTCTAATATTGTTCGTTCAACTTTTATTGAAAAACCAAGACAAATCATACAAAACAATTAGAGTAAGAATGATTTATGCGCCGCTCAAGTATTTTATTGTTTGCAATGTTGCAACCGCTATGTATATATTGTACAACGAAACATCAGTAGTTGCAGTATCAAACTACGATACTCTGTTAGCTCTATATTTCCGTGACGAAAAATCTGGTTACATCAAAATAGACGATTCACAAAATACAAAGTCGATGAAATTATTTGAGTTTTCACACCGCTAAAAAATAACCCTAGAATTTTTTGATTCTCAAGATAAACGCGAGTTGAATAAAAATGCAACAGAATTATTATAGAGATTAACAACTTTAGAATTATTAAAAAATAATAATAATATTATTCTGAAAAATATTTTGATGTTCTGCTTTCTGGCTGGCGACAATCATTTGTTCGTAAATGAACAGCTGAAAAAATGATAGCCAAGGCTCAAAGATGACAGATCAGCGGTGCACGCCACCACCGTTGTTGACGATTCAATCTTTGCATAGGCTGATAGCAGAGAGATAGGCTCTCAATCCTATATGGACGTCGAAGAAACCAATAGTTTCCTACCTATTATTATCCAGCAACTTTTCTCAGAAACTCCCAATACTTTGAAATACACACATCACTGAACAATATATTGTCCACTTTGTTAATCACCTAATAACCAAACACAATTTTCATCGAAATCATTAAAATACGAATTATACTTAACGCTACCTGGCGCCAGACATTACCGTTACTGTGCGAGTCTTACTTGCGAATACGGATATTTTTTTTAGCTGAGGGCAAAACCGAGATAGAAATCGGAGCTAAACTCAATCTCTTCCCCAAGAACAGCCCAAGGATCTTCGTCGTAGGTTAATTGAAGAGTAGAGTTGGCGGGAACCTCGTAAGTCATACCGGCCGTGTCCTTAATAGTCAAACCACTGTCCTCGTTCCAAAGGATGGCATTGGGATAGCTTTCGACAAAGTCTTCAACAGTCATACTGGTGTTATATGGAATGTCGGCGGATACTAAAGAAATAACGGTGGCCAGAAGCAAGTTGGAAAATCTCATACTATTGTGGGTTTTGTGTGGTTTGAGAGAAATGAAGCTTCTAAATAAGCATCCCTTGAATATGATACTTAAAAGAAGGAAATAGCCTGGCTTTTATACACTGCTCAACGCAAAGCCCTAGGCTCCATACTCGTACCCTGGCCAGTAACGTCGGAGGGCAATATCTCGGATAATTACTTCCGCTATTCCCAATTGGGTTTACGAAGTGCCCTGATCCTGATTTCGCTTAACTATCTATACGTACTACAGCTTGAACATTTCGTTCTTTCCCATGGTGATGTTCATAATTCTCGGCATTTTTGCAATTACCAACGGCCATTTGCAGTCCCCATGCGCAATGTACAAACTTTACATAGTATGTATCTACGGCATTAGCTACATCTATCAATCTCATTGTGTTTCTCTTGACTACAAATTTGGATGATTTTCACCTTGCATGATGCAATTATTCAAATACATGAAAAATGTAGATCTCTTGAGTGCTATGAACATTGGAAACGGTTTTACTTTTTAGTGTGGAAAGACGATACGAGCACCATGCAATATTCCTCCGAGCTCCGCGTATGCTCAAAACATCAAGTGCTTCAACTAGATAGTTCATCGGAACTGAAGCTTTTGTCATAACGCCGATTCTTGTTTTCCAGGGATTTAAGAGACAGCAGGGTGCCGAGCATCGCAGATTTCAAAGAATGTAAGTCCCCAAAAATGAATGGGGTTGCAGGCACGCGCTGAATATAGCAAAGACCCAATGTGACGGGGCCCGTTTACAGCGTGCTTTCTCAACGATAGGCTTTCGCTTTATCGCCGAGACATACGAAAAACTTGAGCGTATCAGAAGATGATTACAAGGCCGTAATTTTTCACTTCTAGGCCAGCGATGCTCAGAAACGAGGTAGTTTCCAGGCAAACTTTGAATGACGACAACGAAAAGACTTTGAACAACTACGACTACTGCGAGATTCCAGGCAAAAAGATTTGCGCGAGTCAAGCATTGTTGCTTCTTCGCGGCCATGCAGTTGCGCGAAGAGGCGGAAACCGCAACATCTGCTGTCTCGAAGCAATTTTACACTTCCAGGTTTGAGGACCCTTTCGTAATTCAATTTGGCGTAGTACGACATACGCGCCTGTATTAATAACGAGCTGTAGTTGCGGTGTTACATTACATGTCACTGAGATAAGCATAGCCACTATTTGAAAATAAGGTTTGGTTCCACATGCATTATAAGCTTGGGCCAGTAAGATATAGCAGAAGCCGTAAGAGCTTTGAGTAGTTCAGCACTGCATATGCTCAAAACACAATGAATCTTGACCACTTGTCGATAATTTTCCCAAATTCTGGACTCAACCGCATCTACTGTGTGAAATCTGGCAGCGCGGTCAAAAGACGTACTTTCTAACTGTTTTAATTTTCTAAATTCCCAGAAATTGGTTCACATAAGCGCTCCTTAAACCAATAGAGGTTTCTGACCAAGGAATTGCGCAAGACGTTGGCTTGAGGCTGTGCTAGGCCGTCGAAATGATCAACCTGTCTTCATTATTGTTTAGTTGTAGCTGTCACTCTTCGTCGCCAATTACCAAGTTTACAAATTTTTGTTAACTAGTGACACTTAAAAGTATCATCGAGATTTCATTATATCAAACCGCATCTGTAGAAAAAGGACCAATTGACAGTCAACATGTCCTATGATCGAACTGAAATTTATGCCGCTCCTGTTCTGGCTGGAGAGGAGATAGGTGAGAATGATAATTCGGAGATTATCAAGGCTTTTCATAGTTTCATCCTGGAGTTTCGGTTGGATGCTCATTTCGTGTACAGAGAACAGCTTCGCAGCAACCTTCTGGTGAAGAATTACTGCGTGACTGTCGATACGGCACATTTGATCGGCTACAATGAAGATTTATATAAGAAGCTCTGCGATGAGCCGACAGATGTGCTCCCGCTACTAGAACAAGCTGTGACACAGGTTGCACGAAGAATAGCACTGTTGTCGCGCGACATCAGCTTGGATCCCACCGATGGGGCAGAAAAGGCCAATGCTGATGGGTTGAGCGGTGCCGAAACTGGACCTCTTGGATCTGAGATTCCAGTCTGCCAGGTCATGCTGATATCTGACGCTTCTGAAACATCCCTCCGGCTTTTAGGCTCTGAGAACGTCTCAAAAATTGTTCGTGTGAGTGGGATCGTAGTTTCTGCATCTGTCCTATCGTCCAAAGCAACTTTTCTCACAGTGATGTGCAGAAACTGTCGACATGTCACCACACTGCGACTCAACACTTTTGGCTCTTTAGGCGGAAGCCATATCACACTTCCAAAAACGTGTCTGGCAGACCACTCCCGCGAAACCGGCGGCAATCCATGCGGCCAAGATCCGTATATGATTGTGCATGAATCCTCGCGCTTCGTGGATCAGCAATTTCTAAAGCTTCAAGAGATTCCAGAGCTTGTGCCTGTCGGTGAGATGCCTCGCAACATTTTGATGTCCTCCGACCGTTATTTGACCAACAGGATTGTTCCCGGGACCAGGATAACTATTGTGGGAATTTACTCAATCTATCAGGCCAAAAGTCGGGGTACAGGGACTGCAGCGAGCGGTGGTAGAGCAGTGGCTATCAGGAACCCATACATCAAAATTTTAGGGATTCAAACAGACCTTGATGGCAACTCTAGTAGTACGGCACATTTTTCAGAAGAGGAAGAAGAACAGTTTTTGACACTAAGTCGGCGTCCCGATCTTTACGAAGTGTTTTCTAGGTCCATCGCTCCAAGCATTTATGGAAATGACGATATAAAAAAGTCAATTGTATGCTTACTGATGGGTGGCTCGAAAAAGCTTTTGCCAGATGGTATGCGGTTGAGAGGAGACATTAATGTCTTACTTCTGGGTGATCCAGGTACTGCTAAGTCGCAACTTCTAAAGTTTGTTGAGAAAGTAAGCCCTATTGCTGTCTACACGTCAGGTAAGGGCTCTTCTGCTGCCGGTCTCACAGCATCGGTTCAGAGGGATCCAGCCACGCGAGAGTTTTACTTGGAAGGCGGTGCTATGGTCTTGGCTGACGGAGGCGTTGTCTGTATCGATGAATTTGATAAGATGAGAGATGAAGATCGTGTTGCAATTCACGAGGCTATGGAACAACAAACTATTTCCATTGCTAAGGCAGGAATCACAACTGTTTTAAATTCGAGAACCAGCGTTATGGCTGCCGCAAACCCAATTTATGGTCGTTACGACGATTTGAAATCACCAGGTGAGAATATTGATTTTCAATCGACCATTTTGTCTCGTTTCGACATGATTTACATCGTCAAGGACCATCACAACGAGGAAAGAGACATTTCGATAGCCAATCACGTCATGAATATTCACACAGGCCGGACTGCTGTCCGCGAAGAAGAAGAAGAATCTATAGGAGCAGAAATACCGATCGAGCTAATGAAAAGATACATCACGTACTGTCGGATGAGGTGCGCCCCACGCCTTTCTTCGCAAGCAGCCGAGAAACTATCTTCGCATTTTGTTGGCATTCGTAAGAAACTTCTTATTAACGAGCTTCAAAGCGAGCAGCGTTCATCAATTCCTATTACGGTTCGTCAACTCGAAGCTATTATTCGTATATCAGAATCGTTAGCTAAGCTCGAACTTAGTCCCGTCGCTCACGAAAGACATGTTGATGAGGCGATCAGACTATTCCAGGCCTCCACGATGGATGCCGCTTCGCAAGATCCGATCGGTGGTATGGGTCAAAACCCAGATCTAGTGCAAGATGTAAGGCGTATCGAGGAAGAACTTAAGAGGCGATTGCCCGTTGGCTGGTCCACGAGCTACCAAACTCTACGCCGGGAGTTTTGCGAGCAGAAAAATTATGCTCCACCGGCCCTCGATAGAGCTTTGTATATTCTAGAGCGTCACGGTACAATCCAGCTACGATACCAGGGCCAAAACATTTATAGAAGTGGTGCGTGAAGACAACTGCATGAAGGTGCTTTATATCAATAATACCATGTGACCTCAAAGTTTTTCGATCAAATTTACATTAGCGATGGTCTCTAGTTTGTAAGGTAATTGAACGAAGATCAACACTGAAGCTGCCATCTATCTCTAATCCACCACTCATGTCGTATGTGAAACCGTTTGCATTCAAAATCGTTTTGCAAGAATTATTACTAACACTCTCCCGCTCTGTAGAGAATTAATAGACCGTCCGCGTGCAGATTTAACCCAAGATGAACTTCAACAGTTGGAGGAATTCGAATTCAAGCATGGCCCCATGTCACTCATAAACGATGCCATGATATCAAAGATCCCAGTAATCATATCTTTAAGGAATAATCACAAGATCATAGCCCGTGTGAAAGCCTTTGATAGGCATTGTAACATGGTGCTCGAAAATGTCAAAGAGCTTTGGACTGAAAAACAGAATAAAAAAACAGTGAATAGAGAGCGCTTTATCAGCAAGCTATTTCTTAGGGGTGACTCTATCATCATTGTTCTGCGGGCGCCCATGTAATGATGTACTTGTAAAGTTAGATAATATTAATGAAGAACGGTATGAATAGAATTGGCAGCTGTTTATTTAACACTGCGGGAAAACTATTTCCTGATAGATCTAAATTTACAATGCAAAAGTTTTATTTAAAGTTTTTAAGCGGGTCGGACTTTCCATTCTTTTTGTTGCCCTTTTTGTAGACTTTGCCTTTGCGTTTCATGCTTTTCGCGCTGTGGAAAGGAACAAATCCAATCTTCTTCTTATCTTGTCTTGCGGCCTCTGGAAGCAGATAATCCGGTACCCTTTTCAAATGTTGCTGAACTCTTGCTGGATGCAGTTCTTTATCATGTCTAAGACTTTGCAAGTCTTGTGGGTTCTCTTCAAAATGTCTCTTCAATTTGCCACTGGTCAAAAGCTCTTGTTTCAATTCCTTTACTCGCGCCTCACGCACAGCGACCTGCGTAACAGCACGGAAACCATCCTCCATTCTGTAACGGAAACCTTCAACTTGGTTAATGTCAAAAGAATGTGGAAGAATTTCAAATCCCAACTTGCTTTGTTGCTTAATAATCCTGCTCAATATCTTCTCGTCCCTCTTGGCAGTATTACACATGGAGGGTCTATGCTTACCAAACTCCTTGAGTGGTACAACAAAAGAAATGGCAGCACCCGATTTGCCGGCACGAGCAGTTCTACCTATTCTGTGAACGTACGATTTGGCAGTAGTTGGTAAATCGAAATTCAGAACGCATGCAACGTTCTGGAAGTCCACACCTCGAGAAACACCATAGTCTCTATCTTTCTTGATTTGCGCACCGCTCTTCTTAACTTTTTCTCCAGTAGACACTGTGGCATTCTCGCCAGCACCTTCTGTATCACTCAAATTATGTTCATCCTCCTCTTCTTTGATGTATTCAGTGTCATCGGTTGCAATCAACAACTGATAAACGTTCTTGTTGAACTCTTCTACGATATGTTGTCTGGAGTTAGCGGGCAATTCGCTATTCAAAATACAGGACCTAATACCGAACTGTTCAAGCACAAGTTTGAGCCTGTAACCTCTGTCAATGTTGTTCACAAAAATCAAAGTTTTGCCTTTAATCAAGCCTAACTTGAAAATAACATAGCACAACAAAAACTTATCAAATTCTGTGACTTTCACGTAATATTGTAAAAGCTTGCTTTGATCCTTGCTAATTTCCTCTTCATTCAATTTCAAGATCGCTGGCGAGCGGCAGAAACGAGTTTTCAGGTCTTGAACATCTTCATTCAACGTAGCACTCATCAAAAACGTCTGCAAGTTTTTCTTCAGAGGTAAATATCCAGCAATTTGATTCAAATCTTCTTGATAGCCGAACGTCAAAACTAGGTCAACTTCATCTACGACCAGAAATTTTAGATCTTCCATTGATAGAGAATTAGATTTCGTCTCAAGCACATTGAGTAATTTGGATGGTGTGGCAATCAAAACCTCAGGGCCGTCAAGCAAAAGCGAGGAGAGCACGTTGTCAGCCAGTTGCGACGACAAGTTCAAAGAATGAACATCTTTTGAACAGTACAGTACTAACTGAGAGAGTACAGACTGTACCTGTTGGGCCAACTCCCTAGTTGGAACCAGGATTATCCCTAGAGTTTTAGGCCCGGTACTTTCATCATTAGCCTGCTTGTACTGGAGGATTGTTTGTACCACGGGAATTAAATATGCCAACGTTTTACCCGACCCTGTAGCAGCTTTGGCTATAACGTCTCTTTTTTGTTCCAGGGCCAAGGGGATCGCGCTGGATTGAATTAAAGTTGGCTTTTCAAATCCATGATATTTGATCGCTTGTAACAACCTGGAATCTAGCTGCAACGACTCAAAAGTTGCAGAGTCGTCTATATAGGCATTGGAGCTACCATTTCCACTCATTTTTGGGAGTCGCAAGTCAGATCAAGCCTTGTGTGAATGTTGAATTTTATTGCAAAGCTTATGCGATGAGATGCGATGAGCCGAACATTTAAAATTTTAGATACATACATAGTACATATTTCGTACGCGGCGATATTCAACATAGAGGAGCTACAAGATCACTAGCAATACCCAATATGCTCTCAATACGTCCTCTCAAAGGATTTGATTCACATTTGGCGACTCTCATTTGCGAAAGATTTATAGATGCTGTCATTTCGCCTATGTTGATGTGACCCATGATCTCCCCAGTTGGACTAGCTTCATCGAGTTTATAGCTAAAACACTCGCCAAATTGCTCCGTGCAAAGACGGGCAACTTGTCTGATCTTCCACGTATCGTCGTGTTGGTCCTCAACGTTGTCTTCTACTGGGTCCTCGCAATGATCGTGGTTACAACTGTGACTGCTCATTTTGACGCTTGCAGGCGACGAATCAACGCTCAGCAGTATGGCCATTACGCTGTCTGCGACTGTGTCATTCATTATTCCTTGTGACCACTCAAGCGTAGCGACATTTTTGATGATGTTTAGCTTTACATCGCCCATAATTTTTACTTCGAACTCAAGACCAGTGGAGGCCTTCTTTTCTGGCGCTTCAGAAGTATGCGTAATGCAATCTTCATCAATTATCACCTCAACGTCTCCAAACATCTGGCACAAGTGCCAGTATATCAGCTCTTTTTTGCAGTCGATAAGAACCGTCTGTCGTTCCCTCAGCACGGTAGTGGATAGGTCCATGTGGTAGTCTCTCAGGTCTGATAGCGATACTAAATTTAAATCAAAGTTCTTTTCGTCCGAAACCAAAATCCCCGAAACTACAGTTTCGTCGTCTATTTCCTTAATTTTCACATCGTTATGCGATCCCGCTTCTTCTTCTTGCATGTCGACTTTGCCAACATTAGTAGGCACATTATGAATCCCCAACGCATTCGTTACTTCGTCTACAATATTTCCAATTGCTTTGGCTACTTTGACACCTTTGAATTCCAGCTCTACAACAACACAGTTTCTAGGGTTAAAAACGTGTACCTCATCTTCAGTCCCTTTCAAAGATGAGAAGTTTGATAAAAGCGCAGACTTAAGACGCCCCATAGGATTTGATTCGCCATGAACCAATATAACATTCCTGGCTCCAATTTTTTCGATGAAGTCCAAATTCTCACGAAAATCTACGTGGGCAGCAAAGGAAATCTCTTCTATTTGACAACGCCTTGGTATGCTCACTTCGGGATTGTTGATAGAGGGTATGACATCAGGTTCCAACATAATATACTTAGCCATCGTTCCTTCCACAGAGTAACCGGTGATTAGGACAAGGTTTTTCTCGTCCGGGCACCATTTTTCCAGCAGGTCTCTAGATAAACCATTTTGCAGCATTCCTGGTGAGGCAAGCATCACACTAGGGCCGAAATCCTGAAATTCATCGAGGTGCTTTAAGTAGGAGATATTTTTGAAAATGAAGGGATTGGACTGAGAGTCTCTGAATTTTTTTCTAATATCGTCATTCATCATATTAACGTATGTTTGAAAGACACTCATACACTTTCTCGCCAAGTTTGAGGCATAAAAAATGGGTACTTGTCCGTTGCCCAGTTCTTCAGAGTGCTGAGACCAAAATTCATCCAAAATCAACATAATTTCCTGGGCTCTTCCTAGTGCAAATACTGGCAATAGCACCCTTCCACCGCGTAAAACTGTAGAATGTATGAGCTGCGTAAGCTTTTTCTCTCTATTAACCCTTGGTTCGTGAGTTGCAGTGCCAAATGTAGATTCGACGATCAAGATGTCTGATGACGATGGAGGAACTTCTGCAGAATTCAAATGCCTATCAGTCTCCCGAGAGTAATCACCGGTAAAAAGGGTTTTGAGGCCTGCTATTTCAATTTGAAACATTGCGGCACCCAGAACATGGCCAGCATGGAAAGCTGTAAACTTAATACCATTTACATCAATGGTGGAGTGGAAGTCTATGGTTTCAATTCTATCAAAAGATTCCGCTAGATCCTCATCTGTATATAAATTCTCCTCCTTGTCCGAGAATCCGGATCCTATGCTTGTGACTTTGACAAAATCACTTAAAAGCCAGCGATATATAGCCTTTGTGGGATGAGTCATAAATACCCGACCGTTAAAGTTCGTCCGCTGCATAACGTAGGGAAGGGATGCAGCGTGGTCAAGGTGGAAATGTGATATGAGTAAAACGTCGATCTTGGATAGATCAAATTCGTCGTAGAAGGGTAAGGAAGCTAACCCTTGATGTGCCGGATGAACTCCTGCATCAAGCATAACAGTTTTTCCTTTATACTGAAGAATATGGCAAGATCTGCCAACTTCGTTGCTGCCTCCCAGACTGAAGAATTTGAGGGCAGTTTTACTGAGCTGTGTTTGTTCTGTGGACATGACTTGGGCGGATTGTATATATGGGTAGCGATTGTTAGAATACAGTATTGGTAGTTAATCCAGATATTCTTCGAATTGGGTGACACTGGGGACTATTGGAGGCGCACAAAAGAATAGCTAGTGGGAAGGGGAAGACTAGGAAATTAGCGCGTAATGGATTGAAACAAGTTAGTAAAAGCAGTCAACTTGTTTTCAGATTCGGAAACTTGCAACGACTGACGTCTTTAAATGCTCAAATGACCGTTACTTAACCACTTACGAATCTTCTCAGTATTCCCCAAGCTATTGATTCTTGAAATCTTCAATTGGCAAGTTTTGAAAAATTTAAGATTGTCTTCATCACATTCATTTATTTGAGAAAAACAGACCTGAATTTAGAGTAATTTAGCAATTTCAAACGTAAATAATACTTCACATATCTTTGTTGAATTTAATTTTTCATCTGTTAATCTTCGTCTTTAATTTCAACATAATCAACTGTCTGTCTTGCATAGATATTCGTGATCTTTCTTGTGATGTATGTTTGTGATGTTTGACTTGAAAATTCCTTAAGCTGTGTGAATACTGCTACCCTCATTTTAGTCGGCGCCAGCGCTGGTATAATAAATCTAAGTGATCTCATATTCTGTTTACGAATTTATATTTACAATACCTTATTGTTACAATTGGTTCTATGTCTTCGATCTTACCGGAATTTTTGGTTTAAACGCTCCCTACGCGAGAAACCCGTAATCGTCATTCACCGTCCAAAAGTCCTCGACAGGTGCTTCCAAGACTGTGTCTGACTGGAGGTACCCTCTAGCAGGCTGCGAAGAGTAGCGGTAAAGATGAGAGTTTTGGTGCTGTGGTTGTTGGAGGTTGAGATGTTGCTGCTCCTGCTGCCGTTGCGGTTGTTGTTGCTGCTCGGGGTGCAGCTGTTGCGGTAGCTGTTGCGGTAGCTGTTGAGGCAGCTGTTGATTTTGGTGCAGTTGTTGTACTGGCACTATATTAGGAACGTCTGTTGGTAGATTAATTTGGTTCTGTTTCCAGTGAGTGATGCCTGCCGGCAGTTTCGGAACGTTGTACGAAAGGACGTCGTTACTGCGGGCCGATGTATCAAACTGCGGGCCATTGGCTTCCGAATTTTGATCAACCTGGGAGTTATTTATGAGATCAACCACTGAATCGTTTGTCCATGTAGAGATGTTGTTGATCATATTATGGGTTCCGTTGTTGAATAGAATCCCACTATAGTCCACGTCTGTGCTCTTGAACCCATCAATAGGTCGATGCATTGAAGCAGCAGATGGAAAGGTGTGAATTGCAGTCCGCATCGGCGCTTCAGCTGTTGTGGCGATTGGAAAAGTTTTGTTCGCATCTGTTTCTGCATCTCTTATTTGCCTTGGCCAAGACTGAGAGTTCAGTTCGGCAGACTCAATTGGAATTGCTTCCCCTGTCTTAATGAAAGAAGCAGATGGTTCGCGCGTAAGTTCTACTCCATCTGGACTCGCAGGCAATCTATTGGGGCCAACGTTAGCTTCTCTATTTCTTTCATCCAATTTGCCATTTAATGACGACAAGTAAGCTTGTAAAGTTTGCTGGGCGTGGTGCTGTTGCAAAAATGCTTGCTGCTGGAAGGCTTTCCAGTCAGATTGTGTTATGTGAGCTGGCTTCTTGACAAAATATTTATCCTTTTCAGCTTGATGCTTGCCAGAAGCGCTGGACTTACGTCTCACGATTTGACTTGGACTCTTGATATCGTCTTCCTCATTGTGGGGACCCAAAAGGTGAGACAACTTTTGTGGGACGGTAGCTTTCTGTAAATCACCTTGTTTCTTCTTGAGAACTTTCTGCTCCTCGGGGTCGACTTGAGAGTTTTCCACAAACCCGACGTGTAAATTGTTTGAGGACGTGCCAAACGTACGTTTGACAGCAGGGGGCATTCCCTCTTGGCTACGCAATGGGCCCTCATGCGAGGATGTCCGGTCTGATTTTTCTGAGTGGCCGTCGAATGATATCTCATATTCACTTTGGCTTTCATTGATGTAAATAAGCTCCGAAGAATCGGGCCCGCATCTTTCAATTAGATTCCCAATAGTTGCATTCATTAACTGGTCAAAGGTGTCTCTGAAAGTTAAGGCAAACTTCGACCTTTCTGCCATCACATACAAACAGACCGAGCAAGCTCTAAGATCGTCCATAGTTGAGAACAAACTGGCACTCACTAGCGGTCTAGTGTGCTTGGAGACATCACCCAGTTTCCTTCGCCTTTCGTCATCAAGATTTCTGGTTAGCCACATACAGTAAATGAGAGTTACACCGGCAACAAAAACAGTGTGTACAGCAGGCGTGGAATGTCCATAAACTGTTTTCTTGTGAAAAATCTTATAGAGCTGGCAAATCTGACCTGCAGCTGCTTGGCATTCTCGAAACAATCTATTTTCGGGCTCTAAAAGCTCAAGGTATGGCTGAATAAGTAATCTGACAGATCTGAAGTAATAGAGCTTTAGCGTCTCGTTTTCAAAGTTAAGCACATGCGAAATAGAACAGTTTGATCTCCAGATTTCCAAGTCGTGAAAGTAACCCCTTACTTGTGGTAGTTGCTTTACCAGCTCTGCCGTTTCCTTGTGATTTTCGAGAGTTTGGCTGGGAATTTGTGAAATAATCCGTAGTCCTTCGACAAATCGAGATTCTATGCGCCTTAGTTCTAGCGACTGATTAATGAAATGAACCCCCCTTTTATGTCTCTTCTGGTCATTCACTAGGCTGTTGTTGAAACTGGCTTCGTCAAATAATGGTAAATCTATGTCAGATTCGGCAATAGTGTAGGGCTTCCCAACTGCAACACAAATCATTCTTTCCAAAAGGTATACGCACCAAAACAGCCTTAGCTTCTTACTCGCAAAAATGTCCTTCTGATTCCATTTATTCAAGTGTAATTTGTCCTTGCAAATAGACATGACGTCTTTGATTATCTCGTAAAGCCCACTCGAGTCTCGGTCAGTTCTTATAATATACAACACCAACAGCGTGAGAACCTCTACTCGCTGAATATAGGAAAGATCGCTTCCGCACTTGGTAATGTGACGAATTGCTGTAGAGAAGTACCTATTAGGTGGCAATCCGCGATATTTGCCTGCAGACATGTGGAGACATGCACTGATACTGAAGACGAGCCACATTCTGCCACAGGCAAAATGAAACTCTTTCGTCGAGTAGGAATGTACACTGTTAGTAATATAGTCGTCGTGGAATAAGTAGACCTCGTGCTCATCTAGCAAGGGATACTTGAATTGAAGCCTGGTGAAATAAGTGTCAAGAAATGCTCGAGAAAGCTGCTCCTCGAACTCGAATGCTGGGTCGTATGACAAGAAGTCTCGCAGATTGTATTTAGCGAAAATACACTGTGAAAAATCGATCGAGTCCAAACTATCGGAGGTAAGCGCAGCAAGCGAATTATTAGCATGATTACTCATAGGAGTTTTCCCATTAGAGTGAGGCTCTGGCTGTAATGGGAAAAACTTGACAGTTTGAGGTGGCGGCAATATTGGAGAAGATGTGGCAGACGAGAGGGGAGCTGGAATGGAAAACTGAGAAGCCGGCGCGCAAACGCTGCTATTGGCTGTTTTTAGTTCTGGGTTGGCTAGTCCGTCGAGTGCTGGACCTTCCATGAGATGCGAGATACGCTTGTAGTTGGCGAGCCTATTTTTGAATGACTGGCCACTTGGTGACATGTCAAGCATTTTTTCCAGGTATTTGAGCTTCTTCTCAAGAAACTTGGTGTACTCATCTTTCGTAGGCTTTGCAACGCTGTGTTTTGAGACGGAGGGTGGACTGTATGTACTTGTTGGTGGCGGCGGCTGAGGAGACTCCGAAGACACATCGGCGGATGAAAACTTGTTTACGTACTTTGCAGGTTGAATGCACTTCACACCAGCTTTCAGGCAAGCCGTGCAGCTTGGCATCTTGTGATCACAACGTCTTTTCCGACGCTGGCACAGTAAACATGATCTTGATCGGCCTTTCTTGTCCTTGAGCAACAACTCAGCATCTTGGCCCGCCAATTCCAATTCTAATTGGAACCTTTCGATCTTCTCCTGGCTCACAATTTTAGGAGGACGTCCCATCCTTGTGTACTGTGTGGCTCAAAAGTCCACTGATAGTGCTTATCTCGAGCGTTCTCGATAGCGTTAATAGCCGGAGTATTCCAATAAGTTGTAGGTCGTTTGTTTCTTGGCCCCGGTCCTCTTTTGATCACTTTGTACTAATTTGTCATGACGAGGTGTCATTTAAATTCAGGTTATTCTAACACTTTTGCAGAGTTTTCTGGTTGAAGCTCGACCTTGACATTGACTTTAAAGTCGAGGTCCTTTTTTAGATAGTTAGTTTTCTTTAATTTCCAAAATAATCATTTGCTGGAACACCTTCAATTTTTTTTCCGGCGTTTTGCAGCTAGAAACAACAATCAGCACATATTAATTGGTATTTGGTTGGTTTGATTGGAAACCTGGTACGTTAAAAAATTCAGACAGCGCGATAATCTTTCGTTTTGCTGTTTTTTCTATTATTATAAGCGAGGCTATGAGAAGTAGTTGGGATGCGTCAAAAATTTACGTTTCGCCGGTTTTATGTACTTAGATCGCAACAGCGGTACTTGAGTCTCAAGTCGCTACAAATGCGTGGAGCCGGTACTTAGATGATGGAAAGGGGCCGGGCCCGCAGTTCTTAGACTTCGAGTTCGGTCGTCTTTGGTGCTTTTAAAAGTGAAGCATGCTCCAACTGTAGAGAACCAATATAGAGTTGCATACAGGCCAGTACATAGAACAGTTGCAGATGCTGTTGCGAACTGGAACAGAAAAAAATTTGAACCATCGGTGAAGTAAGGCAGAAGAACCAGGCATGGCTCCCTGGATCCGCAGAATATCCGAAACTAAATATATTCTAGGAACAAGCTCTTGAGAATGGAAATTCCTGGACTCTTAGCTTAGAAAGGTGCACGTCACTTAATGCATCAACTGATTCAAAATTTTCTCCTCCTCTTCCAGTTCTCGCAACTGTTCGGCTTTTCTTTCTTCGTCGTGCTTTTCGTGCTTGTCTCGGCTCTTACGCTCTCGACTTTTTTTGCCTTGTTTCTCCCACTCATGAATGGCAGTCTCCCGAGCGATTGGTTCCCCGCCATTCTGCCAGCGAGCAATTTGTAAAGCCAATTTATCGCGGGCAAGCTTTCTGTTTTGGTGTCGCGATCGTGTCTCTTGGCACTCAACAACAATGCCGCTAGGCATGTGCTTGAGTTGTACTTTACTATTGCATTTATTAATCTTTTGTCCGCCAGGCCCGCGACCGCCATGTAGGAATTTTTCTTCAAGATCGGCTTCCATGGCAAGTGTAAACTTGGGCCTTGACGGCAGCTTATTCTTTTTGATAAGATTGGCACAGCACGCGTGTATTTCACGTCGAAGCACTTGTGATAGTTGCAGAGTTTTAAACGACATGCTGGTCAGCTCTTAGAGTGTATAAGGAGCTTGATGAATTAGCAGAGCAGCTGCATGAAATAATATAGCAGGCGACTTGAGTCCTGTTCAATCTGTACTTATTTTTTCAGTTAGTGAATCTTTTCAGTCAAATGAATAAGGATTTGATGATTTCGAATTCAAGATAATAAGTTACCTAAAAAGATTCACCTTCACGAAACAATATTTACTTGGTTCTAAAGACGTTTTCTGCTCGTAATTACACTGAACGAGCGTCGAGCCAGAAATATGAAACGTTTTGTGAGACTAACGACTTATACGAGAGGGTTCCATGCCACTCGCAGGCGTTTAAACATCAACACTCGAACTGATCCCTTTGACCTCAAGAATGGATCTAAGACCGGGACCAAAGGCACTCCTTCCGAAGACTTTATTGATAAACTTCCTGAACAGCTTATTTCGGAAGGAAATGGGTTTGATTCCACCACCGCTGAGAATCAAATTGATACATTGAGATGTTACGAAAAGTTACTGCGAAGTGGTTTTACACCCAAACAAAGCTCTATGGCGATTGAATTACTGCTAAGTACACTAAACGAGGAGTTCTTCGACGGTTATAATGACAAGTTTCTACGAAAAACCGAACTAGACACTCAGTCACATCTCTTTAACGCTGCAGAAACAGAACTACGGTATGCCATTCAAATTTCAAGAGAAACTGCTTTGAATGAAGAAAACCTCAAAGTTTTGCAACTGAACCGGGGTCTGCATTTGTTACATGACGAACTGAACGAACAATTTATAAACCTACTAAAGAAGGATTCCCAGGTTGATTTTAACGACAGGAAAATAGAGAACACTCTACTTCATCGGAACATTAATTTGAAATTGAAGGACTGCAATAACAAAATCGGTACTCGGATAATAGGTGACACCAGATCAGACATCGAAAACCTACGGTGGCACACCACCAGAAGTGGAGTTTTTGCTGTTTTAGGTTTAGTCTTCTTCATCATGAGTGGCTTTAACATATCGAAGCGAATCAGTAGTGAAAATGAAAAACCTGTCGAAGTGGTCTTGCACACAATTGAACCCGAGGAAGATCACGGAGCGGAAGATGAAATGAGTGAATAAGGATAAAAAAATGCATTATTTTTTTGGTTTTGGATACTAAATGGTCCCCAACTTAACGAAATATTTTAGAACTTGTGTTTGCGTTGCTTCGAACCAATTTCCTGGAACCGCTTTTGTGGGAGGCCTTGAACCCAGTATTTCATGGCGTCGGCGACTTCGTCAATATTGGCACGCTTCAGTTCTGAGAGTATTGGTCTTTTCAGCAGGCTTTTCATGTTGATAAAACTGTCGTGAAATAGACCTGACGTTTTTTCGAAAAGATCGGACAATACTTGATTGTTGAAAGTCTCTGCGTCCGTGAGCTTGTAATTCCGCACAATCACTTTGTCGATGAGCTGCTGATATGTGACTGGCTTGGCGAACATCAATATTTCATGGGCCACGTTATAGCCCAGCTTCATAGGTAAGGTGATTGAGAGAGCGCCTTCGGTGACCAAAGCCAGGTTGGCAAATGGAAACAACAAATAAACATCGTCGTTCATGCAGTACACTAGATCGCACAGCATTACAATGGCAGCGGTAAGACCCACTGCTGGCCCATTGAGGCAGCAAACGAGGATCTTGGTGTGTGTAGCAAAGGTGTGCGTCACATATACATTCCGGCTGGCAAACTCTGAGAGCCATTTTCCTAGCATCCCCGAGGGTTCTGATTTGGCGGCCGCCTGGACCTGCTCGATGTGAGAAATATCTGCGCCTGCTGAGAAGAAACGTCCGGTACTTTGTAATACCGTAAAACTCACAGTATCACACCGATCTGCTATCTCCAAAAGGTGTGCTAAATAAATATAATCGGTTCCTGAGAGCGCATTAAGCGATTTGGGATCGGTGAACGTGATGATGAAGAACTCGCCGTCCACGCGGTACGACATTTTTCGACTTTCCATTTTGCTGAGGTCTGACATATTTAGGGCAATTTATATAATGAATAGAGAAAAGTGTGGCAATTGCTTCTATGCTCAGTATGTCTTACCAGACTAAGACCTCCCTTTGAAAAATGGATAAGTTGTTGGCTCCAGTTCAAAAAGTATACTTGTGTTTGGTATGCTATATATATATATATATATATATATATATGACTGGGTTGGTTTATCAGTCACACCTTTATAAATCCATATTTCTCGGACTCCAATGAAAAGACAAGAATTCAATCACATCTGATAGCATTGTGAGGTTCGAATAGGAAAGAAGAAGATGTTGATGGTTTGTTTGAATTACTGCGGCGTTTCAGCCTCATGATCGTATTTTGATTAATGGTTTAGGGAGCGAAAACCGAGCATAACGAATTTATTGTAGAAAAGCTTCTCAAAAAGAGCGTAGCGTCCAGAGTATAAAACAAAGTATAAGCTAGACTGCTCACCGTTGTCTGGTGAAATTCTGAGTTGGAAATATGCCAGACAAGCAGCGGAGGCAGTTACAGCCTCCTGAACGAGCGTGGAGGTTCAACACTTCAACTTGTAGCTCTATTTGAGGACACAATCATCATCCGTATGTAAAGTGCTACTTGATACCACCAGCTAGCAATTTGATGAGTTTACGGCGCTGCTCTAGACCTTCTCTACGTCGTGTCGGTGACAACTGACGTCTAGCAACGACGAGAATCGCCTGCACTGGAATGAAGTAGAAGAGCAGATTATCAAGATTAATCGGCTCGATCAAGATGAACGCGCTACAGACTTATCCGCTCCCCGTGTTCCATATTCAAAACCCCGAGTACAAACTGGAAACCAATCGGAGAGATGACTGATTTGTGACCTAGAAAGCTCCCAGGTGAGAGAATACACCACGAATCATCAGCTTATTCTAAATTACCGTGTCAAGTGTAAACTGAACCTCTGTCAAAGGATGGATCATCGGCAATCCATTATGAGCCGGGGCGCAACTTAGCTATCTTGAATGGTTTCGGAGTTTGGTCAACAAGTCTCGCTTTTCACGAGAAGGTCGCCGTAATACATTTCCGTAATGTACGACTATCGATTTTCTGGAAGTGCATATTATCATCTCATCGCATTTTTAAAAGAGTTTAAAGATTGCCTAAACACAGTACCGCCGAGCTATTGATCTACACTTGGTGGCTGGATTGCACTTTGATAGAAGATATCTCTCTAGCTTCCATGTCTGACTCCGAATCGTTCATTCAAGGCGATATTTTCGAAGAGCCGGAAGGTTTCTACCAGCCACCTCCAGATGCGCATTTTGCTCCATATGAGAGGAAAAATGTTCCCGAATGCTCAAAATCTCAAGCACAAACGGTCAATTTGAGACTCGTTGGGTCTTCGCCGCTCTGGGGCCATTTGCTTTGGAATGCCGGTATCTACACCGCACAACACTTCGATAAGTATCCTGAGCTGGTGCAGGACAAAGTTGTCTTGGAATTAGGCGCAGCTGCTGCTCTGCCGTCTATTGTAGCAGGTCTCATCGGTGTCAAGAAATGTGTTACTACCGACTATCCAGACGCCGACTTGATACAAAATATCCAATACAACGTGGATCAGGAACTGTACGACGGACAATCTGAATTTGACCCTGTCAATAGAAGCGTGGTAGTTGAAGGCTACATTTGGGGTAACAGTTACGAGCCCATAACGAAACACCTGCCAACAGGAACTTCCAAATTCGATCTCATCATTTTAAGTGATCTGGTCTTCAATCACACAGAGCACTTGAAACTGTTAAAGACAACTAAAGACCTTTTGGCTTCTAATGGTAAAGCACTTGTAGTCTTTTCGCCTCATAGACCTTGGCTATTGAATGACGACTTGCAATTCTTTGAAACCGCTAAGGAATTTGACCTCACACCGGAGAAGATTGAGATGGTACACTGGAAGCCGATGTTCGAGGAAGATGAAGAAACCAGTGAGGTAAGATCTAGAGTGTACGCCTATTACTTGACGCACAAAAATTAATTATTGGTTCGTTTATTACTAAAGTACATATTGTTTCGTAATAGTATCGTATGCAGGGTATTTGGCTGATGCAGAGGTAGCAGTACCTCTTTGCTTCGAACTAAAATCACATGAAGACGCTCTTCATGTATGAGAAGTTACAACTACTGTAAACAGTGTCATTGCTGTCGTAGGCGAAGCACGTTGTGCCATCGGCACACTGTGTGTAAACCCAGTTCGCATGATCACAAATGGCAATTTTTCCGTCAGCGGAACAAGAAATCTCGCCGTCCGAGCATGTAGACTTCCCGTTCAACTGGCCGGCAGAATATTGGGCATTCAATTCAATTGCTCTTTGGTGAGCCCAAGAAGGTGAAGCTGTTGCGGATGGGTTCACAGCTGACGTAGCAGTTGGGGCGTAAGAAGGAACCACCGTTGGCGCCAAAGTTGTAGTACTTAAACCTGGTCCAGTAGAACAAGTTGTCGTAGTGAGTACGGTTGGATGAACAGTTTCAGTGGTGGCGTAATCTGAATCAGAACCTTGGGTAGGTGCTGGGGTAGGCGTACCAGATGTACAGGTCGTTGTAGTCAGCACAGTTGAATGAGCAGTTTCGGTGGTAACATAATCTGAATCGGAACCTTGAGCAGATGCTGGAATAGACGTACCAGACGCACAGGTTGTTGTAGTTAGTACCGTTGGGTGAACAGTTTCAGTCGTAACGAATTCCGAATCGGAACCTTGAGCAGATGCTGGAGTAGACGTACCAGACGCACAGGTTGTTGTAGTTAGCACCGTTGGTTGAACAACTTCAGTTGTGATCGAATCTGGAACACAAGTACCAGATGCACAGGTTGTGGTGGTCAAGGTCGTAGACCTTACATTATGCGTTGTAACAGTGGTAGCTTGGGCAGATGGAGACGAGCACGAAGTACAGATTGTTTGCAAAACGGTAGACTGCGTTATCTCGGTTGTCACTGCACTACCCGCCGACGAGACAGTGGTGGTGTACATAATAACGGGTGTGCTTGAAGATTGTTGAGTACCGTGTCCATGAGCAACAGATGTGGATCCTGAAAGCGCAGAGGCAGGAGTGCTCGAAAAAGAGACACCAGAGCTTAGCAATGAGACTGAGGTGGAGGACTTCTGAGCCTGCGATGAGCTATATCCAGTTGCTTTTGAGCTAGCGACTAAAGCGCTCGAGGTAGTTGAAGACGTGATTGGAGCTGAAGAAACGCTCAATGATGAACTTGAAGCAGCTGCAGACACAGTAGACGAAGCACTCACTTGAGAGTTTGAGCTTTGAGCCACCGAGGAGCCAACAGAACTCAAAATGCTCTTCATTTGAGCCACATAGCTTTCACCATCAACCTTATTACTGAAGCTCTGAGAAGCGTCCCACAACATGATACCACCGAAGTTATTACTTTCGCTGATAGTGTCAACTGTGGACTGGATCTTGCTCAAATCTGAAATGTAACCAGAACCAGCGGCACTTGATGAGCCTGGCAGACCCAAGTAAAGTTTGATGTTGGGGTTTGGAGCTGAAGCGGCAAATTGAGTCCAGGTATCCCAGTTGAATTGAGCATCGACGTTGCAGTAATTGTTGTAAAACTGAATGAAGGCGAAGTCAATATCGGCATTGTTCAAAAGATCGCCGACAGAAGCATCGGGGTAGAAACATTGTGGAGCAGCAGATAAGTAGTAGGCCTTGGAGGCAGAGTTGAAGTACTCTCTTAGTTTTTTAGCTAAGGCAGCATAACCAGTTGGATTCTGGTTTTCAATGTCGAAATCGAATCCATCGACAACAGCGTCGTCAAATGGACGTTCTGAGCCAGAACCACCACCAAAGGTGTTCCATAAGGTGGTAGCAAAGTCTTCCGCTTGCGAGTCACTGGAGAACCCGTAAGAGCCCACGGATCCACCCATGGAGAGCATGATTTTTTTGCCCAAGCTTTGACAGGTCTTGATGTCTTCGCCGATCTGATCGCAGTGCAAGACTCCGTCGGAGAATGTCGAAGAGCAGGCCGAGCTAAAGTCAAGGCTGACTGGATCAGGGAAAGAATAGAGGAACGAAAGAAGCACGATGTCCACATCAGAGGATTGGCAGTAAGAAGCCAGGGAATCCTGTGAGCCAGCCGAGGCCTGACCCCAGTACACAGCGACGTTAGATTTGGCGCTGGCGTCGAAGCCGAGCACGAATGCCAATTGCATCAGTGCCGTAGCAATGAAAAATAGCATTTGATATGATGTATGTGCGTTTCCGTTTGAAGTGGAAAATAGGTTAGCTGTGCAAAGGAGCGAATGCAGTGGGTACTGATGAGAAAGCTTTTCTAAGCTTGTTGCACAAGTCTATAGTTTATCACGCTCTTATATCTTTGTTGAGACGTGATTCTGAAACAGAAGGTACCTCAAAACAGTCTTAGCTGCTTTCACGGTTGGTACTTATATAAAATCTCTAGCAGCATTCCAGATCAAAAAGCTGCTAGGACCGTGTGGGCCGAGGTAGAAATTCCATGGCGAACGCAGAGGCGCTAGACGCTGGCGACAACAACAATAACAACAACAACAACAATTATAATAACAATAGGGATTCGAACTGCCCTGCAAGCCTGCTACGGAGTCACTAAGACACCGCTACCAATTCATGAAAATAAACTGGTTAATTGACCGCGTCCCGACTTACATTAGCGCCGTCAAATTCTCCATAGCATAGTCCCCAGCACTCCGATGATAGCTTTCACACGCTTTCGCGTGTGCTTGAAGATTTAGCGTAATTTTTTTACTTGCTTGGGTATGGTGCTAATTCAGCCTGTAGCCAGCAACCAGCATAACCAGTTTTCGTGAAATATGCTTTAGCTTAGAACTAAGCGAGCATCGCTGGCTCTCGATGTGCAAACCAGCGCAACCAAGCAAGTGTGCGCCCTGAGCTACGGTATCTGAAACCAAATGTAGTGTTTGTGCAGTGGTAGGTGGAGTTAAGTCTCTTGTAGGGCTGGACGACGCTGGTGCTTTTCGTAGATTTAGGTTATCCAGCGTATTCAGCGTGTTTTCCAAGGTAGGTTCGAAACGCGCTTTTGCATAACGTCTGGAAGACCCCACTCTTAATGCGTTAATGCTGCAAGCTAGATCGTTGCGCGCTTTCAAGTTTTTTTGTTCATTCGTTCCACGATGAAAGCGCGAATTGGGTTTAAAAAATGTTGGGTCGCGCCGTTATACTGGCAAGCAGGAACCATCCATGTAAGAAAATCTTTCACAAGGCGTGGTTTTCGCAGCAGCAGTGGCAGTAGTAGTGGTAATAGCGATTGTAGTTCGATGCTCGTTGACTCGCGTCTCGTGATATGCAGTGTTTGCGACATTCACATGAGCCGCAGGCAGGTGGACGTGGTTCAGCTACCGCATTTGTAGCTGACTTGATCTGGGTAGGTGCTTTAAGGGGAGCAGAATACTGCAATTACAGCTTAGCCCATCGCGAATTTACAAAACGGCAAATTCGAATTTGATCTGAAGGCACAAGAAAACCGCGGTTCCTAAATAGGTTCGAGGGTGCGCGCCTGTCACTAGTGAAGTACCTGCAAAGGAGCCTTCAAAGCTTTAAGCAGTGACAACTTCTGTCAAGCGGGAGAACCCTCGAGCTTGGCACAGTATTCGCAGTGGCTCCCAACGGAGAGAGTCTTCGAGCTTAGCACAGTATTCGCAGAATCCCCCAACTGAGAGAGCCTTCGAGTTCATCAAGCTATTCGCAAGTGACTGCCTCCATTCGCTGAGTGGAAGAGGCAACTATTTCACAGCCTTCTTCCTTTTGGATATTCACGTCCCTCTTCAACACTGGTGAACGAGAGACTTAACGTAGAGCACCTTGCTGAGCATTTCACCACATGGTGGCAGCCCGCAAAGCTAAGAAACTCAACCGGTCTCTTGCACTTTCTGTAGTTCCAACACACGGGGGCTATTCACGAATCTAAACCATTCTTCAATACCTGGACTTGGCAACTCACTCCTCATCACCATATTAAAGTAAACTTGAGCTTCTGAAACTGCTACTTTCCCAGCGGACCGCATACTTTCCTCAGAACTGTGAAACTGAAATGTGTGTTTGTTGGTGGCGGCGGCTAAGTTATGAGTTTCAAACTCAAAACTTCAAACAAAGCTGTAGTTTGGAATATGTAAAATATCGATCAATGGTCCATTCTGAGCTCTACTGAAAGACTGACGTGGTCGTATTGTGCTCGGACTTTGCATGGGGCTGTCAATTGAGTGTCCATTGAGTCAGGGGCGACATTTTTCGATTTTCGTGAGTGGTCTCTGGGAGATGCGGTCTAAGCATGCTATACAGAGATAGTATGACTTATAGTTAAATCTGGAACCAAATTTGGTACTTACACGAGCTTGGGTAGCAAATAGAACTTGGGAGATACTTCGGAAGACTGACGGAGAAGTGATTTACTTTTCTGTCAGCAAGTTCAAGTTCCGGGATTCAAGCAAGAGAGATGATGCCGTGTACAGCTGGCTGCGAATTGGACACAATAGCGAGGCTCTCTGTGAACTTGCTGAAGTGAAATATGACGTTCTGGCGTTATGGCGTTTTTTGAAATCGACGCTTTGGTAGGTGGTGTCAAAAGCAAATGTATCAGTCCGAAATGAGGATATCTGTACAAGCCTGTTGGGATATTGACGTCTCTAGAAAAAAATATCAAATGGTTGGCATGACTCAAATGTCGTTGCCATTCGTGGAGGGTACTCTTTCAGGTAATTAGTATCATTGCGACTGGTTGATTAAGAAACTATTAAATTTGGGTGAGAGCTTGTGGAGTCTATCTGTGATACAGGTAGAATCATATGGCAGGAGCTAGAAGATAGGTTAAGTTTAGACAGCCTTCGGAAAAAGCTTTTGGAAATAACAAAAAATGTCAACAACCGTTAGACGCTTTGTATGCGACGTGTGAATTACACAAAAGCCAAGACCTTGAGCCACGAACTTGACAAGTTTGGTATGTTTTGTGCTCTTCCTCGCTCGATGAAACACGTTTCCAAGTCAATGAATAGTAATGTTCGCAATTCGTTGAAACTCCACGTGTAAAATAAATCAGCATCATCAATGGTACCGTGAATGTAACTATGGATCGATAAGACATCCACCTTGCGCGATCAGCTGAACAAAAAGCTATCGACCTTTATTTTTTCTCAGGTTCCGGACCAGCTGCTTAGAAAAGTAGCCACCTCGAGGATTTGTTGAAGTAGAACAGCCCAAAGAACTATGAGTACCTTTCAAGGCCGTTCGCATGCTCTTTCAATATTGGCATACCATGGTCAACTGCTTTATACAAGAAGTGGAGAAAGAAACTCGGCTCTGTTGATATGACGAGGAGATTTCGACCTGGGCGGCTAATCCTTCTGTTAATATCACGATATACGAAACCTTACACAACAGCATAATGATACACTATGGTCTTTATATGACTTTATTCGAGTCTTGTTGCGGTTGATAGTAAGGTTGAAAGAACGGAATATCTCCCCATACAGGTGCACTATGGGTTCCGGCATTATATCCAATCTTTTTAACAATATTCTTGTATTATTGCTGGATAGCGTATGTGCATCATAAGGAAACCAAAAATTAGGCCAGAATGGTAGAAAGTGATGTCGGCACAACAGAGGCAGTCAGTGAAATATTCGATCAGTCGATTGCCTGATTAATGATCAAATGTGGTGCACAATTATTCTAGACTGAGTACAAAATTCAAGCCTCGCGGCTGTGACAACGACGGATAGATAAATTGAAAGCCAGATTCTCATACAAGTTAGCCACACATTGAACGTTTTGAATGACCAGTTCAGCAAGCCAACTACTACTAAAGAAGATTTGCCTGCGCAATCACTATCTAGCAACAGCACAGGGAGTCTGACTTTTTAGTAGAGGCCATTGAGCGCTCTTGTCTCCGTTCGTATCGCTCTTTCCATTCTGTCATCATGGTCATCGCTCACATTTCAACAATTGACAATAACATCTCGAAAACCCGGATATGGTCAATGCACAGCAGTTCCAAAAGAAGTACCCAATGAACAGACGCTCATCCCGATGAAGAGACTCTCGCCCTACTAGATACACACCAGCCTCAATAGGTGCCCACCCACTCGAAAAATACGTACTAATGTCAAATGATACACACAATCCCAAATCGATATCCTCATTCTCCACAACTGCATACCAAGATCAGTAATGAGAAATTCTCGAAAATACGACACCTTCAGTAAGGACTCATCCTCTCCATAGGCTGCCTCATCGAACCTCCACCCAACCTTCCATCCAATCCGCGACCCAATCCCCGACCCACGACCAGATAACACAAAGACAGAGAAGTCATTGCCACGTGCGCGGCACGTGCTCTGTCCATCTTTTCGTCTATAATGAGATGTTTGAAATCGCTCTGAACGAGCTTTTTTTTTATTTTTTTTCACCTCTCAAAGAAAAAAAAAAAAAGACTAAAAAAATTGCCAGCACGCTTGCTGCGTAAGGATTTGGATAAAAAAAATTGATTTGAGCTGTTACACCACCACAACAAAGTTTTGTCTCACCCTTTTGCCACTATTAAAACAGAAGTTTGCACAGGGTATTACAGAACCTAACAGTACTACTGCACTACTAATATCATAGATAATATGTCTGGTGAAGTTCCTACTTTCAAACTAGTGCTTGTCGGTGACGGTGGTACCGGTAAGACGACTTTCGTCAAGAGACATTTGACAGGTGAGTTCGAGAAGAAATACATCGCTACCATCGGTGTGGAGGTGCATCCATTGGCTTTCTACACCAACTTCGGTGAGATCAAGTTCGACGTGTGGGACACCGCTGGCCAGGAGAAGTTCGGCGGTCTCAGAGACGGGTACTACATCAACGCCCAATGCGGGATCATTATGTTCGACGTGACGTCGCGTATCACCTACAAGAACGTGCCCAACTGGCACCGTGATTTGGTGCGTGTGTGTGAAAACATCCCCATCGTGCTGTGCGGTAACAAGGTTGACGTGAAGGAGCGTAAGGTCAAGGCCAAGACCATCACTTTCCACCGTAAGAAGAACCTGCAGTACTACGACATTTCTGCCAAGTCCAACTACAACTTCGAGAAGCCTTTCTTGTGGCTCGCCCGTAAGCTTGCTGGTAACCCACAGCTAGAGTTTGTGGCTTCGCCAGCTTTGGCTCCACCAGAGGTGCAAGTCGACGAGGCCTTGATGCACCAATACCAACAGGAAATGGAACAAGCCACCGCCTTGCCATTGCCTGATGAAGACGACGCTGACTTGTAAGCTAGTCCACCATATACGCGAGCGAGCAAACCAAATCAATGGTGCAGAGCGCATGCACTTTTGTATGTAAAGAGCCCATTTACAGAGCTCGGTGGTATATAATAAATGTCATATCCGGGTGCGCGAGGAGTCGAATGCCAAGGACGTCGTATGTGCAGCATCTGCACGCCTCACGAGCCTGCCCTAGATAGTTATACTTTTAATATGAAATGTTAGAGCTCCGGAGAGAGGGGGCGGAAACATAGATCGGGACCAGTCGGCCCGTGTGCGAACCCTTGTAGATTTGTTTACAGTGTGTCTGCATTGAGGCAACTCACGCGCAAGAGCACAAGAGGAATACTTTGCAACGTCGGAATGGCATATAGTGATGACGATTACCGCGTGCCATCATTCGCCGTGTCTGGGGTGGATCTAAACAAGGTTATTTACTATCACTTTTGTAGTACAGTTGAATCACTCATCAAGGCTTTCATGCAAATATCTCATTCGCGTTAAATCTCATGGTTCATTTACGAGCATCAATGAAAAGTCTCTGAAGGGTTTCGCCCATCAAGTTGCAGAGCACATACAAGCTGCTTTGCCAGTGTCAGATTGCTGGTATTTCGGCTCTTATCGGGCAGAACAACTAAGCGTTCTGAAAGCCAACGTATATATCGCCGTACTTTATAAGACCCACATGAAGGTAACATCTTTGTCACTCAAGAGACAAGAAGCAAGTTATGGGTTTAAACATCTCATGACAGTTTTCAGCGGTGAACAATAACAGACAGCGACAATACTAATTGTTGCCAAAAAAAATTTTATTAAAACAAAGACACTGTATACCTAATTTATTCGCGGTCTGTGAGCCATGGGCTAGTAGCCATCAAATACTAGCTTTGGTTCTTGGAGCGTCATCGCAAATCCGACTACTTCTTAAGACGTATCCATGATACTGTCGTTATTTAAGAAAATATTTTACAAGTTGTGCGCCATGAAATACAACCTTTTCGCGAATCTGACGTAGTCTTGACTTGATTCAAGAAGATTCCTTAGCTCGTAAAAGAGAGCAGATGCATCTAATACCATATTGAATAGGTGTCAGCATGTTGATAATCACTTTTGACGAGATCTATAAATGCCAGTCGTGGTTCCTCTTAGCTTATGGTGCTTTGAGCCACTGCTATTGATCTGGAGGCTTCATTTGTTGAGCCAGCTGCCAACGCGTTTTGGCATATTTTCCACAAGTTTCTTGATTCACCAAAATGCTTAAAATTCACCATTAAAATTTCCAAGAAAATCTTGGACCATCTGAAAACATTGTGTACTCTTTTGGCATTAAATAATTACTATTGCATCTGCTCTATGAGTGGAGAGGATGCCAGTTCTCTTCACCATCAAATGCAACGGTTGATACTCCGGCCGTTTTACATCACCATACACGTTTATTGCTCTATTTCGAAGTAAATGAGCAGTAGTAGTAAAGCTAGGTAACCCATGTTTCAAATCTTTTAGAACCTTGAAGACCCTTTTTTGCTTGCAAATCAAGACGAATTTCACATACAATGGCCACTGATCTCTCGTCGCTCAATTACAATTCGAACTCCAAGCTTCTGGAAGTTCCAGGATGCTCAGAGGATGTGGAGATGAATATTCAGCAGATCAACAAGCTAACGCAGGATCTGGTAGCCGAAAATAACCCTAATTTCACACCACAACCACACGACGACTCTACTTCAATGATCAAGAAACTTTTCGAGAGTGGCTTGAAGAATCTCCAACAGCAGAAAATGGCAGAAGCTTTGAAATCCATCAATTTGGCTATAGAAATGGCCCAGCGCAAGAGAGCCCCATGGGAAGCCTTTGCCGTACAACTACAAGAACTGCAATTCATGCTAAAGAATAGAGTCGATCTCAGCCTGATACAGGGTAAATTTATGGACGGCCTGCAAGATCTAGATTTTCTACAAAATACGGGTCTCAACTCATCTGATGTCTTCATTCGCAAAACAGACGCACTCATGAAGTTGAAACAGTATGAACTGGCTCGCTCAGAGGTTGAACGCGGTCTAAGTCTCGATCCCACGAACATCAAGCTCAAGTCATTGCACATCGAAAACTCTCGCAGACTCGCCGAGTATAATGGAGATATCTGATGAGCGCATAATTTCATTAACCACGATTTTTTAATCTCGCTTTCTTCTACATAGCTTTTATCCCTGTCGAATATTTTTGCTGGTGTCAAGCCCTCACTGATCGCATAGTCATAAACTGGCCTTTATAAATATATTTTGTATTAGAAAATTTTCATCTTTTTTCCTTCAAGTAACTCAACTTTTAACTCTTCCTCGATGGAAAACTTGAAATATATCGCTTCCATTGCGCTGCATTGAGCCTTTGGATTCGTTAAAATCAGTGCCAGTCACACTTGTGCTAGTTTGACATGTCAACCGATATCAATGTCGTAATTGCGTCGTTTATCGATCGTTTGAAGAGAAGGCAGATCTCGGGATCATATCAGGTCTCTCTTGAAACTCTGCAGCTACTGAAACGGTTTGTTTCTGCCGCGAGGTGGTCCTCTGTTGAAGATTTGATTGCTCAATTGCGGGACTTGGGCACTCGACTTGGAAAGGCGCAGCCTACCGAGTTTACGTGTGGAAACATTATTAGAAGAGTGTTGGCGTTGATAAGAGACGAAGTAGAGGAAGAAATGGCCTCCAGCGACCAAGTACAAAAAGTTGCAGAACCTATGATTTCCTCCATTTTTAGCCTGCTACAAAAACCGGCAGTAGTGTCGTCAGCAACGCTACCTTCCTCATCGAATGAGAAACAGGCCGATCATCCAAAGGCAGACTTACGTCAAGTCATTATACAGGGAATAAAGGAGCTTATAGATGAAATCGCGAATATCGACGACGGCATCCAGCAGATCGCTGTCGACTTGATCCACGATCGTGAGATTCTACTGACGCCCACACCAGATTCAAAAACCGTTTTGAAATTCCTCATCAAAGCCCGCGAGCGCAACAACAGAAACTTTAGTGTGCTTGTAACAGAGGGGTTCCCAAACAACACTCGCATCGCGCATCAGTTCGCCAAAACGCTATCGGAGCATGATGTAGAAACTACTGTTATCCCTGACACTGCTGTTTTTGCTCTGATGAGCCGTGTTGGCAAAGTCATTATTGGAGCTAAGACTGTTTTCACCAACGGCGGTACCATATCTTCTACAGCTGGCGTATCATCGGTGTGTGAATGCGCTCGCGAGTTCAAGACTCCTGTTTTTGCTGTAGCTGGTCTATACAAGCTCTCTCCACTATACCCCTTCGACATTGAAAAATTCGTTGAAGTTGGTGGCTCACAACGCGTCTTACCTACGATGGATAATGACCGTGTGGGTAACCACAACAGACTCGATACTGTAAATCCAGTCGCCGATTACGTGCCGCCTGAAAATATCGACATTTACATCACCAATATTGGTGGTTTCGCACCTAGCTTCATATACCGGGTAGTATGGGATAACTACAAACAGCAGGATGTTAATCTGGAGAACTGAGGGAATGAGTTGTCATTCAAAAATTTTATATTTTGCAATGCAAGAATATTAATGCTATGAGTTAATGCGCAAATTGAACATGCAATTAAAAGAACTTGAGAAATCTTGAAAAAACTTAAACTTGCCCTGTGCCTTGCTCGATCGAATCTCCTCCATGATTTGGTCTTGAGCTGGATAATTGGCGTTCATTCTGTGATCCTCAATTAATGGGCTAAATCAATCTTAGACTTCTTTTGAGTACGAATTCACCGGTAACACTTTTGTTACAAATGGTGAACCCCGTAATTAGAATGTCAAACAAAGATTAATCAACTAGTAGAATCTTGAAGCAACATATCTTTGTATTATCATGGCCGTCGATTTTTTACATATTTCACTCTGCTCTAAGCAATAAATAAAGTTCGACAAACTACCTTAATTCTGAATTTAAATTCAAGAGACCACTTTAACGCTCGCTTTCGCTTTAACGAGGACTGAAATTATGAAGAATATTCTAGTATTTGGAGGAAACGGCTTCTTAGGTCGTCGCATATGTCAAACTGCGGTTGAAAAAGGTTACCAAGTTACCTCGCTGTCGCGCTCGGGTGCTCCACCGCGGGTAAAGGCAACCTGGGAGAAAGAATGGATCGACAAAGTAAAGTGGCAACAATGCGACATCTTGAACCCCAAAAGTTACACACAGTACTTGCGGGATGCTGACAATGTGGTTCATAGCATCGGTATACTGTTAGAAGATTCGAGCTACAAGGCTCAGGTCAATGGCAAGTTGGCATTTGATGTCAAGAAGCTATTACAATGGGGACCCAACCCTATGAAGAACAACCCCAATTTCACTTATGAAGTCATGAACAAACAAAGTGCAGTGATGCTGGCACAAGAATTTGCTAAAGTCAAGCACAGCAACGATTCTGTATCAAAAACAATGACCTACATTTCGGCAGACAAGTCGTTTCCCGGTATTCCGTCCGGCTACATGGAGTCTAAACGAGCTGCAGAGGTCGAAATCATGCGGCTGGAACAAGAACTTAGACCAATATTAGTTCGTCCTGGCTTCATGTTTGACGAATCAGACACGTCTCTAGGGACGCTCAATTTTCGTTCGCAAGTCAAAAATATGCTTGATCTTGCAAATTGGAGCAATAAGAATTTTCTTGGGCGCCGCATTGAGTGCGTCAATCAACTTTTCAGACCTACTGTTTCCACTCAACAAGTGAGCAGGGCGCTCATTCAAAAAATTGAGGATCCTAGTTTTGAAGGCGTCCTCAGTTTAGAAAATATCATCAATTCTTGAGAAGTAAAGCTGTAATTCTATTGAGTATATACAGGGTGCCTATCACTTAATTTAGTATGCGATAGCGCTAAATTGTTTTTCATCTTCTTAAAAATGCTTGGTATGCCTCTTGGTTGATTTGGATGTTTCCAACACTCTTCATTTGTTTCTTACCTTCCTTTTGTCTGACCAAAAGCTTTTTCCTTCGGGATACATCAGAAGCATGAAGCTTAGCAAGCACATCTTTCCTTCGTGCCTTAATGGTTTCACGAGCAATGACCTTATTGTTGGCCTTTGCTTGAATAATGACTTCGTAAAGTTGTGATTTGACATATTCTTTGAATTTCTTAGCCCATTCGCGTCCGACTCTTTCAACTTGAGACCTATGCAAAACCTGTGCCAGAGCATCGACACTCTTCCCGTTAAGTACCAATTCCAACTTAACAATATCCGATGGCTTGTATCCAATGTCTTCGTAGTCTAACGAACCATACCCTCTTGAAACTGATTTAAGCTTCCCAAAAAAGTCGTCAACTAGGTGCGCCAATGGCATTTCATATTTCAGCAAGACCTGGCCCGTAACATTCAAATATGTGATTTCCTTCTGGATTCCACGGTTGTTATCGCACAGTTTAATCACAGCACCTAAGTATTCCTGAGGGAGAGTGATTATAGCTTCGACATAAGGCTCTTGCAAGGAATGGATGCGTGATTTTCTGAGTGACAAATCTGGAAAGTCGTCTGGGTTGGTGATTACCTTTTCTTGACCATCCGTGAATTTAATAACGTATGGAACCGTTGGTTGGGTTATAATCAATTTTGACCCGTATTCTTTATCCAAACGATCTCTGAAAACAGAGGCATGCAGTGATCCTAAAAATCCCAAACGCCAGCCCTGGCCTAAAGCGTTGGAAGATTCGCGTTGAAGTGAAACTGATCTGTCGTTCAACACTAAACGGCTGATATCATCGTCTAGACTTTTGAACTCAGTTCCATCTGCTGGGAAAGCACCAACAAAAACCATGGGTTTAGGGTCCTCGAAACCATCTAATACTTCCGTTTCATGTTCTTTCCCGAGGTGCATAATAGTGTCACCAATTTTTGCATCCTTTGAGGCCTTCATACCAGGAACAAGATATCCAACTTGGCCGGTCATGAGGGTATCTGTGGGAACTTTGTCTGGATACATAATTCCTAGCTCCTTGATCTCGTACTTTTTGCCCGTTTGCGCGCTTACTACTTTGTCGCCCTTCTTGACGAAACCATCAACTATATATACAAGCACGACAACTCCCAAATACGAGTCGTACCAGGAGTCCACCAGCAGCGCGCGGAAAGGTTTGGCGTGCTTCCCAGACGGCGGTGGAATACGGTCGATAATGGCTGGTAAAAGATCTTGTTTGACATTAATACCGGTCTTGGCGCTAACGCGCACAATCTCGTCCCGCGGGAGCTCGAACATGCTTTCGATTTGAGCCTCTGCTTGAGGGATATTGGCGCTATCTAAATCGATCTTGTTTATCACTGGAATGAGCTTCAGGTTCATGCTGTAGGCTAAGTAAAAGTTGGCCACGGTTTGCGCTTGAACACCTTGAGAAGCGTCTACCAGCAATAAGGCCCCGCCGCAGGATGCGTACGATCTCGAAACTTCAGCACGGAAGTCGACATGCCCTGGGGTGTCGACCAAATGTAATAAATAATCCTGTTGATTGCGCTTATCATGATAAAACATGGTACATGTCTGCGCTTTGATGGTAATTCCACGCTCTCGTTCGACCTCCAATTTGTCCAAAACTTGCTTATTTGAGTCCCCGGGCTTTATGACACCAGTAAATTCCAGCAGGCGGTCGCTCAGTGTTGATTTTCCATGATCTACATGGGCCACAATCGAAAAGTTCCTATAATTCTCCAGCGGTATTTGCTCTAGCCTTTTTTGCAAGCATGCAGCTTCTTTCGCCGAAACATGGTTGTAACGTCGCAGCATGTGCCACGTCGGTACCACGAACGACTTAAAACGTTTCATTAGAATTGATACCAGCACTTTTTCAAAGGTTTGTGTTATTTCATTGAATTTTAAGATTTGATATAGATCTACCTCTTAGCTCATCGGCTATGATTTTTAGATGTAAATACATGCAAGAACACATTTGGAATAAAAATCTCAACAACCGTCCGTCTTCAGGCTCGGTATGAAGCTGAAACTCATCATAAATGGTTCAGAGTCGCCAGAAGACTACAAACTGCTGAGATCTACGATTTCAACGGTGGCCTCGTTACGAAAAACAGCAGTGTTAAGGTTCACCAGTGAACGATTGGTAATAGTGTCCACACCAAGCTCTTCGACTCTTAGTAGCTCGGTTTTGCATGGTGATAATGGCCAGTTATGGTGTACCATTCCGAAAGACGTGTTTTCATCTTACGAAGTAGTCAGTGCTCGAGATCTAAATACAATCACGATGGAGTGCAGTTGCGATGTCTTGCAAAACATCTTCAAGAAGTATGACAAATCTATCAACCAAGGCAACGATGGCGATATGACTATTAAGCTGCAAAGTATGCCCGAATGGAACGTCTCTGTATCATCGAACTTGGAGAGCGGCAAGGGTACCACTGCGGCCAAGACTAATCCTGTGTGTGCACTGGGCGTTACCTTCGAAGAAGTCATAAATACCAATATGGATGCAAACGCTGCTGTGAAAGCGGGTGGACATGGCGATGCTAATGCTACCAAGATCATTTCCCATTCGTTCAAAGTTCCGACCAAGCTCCTCTTCCGCGCCCAGGATGCCAAAATTCGAGAGCCTATGATCAACTACACACAGCTTATGATGTACAGACTGCCGACACCGTTGGGAGAATGGGGCCGTGGGTTTCAAAGTTTTATTCGGCGCATAGAGCGGTATTCAAATGTGCACAACATAAAGCTCAGCGGTAAAAAGTTCTGGCAGGACGACAGCAACCATTCAAATGACCACGAACTCAAAATAATTGTTAATGAATTGGATTGGTATCTTGAAATATGCTGGAATGGACCGCTAGATGCGATGATTCAACCACAAGATAGAACCCAGGAACCTCCCGCATCTCCGGCAGAGCAGATGGCTGTTGACGTGGAGATCGATGTTGAAGAAACGCGCGATCAAAGTCTGTTTATCGAAGAAAGTGCTTCCATAGACGATTCTCATGCGGAAACTACGGTTGACGCGAACGTCAAGGATAAGACTGTTGATCAGACTAACAACGAGTCGCCATCTAAGCATGAAGTTGTAATACGAAGCAAAGATTGGAAAGTTTGTTCAAAGCTGTATGAAGCCTTCGAAGAAATCGTGTTAGCTATATCCCATGATGAATCGTGTGTGTTTCATTGTACGCTCCCTCGGGGAAATGTTGAAGACGAAGAAGGAGAGCATCCTCGCGAACATGGCCAGGTCATATATTATATGGCAAGGGTAAGGAAGGTCTAGCTTAAGTTATTGATGATAAGAAAATGTATCGCTTCAAAGATTCAATCAAAGTATAGAAAGTATTTCTGGTGCCGGTTGTCAGTTATTAATGCTTTATGAGAACTTCAATTTAAAGTGTTCTTAAGTAATTAGTGTTGATACTTTTTCTGTGTTGAAAGGCGTTTAACTCTTTCATTGGATGCGAGAGCAGTGGAAAACTGGCGATGAATTTACATTTCTTGTAGCCTCCAGCATTGCTCGTCTACACTACAGCCTAACTGACGCCAATAGCTTTGATTTAGCTCTAATCATAAAGCGTCACTCGTCAACCTGATTTGAAAGCCCTTACATCACTTGGTGTTTTGCCGACTGAGATTGAAGAGATTACGTGCATCTTATAATATACAAATGAAACAAAATGCTCTAATCTAGGCATTCTTCGAAGCAAAGTCCTCGATATATTGCACGAGAAGCTTCGTACTATCGATCGAGACAGCATTGTAGATAGAAGCTCTGAAGCCACCCACAGATCTGTGACCTTTCAAACCGGTCAATTTGCGGTCGGCAGCACCTTGCAAAAAGTCCTTGTCGAGACCTTCTTTTTTTAAAGTGAAAACAACATTCATCTTTGATCTGCAATCCTTAGCGACTGGAAGGTTGAAAAAGTCTGGGTATTTGTCCAATGTCTCGTACAACAGTTGGGCTTTGAGTTCGTTCTCCTTTTGTTGAGCTGGTATTCCGCCTTTCTCTAAGATGTGGCGCAAGACCAAATCAATTACGTGAAGAGTGAAGATAGGAATAGTATTGTATGCAGAGTTGTTTTTTACAACCGTTGGGTATTCAAATGCCACAGGTGTTATCGGAACGCCTAACTTGCGTAGCTGGTCTAAGGGCGCAGCAGAGATATCTTGCAAGATGGATTTCTTGACAATGTATAGAGTGAGACCGGCAAGGCCAATGTTCTTTTGAGCGCCAGCCATGATAACACCGTACTTGGAAACGTCGATCTCGCGCGAGAGAATATCACTGGACAAATCGGCTACGATCTCAATGCTTGATTCTGTCAACGCTTTTGGCAGCTGAGGCCATTCCACACCGTGAACGGTTTCATTTTCACACAAATAGACGTAAGAGTAGTCCTTAGATTTGATCTTGTCAGCCCACGCGGATTCGGGTGGAATAGCCCCGAACTTACCGTTATTGAAATCTTTGGCATTGAACAAGGCTTCACAGTCGACACCAAGTCTCTCTGCTTCCTCCAGAGCTTTCGCAGACCAAGAGCCAGTTATTAGGTATCCAGCCGTACCTTTTGATCCAGTCCTCCCAACGTGCGCAGCTGTCAAATTGGTGGCCAAGGACGAGAACCCAGTAGTACCACCACCTTGCATGAAGAAAACTTCGTGAGTCGCAGGTATGTTCATGAGCTTGCGCAAATTGGCCTTCGCACTTTCAATGACGTCTGTTGCATCGCCAGAACGGTGCGAAATCTCTCCGATTCCTAGTCCAATGCCTTGATAATCAATCAAGTCTTTTGCTGCTTGCTGAAGAACCTTCGTGGGCAATAAAGCTGGACCTGCTCCAAAATAATTTGGTTCTTCTCTTTCCAAAGACATTGCGCTGTGAAGTTGTTATTGTAGTTTTCGTAGTCTCAATTGACTCAAGGCGTCTATTGAAAGAGTCTGATAAGTGCTGTTCGTTCAATATATATATATATATATATATATATGTATATTAGACCTAAGGTGACTCAGGTCATTAATATATAATTCGACATTGAGCTCAATATTTGCAGCATCACATACGGCGGGTCATGTTCACTCTTCGGTTTCTCTAAAGTTGGATACGAAGGCTAGGCATTACGCTGGGATGTATCTCGGGATATCCACATATGAGTGTTTGTAGATAGCTAGAATGACTGTTCAAGTACAAGGAAGACGCCGTTGTGGGCTTCGTATCTAAGCTGCGAAAAAGCAAACTAAAGTTCTCTTGATAGCGAATTCTGGGCAAGTTTAATATATTTCGTCTTTCGAATGATCAAGGCCGGAGTTTTGTTTCTTCTTCCAATATTCAAGGACGAAGCTTTGTGTAGATGGGCGCCTGTGTAGGCACGTTAATGCCCATGTGCTGCTGTATGCAAGCATTTTCGGTCCTCGACGATAATAGATCGGAGTTTACGTGAAAAAAAATTCGAGGTGAATCTGCGTCAGAGGTAGTCAGCTTACCAAGTTGCTCTTTAGACCTTCCGTGATTGACTAAGCTAGTTGATTAATGTTGAATGAACGACATGTTTAACTTTCGTATTTTTTCCAGATATAAGGGCTTGTACCTTAACACAGGGAATGAATCATCAGATTTTGTACAATTGTTTGGGTACCATTGTTCGTTTGACGAGTTGTGAAAACACGAAAAATAGGCCGCTCTGCGTCAGTAGTAGTTAGCTTGCTGATCTGGTCATCAACGCGTCCATCGTATGTCTAATTAATTCGTGTTAGAATATGGGGTTCTCTTTATCTCACCGTAATTCTCTCAAATATGAGGTCGATCCACTGGTCGAACAACTTGTCGGTTGTTATATAAAATTGACTGAGCGTAGAATTTCATAGTCGTGAATAATCGTACGATACATCGTATGTACATCATGTAGTGCCCGATAGATTAGCAGTGAGCTACCGCCATTTTAGAGTGTCGTCTTGGTCTTATCTCCAGTCCTAGACGATGCATCAAATATTTCATCGACCGGCCATGTTATTGTGATATCACTTTGTACTATTCTGTCGTATTTCTTGGTTCCGGTAGTGATCTTATTCTGATCTACTTCAGTATGAAATTGACGCTATCAAGCAATAGCTTGGACAAAAATGTTCTAGACTAAATCCGTGGGTCGTGTGGCAAGGACATGCGCAAGCCCGCTGCTGAATCGCTTATCTATGCCATCGCATCAGTTCGCTGACCGTTTGTTGTATTAATGTTGCCGGCGTAGGCATGTTCAGCCGTTGCTAATACGTCTGTCACTTTAGACCAACGTGACATGGTCAAAAGTCGACAAAAATGTTTGCGGCGATGATGTGCAAATTACCGGCAGTCTCGATCAAAGAAACCATCAAAACTTGTACCTTTTTATGCGAATGAAAGCACCAGCCATCGTAAGCAGTGTAAACATACACATTACAGCTACTCTGATAGGCAAGGTCATATCTGTCGTGTCGTACAAATGCTTTGCAAATAGAATATTGTGCGGTATGCAAAATTTTTAATCCTTTTCGTCTTTTTTTGTCACTTCACTCACTATCCTGACATGTTTTGAATCCTAATAGTTACTATGAAAACAGCAATTATTGATATTTTCGCGATTCCATCACAGAGTTAAACCGTTGCAAGCTTGGTTCTATTCATGCAGGGTTCAATTCAATAAAACCCTAAGGAGCTACAAAGGATACTCTAGGAACTGGTTCAATCAGGTTGTTACGCAGAACTTACAAAGATACGTACTGCGCAGTATGCCGAGGAACTCTTTCAACCAAAGATGGACCCTAAGGACTCGCGCAGAAAAAAGCAAAGCTCCCTCGAGGCAGCTTAGAGATCATCAAGTTTAGTGGGAAATCTTTTCAGCTAGACAAAACCGTTGATGCGAAAACCGACGTCGCTATCGCCGGTGAAAATGGTATGATCTGGCTAGTCTCTAGCAGTATTGAGATTTCTTTACAGAATCCGTTGTTCCCCTGGCAAGTGCAAATACCGGCTGTTTATTCTTGGTATCAAAAGTTGTATAAAGCCCACATTCAGCAAGCTAGAAGATCCATCATCGATCGAGATTTAGATATCAAAAAGACTAAGAGGCCCTATGAACTTTACGTGTGGACCGAACAGCACCTTGGTCACCAATGGGAACACTAGTCTTCAAGAAGTGTGGGATTGTGGATTCACTTAAGGAACCTTAAATCAACAAAAACAGTCCTCTGCCCCGAAAGCTAAAGCCTTTAGCATGTGCACTTTAATTTATGTGTTGCTAGCCTCTTTATGTTCGGTAGCTAACGCATTTGAAAATGCTGGTAGTTTTGACCCAATCGCTGTTGACACCGTCTGAACGAACAATCAACTCCGCTACGCGGACAGTGGCGCGGCGAGCAGTACAGGCTTCTGGATTATTCAATTGGCGAGTATTGCAGCAATTCGGACTCTTGGACCTTCGGCTTACAGTCCAGATACCGTACCGCCAATATGCAGCGGCAGCCGTGCTGGGCAAGTGAACTCCAATTCCGGGGCACCGCGTCTGCGCTGTGCTTGCCATATCTAAATGGCTCGCAATTGTGTTGATATTGCGCCGCCTGAAGTGAGGTATATAATAATATTGAAAAGATAGCGTTATTTGGCTCTTGCACTAATCTGAGTTCCATGAGGTATTCTGTAATGGCGTCAGTAGACACAGTGTTGTATCGCCTAATAGATTACTACCACGTATGGAGTCGGCAAAGTAAACTTCCCCCTGGATTTTGTATATGTGAAGAGTAGAGCCTGGAAACTGGGAATTAACCATCGGAGTTGGCATGGTCAGCCAGAAACACATGCCGACGACACACTCGTTCGTTGTGATATACATCGCCAAAATTCAGAGCTGCACAAGCCGTGACTGACGTGCGCTGTCAGTCTTCGCCTGAACACTCATCAGCAAATACACCTCGCTTGCCACTAATGCTTCTGCTCGCTGGCGATATACAAATTATCGCGCTATTAAGGGCATACATGAGGGTCTTTTGACGCATAACCGAAAAAGTAGGTAGCTGCATCTTACCAACCTAGAGTCAGCATACACGCTCGGTAAACAGGTCCACTATGGCGCCAGATAGGAAGCATAAATGATCGCTAACTCCTGTATCTCGCAGCCAACGTGACCAGCAGCCTCTCACATTTGACTGCTCTTTTAAACCCAAACACATTAAACTTTTTCTGAAAACTGAAAAAATCTAAATTTCCAGCAAAAAAACCAGTCCCTCAACGTTAAAAGCGACCCACGCAACATTCTAAATCACATGACCGCGTGTCCCTCCAAACCGACGCAGATGCCGTGCGAACGGACATCTCACAATATCGCAATAGTGTGTCCCGGGATTGTAGGATACAGGCTTTTCAAAACTTGTACAAGTCACTACGTGGAAGGATCATAGCTGTTTTACAAGATATTTTGTTGAATTTAACTCTAAAGATCGAATAACCAATTCAAAATGGTACGTTGATGGCGTGTGAAAGCCGGAGAACAGTGGGAAAGAGCCTGGAAGGCGTTATGGGTTCCAAAGCTGCGAGAATAGCGAACAACGAGAGACATGAAAAACCTGTGCTCAAAAACGCCAAACGTAGCGAGTGGCGAGAAACAAAACGACACAGGCTCGAAACCTTCAGTGGAGTCGATTAGATATGGGTGTCCTTTAGCTGATAAGACCCGGTGGAACCAAAATAGAAGTCGAAATCCTGGCTCCCTCGCTCTTTCCAAAAACCACTCCCGTTCTCTTCTTTTTCCTCCTCTTCTCAATACTAACTTCTTCTTCTACAGGGTAAAGTTCACGGTTCCCTAGCTCGTGCCGGTAAGGTCAAGTCTCAAACCCCAAAGGTTGAAAAGCAAGAAAAGCCAAAGCAGCCAAAGGGCCGCGCTCGCAAGCGGATGTTGTACACCAGAAGATTCGTCAACGTCACTTTGACCAACGGTAAGAGAAAGATGAACCCATCTCCAGCTTCCTAAGCGGCGCATTTTCGCTCAACACACCCCGACTATGAACATTTTCCAGTGAATTCCGGCGTGTGTGCGTCCTTTTCATCCAACTAAAAAGTCGTTTGAGTTGTACGCACATCCGCTTGGCCACTGAGGTTTATGCGTTTTAGCTCATTTTGTATAGCCATATATCATCTTACAATTTATCAGTATATTTTGAAAACCCTATGCCCGATACTATGGACAAGCACATCTATATCTATGCTTAGCTTCCCAACAGTAGCTTCAGCGCTGATTTTATCAAATTTTCAGGCATCGACTTTAGCATTTGAGCCCAAATTTCCTGAAGAACAAGCCTATACACCTTGAATGAGCGACGCCACCGCGGATGTCAAGACCTTAGTGTCTACGCTTAGAAACGATTTCGTTAACACTTTCACTTCAAAGGATGAACTACATGCCTTGCAACCAAAGACCAAGCTAAAAGATTCAAATCCTACGACAGAGCTGCAAAAACTATCTCAAATCATCAAAGCTCACACCACCAAAATCGGTATTATATCACAGCCTCAAAAATTTAACGCCAACATCACTGCTGCTCTCAGGGAACTACAGCACTTCTCCAATTCCGTTTTCTTCTTGTTCAGTCTACTACCGCTGTTTTATCAAGGTAAATTTACCAACTATTTCAATGAATTACTAGATTCCTGTATCCTAGGACTTTTGAATGGTATAAATGGATTCTGTGATGAAATTGATCAATTGTTAGATGCCGCACCAACTGACGATTCTAGTGTCAATGCTGCGGCCGAATCCGAAGACCCGCATTCAAACACGAGACTCATCTCTGTAGGTAAAATCTGGTCCTCCTGTGACTCTTTAGATGAACTGGCCACTACCGGTAATTTGGGCATACTAAACAAGAAGATTCTAGTGAGCGCCAAGCTCGTTGGTGATACTTTGGCCGAATTGGAAGAGTGGCTCGTTGATCCCCATGTTGAATCTGATGATCCATTTGGCATTGGTAGCGAATCCGACAACGAATCCGACAACGAAAGTGGAAGCGAAACCGGTGAAAAGGCGTCACCTGAAATGATCAAATTTGTTGAAGAATGGCAAACCAAACTGAAAATGATTCGCTTATTGCTTCTATCATTTTCCAAATCCATTGCATCAAATGACTACAAGAACAAAGAGCCCATGGTTGAACAGCTCGACAAACTCAATAATCTACACGCAATAATCGTCGAAAAAGTGGACGAATTGATCTCTACTGTATTCATGTTAGGGCTAGATTTCGATTCTCAAGATGAGGAAATTGTCGACCTGTCGTCTCAATTGAATACGAGCGTTCGGCAAATGGTTCAAATTATCAAGACTTTGACCAAAGGCGACGATAAAAAGGGCAAGTGGATAGAAGTTTGGGATGTCAAGTATTTTACTTAAATCAATCTAAGTGATCGTGGGAAAAATCAAACTTGCGAAACCCTGTAAGTAAATGTCACGATACACTCTAGTAGCTTGATCAAGAGCGCTTCCAAAGCCGATATAATTGTCAATATGCCGGTGCAGACGTATTAATTGGGTTTAATAGGCCGGTGTTTTTTCATTGAATGAAAAGCCGTGGAAACAGAACGATACAAGTTCCACAGTTCACCTCTAATTTCGAAGAAATATCAGAAGATAAAACATGCCTGGTTCGATAGTCTTTCAGGCCTTTTGAAATTGACTCGCCAGCTAGCCGCCGAAGATATTCCAACAATGGGCGACACGCCGACTTGTTTTCGTTCGTATCGCAAAAGGCACAATGTACTTCAATGTGCGACAGCTCTCTTGAGGGACAGCGAGTCCTCGAAAGTAGGGAGGAGCCAATGGGTAAGGGTTTGAAGGCTTGTTCAACCGTCTGAAAAATAATACCGCGGTTACTTCGTAAAGGAAGTAAGCTATGAGCTACTCATAGTCTATGGTACTTTGAGCTCTATGTAATCAAACAGTTTACGTGCTGGTGCAGTTTAGATAATTAAAAAAGAAAGCCTCACACTTGTGAAGGGACATAACCATCATATGTCTGACTTGGCGACTAACGGTATGGTGATAGTGAGACGATCTATTCAGTAGTTTATACCGAAAATGGTGCCTCGCGAAATTCAGGCATAAGGAACTTTCAAAATCTACGCAAATAGGTCAAGACAATTTTGCATATTTGACTCGCATGCTTAGAATCGCAACTATGGAGTTTCGACCTAATGAGAGATTCTAGTAGTCACTACTGATTGATGACGCTAATTTATGCATTCTCTTTCAACAACTGCTTCAATGCAGTGAAGAGAAAGCCGAAAAACCACGTCCTGCAACGCTTCCTCAACGCCGGTCTTCAAATCCACCTCAAAGCTGAGAATTGTTAAAATTCATCTATTTACAGGTACGTGGCAGTCAATATCGTCAGGCTATTTAGCTACAGAAACCCCTTTTTACTCGTTGAGTTTGGCCAAGATCTCGCTATCGCGGAACAACACCACCTCGTCGTCATCCTTGAGTTTGATGCTGGAGCCTCCGAATTGTGGAATCAACACATGGTCGCCAACAGCCACCTGAGGCACAACTTTATTTCCGTTTGCATCGGTAAATCCGGGTCCCACGGCCAAAACAGTTGCCTGGTTCATCTTTTGAACATTCTTCTCGGGCAGATACAAGCCAGAAGCAGTTTTGGCTTCGGCTTTAGCCCTTTGCACCAAGACACGGTCCAATAGAGGAACAATGGATTTGGCAGATTTAATAAGCGTGGACATATTGAATAAAATGAATCAAGACTGTGCAGACACAAAAATCAACTAAAAGCACTAGTCGGATTTCAAAAGTAACGAAGGATAATCCTAAGGAATCAAGTTGGGACTGTAGAAGGAATTGGATCAATCTACTGTACAAAAATCAGTCAAGTATTTTCTAACGATAAACTCATCTTCACTTATCTTTTTCATATATAGTGGATCCGCAGATATTAATTGGTTACTAGAAAATTCGAACAGGACGGGTAACAGAATAACATATCGTAGTGTTGTTTTCTCGTGTGTCAACCTATTGAGTATGGCCCGTGTAGTACGGATTCCGGCAGTTGTTCGTTCTCTTACCTTGGCGTAGATTAAGTTGCTTAATTTGTTAACCAGAGATAAATTCCGTTGGAGGTGATATGAACTTGAAGGGACAGCAAAGAATCTCGGTGAGGGCCTAGTCGTTACTTTAAATTAATCGCAGCAATTTCAGGAGGTTTGGTCGACTTTCATGGTTCGTGTTCGCTAAAGGTTTGGTACTCAGCACCAAGTTCGTGTATAGTGATGACATGATAATGAAAAAGCTGGCGCCGTAGGTTTAAAGGCCAGTAGGAAAGGTTTAGCTGGCATACATCGAGATTTAGTCGGCGCAAGAGTACAATCAAGAGGTTGATTTTGGCTGTTCTCTGTTCAGAAAGTGGGAAACGTATATTTCGTACAAAGGTATAACGACAATGTCTTCGATGGGTACTAAGTAACACTGTCTGTCACAGTGTTTGACCTTAAAACTATTCCTTGACCCATTCTCTTTGATACTTCTTCTAATACTACAGACGTAGCCTTATGGAGTGAGGCGTTACTACACGTACTTTATATAGTTACTTGTCAAATTGATAATTGAAAGTAAAATAGTCATTGTTTCGACATCACCAATCGTCTCCATTATCGTATTCTGCTTCATCATGTCCTACTTTGCTTTTTCTCTGGTTCAATGCTGCCGCTAGAGCATCTGCCAGAGAAGGAGGGCCGCCGCCTCCATTACTTGGACCGCTGGTGGTGCCATTCGATGAATTTGTTGGATTACCGTGAGCTTCTTGTAAGAGGACGCTTGGCTTCTCGAGCTGTGACTTTTCAGTCTTGCGCAAGACACCTAAGCCACCAGCACCTCGAATAGATGCAAGTAGAGCATCCCGTCCGGAGTCACCCGTAGCTTCATTCAAGCCCTGTGATGGTGCTTGCTGTGCTTGTGCTAGGAAAGCAGGAGGTGGTGGTGGAGGAACTGCACCAGATGATTGAGGTGCTCTAGATGGAATTGAAGGAGGTTGTGGAATGGCGCTTGGGGCCGAAGCTTGAAATGATGGTGGCGGAGGTGGTGGTGGAGGGACAAAACTTTGGCCGCTTGGTTGAGAAGTTGTTGGAGGAAGAGGAGGCGGCGGTGGCATGAAGTTCTGGTTACTAGATTGGAACACAGGTGGGGCCTGGGGAGCCTGTGGGGCAATATGGCCTGGATTTGGGCTTTGAGGGAAAGTATGCATTGGTGGTGGAGATGCCACAGAAACATTAGGTTGTGGTGATAAGGAACCAGAAGTAACTCTAGATGATCTCGGTGGCGGTGGTGGTGCAGCTCCGCGTCTTGGCGGTGGGGGTGGCACTGGACGTTTACTTCCCGATGGAGCTCTTGACGGAATTATTGGAGCTGTAGGTAGCCCGGGATTAGCAGGAGGCATAGAGAAGCCTGTAGGGTTAGACGTGACTCTGCGGGGTGGTGGTGGTGGACCTGGGCCTCTCCTTGGTGGCGGTGCTGGGGGACCCCTGCCTCGAGCAGGAACGCTAGGAAGAGGCCGTTGGGCATGTGGAAGCGGGGGTGCTTGTGAGGATCCAATGCCCTGAGAAGGCGGTGGGGGGAATGTTACATTTGAATTTTGAGGAATGGGGAAAGGAAACGGGTTATTAGTAGACCGTGGAGGTGACGATACAGTAGGTGTTGAGTATTCTGTGGATATAGGTATCGACGATGCAGTTTGTACGTGTGGTGCAGGTGGTGCGAATGGTGCAGGTGGTGCAGGTGGTGCAGGTGGTGCAGGCGGTGCAGGTGGTGCGGGTGTTGCGGGTGGTACTTCTGCGTTTGCAAATGTTTGTCCCGCAGGCAAGGGCGGTAGCCTATGTACAGTATTTGTTGCTTGGGGCACGGGGGTAGGCGCTATCGATAAGCTTGCAGACGAATTTTCTGAGTCTGTAGTTGGATCTTCTGTCCCACTGAAAGGAGATGGAGCTTCATATGTTTGTGTGAGAGAACTATTCGTCGGTGGTGGGGGTGGGGGAGCTTTTTTCTTTGTCGTAGGAATGTCAAGGCCGTCTTGGATCTTATAGCGCTGCCTTTGGTCGCTTATTAAGGACTCGCCTCTGGGTCCATGCACCACTTGTGATTCTTGTTCATTGTGCAATTTTTTGGTCAATGCAATGGCGTTTTTGTTCGCCAGAGTCTTCTTGGAGGCGTATTTCTCGCGCTTTTGGACTCGCTTGAGAAAATGTGCTGCTTCGTCCAGATCTTCGAACAAGAGACCTGCCATGCATTCTTCAAGTTCAAAAGTATGAAAAAAAGTGCGATCTTGGCTATATTCGAAGTCCACGTAAAGCTCTTGATCCCAAAGTACACCTCTGTGGCCTTGAATATCCACGAGTTTGAGGAAAAAGGTATGGCCAACTACGTCGTCAACCAAGGCGACGGCTCCTGAAAGACCAGTGTATTGCCATTCTTGCCGATTAGGATACGCAATGAAGAGCCTTGCCACTGTGACGTCCACAATCTTATTGGAACTCTTGGGAAGCGCTCTTTTGATTTTCTCTTTGTCGTTGGCGTTTAGAAGGCCCATTGGATGTTGAAATTATACTTTACAGGGCGAGCGCTTTATGCGGAGCAATTGACCTTGAGAAGTGTAACTTCAGGTGCGAGACAACACTTAATAGCAAAGCCTGTTGCAATGTTGTCAGATAATTAAATGCCAAGGATGAGTCTCGAATAAGAATTCGTAATTGATATATTTGCATTGAATTCATGGGCGGGTTTCTTTGACTTTGAAATGCCCCTTTTGAAACAAAATCGTATATGATGATATATCATATCTAATATGGATCTGAATGGAGACATTGGCAGTACGGAATAGATATACACCCTTGATTTGGGTGGTAGAGCACTAGGACTCTCGACGCGCTAACATAACTATTAGAGAATTAAAATTTTCGTAACATAGTCTTTATAGTTTTAACTTCGCAGGTGAACTTTCCCTGGGAGGCAATCAGTATTGCCATTAAACTATATAATAATGTCGCACATTGTGCGATCAATCTGAACTAACAGGCCAATAAAACATCACCTTTGCTCTCTTTGGTATGTTAAGTTTTGGAAATTGATTCTATACATATAGATAGCCAAATTGCGACAAACAAGTATAAAGTGATTTGAGGTTTATGGCGATTGCATGTTCACTAGGGATCTTTTCCCGCGCACATTAATATCTCTAGTATCGATGTTGATCTCGCTTGAAATAATTTCGCTGAAGTGTTGGCCTTGAAGGACTGAGGTCACAGTCGTGGTGTATCAAAAAATATTTTCTTATACACGAAGTTCACGGAGAGATAGTTACAGCCTACGCTGAATATGCTATGTGAGAAATACCTAACTATGTCCATCGACAACATCACCAGCAGATTTCAAAACTTTGGCCCGGTCAATAGAGACCAATATCGATACAACTTACGTGAAAATGCTTATGAAAGCGAATGTCAAACATACAGCTTAGACTTGTCATGAGTAACTTTGGCAGCCCCATTCATCACAACCGAAACATTTGTTATTTAAGCTGGTCAGCCTAGGCGTGCCATGAAGACGTCCCTTTTTATTCGATAATCATATTTTATTAAAGCGAGACTGTGTTTTAAGGCCTATATATTGCAGTTCAGTCAGGAACATCACAAGACGGTTAAAGACTTGTAAGTGTTAGCCAAGTTGCGGTTTAAAATGTTGTTCAAAAGAGACGAAACACCTTCTTTTGACTGCGTTAAGTGTTTCCCTTCAAGACTAGCACTGGCGGATTTCTTTCTGACTCATGCCGTATACAGCTGTTGGACATCATACATTGGCGTTGCAAGAGTACGCAAATGGTCTAAGCGAGAAGAAAGGGTCAAAAATTGTCTCTATAATTGTTTGGACTGCTCGAGTGGAACACAAAGTCAAGAGAGACGCAGATCCTCAAAATGACTGTTCTATCTACACGGAACTTGTGACTTCTGAGCGCAAGGTTGATAACTTTTTATTCATCTCATTACGCCAACGGAATGCCCTCCCGATGTAATATTTCGTTCGTCGTACTGTCCATATATACGATGCTATTCAGTTTTGTGTGTGGTCCTATAAAGCTGCAAGCATTACTGGTCCCTGACTTGGAGACATCTCCCACCGCCTTGAAAGTGCAAAAAGTGAGAAGGAGCAGAAAACATCGCATTCAACAGGCGCCAAGTTCATACTCTTGCCTATAACGCAATAAAACCTACTCACAACAGCAGCTGCTGAGATAATTTCAACATTAATCGTTACTTTGAGCCAAGGGTTCTCGAGCTTATAGAAATTGTCGACTTTAGACTAATGACAAGTTGGTATAGAGTGATAAGTGCTCGACATTAGTCAAAAGAATGCCGATGTTTATTACAGAATCCCATTATATGATGGTAGGACTGCAATTTGTATGTCTACATATTGCGGAGCTATCATGAACGCACAAGACTATTCAAAAATTGTAAATAGTAACTAATTCATTATTTTAGAAGGGACAAATCGCCTTCGAGTGATAAGATTGTGTGTAAGCGCATCATACTAACAGCCATATTTCTTTCTAGCTCTTTTTGTATACAGCTGGTGAGCAATGTGTCCTGGCATTGCAAGAGCACACAAATGGTCTAAGCAGGAGAAAACGGTAAAATGTCCTCATACTAGTATGAGCTGCTCGAGTGTAACACGCGCAAAAGAGATTTAGACTCTCAAGGTTTCTCTTCCTTCAAGCAGCAGCAGCAGATCAGTAATTTTCGCTAGCATCCAGGCAGCAATGTCCCGATACTAGGCATCGCACATCACGAGTGTTCATCATTTCCTATTAATTTGGCAATATCATGCCAATCGTTCAAAAGCTCCTGCAGCTTAAGCAAACTTTCCCCAAGGTTATCGTCTGTATCAAGTTGCTTAAGGCTTGTATTAGTTTCGTTAAATCTCAAGTCCACTCTTGACGGTACCTGGCATTCGCAATCGTGAACGCATCGGGTATAAAGAAACCCATTACAACTTTGCAGAAAATCAACAATCTTGTCAAGTGCTGCGGATGTTGTTGTTTTGTGCGATATTAGGTTTTGCAGTAGAATTGTTGTGGTGTCATTAGAGCTCTTCAGTTGTTCGATACCATGTGACCTAGGTATGGGCCTAGTAAACCACGTAAGATCCGGACCATCATGTTTCAGTTTGGCCCTTAGTTGTTCCAGAATAACCTCGTGGCGCCTCAAAGCGACTTGCGTCTGTCTCGAGGCCGACTTTACGACTTTCTTGTCAGAATTAAGTTTCCCCCGTATTGTTGGGGGGCTATTCAATGTAGGCGTCAAATCTTTAGGACTATCCGCTCTTGATTCGGGATTCTCAGCTTCGTCCAGTTTCTTCAAGAGCTTGTGTATTGTATTGATGATCAGTTTATCATTATTTATGCGAGTCAATTGAGGTTCAAGCGTGAGATCGTCGACGGTATGGAAAAGTAGTCTGCGAGGTGCAGGCAAGATAGCTCTGCGTTGTAATTCATCGTTCACGTACTGCGCAGCATCGTGTATGCTCGAGAATTTGGATGGTGAACTCATAGTAGTCAAGTTGTTTGTCTACCGTTTACTTATTCTTTTTTTCGGCCTCAAAATAAGAAGCGGTGCTAACATTCGAAATCGATGGGTTGGCGCACCTGAGTTACCGTACTACCTTAATTGATGTTCACTTCTTGGGGTTCGTATATAGTATACACTCCGGTTCTCGCTCGTTACTCATGAATATATATGGACGACACTTTCTCGCTCTGAATGTTGTTTTTTGTAAATGTAGACGTTGGTTTATGTTATTCATCTATGCATTTCGACTTCAAATTAATGGTGAGTCTCTTCTTCGATTTCTTCCAAAACCAACCAATCTTGTTCTTCGGTTTCAGCAGCGGATTCGGCTTCAGTCTTAGAAACTTGTACGTCCTCTTGAGCGTAAGCCTTCAAAGCCTCAGGGCCTTGACCCTCCAATTCTGGAGTTTGAGGTGCCTTTGGAGCGTTCCATGGCTTGACACTTGCTTCGGCGTCTTTTGCACTTATGGGTTGCAATTTGACGTTCTTAATCTCTCTTAGGTACAGGTCTTGAATAGCATTGGCTGTGACACGAGTAGACGCAAAAGTGCGAGCAGATCTTGGGACGGCTACTTTCAAAGCTTGCAAAAACATTATTTCGGGGGTGGATTGAGTCGAATCAGACACGGAGACGTAACCAGTAGACTGCTTACACGAACTACAGGCTTGATATTCTTCTAAGTTTAACGTACTGGTGTATCATTTTTTTTACAGTGTGGGAAAATGATATATTAGAAATTTTTTATGTGTTATGATTGGTTCGTCTTCGGTGATATATCTACGAACAGACAGAGCTTTCCACTCGCAGAGGTGCGAAAGAACATTATACTTTCGAGTGTTTCGTCACTGACTCAGGCGCGGAAAACCTAGTACGATATTGGTTTTAGTCACCAATGAATCTTTATTCGTTGGTAGTGACTGGATTTGTAAGAATAAATACGATGAGTACCTTTGGACACTGGAATAGGAAAAGCATTTAACGTCTGGTGTTTCTATCTCCGTATTTCTTCAGTTATTCTGGGTACATATAGCTTCATCCCGAACCTTTAAATTCATAGTCAAAAATTAATTTATTAAAAGTCAGATATAGAAAACGAACTAGGTAGCTCCACAATAATAGCGTTCGCCATGGGCTTGCTGTTTTGCAGTATCGTTAGGTGAATCGAAAAATACTGATTGAGGTGTGACTCAATCTTCAGCAACAAACGGATATCAGGCCGTTTAGAAAACAGAAAATACGTGACTTTGTATTGTCATTATTTTCCTAAATGTCACTCAGGCAATGACACATTGTGGGTCCCAAGCGTATCCTTTCTGGATCCAGTTGTCCTTGTTCTCAGAGTTGTCCTTCTTGGTTGCTTGAGTGATTGGTTGCATTGTTTGATTGTTAGAGTGATCGAAAGCTGTTGTATTCGTTGATGGTATAATTGTTTTCCAAATAAGCGCTTCAGACATCACAAATTCATCGTCTTTTTATACAGACATTAAGATTAGATTGGGGTTTGAAACGAATCTGGGGCTGAATGGTGCGAGCCCCATGCGCTAAATATCAAACCTCTTTAGTTCGCATGAAAATGTCAAGTTTTTAGATACTGCTCGTTAATTTACTCTTTTGGGCCACATCAATTAACACTCTGAATGAAGCTATAATAGAAAACAAGGAAAACGCACGGCTGATTGTGAGATAATGAGGACCTTGATGTACCACACTAATTCTCAGGAGTGCTTCATGCTTGTTTGGTATTATGAAATCGGCAGGAAATTGTTTTCGGAATATGGAGCCTGCAGAAACATATAATCTTGTGGCCATCGCAGACAGGTTACATTTGTTCACATGAGGCTAGTACACGTTAAAAACCATGCTGATACCAGTCACCTCAACTGTAAGTTTGTGATATGTCTGCCGTTAGGGCTACACTTCAAATCTGGGGAAGTTCTCCGCAAGCAAAATACGAGCTGCAGGCTGACATGCTAGGTGGACGTAATTCGGCGAAGTGGTCAAGCGGAGATTACAGAAGTTTGCTGGAGGTTGCTGAAGGTTACTAAGGGGTCCATAAAGAATAGGTTTACGAGGCTTGAGGACGTTTACCGGCGATTCACGATTCAGTAAGAATCATTGAGCTCAATAAGCACATTCATGGTAAGTATATATTATATATCTAGCTACTTGCGACGATCTTGGATATCAGCTAAACCCAGATGGTTTATCAGGTTCTTTCTCGCGATGAGCCGTGGCACATGCTCTAAAATTTTCCTCTGATATGGTGAAAAATGGAGCTCATCGCCTGCTTATGGGCAGACCACCATTTGAAGAATCTACCAATTACACTAGACATTACGAGCTTATTGTGCCATGGCTCTATTCCAAGTTGAAGGATGGGATTTGAAGACCACGCAGGTCTCTTACGACAGTGCAAATGCTAAGAAGGAGAACAAGAAAAAAGAGAGGAAAGAAAAGGCCAAAAAGGCACACGAGAGAAGACTTCGAGAGACGGAGGAAGAGGTCTCCAATTACGCAGTAGAAGACGAAGATGATGAGAAACCTACAAAGGAAACTCTCGCGAAAAAGACTGCTTCGTCTAGCAGATATAACCGGACTTCTGAAAACCTTGAGGAAACGGTAAAGGAATCAGTAAAAGAGTCTGCGAAAAAGACTGCTTCATCTAGCAGATACAACCAGACTTCTGAAAACCCTGAGGAAATAGTAAAGGAATCAGTAAAAGAATCAGTAAAAGAAGCGGACAAGGAAACGGTCAAGGAAACTGCCAAGGAAAAGGTTAAGGAAACGACAAACGAAAAGCCTCCTAGTAAAAAGCGGAAACTGAGCAACTCTGACGCGACGACTGGGGTCAAAGATGCGATATCTCAAGAATCACACGCATCAAAGAAGCCACTGACCGCACTTCAGCAAAAAATGATGGCCAAGCTAAGTGGATCAAGGTTCAGATGGATTAACGAACAATTATACACAATTTCGTCTGATAGTGCATTGGATCTCATCAAAAAGCAGCCCGGTCTCTTTGATGAATATCACGATGGCTTCAGGTCACAAGTTCAATCGTGGCCCGAGAATCCTGTGAATGTTTTTGTTGATCAGTTCCGTACCAGATCTCAAAAACCTGTGAATGCTCCAGGTGGTCTTCCAGGCCTGCAATCTGACAAGAAAATAGTAGTGGCTGATATGGGATGCGGTGAAGCTCAGTTGGCACAGGACTTGAACAACTATTTTGCTCAATACAACCGTAAACAGAAGAAGCACTTCAAAAAACACTGCGTTGTGCACAGTTTCGACCTGAAAAAGCCAAACAAGCTAGTGACGGTGGCAGACATTAGAAACGTACCTCTACCAAATGAGTCTTGCACGGTAGTTGTCTTTTGCTTAGCTTTGATGGGGACAAATTTCCTCGATTTTATTAAAGAAGCTTACAGATTGCTGGCACCTCGTGGTGAGCTTTGGGTTGCTGAAATCAAGTCGCGCTTTGCAGACCGCCAAGGCGATGAGTTTGTGAACGCCATAAAGCTCTTAGGGTTTTTCCACAAAAAAACTGATGACACTAACAAGATGTTTACCAGATTCGAGTTCTTTAAACCTCCACAAGATATCATAGAGGAAAGAAAAGCCAAACTTGAGCGCAGGCAGAAATTTGTTGAAGTCGAAACCGAAAAGGAAGAATTAGAAACGAAAAGATCCAAGACCCCAGAGGGTAAATGGCTATTGAAACCCTGTATTTACAAGAGAAGGTAAAAACGTGCTCTATCTCTTTCTGGCGGTCCAAAATGTATTGTTTCAGCAGCATCTTCATAGTGTATAATAGATTCGGTAATTTACGGTAATATCAACTTTAAATTTCATAAAGTACTAAACCCTTAGTTCGACCGAAACAAGTTTTGGATTCTAGCTAGTCTCCCAAGATTCTCAAAACTAGCCATGTTCGGCATTTGCAACCAGGTTCCTGACTCTGAATTATTTGCGGAAGGGTCCCATTTATCGCAGTTTCTGAATCCGTGAGCATTCCAGCCTGTGAGACAAACAGCCATTCCAATTAGTATAAGATAGAGGAACTTGGCTTGTAGCAGGCACATAATACCGAATACAATCCATAGGGCGGGTGCTACATAAAGCGAAATCCAGAATAATTTTGAATCAATTGGATTTATAGGAGGTCCTGGAGCAAACTGCTTGTACGACTCGAATGATAGCGGTCCCTCTTCGGAGTTCACAGAATCATACCACCACCGGAGCTGTACAAGTTTGCGCCCTGTTATATTCTTGGTCACATAAAAATCTCCTGCCAGTAGTAACAAGACTGCAATGAACTGAGCTGTAAAACTCATGAACAATGAGCCAGCTAGGTACAACACTATCGGAGCCGATTTGCCCAATAAGTGTAGACTCATAGTGATCGGATGTGATGATTTCAGAATCATCTGGTAAAAATTCTTGACATGGTCCATTTTGGTTGATAACGTGCGTAATGGATGATGGGTGATGGCTCTGACTTGAGCTTTTAATTGAAAGGAAGAGTTTCGATGAGCAAATATTTGACCGGCACTTTAATTTGCTTGGAAATCGAATGCGCTTTCCTTTGGTAGTTCACTTTTTTCGATCAACCAACTGTTAGATTTTAAATGTTTGTTTTGACTTAGAACAATCAAAAAATTATCAGACGCATCAGCTACAAAAAGAACGTCTAAAAATGTGGTAATTCCATGCTAAGCTAACATTAAAGTAAGGCCTTTCTGGTTCACGTCATTCAATCATTGTTCAGAATGCAACAACACTCTTAGCTTTATCTTCATAAACGTTTTTGAATTAGTGAGACAGAGTATATACGTCTGATTATTAAATTAGCTAAAGGAAGTAATGCGTGTTTTGAAGGCTATCTCCGTGAACCTTCATTTCTCCCCTCTTGAACTCATTGAGCTGGTTTTTTACGGCATCTATAAATGCCATGTTTTTGGTCTGCATCATTCGCCGGCGAGCCCGAATGAATTTCTTGTCGCTTCGTTCGTAATCCCCGGCAGCGTGAGTGTCTTTGACATAAACAGCATGGCCAAATCTTAGTTTTTTAGCCGCGCTATGCTCTCTCGGAGAGCTAATAGATACCACGGCGTCGTAGTGCACGAATTCCCAATCCTGTTGCAAACTGTGATCAAGCCTCTGGTCTGGGGTCACCCCCATTGGGTTTTGAGACGCATGTTGACGATAGAAGCCAGCCATAGATTCTTTGTTGGCCAGCAATGGCCTTTTGAGCGACCGCGGCGGGGGAACAACGGAGAAATCTGGCTGATCTTTTCCCAAACCATCAGAAATAAACCTTCCCAATCGAGAAAATTCTTGAATAAATTCAAGGTCTATCATATTTTCCTCAGTAGTTCCACTTTTTTCTTCATCTGCCTTTATAACAGGGTCATCTTCTGGTACCAAGACTTCCCTCTCTGCTCTATTCAAGTTCAAAGTCCTTGACACTGGATGATCATTTTTTAGCAAAAGACTATCAAAAACCAAATCTATGTCTAATAGTTGATCATCATCATCATCGTCATCATCTACCTCGCACTCCCCATCATCGAGGTCATTCATACAATGCCCCTTCGAAGAGTCTTCATTGAGGACAGTACTTTGATCTTCTTGAGAGGATGAGTGGCTTGGACGCGATATTGAAATTTTTGGTGTCTCCGTGACTTTTGCTAAACTTGGACTGTTTGAGGCTCTCTTCGTTGGTACGGGTTGCGCTTGAATACTATGGGAAGCTTCTCTTTTGCGTTTCGATGGAAGAAACCTTTTGAAAAAAGAACCAATGCGCGACGATGTCGACCTCTTCACGCCTTTGGGATTAGAAAATGCATCCGACCCCGAGGGCTTTGGAGCTTGAGCTCGAGGGGTTTGCAATGGCTGTTTAGGCTGTACCGGTGATGGCTTTACAACGTTAGAGTCTCTTCTTGGCGCTGAAGAGATCTGTAAATTCGAGGAAGTCTTTGGGATGTGCGGATAACTAGTAGACAACAGACTATTGTTCACGGGCGCCAAAGGTTTGGCAGGCGTTTCGCTCGCATCTGTGCTCGTGTTACTGCTTACAACATTGTCGCTTTTCAGACTATTGCTGCTGTTAGTGGAAGAAGTGTTACTGGAAACGGCCTGCGTTCTTGAAGAGGTGTTGTTGTGCAAATCACTTGTGAGATGTGTTGGACTTGCTTGGAAAGATGCGCTGCTTTCGTTTTTAGCAGCAACTTGAGAAAAGTTGGCTGATTTTGTCTTTGCAAGGGGTCCCATCGTGGGCACTTTGGACAGTCTTCCAGAGTTGTGAATTCTGTTAACAGGTGGCAGGTGGGTTTTCAGATTTGACACATTGGTGAGACTGCCAGCACGAGTTGAAGCCGTTAATGTTCTTGGTGGACCGAGCGAGTCGCGCCGGTCGACGACATTATTGAAGTTACTGCAACTCGCAGACTTGGGCAAGCCCCGACCGGGACGAATTTGAGCGTGGGTTTCGTTTTGAGATGAAAACGATTTCAACGGTTTCTGCTTTGGGGTGAAACTTTCTCCGTTGGGAAACTGAAAGCTGTTCATCATACGTCTTCTCTGCTTTTGATATGGTGTTAAAGAACGCAAAAGGTGAGGCGGCACTTCTTGCTGCTCTGGGATCAGCGAAAGACTGTCTTGCGAACCTTGATTCGCTTGGATGTAATGCACCGTAGTGGGTAATGAGGAGCGCTTGTAAGGTTTAGGCCTTATTCTATGACTAGGAACCTCGAACAGGTCGGACGTGGATCTCGCCCTAGGATCAAGCCCTGCACGAGACTCCTTCTCCCAAACCGAAGATCCGAACGAGTTAACGCTAACATCGTCTCTCGATGACGCGTACGGTACGTTCATATTTCTCGGTTTAGAGACAATAATGGTAAATTAGTAGAAACGGTAAGATATTTGGAAACTCCGAAAACCGGGAATGTGGTCAGGAATTTCCAGAATAAAAAAGTCTAGCGAGTGAAATAGTTTGAGCGAATTGCAGTTAACAAAGCATAGACCACGTAACTTATGCTTGAAAGTGACACTCAGAAGGTTCAATAATACTGTTTCCTTTCAACGTCTATCCTTAAAGATCAACCCTTGTCTCAAATAGAAGGGCTCAAATTTCAAGCTCGGAACTTCTGAAGCCTCCTGTAAAACTCCGGAACCGTGTATGGCGTATATCCAAGCGGTATGCTACCAGCTTTTGATTTTTCACAAGTTGGTCTTCGGGGTCGAAACGAAAACATCTGTTAGACGAAAAGAAGATGAGTTTTGAGCTTTTCAAAATATAAGAATTTTAGATGAGCGTCATGTAATTATAGAGTGATATACAGGTAAAACGCTAAGAACAGCTAAAGACTACGCTAGTACTATAGCGATAGTTGCGAACCAAACAATGGTTTTAACATCATGATTCGATTAAAAATTGATTAAGCATTTCTACTCCGTCCTTCGGAGGCGGTTTCAGTCAATTCGACGGTGCGATTTGTGTAGCTGGTTTTTGAAGTGCTCTTGCGAAGACTTCCACTCTCCTCTTGAGTAGATTCTGGTGGGGAAATGGGCTTGAATACGTCGAATTCGAGATCATTGGAACGGCAAATAAAATACCTAATTGCACATCTCGTGGCAAGTACAATAAACCCGAAAAGAATACCTCCAAAAGGCCCGACGACAAACGCACCAAACGCGCTCCAGTCATTGCTGTAGAGACCATTGGAGATCAGAAGGAGCTTGCCGCCTTCTTTGGGAGAATCATAGTAGACTGTACCAAAGATCCAAACAGACAGAATTCCTCCCAGGCCACCTCCAATTACTTCCCACCCGGTCATGAAATGGAAACGATCAGACAACCCAAGCATTAGCACCGGAACGACAGTACTAGACAGCAAGTCCACAATCAGATAGATGCTGAGCACGTCGGTTGCTTTCAGTCCAACAACTACGATCGGAATCATGACCACAGCTACCATGACACGCACATATAACAGGGGCAACTTATTCCTGAAAATGTCATTGGAAATAGACGAGACTAATGCACTTTGTAAAGAGTCCAAAGTACAGGTTGAAAGAATAGCCACAAATACCAGCACGAATCCCATAACCCATGAAGGCATTTGTGCCAAAAGCACAAAGAAACAGGAACTCCCATACTCTGGGTCGTTGACTTCAACCAGACCTGCCCAAACCGCAATAAATCCAGTGACACCAACCACTACTAGAATGATTGTGATGATGAAAAACGCTATTGAGCATCCGATTAGAAGGTCCTTATCATTTCTGGCAGCAAAAGTACGCAACCAGAAGCCACTCATGAAGAAATCGTTAGTGAAAATGGCCACCACCAGAATATAGATGAGCTGATAACCGAGTTTATTACCCTTGAGCAGACCGGATGGGGCTATCTTTGAGGTGTCTATGGTGATGTAGCTGCCCATTGCGGAAGCCACGATGATCAATAGAGCGAACACGATAGAAACTTGAGCGGTGTCAGTCAAGAACGATATATTGAATCCTCCGATCGAGGTATAGATAGTGGTCACCACACATTCTATGATAATTACTGGCAATGCTTTGACGCTAGTGAGAGTCTCGATGCAAAATTTCAGAGACGCAATCTCACTGACCGTGAAGAGGAAAAGGGTTAAAATGGTACACGCGCTCATGTAGAGTCCGCAAACACGTCCGTAACGGTAAAAGACCCATTCCGTGAGCACAAACCCGTTGGGCACCTTCTTGCGGATATGAGGACCAAAAAAGGCAAAGAGGAACATCGGCAGGCCGCTTGCCAGGGCATACACCAACAGGCCTTGCAGCCCGTTGAAGTTAGCAATCTGAGGGAACGTGGACAGGATACCAACACCAAGCCCCGAGGCCACGAAGTTGAAGGCCAATGGGATGGCTTTTTGTGTCCTGTTAGCAGACAGAAAAGACTTGGAATCTCTTTTCCAATACGCCAACGCACAGGCAGAGATCAGCACCACCGCATAGGTAGGCCATATAATCCCGTTCGCCGCTTGAAAAGAGAGATGACCCATGTATTGCTAGTTTTCTTTCTCGAGAAGCCTGCTCGTGTAGAACAAAAACTTAATTTACAATTTCATGTTACCGCTTGCTTTATATACAATGGACGCCTGAGTTTGCCCACAGCCGTATCGCGGCTCATCAGGACCCTGCCACTAGTTGACGCCAAAAAAGGAAGGGTCCAGGGACACTCTAAAGCTGAATCATATCACAATTAAATTTTTACCGGGGCTTACGGCACCTCTTTTACTTGTTCCATTGCACTGCTGCTTCTCCATATGCCAGGTTGCAATGCTCTACAACCGATCAAAACATGTTTACATGCTTAAAAAGCCATACTTGGCTGTTCAACATCGGTGAAGAGTTTTTATCGTAAGGCATCTTTTTTAACTGTCGTGAAAGAAACCTTCGTAGGATGCAAATTCCGCAGGCTGTTCACGAGCAGAGTACGAGAAAATAGTCCGGCAAAAGGTAAGCGTTAGCGTTGAATGCGTATACAAGTTCTTGGATGAGATGCGTTGTGAAGAAACGGACTAGTAGTTCGGCGTTAGCGTCAATATGAGGAAAAACGGTTGAGACTTATGCGATGAACTCGAAATAACGAACGTTTGGATTAGCGTTTGAGAAAAATTGCAAGCGTCGAAAACAACCTGGGTATCAGCCGGCAGTGGCATACGAATGCAGTACTTCTTTTGGGGCTACAAATGGTTTCAACCAGCCGTTACGGTGAAAAGAGAGACGCGGGCATGCTTCAACCTTGCACGAGCAAGAGATGGCGACACTAAATGACAAAGTGATAGGAGAGTAGAAGAGAGTTCCGGTGGGAGATCTTCGGTTGATCATTGCAGATAAGTACTGTTATTGTATGAGTTCTATTCGTATGTTGGACCCCTGTACAAGGTAGATGTAGGGGTTCAGCGAAGGACAACAGCCGCAAGACCAGGATCTGCAGCGAATTTTTTTCGCTGTTCGCACACCCCACAGGATGCCTCGTCGGGAGGGTTTTACAGTGCCTATAACACACACGCCTGCGCAGAGATTACCTCGTATCCGAGCGAATGCCGTCATTGCTGCGCTACTCGCGCACTCCGACGTGTCCTGACTGCTTACCCGCAGCTGGTTCCAAACACCTTTTAATACCCGCTTCGCTTATCCGTTCGCTCCTGCTATTTTACAAATCGTTACAAATTCAGCTGGTGCACATACGCCCGCCTAATGATGATATGCTACCTGTAGATTGCGTTCTACACTTGTTGTTGCCTCTCGACATCTTTTCACTCCTCCTCCTCGTTTCTGACATTTTCTCCGCATATCAGCTCTCGCAGAAAATCGAATTTCTCATCTGTCATGATCGTTTTCTTCATCACGTCTCCGCTTATGCGTCTGCATCCCATTTCTTTGGCAACATGGCCACTGCGATTCACCAGCATGGCTATGAAAAACTCCAAAGACCGTCCTGTGATCACAGGAGTCGCCTGCGAGACTTTACCGATATCTTCGTCTGTTTGCATGATCTTCTTGATTTTAGCAGGCGGGAAATGCGTTTTGATCTTGTTGAAAACCTCGCTATTGTTTTCCTCACTCATTATTCTAGAATTGGGTATGCAATTGATAAAGGGGTTTGAAGTCAAAGAAGTAAATATCGGGCTCTTGTACTGGTCAATATTCCTGAAGCCTTTGACCTAATTTGTTGTCAAAAACAGTTCGTTTTGGTCTACTTTGGATCTCTCATCGCGCTACATCGTATCTCAATGACTGGTAAATAAGCGTATTTATATACGCCGATGCGAAAAAAACATAAATCTATATAAAAAAAAAAAGATTCGAGAATTGGCATTAGCATACATTTTCAGAAAAATACGCGACCGACAGGAGTTGAATGGAGATTAGTAGCAGAGAGTTCATTTAAGGACGTGAATGATTGTGCAACGAGCATGTCCCGGAGGACAGAAGCATCAAAAGTAGTAAAGCAGCAAGCTTGTCAGTTTTAAAGCGACTTCTCTAAACTTTTCATCGTACTCGCCGCTATCTGCACATGCCATGTTTTGTCTTGGTGGGTATGTGAGATTCGCCGGAACTTGTGTTTGTCCACTCATCGACGCAGCGAAAACGTGGTAACAAGGTCAACCCTCCCGTAGCGTCTTCAAATTTTTACAAAAGCGGCGCGCTCTCAAGCTTCCTTTCATCGCTCGCTGAACAGCTCGATGAGCTTTAAACTTATTAAATTACAACAATTTACACACCGTTATGCGCTAGTTATCTTCGGACACAGAACTCACCCATCGACTGTGCGCGGTTTCAAGTTCAACTTAAAAAAAACCGACTTACACCATAGGAAGACTCCTCTTCGCGCACTTAAACAATTAGGTATCTGATTGGAATATGCACTAGCTTGATGGCGTATCCGATGACTCCCACGGCCACAAAACCAATTCCCACGGCTCTGACGATCTTCAAGAAATCTTTGTTACCGGGCTTCTTGCATTTCTGTAGAAAAGCAGTTCCGTCCTTGACGAACTCTACTGGTGCCTCTGCTAGTTTCTCGATCTGGTTGCCGCCTTTAGCCATCTCAATGGGGTTTTCTGGGAGGTATTTAAACTGGTTTCTAAGAATTTAGTTCCAGTGATACTTTGTTAACGTGGTCTTAAAACTTTTTGATACAGTCTCTTAGCTATGAGCTGTCCGAAAAAAGAGAGTGGTCGGGTAACACACGAAGGTTCTAAAGTTATGAAGATATACTTCGTTTATATTTCTATCTACACAGGATCGCAGGCTATTCGATGGCGTCGAGTGCCATGCTTCAAAAGCCAGTCCACTCCTCCTCGTCGTCTTCTTCTCCTTCCTCCTTGTCCCCGCCCAAAACTTGCCAGTTTTGCAAGCGAGTGTCGTGGAAGATGTCCTTCTTGATCTTGTCACGTAGAATCTTGATGTTCTCAGTGTTGGAGGACAAATCACGGAATATTTCAATGAATTGAACAAGCGGAGTCTTTGCAATCGTAGCACGCTGCTCCTCAAGACTAGGAGCCCCCTGCGCGTCCTCATCCTCACCGTCGTCCTCGTTTCCGAAGATCAATTTCTCCCATTCGTCGGTGAAAATGTCGATGATGTGGAAGGGGATCCCGTTGTAAACCTTCTTGTCACCACTGAGCGGCAACTTGCATAGCACGGCCCGGATATAGTTGGAGACTACTGCCTGGTTCCATTCCCGCAGCTGTAGGTATCGCAGCTGGCTTACGAGCACTCGTCTCACGAGCATTAGATACTTGTCGAGACGGTGGTGGTCGATGTTGTACCACTCCAGACACATCACGCGCCAGAAAGCCTTGCTGAACTTCAAAAATGCCTTGTCGTTCAAGGTCAACAACTTCACGTCGTCTTCCTCGACCTTGTCTTCCGTCTTCTTTTTCTTCTTCTGAACATTATCACTCTTGTCAAAGTAAAGCTCGTGCAATTCAGCGAGACTGGTAGCCAAGCGTTGTTGCGGTCTGGGTCTATCGCTAAACCACATGGCGTAGTATAGACCTTTCCATAATTGGTCGAATTGAATTTGTCTGCTATCTTTGAATTGCCTTGAGGTCTGAAATTTCTTCAAAGACTCCAAAGCCTCTTCTCTCACAGTTCTACTGTTCGAAGCCAGTTGTTTGACAAACGCAGAAGTATCCATGGTGTCGATCTTATGCTTTTAGTTTCAGTATTTCAATTTCTTAGTTTGGATGCGATGAGATGAGCTTGAATTTTTTTTTGACATTGCCTTCCTTCCCATAATAAAGAAATCCGAGAGTAAGCCAAAAACTGTGCAAGCGCTGTGCAATGTAATATGATCATCAGAGTACAAGAAGTGGTTAGTTATGAGGTTGTCCATCACTTGGTTTCATTCGTAGCAGTTCTCTCCTCACTTTCGCCGATAAATGTAAGTTCATGATAATGCGATGCTAGCAGTGACAGATACTCCAGATTCACAACCAAAGAACCAAGTAAAGTGGTCTTTGCTATAGACCAAATTGTGTTTCTGAAGTCTTGAGAATGAAAGAGCGCGAAAGGTAGCGTTCTTCTCTCTTAGCGCCTTTCCTTGACTGTTGCCTGGCTGTTTTAACAACTATTCTGGAATTAAGGCAGCGCACCATGATCCAAGCAACATATGCCGATGTATATCATTTTCTGAGGCTTTCGTGCAGGCTTACTCTGTCGCAAAATCCACGCTATGATACGCGAGAGGCTAATTGAACAGCGTCGCTTTCGCTCAGATACCAACAGCTTGCGGTAGAGCGACCTAACAAGTAGTACACAGAGATTTGCGAGACCAGACTGGAGTATCAGTACTTAACATGCGTAAAGAAGCTTCATATGTGTTCGAGTGTACCAACAAAAGCACATCGCGACTTTTTTTAAAAGTTGAATCAATACAACGTCAGGACTTTAACGAATTCTCAGAAAGCGTTTCCATCAAAGGTTGCCGTATTGACCCAAGTCGGCCATCAATTTAACGCTGCCAACAGTTTTGCTTGTTTGAAGCAGCTATGAGAAAGCCATAATCATTAACGCATATATCATCAGGGGTGAACGTCTTCTTCATATGGAGGCCACTTTCAAGCAGCATTCTAGGTCTTTTGAGCTCTTCAGCCATACTTTTGGAGTAGCTGACTTTTTGTCTCTAGCGACTGTTTTGTGCCAGTGATCTTTTTTGCACTTTGAGTCTTTTGGGAATTTGGCTCGGCAGCCGCCGGCTTGCTTTGATCTTGTTTCATAAGTAGTTCATATTTTGTTGGATTAGCGACTAAGACGTGCTTCATCTTAGCTGCATCTTCGATTTCATCTTTGATACCAGATTTGAGCGTTTGTTCGCGTGCAAATCTGTTCAGCTTGGAAAGTTCGAGCGATTCTCCGGTCAAATGACGATGAAACATCTTAGATTCAGAGTCTATCTCTCCAAGATCGTCAGTCTTGTAAAGACGGGATTTGGGGTCGTAGTTGAGGGTTTCTGAATTGATGTCGTTGAGATACGCCGCACGATCCTCTCTTAGTCGTACCGAAGCCCGGAGCTTTGATCCTTGTGCATCGTCCTGAACCACGATACCGGTGGTCTCTTCTTTGTAGAGGCCCAGTGCAGCGAGCTCTATCTCTTCGTCTGTATCCACTGCATCGGCCTCGATGCTTTTATCGAGCCGCGTCTGGAATTGGTCCTGTTTCTTTCGAAGCACCGCATCGTTGTCTTCGCCTTCATAGCCGTACCAGCGGTCCTTTTTGGCATCCCAGCTATAGCCCGAATCTTTCCGCCTCTCTACTTGTGCAGTCTCGCTAGTTGAAAAACGAGCTCTGCGCTTTCTGGGAGCCTCCAGACAGTCTTTAGCATGGTGGCCCAAAATTCCACAATTCGAACAACTATCGCGGTCGAATCTGGGGCCTTTCAAGCTTTTAGTGGTTGATACTCGCTCGTATTCATCCTGAATACCACGCCCGACCTTTGGTTCTGAGTTATTATCGATATCCAGATCGTTATCAGGTCTATTCGACCTTCGATGATGTGCTAAGTAATCTGAATCTTCTTCCGCAGATGCCGTCAGATTCTTGTAAAACCAAGGCTGATCTTTGATGTACTTTGGGATATGTGCGTTTTCCTGTCTTTTACTCATAGCTTTCGTTGTAGAACTCTCTGAGGGGAAGTGAGTTTTCTTAGCCGAGTGTTATTTGAATCTAGAGATGTAATTTCAATATTCTTGCCGCCATCAAATTACAAAATGAAAACAAAATTCGTGTACACAGGCCATTCGATCGAGCAAACATCACTAAGAAGCAGCGATTCATGTACTACTGTACGCGGATGCTTCATTTTATCGTTTTTCAGTCTTCTACGCACCAAATTGGGCTTACCCAGGAATTAAGATTGTATCGACGTCAAGGGATCTACACTAAAGGCTGATGAGGATCAAGAAGCATTGTTCGAGACGCGTGAGAGCTAGTCAAGATGTGAAGACGCCGCAGAACAAAGTCATAGCACTCGGTTGTTTTACGCGGATCTACGGTCCACAGTTCATGCTTCACAATAGAAGCCTATTTCCCGCGCATTCTAAAACGCTAGAATTGCGTTTGCTGATTAGCCCTTACTGCTCTCACAACTCGCTCTCAAGATGTGACCCGCCCACGACCCACGTTGATGGTCTTTCGAAACCTCTTCGCACTTAAACGCTTTCCAAACCCTCATGCACACATGACTCATTTGATGAGCTACGAGTCATGAGAGCCACGCCGAGGGTTCTCGTATTACCATCAACACTGCACTGCCGTTGCGCTGCCGTTGCACTGCCGTTGCTCTGCATACTAACTGTCAGTCCTGCCACATTTACCTTTTCAACGTGGTTTCGCACTAGTAACTGCCCGGAAAGCCCACAACGCGCCAAGAGTTGCCGCTTTCCAGGCAAATGCTCTGAGGTTTAAATCTACTGGCTTTTCACATGAGCTTGCTCGCGGCTCTTGTCGGCGTTTGGCCACAGTAAAATTTGTTCAATTTCAATGAAGAAAATATGTGCCAAGGTACCACCATGCTGCGTGAAATTAATTACTGACAAGTGTGTGGAGATTCATAATTCAGACCGCACACCAACGCTGGCGAATTCGAACTGTTTGCGACTTCTACACGCTCTTCTCGGTATTGCATTAGCCTTCAAGTCAAAAAATTTGATCAATATCGATTATGTGCTTAAATTGATTGTCCGAATAGAATAATCACACATTCCAGAGATAAAAGACTGAAGATAAGTGAGGGGGGTTTGACAATTTTAACAGCAGAAAGATAGGTATACTAGCAGCTGATAGACTGGCATTGGGTCAAAAGAGACAGAGAGAGATTGTTAGAGCTTAGGAACTTACAGAAAGCTCTTACGAAGAGGAGACGGATGCCACAAGATGAAATTTGGATCCCAAATACAGAATCGGTCTGTGCCGGAATGGAGACTGAACAATATCGACTACAAGATGCTGAAGGATGCAGTGAAAAAGGTCACGACCTTTAAGCCTGATAAAGTGGTCGGCTCGAGCGTGGAGACGGACAAAGAGCTGCGGGGACTCCAAACAGCTTTTCGAGAACAGTTCCGCAGTGTCAATGCTTTCGTGAGTCTCAAGATCAAGGAGGCGTCTACCAGGCTGGTCTCAGTGGAGTCGTCGATCTTCAAGCTGCAGCGTCGTCCGGCTGGTCCGGCAAAAAGAAACCGGCGCAAGCTTGAACTCATTCGTTTGCACCTCGACCACTGCAATGTGGAGCTGCTACGGATATGCCGCTTTCTCATTCTGCAAAAGATCGCTCTACGCAAGCTGCTCAAGAAATTCATCAAGTACTACCCCTACGGACAGCCCATGGCAGAAGAATTCGTGAGAACCTTAAAAGGTTGTTCCGAACTCACTGAAGGTGAGGACGGTATCTCATTCACAAAAGTGGACTTGGACAGCTATTTACTCGAAATATCACTGATACTGGACGTCCTCCAAGATCTGGAACAGTCTTACAAAAAGTCTGAAAACAATAACCATGAACCAGAAGCTCTCAGTGAACGGAGCCCCAGTCCAAGTTCTATCGCACCGAAAGTGAGCGCACAGGCTAGTTTCGATGCTGCTTTCCTGGGGAAAGCTTCCAGATTACAATCGTTTTTAGTGGCCGAAGAAAGCGTTTCACAGATGAAATTTTTGCTTTTGCAACTGGGATTCCACGTTGTAGACGACGATATGGTCACTGCTTCACAACAAAGCATTGAAAACACAAGTACCTCGAACCTGACAAATCTTGCCTACACGGGGAAGTCGCCACGCTCATTCCAAGACCTACACTCAGCTTTGGAACAAGAACACGTACCCAATCCACTTCATGCCTTATCTGAAATAAGGAGCTCCCAACGCGTTTCTGTCACTTTATTCGATTCGAACCCAGTACCAAAATTTTTAGACAACGAAGCCGAAAACCAATATCCAAATCTGGCCATCAAGAGTCTAGACGCCGATAACTGTGTTGTGATGTGTCATGTTGGGGGACTCAGAAACCACGTTACAGCAGACAACCTACCCTACCACCTATTTCAGAGCGCAATTTCAAACGAAGAAGCTACTGACACTAAAAACTATTCAGGCTCGCTCACTCCTATGAACAAACTGTGTTTGGAGTGGTTGAAATCGCACTCTATGGAGATTTGTGATCCCGAAATCAAGACAAAAAGAACTAGGTTTTCAAAAACGGCCAAGGAAGGGAATGGCTTTGAGTATTTTGCGTGCGTAGACGAGGAGATTGTCCTAAATGGGTCCACAAAAGTACCGCATGCTTTACTTGAGATTAGACGGCAATCGTCTCAATTTGAAGGTATCAGTAAAAGCACAAAGGATGACGAGTTTATTGTCGCCTTGATCGAAAAGTTACTTGAATTCAAATTGATGTGTTGTCCATTGGCAAAAGAGTTGACGTTATGGAAACTTCTCTATCTTATTCGGGATGCCACACCTGTGGAACCAATGCTGGTGTCAACAATATATCCGACTCTAGCTCTGAACACAAGTGATTCAATGTTTGCTACGGGTGCCGCTGAACTCTCGAAGATTGTGTCAGATAAAAACCACAAACGAAGTCGCCTCAATACGAAAAGGTCGCTTTCATCGAAGAAGAGCTGTTCTTCATCGCCAAAATTAGAACCGCAAAGGGTGAGATACTGGAATGAATTTGATGACGGAGATGAAGCAGGACAGGGAAATGATTCGTTCTACCTCGATGAAGAAACGCAAGCTGGGATTACCTATGGTAAACCTTTCATTGCCTTTAATAAAAATTTCGTCAATGCTATGTATGATCTTTCCGAAAGCCTGAAGAGTACTTTTTCATTCTCGAAAGTTCCCGCAGAGAGGAGACCCTTGCTTGAAGCCAGTCGTCGGGGGGCCTCGCTCGAAACTATCCCTTCGTTCAGCACGTTGAACACGTCTCAAAGCGACAGTAGAGACTTTGAGCGTTACATGGGCTATATCGAGCAAGAAGAAGATTCCGAGTATGCTTATGAATATAAACACGACTGTGTCGTTACATTTTTCTATCTGACTTCTTTGCTGATATCTTCCATCACATCGGGCATCTCGTTGGGAATTGTCGTTTCCATTTTCCAAGAGCTCAGCGATGACCGTGTCTTGGGTCCCAGCACTGGTGTGGCTACGATAATCATTACTACATTGCTAGTATCGTTGCTTTTGAGCTTTACCAGTCTTCTTTTACTTTTCAGTCGCTACAAGCTGGCCCCCTGGTGGCACTACATGAGTTGTTTTCTGATCTTCTTGATTGTTGCATTTACCGTCTGCTATGGTATAGTAGAGATTTTTCTCTGATGTTAAGAGTTGTGTATTAATTATGTTGCATCTTAAATTCCAAATATCAATAATAGAACAAATCTTTTATGAGCTTTTCTATAGAGCCCATGGTTACTAGGGCTTTCCAAGCTTCTTTCTTTTCTGTTGCTCGTGTTTCTTCAGCCACTGCTCTTCCTTCTTATCTTCTAATCGTGCCATTTTCGCAGCATGTTCCTCCTCTTCTAATATCTCCATTTCGTTGGCCTCCATATCAGATTCATCATCACTTCCAAAGTCCCTTCTCCTCTTACCCTTGTTAAACATAGCCCAAATCTCATCCCGATTATAATCTTGTTCTTCGTCATCATCTTCTATAAAATCGTCCAAGTCTTCCCCGTCATCAGATTCGTGGTGCTTCGATTGACGACGTTGCTTGATAATATCTAACTTTTTCCGCAGCTTAGCATTAGGTTGTGCAATGGAGGGTTTAGACACGGGAGGTCGCTGTTGTTTATGAGTTGGTCGTTCAATATCTGCTTTTCGAGGGTGTGAAGTGTCCCGTTGTCCTTGTCTGAACTTGCTTCTGAAGCCTTCTTTCTGCGTCCGATTTGCTGCCTGCTTAAAGGGGACACGAGGAGCGGGCCTGGGGGTTTGACCATTACCAGATAGAGTTTTGGGCGGAGAAGTGGCCTTTTCTTCAGCTTGCTTCATAAGCTCATCGAAGCTCAGTTTTTTTATAGGCTCTCGTACGACAGCTTTGACGGGTCTGTGTATCTTTGTTGACTCGCCAGCTTTTCTTCGAAACTTAGTTTCCGTATCTAAAGTGGATTCGTCCTTTTTCTTTCTGCTTGCTGGCGCAGGTGTCTTTTTACCCAAGGCAGCAGCATTTTTTAACTGCTCTTTCCGTCGTAGCTCTTTCAGGCGTTTGATAGCTGGGTCTTCTTCTCGGACATAATGCTTTGGGAAAAGTGGACCTTCGATCTTCAGTGGGTCTATTATCTTGCTTTTATCTTCCTTACCTACGTCTTTCTTGCGACTTTTCTCTTCAACTCTAGGGGCCAGCTTTTTAAGTTGGGAGAGTTTGGCTAAGAAGCTCATGATCACACAGCAAATCCTCCTCACAGTCTGATGTCTCGTCAGCCAGTGTTGCAATACAAATCTGATCTCATTAACTTCGATATTCACATATATGCATCACATGGTACGGCCTGCCCGTAGCGATCTTCGACCCGCACTCTGTCACCGTATTTCCAACTTCCTAGGTTCGACTTTATCCAATGCGACTACAGCTGGAGATGTTTGATGTAACAAAGTACTTTCTATTATTATTCCAGGCGGGGGTCTATGCTTATTCAGATTCGTAATTAAAATCGGAGTCAGTATTGGTCGAACTTCCGGGCTCGCTTTCTTCATTTACCATGTTTTTCATAAAGTCTTCGTAGTCATCAAACTCATCCACTGTCTTTTCCTTTGGCGGGGCCTCCGAAGAATTCTTGTTTGAAGTGCTAATGTCTTCGGCTGGTGTTCCCGTCATTATGGTGTCGGAGTCGAAATCGCCAGCTTGCGATTCGAACTCATTGGCTTGCAGCTCGAAACCACCAGGTTGCGATTCAAGACCACTAATTTGAGATTCGAAGTCATCAGCTTGCGGCTCAAAACCACCAGCCTGCGAATTTAAATCATCGTCATTTTTCTCACCCAGCTTTGACTTAGGACCAAGACCTGCTGTTTCGGGAACATAGCCGGCCGCGTCCGGCAGAAAACCACCTGCCTCGAAACCTCCGTCGTCTTCTTCTTCTTCTTCGATGTCATTTTCACTACCATTACCTATTACCGACGTATCATCATCGCCCCAAGCGGTTGTTTGAGTACCAGTTACTTTTCCATGGCTCGAAATTAGCCTTTGCTTGATTCTCAGTTTAGCAAGCATTAAATTCCAGTGCTGCAATGATTCCAGTTCAATCTCCTGCCTCTTGTCCTCCTCATTCGAGTACTCGATCCCATCAATCATAAGCTCAATAGCTTCTCGATATTCCTGGGCGGCGACAATCCCAGTTATCTGTGGTTTGACGATTCTTTTCTTTTCGAATTTAAATCCAGTCACTGCTTTGGCAAACTCAACCCTGAGAAATGCAGCTGCCTTAACTGCCACGGGGCTTTCGATAAGACAAGCCCCCTCTGGAATCATGCTATTAGTATAGATGTCAATGTTTCCATAAACGTTGGTGGGAACTTCCTTGTTTGGCCCTAGGGGTTTCGGTATAAGCAAATCCGTTTGATCTATAGGATAAAGTCTTTCCTCCGTCGCTTCACCGGTCTTGAAATCGCGCGATTTTGTAGTTTTTAAGGCTTTGGCACCTGGCTTTAACACACGTCCCTCTGTGTACCATGCTCTTGCAGTTTTAAGAACCAATATGTCTTCTCTCCGGAATACCTTCAAGCTTGCACTGTTATTTTTGGTCCTCAAAAACCCGCACTGCTTGCATCCAGTTTTTAGGACTTCGTTCCATTTCAGATCGTTTTCTAGAACATAGAATGGGTGACTTTTAAGGTCTTGCATGTTATCCGGAATACCCTCGCTCTCATCTCGCTGTCTGAAATAAGAATCTTCTAAATCATCAGTGCGAGTTCTTTTCCGACCTTGTAACCGCTGCAAAACCTTATTGTACCACTGTTCTCCGTCCGAGTCCTTGGTGACTCGCCTTTTCCGTGTCTTCGAATTGAAATTGATTGTATATCTTCTAGTAACATCTCTACAACCTTGCTTACGGTCATAAGCAATGATGTATCTGAAAACGTTGTTTTGCCTAGCTTTACCTTGAGGCTCCAGAGCGGTTTTGTAACGGATCTGCTCAATGGTTTTTTGACCCATCGGATCCACTGTAATCCATTTTTTTGATATTTTATCCCAAACCTCACACCAAAAAATCGAATACCTATCTTGATCTAATTCCACTTGCTTGGATTTTGATTTCCACCGTCTTCGTGTGGCCTGTTTATTTGCTGGATCTACCAGGTATTCACCGGGTTTCTTTGCATCACTTTGGCCGACTATTTTGTTGTTTGTAAAGTCTGGCGGTTGAGCATTCAAGACTAACCGCGCATTGACCCCACAAGCCCTCAACATTGCCACGAAACCTTGAGCTCCTACCTCCAAACTGCCTTTTCCGAGCGCTACCTTTTTGTTGAACAGTTTCTGGGACATGTACCGAGCCGGCTGTTCCCAAGGACCATCGAGTTCGTCCCAGCCCATCATGTAGAGACCACGAGTCTCTACTCTCGTAATCTGGTCAAAGTGCTTCCACCAGATCTCCATGCATTTTTTCAATCCATCCAGCAATTTGCGCGTGCTTCTCAGCGGTAGTTCGTCGTCCTTTTTCGGATGTAGCAGTTCAAAAACGTCGTCGGGTACTAGCTTGGATAGTTTCTTGTGTAGTTTAGGGTCGTTCAGCCAGTTGTTGCGAGTAAAGCCATGAACCATAAGCGTGAGCAAATGTAGCATGTGGAAATACCTGCGGAACTTCCGCTCATCATTGGATATGACGTTCTTGGCCTTCGACTTAGACTTGGGTTCGGCTTTCCTAGTGTCTAGCGTCACAGAAATGTCTTTGGATACTGGCTGTCCCGACTCCTCTAAGTCCGAAATGTCTTCAAAATCGTCGGAGTTGAAGTCTTCGTCTTCTTCCTGCGTAAGATCGTCTTGCTCTCGTGTTTCGTCTTTCTGCTGTGTTTCGTTATCGGAACCATCGGAATCTAAAGTTACAACGATACTGGCTGGCCCTGGCGCATTCTGTAGTTCCTCATACTTTGGAAGTTTACGTTTTTTACGCTTGGGTTTGTGATTATCTTCTCGTACTGCTTGTCGTACCAAATCAAAGTACTCTTCGCTTAATTTGGCCATCTTGACATGTCCTGTGTATTTGATGGTCTTTGCGATGAGATCGATGTTCTTAAAAGCTTGAGAGCTGCAATTAAATGTCATCTTCACGTGAAAAATATTATGTACAAGTTTCTAATGCAGAGCCATATTTACACGATGTGGAGCGATATTTTGTGTACAGTGCACGCTTCACTTGTTATTCGTTACTTCATAAGTTTGGTCGACGACTTCCTCATTGAAACTTTCGGCCTTTTCGGAGTTGTGAAGCTGCACTTCCTGATCTTGAAGGCCGGTCCCGTTTCCGAACCACTTGAAGCGGCAGCACCACACGAAGTGGGAAGCAAAGATACCTAGTTCCAACGCTGCTACTATGCTGTACAGAATGATACCCATCGTATCCATGTTTCCCACAATAACGCTTGCTATGGAAAGCCACGCTCCCAGTGAATCGACAAATAGAAACACAAAATTAATTCCGACAACGCGGCCCTGCCGCTTAGCAAGTTCGAAATAGGGGGGGACTAGCCCCAAACCCAGTAGTACCGAAGCCAAAATCCCGAATATTAGACTTGGCCAATGCACTCCGCGGGCGTACAAGGGGCGCAACCACAACGTAAAGCCTATTTCCATGCCTATGTCTACCAGTACGATCGCTGCAACCGATGCGCAGATTTTGCGTCGATCCAATTGCACTGGCGGATAATATAGAGACTGCACGTAGCTAACTCCGCAGAAAACCATGAAAAGATGCGGCTGGATCTGAAGAATGATGTTTCCTTTCGTTACCATGAAATATATGGCGAACGGAATCCCGCTGATGACCCACAGCAGCATCATCAGCGGCGGGAGTCCTTCGCAGTCTTTTTGCCGGTAGTTGAAAATAATTTGTGGAATCAACTGAACACACCAGCATACCGTACCGATGGTAGCCAAAGCCGTCGCTGCTTTTTCAGATATCATTGATGCAGTCCTAGTCGTCTTTGATTGCACTTAAGTTTGCCCATGTAGTTGAGAATACTTCTCAGGCTTCGAAAGCTATCGACCTTTTATAAGTTGCACTGAAATATGTGTCATGCCAATTTGTCACTCACAGCATACAATAATTCCACAGCCGTTATAGATGATCAAGAGCCCTGAATATAGCACTGTGTACGGATTGCTCGAATCAAGTACGTTTATACGAGAGTGCCGTGTTCAGAAAGCGATCAACGTTTGGTCAATCGGTAGGGCTACATTTTGATCTTGGATTTCGTGACGAGGGACAGCGTCAAACGTGTTTGAAATTTCGCTAGAGCTCTGATGATCAGATGCGGGTGGATTGAAGACTTGTCTCAAATACTGCTGGATCACGCTGGACGAGCCGAACGAGCTCCCGCAGGTAGGTGTCCTCGAGCTGTTCCAACGGCAGAGAGAGGGACTGGGCGATATCCAGCAGCGCCGCGTATAAATTCGCGAGGTACTCGTTGTTGTGTCCGCTCAGACCGCGCGAACACCGTATAACTTTGGCAGTATGTTCGATGGGTTCAAGTCCGACAAATGAGTCGTTTCCCACGACGCCGATGTAAACTAAAGTGCGTAGAATTGGCTTCTGGGTCCGTGGATGTGTCGGAAGCTGCGCAAGGGCAGTAATCAGGCCTTCGTCTTTGACGCCATCGGTTTCCAGATGTACTTCGACGTTTCTCTGCGTGTATCCATCTTGTTCGCGCACATCTAAAAATTGCAAGACCTGCTGGGCCCTTTCAGCGGGGATGTAGTAAGCCATCGATAGTACTTGTAAGTCTTCCGGGCACTTTGGTTGTTGCGAACGATATGTGGTCACATTGTGGAGATATTCTGGTTTCTCCACGATGCTTTCGTATGGAATTAAAGTGGCTACTCTTCCTGGATTTTCTGGCGTACCGCGGTGGTCAGAGGAGCTTTGCCAAAAACGGCGCTTATAGCCGTATATGATTCCTGGAACGCGATATTGGTAGTGCTGCGGTGGGTTGTAGATCAAAGATCCGTATCCAAGAACCCATATGCCCTGATCTTGTGTCATTTCGACTTTTTTTCTAAAGCGGTGTATGCAGAGAGTGTAGTCAATAGGAACTCAAGAACCAAGAATTAAGAAATTCAGATGTCGTTGGTTTCGCAAACCTGCCCAAATATGGTACACTTTGTGTTATGATCTATAGACACTTGGTATAAATAGGTAAGAGAATAGGTATGGTACAAGTCATGTCATTAAAACTGGTCTAGGGTTCCTCACACACCGGTGTTGTCCAAGAAAAAGAAGTTACCGGACAGCTTCTGTTCCTTGTCCATTTGAGAGTCCAGCTTGTTGATTCTTGGTCTGAAAGAGTTGGGGTCTCTTCTGAAGGTGACATTCAGGTTCTTCAAGAAACGGTTACATCCGGTCAACAAACTCTCTGGAGCTCTGGCATGTGCGACTCTAGAAGGCGTACCCTCGAATACAATGACCTTGTCTGCCAAATAGGTGGCCATGATGAAATCGTGCTCCACAATGAAGGCAGTCTTTTTGTTGTGCAAAATAAATCTTCTGATAACCTTGGAACAGATGATACGTTGTTCGGAATCCAAATAGGCGGAAGGTTCGTCGATTAGGTAAATATCAGCAGGCAGACCTAGCGACAAAACAATGGCAACTCTTTGCAACTCACCACCAGACAAGTGCTGAACTTCTTGGTCAATAATATCATCGATTCTTAGTGGTTTGATAACATCACTTTGAAATTGTGGGTTCAAAAATTGTCCTCTGATTCTCTTGAAGAATAATTGCCTCACGGTACCAGGGAATTTAGGAGCAATCTTTTGAGGCTTCATCGAAACGTTTAACTTTGGCACACTGGTACCATCGTCGGGAGGTAAAGCGCCCGCTAGAAGCTTGATCAAGGTAGTCTTACCTGTACCATTTTCACCCATCATGACCAAAATTTCGGAATTAGAGAAACTACCAGACTCAACCGATAGCTTGAAATCACCTTGGGTACATTTCAACGTAGGGTAGGTGTACGCCCTTGTAGCGTCTTCATGTTCTAACTGGTCTTGGGCATCAACCATTCTGAATTGTAGTGCTTCGGTTCTGAATCTCATATTTTCACTTGGAATATGGCCATCCAAGAAGATGTTGATACCTTCTCTCACAGAAGATGGTAAGGTAACAACACCGTACACGGAAGCTACACCGTAAAGGATACACACGAAATCAGATAAGTAATCCAACACTGACAAATCGTGCTCGACGCAAATCACGTAAGTGGTGGCATTCAAAAGAGATCTGATCACTAAAGCGGCGTTCAAACGTTGTTTGACATCCAAGTAAGAGGATGGTTCGTCAAACATGTAAACCTGAGCATCTTGTACACAAGACATACCGATGGCAAATCTCTGCAATTCACCACCAGACAAGGCAGCAACATCTCTTTTCAAAACGTGTTGCAAATCTAGAGCCTTGATAACGTACTTGGCATCGTCTTGAGACCTTTCCAATCTGAGTTTCAAAAGCTCACCGACTTTCTGAACGGGCCCTTTAATAGCTCTGGGAAGGTTGTCAACGTATTGGGGCTTAATGATAGCCTTGATGTCATCTTCAAGCACCTTGGTGAAGTAGTTTTGCAATTCAGACCCACGGAAATATCTGATAATGTCTTGCCATTCGGGAGGGTCATCGTAACGGCCCAAGTTGGGCTTTTGCTTACCGGCGAGAATCTTCAAAGCCGTGGACTTGCCGATACCGTTAGTACCGACCAAACCTAGCACCTGGCCCGGTCTTGGAGTGGGCAGTCTGTGAAGCTTGAAACTGTTCGCAGAGTAACGGTGCGTCACTTCGGCTTCTAAGTTCGTGGGCAAGTTGATAATCTGGATAGCATCAAATGGGCATTTTTTCACACAGATACCGCAACCGATACACAGATTTTCGGAGATGAAGGCAATCTTCGATGTTGGTGTAACTTCAATACACAACTTACCAGTCTTGACCACAGGGCATGAACGTTTACATTCCTGGCGACATTTCTTAGGTTTACATTTGTCGACGTTGATAATCGCAATACGCGTATTCCTTTCACTCATTTTGAGATGTCGAAATGGTGGATTCTTGGTGCTCTTTCACTTCAACTGCAGCCGTCTCTTAAAGTTTAGCTTCGAATTTTGAATAGCTAGAATTTTCATTAGGAAGCGATGAGTTGAAAAATTTTTCGAAACGGTATTCGAGTACAGACAGGATGTGAATAATGTAGAATAAGTACATATTTTGAAAGGAGCGCTAAGGCAAGTTGCGTTAGCCTTACATTGCCGTTTGTTTTTTTTTCAATTAGAAGTCTTGCGTGTGTAGAGCTTACTGGTAATTGGTAGTCGTTTCTTCGGGAGCCTCCAGACACACTTTTACAAAAATGAAAAGTTCGCTGAGTGGCGACTGTTAAAGATCCAAATGATGTGTCGTCCTTAGGGAGGATGTCACATAGGATTAGGGATTGCCGTCAAATTTAAGAAAGTACACTTTACCTTAAAATGCGCCCTGGAACATACAGATGATGATGACAGCAAATATTCCTTGTTATTGGTACTTTTAGAGATTAATACTTGAATCCAAGCCGTTCTCTTAAATCACGCTGCCAGTTTAGTTACCACGTTACATGTATGGGCTGTTTTCTCGTATTAATCCTTAACACAACGATGGAACCTTGACAGAAGATTGAACCTTTGGCGTAAAAATTCAACGACATGAATGAAATTAAATCATGCTTAACAACGCGTAACAGTGTAGCCTAACTATCACCTATACACTGGGTTTATGGGTTTTCCGCTCTGTTTAGAGTGCTTTTGAGGGTATATAACATTAAATTTGACAAATTCTCAGGTATTATAAGAACCCAAGCGTATTTATTGTTAGCTTTAGCTTGTTGCTGTCGCGCGTCGTTAAGAATTCCGATATCCTATCTCAAATGGTCATCACTCTATACATTTTTGACACAAAAACAGGTACAATGTTTACCGCTCCATATTCAGCCACGCTTCTAAATTAGTGACGTGAAATGGATGAATACTGCCGTTTCTTCGACATATCCCTTCCAAACATGTTCAAAAGCAAAGGTGTCGGACTTTCTGTTTTTGTTGCAAGACACAAGAGTTTATAGCTGTTTGGGGTGTAAAAAAGTAGTCCATTATAACTCAAGTTACTAGAGTTGTTGCTCACTCTAATGTTACCTTGGTTTCCTTAATATCCAATTAATGCAATCTTGCCTTATACTCGGTGTTACCCGGCGACTAAGTTAAGAGTATATAAAGAGCCCCAGAAATTTTCGTAATTCTAATTTTCTTGTCGCTACCAATCACTTTTCGTTCGGGGGACCTTTTAAAGTGGTTATCCGCTATTATTGTGTAATGGTCAAGGATCACGGGGGCTAAGTTCCCGCCGTAAAAGATGTGCTTTCTAAAGTGGAATAAGAGGTTCCTGATGAATTGACTATGGTTACTAGATGCCGGATCTAGTTCGGAATTTGACTGCTGCTCACCATGTTTGGCTGGCATTAGGCTATCGCGCAAAAATGATAGAGTTTACTTCTATTAAATTTGCTTCCCACATATTCAATGTGAACGAACTGTATACTATAGCATGGAGTCAAGCCCTTCTTGAGCTTGGCTGAGTTGGAATCAGCACCTACTCTGTTGCCATCGTTTGGAGATCTCTATCCCATCAGCTGGTGTATTGCAAGCCATTAGATGGGTCAAGGTGGCTTGTAAACCCTTTCGCCTCGCAAAGAGAGCGAGGCGCAAGTGCATGATCGCAATTACCAGCTACGGAAACTGGTAAAAGGTTCAAGTGCAGAAGTGTACAGTTACTGCACAAATATAAGGATGCCAAGAGTGCAGTGGAAATTGGTTAGGTGAATGCCGATCGAAGCGATTAATGCCCCCAGTTTTCAGATGTGCTCATCTGTTCCAGTGGGGATATTGATCAAAAATCTGTCGTACGAAGCCCCTCGCAATGCCTTAGGTGTGCCGATAGATCGGTGGTTTACCGGCGCAAATTATATTTCACAAATTTTTGTGCTTTACGCGTGAATTGACTCATTATTCAAGTTGGAGACAAAACACGGATGTTAAAAGCTCTTTGACCGTCTGGAATATAGTTAGCTAAAGAGGCAGCTGCATGGCTTATGGCTTTCGAGCAAGCCTGTTGGCGTTAATATGATTGATAGATTGAAAGCTCATCCCAACCAATAAACTGTTAGGACTTTGAGTTGCCGCTCTGCCTTTTCTAGTCAAACTTGAGCCACGAACAAACAAGCTGAGATTCTTATTCTACTAAAATTACCAAAACAGGTTACACTGTTCCGTCTGGCATAAGGATATGTCGTTTGATAATTTCAAAGAATTGGTTTTATCCTCTTGGATGTTCACATATTTTGAGACTGAAATAAGATTCTGATGGTTTTAGGTTAAATCCCCATCACCTTCGAATTGCTGAAGACATCCGTTGGCTATGGAAAGGACTAAACCTGGCATCCGCATGGCTGTGGTTACCCTCCAGTGTTTGTAAATTTTCGTAAAATTTTTCTCCCTTGAATATTGTCGAAATGTTCGAGTAGTATGTGGATCATATATTGGTGAAGCTAATAAGAGGTGGTCTGTTACGAGGGACAGTGAAAAGGGCTACGGGGCTAGGATTGAAATACACATACCAACATTTACTGTCGTTATTTTTGACATCATATTTCTCTACCTGTGATTTAACTATTTACTCTTCTTTCCGTGTAATTTCGTGAGGTGGGGCAAAATTGAAATCAAAATAATCGCGAAACCTGTATCAGAGATGGCAGCTGATGACTTTTCTCATGACATGCTGGATAATCCGGAGCTTTATGGATTGCGTAGATCGGGAAGAGCTGCAACTACAAGCCAAACGCGCTATTTTTCTGACGATGAAGACGACGAACTAATTGCACCACGTAGACGCGGTCGGAAACCTAAGCAAGAAGAAGATGACTCTGTAAATGAAGGTCAAGAGATAAGCGACGAGGAAGAAGAATTAAACGAGGATGATAGTATGGCTGAGGATGATGAAGAGGTAGTATTTGGAAAGCCTATAGCCAAGAGGAAACAGATAAAAGTCAAGAAAACACCAAAACCAGATCATGAAGAGTATGAGCTACCAACCCGGTTCTCCTCCAGGAAAAGTGGATCTGTCAACTACAATGTAGATTACTCCGATGAAGATTTGCTTGAGTCTGATGCAGAAGGCTTTGGCGAAGCTGGCGACGACGACGACGACGAAGACAATATGGGGGAATCGAAGAACGCTTCTTTGTCACCTCAAACAGGGCGTGGTATTGATCTGGTAATCACGCATAAGCTAAAAATCGACGTCGGAGAATACCAAGGTGTGCCTGACCTATCCCTTTGCAAAAATAGTTATGACATCTTGGTCAAATGGTCGGATGAGTCGCACTTACACAACTCATGGGAATCTTACCAGAATCTAACCCAAATCCGCGGTGTTAAGAAGATAGACAACTACATCAAGCAATTCATTATACTCGATAAGCAGATTCGCGAAGACCCATACACAACCGCTGAGGATATGGAGGTCATGGACCTAGAGCAAGAGCGTCGCTTAGATGAGTTTAAGGAATACAAGATTCCAGAAAGGGTCATCGACAGTGACCGTGTCACACTTGATGATGGCACACCCCAATTACAATACCTTGTAAAGTGGCGACGTTTAAATTATGATGAGGCCACTTGGGAGAACGCCGGTGTTGTTGTCAAACTGGCACCAGACCAAGTAAAGCATTTTCAAAACCGCGTGAACTCCAAGATTCTTCCTCAATATTCAAGCACTTACGGATCTCAAAGACCCAAGTTTTAGAAACTCGACGAGCAACCGTCTTTCGTCAAAGGCGGCGAGCTTAGAGATTTTCAACTCACCGGTATAAACTGGATGGCTTTTCTATGGTCCAAGAACGATAATGGTATTCTTGCCGACGAAATGGGTCTCGGTAAAACTGTTCAAACGGTAGCATTCATCAGTTGGCTAATATATGCCCGTAGACAGAATGGCCCGCATTTGGTCGTAGTACCTCTTTCAACAATGCCTGCTTGGCAAGAAACATTTGATAAATGGGCACCTGATCTCAACTGCATTTACTTCATGGGAAACCAGAAATCAAGAGATGCAATTAGAGAAAGTGAGTTCTACACCAATCCTCAAGCCAAGGGTAAGAAACATGCAAAATTCAATGTTCTTCTTACTACTTATGAGTATATCTTAAAGGATCGCGCTGAGCTAAGTGCAATGAAGTGGCAATACTTAGCTGTCGATGAGGCTCACAGGTTGAAGAATGCAGAGTCTTCACTTTACGAATCTTTAAACAGTTTCAAAGTTGCCAACAGACTTCTCATAACTGGTACGCCATTACAAAATAATATAAAGGAGCTGGCAGCATTAATTAATTTCTTAATGCCCGGAAGATTCACCATTGACCAAGAGATTGATTTTGAAATTCAGGATGAGAATCAGGAGAGATATATTAGAGATCTACACAGTAGACTACAACCTTTCATTTTGCGTCGTTTAAAGAAAGATGTCGAAAAGTCCTTACCCTCTAAGACTGAGCGTATTTTGAGAGTAGAATTATCGGATGTTCAAACTGAATACTACAAAAACATTTTGACCAAAAATTATAGTGCACTTTCAGCGGGCTCGAAAGGTGTACATTTTTCGTTGCTCAATATTATGAATGAACTTAAAAAAGCCTCCAATCATCCATATCTTTTTGATACCGCTGAAGACCGGGTTTTGGCAAAGTTTGGTGACGGTAGGATGTCGCGCGAAAATATTCTGCGTGGGTTAATTATGTCTTCTGGTAAGATGGTGCTTCTGGATCAGCTTTTGACTAGACTAAAAAAGGATGGGCATCGCGTTCTGATTTTTTCACAAATGGTACGAATGCTCGATATTTTGGGTGATTATCTAAACATCAAAGGTGTGAACTATCAACGTCTAGACGGTACTGTTCCATCTGCTCAAAGACGAATCGCGATTGATCACTTCAACTCTCCGGATTCTAACGATTTTGTATTTTTGCTGTCCACTAGGGCTGGTGGTCTGGGTATCAACTTGATGACAGCCGATACGGTTATCATCTTTGACTCAGACTGGAATCCTCAGGCCGATTTACAGGCTATGGCACGCGCACATCGTATTGGTCAGAAAAATCATGTTATGGTTTACAGATTCGTTTCCAAGGACACAGTTGAAGAAGAAGTTTTAGAAAGGGCCCGCAAAAAAATGATTTTGGAATACGCTATCATCTCCTTGGGTGTCACTGACGGTACTAATCTTTCCCAGAATAAGAAGAGCGACCCATCTGCGGGAGAGCTGTCAGAGATCTTAAAATTTGGTGCAGGAAACATGTTTAAAGCAACTGATAACCAGAAAAAATTGGAAGATTTAAACCTGGATGATGTATTGAATCACGCAGAGGATCACGTAACAACTCCAGATTTGGGGGAGTCACATTTGGGAGGCGAAGAGTTTTTGCGACAGTTCGAGGTAACAGACTACAAGGCAGATATTGAATGGGATGATATTATACCCCAAGAAGAGCTGCGGAAGCTGAAGGACGAGGAACAAAAGCGGAAAGATGAAGAGTACGTCCAGGAACAGCTGCAGTTAATGAATAGAAGAAACAATGCCCTTAACAAAATTAAGGCCAGCGTAAATGGTAATAGCGCTGGCGATAAAGGCGATGATGAATATGATTCTCGTACTGCAAGAAGAAAAACGAAGTCAAGTAATTTGGACTCTTATGGTGAGAGGGAGATTCGCGCACTGTACAAATGCATCTTAAGATTTGGAAATTTGGATGAGAAATTTGAGGAGCTTATTGGCGATGGATCACTTCCAGTAAAAGCGATTGAAGGTTATTCTAGGCTTTACCGAGAAATGATCATAGCGGCTCGGAAAGTCTATAAAACCGAAGAAGAAAAGCGCATGGAAATGTTTGCCACATTGGAAGCAAACGCCAAATCTTACAAAGATAAACTCAAGGCAAGTGGTCAAACCTTGGACGAAAAAGACCGAAGTACTCCCGTTGCTAAGCTTGCCGCTAAGAGAAAGGAGAAAAAAGCAGTCCTGTTCGAGTTCTACGATGTTAAGGCTCTGAACGCGGAGACTGTCTTAACGAGGCCCGAGGAGATGCAGTTTTTAACAGCGTTTTTGCGTAAACATTATCCTGACGACCCATTAAAGTTCAAATTTATCAACAAATCTCCCAAGCCTGTCGCCAACTGGAACTGTTCTTGGAACAAAGACGATGACGAAAAGCTGATGGTCGGAGTTAATAAGTATGGCTATGGATCTTGGGCCCAGATTCGGGATGATCCATTCTTGGGTCTTTCAAACAAGATATTTTTGAACGAGCCTCAAGCCGCTAATGCCAAGAGCGATACTGCATCGATTAGTGGCACAAGTGAGAAAAAGACGAAAAATGGTGGTACTGGTGGAGCAAAAAAAGTCCCAGGTTCAGTTCATCTCGGAAGAAGGGTAGACTACTTGTTTGCAAATTTGCGTGATGAAATGAAACCACTCACTCCATCGGGAGCGAATACGGGGAACACGACTCCATCTGGCCCATCTTCTGCAAATTCTAAGAAGCGTGTCAGAAAACCAGCAAGCAGTAGAGGCGGAACTCCAGATGTCAAAAAGGATGATGGCCGTGTTGGGCCCACAAAGCGCGCCAAGAATGGCGAAGATGCTCAGGGAAGCCCGCCCCCGCTCAGCGGAACCACAAGGAAACAGCAACCTGTAAAAAACACTGGCGCTTCGCAATCTCAAACCTCAGTTTCTGATAAAGAATATGAGAGTATGGAAGAGCTGGAATGCAAACACACCATGCAGGCTATGAAAACGTCATTCAAGAGTCTCAGCCGCGGCGGAAAGGGTTTGGACCGGAAAGAATGGGCGCACGTTCTCAAGACTGAATTAAAGGCCATTGGTGATTACATAGAGACTCAGAAAAAGTCCTCTAGAAAGCATTCTCCCGAGAAGTTCCGCAAGCATTTATGGGCATTCAGCGCGCATTACTGGCCTGCTAAGGTTAAAAGTTCTAAGCTCCTGGCCATGTACGATAAGATTGTTGCCAGCAAATCTCAGTAAGTCACGATATATGCATATTATTAGGTATTAAAGATAGGTGCTGTCAAAAGTACGCGAGTTGTCGTACGGCGCTGTAAGGATCTCAAAAAAGACATGAAACATTTCAAGATTTCTGCATATTTCTTACACAATGCTTGTAGTTTTTGATTACATTAACTGATTTCACAGGCAACCAGTACATTTGGGTTTTACGAACATTCTATTTTGTTTTAAGCAATAGAACGCGTCTTTAATAAATTATTATTTTTACGCGTCAGTCTCATGTAATAAAAATCAAAAAAACGAAGTGATTCACATTTGTTTAATTTGACTACCTTACTAAACCAAATCTATAGGAAGCAGCGATCGATTAGTGCTATCATGGTAGTTCAAACAACGCCAAAAAATGACAAAAAAACGATGCCATTCAAGTCCCCGCAATCGTCAAATAAGAAGAAGTTGAAACAGGCCTCATTACTTTCATTCTTCAATAGGAACAAAGCAGCGGCCAGCAGCCCTGCCCGGAATGCGGGCCATCAATCTTTATTTGTAGATAATGACGATAACACTGACATGGATTCCGGATTCGTCACTGCCATGGAGGATACGGCAAACCACTCGATCACGCCCCTAACGGACACGAGCGTCACAGAGGGAACCGAAGAGCCCACAACTTTCCTTGCTCAGAGTGAAGAAAAGACCAACAAAGCCATTGTCAGTGGCGAGATAGAATCAGAAAATACTGGAGTTCCAACGATTGAGAAAGATGAGAAATCTGACAAAAACGCAATCTCCAATGAACCGTCAGAGAGGGACGGCAGTCCCGATCGTCCCACAAAAAGACACATAAGCTATGCTGAATCTAGCGACGAGGAAGATGGTGAAGTAAAGGGCTTGAAAACTAGCAAGAAGAAAAGGAGACAGTTGTCGAGTGATGATGAAGAAGAAGAGTATGTCCCGCAAGATCAGCCAAGCGGCAGTGAACAAGAAGGCGATGAAGACGACGATGTAGATTCAAACGCGTCTGAGGCCAAGAATGAGTTAAACGCCACTAATGTCTCAGAGGATGACGACGACGATGATGATATACTCAAATTATCAAATGTTAAACCAAGGCCGTCAGTAAAAGATAAAGCGAAGCCAACGCAAAGCCCCATATCACGGCAACAACCTCTGCGAAGACCTAGTCCAAAAATGAGTAGCCCAAATAAAGGTAAACATTCTAGCTTCACCAAGGAAAATGAAGAGCGCTATCAATGGCTTGTTGACGAACGTGATGCCCAAGGAAGAGCCTGTGATGATCCAGATTATGATCCAAGAACTCTTTATATTCCTTCGTCTGCATGGTCTAAATTTACGCCCTTCGAGAAGCAATATTGGGAAATAAAGTCCAGAATGTGGGACTGCATAGTGTTCTTCAAGAAAGGCAAGTTCTTTGAGATGTACGAAAAAGACGCCATGTTGGGGAATCACTTGTTTGACCTTAAAATTGCCGGCGGTGGCCGCGCCAATATGCGATTAGCAGGCGTACCTGAAATGTCCTTTGACTATTGGGCAATGCAATTTATACAAAATGGCTACAAAGTTGCTAAAGTCGACCAACGGGAATCAATGCTTGCCAAGGAAATGAGGGATGGAAATAAAGGAATCGTTAAGCGTGAGTTACAAAGTGTTCTTACTTCAGGAACTTTAACTGACTCGGGAATGCTACAATCTGATCAAGCAACGTTTTGTTTGGCCATCAGGGAAGAACCGTTGAATTTTTATGACGTCGATAATGGCATAGAAAGCTCACAAAGCGAAGGTAAAATATTCGGTGTTGCTTTCATTGACACGGCAACCGGTGAAATAGAACTGCTTGAATTTGAAGATGACAATGAATGCACGAAATTGGATACAGTTTTGTCTCAAGTGAGACCCAAAGAGGTCATTATGGAGAAAAACAACCTCTCTAGTTTGGCTACTAAAACTGTTAAATACAATGCTCAACCTCAGGCCATCTTGAATAACCTCAAATCGAAGGACGAATTTTATGACTTTAATCGAACTTTTGACGAATTAACATCTACAGATTCTCCATATTTTCCAGATATGGACCACTGGCCTGAGGTATTAACGAAATACTATGAGCAAGGAAAGAAAGTTGGGTTTTCCGCGTTTGGAGGCTTACTTTCATATTTGAAGTGGCTCAAATTAGATCAGTCACTAATTTCAATGAGGAATATAAAGGAATACAATCCTATCAGATCGCAAACCTCTTTGGTTTTAGATGGTGTGACATTGCAGAATTTAGAAATATTTGGCAACTCTTTCGACAACTCCGATAAAGGGACCTTATTCAAAGTTATAAACCGCGCCATTACGCCTATGGGCAAAAGAATGCTAAAAAAATGGGTAATACATCCATTGCTGCAAAAGTATGATATCGACCAGCGATTTGACAGCGTCGATCTTCTGCTAAATAACATCGACCTTAGAGAGATCTTAGAGGGATCTTTGAGCTCTTTGCCGGACCTTGAACGCCTGTTGGCACGCATACACTCTGGAAATTTGAGGATCAAAGATTTTAACAAAGTAATTGAAGGATTTGAAGTCATTGTTACGCTCAAAGAAAAAATTATGGAGCATAACTTAGCAGGAACATTGATTGACTTTGTGAACAAAATTCCGGACACTTTGAGCAATTGCGTCAGCAGCTGGTGCAACGCCTTTGACAGAAGAAAAGCCGAGGAGGAAGGCGTCATAATTCCCCAACATGGCGTGGATATAGACTTTGACCAATCTCTTCAAAAGATAGAAAGCGTGGAAAATGAATTGACAAACCACCTACGATCATACAAAAAGACGTTTAAAACGCAAAACATACAGTATAAGGACTCTGGAAAAGAAATTTTTACAATAGAGGTCCCGACCTCAGCAAGCAGCTTAATTCCATCGGACTGGATTCAGATGGGCGCTAACAAGTCTAGCAAGAGATACTATTCTCCCGAAGTTTCGAAATTGGCACGTTCTATGGCAGAAGCTCGCGAGCTGCACAAAGTTTTAGAAGAAAGTGTGAAAAGCAGGCTTTACCAAAAATTTGATACCAACTACCAAGATATATGGATGCCAACTATAAGCGCTATCTCAGAAATGGATTGCATTCTTTCTTTGGCGAGAACGTCCGAATCGCTAGGATATCCATGTTGCAGGCCCAAGTTTGTCGATGAAACTGATCCTACAACGGGCAATAAACTCAACGGATTTGTTGACTTTAAAGACCTGAGACACCCCTGTTTCAATCTTGGTACCAGCACTACAAAGGATTTCATACCAAATGACGTGTCGTTGGGTGGCGGTAGCCACCAAGTTGGTCTGTTGACAGGTGCAAATGCGGCTGGTAAATCTACTGTTTTGAGAATGACCTGCATTGCTGTAATCATGGCTCAAATCGGCTGCTACGTGCCTGCCGAAAGTGCAGCTCTTTCTCCTATAGACAGAATTATGACCAGGCTTGGCGCTAACGACAATATCATGCAAGGCAAATCAACGTTTTTTGTCGAGCTTTCTGAAACTAAGAAAATACTAGACGCCTCAACCAACAGGTCGCTTCTAATTTTAGATGAGTTGGGAAGAGGCGGTTCCTCTAGCGATGGTTTCGCAATAGCAGAAAGTGTTCTTCATCATGTTGCGACCCACATCCAAAGTTTGGGATTTTTCGCAACGCACTACGGTGGGTTAGGTCTTGGATTCAAACATCATCCCAAGGTCGTCCCTCTCAAAATGGAGATTTTAGTTGATGAAAGCTCTCGTGAAATTACTTTTCTATACAAACTTGTCCCGGGGCAGAGTGAAGGTAGCTTTGGTATGCATGTAGCTTCCATGTGTGGGATAGCCAAGAGTATCGTCAACATTGCACAGATTGCTGCTGATAACCAAGAACATACATCTCTCTTGATTAAAGAACGTCAAAAGGCAGCTAGTGGTATGGATGAAAAGAGCATGATTCCACTAGGCCTCCAAAGTGATTTTGTAAGGCTGACGTACGGTGATGGCCTTGTCGCAAGTGCCAAAGGTTGCGGCGAAGGTGTAACGTTTTATGACAATAGAATTAAAGCAAATGCGTTAAAAAGCATTTTTGCTATGATAGATGGACTTGAATAGAAGGCTTTATTTCCTCAATACTTAACTAAGCTCAATGAAAATTGATTTCAAACCTATATACACATTCCATATGAATATCCTGATTCATTTCCCCACAAACATCAAATTCATAACGGCAGTTAAACATTCTTCAGCGTAGCACCACTCATGGTTTCGATATAACGCTCTCCGCTGTTTTCTGCCATGAGTTCCTCGTTCCCGACCGATTTCGAGGAGGGGCTTCCAAGCCCGTCCGCCGTACATGGTATCTTTTTGTTTAAATGTTGGAGCACATGGTCGCGTCTTTTAAACTTTTTGCCGCATTTAGGGCAAGAATGAGGTTTCTCTCCAGAGTGAACTGATTTCTTGTGTCTTGTAAGGTGATGTCCAGATGAAAACTGACGCCTACACTCTTGGCAAACATAAACTTTCCCTTTGTCAGAAACTATGATCTCATCGGAACTGATTTTCGATTGGGTTACTGGCCTCTTCGGTGACTCTGCTGTACTGTGCTTTACTTCAGAAGGAGATGAGGGTGCAGATCGATCTATCGTGGTTGCTTGACTCAGGTTTGAATTCATAGCGGTTGTGACGCTAGTTGTAAGCTTTCCTGAAAGCGGTGACTTGAACTCAGCATTAAGCGACACGGGGCTTCTCGAAGACTCTCTAGAAATATTGAGGGTGACCCTATTAGGACTTTTGAGTCTCTTTATGAAAGGCAAATTTGAGAGCCCAGGTGAACTCGGTTGCGGTGAGTTTACCGCGCTCTTGAAAGTTGCGTAGTAAGTGAAAGGATTATTCTGCTCATACATCGGGCCGGAAGACAGCATAGTATCTCCAGCCACAGCAGGCGAGTAAGGTCTGGGTTGAATTGGAGGTAAAGGATATCTAGGCGACGATGCACCACTTGCCATTGACGCAAGGCTTAGCGCCAGCATATTGTCATCGTGGTCTTCTAACATCTGAGGGGTCTGAGAAGTATGGTGGCTTTGTGGCTGAACAGAAGGGTTCTTCTTAAACTTTAAAGTTGGATCTTCTAACGTAGGCTCAACAATATTCGATAAATCCATCATGCGAGAAAGCAGTGGAGATGAAATTCGGCTGATGGATTGACTTAGGCCACTATAATATTGACCGGGGTTTGGAGTTGTAGAACGAATGGCACTTTGTTGAGGATTATCCTCCATAGCCTGTAATTCATAAGAGCTATGGTGCAGGAGCTCATTGAAGCCCTTCATTTTTGTGCTTTCGCGGTCTGATAGTCTATTAAATGGCAAAGATCGTCCTGGCGTTGGGCAAACGACCTCAAAGCTGGATTTTTCTTTCTTCAAGTCATTCGATTTCGTGCTATCATTGGGTCGCTTTAGAGTGTTAGATCCATACGGGTCCGATTTGGTTTTGAGTTTTTTGAGAAAGTCTTTTGGGGAATTTCGATTGTCTTGATGTTCTTCTTTAACTTCTGTAATATTCCTCTTTTGTTTACTGGAATTCCAATCGTCTTTCAGTTTTTCAACATCTATACCTACTGCATCTTCGACACACAAACATTTTTTGGCCTTGGAACCAATATCCAGCCAGTCTTCTAGCGCGAAATTCACGGATTCTGCCAAGTTATATCCATAATTGAATCCGGCATGATATCCATAAGGGTAGGTAATAATAAATTCATGTTGATAATGTACAATCTTATTACACCGAATCCCATTTTTCTCAAGCTGCTTCGGTGAAACCAAAAACGTTTTGTGTCTCAGAAATTCGTCACATTTAGTAGCATGCTCTGGAAACTGCTCCTGCATGAATTTGTAAAATTTATCTGAATCTTCCTGCGGTATAGAATACCACTGCTTTGGTGCTCCAAAATGAATGTAGTTTATTGAATATAGATCCTGGTCTTCCAAATGCCAAGCAAACGATGCTTTCCACAAGCCTGCGTACAAATACGAATCGTTTACTCCCGGGACTTTCGTACGAACGTGGTCCAACAGACTGGGCAGTTTAGAAACGTTCCATACATCTATTTTATCCTGGAATAAAGATCCCAGCGCGTCGGCCCCGTACATGGGAGGTGTAAAAGCCAAAGTTTTCCAAAAGTAGGATTCCAGGAATTCTAGCCTACTGGGATCCTGAAACTCACCCAGATTATCGTGATTATAGTGAGTAGCAAACTTCTCGTAGTCGTCTCTTGTAAAGCTTTCGTGATTTTTCAGTTTTATTTTGGACGATTTCAAAGGAGACGGTGATTTCCGTACGCCATCCTCCGCGTCGCTATGCTCATTCATCGCTTCAGTATTAGTGTCACTGCCGCCGTCTGGAAGCCTGTAATCGTAAGATAAGTCTTTCCATTGAATGATATTGTAGGTTTTGGCTTTTTCCACATTTTGCACTACAAACACACCCTTAGACCCATTAAAGTGTTGTTGAATAGGTGACTTAATTCGAATTTTTTGCAGCGTATCTGCTCCAAGTGGTTTTTCCAGCTGTGATAGCCACTCCTGGGGTGGAATGACCTTGACTATCCCGCTTTTTTTACCATATACATTGACCTTATCCATGTAGGCATGGAAATCCCTGAACTCTTTGTAACTGGGTCGGAAAACAGGGACGCCATTCTCCCAGTTGTGAGGCCGGGTTCCGTTCATGACAAAACCTTATTAGAAAACCCTCGTCGGCAGCAAACTGGTCCAGTTCTCGACCTTCAACTTTTCCACAATTATATTCAACTGCAATTAAATAAATTTCACTGTATGGGGAAGTGATGAGCTACCCCTTAAAAATTTGCAAGTCACTACGTACGCGCACTCAACAGCCTTGGGCTCTAATCAAGAAACCTAAGTTGTACAAGACGACGGTTGGCAAGGTAAAAGGAATCTAGCGCTCAGCTGCTATTATCCGTGTCAGATATTCCGAGAAGTTATTTCGAGATTTTATTGAGGCGAGCGATTAAGCGATGGAAAATTTGCTAACATCTTTGTTTAGCGCTTCCATGAGTTGTGGATCTGCGTTAATTCGCAGACGAAGACTATGTAGTTCTCCGTGGCTTTTCCAGTATAAGGACAATGTCAAGCTCTCAGAACAAATGAAGGGTATTTGTATAGTTTTGAGAAGTGAATAAGAAATGAGAAGGGCACAAGTGCGTTACCTCTGCAACAAATGAGTCGTGTTTTCAAGAATTGGTGAACAATTACTAGAGTCCAGACCACCTGTTAAGTTTACTTGTTCTCGAACTACCAGATGCATTTAGCACTTCAGTCTCATTAATATCACTTTATACCATAACGTCATTGACCAATTTGGCACCATCATCACTCACACCCGAACAATTCCGACTATCTTCAAATGTGTAATGCTTTTTGAGAAAAATGCCCACAAATGTACGAGCTTCCATTTAGAAGATGCCTGAGCAAGTTCCTATTTGAGAATAAATATCACTTATTTAATTATGGCTTGATATACCACTTTGATCAGCCAATCTAGCATTTTCTTTCTTCTGAATTAGCAATTTCTCACAAACGCAAGTGAGGCAATTATGGAGGAGCTTAGACTTTTTTTATTGAAGATGATTTACCTCGATAGGTTCCACTTAAACACGAGGAACAAAATGAGGCTTAAAGATCGCCTGTGCAAAACTTTTGAGAAATGTTCAATCTTTGACATGTCTCCAGCTCTGCATGAAGAGCATTGCCGTTTAATAGTTTTAGATTATACAGGGGGACTGATGATTTCATTCAAGTTTACGTGATATTAGACGTGTATATAAATCGAATGCCCAGCAGTGTAGAAAAGGAGACTCCATCTATGGCTATAATGTCACGGTCTTTGCGCTATTGCCAGGCAGCGTCAATTACAGAATGAAACATTTTAGAATAGGATCATAAAGGAAGCCAAGAGCTATGACATAATAGTACAAAGTGACTGAGTTACATGTTCAATTCTGCATATCTATTCGGATAGAGAATAAGAAAGCTGAAGTCTAGACTCTGATGTGTAGTAGTGCATATATTCGCACAGTTCCATTGTCGATGCATTCTAGAAAAGGAGGTTGATACATTAAATATCCGTCCAGGTCACTTCTTGTCGTCAATACCCGTCGTGCAACTATAAAAATACCGATGATTTATTCTATCTATCGAGATTCTAAATATTTGCATCTTGAAAGATCACGAAGGGATTAATAAAATCCCATATTTCGATACAAGTCAATAATACAGACCAAGAACGACTTGAATGTTCAATTCAACAAGCTAAATACTTCTAACCAGATAAGTCCATCATTAGTTAAACATGGAGCACTTATAACATTTTTAGTACCAATGTTTATTAGTACTTGTTCAAGATATTCTTTTGCAAAGCCCTGTATGCTTTTCTTAGTGCCTTGAAGTCGCCTGCCAGCAATTTCGAAAAATTGCTGCAGAAGATTTCATGAAGGTCATACCAATATCCTTCTAATTCGAGCAGTAGGTGATCTAAGATTACTATATGGGGCGTTGCTGTCCGTCACACAGATAGAATGTAAGTATCACCAATGTTTTCCAAGAGCTCACGTGTAAAGCTAAAAAGTTATAATCGTTAAGTCGAAGCTAAAATCAAATCATTGGAATAATGATTATGAATGAAGGAAGCTCAAAGTTAAGTTACTGTCCTCGTTCACGTTCTGTTTAGTCTGTCGGTAATGCTCAAAAGAGCTGCAAGCTCATTAGTACAAAGAAGAATGATCCCGAAATTAACACTGACGAAGACAGAACAGGATATTTGTTCTCTGCTTAAGGACTATAGTCAGGAATATAATCAAAAAAATGCTTTGGCAGAACCCTTAATGCTTAGAATTACTGGAGGCTGGGTCCGTGACAAGCTTTTGGGTCTCAATTCTCATGATTTGGACATTGCTGTCAACGCGATGTCAGGAGAACAGTTTGCACTTGGGCTAAGCGACTATTTGAACCGTCATCATCAAGTTTACGGTATAACGCCTCACTCAATCCATAAAATTGATAAGAATCCCGAGAAGTCGAAACATTTGGAGACCGCCACAACCAAGTTGTTTGGTATCGAAGTGGATTTTGTTAACCTCAGGTCAGAAGAATACACAAACGAGTCCCGAATCCCAGTTATGGAATTTGGGACGCCAAAACAAGATGCGCTGCGACGCGATGCTACCTTGAACGCTTTGTTCTACAACATCCAGTGCGATGAAATAGAAGATTTCACGGGGACTGGACTTGAAGATCTGGAAAGAGGCGTTTTACGGACACCGCTCCCACCTCTACAAACCTTCCTCGATGATCCGCTGCGTGTACTGCGTTTAATTAGATTTGCCTCACGATTTGGATTTACAATTGACCCTGAGACCTACCAGGCAATGCAAGATAAAGAAATTAATAAGGCTCTAGAGGTCAAGATTTCTCGCGAAAGAGTTGGCGTTGAAATTCAGAAAATACTACAAGGGCCTAATCCTTTGTTGGGATTGAAACTAATACAAGAAGCCGGCCTCGACAACGTGATATTTTATTGGCATAGCGATCCTGCTATCATTGCCTACAACACTGAAATGACAGAAATGAGCGAACACAATCAAGCATACTCTAACCTCAACAGCCACATTGCTCTCGTCATCAAAAAACTACCTATTCTCCTCGAAAAATCTCCAAAGCTGCGAGCGTATTGGAGCGAAAGGCCAACCTTCAAGCAAAACTTTATTTTGAGTATTATACTAGCTCCCTTCCGAGGCATCAAAATCGTTTGGAATCCTCAAAAAGCTTTGAACCGCGAGCTCTCTTTACCCGAGAGCATTATAAAAGATGGGCTCAAGCTGGGGAGAAATGATTCCGATTTGGTTGGAAGATGCGTAGAATCGCACCCAGAATACAACGAAATGGTATTGAGCTATGAAATCATGTCGAGATCCGAGATCGGCATGATCCTTCGTGGTTTTAAAGGTCAATGGGAAGAAGCACACTTGGCTAATCTAGCTTTGGCTTTTTGTTTGAACGAATCTTCCTTAGACCAGTATCAAAAATTCTATAAGTTCGTTTTCAACCAAAACCTGCAAGATGCGCATTCATTGAAACCAATGATAGATGGCAAAACGCTATCCAAACAACTCAACATAAAGCCTGGCCCTTGGATGAGTGGCGTGGTTACGGAGATGATAAAGTGGCAGCTCGACAACCCCTTATGCGGAGAAGCCGAGATCATGCAGTTCATTCGTGAAATTCTGCCCACTTATACCTCGAAGTGACGCCTTTCCTGAATTGAAATGTTTAGTAAGCGTTTATAAATGCGTTTAAAGTTTATAGATAACCTTTATATGTTAATTTTTTTGTCTTTAGAACTGTGAATGGTCCCAGTCATTCGTGAGACTTTCAGCGCCCTCGCCATTATTAATGGAATGAGCAATTTGGTCTATGTCATGCATTATGCGGTGGGAGAAATTTGTGTATGGAACTTGTTCATTACGTGAGTTATCCTCAGCTAGTTCCGTTCTGATGTTGTTGTTTGTAGTGTTTGTGACTGTAGCAGGAGAAGCATGCATTACAGAATGAAGTGTCGAGGCATCTCCTTGAAAAGGTAGATTAGAGAATGACCCGTCGCTCTCGAATGGAGCGATTTTTCCCTGCTGGCTTGCCATAAATTCCGCCCTACTACCCAAGTCTAACTCCATATACAAATTCAAGAAATCGTCGCTCTGACTTTCCTGATAGTTTATGGAAGGGTGTTGCTCTTTGAATTGCAGATCGATTCCTGTATTTTGAAAGGCTGATGAATGGAAGCTTTTTTGATCTAAATCCTTACCTAATGGAAGGGCGCTGTCCAAGGTTGAATGTGAGTTTACCAGTGAGGAAAACATAGTAACGCTGCTACGGCTGGTATTCTGTAAAGAGGCAATATCTGAATCTCTTTCGTCCGCAACCTCCAAAGTTGTTTTTGGGATCCCCTTTATGGCAGATGCTTCGTTAGGCGAGTAAGAAGCCTCTTCTGGTTCCTCTAAGATCTCATTCTCCAACGAGCTTTCACGGTCAAGCGAGAACATAATGCTATTCTGTCTCTCATGACCACTGACCGTGTTACTTTGTCCATTATCAAAGAAGCATGGCGTTGATGCCGATGAAAGGGAGGATACCGTGCTTGGGCCACGAAGATCAGAGATTGATTCCTGCTTTTTCTTTTGGCTATGTCTTTGTTTCGCTTGTGCGTCCAAGTATGTATCCATACCTGCAGTCAAATCAACAGCGTAGTTCGAAGAACTATGCAGAGAAGAGAAATCCCGAGAAAACCGATTAGAGTTACTTCTTCTCAAGGAGTTCGTTTTAGCGGGGGAGCCAGTACGAATAGGTGAGTATTTGTTGGCCAATGACGAAATTGAGTTTGTCGACACGTTTCTTTGCAAAGAGGGGACATTATTCGAGGTACTGGAAACGAGTGAACTCATGGACCCGCCTGTGTTGGCACGTTTCCTGGTGAATAGTTTACTAAATGCAATAGAAGCGTCGTTTTCGTCCCCCGGGCGTGGGGATACAGACGAATGCATACTGTTGGAGTGAGGCCTTGTCGTGGCTGGATAACCGTGATATTCATTTAATTGCTCCATGTGATGATGATCGAGGTGTGAATTCAAATACGGGTTTGATCTATCCCGGGATGGAGAATGCCTAATTGGCAACGAAGCCTCCGAGCACGACGTTCCCAACGTGAGGGAAGCTTTCCCATTGTTATTGATCAGAGACACATTGGAGCTCAATGACCGCCCCAGACCGGGACGACGTTCCGTTGCGGAAGAAGCTGCAAAGCTCGAAGCTGCTTGTTCTGGTGGCGAGATCGTCGGGGAAGTGATGGTCGATGCAGAGCCGATACCTCCGCATTTCAAAAAAGAACTGTAAGACCTTTTCGTGGCTTGAGAGGAAGGCGTCGAAACCGAGGATTGACTTTGAATTGCTGGGTCAGAGCCATTGTGATAGTTTGATGCTAAAGAAGCAGTGTCCAAGGGTGCAACCACTTCGCCCGTCTGGTTTTGACCGCCAGAATGATGAACAGCGCTAAAGATCTTGAGCATGCGACTTTTGGATGATTTTTTTTTAGTGGATGGTAGCTCGGCTGCCTTGGTGTCTTTCACTGTATAGTTGACAAAAACCATTTCACCCTTTTTGGGTTTCGACTTCGAGCTTCGTTTGCCACCACCATCTAGCTGTACGTGCTTGGGCGTGGTCATGATATTGATGTTACTACCGGACGGGGCGCAATCGCTTTTCGAGTTTGGGTTGAAGCTCGACTCAGAACTACCATTGCCGGTAAAAGAGCCTGATTTACGGTAGTAATGAGGGATCTTCCACTTGCTGACAGCTTCTACAGGTGTAGAGCACTGCGAGCTAGCGTTGGAGCTCTTGGAGGTGCTCCCGTTTCCTCTGTAGCTTCTCATACACTAGTCTGGAAGTCGAATCGAGACACGTGTTCGTCTAGAGTGACACACTAAAGGCTTTTGATTGGAGACGAAACAAGGCCTGAAAGCACTTCTTTGAGCGAGTGTCACACTTCAATAGCTATTGGGCGCGAGGTATCTTTTTCTGCTTGGAACCTGTCCACTATCTCCGAATTAAATGGCCTTCGGGGAGCAATTTAAGTCAGATTTCGTTTTAAACCTTAAATTGGGAAATTTTTGGCTGCGGAAGCTAACAGGGTGCTTCAGTAGGATCACGTAGCTGTTGAATGGCTCCTAAAAGATATAAATGGTCCCTGAATCGCCGATTTCGTGCACAGATTTTGACAATTTCTGAACTGGAGACTGCAACTTGGGTACTTTGGGCTGAAAAAAACCGAGGTGATTACGGTGCATCATTCGTCTCACTCTTAACGAATACATCGTCAATAACGCCTTGTTGTTAGCTGGAGATGCAAGTCTAACCAGATGATTGAGCTTCTAAGCCTTGCAGAAGCCACAAGGGCTTGGGAATGCCCACTTCGCTATCCACGTCAAAACCGGTTCAGCAAAATTTTTTGCATCATATTATGAGAGTACGTTTCATGACGGTAGATATTCTGTCCAAGGCTCAGCATACCTTGTGCCTCGAAAAATCATGTACATAAGATGAGTACCAAACTCATGGCGTCCATGAGTGCTCGAAATTCAGTTTTGATCAATGAGGCGTAAGGTCTTCCCGCTGTGATCACTTTGTACTATTCAGACATTTTGAAAAGGGTGCGCATAATACGATGGTATCAATACTCAACATGTGAGATCAAAAACGGAATAAAGTGAAGCAGATAGAAGGTAGAGCTGGTCGTAGAAGGACTCGACAACTCTTTCAAAGTGACTTCCTTTCTTCAAGCAATATTCGTCTCTTCAGCCAGAAGATATGTCGAGGTTAGCGTCATTTTCTACGTTTTTAAGCATTAGTTAGCCGCCCAGGTGTAGAAGGTTTCATTTTGCCGGTCTCATCGCCAGCTGAACGCATGGCAGCTGCTTCTCATCCAGTTGAGACCTTCAAGATCAAATAATTTATCTTTCCTTAAATTTCCTCCTTTTTATAGATAGGGTCAGTTGTGCAGGGTCAGTTGTGCAACTAAGATAATACTATTTGGAAAGTAATGGACACCTGCTCGCGTTTGTCACGGCCGTATGTTCCATGTTTTATCGGCCGCTACTATTCACACCTTAATCCACTATGCTACAAGTAAGCGTAGTTGTTTGTAAGTTTGTCACAATCAATACGAAAGTACGTACAACTATAGCACGTCTCTGGAGTGTCCTATTTTACAAAGCACCTAAGAACTATTTTGAACATGAATATTATACAGCAGGTCGCCTCAGTCAGCCTTTACGCATTAAAACCTCAGCCCTAGTGACACCAGGTAGCTCGTGCGAAGTTCTAGCTCTGTCTATAGAATAACGGGCATCCAGCTCATTCGAACTGCGCATTTGTTCTCGTGTCCTATCAAGCGACGTTCTAGTACTAGAGACACGGCGGAATCTACCCGGTGAAGTGTCCGTACTTTGAATGAAGTTCATAGGAATATCTTCGGTGATGACAGTGTCGCGGGAAATGGCATTGTCATTAACTCTCGCATGGAGATGATCAAGGTTGTCGCCAAGCGCGTTATCGTGAAGTGTAGTTCTTGATCTGTCGACCTTAGGTCTATCGGGGTCTGTTGGATCATAATCGATTGGATATTGGTCGAAGTGACCCTGCAACCAGTATTCACGGATAATATCAATATCTTTAGGAAAGAACATTTTTTGCATGACGTCAAAAGTGAAACGCGGCAATAGGCAAAATAGTATCCCTACAAATAAAACAGCCCAATACATTGGAGAGCCAAATACGTTCGCTGCGCCTTTGTAAAATGTTCCACTAGTCACAAAACTTGACCAAATTCCTGTCCATCCGAAAAGAATGAGGCACGAAATTGCTATGAAAAGTGACGAGAACCAATCCCATCTGTACTGGTGAATGAGAACGTACAAGTTGCAGGACATGACCGCTATACTTGCAACCACAATACCGACGAAATACCTGTGGTCCAAATCCAAGCCAGTAGCTGTCACTAGACCAGTCTTGTAATATACCAGATACGGGAAGAAGAAACAGATAACTGATTGATAGAGCCCATCGAGCATGTACCACCAAAATTTTTTCTGAGTCCATTCAGTTCTCAAGATACCGACTCGGTATAGCTGTGGCACTAGTACTGACACAACATCATTTACATCTTGATCAAAAATACCCATAAAAATAACAGGGAGAGAAGTAAACGCGAGATTGTAGAACATCAGGTAGGTATATTCAAACAGATAGGAACCATCATAGTTGCTGTATATCCCAAACCAAAATAATGCAATTGTAAAGATTGCATTTTTATAGAAAAAACTGGGGATCATTTCCGCGAGTCGCTTATAGGACCATCTTCCATGAACCAAAATAAGTCTCGTCAGAAACCTGAACTGTCCAATTGCATAATCCGAAGACATGACGGCTTGGCGGCCCTCCTCTCCTGCTATACCAACTCCGATGTCAGCAGACTGGATCATGGCCACATCATTGGAGCCATCCCCAATAGCCAAAGTCATTACATCTAGAGAATTCTTCACCAGCTTAACGACAGCGGCCTTTTGAGCAGGTGATACTCTACAACACAAAACGGCCTTGCAGTTTTTGCACAGCAGCAAAAACCTGCGAGCAATATCATCATTTTCGAACGCCATCTTCAAAGCATCTCCATCTATAATAACACCAAAATTGCCCTCAGGAGGGTGGTGTTCTTTTTTCGCTGCTTCTAGCTCTTCGTAAGAGCCAGTCAATCCGAATTTCTCGTTCAAATGCTTATCAATCATAGATTCAACAATTTCAAAAGGTGTTCTACCGACCGTTTCAACATCCTCACCAGCAGTCTTTATCACCAAAAGCTCCATATCACTGTTGAGCAAGTTACATGAGAAGCCAATATTAATGGCTGTCTCGACTTTATCACCAGTCAGAACCCAGAGCTTAATACCAGCTTCGCCTAAAATGCTGATAGAATCAGGAACACCATCTTGTAAACGATCTTCAATGGCTGTTCCACCAAGAAGAGTCAGCTCCCTCTCAATGCTATCTGCTACCTTTTCCATTTCTTCTTCTCTTTCGGTTAAAGATGCTGCAGCAATCTCGTAGGAACGATTCCATTCCTCGTATTCTTTCCAGGAAATCTCTCTTTGACCAATACACAAAGTTCTTAAACCTTCCGTGGCATACTGCTCAAGGTGCAGAGCTGTCTTTTCTAGTAATGTTTCATCTTTCTTTCCACCTCCCCTTCTTAATCTTGAGTAAATAATGGAATCAGCCCCCTTACAAATCAAAAGTGCCCTTGGGGGTGAATCAATACTAACGCCAGGCAATTTCACAATGCAACTCATTCTTTTTCTGGTAGAATTGAACTCCAAAATGTTAAGAATTTGAAATTCTTTCTTGACGCCCTGTACTTCAACAATTAACCCAGTCTTGGTCTTTCCGGCAAAAGCAAAACCCATTTCCTTCGCTGTACCTACAAGTGCAGCTTCATCGGGAGACTGAGCTTGCAACTCCAATTTGTCCGGATTTTTTTTGGATTTTTCTACTAGAACGGAGTGGCAAAGTGCCAATGCAAGCATAAAGTGCTCATTGCAACTTTTTTGATAATCCCCACTGGCACCTTTGAGATCACGCACAATTTCCTTCGAAACAAACGTCAAAGCCTCGGGATCAAATTCAGATCCAGGGCTTATGGCCTGCAAATCTTGAATCATGATTTGTTTGTCTTCCGCAATAGCCGCGCGTTCAATAGCGCCCTCTGCCTCGACATCAATACCTTGCCTTTTGCGCAACCCTGCCAACGCTTCGGTGTAAGCTCTACCGTATGAAATACCGTTTATTGTGCACTTTTTGAATTCCATGACATTTTGAGTTAAAGTTCCTGTCTTGTCGGAAAAAATGTACTCGATTTGGCCTAAGTCATCAGAAATATTCCATGACTTTGGTGTACACGGATAGTCCAGCTTTTTGTAATACAGCAAGACATCTCCATATATGAAAGCAGCTTGAGCTGTCTTGATGATTTCCACAGTGATGTAGAGGGAGATGGGTACCAGAGACTGATATAGAATAACAGCAACCCAAAACGAAACAACTCCGTTAGCTGCTGGAGTACTCGCGACAGTTCCAAATTCAAAATAGTCTCTGGAAACGTTCTGTTTTCGGTAATAAATACCATTGACCAGACCAGAAACAAGGCACAAAACAAACAACAGCACAAAATTCATGATAACAGAATAGTTCAATTCTCTTGCGATTCTTGACCTCTTAGTAGGAGTGACGCCTGAGTTTAGCATAATCTTCGAGTCCTGGCCAGTAAACACAACTAAACCCATTGCCCACTTGGTATTTCTCAGGAAACATCCTCTAAGAAGAAGGTTGTTGATGTTTACGGGCTCATTTTTTAACCGATTGTCTTGGCTATCCACCCATTTCAGATTACCTTGATATGTGTACAGGTTGCTATGAGGACCTTCACTTTCTAACCAGAACTTGGTTCTGGTGACATCTCGAGAGTTTCTTATATGATGCGAGCATCTAAGAGATTGACGGACTTTCAAATTCGTTTCACCATCCAAGTTTTTGGTCTCCACATAACAAGCACCGTCTGCATCTGACGAAGACAATAAAACAACGTCTGCTGGGATTTCGTCATCGTTGTGAATACGGATAATGTCACCAACTTTCACGCTCTTCCAATAATCCTTAGCAAATTTACAATCTGTTCTGGGTGTCATGTTCTGGTCTATCAGGGTAGTTTCATCAGAGGTCACCAGCTGACCAACAGTATCATAATCCAAAGAATCACGGCCGTAAGCCCCCGAGGGTCGGTAACTACCGACTGTATCTAAGGAATTACGAGGCGTGGCACCGCTCATTTTATGATGCTCTTCACGTTTCCGTTGGGCTTCGGCGCGGCGAGCTTGTTTGCTGAATGTTGACTTGCAAAACCGAATAAACTGGAAAAGAACTCTAGAATTGGCTTTTTTGAATTTTCTCCAAGTTGAGACGTTATCTTCAGAAACGTTAGGATTAGTGATGCCCGATAAGATATGAGTCGTTGTGTTATTCACCTCCATATCCAATATAGTACGCTGCGAATCTTCGATAGCATCTTTTATGGCCGTCAGCACTACAATCACAATAAGTGGCACTGTTTGTAGTCCTGGATTAGTGACACCGAAAATATCCACAAACCCGAGGATAATCATAATCAAAAAATACACATTGGCAACATTTTGGAATTGCAGCATCAGATTTTTGGGGATAAATGACAGTGCGGTGTATTTGGTGGTTCTAATTTTGTTACGTGGATAATCCACGATGGGTTTTCCTTCTTCGTCGAGATACTCTTCCGGCAGTGGCATGTTATAATAGACGAAGCGCAGCTCTGCAGAACGATTGCTGCTGTCTTGGTCATCGCTGTGGCTCGAACTGTCAGCATCGTTGTCCGGTTTCTTGTCGTCCTCAAACGGGTTATGAAAGTTTTTTTTAGCCCACCGGAGCGTCTTAGCACGCCCGACACTGGGCGTGCCCTTTTTATTACGTTTAGTACCCCACCGCATCCGCTTCAAGCCCTCTGAATTATTGTCGTCAGCGTTTTCGTCTTTAGCACTGCCAACGGGGCCCTGAAACTGATTCAGTTGAGCGACTCTTGGCGTCCCCGTGAACGAGTGTGAGTCGTCACCATCCGACTCCAGTGAGAGCTCTTCAAATTCTTGCGGTTTGTCGCTGTCAGCAAACGCTATCTTCGTGCCTGTCTTCTTTTTATTCTGGCCTTGCCGTCTCATAATTGATCCGCCCTTGGACGCTGTCGAAGGAACTGACGACGGCGCATTTCCGCTGTTATCAAACACGCTGTTGTCTAGCGTCACGTCGTCCATATTTTCAAATTGGAAGCGATCGTGGAATGGCGAAGAAGGATTCTGGTTCGCCCTGTCGCCGTTGTGAAATGATGGTTTGGGACGAAACGTGTTATTCTCGTCCGACATTTCACACTATTCAGCCTGGAATGTCTTCTTTACTTGAGCAATGTCACGGTTAGGACGCTTGATGGGCTGAATAAAGCTTCTTCAGCGGCGGCGCGAAATCCGGGATACTACTCTGAGGGTTTGAGTTCTTTCATATTTATTTGTCATTTTTGCAAGGTCCACTATATAGCCGAAAAATTTCATAAATAACGTCCGAGAAGCCGGAGAAGAGTACTAACTGTGATAGAATGGCTTTGATATCATAGCTGATAATTTTGGCTCAAGCTACTAAATGCTGGCAGTATTGGGGCCGAATGGCAGGCTATTATCAACAAAATGGGATACGGAAGAGATGATAAACATCAATCGTTGTATACGAGTGTGCTATTTCAAGCCTGTTTAGCACCAAAAGGAAGAGCCAGTCGACTGGCTATTCTAGAGTGCGAGAAGGCCGTCATATCCACGACTCATGTTGCTGTACATGCTATTTCACGGCTTAACTTTATCTGTTACCTATCTCATTTAATACGGACCTAACGTGCTCATCAACTCTTCAGAGCCAAAGTTTTGTTGGGACAGATCAAGAGGTGCTAGGGCCATCTGTTACAGATTGTTTACTTTTGGGAGGTGTCGATATTTACCTATCCACTTTTCTGGAAGGCACTCAAAAATAAAAAAAGTGCAGTTTCGGCAGCGAGGCTTATCATTTTTTAATTGTCGCAGGAAGCTTGCGCCAGTTTAGCTTCAGTTGCAATGCAAAGTGTTGATCTTTTCCCAGAGTAAAATTTTTTAGCTTCAGACATGTCCTGGTGCCGGCTCTCGGATGTGGAAAGTGGAATAACTCTAGATCATCAGATGCGGATGTCAAGGACCCTCATTTCTGAGCGGGCCGAATGCAATACAACAGTATCTGTTTATAGGGCTTGGCATATGTTAAAGTTTCTCACCAGACAGTGAAAATTTTTTATCACTTTGTTCCTTTCCGACACGAAATTATTGTAGAAGCTGAGACGTTGGGTAACCAACAGCAGCTAGCGAGCTGTGTTTCGCATCTCGCAAAATAACATTCGAAGATCAGTAAGAATAGTGACTTAGCGTTGCGGGCTCTAGCAAAATATAGGAAACCACAGGTCATGCAGGCAATCACATCTGCAGCGACTGTTCTTTAAAAACTAATATTAATTAACCTTACAAATGACAAATCCAGCAATTGTCAACAGAACCATACGGCTCCCGCGCATACAGTTAGGCTGTCTATTAAGGGAAGACCTTGGGTGGTTCCCCTTGCTGTATGGCATTCGAAACTTGTATTTTTGGAGTTTAGCGTAGAGTGACATATGCATCCCCCTCAGTCGCCTGCATTTCTCCCACAAGACAGATCTCTACAGCAAGGCCGGTCCATTTCCACTTCAGCTTGTGCTTCATGGGCGGTTGTCCCAGTGAAACATTCTATCACGCTGCTAAATTTGCGTGTGTAGCCCACTCTTTGAATTTCAATACTTCTTATCCATATTTGATCTAAATAGCTCCTTACTTTCATTTTCGGCTTGCATATTGTTTCGTCCACTCGCGGGCTTTGGCGATGGCTTCGTCCTCATGTTTTAGCCAATCTTCAGCAACGTCGTTAGCCAATGGGTCATTGGGGTTAGGACTTGCAAGGAGCGCTTGAACGGATAAGAGAACGGTTCTTATCTGTAATGCTGGAGACCAGTTCGCTTTCAGCACGTCCAGACAGATTCGTCCCAGCCGATCGATATTAGGGTGGTAAATTTTGGTCAAGAAACGCACTTTGGGAGCCTCCATGGGATAGTCATCAGGCAAAAAAAGCTCCAGCTCAAAGACGCCATCTTCATACGGAGACTGCTGAGGGCCCTCTATAGTTACTTGAAAATATCTCAAGTTATCCTCATGTGGTACAGCATTTATGCCAGGAACAGGATCGAGAACTAAACGTTCTGTTTCCTAACAAAAAATCAGGTTAGTAAGTACGATAAAGGCTAGCGCGCTAACACGAAGCTCACAGGTGGAACAACATACTTTGATAATTCTCTTGGGGAGTGACGCCATCTTTTCTTAACTCATAAATTTTGATAAATTACTGTTCTCTTGCGGGATAGTGCTTCTCTTTTTTAATATTTTAAAGTAAATTTCGTGCGCTATCAAAGGCGATCGTTACGCATAGAGAACACATGGTAAAGACCTCGTCAACTAACCTAGAGTTTTGTTATCATCTTCGTAGTTGCTGGAAAACTCAGTTTCGTTCTTATATATTTTCTTGGATCTCTAAATCACAGATAAATGAGAGCATCCGTTATTGAACTCGATACCCTAAGGCTTCAAAAAGCTTTTTAGCGGTTGGCGCATTAATCTCGACCTCTTTGCTACTCATACAATTCATATTTGATTCGGAGGTGCTGCCCATACTTCAATTTCTGCACCCGAGTTTGTAGCATGTCTTACTGTAAGCCAGGAAGATATGAGCTGATGAGGCAATTATTCGAACGTGGTTCAGGGGATTGCAGCGTACTGTTCAAAAATACATTTCTTATCAGATGTTCAATCATCAAACGCTTTCATAGGCAGTTTCGAACCTCTTTGAGTTTTGTCTGGTCAAGGCGGTTGTCGCAATTTCAAATTGCCAAGTATTACCTTACCATGCTTCTCACGTTCGTTTCTTACTCAAGTCCAACATGAGACCCTCCTAGAGTGAACAACGTACGGTTGAAATCAGCAAATTTGACTAAAGAATTGAAACTACCTATAAGACCAAACAATAATTACATAGAGAAAGAGAGGGTCAGGGAAATTTCGCCAAAACCAAGAAGAGAGCAGATAAGTAACCATTAAAAATCATTTGCGAACGATCGAATGCAGATATTTGAAATTGAACACGAAGAACAACTGGAAGTAAAAAATAACATTCGTCAGAAGCCCAGTCTGCTTTAACAGATTTCCTTCTTTGGTTTAAGCTCTCGTTACAGTAGCATATCCCAAGATGAGACGATAAAATTAACAAAAAAACGTTATTTTCCCACAATTTTATTTAAAAAAAGAATACGACGTGTTGTGTCCCAAAAAATGTTACAACTGGTCAAAACCTTAAACTTGCTCAGCAGCAGACTCAGGTTGGACTTGAGCATCTTGATCTTTCTTGAAAGAGTCGTAAGCAGCAAAAGCTTCCTTGAAATGTTGTTCGAACAATTCGTCGTTCTCTAGCAATGGAACAACTTCTTGAGGTGGCAAATCCAAGATCATACCGGTGATCTTTCCAGCAGCCTCTTCATCCTGAGTGTTGGCAGACACCTTTTTGTACAATTGTTCACCCAAAGCTTGTCTTTGCTTTTGGTGGAAAAACTGGTTACCATTTCTTGGGAATCCACCTTGAGGACCTTGAGGAGGAACACCGTACATAGGGCCATTTGGTCTACCAAATTGCTGAGGAGGAACACCATTCTTTGGCATGCCACCCATGGCAGCCATTTGTGGAGGGTTTGGACCGTTGAAAGGAACGCCTCTTGGAGGCATGACACCGTAGAACATTGGTTGCATGAACTGACCTGGCATGCCGGCAGCGGCGGCAGCAGCAGCAGTGGCTTGTTGGAATCTCATTTGGTTTCTGGCTTGAATTTGTTGAGCCAACTGAGAGCGTCTCACTTCCTTTCTTTGAGCGATAGCAACGTAAAGGGGCTTACCAGCAACAATTTGTTGGTTCTTTTCGGTGATGGCTTTAGTGGCCTCTTCTGGAGCCGAGAAGCAAACGAAACCAAAACCTTTAGAGCTTCCAGCATCGTCTCTCATAACCTTGACAGAAGTGATGGTACCAAATGGAGCAAACTCTTCTTGCAGCTTTTCGTCATCGACAGAGTCGTCCAAGTTTTTAACGAACAAGTTAACACCTTGGTATTTGGCCAACTTTTCCATTCTTGAAGATTCGTATTGCTTCTTCAATTCCTGCAAACGTTCGTATTTCTTTTGAGCACGGCCAACATATAGCTTTTGGCTCTTGAAGTCGGTTTCGTTCAACTCATCCACAGCCTTCATGGCAGCATTGTGGTCTTCGTAGTTAACAAAACCGAAGCCTCTTAGCTTACCTTCAGAATCAGTTTCCAAGACAGCGGAAGTGACAGGGCCGAATTGAGTAAACAACTGTTCGAATTCTTCTTGAGTAGTTTCAGGGTCGACGTTCTTAACGTAGACGTTGGTGAAGTTGGATTTCACTTCGTCCAATTTGGATTGACGGTCCTTTTTGGAGACGTGTGGAGCAACGTAAACTTCCAAACCGTTCAACAACATACCATTGATGGCGTCAATGGCCTCTTTGGCGGCTTCTTCTTCTTCGAAATGCACGAAACCGAATTTTCTGGATTTTCCAGTCTCATCCGTGGCGATTTTACAGGACAAAATGTTACCGAACACGGAGAAAGTGTCGTGTAGGGCTTTGTTGTCAATAGCTGGGTGCAGGTTCTTAATGAAAACGTTACCAGAGCCCTTCTTTCTTAGAGAAGGATCGCGCTGGGACCACATGATACGGCAAGGTCTGCCCTTGATAGGGTGGTAGTTCAACTTTTCGATGGCAGTTCTACCGGCGTTGCTGTCGTGAAAGTTAACGTACGCGTAACCCAAAGAGGTCTTGGTGATGGCATCACGGCAAACACGGATCGAAGAGACAGAGCCAATTGGCGAGAAAATGTCGTACAATAGAGCCTCGGTGACACTAGGGTCCAACTCACCAACGTACAAGGATGCGGAGGAGTTTTCCACTTTGGCGGATTCAGAGTCAGCAGAAGTAGGCTCAGTCTCTGGCTGCTGGTCCTCTTGGATTTGCAGCTTTTCTAGCTGTTCTACAGTCTTATCGGTAACGTCAGACATTATGGTACTATGATTTTCTGCTCACTGGAGAGGTTTTCTAAAAATTGGCTTTCTTGTAAAATGAAAGACAGACCAATTGGAAGATGAACAAAAAAACACTATGGCAAACAAGAGCTTTGAGAAAGTACTTGGGTTGAGCTAAGTGCTGTAGTTGTTGTTTTTTTTGGCTTTTTTTGAAAATAAACCGGTGGGAAATTGGTTTTTTTGCGAGTTTTTTGTTTTTTAGGGTTTTTAAGTACTGTGGCCAAACTGTGCTAGTTCGAGTAACTTAAATTCAAAAAACGGCGTGGGATTTTGGTGGCTAGTGGATCGCTAGTTCTTTCAAACAAAATTTGAAGAAGAGTAGTAGATCGGAATGATAGTTAATTTAACTTTTAAATCACTGATGCTCATCTCCTGGAAAAAAAATTTTCACCACAAAAAAAAAGATGTGCTTGGTCATATAATACGGAAAGGTTGGTCAGCCTACGAATAGCCGCCAATGTTTCCGCACTAAACATGACTTGTAGCTCTCGACTAAGAGCTTCAAGCCAGTACATAGCTTTTGAGATGCTTCTGGAAAAGATACCAGGATCATTTAGAGGTGCTTGGGATTCTTAGCAGAGGTTTTAGAGCTCTGAGTGCACCTCGGCGGTTAATAAGACATTTATTGTCGCCAACAGAAGTCTTCGCAGTTTGTGTTTAAAAGGTTCGTTATTAAACTTGAAGCGCTGAGGTCTCTACTCCTGTGCTTCCGTGTGCCTTTCTGGCACTATTTTGGAGCAGAAATTAGAAATGCGAACACGGCCCCAACAATTTTCAGAGAATATGCCTTTGAGCTACATTTTGTTAGAGAAGAGACAATTACGATCTTCTCAGGACGCGGTTCGCTTTGCTTGAATCCGTGGCGACGATAGCCTTGCATGTGTCGAATGGTCAATTATTAGTGTCCTGTCCACACCGTAGGGCAGCGAAGAGGTAAGCAAAAGTTATGAGAACAAAGTCTTGCCACCCTAACGTTTTTTGATCATTAAACGTAGCTGACGGATCATAAGCCAACTCACATAAAAAATACCCTGTTTCTTAACTGCGATTTTTAGAGGTTATTAAGCGGTTAAAACAGCCTTGTCTAGGTCACCGCATCTGCCTTTCTGGGAATACTCAGAAGACCCACTTTGTGGAGAATCTGTACCCGCCTGCCACTCAAAACTCACAATTTTATTTCCATCATTGGAACCGTAAATCAAACGCCAAATTTGAGTGATTTACACCAATATAATCTTACCTTGTTAGTTTTTGAGTGCTTTTAAATGTATCTTTAGTGGCTTTAAACAACAGTCGGTTGCCAAGCACTGCGCGTATCGTCTTGAAATATACTCTCGGAGGTTAACCAATCAGACACGAAATACTAGCGGAGCTATTAGGACAGATTATACCCTGCTGCTATACCAGATCATCGCATGATTTTTGTGGAACTATTACCTTCCAGCCTCTTTGACAACACTACACGCTACTTGAGAACTTTCTGCTATAAAGGACGCTGGTGTGAATAAACTATCGAGAGCACATTTTAATAAAGATAAAATTGGCTTTTCAAGTTCAGAGGAAAAGCGGTTCTCAAAACTTGCAAGTTTAAAGTGTCACTGTGTTAGCTTGCAAATCTGTGGGAGAGCCTGAATACTGAATGAAGCCTCTTAGAAGTTGGCTAACAGCTCAGAACTCATGTAATAATTTCATTATCAAATACTAGACATGCTCGCCTTAAATGCCGCTGACTACTACGCCTCGGTACACATATTTATCTGCTTTATTTCAAGTTGTCTCTGTCATTTTAAACTTGAAAGGCTCGAACAAAAGTGATTTATTTAAGTACTCATCATAAATGAATACTTTCATAATCCAACAAATTACGTTGCTCTCCCTTGACTGATATCTATGAATCCATTGCGGCTTCTGCTACTAGGAGCTCCTGGATCGGGGAAGGGCACCCAAACTTCCAAACTCTTAAAACATTTCGATCACGTTAAATCGGTGTCGTCCGGGGACTTGCTTCGACAGCAGATTCGGCTAAACACAGATTTAGGTCATATAGCTGCTAAGTACATTGCGGAAGGTAAGCTTTTGCCAGATTCATTTGTCACAGGGCTTGTTCTTAACGAACTGAGTTCGAGAAGATGGCTTTCTTCAAAATCTACCTGGCTATTGGATGGGTTCCCAAGGACGGTCAGCCAAGCCAAATCTTTGCGCTCCGAACTCAAGCCACATGGGGCAACGCTCAACATGGTTGTAGAGCTGGATGTGCCTGAAAGTGTCATACTAGAGCGTATCGAAAATAGATACGTCCATGTTCCCAGCGGTAGAGTCTACAATCTAACCTACAATCCACCGAAAGTTGCTGGCCGAGATGATGTTACCGGCGAACCTCTCTCTAAGCGCTCGGACGACACGGCCGAGGTTTTTGGAGCAAGGCTTGCCAATTACCGAGAAACCTTGTCGCCATTGAAGGCTTTCTACTCCAAAATTGGTATCCTCCACAAAGTGTCAGGCGAAACATCAGACATTATATTTCCGCAGCTACTCGAACTTGTGCAAAGGGAGTTAACCAAAAATTGAATTACCCAAGCAGGCCATTGCATTCCTCTTTCATGAATTTTATTTGTCCTTCTGAAAATGTACTAATAAAACTACGATATACGCAAAACACACTGAATGAATTTGAATAACAAAGATCATATGCTATATCCCTTGGAAAAGGAGTGATTAAATGTCCGATACTTATTTTAGAGACAAAAGATGGTTAGTGAACTGGGATCAATAGCGCTATATTAGTATATATGGTCACGTGTGTGTTTTTGTTAATAATGTCATATAGTAGAAGATGAGATGAAGTGAACTTCTGTATTCCTGCTCCCAGCCAGCGTCACACCGAATAGATCGAACATACTTCAAGATGAAGTTCTTTATCGATGATTTGCCGGTGATTTTCCCGTATCCCAAGATCTACCCCGAACAGTATCAGTATATGTGCGATATCAAGAAAACTCTTGATGCTGGAGGCAATAGTATCTTAGAAATGCCTTCAGGAACAGGGAAGACTGTCTCTCTGCTGTCTTTAGCGGTGGCATATCAGACTCATTATTCGGAACACCGCAAAATTATCTACTGTTCTCGTACTATGTCTGAAATCGAAAAAGCGTTGGTTGAACTGGAGTCATTGATGGATTACAGAGCCAAAGAACTCGGATACAGAGAGCAATTTCGCGGTCTGGGGTTGACCAGTAGGAAGAACCTCTGTCTAAATCCAAAAGTTCGCAAGGAGAGGAAAGGTACGGTGGTCGATGAAAAATGTCGCCGGATGACCAACGGTCAAGAGAAACGTAAACTCGAGCAAGACCCCAATGCAAATGTCGAGCTCTGCGATTTCCACGAAAACTTGTATTCTATGGAGCCCGAAAACTACGTCCCCATAGGTGTCTACTCTTTTGAAAAGCTAATAAAATATTGTGAAGAAAGAACGATGTGCCCGTATTTCACTGTACGTCGTATGATTTCTATGTGCAACATAATGATTTACTCCTATCATTATCTTTTAGATCCCAAAATTTCAGAAAGAGTGTCTAGGGAGGTCTCCGGAGATGCCATTGTGATCTTCGACGAAGCTCATAACATTGATAACGTTTGCATCGAGTCGTTGTCACTAGACTTGACAAATGATGTTCTAAGGCGTGCCACCAAGGGTGCTAATAACTTGACGGAAAAAATACAGGAAGTGAGGCAAGTTGACTCTCAAAAACTACAAGACGAATATGAAAAACTTGTTAATGGGCTTCGCGCTCACGACATGTTAGGTACTTCAGAGGAACCTCCTGTAGAATCACCAGTACTTTCTCAAGATTTACTGACGGAGGCAATCCCCGGTAACATCAGAAGAGCCGAGCACTTCGTGTCATTTTTGAAAAGATTTATCGAATACTTGAAAACGAGAATGAAGGTTTTGCACGTAATTTCAGAAACGCCGAACTCATTTCTACAACACTTGAAACAGCTCACTTTCATTGAAAAAAAACCTCTTAGATTCTGTTCTGAGCGTCTGTCACTTCTAGTAAGAACTCTGGAAGTATCAGAAATCGAGGAGTTTAATGCTCTGAAGGATATCGCCACATTTGCAACCTTGATTTCAACCTATGAAGAAGGATTTGTGTTGATCATTGAGCCATACGAAATCGAGAATGCTGCAGTACCTAACCCTATCATGCGATTTACATGTCTGGATGCCTCGATTGCAATCAAGCCAGTTTTTGAAAAATTCTCCTCTGTGATTATTACATCCGGAACCATATCACCGCTGGACATGTACCCTAAAATGTTAGACTTTGAGACTGTATTACAAGAGTCTTACGCAATGACTTTAGCAAAAAAATCTTTCCTACCTATGATTGTCACCAAAGGATCTGACCAAGTTGCCATCTCTTCTAGATTTGAAATTAGAAATGATCCTAGTATTGTAAGAAACTACGGCTCAATGTTGGTGGAATTTGCGAAAATAACCCCCGACGGTATGGTCGTATTCTTCCCTTCTTACCTATACATGGAGAGCATTATATCTATGTGGCAAACAATGGGCATATTGGATGAGGTCTGGAAATATAAATTAATTTTAGTAGAGACCCCCGACGCTCAAGAAACATCACTGGCACTTGAGACGTATCGCAAAGCATGCTCCAATGGGCGTGGTGCGATTTTACTATCAGTCGCACGAGGTAAAGTTTCAGAGGGTATTGATTTTGACCACCAATTTGGGAGAACAGTACTCATGATTGGAATACCATTTCAATACACGGAGTCGCGTATATTGAAGGCTCGTCTCGAATTTTTGAGAGAGCACTATCAAATCAGAGAAAATGACTTCCTTTCTTTTGACGCCATGAGGCACGCTGCTCAATGTTTAGGCAGAGTTTTGAGAGGTAAGGATGATTATGGAGTCATGGTGCTTGCAGATAGGAGATTTGCTCGTAAGAAAAACCAATTGCCAAAATGGATAGCCCAAGGTTTATCTGATGCCGATGTTAATTTATCCACAGATATGGCCATTGCTAACACAAAGCAGTTTTTAAGAACCATGGCTCAACCGACAGATCCCAAGGATCAAGAAGGCGTTTCTCTATGGAGTTACGAACAACTGCTAAAGTTCCAAAATGAGCAGCAAAAGAAGGCACAAGGATTCGAGCCGGCTCCTGCTCAAAAAAGCAACAGCATTGAATTGGAAGACATGGAAGGAGACGTTCAAATGCAATAGAATTAGATGTCAACGAAAACAACGGCTTTATTGAAGTGTGAGTAGGTCAATATTTGACAGTTATTTTTATATATATTCAATGAATAATGTTACTGCACGCAAATTCCAAATGAAACTTCTTTGTCGGCATCAACATATGCATCGCTCACGCACCATAGGGTTAGAGTGTGATTGCCTTCCTCTTGAAGGGTTACCTCTAGATCATAAGTTTGTGATTCTTTGGCTAGAGAGACTTTCTTGATGGAATACAGCTCTTTTGTTGCTGTCTCTCCAGCTACTATCCACCAGCTCTCGTTTTTTGCGTAAGGGAGCCGTTCCGAAATTACCCGAAGGCTTTCAGGTTCCTCATCCCTTGTGAGAGTTACGGAGATTTTAAGTGGCTCTCCAACCTTCTTTTCGGCAGACTCCTCGATTGAATATGCAAGCTCAATATTTGGATACATGTTAACGAAATTCGCAATGGAAGCTAGTTGCTCAACATTAAATGTTAGCAACTCATCTCGTTCGTCGTCTTCCAACGCCATTATATCATACACTGTTTCAACCTTTCTCGCTTTACACTTTTCGACCATATCAAAATCGAAATATGGGACCTGCAATAGAGGACTATCGGTATCCCAAACACCTTGTACCAGCATCTGCGATAGGTCCATTGCAATAGTAGCATTTAAGTGTCCTTCTCCCGCCATGAAATCGACCATCGAGTTAACAAGAGCGGGGGCTTTTCTCAAGATGAAATCCATGTCTAGCTGCAATTCGTTTCTAAGTTGTAACCTCGAGAAGTGCGACTGTAGTAATACGAATGCTTTAAAAGCAGAGGACTCAAAGTTTGTGATCTTCGTACTTTTGACTGGGATTTTGGAATACAATGACTTCAATACATCGACATCAGATTCGCGAATTGCTAAAGACTCTAACTCCGAGGTACTCGCAAGAGCTTCCAAAAAACTTCTCAATCCAGACGCCTTCGACAAGAACTGGTGAAAGACCTGCATGCTGGTAAAAGAGGTGTTATAATGTGAACTTATTAAACAACCATTCAATGGAATCAAAGGGGAATCTTGCTCATCATCACTGTTGACATCTTGCATATCTTTATCGGTTTCCACTTCAATCATTGAGTAGTTTACTAGATCTTTGATGACCTCATCTACCACTTCAGTCAAGTAGGCGGATATGCCCATAGGCGACACATCTTTTACCCCATAATAACTTGGGTTCCCATGAATCCTTCTGTAGTATAGCGTGAAGGTTAACCAATCGATGCAGTCCTGCTTGGTCTCTATAACCCCAGTACTTACTTCGTTTGAGATTGCATCTGGTAAATGGTAGTACATAAAGCTTTCCACTGGCAGTGGTTCACTCAAAAACTTCTTGTAATACTCTTTCTTCTTGGTGCTGGTAATTATCAGTGCTTTATTTAGCTTAGGGCTTAAAGCCGCCACGCTGAGCATCTTTTGTACCTCATTCACAGTGTAATCAACAAAACGGTGCTCTTTTACTTCATAGTAAGATGTTCCTAGCAGCACCGCAACGTTGGATTTCAAGCCCGAGAAGTCAGCATCGCGCGCCACAATAAGCATTTTCAAGTGCCCGTCTTTGTACAATCTCTCTATTGTATACCGATCCTTAACATTTGTATCCCTAGAAAGAACACCAATTTTCCAGTTTATAGCTTCTTTTAAAATTTTGCTAGAAAGCAAAGCTCCACTTCGCTTAAGTGACTCATAATCTAGATGAACTGGTTTCTGAATGCGTTCAGTGCCAATTTTGATTAACTCGGCAACAATCTCCATGCAATGATGCTTTGATGAGGCAAAAATGGCCACCGGCTGATCTGTATGAGTTGACTGTAAAGAATCCACAAATATGGGCTGTAAGATTTCGTGGACTACTGAAGGAACCGTTTGCTGATCTGCAATCTGAAACTTGATTTGCAGAGGCAATTCTCGGTCTGTGGGTGAAAAGTTGTGAATGTTTTCTTTTTTGACTCCCATCCATTGTCCGAACTCCCTGCTGTTTGCTACAGAGTTGGCAATACCTACAACCCGAAGATCTGTTTCAAGCTGAGCTGTAATAAAGTTCATCCTCGAGACAATGTTTTCGTAGATAGCCCCAGAAATGCTATTACCCACCATATGTACTTCATCGAATATCAGAAGCGATATATTTTGAATGTTTCTCCTTTGCTTCCACCTACGTGACGCAACATCGAATTGCTCTGGTGTGCATAAAATCAAATGGCTTTTAGCAAGCAACCTGAGGTTGTTGATGTTGTCATCGTCAAACTTATTGATAATTTTTCCACCTGCTAAATCGCTGAACCTACTCGACCAAGCCTCTGAAAGATAATTAATTTTTTGCTGCGACGGACAGATGTAAATAGAGCGACCACCAGCTTGGCGCCAAAGATTGAACAGTGTCAACTCGGCCATGGTGACCTTACCACTTCCAGTTGCAGCTCCGATGAAAATGTTATCATTTGAATCATATAATGTTGAAAACACCTGGCTTTGAATTTTGTTAAAGTGAGTAAAATTGAGTGCTTTCATGAACTCTTCCGAATTCAATTCCGAAGTTGGAACTTTCTGTAGATCTAGAAGCGGGGTCGGAGCAGGAAACTTTTTGGGTAAACGAATTTCCTCTAGCAAAATCGGTATCTTGACTTCGCTAAGGATCCACCTTTCTGATACCAAACTAACGAAAAAATTCGAAGGCAAAGCCTGTTGTTGTATAGTATTCAAAATGATGGTGAAGTCCAAAAAATGCTCCTCGTTTGCATATCTTTCTTTCACTGTTAAGGCATCGGTATATAGCAACTTATCCCCCATCTCGTTTTCGACAAGTACCACAAACTTTTCACTAAAGCCATGAACTTTTGAATCCCATGTCCATTTTGGTGAGATTTCTAAGTCAAAATGTAATACACTAGGAGTCAGTGGTTGCACTGAACAGTTTAAGCTTAACCTCGGAAACTTTTTCAAAAGGTCATAAACAAGCTTGCCGTACTTTTCTGATCTGACCGCGTCGCCTACTTCACGAGGAGACGAAAGATGGAAGTAATCCTGCCAAGGTAAAAATGACGCTTCAGTGTGTCGTATAACCTCCATTGGACAACTTTTAAATTGTCTTAATGGTGAGTTGGTAATCCACATCCTCCTTTCAATCGATTTACAAAGAGTGAGAAGGGCTTTTGCTAACATCGGTATCCCTTTCTTTACACTAACCTCATACAGTGCCCTCATCAGACGTCCTGCGCTCTGCGTAATGTAAAGCATATCCGACTTCAATGCAAAACCGTCCAATTTAGTGCGAGAAATGTATGTCTGTAGTAAAATGTTGATTTTAGCCATTGGATCATCCACAGACTCTTGAACAGGGATGGGTGCTTTCTCTAAAAGCTTTTGCAGTTCCACCTTTTCCTCCTGTCTCACAGGAATGTACTTAAACTCATCAGATCTGGAAAAGATGCGCAAAATTTCAATTGAGGTCAAGTGCTCCGTTAGCATCCTATTGTATAACGAAATCGAATGAAACTTGATGTAGAAATATGAGGCAATTTTACCAAGCTCCGTGGGATAAATGGAGCCATTATTCGCGTCATAGACAACCAGGCTGTTGTTGTGAAGAAGCTCAAAAGCAGAGTGAGCTAATTCATCTCGATATTGATAAAGAAAGTCGTCATCGCCGCGATCACTAGGAACCTTGTACAAGTCTGGACTTTCTAGCATTCTTACAAATAAGTAGGTAAACCCAATCCAATCGACAGCCTCTTTCCTCGACTTTATGTTACCTAATACAACTTCGGAATTTATAGTATCTGCAAGCTTGGCCATAAGCTGAGATTCAATTGGTAGCTGCTGGTTTAGCATTGCAAGGTAGTATTGAATACTTGATTGTTGTGTTATGATTATCCCTTCACCGAAAGTATCGTACCGAGGCCTACCAGCTCTACCAAGCATTTGAAGCACATCCTGAGGAGACAGTCGAGTCCAAGTGCCCTTTTCGGGTGAATAAATGTCAGTACCCTTGATGATTACAGCGTGAGCCGGCAAATTCACACCCCAAGCCAGCGTGGCAGTAGATACAAGGACGGACAAGAGACCATCTGCAAAAAGATCTTCAGAAAGTGACCTATCTGATTTTGTCAAACCTGCATGATGGAGTCCAAACCCAAATTGAAAAAGCTCAGCTAAACATTTATCAGATACATTATCTGCTTCTCTTCGCACAATTTCCTTGGATCCTGGCTCAGATTTGACGAAGTGTATCAATTTATCTTCCTCCACCAATTTTTGCTTAATCCAAAGTGCTGTTCTCGCCGTGTCTTTACGAGAATGGACAAAGACAATTGCTTGGTGTCCTTGCTTTACAACTTCCAATAGTTTATCATAGCAGGCTTGATTCATTGCATTGACTCTTTTCATACCGTTTGTCTCGGTGACTCCGCAGAACTGTTGTGCCAGTGGACAAGGTCTGAAAGAGGAGTCAAAGTAGAACAAATTTTCCTGGGGTACGCGCAAAAAACGACCAACATCCGCATAATTAGGGAGCGTTGCGGACAATGCCACAATTCTCAATTTCCCTGCGGACCGCGTATTGCGAAGGCTTCTTGCAACAATGCTCTCCAAAACCGGGCCTCTTTCGTCATGCAAAAGATGAACTTCATCAATGATGAGAAGCTCCACAAGATCGACCATAGTGCTATCTTTTTTCCGCGTAATAATATCCCATTTTTCGGGTGTGGAAACAAGCATAGTGGATTGCGCAATTTGTTGCCTAGTAAGACTCGAATCGCCGGTGAGTTCTTCTACCTTTATACCAAAGGCAGCCAGTCTTCGTTGAAATTCCCTTACCTGCTCCTGAACCAATGCTTTAAGCGGCGCTATGTAAACCATTTTGAATCTTTTTAGATCAAAAGTTCCCGTATTGCTGTCTAGGTGGTGTGACAGTGTTCTCAAAACTGTAAGCATTGCAATATTTGTCTTTCCTGACCCAGTAGGTGCGCATATTAACATGTTATTATCGTTTCCAAACGCAGATGGAAATACTTCTGATTGTATTCGATTCAAGTGTGTTGTTTCAGAAGAAGGGAAAGCATCTCTTGCCCAGATGGGGAGATCAGTTATTGGTACTAATTTGAAATCTTCCGATGGCCGAGTGGGCGCGGGTATGTGAATTTCCTCATAACTGTCTTTGACCCTTTTGAAAGAATCAGTTGGTAACATCACACGCGTGGTACTTAGCAGTTCGGACCCCTGGTCAAACGCAAGGTCCTGCAAATTGACCGTGTTGGGTATAGTTGCTTTCTTTTGCTTTCTTGGCCTCGTATCTTCTACATGGATGCCATTCGGCACATCTGAGATAAGCTTCCTTTTGTGATTAGTCTCCCTATCTTCATATTCGTGAACCAAATCATTAAGGTTAAGCAGAAGCATTACCTCTAGAAGTTGAGCCCTACGTTGAACGGAGGCTCCTGAAATTTGTGTTCCCCAAAAAATTGAAGCGCTATTTTTGGAAAGCATCTTTATTAAAGTGTGATGCCGGAGATCTATATGTTCCGCTAATTTGCTTTCCATGTTTGATGTGCTGGATTCCGAGCCTAATATTTCCATCAACTTATTGCAGAGCGTTTGAATGTCTTCCTGATCTTTCTTATCTAACTTTGAAGAAATTAATCTAAAAAGGTAAAGCTCGTCAACGTTATAAATCGGTATGTTTTCAACGGTGTCTCCCGCATCCCTGCCGGCCAGGGATAACGTCACAGTGTCATCTGTACCATTTGTATCACCAACTAAGATAGTAGAAGTATTATGCTCTAGTCTCTGGTCAGAGTTCTCCTGTAATTCCTCCTCGACCTCACTTTCTTCAAGCTCATTCATCAAAGCGTTGTCATTGTCATTATCACCTAGTTCTTCGTCACTGGCCAAAATTGCAACACCGTCTTCATTTATATCATCTATCTGCTCTGATTGATGAAAGTCACTTATTTGCTTGCTTGACTCCACAATTTCGCGGAACTGTGAATTTGAGATTGGAACAGAAAGAATATCTTGTATTTTTGCCATCTTTGTATCCATATCGGTGCCCTCTTCATTTTTTTTGCCCTTAAGTACTTGAAGTACATAATCTGTCGCAGAAAGAATAACATCATGAGGTATGTCGTCGCCTAAAAGCTCTGCCACCATTTGTACTATCGTGTCATAGTACCTTGCGTTCGACTCGTCCGAGGGAAAGTAGTTTAATTTTTGCATCCCATCGCCGCTCAAGATGGTCGAGTTCGTAAAGTTGCGTTTTTCTTTGGTAGACCTGTTTTTAAAGGCAGATTTTCGACCATCAACTTCTTTTCTGTAGGTCTCTTTCTCGGCGCTTGTAGCTTCTGGTTTGACGAGCTGTCCCATCTCTTTAACAGATATTCTGCCTACCATAGACTTTGGTTGTGACTGTGCAGCGTCTTTCATTGGATCTGAACGTTGCGAATGCAGCGATCTGTCTGCTCTAAGCACTTTATTGGACATCTCATCGTACCGGTATAATTCTCGTATTTTTTTGTCCCTCTCATCGCCATTTGTTTGAGACATACTTGGTATAGTGTCTAATGATTATAGGCGAGGCTCAGCGATGCTAACAAGACTTCTTCTTCCCTGTTTTGATGTTTCTATGATACTTCCAATAAATTATTGACATTTTTTGAGATGAGTTAAGTATGTGCTTGAGGACGAGACCGCCCCGCATGTTCAAAATCATATTCTGTAGATCAACTCATAAGCAGACTTGAAAGAATACCCAACAGGCACTTAAGCCTGTTAGAGGTGACTTCCAGTGAAACTTTACTATATTGTGCTGAATTTGCAGCTTCACCGTTATTACATGACAGTGATGAAACCGCGATTGAAACGCAGTCTGAGCTCACTAAGTTCACAGATCAATGAATCACGAGAATCTACATCACCGAGAAGATCAGATGTGCGCGTCAATAAAAGAAGCCGAGCAAGCAATAGCAGTGCGGCTCTTCCTGGCTGCAACACGGCGAGGCAAGCAGAAAATTCCGAATGGCACCAGAAATATCAACCCCAGGAATTGTCCGATCTTGTTCTACACAAGCGAAAACTGCAAGATGTGCGCAATATACTCGAACCCATGGTCTCGGGAGAAAGTTCTTGCCGTATTTTACTGTTGACTGGTCCTGCTGGTTGTGCTAAAAGCACTTGCATCAAGCTTTTGGCGGAAGAATTGATTTCAAACAGAGTTCACAAACCGTCAGGTTTAACTCTTGTATCTAAAACCTCACAAGAATCACCATATTGTATTGAGTATGATGGCAGCAATCTTCCGTCTGGAGTTTCAAAAACCGATCATTTCGATAATTTCTTGACAGAAGCAAGATACAGGACTGGTCCGAATCTTGCAGTGCTGCTGGCTGAAGACCTGCCGAATGTTTTTCACCAAAGTACGCGCACACAATTCCAACAAGCGCTACTTCGGTGGCTATACAGCAGCCAGGCTCAATTGCCACCTCTGGTCATTTGCTTAACTGAGTGTGAGCTCCAGGCCCTGGACAGCAAGAATTTGGGCTTCAGTATTGATACACATTTCATTGCCGAGACAGTCCTGGGCTTTGATAATTTAATTCATCCTCGACTGCAGCGCATTAAGTTTAATCCTATCAACAAAACCTTGCTAAAGAAGCATTTGAATGACATCTGTGTTCAAGAAAGACATGCCTTTATACCAGGCAAGTGGGAACACAGAAACACATTTATTTCGAATGCTATACAAAACTGTGGTGATATCAGATCTAGCACATCCGCATTACAGCTTTGGGCTACAACTACCGGATCAAGTCTCCCAAACAATGGTACTCGAGAACACTCAATTTCTTATTTCCAGGGATTGGGCAGAATAATGTACGGGTCGAAAGAAATTTGTGATGATAACCAAATGATAAATCAACTAGTGCTATCTAGTAGTGCCAATTTGGGGGAGACCTTGAAATTGGGTTTATTAGAAAATTATGCAGCCTACAACAAGCAAAAATTTCCAGTAAGCTACGCAATGGATATATTAGATGCACTGAGTCTTGGGGACACAATGAGTTCAGATTCTTCAATGCAGGATTTGCAAGAAGCTTTAGAATATCCATTGAGAGTGGCCAGGAGAAAGCTCTCTGAACTTAATGGAGAACAAAGTCTGTCGCATAGTAAACCAAACTTTCCTAGAGAATCGAAGGTGCGAAAATTGTGCAAGTTGTTTGTCTCAGATGTAGATAACTACTCTTACATTACAATGCAAAAATATAACAGTTGGCACACTTTCCGCAACATTGCGCTTCATTTTGGCTTTTTCGCACCACTTATAAGGAAGCATAGAAATTACAAGAAGAAGGCCTTAAATCACCACTTAAATTCACTGGGCTCACCAAGTGAACGGTGCGCAATTATAGAAGCCAACGCAAGCATACTCGCCGTAGACGAGGAGCAAGATGTTTTAAAACGCATAGGTGGCGACCTAAGTTTAGTTAACGCCACCCAAGATTTCGAGTCTAAAGAAAAGGAAGACGAACCTGCAGCCTCGAACTCCAAAACATTAGCATTTCTTAGGTTGTACAACAAAAACTCTGTTAGCGAGGGCATAATGGACGGAGATGAGAACGATGATATGAGTGATGAAATCTCAGATCCCATCGTTCATAGCGAAGACGGCGACGACGACAGCTTGGATTTTAGTGATGAGGATGATACCATCTACGATATTCTAGCATCACAATCACCCCGCAAGCCCGGCAGAGCTTGAGGATAGAGTCGAGTCTCCTATCGTATATATAAAAGAAAAAGTGAGAATAACTTGTTTTATATTAGGACATCTATAGGTCTTTCTTTGACCACGGATATTTAACATTTATGCATGCATAGCATGCTGGAAAAACTCGGCATCCTCCTCCAGTGATTCTTTGATGATATCGAGACCACCTTGAAATTCACCGCTTGTATACAGTTGTGGAAAAGTGGGCCAGTCAGAAAACTTCTTGAGGCCTTCTCTGACCGAGTCGTCTTTCAATATATCAAAGAATCCAAATCTTACTTGGTATTCACGAAGGATGCCAACCATCTGTCTGGAAAAACCACATTTAGGCTCAGCAGGAGTGCCTTTCATAAACAGCATGACCGGAGCTGCTTGAGTTAGTTTTTTTAATCTTTCTATTAGCTCCTCTTCGGTTTCTTCTGGTTGATCTTCTTCATCCTCTTTTGCTGCCGCAGCTTGGTCTTCGTGTGGCGCACCCGCCTGCGAGCTTGGCGCCTCTAGGCTCCCGTTAAATCTACTGAGAGCTTTGACAAATTCTTTAGGGTCTGCTCCGGACAACTCGTGCAGGATCGTGCCATTTCTAACGAGCACGAAATATGGCACAGAAGAGACCTCAAAAAGCTCGGCAATCTCAGCATTGTTGTCGGCATTTACAGCTAGAAACATGACCTCCTTGTTTACCGGTTCTTCGCTCAAAGCGCTCACCACAGCGCTCATTGTTTTGCAAGGCTCGGCCCAAGTTGTGTAGAAATATAGCGTCATGAGCTTGTCTTGCACATTTTCCGTGGTCAGCTCAGTGAATTGGTCCTGAGAAGTAATATCAATGACGGGCATTGTAAGCGATTTGTATGTTGTTGGATGAATCTCTCGAAGAATGCTCTATGACTTTTCGGTCTATGAAGAAGTGCCTCAACAGTAAACTCGAATCCCTTCCTAATTATTATCAGATACAAAAATCTTCCGTGTAAGAATAGAAGTCTTGTAAGTATATTGGTGTATGCAGATTTAGAAGCCTTACGGTGGAGCAGTTAATAATCTGCTAGAAACCTAAATGTCATATTATATTCAACGAGGCCAAGGCCTATTTCCATAATCTTGCAATTCTAGAAAAACTATTATTCTCACCTGACATTGAGCCAATGAAAGCCACGTTCATTAGTAAAAAGTACTAACCTGGCGCTACAATGTGCTAATGGATAGGCTCAGAAGATGTCGACGTTTGTGAAGAACATGGGACTATCATAGTTGTCTTCTTGGCAGTTTCTTGGCTTTGCAGCGAAAACCTAATTTTCCTAGGTTCTTTTACGGGCAAATTTGTAGACGGTATTCCAAGCGACGTTTATTCTCGATTGCGAAGAAAGGCCCGTCTGAGTCTTGAGCTGGTGTATAAATGACTTGCGTATATCCGATTTTCCTTGGTTTGCCCTTTTCCAGGCGTTGTATGCGCTCCAGCTTTCAATGTATTGCTCAAACTCGATGATCGACATTTCGCGGTTGATTATGAGCGGCTTGTGATCGGAAGCCTTAGGTTCTGGATCTCTGACGCGGTTGCATACTTCAAGTACATCTTGAAACTTTGTGTCGTCAATTATTTGTGACTGCAACAAATCTCTGAGTATATCCCTGCCCGGCTTTTCCCAGTAAGGACCCAATTGATGCAGATCGTACTGAAATTCAAGCAACAAGCTATCCAGTCCCGGAAAATCAGTAAGAATTGGGTCGACATATCCCCAAATCGCGAGAGTTCCATTCTCGCTGAGCGCGCGAAATGCAGATTCTTGGAACGCCTTGAAATCGAGCCAATGGGAGCACTGCGCCGCTGTGATCATATCAGCGGTTCCGGCCTGCACCCAGTCCAAGTCTTCAGCGGCGTGTACACTGAAGTGCAGGTTCTTCATCTTCGCGGCATTAAATTTCTGTTGGGCCACTTCTATCATTATCGGAGACTTGTCCGCCCCTTCGACTCGTTCAAATTGAAAGTTTCTGGCAATATCCAAAGTGAAGTTTCCGGGCCCACAACCAACATCCACTAAGAGTTTTTCTCCTCCTACATGGTATTTGCGTAGCGTATCAAAAAATTCACTTGGGTAAGACGGCCTAGCACTGGAATAGTTTCCGGAATTGTAACCTTTTGACGAGAATTCCATTGCTGGCACAGTAGTCTTACTCAGATGGTGAAATTCCAAACGTCTTACTGTTCCGATACTTCGATCTTAAAATTTCCCGATCTCATTCATGATAGACTAATTAGATGCTCGCGGGATGCTTAAAAGATAACATTGACGTTACCCTATCTGTGATAACTATTGCCTTGAATCACGCTAGCTGATAATTGCAGCCAAACCAAAGCTGCGTAATCTGAAAACGGTTCAGGAAGATGACGAGTGATACCTCTGATACTTGCTTTCCTTTGAATTGTTTACCTGAATAACAAGTCCGTCAAGTTGATCACGCTTAAAAGAATATCGATCTTTAAAAAATAGTAAAACGAACTTTGCTCTTCGTCAACACTCAAAATTACTCTTCAAAAGCTATTCCATCCAACTCTCCATTGCTTCAAATGACAGAGACCCAAAACAAAGGCAAGGGACGTGGGACATCCACGTCTCGTAAACCTAAAGAAAAGAAGCCACTTACTAGGCTAGAAGAGATGGCTAAACAAGCATACGAAACTAAGAAGATTAATAGCACAATATCCAGTGACTCAAATCTTAGTCTGAGATCTTTCAAGGGTGTTAGAGCCTCCAGTAGCGAACCTCCAATGAGCGCGAGACCTAAGAAATTTACTAATGGTGATAATAAGTTTAACAATAAACCTCCCGCATCTAAAAGTGGTAAACCGGCGCAGAAAAAGCCAGCCCCCCCAGGCTCCAAGTTCAACGGGAAACCCCAATCTAAAACTGGACCAAAACCTAAGTCATTAACCAAAAGACCTGGGCATGCCACTGCTGTCTCGAACACAACGTTCAATCCAAAAGAGCCTGCTCTCAAAGGTTCCAGTGAGAAATTCAATGAGGTGTCAAAGGTGCCAGATACTAAAGAAGCCTCTTTGAGTACCACACGCAAGCAGGGTAGTTCCGCGGTTAAAAAAGCAACCAAAATACCTTCAAAGGGCGGTAAAGGAAACGATAAAGCAAGCCACGGAAGGAAAGGGCAAGCAAAACAGGCACCAGCCAAATTTAAAGCCAGTCCCACGAAGTCAGGAACCTACAAGTCAGCAAATGTCATACCGGAAAACAAGTCCGTGGCTGGCAAAACACAACACGTTAAGAAGCAGCCACAAGAAGCCCCCGTCGTAAGCTCTCAACTTCAACAGCCAAATCTAGAGGACTGTGAAGAAGGGGAGCCGTTAAAGAAATTTACTCAATACACTCCTAAAAGCTCTTATCCTAACTTGGACGAGTACTTCAACGAGTTCTCATTTGCACTATTCTTAGAGGAGAGACTTGAGAATGATTTTTTGCAAAACTTTGAGATTACATGGGCCAAGGATCCAAAAGAGCGAGCATTAGTAGTGAGAATGAGAGCAGATAGCGACGAGCTCAAGAAGTTGCTCCCTTCTCATCTCGTAAAACTAGGACGCCTTCCCTTTACCAAACAACAGCCTTTAATGCTCACAAGTCAGGATGAGACAAAAGTGTGGTACACATTCGTGAGAGAATTGGATTCCAAAAAAAATAATATAACAATGCTCCTTGAACTTTATTCTTGGAATAAATTACAACTTCCGATAAGAGCGGCTAACGAACAATTTAAGATTTTGCCGTGCTCCGCGCAAGTTAATAGAATCATGTTTGCCATGACTCGGGTGCAAAATCCGAAATTCATCAAATTACTCTTAGGTCAAGAGCTTATCAAGCAAGTGAACTTCAACAATAGATTGCAGTTCACCAAAGACACTTTCAATGATTCTCAGAAATCAGCCATTCAACATGTGTTGAATAATAGTATAACTGTTCTCCAAGGTCCCCCAGGTACCGGTAAAACATCCACAATTGAAGAAATTATTTTACAAGTTTTAAGCAATTTCCACACTATTCCTATCCTTTGTGTTGCGGCGTCAAATATTGCCATCGATAATATTGCAGAAAAGTTCATGGTTGGCAGGCCAGACATAAAGATCTTGAGAATTTTATCACAATCGAAAGAGGCTCAATACAACAACGAGCACATGCTGGGGAAAATATGCTTACACAATATCGTTTACGAGCAATTACCATCAGATATGAAGGATAACATCAGCAAGTTGAGATCGGGAGTTCCTGGCCTTGTTTCCAAGAATCAGTACAGCAAGCTATTAGATACTCAGAATGCGATTTCAGACAGACACATTGCTCAAGCGCAAATCATTTTTACTACAAATATTGCCTCCGGTGGCCGCCAGTTAAAGGCTATCAAAGAACTGCCGGTGGTGATTATGGATGAATCAACACAATCATCAGAAGTTTCGACTTTGGTACCACTTTCGCTGCCAGGCATCAAAAGATTTGTTTTTGTTGGTGATGAGAAACAGCTGTCGAGTTTCAGCAACGTTCCACAATTGGAAATGTCTCTTTTTGAAAGAATTTTGACCAACGGCACTTATGAGAATCCCCACATGTTAGACACCCAATATAGAATGCATCCTGCCATCAGCGAATTCCCAATAAAGACTTTTTACAATGGCATGCTTAAAGACGGTGTCACTGCCGAACAAAAAAGTTGGCCCGGATTGACACGGCCTTTGTTCTTCTTTCACTGTAATAACGGGCCGGAGAATAAGGTATTCAATTCCAAGCGTGGAATGAGAGGTTTCACTTACAACAACACTCACGAAGCCGAGGCTATTGTGGCGGTATTGCACAAGCTCATCATTGATAAGAAGGTTGGGAGAGAGGAAATAGGAGTGATTACACCTTATTCGTCGCAGAGAGATCTGATCTCGGAAATGCTGGTGCGAGACCCCGTGGTCAACCCATCGGGTAAAGCTATGGAGCAAGAAATGGACAAGGATGACGTCCTGGGCGGAGGAGAATCTGTCGGCGGCACGGGAAACAAAGTCACCATCAACATCGTCAATGGTGTGTTCGTCGCCACGGTAGACTCGTTCCAAGGGCACGAAAAACAGTTTGTGGTCTTTTCGTGTGTGCGTAACAATAGTGAGAACAATATTGGGTTTGTCAAGGACCGGAGACGTATGAATGTGGCATTGACCAGAGCGAAGAACGGGCTGGTAGTGGTCGGTAACAAAGACGTCATGAGACAGGGCGATCCATTGTGGGCTGAATACGTGGACTACGTCGAAGAAAAAAATGTCGTTTTCGAAAGTCTGGACGAGTACTAGAGTCCAGCGCATAGATACAACCTTTTATAGATAGATCCGAAAACACGTTTTCTCGATAAATGAGCCAAGCAAAACGAGTCCACATACGGTTGTTACACTCATGTATCACCGTTGGGTGCATTGTGCACCTCTACGGCTGACTGTGCCAAAAAATAAGGTCCTACCCGGATTCGAACTGGGGTTGTTCGGATCAGAACCGAACGTGATAACCACTACACTATAGGACCATGTTGTTGAAAACGCAAGAGCAAACGTGACTCATATGGAGCAGTCAGGGTGTGCTATATCACATGAAACGTATTTGAGCGTTACGACCCGAGCATGTTGCACGGCACATGGGCCATGAGCGGAAGCCTGTAAGCATAGTCGAAAGCAAGCCAGGAACGCGATTGTACACCAACAGTAAGGGCCTATGGTGCTCAAGTGCGCGCTTTCAGAGCACCGGCAAACCCACATTATCGCCTATATTCCAACCGTCTCTCTATTCTTGCTATCTTCCTCCCGCTCGTACACAGTGCGCGGAGGCGCAAAAATCTGGTTTTCATCCCATACATAAAAAGTTGTTCCCAAACCTATAACACTACGCTTTACCTCCTTTTGCAACTACTGCTTTTCACAAAACCAGGAGAAAACCCCACCCAAATAGTATGTTAACCTATGTTCTTAACGATTCCAGCTGTCACCCGTGTCGATAAACCGTCAGAGGAGCGAGAAGCTGCTCTTTGAAGCCTAATTGTCCCGGAAATCGCCTGAAAAGCGCGCCCCTGATTCGCGTGTGTGTGTTTACGTTTTAAATTTCGGGGTTTCACCACTGGCTACGACCCGCCAATTACAAGCTTTCACGATCCAGTTCAAAACGCTGCCAGTGTCCACAAATGTTGGACAAGTCACTACAAGCGGCTAGCGAGCGACGTCGTTTGCTGAAGTTGGTGTGTTTTCTGTCCGAGTAGTGTTTACGCCCGGTGGCAAAAAATACCCGATCTGTGTTGTGGAACGGCCGAAAGCTCGTGTCAAGTGCCACGTGCCAGAATGTGATTTTTTCCCGCACGCCATTTTTTTTCGGTGCGGCGCGTGTTCGAACCTGGCAGGAAGCGACTGTGTTTTCGAGGCCGTTAGGCCTCCTGGGCGCAGACGCAGCCAGTTACGAAGGCTGTCGTCGCATTTGCGTTTGTCCCCTTTCCCGCTACTGTCTTATCTCATGTTTTCATCCGTCTGCCCGTTGTTCGATGACCGTGCCATCACGGTGCATGAAAGCGCGCGCAGACGTTGCTTCAACGAGGGATTTTGAAGAGAAGAGAAGAGAAGAGAAGAGCATAGTAGCTTCCCTCATATCCAGCCGTCGACAATTTTTTTGAAACAGTCATGGGCGATGCTGGATGCCGGAGTGATCGGGTCACCAACTTGCCTTGCTTGCTCATTACGCCTTGACGACAGACAACACTTTACAGTAGGAGAAGTTCTGGGGCCAACCAACCCCCTGCGCGCCCCTTTTTGCAGCTAGCCGGCTAGCTGAAGAAAAAAACGAGGAAAAAAAAAAGATTGTGCTCCCGGTATCGTATTGTCAAAGGAAGGAAGGAAGGAAGGAAAGGGAAAAAATTACCATAAAAAAGGAAGCATGTGTATGCTCTGCTGAAAACCTAAAATGTGGCGATAAATATAGCTTGGACTTAACTACGGCCTACGCACGCCCCCTATTCAGCAGGACGCTTTCCCATTATTTGACACGGTGTACCCCAGCGCGGATACATAAAATCGTTATCGTTTCGGTCAAGCTCTGTTTACTAACTTTTCACACCTCCCGTCAGAACCTTTTTTAAAAGTCAAGCATGTCACAAAATCGCGAAGATTCCGTTTACTTGGCCAAGCTAGCCGAACAGGCTGAGCGTTACGAGGAAATGGTAGACAGCATGAAGGCGGTAGCGTCTTCCGGCCAGGAGTTGTCTGTGGAGGAGCGTAACTTGCTCTCCGTCGCATACAAGAATGTTATCGGTGCTCGTCGTGCGTCGTGGAGAATCGTTTCGTCGATCGAACAAAAAGAAGAAGCCAAGGAGAAGTCCGAACACCAGGTCAAGCTGATCCGCAACTACCGCTCTAAGATTGAAAACGAGCTCACCAAGATTTGCGACGACATCTTGTCCGTGCTAGACACACACTTGATTCCTTCGGCTACGACCGGTGAATCCAAGGTGTTTTACTACAAGATGAAGGGTGACTACCACCGTTACTTGGCCGAGTTCTCCTCGGGCGACGTCAGAGACAGCGCCACCAACGCCTCGCTGGAAGCCTACAAGACCGCTTCCGAAATCGCAACTACCGAGTTGCCCCCTACCCACCCAATCCGTCTAGGATTGGCTTTGAATTTCTCCGTGTTCTACTACGAAATCCAAAATTCCCCAGACAAAGCCTGTCATTTGGCCAAGCAAGCCTTTGACGATGCCATTGCTGAGTTGGACACATTGTCTGAAGAATCTTACAAAGACAGCACGTTGATCATGCAATTGTTGAGGGATAACTTGACCTTGTGGACCTCTGACATGTCTGAGGCCGGTCAAGATGAACAACAGCCTGCTGAAGGTGCCCAAGAGTAAGCTGTGTGTGTGGCTAATTTTGCTTGTCCTGCTGTGTGTGAGCTTCGCAAAAATTGTGAGGAGACTGGTAAATGATTGAATAACCCCCTTCCAATTCCGCCGTTACTTGTTACGTCACTTGAGAAGTTCTTGTCAATCTTGTTTGTTTCTCTGTGGCCGATTTTTTTTTTTACAAGTTCCATGAATCCAAACTCAATACCAACAACTCACTTACCTACTATTTTTCTTTCCAATTATCAACTGACTACTATCGCGCGCAGCCCACCAATGCAAGCCAGCACTCAAAAAAAAAAAACACGCACACATAAACCTTTTAGCACTACCCACTTTTAAATTAAATCCCTGATTCTCCTTCAACAAATTTGAAAGCGCTGGGCATTTTAACGATGATGTATAATGGGAGAATTTTAAAACCACTCTGCCTCTATAATTTTCTATAACGCGAATATATCTTTGAAAGAAATTCGATCAATTGTAGCAAACTGGTCGCTTGTTAAGTGTGTGTGTGAGCTCCTCACTCGGCTTAGATTCGATGAGACCTTTTTTGAAATTTTTATTTTTCGGCTTTTCAAAAAGGGGTTTGGATTTGGATATACATATACTTAGCTACATACTGATCAACTTAACTTACGGGCTCAAATATCTAAGGCGTTAATCAACTACATCTTTTCGCAAACAATGTCAAACATATCGCCCCAAATATTCAAATCTACCAACATAGCTGGCGGCTCGCTGGCAACTTTATCCGCTTTATCGCAAACCTCATACCTGATCAAAAACTTTCCAGCTTTTTTGATGGCAATTTTTGCCTTGGGGCTGTCTATTCCCATCGTGTATTTAGAGTTCAAGGTTCCTCCCAATCTGTACCGCTTCGCCTCCTTTTACTTCAGTTTCATAGGCAGAGGTCTCTGTTTCATTTTGTTGTCTCTGCTGCTGAGTTTCGGAGGTGCCATTAAGATTTTCATCTCGCTGCTGCTATTCGTCGGCGGCGTCACATACATCATCGTTGAGTTCGTGCCCAGCATTCAAGAGCCCGACAACTTCAGACCCGAAGGCAGTTCTATTGCAGTTGGTGAGGATGCAGATGACATTATTTAGTTCAGATTTGTAGTATAACAGAGAACCAACTCGTTAGCTACTAGACGAGAAATGTCCTTTCACAGCTGAAATTTCAAATGCAGACCACCTCAGCGTCCGGCTGAATGTTATGTTTGATGTTCATAAGCCCATTGTTGATGCGCATCCTGTTTCCCGGGACAACATCAATGCAAGATTCAAAATTGAGGTTTTGAACATAAACCCAACCGTAAAGGATTCGAACCAGTCATTAGGATTTGGTGCTGTTGCAGTTCCAAGCCTATACAAACGCACTAAAACACAATGGTATTTATTGTTCACTAATATTCATTATTCAATTACAGGCTTTTAAGGGTCCTCTATATAAATTGTTAAATGTCACTATAGACGCCAATTGACATTAATTGACATTAGTTGTATACTCATCACAAAAATAAGTTTCGAGCATACAAACTTTCAGATCACAGTTCGTACAACCCTCTAAGCTAGTTTCATCTCACAGCTCAGTCCATATAATAGTATGAGCCATGAGAGCGACTTTTTCAAAAACATTGCGTTGAATGAGACGTTGTATGCGAAACACATATGTGAAAACACCGCGCAACGCATCACTGAAGGTGAGAAGGTTCCGATCCTTTCGATCCCAAGAACATCTTTTACAGCGTTCAGACTCAGTTATGCATCGCCTGTGGAAATATCACAGAGCTCCAGGTCTGTTCTCCTGGGCGGTGTTCCCAATCTATGGTATCTCCAGCACAAGAGCAACTTCTTGAGATCGCTATACCGTTTGGCGCACAAAAAGGTTAGCAGAAGAGTCCAGCTGGCTGGTCAGTATGCAAATGGCGTGAGTTATCACTCCAGGCGGAGGTCGCGTCGTCCAAAATCGAGCTTCGCGTTACACGATGGATCTATTAAAAGGCAAGATAAACCCAAACCTAAATCAAAAGCGGCGCCACTGGAGTCTAACGTGGATCCAAGTATTGGGAAGGGAGAGATCAGGTTTGTCGCTCAATTGCGCTCTTCGTCGCCGAGATCTTCATCTCCGGTTTCGAGTGATACCAATAGCGTGGCCGTGGCTGATCTTTCTCAAGAGGGTGGGCACGGGCTTTCGATCGCGAATAATGATAATTCAAAGCTTTCCGCGCCAAAGTGCTCCGCGACAAAGTGCCGAGGCTCATTGTTGCGTATTGACCCTTCTGTGCATCCAGTTCCAGATTCAGCACCAGAGAATTTAAATGGGAACCACCAAAATCGTTCCCCTGTATCTCAAGCAAATAACTCCGGAGATCGCAACGATCTCAAGGCTTCGGGTTTAAAGAGACCTTGCATCGATGCTACGAAAACCAACAAAAAGCTCGCGAGCTTTCAATATAGCATGCAGTCTGAGGAATATTATTCTGCTGAAGACGGGTTCACGTCGTCAAGCTCCGAATATGAAGATACACTATCAGACAGTACCCCTGAAACTATAAAAAGTGAGATTATACATCATCCACAATCTAGCAGAACCGCCGTACCAGTATTAATACAACCACTCTCGGAGAAAAGAAGCGCCTCTAACGTAAAGTTCAGGGACGAAGAACGACCGGTGCGACAACGTCAAGAGTCTTCGGCAAATTTGAGGGCTCCCTCTGATGACAGTCAAGCTAGCGACACCCAAGCAAGTGGTCTTTCTTACAGCTTTGATGAGGACGAATACCACACAAGGCGCAATGGTTCAAAGTCAGGCCAAGTAGAATACCTGAGATTAGTCAGTCCAGAACCTAATAAATTGACTCCACAGGAGAGTACTAACATCTCAAAACTCGATGAACGTCGAAAAGTTCTGAAGGATGTCAAAAGCTTTGTCAGTGAGACTGGCAGAAAAATACATTTCGATAAGTTGGACAAGTTTCATTTTGATTTGAGCCGAGTTCTCGGTGCAGATCACACAATCTCACAGAAGTTCTTCAAAAAATTCAGCGCTGGTGAAGTTGTAAAGATGGAAAAAATGCTCGTCTTTGTGAAATCATCCAAGTCTGCTCGCGGTCCACCCTTGCATTTCTCCGATGTAGAGCCTATAGATACGCGGGTTGTTGAGAGGTGGAAGGAATTCATAGTTGTGGCGCGCGCCACGGGGGTACCAGAGGCACCTTTATATCTGCAGTTTTATCGCAATAGGAACATCCCCCATGTCGAGGCGTATAACAGTTCTGTCGAAAACTACAGGGCAAATTCCATGGATTTCATGTTTGACAGTTCTTGCATCGTGGGATTTTATAACACTTTGGACAAGACAATTCATGTGATTACAACGGCGCCCTCTAAAGTGGACGCCGGAAAGATGCATGCAGACAGGTTTTCGCAAATTACAGGACGTCTGAAAATTTACATTTTGAGATGTAGCTCCTCTGCATCTGCAGAAAAATGGTTGCTATTTCTTCGAAGGTCGCTGGGGATTGTAGACCGCTCAACAAAAGTCCATATCAATATTCCAGAAGTCAAGGTTTCACTTGAGATTCCTCTTCCCCTTGACCTGCTTCGAGTATTTGATAAACAATCTTATCTCGAAGAAGACAACTTAAAATTGTTGATGATGCCTCGAGGATATAAGCCTGTTTCATTTCCCTTGGCTAGATATTTGGAGTTAGTCATATTGAACAAATTGGGTGAGTGTGGTTACAAAAATGCCATTTCTGGTTTGATCCAAGCTAACACAATTAGTGGATTTTGTTGGAAACATTATGATAGGATAGAATGGTGTCCCGGTGATCAGTATGATTTAGCACTTAGTGGCGTTTCACTCAAGGAATCACATTTGTTGGAATACCGGTCATTAACGCACTACCCAAGGAGTGTAATATTAAAAAATGGGGAAACCTGGACAGAACCTTCGGGTGTGGAAGGATTTTTAATGAAATGCACAAATCGATATGGTAAAGAGACGGAGAAAGTACTTCACACAGCTTACTACAGATTTCTCTATTTTTTCACATCCGATGGGTTGTTATTTTTTATGAGTTCTTTCAAAGGTTTACCGCCACTTCCCGATGGAGTCCTCAGCAAAGATGAGAGTTGTGCTTACGATATTGGCAAATTGGAAGATAAGATAAAAAATCTTCCTGAAAGTTTCGAACATAATCCATACCCTCTTGACCTCGATAGCCATATCGAATGGCTGAAGGAAGATACGAGCTCGGCCGATTTCCAAGAGAAGGATAATGCTGCCTTTGCGGCAATGTGGAGGAAAATAGCGCATGTCATAAAAGCTGAAAAGGTCATTGATCTCACCGAAGTTATCGGGGTTTCTAAACTTTCTGCTGCCAATGAAAATTCAACTGAGCTCAGGTACAGATTTCTAACCGGCGCTAATAACTTTGTTTGGAAAGCTACCCAGTCAGTTGAGGAAACAATTGAATCGATGTTTGTCCTTTCTATGAGTAATGGTTTGAAAGTAAAACTTTTGGCGCCTTCTCCTCAAGTTGCCGATGAGTGGGTGACAAGGTTAGAGTATTTAAGCAGGTACTGGAAACATAGAAAGAGTGAGGACACAAAATCCATGTGGTCTGCTAAAATGGAAAACCTTTCCAATTTGAAGATTCCTGAATCAGAAGAGTCCAATATCAGCGAAGACACGCCTAAATGGGTCACTGATCGAGGTGTTGCCAATGAAAATGTCTACAACATAAGTGCGCAGGCAATGCTTAGACCACTAATGCAAAGCGGAATTCTGTATGAAAAACCACACAAGCATTCGAGCTTTAAGAAGTTTTTTGTCATATTGACGCCGGGATTCATAATACTTTACAAATACTTCAAGAGCGCTAAGGTGAACTATTCAAAAAAAGTGGTTGACCATCGGCATTATATGACTATCCCGATAGAAGAATGTTACGTCTATTCGGGAAATCTGACTTCCTTGGATTTACTGCAGCGGGACAAACAATTTGATAATTTGAATCCAGGCCATAATCCCTTGCCGCGAGTCTACCCAGATGGGTGGAGATCTAGTGAAGATGAGGCTTCAAAATGTTTTACGCTCTGGTTCGGCACAAAGAGGGCTGTGTCGAACTATAATTCCTTGTTCAACTACAATCCAAAAAGTCGCACGCACACTGCTAGCTCTGTAAACGGCACTGATGAAGTGCAATCCGGTGCTGAAAGTGACATGCCAAACACGAGGTCATCGGAAGCTGGTGATCTCAACATGGAAGGAAATCCTCAAAAAAACAAGAACTTTTTACGGGCAGTTAGCAGGTTAGGAGTTTCCGGGAGGTCACTTGTGTTTATGGCACGCTCGAGACAGGAGAGGGATCAATGGGCGCTGAAAATCCAATGTGAGTTAGAGAGGTTGAAAGGAAGCACAACTGCTTCCTAGAACATATACTCTATAGCTGTATATTTTTACGCTTTTAGGTTAGTAAGAAGGGCATTCGGTGCTTTCTTCAATTGAATCTACTCACAAATACTCGTAATTTGAAGACTGGACCTTAGAAGTTCTTACATCATTATCTGTAGAGCTTTTGTAATCTATGGCTTCATCAAGTGCCTTGTTGATACCCTCAACGAAGCGCGACCATCCAGGTATTGCAGGATTTTGAGCAAGATTGGCATGTGGCGATGAGGAAGTGAATTCGTTCACATTAAATGGGCTCTCCAGGTGAAGCGAACGTATAACTGAGCGGCGTATTTTGAAGGTGTCTAAGGAGTCGTCAAGCAACCTTTCGTTCCCAATTCGTGCTTGTGTAGGAAGATAAACTGAATGTATGGCACTGCGAGGAGTAGCACAATCTTCTGTTATCCTTTTTGAAGCACTAGAGTAAGATCGCTCACTCTCACAAAGCGTCCCATTGCTATGAGGCAATGGGGATGAGGGACTGACTTGTTCAACATCCTGGTACGCGTCAAAGTCTACCAGGCCGCTGTTTGATTTTTCCCTCTTACTTGATTGGCCTGATATTACCGATATATTATCAGCAACTTTCGTCTCCTCCAGGCTCACATTATATCTCCCCCATTCATCTGCGCTGTCATCTTCATCTTCATCGTCATCGTCATCGTCATCGTCATCATCTTCGCCAAATGTCAGATTGAAGCTATAACAAACAGTTTCCAAAATGTCATGAAATGAAGAAACTTCGATCAATTCTGAGACCTGTTCCGTATAATCAACGTTCAGATATCCGACATGAACCTTGAGCTCGTTAGGCATCTTTCTGTTAGGGCTGGCAAATGGACTATAGTTCATAAAAAGACAAGATTTGCCTAGCTCAACGGACGTATTGGAAAAGACGACAATTCCGGTTTTTTCATTCATGTCTGAGCAACACTCATCCTTGAAGTGTTGGGATGTGAAGCTTGGGCGAGAAGAAGCAAGTGGATTACGCTTCAAATTTTGAAGCTTTATGATTTGTTCCTGCGCAAGACCTTGGCTAATGATCCCACCGTCAGGATCAACGAGACAAAGTTTGGTATCCTTCATTTTAGTCACAAGAGCCCTCAAACTATTAATTAGAGCTGTGAACTCGCTGTCTCTCATGCGGCCTGGATCTATTTGCAAGACCACAGCAAGACTTTTGGGCCGATCCCGTTTTAGCGAAAGAATAGATGTTATAGTCGTCCTCCGAGATTTGTCATCTCTCGCCGCGACACTGTTGCGTACTATAATATCCGCATCTTCTATATCCTCAGTGAAGTCCACATTAACAGTTTTCGTGTCGGCTCTTATCACTGTGAGTCGCGAAGACAATGAATGCGTGACTACTGGTGGAGTTCGCAGTGTGGAAGAGAAGTTGGAGCTCTTAAAAACCATCTCCTTATTGAGTAGTGCTGAAATCCATTTTTCGACTACCTGGCTTTTATCAGAGTCCAAAGCTTCAGTCAAGTAAAATGTAGAGCCTTGCATTATCTTACTATTCTTCATAGCACTTAATATTGTACATTTTAGAACTGAAGAATTGAGAGAATCAACGCTCGTGTGAGATAACGGATGGTGCACTAAGAATCTGTCGAATCTCATTCCAGTAGGCAATTTTGGGTCAAAGGTGGGCGATACCAAAGCTATCAGCAAAGCATCGGTAAAGAGATAGCAGCATGCATCTTGATAGGTCTTTCCGTCCTCAGAAAACATGAGCCTATCAACGATTCTCAAGGGGCCGAACTTTGAATCCAATTCCCAACCTCGCAAGCTTTGTGGAAAATTGTCCAAAAGAAGTTGAGAATAATACGATCGAAGGACTGTTAGGGGCAAGCTTCGAGAAATTTCGCACATTGAATTTTGAGAATCCTCAAGGACTTGACCTGGTGACTGATTCGATACCGAAGAGACAATTGAGGAAATTCCGGACATGATACTGCCTCTAGCAGTGGTGGCGATGGAGTTCTTGCTAGAGAATGCAGAGAGCCGTAGCGATAGTTCTTTGACGTTTTTTTTAGAGTCAGAAGTACTTCTTGTGGCTCCAAATTGATACTTTCTGAGACCACTCGGCGATGAATTCAAGGGCTCACCGAATTGTTCTTGAATATGGACTTCTGCTTTGAATCCAACATCTCGAAATTTCCTTGTTTTTGGACTTCCTTTTATCAAAGCTTGTGAAATGCATTTGTCTCGAAGCTCCAGCTCTGAAGGTACACAACGGACTCCGTTATCACATTTTTGACAAATGGGGAACATGTTGTCGATATCTCGGGCGGTTGGAATCTCAAAATAGGCCATAAGGCACTCTTCATGCACTAGGTGACCACAATCTAGTGACACAACTTTTTCGCCTGATGCCCGACAAGAGATGAACTCTAAGCACAGGGAGCACGGCTCATATACGTATGATTTCTTGTTGGTGGTGTAAATTGGATGGTCAAATGGCTTAACTCGGGGCGGAGTATTTTTGGCGCTACATTGAGGAGGGGAAATAACCGAGGTAGCTATTTGTTGGTTGTCATAGGATGAGGTGCTTCTCGGCAAAACCGGCTTATTTAGTCTTGTTTCCATTCCTGGAATGGAAGTTGATCGGAATGGTACTTCTAGTAGGCTAAGAGATAGACTACGAGGCGTTGAGTGGGCGGTCGATACCCAGGAGCGATCGACGCTTGGAGGGCCTGCATCTGGTATTTTCTGACCTGTGGAATAGCTAGGGCTCAGCTGTTGGTTTTTCGACCTAGATATTTTTTGAAACTTTCCACCCCATTTTCTGGACCTCGAAGAGCCTGGCGTCGCTGTATCAGACGATGTAGCTGTCTTGACGGGTGCGGTAAACCCGCCGATATTTGCCAGCTGGAATACGAGCTCTTCTTGGCTAAACTCCGTGGCAAGCATAGTAGACTAATTATCTGAGACTCATATGTTATTCCAACACTTTCTGGAAATACGATTCAAGCCCTCGTTCAGCGCTCATTATAAACCCAGAAGTTTTAGGGTGTATTACCCCTTTGGTGACATTACTTCTTTTCAAGTGTTTTTTGAGGTTTAGTTATAGTTTCCAGAATGTTTCAAGAAGTCTAATTCACCTTATGTAAAAATAAATAAGGATACCAAGTAGGCTGCCACCTGAACCCCAGAAAGGATACTGCCAGTTGTCTTGGCAATTGTTGGCATCATAAAATTGCCACTTGACGTGGCACTAGTGAACGAACCTACAAGATTTAACATTTGAAGATTTTATAAAAAGTGAAGTCCAAAACCCATATATAAACACCACATTTCCCATTCCTTTTGAGTTCACGCATACCGCAGCGTTAGTAAAAGTCATAATCTTACAAGTCTTCTAACCTTCAACAACCATTCTAGTCATTGCCGTAATGTATTCGTTGTAAAAGAGAAAAATAGCATTAGTCATTAACAGAGACCAGCAGATGGAGAGAACTGCTGGAGTTGTTGCTCCGTTCCCTGGAGAGATGTAGTGAGAAGAGGGAGACAGGCTATGAAGAGGCTTGTTTGCTTTTGCTTTTTTTCATTTGGTTTTATTCTTGGTTTTCGTGTAGGGAAGGAATATATTTGATACTCAGAGCATATTTTAGCTAGCCCCAAGCGAAGTTGCCCAAGATACCTTGTCCCCGCGAAGGGTGTACTTGGCCATTGCTTCTTTTCTAATTTTTTTTTTTTTTTTTTTTTGGACTGAACGGCTGTTCAATTCTGGAGATGAAGGAACTGATCGAGCTGCTGGAGATTGTTCACCTAATCTCTGAAAGCAAATCCCTTCTTTTGGAAGTCCCAGGTGTCTTCGGGCACTCTGCCTCTCAAAGTTGGGGTCTCAGTTCCTGGAATGTAAACGTCTTCGAACAAGATGGACATCTTGGCCTCTGGAGGTGGAGAAGCGTCAGCCAACTCCACTTGTTCGTCTACGTACTTTCTGGCGGCCTTGTCGTAAGCCTTGATTTCATCCTCACTGGCGATGTTCAAGTCCATCAAGTACATCTTAAGGCCAGCAATTGGATCGTTCTTGGATCTCATATGTTGAATTTCGTCTCTGGTTCTGTAAGTGGTACCGGGGTCGGACATGGAGTGACCACCGTATCTGTAGGTTTCGTATTCAAGCACTAGAGGACCCTTGCCAGAGACACACCAGTCTTTGGCGAATTTGGAAGCCTGGTAAACAGCAAGAATATCCATACCGTTCACCTTGAGACCGGGGATGTATTGACCACGCTTGAAGTACTCAGTCATGGCCGAAGATCTAGAAGCAGCGGTACCCATACCATACTTGTTGTTTTCACATGCAAACACACATGGCAAGTTGTACAATTTGGCCATGTTGAAGGATTCAAACACTTGGCCTTGGTTGGAGGCACCGTCACCATACAAGTCAAAGGTGCAAGCGTCTTCGTTCTTGTACTGGTGGGCGAAAGCCAACCCAGCACCCAAAGGCACTTGAGCACCGACAATACCGTTACCACCGTAAAAACCTGGCGCGTACAAGTGCATGGAGCCACCCTTACCGTACGAGACACCGGAACGACGACCCATCAACTCGGCAAGCACAGCCTTCACCGAAGCACCACGCATGTACGTGAAACTGTGACAACGGTACGAGGTGATGATGGTGTCTTTCTTGGTGATCGCGTTTTCGATACCCACGGCAATGGCCTCTTGGCCTACGGTCAAATGGCAGAAACCACGGATCTTCTTGGCTTTGTAAAGCGCGTCGCAAGCCATTTCCATACGTCTCACGACTACCATGTCCTTGTACATCTGCAAGAGCCCGGCCTTACTCGTAGTGTACGAGAGTGATGGGGGCTCGAGCATGTAGCCCTCGAACGACGACTCTGGAAGTGTCACCTCGATGGTCTCATCTAGACTTTTGTCCGAAGCGGTCGCCAAACTGCGTCTAGCGACCATCGACGATGTCAATTGTCTCTTAGCTGACTGCAAAGCGTTTGTTCTCACGGCTGCTCTAATCATCGTGATTTATTATCCTGCTTTCTCCTGTCGCTGCTGCTACTGCTGCTCTCGCTGTTGCTATGGCTGTGCAGTGCAATCAATTATCGCTCTGGGTTTTGGAACTTGATCTTCTTTTAGGACAAAGATGTGGTGATCAGGAGAAAGAACTCAGGGACCAACCTCATTTTGATTTTCATCGATATATAGGGAAAAATTAGATATACGAGATAGCTCAATTTCAACCAATAGGAATCGAGCAAGCCAAGCAGATGATACAGAGAGGTAGAAGCTGTGAGGAAGCTTGATTCGCGTGGATGAGTATTCACTTCGCTGTAAGGGTGAATAAACTCGAAAGCTTTAGCGGCTTAGTGAAGAGCCATTTTTTATAATGCGAATAGAACGGGAAAAAGATTTAGAAATTTGTTGAAACGCTGCATTCTGTAGGAGTGGGACCGGGATATGCTGAGTCTGGGCAGTGAAAATGTATATGTATTCGAAGAAGGGTATTTCAGTGCTTGATATCTGGGTTTAACGGGCAGACTGTTGTATCACTATGTACTATTCTGTCACTGAGGAAGTGCGCACCTGGCGGAATGGACATAGCGCCTGCTTGTCTTTCAGCGATGGATGGTGCGAGCCTTCTACGGATATTCGAAAGACCATTTGCTGATCGCAATCAATATTCGGGACGTTGCGACCATAAATCTGAATCTGGAACGGAACCCTTTGCGTTCAACAAGCAAGAGCTGTATAGACCATCTTAACTATCTGCTATATATTCTGGCAATAAAAGTTATTGGAATCGTCTGTCTACCCACGTCTATATTGAACAAACCGAAATTTTCGTGATACTTGCCAAAAACTATAGGTAGGCCTTTATTTGCTCTCAAGAAGCTGATGTGCTCGTAAGTATGATCTTAGCTTAGCATCCCCAACATTCGAACATTAAACTCGAAATTAGGAATCCTGTCTATTCTTTAATAACCTTATGTCAATTTCATGTTTTGACGTGAGCACTCAACTTTAAATTCACTACAGCGCCATAATTTATTTTTCCTGATGGAACACCAATCCAAGCTGAGAGATAGAGCACTACTTGAAGACTAAATTCCCCTTGTCTCCCTGGAAAGAGTGGCTCCTTGGGCGCCGCGTTCGAGAACGACACGCAAGTACAGAATGACATTTCAACATAGAGGATAAATCCTTGTAGGATCTAGAGAGCTACACCTCCCATTTCAAATGCGGTGCATCAAGTCGACATTAGGTAAGAATTATTCGTGCTTGGTAAGATAGTCTCATTTCTTCACCATAGCAGCTGGGAGTCACTTACAAATTATGGTAAACTCTATTTATTTGAATGGGGCCAGCTCACAATTGCTGTAGACCATATACTGCTATCACCATCACAAGCTCTAAGTAGTGTGTTGTTTTCCAAGCGTGTTTGAATACCGCCAAATTGCAGCTTTTGATTTTGTTTATTTCAGTTCAAAGTCTCTCTAAAGACCACAATATGTTAGATGCGATTTGCAAAAAGAGTCACCTATTGATTCTTTGTCATTATTCGCTGGCTAACTGAGTGTAGCTATCATGTCTTCGGGTCTTCAGCGAATAAAATCACACTTACCTGAAAGATGTGCGAAGCTGTTGTACCAGTCGCTTATGCAAACCGCTAAAGCACAAGTGAACACCACTTCTCTATCTTTTTCTCGCGCAAAGATACAACATCTGAATTCATCCACATTATACACACACATTCAGAACCCACCTACTATCCTGAGCACTTCCAGCTATTATCATTTCTGTCTAAAATGGCACAGCTTATTTTTTTTCTTCTATTGAAAAAGTTTTCCAGTAGGAACTTCGAGATGAGCATCTCATCTCATCTCCATAAATTATATACAGAGTTTTATTAACTGTTGAAAAGGCATTATAATCATACCAGTACTTAATTCCATTAAAAACTACTGCGAAAATGGCTTTAGCAATTTCTCGCGAGGATACGCAGGTTTTACTGCACGGGAAAAATGTTCTTCAAGAATCAACGCTTGACAAGTATAGAAGCGCCGGTCAAATCACACAATCTGGGTTGAAATTTGTTACGAAACTGATCAACGACTCATACCACACTGGCAATGCACGCCGTTTGGCAATTCACGAAATCTGTTTGCTTGCGGACAGCTTTTTGGTGGCATGCTTAGAATCGAGCTTCAAGACTAAAGTCGCCGAGCGCGGAATTTCGCATCCCACTACGATAGATGTGGACGAAGTTGCTTCTGGCTGGTGTCCGGAGCTTGACGATGTGGAACAACTCCGCTCTGCTAACAAGCAGATTGAGGAATCCGGATCTGTTTCTGGATGCCGCAGATGTGTGGATGGTTACTTGGCTCCTGGTGATGTTGTAAAAATCTCTCTGGGTGTTCACATCGATGGTTACACTGCTCAGGTTTCGCACTCTATGGTTATCTTCCCAACGGATGAAGGTGAAGACGGGAAAAAGAAACCAACAGGGCCTTTGTTGGGGGCCAAAGCTGATGCTTACGCTGCCGTGCACATTGCAATGGAGACTGTTATTTCGCTTTTGGCTTGTGCTTTGACTCCGGAAAAGATGCCTCGTTCTCTTTCAAGCGGTGGTCAGGTCACCGGCCATCTGATTCGTACCGTTGTTGATAGCATCGCAGCTTCCTACCACTGTGTTGTTATTCCTGGTTCTAAAGTTCGTCGTGTGAGAAGGTTCTTAGCTGGTCAAAACGAAGGTATTGTTGCCGAAAGAGAATACAAAGGTGTTGCTTGGTACGAGTCTCACCAAGAGTTGGCCTTGCTTCAGAAGTCTGCTGAGTCCACTAAGGATTTGGTCGCCGTGAAATCTTCTAACCGCCACAACTCGTCTGCTGTGCCTACTGATGACTTTACCGTCACCCCAGGTGAAGTGTATGTGGTCGATCTGCAAATGGTTCCTTTAGATGGTATTGCACCAGGTCTAGTAACCTTGGAAAACGCCGACAATTTTTCCGGTAAATCTCACAAAGCCGACCAGTTGGTTGCCAGACCAGGCGCCTACGTGAGAGATTTCGCTCATTCCCATACCCTCAAACTCAGAGCCTCCAGGCAACTACTCAGCAAGATAGATAAACAGGGTGTTTACCCCATTAAGCTTTCTCATTTGAGCGACACTTTCCCCATTGATGTTACTGCGGCTGAAACCTCTCAGATTGAAGCAATCTCTAAAGATCTCAAACTATATCGTCTCGGTATGAGTGAAATTTTAAACAACTTTTTGGCCATTCCAAACCCTATCCGGATTGCTAAGTGTATTCCATGGGAGAAGATCATGAGCACTGCAAACCCAGCTGGGTCTCATGGAATGGACGCCATTGAACGTACTCTTCCAGGCCAAGAGCTACCTTTACCTCGTCTGGGAGTTTCCTCGCTCAAACTAAGATCTCTATTGAAATATGCCGTATCTGTCCCTGTTGTTCGTCAAAGTTCGACTGTGGTGCTATGTACTGGTGATGTCGTGTCTTCTGGCAAGTCCGAGCTTCTCAGACTTTCTGGCGGTAATAAGACCTGCCCACCTAGTTGGATACATTCCAATTACCAGCTGAATAAAGAGGAGGACATTGTCCAAGGTATATTCCAGCTAGCCGAACTATCGAAGGATAAGAGATTTGGTCTTTCGGTCAGAGAAACTCAACCTTTGAAGAAAGAAACTGTTTCTACTGGGTTTACCTCAAACACAACCACGCAAGACGTCGAAATGGCTTAATCAAGATTGACGGTGGATAAAATTCTGTATATTATAGATTGTATCAAATTTTTGAGCATTGCATGCATGAAACCAGCATAAAGAAGTCTATTAGATTCGACAAAGAAAACATAGTACTAAACAAGGAGAACGGAATGTGTTTGGCGACGATAGATGATATGTTTCATCGCTTTTTCTGAATGCGCTGCATAAAACTTAGGCTTTATAGGTGCTTCACTCTCAATCTGTCTCGCCCTTAATCTTTACTTTAGTATATAAAGCTTTCAAAAAGATCATTAAAGTAAGTTTCATATACACTACTTTCGAGCAAAGTAAAAACATAAAAGTTGGCAAGATTGTAAGGTCTTCCATTAATATACATACATACCAGCAACTACTGATCCATAAAGTAGAATACGTTGTTTTCTGCTTGAATTTCGGTTATTAATTACATTTCAATCTATAATAGCCGCCGAACATGTCGACAGAGACGGAGATCGAGAACTCTGCAAGTAACTCAATCATCAATGTGGATGAGCTCCAGAATTACGGGATCAACGCTTCCGACTTGCAGAAACTGAAAGGCGCCGGCATTTTCAGCGTTAACGTACGATAAAACGTCAAAACCACCCATTATTACGAACTTCGCGCGCGTAAAGTTGTGTTTCATCTACTAACAGTTGTACTAACCGTTTTAGACTCTGCTTTCCACTACAAGGCGCAACTTGCTCAAAATAAAAGGGCTGAGTGAAGTGAAGGTGGAGAAAGTCAAAGAAGCCGCTGGCAAGATAATACAAGTTGGCTTTATTCCCGCCACGATACAGGCCGATATTAGAAGGCGCGTATTCGGCATTTCAACGGGTTCTAAACAGCTTGATAGCATCCTAGGCGGTGGGGTCATGACCATGAGCATCACTGAAGTTTTTGGTGAGTTTAGATGCGGCAAAACCCAGATGGCTCACACACTTTGCGTAACCGCTCAATTACCCCGTGAGTTGGGTGGAGGAGAAGGAAAAGTTGCATACATCGACACTGAAGGAACCTTTCGTCCTGAGAGAATCAAGCAAATTGCTGCAAGATACGATTTGGACCCCGAGGCTTGCCTGGAAAACGTCTCATATGCTCGTGCTCTGAACAGTGAACATCAAATGGAACTAACAGAACAACTGGGCGCAGAGCTTTCGTCAGGTGAATATCGTTTGTTGATTGTTGACTCTATAATGGCTAATTTCAGAGTTGATTATTGTGGGAGAGGTGAGCTGAACGAGCGCCAGCAAAAACTGAATCAACACTTGTCTCGGTTGAATAGAATTTCCGAGGAGTATAATATTGCAGTATTCATGACAAATCAAGTGCAATCAGACCCAGGTGCTTCGGCACTTTTTGCAGGCGCAGATGGTAGAAAACCAGTCGGGGGACACGTTTTGGCGCACGCTAGCGCAACTAGAATTCTCTTGAGAAAGGGAAGAGGAGATGAACGAGTAGCAAAGCTGCAGGATAGTCCTGATATGCCTGAAAGAGAGTGCGTGTATACAATCGGAGAACAGGGAATTATGGATTCCAGCGATTGATGTAAAATGCTTGGACATTTTGTCTTTTCGGGCGTGCAATCACAGGAAAACAATCAGTCGTAAAGTTTCTTTATGTTTACAAATGCTAGCTATTCATATGCATCATACCCAAACCTGTCCGGTAAAACCATTGGTGCCACTAAAGTCCAACCATAAAGACCATAGCAAATCCAGGCGCTAACTATTTTGACCCAAGAGTAGAAATAGGTCCTGCCTACCGGAATAAAATCTCCGACATCATCCTTGGTCACATTAACAGTAAGTAGAATAGCTATCCATTGTGTAGCCAGGAAAAAGATTATGTGGAACAGAGAATAGTTGTATCGCGTTGCGATGCGCTCGTCGTCGCCACTTTCTCCTGCAGAGTTGTTAGCCCAGGCTGTATCGTGAAGAGCACTTTCGGGTAATGCACCCTCATCAACAGCCTGTCTAATGGCCTCGGACCGCAATTGGTTTCTAGTTTGACTAACTCCCTCATATTCAATATCATCGTCTCCATCTAGGAAAATATGCTGGTCATTTGAATTGAAGGCGGAATTCGCAGCAGCTCTAGTAGTGGTGTATGCAATTGCAACGAAGGTGAAAAGAGATCCTAGGACAACGCTTAATTTTCGTGTCTTGTCAGACCTTACAAAAGGGTTGCACTGTTTGTCATCAGGTTCGGAAGCCAAAGCACTCATTGTTAAGTAAGTCCCGTAGATGGCAACCATACTGCTTTGAGCAAGACCGCACTTTGGGTTGTATTCTTGAACTTTTGGATGTACCGAAAGCCCTGTAGTAATGATACTAAGCAGTAGATTAACGGTCACTGACACCTGGTTCATGGTGCAGTTATCACGCGCGAATATCACATACATCGCAACTGTCATACCTAGAGCCCCGATATACATTAAACTCGTGCCAATAATCAGGAACTTTTGCCACTTGGAGGAATTCTCATCCTCCATTTCAACGTGTTGTATACACCTTTCGGCCCATTCATGAGCAAAATCTACTAGCAGCACCAGCCCTATAAGGATGAACAGTGAGCCAGAGGGGACGGATACCCATTTGGAAAAAAAAACGAAGAAGCGGTTCGGAATCGTAAAGGAAAGCACGACTAGAAGAACAAATACCAACAGTTTCAGGAGCCACCACGAGTTTTGCAAGGAAGCTCTGCGATCTGTTGTTGATTTCACATTCACCAGCATTGAGGATAACAACAAGTGCAGCATGCCTAGCGAGAAGTTGAGTCGGTGGACGGTGAAGAAGCCACATTCACCCGTCGAGGTACACGTCTTATTAGACCATAAGAATGAGTAGTTTGATGACAAGGAGAACCACGAAACCAGAGAGTTCACTAGTAGGAGCGCAGCATAATTTAATCTCGTTGCCAAAGAGCTGGAACCTCCACTAAGGGACTTGAAGGAAGATACTAACACAGTGGATGAGAGCGAACCAAAGAAGGACGCAAAGAAGGAAGCCGCTGCTGTTACGGGAAGCGATATTATAGCTCCCATTATGAGTTTTGTTTGTTAACAATTACTAAATTAAGAGGAAGGGTGTGATATTTTCATGATTGATTCTCATGATAAAATGACGATTGAACAAAAATCATTGATGCCATGGCCAAGAGTCATGTAGTCATTCAGTTTGGCTCCAAAGTTATCTGTATTGGAAAATGTGGAGAGCCTGAACCTCTCTTGACTCATTTTTGGTCTCCTGAAGTTGCATTCAACAGAGTTATAATGGCGAGACTTTTCCACAGCTGGTTTCAGCAACCGTTGATGGTCAAAAGTACGGAGACAGACGTTTTAGTGGTTGAAAATGTATTGTTACCAATTGACAAAAAGCGATTGATTTGCCAAGTTCTCCTGGAAAATCTGAGTGTCGCCAACGTCAAATTCGTTCCCGATGTCCTGATGTCGTTGGTTGCAGGTGGCTTGCGGAATGGAATCGTAATCGATTGGGGTTGGGAGCACTTATTAGCGACTCCAGTATGTGACCTCAGGGTTTTAGAACGAGAAATGCAAGTGAGTGTGAAAGGCTGCGAAAAACTCTGCGAGGAGATCTACAAATTGGTGGACTCGGATGTTAAATTAGAGACATTATTGAAACAGGCGTGGCAAGATGGAGAACGAGATGAAACTATAGAAAAAGTACGACATCTGATCGATCAAGACTTCATAGGACAGGGAGAATCGGAGTGTGACTTTGATTTGGATGAGTATCCGGTTATTCAAATGCTGAGAAAAATCTACGAAAGCCTGGCACTGGACATTCGCAAAAAATTGACGAAAAACGTTATCGTTACAGGACTTCCGTCTTGGTCTCCAGAACTGAGGTCTCGACTTCAAGATCTTCTACCACATGATTTCCGGATTGTTGACACTCAAGGGCCTTGGGTCGGGGGAAGCTTATACGCCGAGTTGCTTATCACGGCTGATGCCCTTCAGCCTAACAAATCGGACGTACGTAGTACTACGGAACAAGTTATCAAGAATGATTGGCATTTACGCAAATTTGAATATTTAAAGAAATGATGTTCAGTATGAAGGGTAAAAAAATAGTCTCATAGGAATTTTAATGCTCCTCGGTTACTTCGCTTATACCTTCAGTGCTGGAGTCGCCTTCCGAGTCCATCGTTTCTGTTGGTTGTACGAATCTTGCCCACGGTCTATCGCGAAACTCGTTAAGTTCTTGTAGCAAAGAAAAATAGCCAGTTTTGTCATACCCCAAAATGTAATATAGCGAATAATCGAGCCAGCTCAACTGGCTGCTTTTTTCTTTGAGTTCCAACTGCCTCTCGAAAATTGGAGGGTGTCCATCAATAATTCTTGAAAATTCGTCCTGTAACGCTGCAAGACATATACCTTCGTAATCGTCCGGATCTAGGGGTCTGGCGTCTTCATGCTCATGGAAAATTGGAGGATAGTTCATGTTTGTGGGCGTTTCTTTGGAGATGGGTGACAAGTCCAGCAGGTTTCCATACGGAAGCAGTTCGTCGTTTCTCAACAGTATCGGAACAAAAGCCTCAGGTTCTAGCGTCTTGCTCATTTGCGACAAAGTCGTGGGTCTCACAATGCGAACAGAAGGATCCCAGTCTCGAATAGAGAATCGTTCTCTTGTATGCAAAGGTTCTGGCTGTCTCATGTAAGCCACTAAGCTTTGCAAGTCGGAATCTATGGCTGACCTTACCACGCTCGCATTTGGATGCAGTGCCTGAAGCTCAAAGTCTGGCTTTTTTCTGGTGTCTTTGTGATAAGAAGAACGTTTGAGCAGTGGTGTTTTTCCAGCGTAGGTCTCCGCGCGCACCGAAGCGTTCTCGTCATGAGGCAAAGCAAATCGAGTCCGATGTCTAGAGGCGTGGCTCATGTTTAGCAAAACTATGAGAGTGCAAATACAGCAGACTTTCTCTTATAACGACTAGAGTGTGGACTTGAGAGAAGAGACCTGGCTGAACACAAATTCTTGGGATTCAACAGAGTACCATTCGAATTGACGTTATACGTCGTGAATTTATCTGCACCCAACCTCATTTAAAAAGGGAATTTTGGATAGGGAAACAACAGACCGAAGTGCTATCATCTCCCATTTTCTATTGAGCCCGAGACTACTTGTCCAATACGTTTCCTTGAGACATCAGGTTTTCCACGTAATCTTGTAAATACCTGTTCTCGTGAGTCAACTGCTCGCAGATCCTTTTTTGTTTTTCCGACTTATCTAGTAGCAGTTCTAGCGTATCCCGAAGCAGTTTTGTTTTATCTCTAAGAGCTGTCTTTGATTCATCGGTAGGGCCTGACTCTAAAGAAATTTCTGAGCTGCTTTCCACTGTTGCATTATTGACTTGTTCTAACTCGGGAGGAATTTCTTGATCGACCATCTTCAACAAAGTAAAGCGAATAATGGAGCGGTTGTACCTATAAGGTGCGAAATCCAAGCGTTCGTAGCAGCCAAAATCTCTTAAGTCTGTTTAATATTTTGTTTTGCAAGATCGATCTCTTAATTCTCAGAACAAAAACCAAAAAATGGTCTCTAGCGGGATCGAACCGCTGATCCCCGCGTTATTAGCACGGTGCCTTAACCAACTGGGCCAAGAGACCAATTGTTAAGAGCGATGGAGGCTCAAAAATATATGAAGAGATGTAGCGAAGGGATGATGGGCTTTAAGTATAGGTAGCATCAGAGGTTCTGTGTTGGCATTTGCGGATGTCACTTAGATTCAAAATACATGTTTCTATACATAGAGTTCGGAGTACATATTCCACCAAGTTTTTATACGATTTGTTATTCATCATTTTAATCAACTTTGATGGATGAGTAGATTCTTTTTACAAACCACAAGCTGCTGAGGAAACCGATAGTACCAGTGATCAAGCATGACAAGAGCGATATTAACAAAGAGTAGCCCAAGTAAAGCACAATAGTAGTTAGCCCGCCCAATCTAAATTTCGTGAACAGAATGGAATGAACAAAAATGTAGAAAGCACAACCAGCCCCGCCAATCCAAAACCCTCTCCACTGCCACTTCCAGTTTTCCAAGCAGAGCGAATAATATGTGAGCAGCACAGTGACGAGAGAAGTTGTGAGAGTTAGGAGCAGGAATGACACGAAGAGAAACCCAAACATGTAGAAAATCTTGTTGAACCATAAACTGGAATATATGAAATACAATTCCACAGCAATGGAGCCGAAGGGGAAGATGCCGGCAATCAAAGCAGCAGGTATGGTCTTCAAGTACCAAGGTTGGAAAGGTATTTGTCTTGGAATCTGTTTAGTTTTGGTGGGATGAATGTCCCACTGGCATTTTTTCCGGGCGATCAGTGATCCTGCGGCGGACAATGGGATAGAAAACAAAAACCACAGCACCACAATTACACACATGGTTCCAAATGGGATGGCGCCCGCGGACTCGACAAAAATTAGGAAGAAGTTAAGTCCCAACATGACACAGAAAATTGAACCGGGAATTAGCAGAGGAGACAACAGCATGTTAACCTTCCAATAATCGCCGCCAAAAAATTTGTAAGTCGCCATGGATGTATAGGAGCCGAAAGAACCAAACAACGCATACAACATAAACATTACAGTAGTTAAGGATCCACGGGATGAAGGGGATAACAGTCCCATTAGAGCAAACACGATAGTACAACTGGCCATCAAAAATAATTGAGCACCGGAACCAATGAGAACAGATAGTAGCATGGATTTTCTGGGGCTACGGAAAACGTCGCCATGTACAAGTTTCCAGCCAGTTTCCTCTTGAAAGTCATCATCTAAGTTCAACTGATTGTAACGTGACAAGTCATCCCTCAACGTGCGGTACAAACTGTGTATCATTACCGAGGACAACAAGATAACAACCAAAGAAAAGTTAACCAAAGAATACCATTGAATCTTTGGATCATAAACGTGCAAATACTTGTCCCATCTGGTTGCCCACACTGTCGCAGAAGGAATGAAATTGACTGAATACGAAAAATCGACGACAGTTTCATTTTCCTCCGACAGTTCCAAAAGTTCACCGGTTAGAGCGCATGACTCGGGCGAAGATTTCTTTATAGATACAGGGTTCACTATAACCCCGACGACTCTGTAATCACCATTGCCTCGATCGTGGTATTCGATATTAATATCAAAGTGGTTGACGAAGTAAGGCGTTTCTAATTGCTTAACCATTTTTTCGGGGTCCAATACATTTTTTCTTTTAACGAGTTCATTTGAAGAAGGCCTTTCAAGGTAGTCTTCTTCGGCTACCGGCTTAGTATGGGATTCCGAATCCGATTGAGATTCATCCTGCCCTTGGCCATTCATTCTTAGCGTGGATCCACCCACATCTACCAAACCCAAATCAAAACCTGGGGTATAGAAATCTGTTTTAGTTCTTTGGTCGTGCGTTTTGCGAGCTGCTGGAAGCCCATCCACGAGCCAATTCTGGAAAAATCCGTTGTAGATCAGCTTATTCACAAATTTCGCGTCGTCAGCTGGAATAGTTTGACTGCAGAGCGGAACACACTCTTGATTTTTCAACATCTCGATTTTGAACGGAGAATTGTAAATACGGTCTCCGAAGATGATAGAGCCCAACGATTCCCGCTGCTTCTCCAGTTTCTCGGGCCGACAAAAATGTAATTTGTCGTAGTAATAGTCGTATGAGTACAGAAAGGATTCCTTATCACCAATATCATTGTCATCTCCGTCTCTATGTTGGAAATACACTGACGGTGTTAAGTGATTAACCAGTAGTGGAATTTCCTCACCTTCATGGTATGTGGTAGGAGCAACGCCCGGTAGGTAAAAAGACTCCACGCCTGGCACAAGCCATATGGCAGATGCTACAAGCGTCACTAAAAGCTTCATCAAGTCGATTGTTGCTGACCAGCGCTAGTGATATTGATTTCGGTTAACAATGCATTTAGAAATAGATCGTTATTTAAGATTATTGAACAGCCAAGAAATCAAAATCGTCGGGAGTGATGACCAAGCCTAACGGTGGCTGAGAATCTGAAGATCGATCTCTAGAGGTCTTCAAGAGCACTATCCTCTTGCGAGTGCAATCAAGATGACGACTTAATGGTGCTCGGCTGTTTAATTCTGTAATCAAACGCTCTCGACTATTGACAACCCGTTCGTAGGAGATGAACATACGTAATATCCATACTACCGCTGCGTAACTAGGTTAAGTTGCCTGATTCTTTTCAAGAGGCATGGTTTGTACGAAGCTGTCCTCGATGAACATGAAACATTTAGATTGTAATATTCTAACTTCTTCACCTTACTACTTTGAAATCTCTAACGCCATTTTACTAGATATTCAGGGACAAAAGAGACCCTTCGATTATTCACAGAGCTATGCGATATCAAAGCATTGAAAGGATGAGCCTGAAAGAGTTTATATTTTTGGATTATACTATCTGCGCGCAGTCCAGTCTTTGAAAGCCAATTTCTTTTGCATGTAGGAGCTTTCTGAGTTCGAGTCTACAGTTTGAAGAAAAAACGACGGTAATCTTCAGGACCCGTTTTATTCAATCACGCCCTGGCCCTCTTCATTCTATAAAATGTCCCATCACCCTGCAACGAGCTCAAATGATGGTTTTCTCCAAGTGTCTGCAATATCCGATTACCCACTAATTACTGTTACGTCGAGACGTTAAAGCCAACAACCATGCTTCAATTTGTCAACGACGTAGACAAACTCAACTCTGCTACGCTGACCGTCATTCCCGAGAAAATATCAAGTTTCAAAACTCGTGTACCTAAACCAGGAGAAAGCTAGAATGTCTGCCAACATTTATTTGACATAATGAAACACAGAGATGCCCAAGAGTTATCAAAGTTTGTCTTTGTTCATGAATATGTCTGCGTATTCATTCTTTTTAGGGCTTTAGCTTATAGGGCTGAAACCTTCAAAATTGAGTTTTTGTCATTGGAATAGTTCTCGTAGTTTGATTTGAACAGTTCTACAAGACCGATATAGAGAGGACTGCATAGCTCTTGCCAGCCAATGCCGCTATCTTACGAGCGTTATATGAACCTCGTGCTCCATCTGGACTCTGCCTTGGAGCCGGTGCCGCAGGAAATCTCCCGAAAAATCGTCTCTGGAGCGGTATCGCCCGTAGTTACAGTGACTTCCAATGAGGTTTTAGACCAACATATACAAGACAGCTATGGGTTTGATAGCTTATATATGCTTCTGCGGCATTTCGGAGACTGTGTTTCGGACCGCGATCAAGCTGAAAGCGACATTGTAGAAGATGAGCAAGAGGCATCAAATCTGAATCCAAATGTCGTAACGAGAGGTAGAACACGATCCAATAGCCTATTCCAAAGATCTTCTTCGCAGTTTTTGCGCTTCACAAGGCCATTGACAGATTTGATTGGGACCAGAGAGTCCCATGATTTACTCTTCGATTACCATTCGCTTGAGGTATTCTTACAACAATATCTCAGCCTCGTCGAACAGAAAACCACAGCAAATACCCCTCACGTTTTGTTACAACATTCCTTGTACCACAAATTCTTCACCACTGCGATATCCTCTACCTCCCACCTTTCTCCGTATGAATCTTTCAATCATCCAGTCGCATCACTACTGGCGTTGGATATTTCAAAAGATCAAAACTATGAAGATGCGCGGGATCTTCTCATCGCATTCAAAAATATGCATAACAATACACCACACTTTCCAGCCTTCATAAACATCAATGACGTTCTCCCTGTGTTCCTCCTGTGTTTTCAAGAGAACTCTCGTGAACAATTTGAAGCGTGTCAATCATTGGCCAAGATGCTTAAAAAGCAGCTTTTCGTTGAAAGTATTCTACTGCCGTGTTGGAATGAGAACAAGGAAACAGTCAGTTGCATTTTACATCAACCTGTCATGTCTTCGCTCGAGGAAACCATGTTGTCAATGATGAAAAATGACCAATATGAACTCCCACTTCCGTTGATCAATAATATATATGACCGGCTGACTACGTTCACTGAAGAACTTATGATCCCATTTATGAAACGAAAAATCTCATTCTGGGAAGAAACAATCCTACAACCGCGTAAATCCATTTTTCCCAATTCCAAGTTTTTCAGGAAGCTCATGGCCAAAAGTCCTACTCCCTCAACAAACAATGATTCTGCTACACATAACTCACAGGGTCTTGCATATTTTGCCGCAACATCGAACGAATTTCTGCTGAGAAAATTGGCCGATTGGTCCTTCATGCTATCTGATTTCAAAACTGCGTATTCAACTTATGATTTGCTTTCGAAGGATTTCGAAGTTCACCCCGAATATTTGGCGCCTTGCTTAGAGTGGTGCGCCTTGTCAGTTCTGATGGGTGCTCAAAGCATAGTTACAGTAAAAATGATTAAAAACGATATCGATCCTCTAATAGTTAGAGCGTTGAAATCGTACGAGCTATCTGCTTGCAGAGCCAAGGAAAGAAATAATATTCTCAAGAGCAAAAGTCTTCCGTCCGGCTCTAAGGAATCCATTAATGCAACTGGATCAGATAAGAATGCTCTATCTGATAATACATCTGCAGAAGTTGCCACTTCGAACCCACACCAGTCGGCACAAAGCTATGAAACGAGGTGCATGCTTTTGGCTGCCGAACTCTTTTTGAGCCTGAGTGATACGTGGACTGCTACTCCGTACGCCATCAAGTACCTGGAGACCATCTTGAACGAGTGCTCCATAGGGTCACTCTCAGAAATTGTCATTTGGGAAAGGCTTGCGCATTGTTATGCCTTGCGAGTGGATCCCCGAATCAAAGGAAAGGTGTCTTCCTTAGAAAACCGAGGGCTTGATGAACCTGAGAAAGCACCCGAAGAAGCGTACGAATCTGACGTTGAGTCTGACGACGACAATCAGCCGTACGAGCACAAAATTCAACAAGACTGCATAGCATCAATTGGACTAACAAGGAAACGTAAGTCAACGCTTTTTCGACTCATAGCTGCCAAAAAATGGGTGGAAGCTAAACAATGGAGACAAGCCTGGTGGACCTACAAGGATGTGGAAGCAATGTATGCCAATTTAAATTTTGCACACCGAAAAGGTACGATTTTAGAAAGACTGCGAAAGGACATTCAGGCTCATGAGACCTGATCCGAGACTTCGTCTTTGTTCATACATGTAAGTTCCTTTATAAATTATTATTACTATTACAAAACTGTCATTTTTTTATCGAGGATGCCGGTAATTGTTTACCTCGTATAATGCAAAAGTCAACATCAAATAAACTTCATTAGTTTTTCCGGAGGGACTGTATCTATCATTTCGCCTTCATCGATGCGAGGCTTTAATGACTGGTATCTGTCTCCAGAATCTCCGAAGAAATAAGAGAAACCTGCGCCTAGTATTCCCAGTACTGCCAAGGTACCCATGGAGAGAGCAAGGCCAATTAGAACAATAAATCCTCGGGCGATTTTGTTTTGCTTGTCACCTGAATGAGGATGTAATGAGGTGGAAGGCTTCGGACTCTCGCTCGAACTGGATGAATTACCAGAAAAAGTGCTTTGTAAAAATCCCTCGTAACTGTTGATTGTTGAGATATCTTTGTTGGTATAGATGTTAGGTTGTTCTGTCAGTATTGAAGAAGAAAATGCGAGAGTTGTACTCAAAAATGGTGTCCAGATGTCAGAGTGATAAAAAGCTGCACTAATGTTACCATACAACTGGTGGTACATGTCTCCTGTAATAAGTATCATGGCATCGTCATTATCTCTTTTCTGCTTCTGCGAACTAGGCGTTGTTGACACGACATAGGCTGCACCGAAAGAAGATGATTCATCAAACTCGGAGGATATGACAGTCCAGTTTCCATTCCTGAGGTCGTAAACCTTTTGGCCCGATACGACGATGCTATTGCTGGAGGAGCTATCCAGCTTCACGAAACTTTTCATCGTGTCATTCCCTCCGTGAAGCACTTGAAAATCGCCAGTGTCTAGAGAAACAAGTGCGAGACTTGCTTGCTTCGTGCTATTGATGGTGAAGGACCCAGCCAAAATGAGTTGAGATTTGTTCGATAATTGCATACTGTTGATGGTCCCACTTATTGTGTTATTGAAGAAAGAAGACCATTTCTGTTGCTGGTAATCAAACAGACACAACCCAGAACAACCTGTGTCGTTTTGAGCAAAACTTCCTCCGACCAAAATAGATTTATTTTGCTCGAAGAAGATGAATGAGTTGATGGACACTTCGCTTGGCCAAGAGATATTGGCAATATCTTTGTTTGTGCTAGTGTTTCTCATTAAAAATTGGGGGCCTGACACTTGACTTTCCAATCCGATCGCTAGCAAGGTCTCGTTCTTTAGATAAGCCATAGCACCAACCCTGTTATCCCATTTGTAAGGAATGTCTGTTGTTTGAGATTTATTGAGAACCGTAATCCCAAAAGAATTATTAGCAGCATGCGGATCATAAAAGGCATATACTGTGGTGGCATTGTCGATGTAGGTAGCATCGTAAGGTATTCTGCCTTCAAGTAAATTCGAATTTTGGTGTGTTTCTTGCTGATCTGAAGATATTGAAAATGTACCATTCAAATTAGTGTATTCGTTGCGAACTATGCTCCCTTGAAATAACGTATCGTTCATGGTATTACAACCAGCGCTAAAGACAGAAAGGAAAAGCTCTGAGCTATTGTGGAAAGCTTCATTTGAAGTGACGTTAATTGCGTATTGATCATCAAATATCAATATTTCCTCACCCATGATAGTCAGATTGTTCGCGCGAAAAGTCGTTCTGTCCACTCCAGGAAGTGCAAATAGTGTTCCGTTGAAGCCCAATGCACCAACTGATGCCGTATCATTGAACGAGCCCATGAAAGCTAAACCACCCGAATAAGCTAGAATGCCATTGACTTTTTGTCCTATGGTGTCCAAAGTGTGGTTTTCAATATCTAAGTTCTGGTTCAATGTTAAAGATGCCATCTGTCCTAAAGAACTGAGCACTGTAAGATCATTTTCTAATTTGTCTGCGTACAAGTTGGAACGTTTCGGAAATTTTGATGCTGAATAACTCATTATATCAGTAGTAGAGTTAGATTGAAGATGCCCAAGGAAAGACGACGAATTGGATAAACTGTATTGCAGCAAACCGTTTAAGACGTTGAGACTTTCTGTCTTGTCAAAAACAGACGAATCATATTCATCAATGACAACTTCAACTCTGTCAGCCACCATTAGCTGCGTTTCAGCATCGGTGATGGAACTTTCATAGGCAAGCGAGACACTCACACTCGAATCTAGATACCCAGAGTATAGAGTGTCGTACTTTTCATAGTCGTTATTCTGGTATATCATTATTGTCGATAGAATTGTACTGTTTTGCTTGTCGCGTAGAGTTGCATTAACAATGCCACTCGCAGAACAAAAGTTATCTGCAAGACAGCCGGGCGTAAAGACATTAACTGTGTATTCGCCTGGATAGTTTATTGGTACCGAATATTCCACGGAGGGCTCGCCTTGAGAAGTATCAAATTGCGTGTAGATGTAGTTTCCATCCGTCGAGTTGTCTAGCCATAAAAAAGAGTCCGATGGATCTGCAGTAAAGTTACTGGCGGAACCAATGCAATTAGGTTCGTTCAACGAGTTATTTGCGTAAACAGAAATTTTGTTCTCATAAAGCTCAAGGGATTTTAGGCCGACGCTGGATCCGTAAGAGTCCAGCGCCATAAAGGTGAGGCTCGCTAAGGGGACTTCATCAACAAAAGCGAAATCTTGATAGAGCGAAGACCATTCAAGTGTTGTTTCGTTGTTAAGGAATTGGACCATGTCTGAAGCATCCTTCTCTGAGCTTGTCGCTGATAAATTAGATAACGCATAAAGTGGACACCATGCGTCACAAGATGATAAAGACCCAGTAGAAGGGTTCAAGTACGTGAGGTTCATAATGCTGTCGGACGGTTGTGTTAGGATGCGGAACAACGAAACCTGCTCATCTGCGTATGGAGAATTGTAAAGGCGGATTTTGGAAGCGCGCGTTTGCTCTGCAAGTGTAAACTCTATTTGCCCCACACTAGTATCGTTTTGAAGCCACCCAGTGCCTTCTGAGGATGAGGCTGATGGACAGATCAACTGATTCTCATTTAGGATGCCTGCCGACTGTACTTGAGCACTCCTCAACGAAACGGGGTGACCTAGCTCTGGAATTGAAGTATTAGAGGCATTCGAGGATAAGCTGTTCTTTAGCATTTTAGTATTGCCAATGGTTGAAAAGTTACCTGCAAAGAGCAAATTCTGATCATCCCACTTTACAATAGAATTTACCATGGAGTCTGATTCAAATCCCCCAAATGTCAAATTCTCGATCTTGTCCTGAGCAGGATCCCAGGCAATGATGCTGTGAGTTGTTTGATTCGAGACGTTATACGTGAACGACCCACCAAAATATACTTTATCATGGACAACTGTTATAGCGTTCACCTGTGGAAGGCTTTGGTTGAAGATTGTTTTGTATTCCAGGGTTGATAGATTGAGCATCAATTGATGATCCAGCTCTTGGCCATAAATAGTCCCTGATCCGCTCAGAATGAATGAGTCGGAGCCTAAAGGCACAATGTGGTCGATGCTGAATGATTCATTACTGCTTGGTGCCCTGTAGAGCTCAAGAAGCGTTTCATTGGAGTAATATATCAGGTTTTGCCAGCTTGTTGTGTTATCGGTCTCTCCCGTGAAATTGTTTTGTCCACTGTACTTGTAAATATTTAGATCTCTGAAATTGCCCAGCACTTGGATCTCGCTATTTTGACTCTCAGAAAGGTCTAAGGTTGGCAATTCAATGTTTTCGATGCCTAGCTGTTGCTCGATATGCGCCAGTTGAGACCCGCAACACAATGTTGCCGCCGCTGCGACACTTGAAAACCAAACAAGTTTCGATGCGCACATTAAAGAATCACCGCTAACAATCCGGACTTCTGGTTTCTGGCAATAGGTCGCACCTTTTGCTGTAAGACGAAAACCTTAGCAGGGTCCAGTGGAAATCAAATAGACTGGAAAGGTATTAAATTTTACCAAGACTATAGAATCGCCGCCAGCCTTTAGAAGTACTTTGAGACCTAGTCGATGGGTCTATATTCAAAGAACGACTGGTGAAGACAAATTCGAAGACTCGTATCAAACTAAGAATGCTGGATTTGTTCAACCGTTCTTAGATCTCAAGGCATTCTTTAAAAAATTTACCTCGTGCCAGGACGCCCGAACAAGTAAATGATAAATATCGCCAAATTAGACGACAGGAAATGATAGCATGAGGAATCCAGCAGAGGCCCAGCAGAGACAGTATTAGCAGCGATTTCATACTTGTTCATGCAGTGTCGGTGTTTAAGGGTTCAAAGAGGCCAGGTGTGATGCTGACAGTGCGGAGGTTTTATTGTTTTAGTGTACTTGGTTCCCTGATTACGTTACAGATTGGTAGTATAGGTTTGATAACAAATAACTATAGGGAAAGCCCGCAATGAGAGGATGTATGTTGACTGAAATTGTGAGCGTTGAACTTTCGATGCTTTTCAACAACATGAGCTGTTCCAATTTTCTTTCCGTAAGTTGTTGGTTGTGTATATGACCACTGGAAATTTTGGTGACCCTAAAGCAGATTGTGCAATCAACAATTTTACTACTAATGCATGACTCGATTTGCATAGCTCGAATTGCGTTCATTCATCAGTCAATTTTCCGATTTCTGAAGCATGTCAGGTTTAAACTCAAAGCATATTTTTGAAGCATTCTAAATGGATTTAAATTCGCTAAGTAGGTTTTGCTGACACAGAAAAGCCACCTGTTAAGCTGCGTAAAGTTCAGCTTGGAGAAATTGAGGCCGGTCTCCAAAAATAGCCGATAACGAAATTCAGCCCTAGTCGCTGTGTTCGTCTTCGGCCGGTAATCTGCTTGATGTTTACTGCTCCGAATCTTGTGTCGAAATCAAGGAGGACCGTGCCACTGTACTAATAACAGAGCACCGGCTGCAAATACTTAGCGCGAAATATGATTCTTCAACATATTAGACCGAGAATGTCCATTACTATAAGAGAAAGTAGAATCGTAAATAATGTGGATAATCGCGTGGGTCATGAGTTGATCTTAAATTCTGCCTTACTGTCACAACAGCTCAAATAATGTGAACAGTTTCATTTCTCTCTCAGACGCTTACCAGTTTAACATTTTGGTCACAATGTTTTTTGACACCCATCTAATGAGAATGATCGTTGAGAATTCTTCTGTGTCTTCTGAACCCTTGTGCATAACGTAATCTAGATCTTGAAATCGGATGAGGGCTATTGGAATTTTATTTTCGAAACCTTAGAGCATTGTTGTCGAAACTATTTGGTCCACCTGTTGTCCATGCCAAGCAATAAAAAGTTAAGAATCACACAAGGCTGATGATTGTATTCTGTCGCTACCCAGACATTTCACACCATAGGGAAAGATTGGAGGTATCTTGCTCCTTTCTCGCTATATCACGCTTGAGTTGATAGCGGACGATCTGGAATACCTGATGTTTCTTTCTCTCGAATATGTCCATTTATTACTTAACATATCCACACGCTCCGAAATCTGAAGCAGCCAATGAAGCTCAAATAGTACACTTTGTCGCTATAACGATAGCTCACTCATATTGCTTGGTACTGTGAAATAAAAGATAATTGGGCGTCACTTCCGCGCGAAGGGTAGAAATATCACAATAAAGTGTCACTTCGAATACAATTGTTAATGAAAATTTGAGAAATGGCACGTCAAGCGTAAAATGCAAGCGGCAACATTAGTAGCTCGTTCGTACTATTTCGACTTTTTGATCAGAGTGTAATTTATTTTCTGGCTGGCTATCTCAGCCTTATAAAGCAAAACACCAGCCAGCATACAAGATGCTGAAGAATTTTCTCGACTATTGATTTCAAGTTTATTCTCTGATTCCCTAAAAGAGCTTTAGTTCATCATTAAACGAGCGGTGTTAGCGTAGGTAATGCCCGGCTCAAATGAATGGTTGATGCGCCGGATACTATTTTTTAGACGCAGGTTACGTGTGCTGATTACAACGTTCAGTAGCTCCAAACAAGTTTGCTCGAGAAACATGACAATTGCTTCGCAAATCAATTAGCCAAGCTTTGTAGCTACTCTGCCGTATGCGTATGCTCTCTAATGAGCCAGCGGCATTATGTAAACGTTTCCTTTCTCAGTAGCAGCGCCTAAAAGGTTGAACCCTAAATGCTTTACAATTGACTTCCAAATGCACCATTGAATTCGGACTCATGTATAGTCCCGGTATTTAGATCATTGCTAAAAGTTCTTTCGGATCGTAGCCACTGTCAAGAGCACCAGCAAAAAAAAGAGTTTGGTCGACCAGTTGATGCGATATCAAACTTCATTTTGGAGCTTATGAACGACTTTCGGTTACCATACCTTTCTCGAGCTCTGGATTTTTGAGTGTTCAAAACGTTGAACTTCATTGGAAAGAATATTATTTTATTTAAAATTACAACTTGTCCGAGAACAGGAAAATTTGGTTATTGCTACTGGTTATTGGATGCTGTAGGTTTAAAGATTGTGGCCTTGATGCTTCAAGTAACTTCTTCAACCTCAATCAGTGTCTGACAAGGCGGCCTCACGAAATTCCGGTTTGTGTTTTACAAATGCATCTTTCATACTTCCCAAATTGTTACAAGACCAGACAACTGATCTATTCTCTTTTTGTCTAACCTCGTCAATGAGGTCAAGAACATCCTCTGGAGGAATGTCCATCGAGTGCGAAATACGCTCCACCCATTGTACAAATGCCTTTTTTTTTTGAAAGGTGCGCTTCTTCTTAAAGTGTACTAGGTTTCTTTTGCCAAAATCGTTTACAAATGAATCGATCTGCGGCCGCAGTGACTGGTAGTACTCATTGTACATGCCAAAGATTGAGTCTTGATCGTTGGCCATCACTATTGCCAATTTTCCATCTTCGTCCACCAAATAACTTTTGCCCTCTGGGGTCAATGGCGGTTGGTAACTTTCGCCTTTAGTCAATGTAGCTCCTGTGAACTCACGAACTTTGACTTTAGGCTTCCTCAATGTTGGATACCTGCCCTCACTGATATTGCTCGCAGTACTACTCCCCACTATGGTGGCCATAGGTGGCATTGGTGATGTACCTGACCTTCCTCCACTACTGAATACCGTGGCCGCTTCATCTTTTGTCAAGCGTTCGGCGATTTTGAGCTCTGTCCCGAATTGAAAAGCATTTGTAGAGGAGTGATAGGGAAGTAAATTGTCGTATCCGGTGGAAGCACGACTTCCCACATCCAAATTAATTTTTGTGTCATCATTGCCACCAATGTTAGATGTGTCCATAGGGTCTGGCTGAGCCAGAATGATGCTTTCAGGTAAATTGGGCTGGAACTGAGAAGATTCCATTTTAGATGAAGTTGGAGATGGTGTTTTGGGAAACACATTATCCATATTGTTTTTCAAAAGCAAAAGCTGATACTTGATGTTCCTTAGACTTTCAGAAAGGACATTGTTTTGACGCCGTAGGTCATCGTTGGCATTGCCCAGGGCATTAAGTCTCTGGAAAATTTCTGGAATTGTCTGTCCGAATAAATTGTCTAGGTTTTGTTGTTGAGTGATGTCATGATTCAATATCGCTGGCTGTGTTGTAAAAGGCTCATGGAATTCAGAATAGGTATGCGAAAGTGGCGACTGATGGACGCCATAGAATTGCGGCGCTTGCTGCTGTGTTGACGATATGGGTGGCATAGGTGCGGATGAAGGCCCGGTTGCCGATGGTTGCTGATTTGAGTAGTCTAAAGGAAAGTAATCAGGAATATCAGAATTTTGTTGATTTGAGTAATCGTTTGTTGAAAAAGGAGGAGCTGTGGATGTTGCCGAATTTTTGTTAATCGAAACGATCAAACTTTCTAGCTGACTCTCATCAAGAGGACTCCAATTGGGATCTTCGGCTTCGTCATCTGGTTGATCAGTATACATATCCGGTTTTTGCGGGAACAACGCCATTTCGAGATTCTGCAAGAGTTTTAGAGCTTTGAAAGCCTGGTAAAGAGTTGCGGTGTTGTAACAGTACTCGTTCCAATTGGCCATCAAAAATGCGATTCCTTTCTTTGTGGTAATGATAAACCGAGTACCTCGCAGGTCCCGCGGAAGCTGCTGTAGAGAGAGGCACCATTTAAAGAACCGCAGGATTACTGGGATGTACATGGCGGATAGCACCTCCGCTGGATAGTTCATAAGAATTTTGAAAATGTAGTCTATGTGAACGAGGCAGGTGTATTGGTTTTGATATCGGGACTTCGCAGCGCTGTAGCAGTCGTAGATGCTTTCCCGATTACGCATTTGAACCAAAGTGTTCCATATAGTCTCTTGAAGTAAAAAGAGTGTGGACTCGACCAGTTCTTGGTTGTGTCCCGTTTCTATGTTGCCGTGACTCCCAGTAGCATCTGCTGCTGGAACTGTGATCGTTGTCGCGGTTTTAGCTGTACTGTCGCGGCTGAGGGTTTCGTCTCCGCCAGAAAAAGCAGACGATCTTGGGTGGATGCCGCCACTGTTATGGCTAGAATCGTTGGCTGTGAGCGTCGAGAGAGCCTGTGGCACTAGTTTGGGCTGTGATTCGGACTCCATGCCGTGTAGGACAGATAAGCTGGACCAGACGCAGATACCACGGAAAACTCGTGTCAGTCAGTCCAGAACAGCCGCTGTTTAGACTCAACAGAGTTAGGCTGCAGAAAAGATGCCAAATTTCTCAACACAGCGCTATCGCTGTAGCTAACTGTGGGTCGATTCGGGAGGCTTTGCGTCTGCGAACCAGGCGTGCCTGTTTTCTATTTCTTGGAGCGTTCGTCGGTGACCGTGTTGAGAATACAAAACACACAGACAACGCAGAACGTGCGATCAAAGAAACAGCTAACACTACTTGTAGGTCTCAGGTGACAGAGACCACGATTTACAGTCTTGTAAAACTCCAAAAGCCCTTTTGAATAGCTTGTCTTTTCTGTTTTTCAGATGCTTCGTTATTCTACGTCCGGAGCTGTAATGTACTTTTTTTCTTTGTGCCGCCTAAGTCAATTTGGCAACGTTAAGCGTTTAATAGATATAGAATAGTAGACTGTACACACTATAATACACGATATCCACGACTATAAAGCACTTGATCCACTCGAAACCGTTCGATGTTGCCAGTATAAATATCACTCTAAGTATTGTATACGCAGGTAGAAAGCATTCAGCTTTGACGCCGGTCGCTGGATCATTTCCTATAGGCAATAAAGTTAAACTTCAAACGAGCCGAAGAAAGAGTTAATAAGATTGAAAAAATTCATGAAAACTGCGGTCAGAAAAACGCCAAAGCGCGCTTGGAACAGCCCTGATGGATGGTATAGCTATCGCACAGCATACTTGCTATCTTACATGCCGTCCTGTGTAGTCGTTTATGACCGTTGAACTAGCTCCAATGCACCTCGTCGATCCCCCAGAAAAGTTTGGGTCACGTGGTACGTTGTTGAGGGTCCAGAGGCAATTGGGAAACCGGTCGGTTGGATACCGTGGCGGGTACGTTGAGCGTTGCTGGGAGTGTAGTTTGTTTGCTTTGAGAGTACCTAGCGTTTGCTTTGTGCTCTCTCTTGCCAGAAAAAACCGGGTCGCGAGTGAGACTGGCGCACTCCTCTGAAGCGCCGTTGTCATGGGGTTTTCGAAGGCAGACGCAATGAGAGAGGTCCTGATACTCAGAATGGTAGCACCCCAGCTACCTTGCTTGGTGTTATTTAATTTTGCGTGCTATTCGATTTTTAAATCAACAGCAACTGCACCATTCTGGACTATCATTTCCAGCAGCTTACAACTTGTTCTTCTTTGGGCAAAAGGGCACCAATATAACCTTCTCGCCGGACTAGATTGCAAGTTTGTTTTTCCCCAGAGGGCAAACCACCTCTCTCTAAAGCCAGCTACCAGATTTCGTAATCCAGCTAAAACCACTGTGTTGATACGATACCACACCTGCTCTCCCACCACCATTCCACACGTATGTTTCCGCTCTCCCAGAACCTGCTTTCATACCCGTCCAAAGCGTCGTTTCGGTACAAAGTGATGAGTTCAATGGCCACCACTAAAATCACTTCCAGCCAAGCACCGCTATCCCAGTCTAACCCATTTGGATTGCACACACAGTTCACATATATCAATTAACCCTGTGGTTTTCCTTTTGCTATCTTTTCGCTGTTCAATTTGCTCACAGCAGTCTTTAGGTCAGCTTGTAAACTCTCGAGCGTCTTCCCTGCAGCATACGATACACTGAGCCATTCGTAGAGCCGTTAGCATATTCTCAGCACTGGTTTCTCGCATGTTCAAAAGGTTCTTCTACATAACCCTTCGTTTCCTAACAAGTCCACTTATCCGCCAAATACGAGCATAACCAAAACCCTTGGGGTGCGCGAGTTGATCTTCGGTGAATCGATGTATTTGGAGTGTATAAGAAGCAATGGTCGACGCATAGATTTCAGATCAGATGGTCGTTTGATTTGTGCTCTATTTCCTGATCGTCAATCAAATTATATCAAGCTCTCTAGTCTAGTATCGTTCGTGATCTTAGGACTGTTTTCAGCCGTCATCAACGCTTACCGTTTCGAATGGAATAATATCACTTGTCAAGGATTACATGGACCTCATTGTGGCATCTACTTGTCGAAGGTGAAGGGACAGAATGATACCTACATTGGTCAAAGCTACTTTGTTGGCGACGATGCTCTATCGCAGGGTCCAGCTGACACCTGGGGTAGGTTTTTGCGCGAAGAATATAAACTCTTGCCAAGATTTACTACCGTTCAAACCCTAAATGACACCGGAAACTTTGTTCCTTTCGTAGGTACCACCAACATCGAGACTTGCAACTTCCAGTCTATTGAGAATGCAATGACTCCTTTTGTTAACACCGTCACTAATGAATTGTCCTTTGATGCTTGGGCGGATACTAGCATGAACGCGACAGCTGTTAAAAATCTGGCACCTCAATTGTTGAAAGCCAGCACCTATGCCGTGCAAGTTGCTACCTGCACTCCTGGATTCATGGCAGATCTCCTCGAGTCTCCAACGGTCAACATTTTCAACAATGATGAGATTTTACCACCTTGGTGTCAACCAGTTGAGATAGAGGCTGTCTGCCCTGCTTACGTCAATTACCAAACTCGTTGAAGTTCCAACTATATCAATATACCACAACTTATGTTTAACGCTTGACATTTAAGTACCAATCGAATTTCAAAAAAATTCATTATTATACATTGTCGTTAGCTCGTGGAGAATAAAATACTTAAATCTGTGTATAGAGCTCTCATTTCTCAACTTCGTCCACCATCTGTCTGTATTTTCTTTGCGTCTCTGCCATGTCCAAGAAAATCTTGTACTTGGTGTTCAAAAGCATACGATCAGGGTTATCGTCAGGACAAGGCTGAACAACTTTACCACCACCAGTCATGTTGTACATCACATTCCACATAGTATCACCGTTGTCCGAGGATCTCCCCTTCATGCGGTCTTCCATGTCTTTCTTCCACTTCGACTGAGCTTTGAAGTTTAATTCGGATCCACCTTCTTCTGTTTCGTCGAATTGATCATCGTAATGGTGACCTTCATCAGCAGTAGGGAACGGAAATCCCACAGTGGAGGCGATTTGAGCTGTGCTAGCAGTGGCAGATGGAGCAGTGTATGGGGATGGCAAGTCGTCCCCACCAAAGTTCCCGAACTTGGACATTGCGGATTTCTTGCCCTGTGTGTTGTGAGACATGTCCCCAGCGATAGAAGACTTGCGACTTACAGAAAGGGCAGACTTGGTACCACTGATGTCGAAGCTTTCGCTTGCCACCGCACCTAGTAGAGCAGACCCGAACACAACAGCAGCATCAATGTACCTTGGAATGACAATTGGCAAGCCGGTGCAGTCGGCTAACAGCCTCATTAGCAAACCGTTACGGCATTGACCTCCCGACATGAAAATAGTTGACATATCATGTCCCGAAGCAGTCATTTTTTCAACAATTTGCCTCGTTTGTTGTGCAATAAATTCGCAAGCACCCAAATACATCAATGCTAGGTCGTCTATAGAGTTGTCCATGGATTGACCAATTATAGCAGCACGCATGGAGGAATCGGCGATGGGAGACCTGTTCCCGTGGTAGTCACCGTAGAAGAAGAGGTGTCTGGCCAAGTGAACCACGGATCGGGCCTTTTGTTGTTGTGCCAACATTTCTAGTCTTGAGTTTAAGTAGTCGAACTTCGAAACACTTGCGGCGTCAGCCAGCTGCGACAGTTCGGTATATGCAGGGTGGGTCGTTAAGACGTGTGCCAACAGCGCACCGGTACAACTTTGACCACCCTCGGCACACCAAAACTTGTTGGCCATTACGTCTCTGTAAGGGCCCCATACACCGTCCACGAAAATCGGGTCACGCGACATAGCTATGTGACACGTAGATGTGCCTGCAACAGCGGCAAGACGACCGGTGGCGCGATCAATACCAACTTTATCTTGATCACTCTTTGTTAAGGCAGGAATTGGAACATCTGTCCTAGCGGCGACAGTGCCGACCCAGCCGGCGTAGGCGTCGATAACACCAGAACCGACAACACAGTGATTGGAAAGACCCAGTTCTTCGGCCACAGTCTCGTCGATGGCACCAATGAATTCACCAGCGCTCAAAAAGTTTTTGCCCTTGTCGGAATTTGTGACAGAGCCACCGATTCTGCGGAAATCATCCTCGATTAGCTCCTCGAGGCCGATCTCGTTGAGGAAATCGCGAGACCACCCTTCAGTGGAGCCCTCGACGCCAACTGGCAATAAGCCCTGCTTACACGCAGTGGAGCAGAAACTACGGGTCTCCTTTCCGGAGGCCTTGAAGGTCAAGTAATCGGCCAAATCAAAGAACTTGCATTTCTTAAATTTATCATCAGGTAAATGGTTTTTCAACCACTTAATCTTGGGGATCTCCATTTCCACGGACATTTGGCCACCAACATATTTGAGACATTTGTCACCGGTTGCGTTGATCTGTGCGGTTTCATCGATGGCTCTGTGGTCCATCCATAGAATAATGTTCTGGTCTGTGTTGTAGAAGTCGGGGCCCACTGCAACCTCTTTGTCGCTACCTTCTTCAACTACCACAAGCGAGCAAGTGGCGTCGAAGCCGATACCGTGGATCTTCTCACGGGGTACACCGGAGTCGCGCACCACTGATTTAACACAGTGGCACACAGACTGCCAGATTTCTTGCGAAGATTGTGTGATGAAATTGGGCTTTAGTTGCTCTCTCTGGATAGGTCTTTCGGCCAATGACAGGATGTTACCCATGCTGTCGATGATACACGCTCTGGCGGAACCAGTGCCCACGTCTACACCGATGTAGTATAGCATTTTTTGTTGTTCGAGCGACAAACCAGCCATGGAATGCGACATCATTCTCTGCTGAGAAATGGAAATAGACGACCGCGATCTTCTGGAGGAGTACATTGTGCGGTTGAAATACTATTAGTTGTCGGAAATATGAAGCAGTGAAACTTTAAGTTAGATTTTTGTGAAACTTTTGAATCGTTTGTCCCTAACCAATTGAGAATTCTATTTTAAAGTGCCCTTCAACACTGTTAGTCTCTTTAGAGGATCAAATTCTCTTTTTCTTTTGTAAAATTCCATTATTTGCACTCCCGCCCTTTTATATAGTCCTCGAACTCATGCCCACCCTAAAAACAATACAGTGAGTGCCATTATAAATTTGCCTCCATTGCTAATTACGTTTTTTTGCTGTTCTGGAAAACCGTTTAGCCTGTACTCTCAACACTTTTAGAGAGTACAGTTGTTTGTCGAACTTCACGTGAAGCTACCAACAGGATACGTTACGATTGCTCAATGCAAAAGGGATTCAGTTGATGGCAATGGTTATGCTGGTCGACATGGGAAACTTGGGAGAAAACGTCATAGTCGATGAAAGCTCAGAGCACTTAGGTCACGTGTCGGTGTGTTCAGAGCTTAGCGCACGTGAGGGAAGCTGGGAAGAATGTAAAATTCCAGATTACGCTCGCAGCGACTGTGGGATTGGTTTTTGCAGCGAGTGAAATGTATAGCGGAATGTATGGGAGTGGTTTAGAGGCGACTGTGTCGTTCTCACGTCGGGTTTTGCTGGCCTGCCGTGAGTAAATACTTTGGCACTCTGGACGAGAAGGCTTATGGCGTAGTGGAGGCGGCGAATCTGCAGCTGCTGCAGCGGCTTCAACGCACCATTCTTCTAGTGCTCGGCAGGACACTACAAAGCTGCGCGGGAGCTGTAGAAACCAGAACGCAATTTCAAGTTGAGGGATTTCCAGTCACTCTGAACGCAAACCCTCTTAGCACTTCTTCACGGTTGTGTAAAAGCCCTACTCGAGCTTCCTGATGTTTGAGCGACTGAACTGTCCTTGTGTACCTAGTCCTGAGGAACCTCGTTCACGAGAACACCCTGCTATACCATCCAGCGGTAAAAACTATATGTCATTTCTGACGACACGTTGATGATCTCAGCGGCAAAATACATACAACACATGCCAGGTGAGCCAAACAAAGTTCGACTGGTCACTTTCAGCCATTACTTGAACTTTGTAGCTGAAATAAACTGCTGGGCGTAGTAGTTGTTGTATCGGAGACCCAGGCTTAGTTTTTCTTCCGCGGTTAAATTGTTTCTTTCAAGAAGAGTAAGGAAGACACTCTTAAAAAGTCCGGTCGAGTTTCGTTGGCCATCAAATTTAATAACTACACACGAAATGCGCCGATCACTATCCTATGTACAACTTGTCGCGCGGTCAGTCCCGCAATCTAACAAATGACCTGGCCTTCAGATTCTATTATTACTATCAGACTCCATGTCTTTCCTCCCACACAACTGCTCGTCGTCCAGCTGTCGCATTATGTCAGTTCAGAGCCATGCTTGGTACCCAAAACGCTTTGCTGTACACCACTCAACACCGTGTTCGTAGTACTCTTCTCTTGTAACGCGTGAATCACGATAGCTCTGGGTTGAAGAAAAATCTTTCATGCAATGCCACCCAAACGTACTTGCGTCAGAGCGAGGAACAAACACTCGACAAGACCAGTCCGTAGGGCATTGTCGCTGTAGCTCTGTAGCAAGCCTGCCGGCGAAATTTGGTATGTTGAAGTTGCCACCCGTGACTACGATATTTCCAACCATTAGAGGACGGAACGCCTCAGGCAGCATGGATATGCTCTCCAGAATTGTCTCTACAATTCCTGGACTTAGCAAGGATGCGATCTCTGGGTGAAAGAATGTTTCGGGGACGGAGAAGAGTTCATCTTGGAGAACTATGGTTTGTGAGTCTTCTGGTAACTGTTGTCCCGGTTTTCTCAAGTAACCTTGAAAACTTGTGTTGAAGTCTGGCAAAACATATTCCTTAGCAGTCTTGAGCCGCGATTGAAAGCTGTCAAAATAGGAATTTGGACTCATCAAAAGACAGTTTTCCTTTATGCTATTCACCAATATTGTCTCGTCCATTACATTGTAATGGCGAAATGACAAAGTCTCGCGTAGAAACCCGTTAAGGAAACGTCCTCCAATGTCTAATTTTTTTACAGCCTTGTAATAAGGAATGCCCTTGATTATGGGCACAATCCAGGTACAGTTGAAACCCGAATCTATGACGAGTTCAAAGCTCTTATACTCTTGGGTCGTTTCTGTATCCTTGGCCGTCTCTTCTCTTTCGTTGGCATTATCACCCTTGGCTTGTAACATATGCGTAGTCTTGTCGTTGACTGAGAACGGTACAAAGACAGGGACCGGCGCCTTGAACATGGTGGAAAACTCGCACTCTTCAAAAACAACTTGATCCATGTTCTTGCTCAGTTCTGGAATGGTCATACACGTTTCAGATGCTACCAAATGCTTTCCTTTCGTAGAGTCTAGGCTCCAGCCGTCGAAAGCATCGGGATTGTAAAGACAGTAATCCCAGACTTGTGTTTCCAATTCCCATGACAACAGCTGTCCTAGCTCATGTGGCCTGGTGAAGGATACAGATGAGATGTCTTTGATAGAACGTACTTGATTCGAAAGATGAAAGTTGCCATATTTATCTCTAGCGATTGAATTTAGTGCCCTAAAAGGTTTCTCATTAGTAGAAGGACCAAATTTGACTTCATATGATCCGTTATCGATCACTATAGGGCTCTCTTCCATGAACAAATTTCGTTGTGCGACGTGCTCGCGTAATTTTCATAAGTAGCCAAGCTTCTTTAAAAATTCAGATAGCTTACTGAAGATCATAATAGTATTGAAGCACGTCTCACACGCATTAAAAGTGAGCGGCTGTTCATAGAGATCAATTACAGCGTCGCCAATACTCTCGAACTCATGGACAGTCCATTGTCCAAAAAGCAGAAAACTCATGTAAATCAAAGCGATGATTCCTCTCAAGCCGAAGAATCTCCGGACGTGACAAGAGCCTCAAGATCAAGAACCCCCAGAAAGCTAGTATTGGGCTCTCCAGACAAGAGATTTGCGCTTTCTCAGCCTGTAAGTTCTTCTTCAAATGTGCCATTCCTTCAGCCCTTGAAGGACGAGCTTCCGAGTTCCAGAGGTCGTGTTTATTCGCAATCGCCTCCAAGATCACCAAACAGATCTCCAACGCGGAAGTTGGAGCTGATACAGCTTTCGCCAATGAAAAAATCAAGGCTCGAAATGCAAAAACTTCAAGAGTCTCGTAATGAGCTAGAATCCATCGAACGTTTATGCATAAGCCGCCTCGTTTTACATAATTTTAAATCCTACGCCGGGACGCAAGTTGTTGGGCCATTTGATTCTTCGTTTTCCGCTGTGGTGGGTCCCAATGGATCCGGAAAGTCTAATGTCATTGATTCGCTCCTTTTTGTGTTCGGCTTCCGCGCCAACAAGATGCGCCAGGGCAGATTATCGGAATTGATTCATAAGTCAGAAGCCTTCCCCGATCTCAACTACTGTCAAGTTGACATACTTTTCCAGTATGTCCAAGATGAACCCGACGGGAGTACTACCGTGAAGACCAGTAAGCCAGAGCTCGTCATCTCCAGAAAGGCTTTAAAGAACAACTCATCGAAATATTACATTAATGGGAAAGAAGGCACTTTCACCCAAGTAACGCAACTCTTGAGAAAAGAGGGCATAGACATGGATCATAAAAGATTTCTAATCTTGCAAGGAGAGGTTGAAAGCATTGCACAGATGAAGCCAAAAGCAGAAAAAGAAAGTGATGATGGGTTACTGGAATATCTCGAGGATATCATTGGTACTGCGAAATACAAACCGCTCATAGAACAAGTGCTGATCGAAATCGAACGGCTAAATGAAGTTTGTCAAGTGAAAGAAAACCGATTTGAAATTGTTGAACGCGAGAAGAGTTCGTTGGAGTCAGGCAAAGATGAAGCACTTGAGTTTCTTGAAAAGGAGAAAAGACTTACTATTTTACGAAGCAAATTATTGCAGTACAGACATTGGAAAAACGACGATAAACTTCTCAGTACAAAAAACAAGAAAGCGGTACTTGAACAAAAGTTAGCTCGGGAAAAGGAGAAATACACAAAGCAACAAGAAGAGCTGAAAGAGCTGGAAGACGGTATTGGTTCTATTAAACGAGATCTGAAATGCCACCGAGACAAAGAGAATACCGTCATGGTGAGGAAACGCAACTGCGACCGCGAAAGGGTGTCATCTGAAGAAAAACTAAAAAATCTTGAACAGAAGAAGGTGAAATGGGGTAAATCTCAACAAGTCATAAAAGCTTCTATACAGACTACGGAAGCAAAGTTGAAAGAGCTCTTGAGAGATCAAGAAGAGCTCTCTGCCGAGTTTAAAGAGTTGAACGAAAGCCTGGCAGTGGAAAAAACCAAATTGAATGAAATCAAGCTCTCTCTGCGAGACAAAACGGGTACTATTTCGGAACAAATCGGAAGTATCGAGAGTGACTTGGAACCGTGGAACGTGCAACTTCAGGCTAAAAGATCTCAAATAAAGTTGGAAGAGACAACAATTTCAGTGCTTAAGGAATCCCACGCTAAAATAGCTCAGGAGATTAAATCTACTGAAGACGAAATTTCGAATTTTCACCAGAACACCGCTGAACATCATGCAGTCATTGCGTCGCTAGTCCAGGAACAAACTGAAGTCAGGAAACAGCTGACTATGGGACAAAGTGAGTGTGATAATGCGTCTATCAAAATAAAAGAAATGAAATTAGTACTCACTGCACACCGTCAACGTAGCGTTGATGCCCGGTCGTCGCTATCGACTTTCGAGAATAAGAACAAGGTGTTAGCAGCACTACACCGTTTACAAAACTCTGGTCGCATTTCTGGCTTCCATGGCCGCTTGGGAGATTTAGGAACTATTGACGACAAGTACGATGTTGCAATATCAACTGCTTGTCCGCGACTTGATGATATCGTGGTAGAGACAGTGGAATGCGGTCAACAGTGTATTGAATATTTGAGGAAAAACAAACTTGGGTATGCGCGATTCATTCTGCTAGATAAGCTACGATCATATAACTTACGTGCGATAGCAACACCCGACGGTGTACCTAGGCTCTACGACTTAGTCCGACCAGCCGATGAGAAATTCCGAAGCGCTTTCTATAGCGTTTTGAGGGACACGCTGGTAGCAAGGGATTTGCCCGAAGCTAATCGGGTGGCTTACGGTAAACAAAGGTTCAGAGTGGTGACGCTGGATGGTAAATTAATCGACATTTCGGGTGCAATGAGTGGTGGGGGTAATTATAAAGCTAGTGGGATGATGAAATCAAAACGTCAAGAAAGCGTCGGGACTTACACAACAGAAGAAGTCGAACAGATTGATAATGAACTCGCAGAGAGGGAAAAGAACTTTCAGATCGCAACAGAAACACTTCATGAAATGGAGGAAGCACTTCAAGGACTAAAGGATCGGGAGCCTGAAATTGGATTGAACATATCTAAAAGAGAAATGGATATCGACTCATTGTCCTTGGAAATAAAATCGGGCGAACTGAAACTAATTACTCTTCGCAAAGAACATCAGCGAAGGGAGTTATCTGATCATGAACTAAATGAAGCAGAATCCAATCTAACAATTTTGAGGAAGGAGTGCAAAGAACTAGAGGAAGAGATGAAGTCCAAAAAAAATGAAATTAAAAAGCTTCAAGAAGAAATAATGCGCATAGGCGGTACGAGTTTGCAGATTCAAAACTCGAAGGTTGATTCAATATCACAGCGTCTTGAGATTATCCTGGCTAAACAGAAAAGAGATAGGACAGCTCTGAAAAAAGCTGAAAGTGATGTGAAGCGTTTTCGAAAGCAGGAAGAGGAGCTCGCTAGAGATGTCGAAACTTGTAGCGGGGAATTGAGTAAGATAGCAAATTCTCTTTCTGCTTCTGAGGCAGAAATTTGTGAACTGAACAAAAACCTTGAAAAGCTAGCAAGCGATATCGAAGATTCCGAAGAGCACATGCGGCAAGCGGAAGAGTGTCTAAAAGAAAAATCGAGTGAAGACAACGGATTCAAGGTCTTAGAGGTTGACCTCAATAATCAGCTTGAAAAGCTCAATGACTTGATTAGACATGTAGAAAAGGAGGGGTATTTGCTTCAAAAAGAAATCGACGCATTAAAAATTCGAGACGTCACGACAACGCTACAGATGTTAGATGAAGACATTCTTCCGCAAAACTACCTTGAAGCAACACTTGGAAGCTCGAAGAGCGATAAAAAGGATGCTTCCGATGATCACAATATAGGCGCCATGGATCTTGATGATTCGGAAGAACTTGGGACCGCCTCAAGAGATCTCGAAGCAAAAGCCGGTAGTGTCGATGGCGATATGCAAAGCGACGATGATATGCAAAGCGATGATGATATGCAAGTCGACGATAATGTGCAACCTGATCATGATATGCAAGTCAAAGACTCTAACGGAAAAGCACATGTCGGATTGGCCAAGTTGATTCAGCCACAGCTCGAGGCTTTAAACGTGGAGGAAATTGAGCTGGAAATGGGACAGCTCGAGGATTATCTCGAGAATGCCCACGCTAACATCGAAGTTCTTGAGGAATACGCCAAGAGTCTCGTGGATTTCCGAGCTCGGAAGCTGGATCTCAATCAAGCTGTGCAGAAACGCGACCAGATACGTCAGAGTAGTGAAGACCTGAAAAAGAACAGGCTCGATGAATTCATGAATGGCTTCAACACAATTTCTTTGACATTAAAGGAAATGTATCAAATGATCACAATGGGTGGTAACGCTGAACTAGAGTTAGTAGACAGTTTAGACCCATTTTCAGAAGGCGTCCTTTTCAGCGTGATGCCTCCGAAGAAGAGTTGGAGAAATATTTCCAATCTCAGTGGTGGAGAGAAAACGCTGAGTTCTTTGGCGCTCGTGTTTGCCTTGCATAAGTACAAGCCAACGCCTCTGTATGTGATGGACGAGATAGACGCGGCGCTTGACTTTAGAAATGTCTCTATTGTCGCAAATTACATTAAGGAGCGAACCAAAAATGCTCAATTCATTGTAATCTCGCTTCGTAATAATATGTTTGAATTGGCGCAACAACTAGTGGGAATCTATAAAAACAAGAACATGACAAAGAGTGTGGCACTGCGAAATAAGGACCTAATAGATAGGAATTAAATAGCAATTAGAAACAAGGCGACAAAACGAAAATCATCGAGTATTTGATCAAGCACTGCCAAAAATCAGAGCCCATTCAGTCTCAGCCAAATGTGCAAGTTTTTGAAGAGGAACTATTATTGCTTGGTGAGTCATGCCTGGAAAGCGTCTTCTATTGACTCCGAACCACTCAACAGGGGGAGTTGCCTCGCCGAGGTCTTTTGTTTGTGGTATGTTAATAAGTGGCTCTTCCAGTGGAACGTAGGTATATTTGTCACCAAGATCCACATCCTTGAGTTTATCCTCCAGATGCTCGTCCTCGAACAAGCTCTTTGGCTGTTGATCGCTTGACCTTCTCAAAGCAAGTGCTCTAACATGCGTAGCCCACATTTCTCTAAGAAAGTTGATCGACCCCAAATTCCAGCGGACGCTAATGTTGCCTCCAAAACTATTACTAAATATGAATTCCACTGTATTAGTCGTTACGTCGTGCCATGTAGTCATTCCGATTAAAATAGCAGGAATCACAAGTATAGTACCTCCGTGGGCCTTTGACGCGTGTTCAGTGTATTCTCTAACTCCAATCTGTGAAGCAACCTTCTCTTGCAGTTGAGTCTTAAAAGTGGAAAGCGCAATTTTGACGTCGTGAATCTGCCAATTTAGATGGGTCTTAAGTTTCTCATCACCTTCTATTTGAGAACGAGTTAAGAGGTTGGTCGCTTTGAATGTTAACACCTCCTTATCAAACAATGTGCTGGGAAAAACTTGCGTATGGATGAAATTCAGCTTTACTTCTAACTCCGTGCGCAAAAAGCTGAGAGAATTCAAAATTTCACGCCCTGTGCTGGTATATTTCGTATCTTTTGTGTTTGAGTCTCCCAAAGTTTCGAGATACGATTTTTTGTTATCTTTCCGCATTCTCTTTATTGTATTGTAAACGTCCAGCACGTTCGCTGGGGCTAAGGCCGTTATAGATATATGCGTCTTGTCACAGAATAGCAAAACAGATAGAAGATTCTTGAGAAGACCCGCCGGATCTCTTTTATTGAAAAGCTTTATTTTAAACAGTTCAATGCTTGCAATTAATATCAAGTGGTAATCAAAAGAGAGTTTTAAAGCAAACTCGGCAAGAGCAACATCAAGAATGATCAATGGATTTTGCAGCTCGCCTTTATGAACAGGCCAACTAATTTGTGACATCCAGCTAAAGTTCCTTAACAACAATGTTCCGCCTAATCTTCCATCAGATGAGAGGGACAACTTCTCCAACTGTAGACAAAGTTTTTGAGTCCAATTCGAGTAGTGATCAGTGACTGCCCATATTCGGTCAGTCGATAAGCTTAGCACTCCGAGAGAAACTCCAAGGTCAATATCGCCATTGATTTTTGTGATGATCATGACGAAATTCCAAGGAAACGAACTGTTTGAAGAGACTTTTTTGTGCTTGGCTGCTAAAGACCTGTCTTTAATAGGGGTGTCCACGACATTGTTTTCAGACTCTGGTTGAAATAAAACTTTACTGTCAACTTTCCAGATATTCAAAAACACGTTCAGGTCCTGGAGTTGCTTGATGTTGAAATAAACGTCAATATTAGGGATATGAACAATGCCATATGTGTGAATTGTCTCCGGGTGCGTCAAAACAAACACAAATTTTGGATGATCAATCTTGAGAGACGTACTAACCTCTCTGGAAAAGATGTGCCTCGATGTAGCGGTGACATTTTGCATCTCTATCGAAAGACTCAGTGGCTCAAGAGCATCAATGTTATTAGTAAACATCTTTATTACCAACTTGTCAAATCCAACATCAGCCTGGACTTTTGCTTTTGGTTCACAACTCAAACTAACCAATTGCGGGTCGAAGTGGGTTTGAAAGGAGATATCGAAGTCTTTTAATAGGCTTTTGTAGTTAATGTTTTCCTGTACGCTTGACATGGATGTAACAGGTGTGGAATCTGAATTGAAGCTTTTCATCAATTGGCGGATATCTCTTGCCAATTCTCCCAATATTGGAACACAAGTGGGAAATATAGTATTGTGAGATTCATCTACGTTGATAAGTGCCCTTACCACATGACGACGATCGCCATTTAGAAGATGCTTGTAATCAACAATAACTTCAACCGAAGGGCTTTCTAGTTGAAAAGAAGGATTTTCTCCTAAATTTATGTTCTTTGAAGAATAAAGCTTGATAACACCTCCTGCATACCGTGCCTTGCAATTGACGGTGCGAATCCCTGAAAACACAGGATTTCTAGAGGTTTTTGAAGAACCTGGAACTTTTTCCACACTTGATGACCTAAAAGGATCCAACTGTTTGCTCTTCATTTCGCCAAAGGCGTGAATGGACTTTACCAACCCATCTGCCACATCGATCGATTTTGATAGAAAACTTACGTCAAGTCTTTCGCCGTTGATCCTTATAGATAGATTATCGGACGAATCTGCTCCTTCAAACCAGTAACCGATTTGGGTACTGGGTAGAAAGCTTCGGTTGAGCTTGTTTAGTTCACTATCTGTACTGTAAAAATCGGCAGCTGAAAATCCTCTAGCAATGGAGAAATATGCATCAAAAAGAGTTAATTTTCCATAGGGCCATTCGTGTGCCGCAAATAGTCGTTGATAGCCCCAAATAAGGCCTGGATTAGTTGTACCCTCTACGTCAAATAACCAGCCGAGGCAAAAATTATAGGATAGAATGTGTATTGATTGAATCGCTCTGAGTGCTTTGAAGACTTCCATGAGGATCCCAGAATCCTCGGTTTGTAGCTCCTTCGGCTCCTCCGCGTGGTAGTGTATTGAGGTCAAAGATGCAATTTCGTTTGCCAATATCAGCAACTTGATTAGGGAGACAGGACAAAGCGCCACTCTCAGATGAGAACTTTTGAATTCTAAGGATTTGACAACGTCTTTACATTCCTGGGCAATTTTTACATTGATTCCGAAGTCTAATAGCTTCGACAGCTCTTCCGATAGCATAGCATCGTTCACCAAAAATCCAACGCTAGATACCGAAAGCTCGCATTCTAAATTTTCACCGAAGTAGGCATTTTTTTCAAGGTTTATTCTTTTACTTGATCCGGCCAACATCATTTCGTTGAACTCTAGGATGTATTTTGTAGATTCGAAAGGTATGAGGAGACCGAAGTATTTTGCTTTCAAACAAAAATTCCATTTTCCAGTGAAGAAAGGTGCAGTGGCCGCAGTTTTTTGGTTCCTCACTTTATCGGATTTTGATTGGAAAGTCTTAAAGCTTTCTTGTAACGAGTCAAAACTGAGCTTAGCAACATTCAAATCCTTTTGGAGTTCGGAAGCAATGCTCTTAGGGTCTGAAATTTTGAACTTTGATAAGTCAGAGTCTATTATCAGAGAGTGTACAGTGTTGAGCAGGTGATTGGACTTTGAATACGTAATTCCTAACCTCGATTGAGAAAACTTCATGTATTGAGAAAACTTCACGTATTGCTGAGCCGCTTGCGATTGTCCGACTGTTAAATCTAGCCCTTCATAGCCCAGGTATATCTTTGTCTCTGATCCCTGTTCAAGATTCAAAGTAAAGTTTCGAACTCGTGTGGATACTAAAAATGGTGATATTGCTGAAATGTCGCATGAAACATCTGCAATATCAAATCGAGCAAAATACTGCGATGTCAGATGTTTCGAAGTACCGCCTTTTCTTTCAGCTGCGAGGCTCTGTCTCAGTCTTTGAAATTTGGAATTCAAAGACTCCTGCAGCACCATTACCGACTTCACGAAAGTGCAATAACTTGCAGAGGCCGATGGCAGCTTCACCCGTAACTTTTGTGATCGAACACCGATAACAGTAGAGTGTGATTCGTGGTCAGGAGAATGCAATGTGCCAATTGAGCCGCCTCTAGAAAACATTTCAAACAATATCGAGTTTCTGTGCCGTACACCGAGCTCACCCCATGACCATAAAAGCGTAGCAGAATATTTTGTTGAAGCGTGATTCGTCAAAGCAAGTGTAGCAATGTTACCAAATGATTTCAAGCTTGCTTTTTTAGTCCCTGATACTAGCTGGACTTCGCAGCGATCAATCAAAACATTGATCTGTTGAAACATGAGCCTCAATTCCTCAGTTGCGGCGAGTCCTTCAGAATCATTGACTATTAATGGAAACAGGTTTTTAGCGTCTAAAAGCTTGAGAGTGATGTCACCGATTGAAACTTTTGCAACCTTTATTGAACAGCTAAGTTGCTTTTCGTTGATATTTCCAAGACCTTCAGTTCTCCTGCCTTCATCATCTGGAAGACTGGCGCCTCCATAAAATTGGCAGAGTTTGATGTTTTTGAAAATAGCATTATCACCATCCTCATCGATGCTTCTTGAAATCGTGAAAGAAAATAATCCCACGTCGGCTCGCAGATTAACCATTCCGCAACCCTCTTCATCCTGAACCTTGTGAGCGAATGCCTGTCTATAAAAGAAGCATTTCTCTACATCTGAAAACTCCCAACTTCTCCATTTGGAGAAAATTTTAAGAAATGTCTCCCCAGCAGTGTCAGGCGCTTTAAAGTTAGACTTTTTTATTGATTCATATAGGTCTGACACTAAGGACTTCGGGAGGTAGTTCATAATATGCCGCAATCGAGTGATGATTTTCCAGCTCCGATTCTCTCTTACATGCTGATTTGGGAGACGGGTGATGTAAGCTGGCTTTGTAATAACGGGAGGATCGTGAGTAATTTGATATTCATCACTAGCAGCTGCGATTTGATAGAATAACTCTCTACGGGCATTGATGTTTAGTGCGCTGAAGTGAGATTCTAGGCTGTTTAACCTGCCGAACTCCACTATTAAAATCTGCAAAAACTTGCAGAACTGATCAAATGTATCAGGATTTATTGTCGAGTCAATTGTTTCAGCGTTAACCGATGCAGTCGTAGTGTCGGTTGAAGAAATCCAGGCTTCTACTTCTTTAGTCAGGAAAGAGAAGAGAAAATCACTCTGTCTTTTCCTCACACTCATACGATTCTCCATGACGTCAAGTTTTAGCGATGATATTCTTAGTAAGCCCGTGACTTCTTGAACAGATTCGGGATCATTGTCTTCTTGTGAAACACCTTCTCCACGTTTTTGTTTCAGACTGATGTCAATATTGAGACCCCTGATCGAGCTTTCTACTCTTTGCGAGTAGTTTTGTGCATCGAAAAGATCTCCGATTGATAATTCAATGTTCGGACTAACTATTTTGAAAGTCTTATAATGCTTCCCACCTAATGTATTCTGGATGAATTCCAATACCACATCAATTTCGCTATTGTCGATTAATTGATCTACTGAATTTGAATAGACTTGGCCCAATAGACTTCCGAGCAATGGATGGCAGCGTGGATCGAGTTGCAAGCTAACCTCTTTGATATTCATGATCAGACCTTCGCAATCAAATGAAGGATCTAAAACTTTTGCGTTAGAACCATTTTTTGTGTCGCTGAGTAATGGGATAGAACTTGGTTTACGGGATCCTTTAACTGGTAAGTTAGCTATCGATTGTGATGTTCGCCTTCGAGAGTCACTCTTGAAACTTGTTTCGCCTTTTAGAAACTCATCTATGACTTGATGGTAATTCTCGTCATTAAGCGGCTTCACAACTGAGGGAATTGAGACCCCTGGCGGTATACACCCTAATAAATCATTGTAGGGGCTAGATTGTTGAATTGCTCGCGGTAACAGAAAAGGGCAACGGTGAAAAGGAGCGTCATTCGCTGCTATATGAGCTTTCTGCTGCTGGGTGTGGGAAAGAAAATCCTCAAGTTGGGAAAGTTGAGTAATTTTTATTGAGGTTTTCAAAACTCCAACAACTTGCTGTTTCGATGCTTCTTCTAAAATTGTTATTGATAGAATAGGAATATCAATATCAGCCCGGCTTGAATATAGAGAATTTTCTAAGTCCGCAAAAGTTGCCTTAATTTTTTCAGCTTTAGTTACAATGATGAAGCCTGTATTTTTGTCCACTATGCGCGACGTAACTTCATCCGCAGCAAAGGTCACAGACGTCATGTCTAGCACATCAGTGGACGTGTAATTCATTATGTTCTCATAATCCTTAAATCCGAAACCAAGCTTTTTGCAGGAGCCAAGAAGTCGTTGCGTAAACGATAGGTCCGAACAGAGATCAAGTGAGCTCAGTGCGAAGTCCCATTTACAAAAGTAAGTTTCCTCATCTGGAGGCAATCCAAACAGACGATGCGCGTGTATATGCAGATCTGAAATAAAACCCCATGGTTCGTCTTTAGATTTGAGTCCACGGTCATGATTAAACACTACTTCCGGATCACAATTTTGAAGTCTCTTGATATTAATTGGCGACATTGATGACTGTAAGTCCATGTAGTAATTTAAGTGACGAGCGTCGACTTCCAAAGAATCGAAGTCGAACGTAAAGCACGTCTCGCAATCATACAAGTTTTCTGGAAGAACAATACATCCATCTTCAACAACAAATGTGAACCAAACATCTTTTTCGTTCACCATCCTTTTCAAGGATGATTTTCTTATTAAAGAACCATCATGCTTGAAAGGATTAGAGCCTTCACATTCTTCTGAGGATAAAGGAGGATTAAGAATATGCAGAAAATCTTCTACAGCTGCGGAAACCGTCTTTTTTCCCACATTAATACCCCGCAACTCTTCCATGTATTCCTCAGTTGTCTTAAAGTGGACAAAATCTCCGAAATAGTTCATCTTAACGCCTATTAAGTATCTGAGAACAAATCCGTAGCATTTCAGTGTTGTCATTCTGCTCTGACAATTTATTATTATTGTATCGATGTTATCAACATCCAACTTGGAGTAAAATAGATATGATCCGGACATCTTGAAGTCGTGAGATCTGCCTACCTCTTGATCTTTCATAAACTCATGAAGAGTATTCCACGATGGGGTGTTTATCCGGAGTCTAAACATGGGCGTGAAAAGCTCGTAATCGATTGCTGTGCTATTCCCCGCAACTGTTAGCTGTGGGACTGTAAATTTAGTGCGGAGTTCATCACCATGAAATGATAAATAGCAATTTTCGTTGAAGTCTACTGGGTTGTTGACAATGTTTGCGTCGTTCACATTCAAATATATTGAATAGCCTGTAAGTACCCAATTAAATTTGTAGATAAAGGGTCGAAACAAATCGTAAGTAGTTGGCTCACCAGATCCAAAATCTCCGATCAAGTCCCCCATCAAGGTAACATGATCTTTTAAGATGAAGAATTGAGCTTGACTTGACGTTAAATCGAAAACCCAGGTAGCCCTTTGATTCCAGCCCAAAGGATAACCGATTTGTGCATGTATATCATGCGTGTTAGCGTTAAACAAAATATCGTGATTAACGCTGGTTCGAAGTTCAGGATTAACAAGGTGTAAATCTAAAATGTTATCAAAACCTGAGGAAGTGGGAGTCATGGCGAAGTCGAACCGAATCTCGGAGCCCTGAGCTAAAAGAATCTCTAGCCATCCGAAGGGCCTGGTATCATCTTGAGATTCCCTATAATGTTTCAGGAATTCTAAGTCTTTACTCGGCTCTCTGGTCGGAATTCGCAAAATAGAAGAACTCATTATTGTGATGGATAATCTTGCCCTAGTAAAAGACCGAAGCATACCCTCTTTTGGGATATTTGATGGCTGGCTATCTTTAGACACAGTTGGTGAAAAGATTTTTTGTAAAGGAAAGATTTCATGATGGGACCACGGCCCATAGTGTATAGTGGCACCAAAAAGCTGTACGTCAATCGAAAAATCTGGTGGTGGCTCGGTATCTATGAGCGTTGATTTACCTGTTTGTGTCGATGCGCCTGAAGAACCATGTGTGACAATGCCAGGGGAATCGAATGAGTAGTTCAGAGTAAACTTCTCACATTTCATTATTTTCGAGTACTTCGCGTATCGGTGTTTTGAAACGTTAAATTTAAAAGTGTCGTCCCAAGCAGCATCATCTTCTTTGCGGTAAAGCCCTAGACCTTTCCATTCCTCGAGAGGATTTTGCAGATTTGGAGAGGAGCTTGAATCTGTACGATACAGATCATGAAAGTGGCCACTTTTTGCCTTGAGCAGAATCTCCAGAGATTTATGCCATACCTTTGTAAGTTTGTCATATTTGACCAAATTTTTCAAAGGAGCGCCCGCTTTGAATGCTAAATTAGGTTCCAGAGTGATTCTAAACATCTTCAATTCGCATTGGATTTGCGTTTTGTACAGATCGAGCTTAGAACTGGGCATTGCAACATCAAAAATGCCGTCGAGTGTATCGTAACTCGAAATCATTATGGATGAGGTATTTCGGTTACCCACAATGAGGGCACCTTTGTGCACCGCGATTTCAAGCGGCAAAATTCGTAAAAATGACGGCAGGGGGGAAGACGTTGAATGAGAGGACTCGAAATAATGATCTGAATGGCCTCCCGTTGACGGCGATGAAGAATTGAACGACGACGTTTCGTTGTGAGAAGATTTTTGATCGTCTTCACTAAATTCCTCAAAATGCTTAAATCGAGCCTGTTCACTCTTGGACAAAGAATTCCAAAGATGGTCAAAGGCCTGGGTCTTGTTGTATATGAAGTGCTCGAACCCTTGGCATTCGAGCTTAAAACGACACTTGTGAGGGTCTTTGCCGGTAGCCCTGCATTGTTCTCGTGCGTATGCAGTTTGTTTGGAGTTTAATAGCCAGTATCGCCACGTCAAGCTGCCTTGGAGAAACGACACTGTTTGGTTCTGGGTAACGATTGTGAGGTTTTTGAAAAATATTCGGCCGCCCAGAAATGATATTTTGAGTGATTGCACTTGTACCTTAACCGAAAACCGTTTCCACACCAGCCATTCTAGCAGAGTTGTTATGGTGAATCCGAAAGTCCTTCCAAAGTAGAACGCTGCCAAGATCGAGACCGACAGGATCAAAATCCAGTCTATCAAGAAAACCCAACTGAAGTCCTGGTTTGATGTAAGCGGCACTTTCTTAAATTCATTTTCCATACTGAGGATCCAGCTTGTGAGATGTAAAGGCACTAAAAGGAAGAACAGAGGTAAGGTATTGCTACCAAATCCCTAGCAAAGAATCGCTACTCCTTGGATCGCAATATAGGTCAAAAGAATACTAAACTCTTCGCAGGGTTCTAAAATTGATTGTCATTGTTAAAGCTTGAGATGAGAGAATATGACAGACAAAAGTCCAAAGCACTATACACGAAACGTGATAGGTCCCTCTGATATCTCAAGTTTACACGACTTTGGAAGTCTCGATACAGGTCGGAGATCTCTGGCACAGCTCTTGAATGTATTGAACTAGTCTGCGTCCTGTATGATGGCACACTGGCTAAGCCAAAAATCTGTACAACTTCGTTTTATAGTCAGCGTCGGAATCACAGTCCTGAAACCTTGTACAGTCTCGGAATCTAACGAGATTTAGTATTTAATTCTGTGAAAGCGAACCATCTCCAAGACCGCATGGAATCTGGAATTTGCGTACTCGAGCTCAGTTTCGTGGCTGTGAAACCTCAGATGGATATACAACAATCAACGCTTGTTTTTTGCAATTAGCCGCCGGTATTGAAGATGTTGTAAATGTATAGAAACCGTTATTGTGGGAAAAAGAAGCAGTTTCTAAACTCGCTGGAAATAACGTTAGAAGGACGCAAACTATAGCGCATTGAACGCCTCCGATGAGCCAGCATTTGATTTGCTCCCACAACTGAATGTTATTCTTGGCAGTCATATTGTTCGTGGTAAGTGATACATTGAGGTAGAAATCAAATAAGATCAACCATACTAGCAGGGTGTGTATGGAATGAGCTCATGGATATTGAGCCAGCTCTAATTGTAGGCGCCAATCGTTGGCCTAGAGAAATCCACCAGAAAAGGACCCAAGAAAGCTCGAACTGAGTTGAAACTTTGTTCACGTGATAGGATTTTCCAGCTACAGACCCATTTTTCTCTGTTCCAGCGTGTGATTTAGCACAGTAATAGCATATTGGGATAGACCCTTCCCATCATCAAAAGAGCCCTTGACGTTTTGGACCTGGCCTTGAACTGATGGCGCTGCTCGAGAGACTACAAAGACGCGCAACGGACGTAGGACTGTTGCCATGGCTCGTGCAATTGCTGCCGCGACTTGCACTTCTAAGTGGCCTTGTGGGACTGGCATGGTTGGCTCTATGGCTACCATTAGAAGGCAACTACAGGCACACATATATTTCTGAAAACGCATTGATGCCATCGCAGGCCTATAGTTATTTCAGAGAGACCGAATGGAACTTATTGCGTGGGTTCAGAACGCAGATAAAGCAACTGGTCAACGAAACTAGCAGCTCCAGAAACGAGATTGTGGGCTCCTGGCTCGAAGAAATTGGCGTGAAAACTGCGATCCACACGGATTCCGACAATGGCGACACCCTGTATGGCGTGTTGCACGCTCCTCGAGGTGATGGAACCGAAGCTATGGTCTTGGCAGCACCTTGGCACAACGGCGACGGCGATTTCAACCTTGGTGGGACTGCTTTAGCCACGGCTCTAACAAGGTATTTTTCACGCTGGCCGCTATGGTCCAAAAATATCATTGTGGTGTTTAGCGAAGATCCCAAAGCCAGTCTTCGTTCCTGGTGCAACGCTTATCACAGTTCTTTGGATTTGACAGGGGGCTCCATTGAGTCTGCTGTGGTACTGGACTATCCAGGTGCGAATGATTTCTTCAAGTATGTCGAAATTTATTACGCAGGCCTCAATGGCGAGTTACCCAACTTGGATCTCGTCAACGTCGCTGTACATGTTACGGAGCATGAAGGAATGCCTGTTTCTATCAATGGAAACCCAGAATCTGAGATAGGCGACAGCGATTTCTACGCTAAGATGCGGAAGATGCTACTCGGAGTCCAAAAAATGGCGCTTTCAGGCGTCCAAACCTGCTATGGTAATGAAGCGTTCAGTGGATACAGAATCCAATCTCTGGTAGTCAAAGCGCGCGGAACAGGGGGTCCCTTTGACATCACTACCTTTGGTAGGATTCCAGAAGCCATGTTTCGGTCTGTTAATAACCTGCTTGAAAAGTTCCACCAATCGTTCTTTTTTTATTTGCTTCTGGCTCCTCGGTACTTTGTATCAATAGCAAGCTATCTACCGGCAGCAGGAGCATTTTCTGTCTCTTTCATTCTTGCAGGCTTAGACAACTATTTGAACTCCGCTAAAGGACTGTCATCAACCTCGAATTCTTCTTATTACAGCGTCGTTACCATTCTCGCTTTTGTGGTGTCTCTACTGGCCGCGTTCACATTGTCACAAGTTTTCCTACAATGGACTAAACCACTAGTCCTGGTTACTATCTCATTGCTTGTATCTTCTGTGCCTTTATTGCCCATAAAATCCAAATTCACCACGGTATACGCGTACCGATTCAAATCTATTGCATTCATGTACTTGAGTGTCGTCCTGACCTCGCTTCTAGTAGTGAATTTTGCGTTAGCGTTTGGTATTGGTCTGTTGGCATTTCCTATGATTTTGATCAAAAATACTAATAGCCTAAAACTTCGTTTCAAGAATTCATTGATGCTTATGGCTACCAATCCGTTTGTCTGTACCTGCATTTTTGCTAACGTCTTCGAAGCGCGGCTTCAAGGACTTGTGGTTATTGAGCGCCTCATTTCGGCATGGACGCAGCTTGGCTGTTGGTCTTGGTTCGTTATATGTATCGGATGGCTTCCTGTGTGGCTCATGGTAGTCTTTTCGAGTATCCCAAGCGCTGACGAGAGACGTAGCGTCCAGTCTGCCAATGCCAAGAAACTACAGTGATCTCGTGACCTCGATGCCCTATGGCGCTGGAAAGAATTTTAAGCCTGTGACGACGAAGCTGAAAGCGATGAGCTTAGATAGAAAACCCGATTGCATTACAATTAAACGCAGGTCTTTGAGTATTCGAGATCTTGGGACATAGTATCAAGTGGAGGTGTATGGATAAACTGGGTGAATTGAAAATCGATGCTCGAAAAAAATCGAAAAGTGTTGATTTTCGGATGCCGAAAATAGGCGAATCGCTAGACAAATTTCAAAAGCGGCTGAACTTGAAACTACTGGCCCAAGGACGCTTGCACTTCATTAAATACTTGGAGTCGGTCAAGGGCCAGTTGACCCAAGAGCAATTCGATCTCATTCGCTCGTCGGCGTTAAACCAGGACAATCTTATGGCGACCAGCGACAAACTGCATGCCAAAAATATCGAGACCAAGTATTTGCTGATCAAAAGGCGCTTTTACGTAGACGCAGATAATGTCGTTCGTGATCACAAGAACAAAGATACCGTGGTGTGCGAACCAGAAATGATATTTGATTTGGTTCTCTGTGGACACTTGAAAAACGAGCATATCCATTGGCGCAGACTACATCGTTTTCTGAAATTGGAATACGCAAATATCACCCGGGATTTCACGCAGCTATGCGTGGGGTACTGTTCTGAATGCAACGCCGACGGGCGAATGCGGCCTCAGCAAAAATATCGACATTACAATATTTACAGTGGCCTGTTTCCGCTTGAAAGAGTTCATGTCGAAATCATCACACCATTCACAAAACCTATTGAGGGAACTTACGCCCACCTTTTGTACTTCAGAGATTACCACTCGCGATTTGTATGGATGCAGCCTTTAAAATCCGATAGCGCCAAAGACTTGGCCCAAGCACTCTCAACTTTCTTACTATCATTACCTCGAATCCCCATTTTCATTGAAACAAGTACTTTGAATAGGCAGGATCTGTTCGAAGTTTGTGAGTCAATCTCCAGCCAATTCGCACTAACTATTGGCCTCGGAATGAGTCGGTCAGTTGTATTTCAGAAAAATGGAATCTCGAGACTGCGATATCAGCTTCGATTGCATCAAAAACAGTGCCTGGATAGCTGGCATATGTGTCTTAAGTATGGGGCGACCAACCAAAATTCATCTTACAACACAAGGATTTTAGCAATACCAGGAAATTTGCTTTACAGCACCATAAGTGATTACGCAAGGCAGTTCGAGTTAAAGCGCGAAGAATTAATGGAGAAACTCAGTGCTAGTAACGTAGTGGAACTAAGAAGTAATGGGCGACGGCAGGGCACGCTTTATTTGGAGGACGAAGCTAGCGCCTTCAAAATGCCAGATGAAGAGTACATTTCTGCAGATTTCGAGACCGAAAGTTATGAAGACGAAGATCTGCCACCTATAGATGATAGGACCCCGATAAATTCTTCACCAAAAGTTTCAAATTTCACGGAACCCCCAAGTTCAATTTCAAAGAAGTTATTGTTAATGTCAGATAAACCTGACGCAAACATGAGCCCTGAAATAACGAGGCCTCTGGTTTTTGAAAATAACGACTCGCAAAGGTATGCTACGGGCAATGTTTCGATAGAGCTTTAAATTTTTTAATGATAATTAAACGTGTTGTGTTTATAAATGACTTTTAAAGGGCGTTGATTTGGTTAACTTATACTTGTTAATTATGACGTACTGGGTATTAACCGTGAGTTTGTATGTCGACGCATACCGGTCAATCCCGATGTTGATCCCAAAACTTTTCGTGGAACTTTTTCCAGGACTCAATCCAGTCAGTACCTGGTGCCAAGAAAGTAGTTCTTAAATGGTATGTGCCAGGTATTTGACGGAACCCGGAACCTGGGACGGTGCAAATACCCGTAGCCTCCAATAATTCTTTGCAGTAGTATTCATCTGGGGCCACACCAAGAGCTTCCGCTTTATCGATGGCTCTTTTGGTAAATTCCAATTTGGGAAATAGGTACATTGACCCTTGTGGTTTTTGACAAGAAACACCCTCCAAGCTTTGGAACGCACGGTAAAGTAGATTTGATCTCTCCTTAAGGGCTTGATGGATGGCTTTACGTTCTTGTTGATCTTTTTCATACGAAACTTCTCCCTTTTGAGGTGGACATACCATCAAGTCTACCAATGCTTGTCCAGTCACCACGGGACACAACGATATGGAGGCTAATTTTAGAATAACTTGTTTAACCTCGGTGGAAAACCCAACTAGTTCCATGTAGCCACCTCTTTGACCGCATTCGCCAGAAACACCTTTGGAAGTGGAATGTAGCGAAACCAATTGAACGTTATCGTAAATACCGGGTTGGGTCTTTTGTAAAACTCTTAAAACTTTTTTCATGGACGTGAACTCGACATCGTCAAATCCATTTTCCTGATACACCTCATCAGCAATTACTACCAAACTGTACTTCGCAGCAACTTGAAAGATGCCTTCGATATTTTCCTCAGATAAAATAGCACCAGTGGGATTGCCTGGATTTATGACCACGAGACAGGTGGGCTTAACGCCCTTTTCAACAGCAGTGGCGATGACTTTTTCGAATTGTTCTGGGTCTGTGGACCAGCCAGAGTTCTCGTCGAGATAATATGGCAATGGTTCGGCATTATTCAAAGCGAGCGTAGCAGTGTAAAGTGGGTATTGTGGGATGGGTATCAAAGCACCATTTTGTGGGCCCGAACAGAACAGTTGTAGGATATAAGCGACGGCGCCAGAGGCGCCTGTCGTGAGGAAAATATCGTTAGCGTCGGCTGGTTCGCCGTCACGGTTGGCGATGAATTTGGCAACAGACTCCCGGTAGCCGGCAACGCCCTGGGATTGTGAGTAGGCGCCGACGGAGCCACCGGCCTGTTGTAGCATGCGTTTGGCGCGGGCGACGGCGTCCGGCTGGTATTTCGCAGTAGTGAGCAGCTGTTCGTGGTTTTCGCTCATGAGCGCTGGGTTTTGCAGCAACGACAGCACCTGACGGTAGAAGGTCAAGGGCTTCTGGTCCAATTGTTGCGGATTGCCGATGTTGGCGTTGATGATCTTGGAAAAAGGAAGCGAGCCCGGTTCTTCGACGAGCTGCTGTTTGAGTTCTTCTGCACGAAGCGGGATTGGCCCACGTACGGCGTATTTGGCGTTGAGCACGCACTCGTTGATGTCCTGGAGTGTCTTGCGCGCTCCCAGCGGAGCGGTGCTGCGCAAACGGCGCAGCACGAGCCTGGGATGCGCTAAAACCAGCCTTGAACTTGATAAACTTCTGAAACCGAGCATTGAAAATGATCCGGGAGAGAGAACGGAAGCTAGAGTGAGAGCTGCGACTGTGTACCTGCCTGCTGAGAGTGTTTCCGGATTTTTGTCCACGCTTAAAAAAAATTGGAAAGTATATTGTAATCGTAGTACTCACCTTTTTTTCCTCGCTTGTGAGTCAGTTCTTATACACACCGCTATAGATTATGACAATAGCGATTGTAGTTGCGAGTCTCTTGCCTTGGTTGACTGACTCACTCCTGGAGTTGCCTATCTTGAATATCTCGATTCCATATCTCGAAACCATGTCAAGATATGGCTCTCAGGCGAGTATACGGACGGGCGGAGTTTAATGTGCGCGGGCGGGAAAAGCGAGGAAAAATAACAGTGCAGCTCAATTGCAGGCGTGTTGGCGAGTAAATGGGAGAGTTGAAAGAGCTTAAGCCAGTGCTGGACTAGTGGGAGCGTTGAACTGGCAAATAGGACAGTCGGCGATATGGTCACTTTTAACGGTTCTAAAGTGGCCGTAATCAGTGATGTGGTTTGGTACTCGTGAGTACCGTCGTGTTGCACGGTTGGGCGACGTGTGGGAAAAGCTTGCTCATATATTTGCTTAGCGCTGTGTCTTGTTGAGGCATATCTGCGTGAGTTAGTAGTTGGGGTGCTGAACTGGTCGTCCACGATGTGTCTTTATACAGCCATGTGGATTACGGGTTCTGATAATGGAAATTGATCTAGGTTGGCTTTAGCCTCCGTTCCTCGGACTCGGTGGTGCGTAGACAACGCTATCGTTGACATCGCTTGACATCAATTTCTAGATCTCGGCTTTCCTAGTCCGTGTCTGAATCGATAATCGATATGCTGGATTTAGTATATATATATAATGTCACTTTGTACTATTCTGACATAGCTTTCGATCCTATTCTGATCTACTTCAGTATGCCACTGACGCCATCTACAATAGCACCAGATCCTGAAAACCTCATTACTTATCTGACGCTATCTAGCAATAGCACAGGACCTGAAAAGTCATTACGCACTTGACGCTATCTAGCAGCAGCACCGGATCCTGGCAGATTTTGACCGAAAGAAGAATTCCTAGGTAGTTATACAGATCTTAACGTTGACGAATATTTCTAGCGAAGAGTGTTCTAGACCGATCTTCAATGTATCAGTTTTTCATTTTATGGATACAATCCTTCCAAACAGCTTGACCACTGGCACTGCTAATTCAGTATTCGTACTGACTATCGGGATCAATGTGCTAAAGTCGAGACGCTGCCGATCAATACAATCGTATAGATCACAGCTCACTGCGCTGAGAACCAACTCTTCATATCCAAGTAGCGATCATCGACTGTGTGTCTTTTAGTACCACGATAGATCCATTAGGAGGCCCGCTAGTGTGGCTACGAAAGTGTCTTATGAGTCTCACATAATGATATATAACAATGAAGAAGATGTTGTTATCTTCACACATAGTTGTTTCCCCGGCACGAGTTACTTGTCGCTGATCGGCTTAGTGCAACACTCAATGCGCAATGTTCTGTAAAAATCATTAAAATTTAATCTATGATCCACATCAATCCCTCCTCAGAGTATAATACCACAATTAATGAAGTATTAATACCTACAATAACAGTCAGTGTCCCATGAAACACAAGACATTTCTCATCGCCACCAGCGTCGCCAAAGGTAAAAGTGATGTCCTACCAAGGATTTCTGAATACTACAGGTGATTTCTCAAAGGGAAAAAGGCCCATGCCCAACCGCCTTGTAAGCTAGTATATACTATTCGTACCCAAACGTTCTGGTCGTAGCTTCCGTCTTTTGCAATGGCCAGGTTCAAATATGATTGGATTTTCTCACCTGACACGAATACTCAACTTTTCATCAATTTAACAATGGATGCAGAAGCTCATCTCTCAAACACTTCACCACCCAAAGCCGGTCTTGCTCGCCCATGGATCCGTACGAAGCACTAGGCATAGCGGTTGACGCATCCCAGGATGATATAAAGAAAGCGTACAGACGGCTAGCGCTCCAGCATCACCCAGACAAAGTGGCGGATGAATCACTACGTGAAGAAAGCGAAATTAAGTTTAAAGAAATAGCGGCTGCCTATGAACTCCTAAGCGATGAAGACAAAAGACAAAACTATGACACTTATGGAGACGTCAATGGGTACTCCAATGGCTTCGAGAGTAGTTTCCAGGACGGGGACTTTTCTAGCTTTTTTGGGAGTTTCGCAAATGACCGATACAGAGACGACTACCAGGGTAGATCGTCTCATCGTGCTTCGCGCACTGCAGATGCCCATGTTGCACTGCGCTTATCAATGCAGGCACTTTATAATGGCAGAACTGTGCGGTTCCAATCGAAACGTAATGTGGTATGCAATCGTTGCGAAGGCTCTGGTATTCGCAAACGGGCCCGTCATGCGTCAAATTGTTCTCAATGTGAAGGTTCTGGTACGAAAGAGAGACTAAGGAGAGTCGGGCCGGGTTTTGTAACGCGAGAAATTGTCCAGTGCGATAAATGTAAAGGGCTGGGCAAGAATCTGCGATCGGACGATTTGTGCAAAAAATGCCACGGTAAGAGGATTACACCGGAGACAAAGGACCTGAATGTGTATGTTCCGCGTGGATCTCGTCACAACGATAAAGTCGTCCTAAAGGGCGAAGCTGACGAAGAACCTGGAAAAATTTCTGGTAATCTCGTGTTTGACATAATTGAAGATAGCACCACAAGTAAACTTGAGCGTCGCGGATCAGATCTCTATTCGAAAATGACCATTTCTCTCTCTGATGCACTATGTGGTTTTGAAAAAGACGTATGTGTGCACTTAGATGAGCGTGTGATAAGATTAAAAATACCTACCGGTCAGGTAATAAGACCGGGAAACTTCTTCTGCATAAAAAACGAAGGTTGGCCACTGGACGATCAAGGAAGCAAATTTGGCGACATGTATGTTCAAGTCACCATTGAATTTCCACCAGATAATTGGTTCAGCGAAAGAAATGACCTTCAAACATTGCGCAACTTGTTGCCGGAAGCCGAATCGTCCTCGAACGCATCTAGTGCTCAAAAAAATACTACAGATCCCGTCAACACAGAGTTCCCAACAGATTACAGTGTTTTAGAAAATGCGGATAAGCTCCCAACTTATTTACCCGAAGAACCTGAACAAGAAGGGCCACAATGTGCCCAACAGTAATGAAATACATGAAATGACAAACAGCTAAAAGCTACTTGTAAATAATTTCCCTAAATTAACCTTGTACATATAATAATTGTGAGAGTACACAAAATCCTAAATCATACCTACCTACTCTAAGAGTGCTTCAAGTTCCTTGACGGTGAGACCGTTACCAGAGTAAGAAGGCTCTAATTCAAATGCATAATTGTTATCTGTGTCCTGTGCTGGTGACATTGAAGGCCGCAGAGGGGCCAACCCTGGCATGTGAGACCTTTTGCGATCATGAATGTCGTTATCACCTTCATCCTCACTGTTCTCAATGTCTAAGGCGAGTAATTGCAAGGGTTCAGAAGGGCCACTTTTGCTCAAGACGTTTTCTGTCTCCTCCTCATGTTCCTCGTCGCTGAAGGTGAGCCGCAGTGCTAGATTAGTTGGAGACTGTAATTTAGCGATGGCCTCATCCGTAAAAGGCGTGTAGCCACTAGGAACATAAGGCAAGGGTTCTGGCCTGTGCGGTATGGTTTCCACTTCGAGATCGCTACCGTCACTATCGGAAACGGCCAATGCGGGACGAAGTTCGGGCTTGGCACTTAGAAGACCCTTGAGACCACCTCCACCACCCACAAGGTGGCCCAGAAGACCCATTTCCCCCTCGTGCGCGTCTTCACCACTTCCTCCACGGTCTGCTTGATGTAGTTGCGATTTCCCTTCACGTGCCGCAAGTTTTCCACGGAGTCTCGCGGCCAATGGGTTCAGTTCCAGATCTTCCACACCATCGGACTCTTCGCTTTGCTCTTCCGGAAAACCTCCATCTTCCTGCGCATCCTTCAACACTAGACTCTTTAGACGAGGTGCTCCAGTCGTATTTAAGGTCGGCACGTGACCGGGACGCGTCTGGCCAACGAAGCTTCCGGCATGGTTGACGGCCGGCCGTGTTCTTTTCTTGCGGACTTGTTCCTTCTGCGAGAGAAAGCTCGCCGCGCGATTGTTGTCTTTGCTTGCAAGTGGTCTTCTGGGAGCTTCGCTGCGTTGGGGTGATTTCTTGACATTCTTGAGAAAGGAGGATTGAGACCGGCTCAATAGATGTGTAGGAGTCACAGGCGCATTGGCTTCCGACCAAACTGTATTCTCTTTGTTCTCCCGTGTTCCCATAGTGTTATAATTGACTAAAGGTCTCTGTATCGCCCCTTAGTTGCGACAGTTACACGTTTACACAGTTTGTTATGTCATATTAGATCTATATTGATTTTTATTTGTTTATATCGTTTGTGTTTTCGAAATGTTAATGTTAAATCTTCAACGGATACAAAAGTACTCGTGGAAGCGGCGATCACGTCAATATTGACTTGAAATCCGCTCTAGTGAGCCAAGCAAGCCAGCTTCGGCTTCCTTTTTAGGCGGTTAGCCGGACTTGAATTGAATCAGCCTGGTGATGAAATGTTAAGCCTTGTGAACGGCACGAAAGAGAGCTATAATCGCGGTCTCTAAAAAAATATTAATACTGCGCCGCCTTAACACAGCTAGGCTTTCCAGTATCGAGAAAGACACTGTTTTCAAGAGCTGCCAGTTGGATCGAGACGTTCCTCAAGCCTAGCAAATCTGAAATAATTTAGAATGAATTTGTTGTCGAAATTGCTTCACATATTGCAGTTGAGTAAAAAGTGACCCGTATGCAATTCAACGGCAGCATTGGAACTAATCAAAGCACAATTGGCGTCGGGCTCACCTGCACTAGAAATGTATTGTCTGGCTCATTCGCCTGCAAAACTGCCCACTTTCTTCACTTAGGTGCACTTTAACTCTCTGTAGCCTCAAGAGCCTCTTCAATATACTTTTTGAGCTCAACAAACTCTGTGGCGAAAACGTCGAGTTTGGTGATAAAAAAGCGAGCGCCTTTAAAGAACTTTGCACAATCTTTACCATCAAAGAAATATTCATTGGTGCGCCAGTATCCTGTTTCAAATAGATACTGATTCATATAACTGGCAATACTATCCCATATATCAGGATCTGATTTAGGCCTGCAGCATACTATAGCTTTCAAAAATGTCAGGCCGGCCTGAATCTCAAAAGCGTCTCGTTTTTTGTCGCGACTAGACATGAAAAAGCAGAAAAAGCCTATCGGAATAGCGCTATAAAGCATCCAACTGTAAGTATAGGGCATCAATGAAATGGTAAAGAGAAAAAACATTCCTAGGTTTTCCGTATCCTTGATCCAGTATCTGGCACGCCAAGTGCATTTGCTGAGGTAGTTTTCTTTCGGTAGAGGTAACCCGCTGTTCACAATTAGTTTTTTTAGTTCCTCTCCATGCGCTCCATTCCAGGCAGCATCGATGGATTGCAGATAAGTCGAAATCGCCTGATCAGCGCTCAAGGAGCGTTTTTCAGCAGACTTTAAAACCCTCGCTCTGAAAACCTGGCGGCAATGAACTCCATTGTACCAGCAATAAGGTGTATGCCAAGTGCCTTCTTCAAAAAAGGAATCGTTCGTGCGAGACGCAATCAAGTCCCATTTAGTATCATCTACCCCTGGGTCTTCGGTGATGAGTTCGCAAGAAAAGGTCTCGATATTCTTGCTTATAATTTCACGATACTTCATTCCCATCAAACCTAAGTAAAGACCAACCCCTTGAATAGAAGCGTTCCACATAGTTTCGAGAACTTTGTGAGACCCGCCTATCAAACCCAGAAGTCCCAAGAGCGAAGTGCAGCAAAGCCATGCCTGGAAAAAACGAAATTTGGAAAGATTATACAAGGTCCATGTTAGCCTGTTTCTGAAATCATGCTCTGGAATCGAGCCCTTCTTATTCTCAATATCAACCGCCATGTCTGCGTCCCTAAAACCTGAGTTCCCGGACTTGTAAGCTAGTTTGCCAAATTAAGATTTTTGGTATCTTCAACAAAATTTTGTTTACTATACATAGAGCTGCCAACATGAGATGCTCGAGTGGTTGCAAGCCCTTCTGGGCTGAGAATCGTATAAGTGAACAAAATTAAACAAGACTTATTCGCTAACGAATTATGCCCAATATGATGCTTACGATATTCTGTGTCTTGACTGAATTATGAGCCGAGTTGTTTATTGTCACTAGCATGATTTATCTCATGTTTGCATATTACGTAAATTCTGAGATTGGATTTGCTTGGCTCGAGAACGACGGTAAAGTACGAAGTGATACTTTTGAGTTTTGTGCAATCGTGAGTTATGTGACGGCGCTCACAGAGAACTGTCCATCGCCTAGTACTGCTGACAAGCTGTTCTAAATTGTGAAAACTGGCAGCATAACGCAGGAGCAGTACTCGTTTCAGCTCAGACTTCAGCTGGCCGAGATAGCGATTAACGATCTACTCGCTCTAACCACAACCGAATCTTGACACTTTCAAAAGCTCTAATTTATATTACTGCCACCAGAAACACGACTGCTAGGAGTCGAATAACTAGTTCGAGATGTCCTTAATTCCAATTACAAAGGATCTCGACAAACTCACCCTACAGGCGAATAAAGCGAACATGAAAACATTTGACCAAGCAACTACCTCGTAATTGGATTGGCGGGAATGATCTAGCTGGCATCTTTTCTTATAGAGTTTCAAGGGCACTCTCGCTGCAAAACTCTACTCACCAAAGTACTCGCCGAAGATCATTAAAAGTACTCATACAGTGAATCAGTAACCTTGCATCTCAAGAACAGTGTCTGCCTCAATAGTATGAACGCAGCTTGCCAGAAAGCCCTCGAATCATTACCCCTGGACGTTAGAACCCTTGAGCTCTTATCGACGATAGCAACAAGCTCCAAACCTCCGGCCTTACTGGAACTGCTCCGTCATTATGAGCTAAAGAAAGATTCCAAGACTCTGGAAACCATCATTCATAAAACGTATTTTCAGTGGTCCAGTGGGCTGCCGCAACACCTTCGTGCTTTTCGAACTCACTACCAGGACTTGAGAGGTCACTGGCCATACGAGCACCACAGAGCCATTTTGTCCATGGATTCACCGAAATCACAGTCCATGCGATTTTTATGGAGTGGTAACAATCCGAAAGTTTTAGCTACAATGCAATACCAGAGACACCGTTGGGCTGCAGAGCAAACACCAGAGTCTCTGACAGAATTGCAACGTACCGTTCTTTTCCATGAGATATTTCAGCACTTTATGTTTTTGAAAAGAAACCCGCATCTCTGCAAAAACCGAAAAACACTTGCTATCCCGATAGTTGAAATCTCCTTGAGACCTCTGGGCCAAAACATTTCCGACTTGAGAATTAGAAACTTGTTCAAGAAGAAAATAGCCTATGTGTGGGATGTCTTGGCGCAAGAGAATCCTGCACTGTGCCCTTTGAGTGAAAAGTTGCTTGTTGATATTGTCGAATCACCGCAGCCTGCAAACAATAGTATGAGCCCTAGAGCGCTCCAGAGAATGTACAGACGTGCGTGCAAAGGAGCATACGTGTTACAACAACATTCAAATCTTGGCCTAGATATTGCAGAAAGCGATCTTATCAAGATGCTGTAATATTCGATGAGAAGGAAATGATATCACACGTCTGACAAAAGCTTTACACCCGGCGAGGCGTTTAAAATTAAGAAAATGCCCACGAAGAGATCCAGGAGCTGCAAAAGCGAGCGAGACTTTTTTTTTCAGTTTTTGAATCTCTTTGCGGCTCTACTGATTGCATGTATGATAGAGCAAAGGCTACCGAACCGCAATCAAAACCTAGGGTCCTCTCCACATTTATTTAGGGTTGCCTTTGAGCATTACTATCGACACACACGTGACCCCATAACGAATATAGTATTACAAAATTTTCAAGCTTGCAGTGAATCTTTAAGTGTCTTGAGGAAACCATACAGCTCAGACGAACCAAGCATCAGCTAATCGGGGCCAATTGCCACACTCACCCTATGTCGTTTCTCACCAAGCACCTTTTTCAGCTGCCTGCCAAGCGAGCCTTGACTACCATGTCGTCTTTTTCGCCTTTGAAGATGGGTGTGATTCGCTCACCATTTATACAGGCTGCCAGCACTAGCATGGTAGAAAATTCAGTGCCTACTTTCTCATACCTAAATGCACTGTTTGGGTTGACTCAAAGAAGATGGAAAAGCAGAGGTAACACTTACCAGCCGAGCACGTTAAAGCGTAAAAGAAGAGTTGGGTTTCTAGCGAGAGCCAAGAGTAAGCAAGGCTACAAGATTCTCAAAAGACGGAGAGAAAAAGGCAGATGGTACCTAACGCATTAGTCAGGAAGGTGTCGCTTTAACAAAGGGACGTCTCTTGAACATCATCGTTTGAATTTCCACAGCAATTGATGCCCTATGCATAAATTGATGGTTTTCAGCGCACTAGCATCTCTACGGATTATTCCAACCTGTATATATAATAATAACACGAACCCAATTTTACGAAAGAGACCAATGGCGAGTGTCTATGTGAATATCCTGTGTATTGTCTGTGATACCCTTTTACAAATTAACTATGTACATGGACTTGCCGGCCCAATTCTAGGCGAAATCAATCACAATGCCCGGGCCGTGAGTAGATGTGAGTGTTGTTTGACCCAAGAGACTTGGCTTTTTCGTCTTTTGATTGGATAAAGCAAATTTAACACCTTTTTGGGCGGCCACGATATTCTCCAGCATCTGTTTATCCGTGAAAGAGCATTTGCCGACAGCTATACTCACACTATTACCACGCTGCCTAAAAGGCAAAGAACCCATGCTATCCGCGAGGAGGGCCTCCAAATTGTCAGAAACAGTACCTTTTTTGGCGGCGGGCAGTAGGCCGCGAGGACCCAGAATACGGCCTATTTGCGAAGCTAAAGTATTTGCAATGTCAGGCGTAGCAAAACTCTTGTCAAAATCCAGGGCCAATTCACCCGCTTTGATCCTTTCTACCAATTCAGTACCGCCAACTAAATGACAGTTAAACTTTTCTCGGGCCAGCTGCGCTTGTTGCTCATCATTAGTGAAAACAGCCACTTTGACACTCTTCAAAGCGTTAGGGAAGGACAGGTTGCCGCTCAAAAGAGGCGCACCTCTTTCTGAAACAACCGTCGTAGTCACGCTCAGCGTTTGTTGTGAATGTGGTTGGCCAACTTCTGCAGCTCTTAAGAATCGCAGCGCCTTATTGACAGGCATGTACAAAGGATGTTCGCTTGCAGGTCTTCTGGCGGCAGCTTTCCGTTGTGCTAGCCTTCTAATTTCTCTTTTCTTCATTTGATCTTTCGACAACTTCGACACCACGGAATTGGCGGTTTCTTCGGCCTTTACGCATGGGAAGACATGCAGACTTCTAACATGGCACTTCTCAAAAAGTGGCAAAATCCTATTGGGTAACCTGAATAGCATTTTGAGCCCACAAACTGCTCTTTCTTTGCTCGACATTGACTACATCGGCATTTTTGACAATAATTTTTCAAATTTGGTAAAGAGCAGTACTCGAGTTTCATAAACTGTACTCACGGTAATATATCACGGTGTCGCTGTACAGTTTGTGAGTGCTTGATAAAGCCCGAGCTCCTGCATTTCCGATCTAGTCATTAGCAGTGTGATACCCTCACTCAACCTCTTTTCTTGCCCTTCTTCAACTTATTGACGAAATTAATCCATTTCGTGGGGATGCCTTGGTCGTTCAGTAAGTCTATGGTGGCCGGGCCATGTGGGCCCTGAACAGTTACCTCAAGTGTCTTGGGCGATGTCGTTGTTTCTCCGATGGTCGTGGATCCGCTGCACTTCTTTCGCAGTAGTTCAGCTAATTCTTGAGCATCTACCTGGAATTTTTCGAAGTTAGAAACTTTAGTCACCACTTTACGCCCAATCTTCATCTCCGTAACAATCTCAATTCTTGGGATGCTACCCTTCAACGGATTTTTGAATAGTGGAGAACCATCTGGCTTGAGTACAACAAAATGCTCCGAAAAGTTGCCTTTCAAAATCGGAGGCATAATTGAAGCTCTCGCAATAGTGCGGACGGCGTTTTCTTTCTTTGTAGCACGATTGACAACTGAAAACAATAGATCATCAAGACGAACCGCGGCTTTGTTGTCAGGGCTCACGAGGTTTTTTTGGGTGATGTATCGATCTACGCCGGCCTTGAGCTCTTGCTGCGTGAACAAGTGATCAACCTTCATATCAGCAGCACGAAGAAATTCTTTTGCGCTGCTAATGGGCTTGTATAGGGTCACGGCAGTCATCATGGTCTGCTGTTGTTGAGACTGTTTGGATTCAGAGTTTCCAGTATTTGGGCTACCCACGCGGTACGGAACAAAATTGACCAACTCGGGCCTCGACTCTTTTGAGGCCACTCCTATCACAGTCAAGTCATCACCCTTTCCCTTAAGCTTAAGGAATCCTTCTCTCTCAAAATGTTTGAGAAATTTGGCGGTTTTCCGCCAAGAGGTTTTCTTCATGTTAACGTGCGCAGGATCAACGGGAGGTAAGTTACGTAGGATGTGGTTCGACAGAAAACTAGAACTGCTCAAGGGCAACTCGAGTTTCGGCTCCTGCGTCAGCGTGTAGTATAGCGATCTTGCGAAAAAGCGGTCAACGTCTTCAACCTGCAGCTGTGTTAACTGTTCTGCCACGTTCTGGAGATCTACATCAGGAGTAGGAGTCGGTGTAGGAGTAGGAGCAGGTGTAGGTGGAGTAATGCTTGGATTCGTAGCAGCAGAGCCTATGAGACCATCGGACTCATTGGATTGTTCCAATGTTTCGGAGCCATCTGGCTCTGAATCCTCGTTTTGTGACTCAAATGCTTCCCCGACTTCTGGAGGTTCGATCTTCACTTTAAACATTCTGCAAAGGCCGTCGTCCCAGGTGTGTGTGATTTCGACTGCGACTCCAGATTCGCCAATCACGCGGGAGTATTCTGGCAAGTTTAACTGTACTATACCAATAGCCTTAACAACGGTAGGTGAATGTGTGCTAGCGATGCCAACCATCTGGGTCTTGACGCATCTGGGATCAAAAGGCGGCACTGTGCCTGGCAGCATGAGATTGGCACCCTTTGCGACTTTCTCCTCTACAACATACTCATGCGCCAGTACTATAGGGAGTAAGTTGGGCCACTTCCAGCATGTATATACTGTGGGATACAACATGTCACTGAATTTCTCTTTAAACCAAATGGGAACTTTGGCCTCATCCGTGTACACCGTACCAGTGGTGAACTGGGTTTTAAAAGTAGTCTGTTTGATCACTTGCGATGGGAAAGCATAACTTGATAGTTTCGTTTGATCTTGACACTGGGATTGAACTTTCTTGCGCTCAGAGTTCTTCAAATTGCTCAAGGCCTTGATTTGTGGGTCTTTTTTGAACATGGAGTGGGAAAATATGGACTTCTAGTTTATGATACAGTTTTGTGATCTCAATTGAATAATAAGCCACTGTTTGATACCAAAAGTATAGATCCTTGCGGTGGACGATTGCTTTAGTTGAAAATGTGTTAATTTGGCAAGAGCATTGAAGTTGGTAAACTCGTAATCGAGCAAAACCGAAAACTTGGAAAAACTTTGGTGTAGGCACTCAAGTAATATAATCATCGCTCCGAGCTGGCCAGCAACCGAAGCACGAACAACTCTGCAAGGAGTTTCATACAAGGACTTGAAGTGATCTAAGGCTCAGTTCCCAAGACATCTGAGTGAACTATTCTGATCGTGCGAATCCTACACATGATGAGCACAGATACAGGTTCAAGTGTGAAATGGCGTTTCAAAGGTATAAGCAAGCTTGGAACGCATCAAGAAGTCATATGGAACCCGAGAATGGCACTGTACCTTGTCGCAACTGGCAAAAATGTCGGAATCAATAGGGCGATCGATGACCAACGAATCGGCACCGTGGTTCTGAAAGACTACGAACAAGTGATGGGGTTTCAATGGGACCAGAAAGAAGGAAAACAATTTGTTGTGTATTACAAGCACGGTCTCGCTAAAGTCTACGATTGTACCACTGGTGGTAGTTTACAAAAAGTGATAAAGTTGGTAAGCTCGCAAGACCCTTCAGTGAGCCTCAGCACAGCTGTATGGGCAAAAACCGAGTGGAAAACCTTCGATAATAGCTACGCAGCACTCGATATGGACTTGTCAGCCATGATGCCAGGAATGGTGCGGATCGTGAGGGACTCCAAACAAATAACAATGGCTCCACTAGAGCCCTGGGGGCCTGATCTGCGCAATCCGGAGGCTCAAATTATTCTAGGTCATAGCCAGGAATCTCACAGCTACGTTATGACCATTGATGATCTGATAAGCGTCGAATTCAAAAGCGGTGTCGATAAGCTGTTCAAGATCTTGCCGCCGAAGTACAAACACGGGCCTTTCGTCGGTGTAGGTGAGGGTGGCTCGCTTGAATACGTGTATCTACCGCTAACAGAGGCTCCTCTGATGCGAGAACTGATCAAAAGTTCGGGTCAGGTCCAATTTTTATGCACCTACCTGTTGGAAAACATTGCACTCTGTAGGTCCGATTTGATCGAGCCTTACCGTCTGTTTCTCGCCAGAATCACGAACGCATACGACGGCGATCTCTACGAGCAGCTTTGTGACATCGTTCTTACCGGCTATGTTGCATCTGACTTGGAGGACTGGCTATGTAACAGCATCGGCGACAAAAACTATAAACGTTGGAAACAGCTATCATCGCGAATGTATGGGGACCTTAACAACGTCTTGGTGCTGGCTATAGTTCCGGCATGCGAGCGTCTCATTCTGGTCTGCGAAAAGCTGCAAGGCATTCACAGAAGCTTAAAGTTACAGAAAATGGCCGGCATCTCGGATTTTCATGAGGACGAGTGGGATAGTCCAGAAATACAAACACTCCTATGCGAGTGTCAGAAGCTGCTCACAACTGCACTGAAGATCACGACCGACCTGAACCGTGAAGCAGCACTGCATTCTGTTTTTGCAGATTGGTTTTTCGACGTTATGATGGAAAGCGTGGACGAGGACTACAAGAAACCGGCAAGAAACGCTAGTCCATTCGACATAGAACAATATCTCGCATCTTGCTGGAGGGATGCATCAGAAACCGCTAGGATAGCACTCTTGGAGGCTATGGCGACTGAGGCGCTGGTCACGTGCTCGGACGATATCAACATGGTTTACACAAAACCGTGGGTCTTGGACTTGGTCAAAGTTAGCGAGCCACTTAAGACACTACACACGTTGGCCCCCACAACCACAGATCTTGCAAGAGCCCCGCCGGAGACCCGCTTGCTCGATGCCGTCAGCGATGATGCCGGCACAGTTTTTGTGGCCAGCACTACGAGCGCGAGACCCGGCCAGGTCGAAGTAAGCGTAACCAGTGGCCATTCTACTACCATTGGGACCTTCTATGCTAGCATGGATGATCTCACTCAGCCTTGCACGGTGACAGATGCTTCGTTCGTCAAGTGCGACAATGGCGTCGCAACATTGGTCATCCTACACGACGATACCACCACCATCGCCGCCAATCCCAACCCACAACTAACCACCACAACTGTATCGCGATCACCACTACTTGCTGCCAAATTGACTTCAACTGCCCCGCAACAAATTACACCACAACCGAATTTTCCAGCGCATCGGCTCAGCACAAGTTTCCCGGGTTGTCCGCTTTCTGTCCATAGCGACACACTAATGGCAGTCTACGAAATGTCATGTGAGAACTAAAGATGTGGTGATTAGTCAATATTACATCAATCGAGGGCATGAGATGTTACGTTCGCCACAGCCATACGAGCTTTTATAATGACTTTCGGGAACTGTGGTGGTGCGAGAACAACTTTGCGAGCTAAAGATCATATTTGCGTTGAACGAGCAGTATATATATGGAGACGGTGAGCGATGGCAATGTAAGAGGAGCTTGGTAGAGGAAGTAGAACTGAAGAAGACAAGACGCTGCTAGCCAAGGACAAAACCAGAGATTCAGGCCGATAGCACTCGAGATATACAAAGAACTCGCACTTACGAAGGAGTTTGATCACGTGTGCACATTGTTCGCTTGACTAATTAGACCTTACTAGGATACGCGGATACTCCCCAAAGATCCCAAATGTCTAATCTAGATGCTTTAGAGGCCGAATACGGCCGCGGAAAGCAGGAAGAATTCAGAGTCTCGAATCGTGACGCAGAAAGCCTCGAGCTCGAAAACAACTTTTCGCAGGACAAAGCTAAAGATGCAAAGCCTCTCTTGACGACCTACAACGATAACGGGTCCAGCCCAATCACACACATCGCTGCCTATGATGAGTCCAAGGTCGAGTTTCCAGATTGGTACAATACCAAAATCAGGCCGAACGTCACTCTCCATCACGTGGGTGAATATTTCCGCGATTTGTTCCCATTCTTGAAATGGATCCACCACTACAACGCCCGTTGGTTGTACCAGGATCTGGTCGCCGGTATAACCGTGGGGTGTGTTCTGGTACCGCAGTCAATGTCCTACGCTCAAATTGCGACTTTGCCCCCACAATATGGGCTTTACTCATCTTTCATCGGTGCGTTCATCTACTCGTTCTTCGCGACAAGCAAAGACGTGTGCATAGGACCCGTCGCTGTGATGTCGCTACAGACTGCCAAAGCGGTTAGTTCTGTCATGGCCAATCTGCCCACCGATACAGACATTACTGCTCCTATTATCGCCACGGCTCTTGCCTTATTGTGTGGTATTGTTTCCCTCGGAGTGGGTCTTCTGCGGCTAGGATTTTTGGTGGAATTGATTTCGTCTACCGCCGTTGGTGGTTTCATGACTGGTTCTGCGATCAACATCATATCTGGACAGGTGCCAGCGTTGATGGGTTATAGTAAGAAGGTCAACACCCGTGCAAGCACTTATAAAGTGATCATCGATTCGCTAAAATACTTACCAGACACTAAGCTGGACGCTGCCTTTGGATTGGTACCGCTATTTTTGCTATACGCTTGGAAGTACACCTGCAACACGGCTGGACCTAGACTGACAGATCGCTACTGCAAGCGGGCCCGGACCGCTAAGATATGGCGTGGAGTGTTTTTCTATTCGCAGGCACTGAGAAATGCTGTGATCATCATAGTTTGCACAGCCATTGCTTGGAGCATCAGTCGCCACCATAAGAGCAACCCACCAATTTCATTACTTGGTACCGTTCCTTCTGGTTTGAAGGACGTAGGTGTTATGAAGATCCCAGAGGGCCTTTTGGCGAAGATCGCGCCGGAGCTACCTTCTTCTGTAATCGTGCTGTTGTTGGAACACATCGCCATTTCTAAAGCTTTTGGAAGGGTCAACGACTATCGTGTGGTACCGGACCAAGAGCTTATCGCCATTGGTGCCACCAACCTTATTGGAACCTTTTTCAATGCCTACCCTGCCACCGGTTCGTTTTCCAGGTCCGCTTTGAAAGCCAAATGTAACGTGAGCACTCCGCTCTCGGGTTTATTTTCAGGTGGCTGTGTTTTGCTAGCTATCTACTGTTTGACTTCTGCCTTTCAATACATCCCAAAAGCAACTTTAAGCGCAGTCATTATCCATGCCGTCAGTGACCTTGTGGCATCTTACAAGACCACCTGGAATTTCTATCGTATGAACCCGCTAGACTTTATCTGTTTCATAGTCACAGTGTTGATCACCGTGTTCAGCAGTATTGAGAACGGTATCTACTTTGCCATGTGCTGGTCTGTGGCAACATTGTTATTCAAAGTGGCTTTCCCTGACGGCCAATTTTTGGGCCGTGTCGAAGTTACGGAAGTGATCAACCCTGTTGTCGTCGATGAGGACGACTCGGCATCAAGCGAAGGACGCATCCCTTCTGGAAGCTATTCGGGCTCCTTCACAGATGAAGTTCCAGACTACAAACTCAGGTGCCAAACTGACATTGATGGAAAGGCGTCACAAGCGTACGAAACGACGAAGTCTCTTGCGAATCGCAACAAGCCTAATCCCAGCGTCAGGTTCCATACCAAATGGGTTCCGTTTGATCAATACTCTAAGGAACTCAATCCTAGTGTTGAGGTCCGCCCTCCTCCTCCCGGTGTTATCGTCTTCCGCCCTAGTGAAAGTTGGACCTACATCAACTGTTCAAATCTGTACAACAAAATTTTCGATGAGGTGGTGCGCACAACCCGCAAGGGTCAGCTGTCGGTACCGGGATCCAATGGGCAGAAGCGGTGGAACGATCCTGGTGAGTGGACCCCACCAAAGTTTCTACAAAAATGGATCTCCAAAAGCAAAGGACACAAAGGTGGTGACGCCGACGATATTGGCGCTGTTGTACGGGACGAGCGCCCCATCTTGCGCATCATTGCTATGGATTGGTCGCAAGTCGCTCAAACCGATTCCACAGGTCTTCAGACCTTGGTAGACTTACGCAAGGCTCTCAGCAAATATGCTGATCGCCAGGTCGAATTCCATTTCAGCGGTATCATTTCGCCTTGGATCAAGCGTGGTTTAGTAAACACTGGTTTTGGCACCATTAATCAAGAACACGCCGATGAATCACTGTTAGCAGGCCACTCGAGCTACCATGTGGTGCGCTCTGCTGCACCAAAAGACAGCGACGAAGAAGCCCAAGGAAACTCTTTGTACACAGCCACAGGCACCAATACGCCGTTTTTCCACTTGGAGATGCCAGATTTCTCAAAGTGGGATCTGGGAGAAGGCAGTGCTTAAGGTGTTACGATTCAACTACGTAAATTTGCTTTTTAATGGAATAAAACAATTGATAATAGCGCTTGAATGCACTTGTAGCTTGCTTAACGTTTATCCAGTCTACGGCCCATTAAAACTGTTGTTGTTGTGAGTACAAGATCCTGGGGCTTCAGCACTCCATTGGACAAAACTCAGGGCTCTTGTTGACCACCATGCTCGAGCCACTTTTCATGTGCTCTGACCAAAAAGTCACTATGAGTCTTATCAATTGGATATTAGCTTCTATATAACAATGTACTAAAGATGCCAATCAATCGAACGTGAAAAATACGATGAGAAAAGATAAAAACCGTTAGTTGTCAACGTGAGAGAAGGTTCAGGCCTTTTAAGTACTCAATTTAACAGTGCTATTGATCAGTGGCTTTTAGCACACTGCAAGAAAGGGGGTTTTAGCATCTATTGCACGCAGATTACGACCTGATTATGAGTAGATCATCGTCACCATTGTTTGAGGAACCAAGCCATATGCAGGATCCCTATGGCGGAGTGGATGGCATAGTCGTCAGCGAAATTCAAAACCAGCAAGAAGATCTCAAGAGAAACAATTACGGGTCAATGTCTAAGGTCAGTACTAGCGATGTCGACATCCGCACGACAGCGGTCGCAAACGGGGACGAAAATACGAGCTTACAAGGTCATAGAGGAAAAGACCTTTCGCCTGTGAGAATTCGGATCATTATGATTTCCATGTGCTTGGGCATATTTCTAGCAGCCCTAGACAATACAATTGTCTCCACGCTTATGTCGCACATTGCATCGGAGTTCAACGCCATGCCTAACATATCCTGGATTGCGACGGGGTATTTGTTGTCCACGTCGTGCTTTCAGCCACTATACGGTAAAATTTCAGACGTGCTTGGGCGTAAGCCATTACTTATCTTCTGCAACGTCGTGTTTGGCCTCGGGTGCTTGATTTGCGGATTCAGTACCAATTTGTGGTCGCTGGTATTGGGCCGATTTGTTGCGGGAATTGGCGGTGGTGGCCTGACATCTCTGGCCAGCATCACCACAAGTGACATTGTACCGTTGAGAGACCGCGCCCTTTACCAAGGCATTTGCAACCTCTTTTTCGCGGCAGGTACCAGTTGCGGTGGCCTTGTCGGAGGATTTTTCGGTGAACACGGAGGTGGCTGGAGAGTAGCTTTCCTCATTCAAGTTCCATTTTGTATTTTGAGCTGTCTGCTCATTACGCTGTATCTGGAATTACCACCTCGTCATGCACACAAAGACCACAATGATCGTCATTCGTCCCAAGGGCTGCGGACACTCGATTGGCAAGGTGGCATTAGTTTGGTTGTTTTTCTCTTTTTGTTCATGCTAACGGCTTCGCTTGGCGGAAAGGAGATACCCTACAAATCAAAACTTTTCGCTCTAGCATGCGTAATTACGTTTGTCTCCGGTGCCGTTTTCGTTGCGATCGAGACCTATGTTGCTGTTGACCCAATATTACCGGTATCATTCCTCAAGGATAGAACCATATGTGCTGGTAGTCTTGCTAACTTCTTTTGTACTATGAGCATGATTACTACTAGTTTTTACTTGCCAGTTTACTGGGCAAGCGTAATGAATATGGGTACCACCGATGTCGGTAAAAGATCAGTGCCCAGTTTTTTCAGTATTGCGTTTGGTTCCTTGGGTGCTGGATACTACATGAAACGTACGGGCAAATACTATTGGTTTTTATTGGGATTTTGCGTGTTTGCAGTAGCGGGTCAAGTTCAAATCAATTTGGTGACCCCTTCAGTACCTGTATGGCAACAATACCTGCTGCTGGTTATTCCCAGCTTTGGAGTTTCGGTACTATTGACGGTCACTTTGTTGGCAATGATTGCAGCAGTCCCGCATGAATATCAAGCCGCCACAACTTCACTTTCTTATGCTTTCAGATCCACCGGTTGCACCTTGGGTGTTTCTGTCGGTGCAGCTATATTCCGTAACTCGCTGAGCTCATTCTTAGATAAGAAGGTGTTACGATTAGTCTCTGAGGAGCACACTGAGGCCGAGCTGAGAAGAATTATTACGAAAGCCGCTCATTCTTCCGAATGGATCCATAAGGGGGCACCTTTGTTTGTGCAATCGACCCTCGTTGAATGCTATCACTTTGCATGTAGGGCTACCTTCAAATTCTGTCTGGTCACACTTGTGCTTGCGACGATCAGTTGTGCTTTGCTCAGGGAGCACAAATTGCACACTTCAATAAGTCGAGACAACTAGGAAATCGAGTCGGAGATGTAATAGACGGGCAGGGAGCCTTGATGATAAAGTGTTGCGAAGATAAGAAGGACACTATTATTTATAGTCGAGTTTGGACACATACATATAAACAATTGACTCTTAGTTAGAAAAAGAGGGTATCGCTTGGCGAGGGGGGGGGCAGCCCGTACAACGCATGTACTGCATCTCGTACAGTGATATCAAGCCACTTTTGGGATCCGAAAAGGTCCTGACGACGCTATAAGTAGAGAGTAACAGAAGCTGGCCAGCATTGGCCTGTGAGAACAAATTCCATGTCACTTCGTACTATTATGTCGCTGCGTACAGACCTTACAAAGTAGCGAAGGATAGTTGCCAAGGTTGTGGTACCAATCTTAGATGAGCGAACGTATCGGGATATCAAACGTGAAAAAGCGGTTCCATGAACCATAATTGAGGGTCCCTGGAACCGGCCACACAATGTCTCTTACGACTCATTAAAATGGACTGTTAGCGGTGAGAAAGTCAGAAAATAGCGAGAGTGCTGCTGTTGAGCAATAGAGTGTAATTGTCTACTAAACAACAGATCTAGCTGGTCACCGCTGGCAGGAGACTTTAGAAAACAGTCTTCGTATATAATGATACAAATCTTTTGCACCATTCTACTGACTTCTCCGCATGCGCGACCTCCAGTGGCTCTCCCATATATCTCTCTAGTCCCAGGCCACACTACCTTACAAGTTGTACGTGCTGGCAACGCGTTCTCGCCGCTCTCATCGTTCTCACCGTCCTCTTAGGCTTCTTCGAATACTTTCGTACTCGGTTGCCGGTTGTCGACGCCCCGGACTTTTTTTTACCGTCATAAAAAATCAGACCACGCCATTAACCTGGAAATATCGCCTGATGAGCTTCCTGTTACAAGTGTTGTAGAATTGCAACTGGCAAGTAACACCACATTGGTGATAGTGGTGTTATTCCGATGAAGAGAGGCCCCCCCACCTCTTGTAGTGTAGAATTTTAGTTTATGTATATAAGGATACAAGAAAGTCGAAAGTTGGGTTAGTGCAGATGGTCATTTTTCTCAGCAAACCAGCTTCGACTTTATCTCACTAGTCTAGTATTTCCACTAATTCCCACTCATCACAATGATCGCCTCTCAAATTCTCAGATCCACCGCTTCCATCCAGCGCACAGTCGCTGCGTCTGTTCCAAAAACTGCGAACAAAGTGCTCTTGAGAGCGTCGCACGGCAGAATCGGTCAATCCTGGGCCGTTGCTGAGACCAAGAGACTCGTACCAACCGTTGCCGCATATTTTACTTTCATCGCATGTGTGCTGGGCTGGCCTTTCGCCGTCAGAGCCGCTGTTGCGCCAAAGCAGCTGTATTAAGGATCCGCTAAAGGAAGCACAAGCGTTTGTGCCCTTCCATGGTTGGCCCCAGTGTAACTAACGTCTAAATATTCGCCGGTGTAGTTTTAACGATTTCTAATGATAATAATGTATTACAAATAATGGCCCTCTCTAGGTTGGACGGGCTTTAGGCCCCCAGTTTCGCGAAGGGTTCTCCTGGAATCGCACTATCTTCAGCTTGCGCAGTTTCTCGACTTTGGCGCTTTGCTCGTTCTGCTCAAAGCTTAGCTTGTCGTCGTATTCACTCCCATTCACGATTGCATCGTTGGTCAGAATTTTGTAGCCAAACGTATTTGGGTTCATCTTCTCTATGTTGCACAAATCGTTGTCTTGACAGTATCGCTTCATCACATACCAAATGACTTCCCAAGGCGCATCGGTTTTTAGAGATGATGGCTGTGCGTGTGTCAAGGAACACTCGTAACCCAGTGACCCTAACCCAGCCACAACGGTCTTCAAGCTCGGTACTTGGAATTTCAAAATCGACGACACTCGGTTGGGCGTGAAGTAGAATGGCGCATCCAGCTCATTCTTTGCCAGCGTCAACATGCCTTCGATTCTCTTGCGAGTCTTGTATACTTCGTCGGTATGCTCTTCCCGATTGATTCTTAGCACTTCGTCGATAAAGTCTTTGTTGTGCAGAGGACCCGCATACATGGGTCCCGTCAAGTGGTGAGCGCCTCCACAGTACGAGCACCTTTTGTCCACGGGAGGGCCTTGCGCCAAAGAATATTTCACATAAGTGTTGCCCTTCTTGGTTTCACGCTCGCTTTGACGGCCCAGCTTCTGGTTGTGGTAGGCCCCACATCCACTGCACATGTAAGTGATCATGGTGTTGTGCTGAAGGTTTTTAACCTGAAGAGGGTTCGTCTTGACTTTGATGAATACACGCACGTAGAAGTCAATACTCAACGACAATACTGGTTCGATGCTCTTACGATATTTCGCAGCGCTCTGGCCCAAGAGATTCAAGACCAATCTCAACGCACTTTCGTGGGTCGCATCGTGTCCGGCCATATTCACGCCCCCGTACAACGCAAAACATTTCTCTGGGTACCCATTACCGGCCAGCACCGACAGATCCGTACACGTCACTAGCATCAACCCATCGTCCTCGATATTCTGTAACGCCGCATCTACGAATGGTGTCACGGTCCCGTATGGGTCTAGATCTATTACATGGTACCGTTTGTGTTGTGCTTTGTTCTTATACATCAGTACATTGGCATCATCAATGTTTGGTTTAACAATATCGCCAACGTTGTTGTAGTCCACATTTCGCTGGATCGCGTCTACTGCTGCCGGAAGCAAATCGTTCGCAACAATTTCTTTGACGTGAGGAATCTCGTGTGCATATCTAATGGCACGCAAGCCAGTGGCAGAGAGTGCCTCCAAGATCTTGATATATGGTTTTTGCACAGTCTTGGCGATTTCACATGAGCCATCCTGAAGTTTCCGTTTCTTCAAAGTGTCCTGAGGTTCCTCACACCCTCGTTTCTTGCTATGTTTCTTGGCTCGCGATTGTTCCTGCTTGGTCTGTCCGTATAGATTATCCCATGCCTTTATGCAAGTCACACTCAGATCTCTGTTAAACTGCTGAATCGGATTGTAGAATACCGTCTCTTTCTCGGGAAAAAGAATGTGTCCCTTGCCCTCAGTTATAATATTATATTTCTCTGCATTAGGCTTGCTAACAGGCCTCAGAAACCGGTTCTTAACACGGTTTATAGCTGCTTTAATCATGGTTAAATTTCGATGCGATGAGCTTCAAGAGTAGAGATGACATAAATCGCTGGAAAATTTTATGGAATAAAGATGTGAAGAGCTGGAAAACAAGCTGAGAAAACGAAACAGCACCTTTAGATCTGATTGAACTGCTTGCCACCCGAACCTATGGGGGTTTTTGAAGGATTCGTAAGGTAAAGTGCCAAGTTTGTATATATACGAGTTCTGTGGAACTCAAACCACCTTTTAGAACGCTGTTTAGTAGTAGACAATAGAAAGAATAGCTTTTTCTTGTCACATCAGCCTGGGCATACGTTTCTATGAACAGAACGACACGTAACTTGCTGTAACAAAGCTGTCTTATTTGTCTTTACAATGTGTGCCTCAATGGTAAACACTTTCTATAATTGTAGTCGATTTTACAATAATTAACCTTTCGACTAGAAATCGAAGCTTGTAGATCAAGTATGCCTCCAAAAAACGGGAAAAGGGAATCTGCTGGCGGAAAACTGCCTGCTGCATTGCATGCTAAAGAGCAACAAAGCGTTACGATCGAAGACTTGCTATTTCCAAGAAGCACAATTGTACATCTCGCCAAAGATAGTTCGGTGCAAGGTGTTGACGCCAATACCACAGATGCAGAGAGTAAGAAGGTTATACTATCGAAAGATGCAGCAACAGCCCTACAGAGATCTGCTACAGTCTTCGTAAACCATCTAATGATGTATGCACGCGAAGGAGCAGCTTTTCAAAACCGGAAAAGTGTTAACGTAGACGATGTGTTAGCAGCTTTGGACCAATGTGGACTTGAGGGACTCAAAACGCTAGTGAGATCCAGGCTAGACGAGTACCAGAAGGCGCTAGAGTTGAGAAAAAAGGAGAAAATCGAAACTAAAGAACACGAAGACGGTCCCACAGAATCAGGCGACGAAGGAGTCGAGACACAACCAGACACGGAATTAGCTGTGGGCGAGCCGGCCAAGAAACCAAAATTAGACAATTAACCATGAGAAATGATCACTTATACAACTTGCACCATCACCTTAACTAACATATATCTTCAAGCTATATAGTGAACTGCGCCAAAGATCACAACAAGCACAATCACACTCACCGCAATAAGTGTTGAGCAAAGCTTGACATTCTGCCACCACATTTTTGTCTTGATTCGTACGGCTTTGCGCTTGAAATTGTAACTTGATTGATTCAATTTCGAGGTCCGGTCCACGAGAAGTGACACACGCTCCTGACGTTGCAGAAACTTGTCTATATTATCATTCATAAGCTGTATGATATCCTGCAAGTCCTGCTCAGTAGCTTCGGCGGTAGACGAGTCATGATAGGACAAAAGCTCTTCGTGGAACTGTTGTACAATAGTTTGGACGTTGGAATCCAGTTCCCTGTCCGACTTGTTTGACAACGGTTTCAGCTCTGTCAACACCCGAAGTGGAAGAATCTTTGGTACGTCGACGGGAGAGAAACAAACGTACACTGCGTTTCCCGTATCGGTACCGTAATAACAATCAAAACCATCCAACAGCGAGCTCGACACCTTGGTGACCTTATTTCCCTCCAAGGGCACAACTTTGGGTATTACCAACTCTGCGGTTAGTCTTTCAAATATCTGAGGGCTGGCAATTTGTCCGGCTTTACCCATAGAACCATAGCCCGAAGCAGGACTTTTATAGTATTTAGCTATTACCTCTCCATCACGCAGAACCTCGACATAAGTCACTAAAATTCAAGTGTTAGCGAAACCAATTGACATGGCAAGATCAATCAAAGCTACGAAAGTCTAAGCTAGGGCTCACATACCGTTATAGTGCTTCATTTCTTCAACCTTTTACTATTTTTAATTACTATTTAATGTCCCTTGGCGAACTTGAAGTTCAATAATCACGAAAGTCCGTGGCCTATGACTTGGTAGAACAAGATCTTGTGATGATCGTAGTTATTCGTTTTAGGTCTATATATATATATCTATGGGACAGCTTGTGGTACCTGAACACTAGTTAGAGCGTCTGCAGGCCACTCGAAATAGCCTTGGTCGATCAATTCCTCAATATTCATGGCTCTCTTGCCAGTGTCCTTCATGTATGCTAAGTAACCTTCTTTTATAGGCTTGATAGAGCTTCTGATCCTGATTTGGTCGCTAGTCCACTCGACGCCAAAATAACCGTCTTTTCCGGCCGCGGAGATCTGGCGATTGAGCCTTTGCGAGTATTGAACGTCCATTGGGAAAACCAAATCGTGATATTTCCCATTGTCACCGTTGGTATCTAGGAACCACTGGTCGTAGTATTTCATAACTTCCATGGACGGAAGCTCGATACGGCCACTCCAGACTCTGGCAAGCCAAGCACCCTGAGTCTCGCTCAAGCGGGTGGGAAGCACAAACCTTGGCAAACCGATAATACCAATAGTGGGAAGGTCGTAGGGCAATATGTGATTGTAAAGACGGTGCAAGTGAGAACCGTCAGTAATCAACGAACTCAGAATGGCGTCGCCCTTGGAATGCGCTTCTGAAGCTTTGGGTAAGAATGGTAGAGACTTCAAGTAACCGGTACAAAAGATAACCTTTTCCACGTTCTGGATCTTTTCACCATTTACCAGCACCACTGTCTTGGTCTGGGAGTCAAATCTAAGAATGTCGGCCACCTCACGGATGCGGGGATCGAAACCAGAAGGCAGCGGGGATTCGGATCTTTTGGATTTGTACACCGTTTTTTGCAAGTGCGTTGCGAGCTCGAATGCCAGATCCGAACCCGACGCACTGTTCCCTACCACGATTATCTCGCCTTCAACGTCTTTGAAGTCTTCGGGACAGTCAAAATCCTTGGCGTGGGACACAGAGGTGGGGTATATTTCGTGCCATTCTTTCAGACCATCCCGGTCTGGCAGAAAAGGCAGATCGTAGAAACCAGTTGCGATGGCCACCGCATCAAAGTTTTCGGTCTGGGATTCACCTGTGACCAGGTCTTTGGTGGTAACCGAATAGTTCTGGTCCTCGTCATTGTAGTTGAGCTTGACGACCTCGTGGTTGAAGCTGACCAGGTTTTCGATGGCTTTGGAGTAGCCAACGATGTAGTCCCAGACCTGCTCCCGCAGCGGGAAAAGTGGAGCAGTGCTGGGGAAAGGATGGCTTTCGTATTCCATCAGGAACTTGGGCACATTAGTGTCCAGATATTTGTAAACGGCGGTTTGAAACACCAGGCCGTGCTCATCGTGCAAGTGCGGCTCACTTTTCGCATGCGGAGTCTCGCACGGCACTGTGGGACAAGATGTGACTTTTTTCGATTTGAACAGAGGCTTGGTGTAGTTCCAGACTCCACCAAAAGAGCTTCTTTTCTCAAAGACTTTGATCCTTTCAAATTGGTTTTCATGGATGAGCGCCTTGGTGAGCCCAGCACCCACTGGACCTGCTCCAATGACCGCTATCGAGCCTATCTTCTTGGGAATCTGCGACAGTGCGATATGTGAGGGCTTCATTATCTCTCGAAACTTGATGAATAAACCAAAATTTTGGGAACGATCTGACAACAAAGCCGAAAGCTCCACCCATCTCGTCGCAATTCATCGGTACATGTTATATAAACCGATGAATCGCGGTTGTCATTGAGCTCGAATATACGTTGTGGCTCTCTGCCTACTATCATGTGATGGTGATAAGCACAACGAGAAGAGCAGAGATAATCAGATCTCCAGGAACAATGCTGCTTGTTGTTAAATCCGCACGGTGTTCTACAAGCTATCACGGTTCTATATATCACCGTTCTGGCGTGTATTTGAGAGATTGTGATGATTCTGTAAGTGTCAATTAGTTTAGTTATTATTCGTGGGAGGTAAGACGTCGGGAAAAGTGAATCGTAATGTTATCTTATATGCTATCTATGCGGGTTGTATTTGTCGTAAATGCTGGGGGAGCCTTGAAGCGGATTATTCACCGGTGAATCTGGAGTCGCACCAACCTTTCACCACGTATTGTAGCTCACGGGTGGGGACTCCAGGACGGGCGCGCGCGAGTTGTAGTTTACCTGAGGGTCTTAGCATCATTTTGGAGGAAAGACTTGTCCAGGGCTTGAGTGCTGAGTTCACCCGGACCAGAGATGGCGCCACGGGCCCCGAATCGTGCAGATCTGTAGGCGACACGATGAACTTTAAATTCCAAGGCGCATTGTCGCCGTGAAGATCGAGACGGGGCTCGCACATCATCTCCGACCACAGTTTCTTGCGGGTGATGAGTGCGAGCTTGATACCGTGGGCACTAACGTTGTGGGTTTGCGAGGCCGCAGGAATCTCGAGATTCCAGATATCTTTGAAATCGAGTTTGCGCAGCACTTGTTCGTCCACGTTGAGGTCCGGTATCAGGTTGCGTGCTTTCGAGGTGGTCTCCATGGCGTAGAGCTTGAGGAAGTTCGGGTTGAACGTTTGCTGTCGTATGCGGCGGTTTGGAGCCGATGTAGTTGTGTTGGGTGCAGCTTCGACAGGAGTAGGAGGAGCAGGTTTTGGTTGTGCGTGCAGCTCGTGGGACTGCTGTCTGGGCCAGTTCTCGAGCTCTACTTGCTCCGAGTCGCACAGCATCACCGAGGACCGTATGCGGTTCCCGCTGGTTGTGGCGTTGGTATCCAACACCTGTGCTGTGCCTACGTTGGTTTTGGTGTCGATGGTCAGATCTACGGAGGTGCGACGAGGCCCTGATGTGGGCTGTTGCTTATGGATGTAATTGACTTTTGCCCGCTGGTACACGGGTTGGTATAGCTGCAGAATGTCGCTGACCATGTACTCTTCGGCGAGATCCAGGTCTTGTGGATTGACCAGCCGCAGTCTGGGCTCGCTAGCTAACTTGGCTTGCGTGTCATCGAGCGGGTCGCAGTACTGCAACGGGTCGCCAAGCGGATGCTCTTGCATCGGAAGCGACGGCGCCGGCGACGAGGAGCTGCTGGGAGGCCAATCGTCCAAAGAGTCCTGCCGTATCAGCGGAACGCTTGCCGAAAGCTCGTAATTCCATTCCCAAGAGCTCCTGCTGCCCGAACTGCTGCCGTAGCTACCACTGCCACACGCAAAACTATCGCCAGAGCTTCCGGTTCTAGCACTGCGATAGGACTTCACTTGCGACAGCACCGAGCTCATCGAAGGAGTCACACTCAACGGGGCGTTATTCGGCGACACCGAGCCCACCAATCCTTGCGATCCACTTTTGTTCATTCGCAGCGCCTTGGCTAGCCGGCTTTTACCTCTGGGCCTGCTCCCACATCCGTCCATGTTCTCGTCCAGTAGTCTTTTCAACCGCGACGCACTATATTCTTCCACATGCGCCATGTATGAAGCACTTAATCTATTTCAAGTGTCACCTCTCTCTCCAGATCGGAATATCAGCAAATCAATTTACCAAAACTCTTCGCCAGCTCTGTCATATTCATTCTTCTTTTATTCACGCTCTTCCAATTTTGTTCGTTAACCTTTCCGTCATTACAGTTGGTGCCGTATCTCGGTCAAAATCGCCTTAAACATTTCATAACATCATCAGTCATTCGGCAAAATAGAGAATTTCGTTGATACTAGCGATGGCATCCTATGCCTGTCGTATCTGCAAGTTGTCAACCGTTACTGTAAGCGAAAAGCCTATAGGCTCGTGAGCGAAAAAATTTTGCAGGAATAGTTACGCAGAAGGAATGTCGATGAACATCGAGATAAGGCATTTGGAATAGCTTAGCGCGCGCGAAAATGCGAGCGAAGCAGTGTGCGAAATAGTGTGCGATTGTTATTTTGACGTTGCGCAGGGAAATAGTTGAATTTTATTTATTGGGATGGGGAAGTTATAACTGGGATGGCAGAGTTAGCGTTCGGGGAAGTGCGTTTCTCTGCAAAATTTGAAAGGGTGGGGCGGGGGCGGCGGCGTTGTTGGCATTGGCGGTAGTGGTAGTAGTAGTAGTAGTAGGAGTGGAATAGCTTGCTTTGTTACGCTCTTCTTTCAGTTTCTTGCGTCGTTCACGGTCCTCGTGTAGCTTCAACTGTTGGGTGCGGGTTTGAGTCAGTTCGGAGGCAAAGGCGAGACGCAGGTCTTTCTCGAGAGCCTGCATACACCAGCCACATATGAACGTCTCCGGCAGTACGGCAGCGTTGGTGGATGGACTCGCTTTGCGGGTGACAGGCCTGTCCAGCAAGACATCCGTAGAATTCTCGGACTCGTTCTTCGATTCGGAGACAGCCGGATGGCGGGTACTGCGCCGTTGGCCCCGCTGGGGCATTCCGAGCGTTACCGTAGCGAAATCTTTGCGTTGTAGAGGCCTTTGGCGGGCTTCGCCCAACAATGTGATCCAGTTGTCTTGCTGGCACTCCAGGTGTTGCCAGCGTAAGCACGAGTCGCAACACACCAGCGTGTGGGAGCGAACGGCATCATTGTCGTTTAAGTTCAAGCCCGCAACCACGTTGCAGGGACACTGGAACCCCCAAGAGGTGGAATCCGGGGTATACTCAGCGGCGGAGATGCCGTGGTTAGCAAGGCTCGACAGGTCTTCTCTCGTAATGAGCAGTTCATCTGGCAGCTCTAGCGATTCGATCTTCAGCGGTTCTGGAACTGGGGCGTCGACCTGGATCAGTGGCTGGTGGTACTTGGGCCCGTTCTCCAGGACGGCCAGATCGATGTCAGAGAGTTGAGCATCATTCTCCCGGCTCTGCAACTGGGACGTCGCATCGCTGTCAATAGTTCTGCGTCTTAGTTTTTCCACTTTTACATCGGCCTCGAACCTCTCCCACAGCATCGTCCACATTGCGTCCTTGATGGCCTTCGAAGCTTTAGCTACTGCACGTTGGCGAGCCCGCAAGCACTGGTCGCGCTCGTCGAGTTTCTCCAACCATCCAGCCTCCAAATCGCGGCGTCTAGTGTCTTCCTCACGGGCCACGAGTCGAGACGAACGTTTACGTCTCACTAGCAATTCGGCCATCGACCGTTCCCGCTCCCTGTTGCCACATAAGCGCCTCCCGTTCAGCTCGTTATCGGCAATCGCAGGTAGTTGTTGCGTTAGAAACTCTTGTAAACCTTGGTCTGTAGTTTCCTTCACGTACTCGAGATATTCGTCCCAGGTGGCAGTTAAAACCGTAAAGTTAAGCGCAATGTGAGAAAGGTAGTCATCGATCTCCGGTCCAAAATCCAGTTGGAACACTTCGACCTGGTCTTCATTTTCGTAGCGTACCGAGCAATTGCGAAACTTAATTGGAACGCGCAACTCTGCGTTTTCGTTAGCGGCCATGGTTCGTTCGACAACTTTGCCACCGGGAAGCACATAGAGCGAATGGCGTTCTCCCAACACGCACTCGGGAAACTGGAACATGTGTAGGTGAGAGCTCAAATACATCCTGAAGCCTTGGTTTTTTCGCTCGATGTATTTGACGCAAGCGTAGAGAACGTCAAATTGTTGCCCCACACTCAAGGTTCTGAATTTCAAAGACTGGTCCTGGGAATACCACAGTACTGCATCCCATTGTGCCAAATTGTATTTCATAGCCACGTCCCATTCTTTCAATTGGGCCTTTTTGTTCTGGGTGACAGTTTTCAACAGTTGTTCTAGGATCTCAGTGTATAGATTCTCCTCAAACTGGTTCTTCAGGTCCTGAAGCAGCAGTTTTTCGTCAAACGCAATGTTGGAGAAGAACGGCTTGCCCTGTTCAGCAGTGAACGCGCTGTCACAAACGTTGTAAAGCCAGGATACCACGTATTGGTAGTGCCAATTATGCGCTAAATCTGGGTCCACAGCGGGTCCTGGAATGGATTTGGACAGTTGCTGCAGCTGGAACTCTTCCAAGTAGTCCTCCAGGTGCACCTGCTCGATTTCTAGCGCTCTCTTCATGGCCTAGGCTGGGGTTCTGTGCTTGTATTTTAGGTTAGGCGATGGTTTTCCATATACATCAAAAACCGCTTGAAGAGCGTGTTTTGTAGAAAATTCAAGAGAGACAGGCAAAAGGCAGAGAAAGCGGCGCCAAAGAGCACCCGCGGAAGGCCCACACGAGACACCAGAGTGGAGCGCCCACCCAGGGCAAAAGACCCCATGTTTTTTTGGCGCCCGCTGCTGTATTATCTTCGTGTGCTGGTAATTACAGGCCCAGTCACGTGAAAATCACGCGCAGCCCAAAAGATGAGATCTCTACTCTTAACTACACGCCAAAACAGCCTTCAAAGGAAGTCGTTTCGCGATACAACCCGGGACAGCTTACGCCTATCTACTTTTGCGCAACTTCCACACTATTATCATCATTACTGTCCTGGTGGATATTACTATCGTCATCCCAGTAGTGAGCGGCTGGAACCGAACGCCTTAACAATTTAGCCAGTGCCGTAAATTACGCGAATCACGCCGTTACCCGCCCAGCATCGAAAGCTAAGCATCATCACACACGAATATGCACCAGACGCATACGATTACAACAGCGAGCATGACCCGCGCATGCTTGTACATGCGTCCGCATGATCTGCATGCAGGTATATTGGGGCTTGTTATTTTGGACGAGGAGGAAAAAGAAAAGCAATGGGCCGAGAATTTCCCGAGCGGCTCTTCCGCGATCATTGCGGCCGTGGTACGCTCGTACGAAAAATACTCTCTTACGAGTATGCTTTTGTACGTCGTGATTAGCTCAGCGCGCTGACGTAAGGTACAAATATGTAATACTCTTAGGTGTAGTGAGCATGTATATTTGACGATAAGACTGAGTTCAGGTGAAAGTGGGAGCGATATCTCAACTATTCTGACGATGGAGCTTGGGTAGTTGGTTGGGTTGGATCAGGATGCTGAAGTAGAACAATTCTTATCGCCAGCTGGGAATAAGCGTAGAAAATCCGTGAACATCCGGGAAAATCCTTGAGAACCCGTGAAATTCCACCCGCGAGACGAGAGTGAGTAGCCGATGTGGCACCGTAAGAGTGCGATTTTGCAATTGGATGGTTGAGTGAAAAGCAGCTGGGCGCCGCGTTTGGTCGATGCTGTTTGGGGAAACCCGGATCCAAATCAGGAAGGTCCTCGTGACAGTGCAATGGCATCGTCTTATCAGTATCAGATCGGGCCTGAAAGGGGGCCGGCCCATGAGGCTGTGCGCTCTGGCATATCGTGCCAGCGTGGCCCGTAAACTTCGTTTCCGTTCCTCACGACACGGTTTTTCGACCTCGTGGTCAAAATGAGGCTGTTGTACCGTCACAGTCCTTGCGCATTTGTGATGCTAGCTCACAACACACCACCTGGCTTTTCAACCACCTGTGGAAGTTCAAATTCTGGCGAATTGCCCCGCTTCATGTGTTATGCTGCGCAACACGATGATGAATGACAGTAAATATCTGCCACAAGAGCCCTTATAGTATACGCACGGTATAATAGGGTCAGAAAAATTGTAGTCAGTGGCTACTTCATATATCAGAAGTGGCTAGATGTTATTTGGTTTATCATAAACAGGATCATTATTATAAATCACTCTTTGAATTTTCCTGTAATTATGGCATGTTGGTAGTTCTTGTAAATAGCCGCAGATGCTTGTACGTGCTTCGACGGTAATTTCACCCGACGCTGATAATCTCTAAATGGTAATCTAGCTATACAATACTATTTTCCATTTATTTTGTTTCCGGTAGCGACTTCAATGCCGCGAAGACCGTATTGGCCGGAAAAAAAAGGGCTCACGATCAAACAACAATTGCACGTCAAGCTTGACAAGAGCAGAGCTCAATATCCCAATGAATGAAAAGACTTATTGGTGTATTCAGACTCCCGGAAGGTTATAATTGAATTTGCTTGGCGTCTCAAGTGACAACCTCATATAGGGATAATTTGACAATTTCAATCTGACCGTAAACTATATTCATTAACTCGACCAAAGGCTATTTCAAAAGCCCAATTGACGCTCAAATGCCGTCAAATACTGACTACCACGTCAATAGGGAGTTCCGAATGGGCGGTAGTACGAATGCTATGATTGTTGCTCCGGCTACTCCTCGAATGATGGGCAAATCCAGCAATCATGCCAGCAACTCCAGCCACGGCAATAACGGCACGTCTTCGGGGCTCATGCCAGCCGTAGATGTCTCTGTGGCAGGGCAGTCGTCTTCCAAGGGCAATAGGAATGGCCAAGATGTATCTGGAGCGCCTGCGAAACAGTTCCATCGTAAGAGCTTGGGAGATTGGGAGTTTCTCGAAACAGTCGGGGCAGGCTCCATGGGTAAAGTAAAACTCGCGAGGCATCGTACCACGCATGAAGTTTCTGCGATTAAGATCGTAAACCGGGCTACAAAGGCTTTTATCCACAAGGAGGCCCACATGACGCCGCCTAGAACCCAAGAAGAGATTCTCGAGCGCGAACACAAGTTAGAGAAGGAAATATCGCGCGACAAACGGACAATCAGAGAAGCCTCACTAGGCCAGATTCTTTACCACCCTCATATCTGCCGTTTATTCGAAATGTGCACCATGAGCAATCATTTTTACATGCTTTTTGAATACGTTTCTGGAGGTCAATTACTAGACTACATTATTCAGCATGGTTCCTTGCGCGAGCGCAGCGCCCGGAAATTTGCGCGTGGTATTGCTTCGGCGCTGCAGTACCTCCATATGAACAACATAGTACATCGTGACCTCAAGATTGAGAATATTATGATCTCCACGTCGGGTGAAATCAAGATCATCGATTTTGGTCTCTCAAACATGTACAATCCCAAAAAACAGCTCCACACATTTTGTGGCTCGCTTTATTTTGCCGCTCCAGAGTTGCTAAAAGCTTGTCCTTATACAGGACCCGAGGTTGACGTTTGGTCATTTGGAGTCGTCTTATATGTGCTTGTGTGCGGGAAAGTTCCCTTTGATGACGAAAACTCTAGCGTACTACACGAAAAGATCAAGCAAGGTAAAGTGGAATATCCCCAGCACCTATCTATTGAAGTCATCTCTCTTCTGTCTAAAATGCTGGTCGTAGATCCAAGTAAACGTGCTAGTCTGAAACAAGTGGTGAATCATCAATGGATGCAAAGAGGCTACGATTTCCCTCCACCATCTTACATTCCGCATCGTGTTCCTGTGACTGCAGAGGCATTGGATTCTACTGTGATCAAAGAAATGTACCGATTGGAGTTTGTTGATGACGTGATTGAAGCAACCGCTTGGTTAACGAGAATATTGACTAGCACAGAATATCAAAACCTTGTGAGACAATTTTGGGCCAATGTGAATAAAGGCGGTGTACATGAAGATCCTACTCGTGCTTTTCATCCGCTTTTATCTATTTACCATTTGGTTGACGAAACGTTGAAGAGGAAATTGGCCAAGCAACAAAAGAGAGCTGCACTCTTGGCAGCAAATCAAGTTCCTCAAGCTTTAGACGTGCCTCTAGCGGGACCACCTGCTGGCGCACCTGTAACGCCGGGACCAACTCCTGTGGCAACGCCAATTACGATGGCCGGTCAAGAATTCCCGCCTACGAAAAACAATTTCTCTGCTAATTCCAAGAATTTTGGTATCGTACCACCTTACCCAGTGGTAAGCCCTCCCCCTGCAAATTCACCAACAACAAAGACAAAACCGACGGTTGTGATTCCACCAAAACTTGCGGTCCCGGAGCAGGCACATACTTCGCCAACTATCAGAAAATCACTGGATGTTGGAATGCCATCCGCAGATCTCGACGTCGTTTTGTCACCTACACCACAGTCTCATGATTATGATCGGGCTACTACAGCTTTGAACAAGAAATCCGAGTCCGTTTCCTATTCTCCTGCTCCTTCAAACGATGTTCCGCCTGAGAAGTCCAAATTTGGCACGATGTTCAGACGTTTCTCTCAAAAACGTCACAGTCAACAACAATCACAACAACCACAGCCGCCACAACCGCCACAACAGTCCGCTCAGCGGTTTGCGCCCCAACCTGCTCCTGCTACTTCCATGAAGAAGACCCACACCCGAACTGTTTCGGAGAATGTACCAAGGATTACGACATATGGCGCTCCCCCATTACCTAAAAACATTACCACTGCCAAACAACAGACAGACTTACCAGCGCTGCCATCAAATGCCGCCAATATGGTCAAAAATCAACAGCAGGCCCAAGAAGGCGTTCAAAGATTACAAATCACGGATGAAGATAAACCACTTCCCACACTTGCTGTTCCAAAAGGAAGAAAAATGCATCCCTCTGCAAGAGCTAAATCTGTTGGTCATGCTCGTCACGAGTCTATCAAATTAATGAGACCTCCAGTTTCTAATAATATGGACCAACAAGTGATGAACTTGAATGATGACGGATTCTTAGAAACCAGTGACGATGGAAAATCCGACTATCTCAATAATGTTGAAGTTACTACTTCACAGGGTGAACGTGAGCTTACAGACCAAGAAATTCTCGATATTGCATCCAAAGCGCCTATGGGGTCGATGCCCTCTATTGATTTCCCTCGTTCCTTGTTTTTGAAAGGGTTTTTTTCCGTTCAAACAACATCATCCAAGCCTTTACCAGTGGTGAGATATAAAATCATACTCGTGCTAAAGAAGCTGAGCATTGATTTCAAGGAAGTAAAGGGGGGGTTTGTCTGCTTGCATAAACAGTCATACATCGCCCCAACCACCCAGCAACCTCAACAACCTGTAATTTTAGTTCATGACGCCTCTTCGATGGGCAGTAATAACAGTGGGGGAGCGAGTTCCCACAGACGCAATTTTTCGCTATCAGGACAGCAAGGATCAGTATCTCGTCACAGTTCAATACGACGCCAAGCATCAATTAATAAAAATCAACCGCCAGGTATAGCAGCTACTCCGTTAGGAGCCAGTACGCATGAAAGGAATCTTTCAGTCGTTTCCCCAGGTAATGGGACTGGAAGCATTCCAGAGGTATCTAGCGCCTCTCTGGAGTCTTTGAATCAAGACGATATTCTGACGACTTCGAAAGCACATAATTTGAACAACGCTGACAATGCGATGTTTGGAAACTACTCAAAAGAAAGGCCGCCACTGAAATTCGAAATTCACATCGTAAAAGTGCGCATTGTTGGTTTGGCCGGTATTCATTTCAAAAAAGTATCGGGAAATACTTGGATGTACAAAGAACTGGCATCTCATATCTTGGAGGAATTGAACTTATGATCGGAAAGGACTTCCTTCGGACAACAATAAAATCTCAATGATTGAATATCTCTCTACCGGAAATTAATAATAGACGTTGAACTAGATCGTATTTGATGGTATGCTTGGACTTTTTATAGGTTACTCAAAAATTATATATAAGTTAACGTTCTTTCTTCGTGTACTTTAGGCTCGAGCATCGCTTCGAGGGAGCGATTTGCTCGAAGAATAACGTCCATGTCTTCTATGAGATAATTGAGAAGTACGTGTTTCGGTATTCTCTTGTCGGTAGGCTTGCCACCCTTCATTTTCTTTCCGCCCGCATGCTCAACATCGAGCCCCCAATTTACAGGATGAAACTTCTGGGCTTCCTGAACCACAGATCTCGGGAACTGTACAAGTTCGACGAGGTCGTCGAAAAACTCTTTAATCGCATTTCTCCGCTTCTTTTCAAGCGCTACATGCTTCCATTTTTTACGCTTTGCGGGGTCACCGCGTACATCTAACGGAACCTCCGAATCGAGAATTGTGATCTCCGGCGATTTTATTTGAGCAGGTTTGTAATTGACAGACATCGTTCGCAGAGAAGTATCTGGCGTACTTTGAGGATTGACGTCAAGAGCCGGCAATGGCTGTGCTATCGTGACGGCATCCAGTGCTTTTTCCGAGCCACTACGACCCAAGCCTGGTCCCAAAGCACTTATTGGCAGCAGTGGGTTCTTGAAGCTATTTGTGGTTCCAAAGCCATTAACAGAGTTTACTGGCTTGCCGTCTACGGCTGCTTGTGAAACCTTGAACTCACTCGACGCTTGTTTGCCCGAAATATGCCCGTCTCCCAGAGACCTGGATGCACTGATGACAGAACCAACTTCTTCCCAAACTGGCTTTAAATGCTGTTGCTGCGGTAGCCACTCCTTGGAACGCTTCGCGCTGGTGTTGTTGCTGCTGACAAGACTGTCCAGGAAATTTTCGATCGCACTCGACTCAAATTCGCTCAGCAAACCAGGTCGATTCGTCAATTCTAACCCGAGAGCGTGTTCGTTCAAATGTGCACCGTTGACCCCATCGCTCTCACGCTTCATCCCACACGTATCTGATGTACTCCAGCGATCTACCTCCGGATCTATTGCCATGTGATTGTTATTATTAGACTTGGCATTCAGATCTTCATTGTTGATCATTTCATATGCAGTTTCGAAATCAATGTCCAAATCATAGTCAAAAACGTCCAGAAGATGATTGTTTTCCATTGTTATAATAACCCAAGCTTAGATACACGGCTATTGAGCAATTGAGCCTCTTGCGCTCTTCTCAAATGTCTTTAAACCTTACAATGGTTAAAGAGAGCTTGACTGTCAACACTTTTTTTCACATGGCTTGAGAGAAGTGATGATGGCACATTTCACGAAGACGATTAATCGAGGGTCAAGACTAAGCGGGAGATACGTTGATCCTGTGAGGGCTAGCTCATGGTAAAGTACGCTGGTGCACTGTAGTGCTTTGTTGCTGGAATTGTCGTTCTTTTGAGCCTTCCGGAACGTCGTTCGCGTAAGAATTGACCCGCGAGAACGAAAACGGCTTTTCCTCGTGCATCGAAAACTGAATTTGATCGCCAGTGTCCTGAAAGGCCTCCGACTTGATCCATTGCAGCCTGTGGTATCTGCGTCGCCCATGTGAGTGTATTTGGAGCGTTTCAACGAACTCGTATTTCTCGTTGCGGCGCTTGACGGTCAAAATCGAGAAATCGTCGTCAATGGAACATGTCCAATGGCACAATTCGGCGTCTTTAACACGGCGGTGACGACTGAAGTGTCGCACAACGACAGACGGTTCATCCGTAGTGACTAATCTCAGGCAAGTGCCGTCAGGATAAAAGCGCAGGTACCGGTAGTAAGTGATCATGTGCACTGGGCTGACGAGAGATGAGGATCCTTCGAGATTCGCTCCATGGCGCAGGTAGTTGACAACGCTGATGTAGCAGCCTTGGAATTTGACATACGCTCGCTCTTCCAGCATGCGTTTGTAATCACTGCCCCAGAGCGCCTGTTCCAAGGCAATCAAGTTATTCAACCCGTTGAGCGTCATAGTGGCCTCGTCATAGTGTTGAAGTGGATATATGCGATGCGCAAAAGCCCGGTATGGGTCTGGTTTTTCGAAGCATAGCTGCTGAAACTTTTTGCAGGTAAGAGACAAATTGACCCACGATTCGCCCGACATAGCAATAACGTGGTGAACTATATGTTGCAGGACGTCTTCCGGTAATGTTTCCAGGAGCCAACACGGGAGTTGCAATGCTTCCGTTTCATCTTGGGCCTCCACACCCGCCGTATCATCGCTCGGTTTACCATCTATAATTCTATCCTTGTCCGACTCTGACACATTATCACTATGTTTCTTTGTCAAACCTTTCATAACAATCTTCCGGTAGTTTTTCTCCACAGCCTCGTCCATCTTTAGAGCTCTGCGGTAGCACACTATCGCATCCATCATAAGTCCATCTTTCTCCTTTGAAACACCTAGTTCCCAGACTTTGACGGCCTCTAAACCGCGGTGCGCGCTATCGTGCACCATATCTGAATCCAGAAGAAGCTGCTTTACCTTTTGGAAGTGCCAGCCGCTTGCAGAATTGTCTTTCTACACAGGTTTCAATCATGTGTAAAACAAATATGATAATAATCCAATACCACAAGCTATTTTGACACATTTATTAAACACTTTTAATGTATAGACTGAACATTGTCGAAACGGCAACAGCGACTGATGCTCCCGATAAACAGCAAATCGAAACTGAAATAAAACGTTCCTAAAGTCTATAAGATGTGCACTAATTGAAAGCTGACGTTTTCAATTGAGCCAGCTAGTCAGTTAGCTAAGTGGCCGGCATTCAAAGTACTGATTGTCAACAATGGAGGCCCTCTTTAAGTCTCTTGAATCTATGGAAAAAGAAGGATATGGATTTGCACTGCTACTGGAGGATTCCAGTGCAACGTCGAGATTTTATTCTTCTAGAGCAATGGATGAAGGCTTGCAATTGATGCTTTTAGAAAAATCGTGTTCATCTAATAGACAAGAGCAGCGTCCGGGTGCTGCAAAACACGAAAAGAACGAACCAAAGACAACCTACGTCTTAGATCTGGGCAACGGTCAAGAGGTGGAACAGTATTTTAAAAATGTGTTTTCCATGCTACGGCAGTTGCAATGCAAAGCCATTGCTAAAGCTTGGATCAAGGTAGTGGAGCCAAAGAAAAAATCCAGGTTTCCTTACATGAATGGCGACCTCTCCAAGCCATATTGGTGGCCTTCAGACGTGGAGCATCGAGAACCTGACCATTTAAGGAAACCACAGAGAATCAGGCTCATGGCTGCCATTTTGAGCCAGTTGGTCCCGCAACGTAATGATTTTAAGCTACTTCACACGCTTAAGAAGTCAACTATGTCAATGCAGTTTGCCAAGAACTCTCACCATCAAAATGCACTAGATGATGCGTATAAGGTTTGCGCTGCGTTGTGCCTTGGTCAATCAACAGCAACCGCGTTGGACCTGAGAGGTATGTCTACAAAGATGCCTAGTAAGCAACCCGTGCCAAAAAATCATGTCAAAATGGATCCGGCGCTGGAACAATTCACACTAGCCGGTTTGAGTCCTGAAAGCCTTACCAATGACAGTAGGCCGGGTAGTAAGACCTTTCCGTATTTTTGCGAGCATCCCAAAGACACACTAGCCAGCGCTATTACCCAATTCTCTAACATTCATACCGAGTTGTCACTCAATAATAGCCTATTCGGCGAGCTTGGAGTTAGTTCATCGAACTGCGATGCAGAACTCACGTTCAGTAGCGAAACGGTATCGCCACGGTATTTCCAAAACATTAACTAACGGACAATCACATATATAAAGACAGTAAGCATTCAGGTCAAGTTAATTTACTCTGCGACCCCCCAATGAGTGTATCTATTTCGTTTAGCAGACTAAAATCAAAGTTGTACTCTAAGGCAAAATCATTTCCGTCCAAAAGGGTACCAAATAAATCTGTAGGATCACTGCCAACCTCTTTATCGATGAATTTTTTACCCAGCTCAAAGTTCAAAGTAGGTGATATTAAGAATTCTTTCAACTCTGACAGTTTACGGTTGTCAACCCCTTTTGTTTTGCAACATTGAATAGCCAAAATCGCGGAGTAAATCATGTAAATGCTGCTCTTCTCATACCCTCCAAATTTCGATTTGAAGGCTTTGAGAAGGTAGCAAATTTCTTCTATAGTATCTTCAGCAACAATCTTACTTTCATTCAATTCTTCGATGAACGGTTTATTGTACGATAGTAATACTGTGTAATAGTGGTACCACAAGTACGAGATTGTGGGGTTGAAATCTTCAATGTCTTTGAGTAATTCTTTGGACCATCTAAGCTGTTCGGGCAAGTTCAGACGCCATTGAGCAACTTCCGAGTTGAACTTCAGCAAATGCTCGCTTCGCTGCGTAATAGATTCTGATTGTATGAAGATTTTGCTCGCAAACAACTCTGTGATTCTTGATAAAACGATTAGTTCCTTAAGAGGCTTAGCCATTGACAAAGTTACGCGCGAGTCGTACAAATAGTCTTCAATTCCTGTTTCGACGTCCGGCAATTCATCAGTCTCTGGTACAGTGGAATTCGATAGTCGCAAAGATGTTGATCTACCGAACAAAACGCATATCAAATGGTCTGCAAGATAACAGCCCCAGTATATTCTACTCCTCACTTCAATATCTAGAACAGAGAGCTCATCTTCATAAACATTACTCCAGGACTCAAAATTCAAATGGAGACCTATTTCATGTGCAACTCTGAAAGCAAGGCCGGAGGAGTACCAAGCTAGCGGATTCTCGCCATTTCCAATATCATAAAATGCGAGACACAGAAGCGTTTGGATTATGGCGAGTTTTGATGAAGGAGTTGAGCCCACAAGCGAACTGTCGTTCATCTGGAATATTTTTTGAAGCACCGTAGTCTTGGCGATGTTGTAGTACTGCGAAGATTGACTATACAGCTCTTCACTTTTGTCAGACAAGATAGAGCCAAGTGCAGCAATTGCATACACCAATTCTTCTGAGCAATAGTATGTTTTGGTGGCCGGGTCTCCAAAAAAGGCGCTTAAAAACGTTTCTCGATGAATAAAACTGTAGTGACCTGGGTATAACCACTTGAAAAAGAGCGATAGCGCTCGCAAAATGAACGGGCTTCTCGACATGTTTTTCAGTCGTGCTCTTGGAGTGTCGGTTGTGGCATCGTCCTGCGATTTGGAAGCTCGACGAGATAATAGCGCCAACGAATTTGTAGGATAGATACTTCCACCTGCTTGTGGACCGCGAGCAACAGGGGTAGCCGAAGCACTCAATGTAAGGGCCGGGGATGGTGAAGAAGTAGGCCTTCGTTCAGTGTCTGCACCTGGGAAAGTTTTGTCTGTTTTTTCTGGTCTAAGCTCTCGAACCAAAGCTTCCAAATGAGCTATGTGATTTTCCAATGATTTCAAGTAGCCGACGGAGTGGCGCCTTCTTCTCAAATCCTTATCAATTGGGACACATTCTATTCCATACTTAACGCAATTAGAGCAAGGCGTTTCCAAATTGCACTTTCTTCTACGTTTTCGGCAGCTTTGGCATCTGGTATGATTGTTAGCACCTAAGATCCTATACAAAAAGAGTGAAACTCTTCAACATACGCCAATCCACGGTTTTCGATTGTAGATGAGTCTCCATTCGGCGATTCCATAAACTGGGATATTATAGTTTACTACAGCTCTGTATTCACAAATAACTCTAAATTTTGAATCAAAGCTTTATAGAAAATGAGAAATCCTAGTCAATAAAGAGAACTGACAAAATAAAAGCCAGTCTATATGAGTCATTGTAATCACTTTTTGGCAGTTTACAGGTATGTGGTTCGAACCTTACTTTTCACACGTCCAGTACATTTTTTGCGGTTCTTGTTTAACTTCTCTTGTTCAAAAGACATGGCAGGAATTTACAATCCTTGTCATCAAAATTAAGGGTTATAAGGCGACCATAAAACCACATTTACTTGTTATACAATCTAGGTCTTGACCGTAGAAATTTCAATGCAACGCAGGGTAAATATCGTAATCCTTTGTGCAAGTGACGCCGCATCCGTGTAGCAGCCAACTTCTATTTACATGTACATTTTGTTACTTGCTGAGAAACTGAACTACTTGTTGATTGAACTCCTCTGGATTGTCTAGAAACAAATTGTGGCCAGAAGATGATACTTCACTGTAATCGGCAGTGATCCCTATCTCTTCGGCTTCCTTAGCTAACGCCAGCCCTGCTCTGCGATTCATCCAGTCGTGATCTCCATAAAGTAAGAGTAACTTATCTGTCTTCAGATGTGAAAGACAGTCTAGCAATGGGTCGCGTGCGAGGAGTCTGTTGGTAAAAAGGCCCGTAAATACATCCTTCGAAGTCTGGCTCATGCCATCCTTGCCGTAAAACATTGCAAAGATGTATTTCTTGTACTCGAGGCTTGGAACCCTGGAATATGCGGAAATAATGTAGTTCCAGCACAGTTTTGCACCGAAGGGTCCCAAATTTCTTAGAAACTTTGTTTGCGACTCGAAAATGGCTTTAGGAATCGCCGGTCTTTGCGGAAGGTAAAACTTTGAAGCCGGGTCTTCAAAATTTAGCTTGTAGTTATGATTGCTTCTCCACTGGTTGTTTATGGAGAATATATTCCGTTCAACTCCTAAAGGTGAGACTAGACATAATTTCTTTACAGCGTGGGGATACTTTATAGCGTATTTGAAAGATAAGTACCCTCCAAATGAGTGAGCCACAATGTTCACAGGTCCTAATTTGTTATCGTAGCGCCATTGTTCCAACGCGTCCAAATAATAATCCTCATAATTTTGAATTAAGCTTTTGTGATGAAGGTGCTCGAGAGTGTACGGAAGCCTGAAAGTTGTCTTTGTTATTTGTACCTTCAGAGGAAGTGGTTCGGAGCACTTAATGTTGAGGGGTTGCGTCGGAGAAAGACCGTTCGCCGGCAGGTCGATAGCATACAAGTCTTTTATTGATTTGGACAGTCCCTCAAAGTTTCTATGAAATGCCATGGATGAAGCTGCATAACCATGTAGTAACAAAGTGGGAGTTTTGATCGTAGCCTTCGCGTTTCTAAAGTGCAGTTGATTTATTTCGCCCATAACTAATGTTTGTTCTTTGGAACCCTCGGTTTGAACGTCTTGCATTATTTTCTCCTGCAAACTCGCTATTCTATTCCTCGCATTACTTTGGGCATAGGTAAGCCAAAGCTTCCATCCAGAGGCCTGTGGGGTTCCCTTAGGAGGACTCATTAACCTAGCGGCCAATCTTCGCGGAAAAGACCGCTGAGAACTGTATAGCCTTACAGTATTCATCTGATTTTGCACCCCCTGTAAGGCCTAGATAATAAGCTACTATGTGTTGTTTGAACCTTTGGTAATTTATTGAACAAATTGGAATTTTATGTGGTCAAATTAGATGTGATCTTCAAATGCTGTTAATGGTTTCTTGAAAAGAGAACCTTTCTGATCTCATAAAAAAGTAAGCAGTAGAAGCAGTTTTAGCCATGAATGATGTTTGGAGTCAAATCCGTATTCAACAAGAGCTCTCAGATCAGTTGGAATTACAAGCAGCTGAGGATACAGAGCTAGTTTCTTGCGATGAACAAGATTATGACTATAGTTTTGAAGAAAACGAAGATGCAGATGAATCAGAGGACGATTATGAAAGCCAACTGTTGTCTGCACAACAGCAGTGGGAAGAATCGCTTGAACAGCTGAGCCAGGTTTTGAACTGGGTTCTCTTGCCTCTAATTGGAAAATATTTAGGAAGAAGAACAGCGCTTCGAGTTTGGAGGAACGTTATAGAATACATTTGGTGAATTGAAAACCCAGTGTAGCGGGCATGAAAAATTACTTATTAAAAATTGCTTGTGTGTTGGTAGTGGTAAAACGTTGAAAATTTTATTCTGTGCATTATGATTGATGGTGTATATCAATCAGTCTTCGAGCTGTTCCCAAAGCTTCAACGTGTATTCTCGTATGAACTGGGCATGTATTGACATGAGAATGGATCTTTGTAAAGAATGTCGCACTTTGGAGCCTGTACTGTCCGCGGATATAATGTGGCACATGCGAATAAGCAGTTCTATAAGTGCTATCGTGAGTACTTTTGAGTCAAGTACCAGCGACTCTTCGAACTGCGGGCCTTTGGAGAACAAAAAATTCAGTTTCTCCAATAGCGAATAGAGTGTCAGGTCCGACAATTTATCATTTTTTAGAACATCATGCAATTGATATAGAACTTTGAACTTGTCCAAGCTGCGAAATCCCCACATTGCCGTATTGCAACGTCGCAGCTGGTCCTTTCGCAATATAAATGAATTAAGCATTGGTTGCTGTTCCTTGTTGACTCGCAGAAAGTGTTCCAAAAGAATCAATTTCTCCGCCGCTAGTTCCTTAAGCATTTAGTCGCCGATCCGTGAGTGGTCAATGCCTCCTTTACGAGCTTAACACCTGTTGTTGCCTTTATTCCCTTTTGACTTGAATGACCCTCTCAGAATACCTGCATCGACAGTTTTGAGACCAATTTGAATTTGATTTACATGAACATTTTTTTGTTTATATAGACTATCGATTACAATTCTCTTTAATTTGTAGTAAAAAAAAGCCATATCAAAAGACAATGAATTGTAAACGATGAGTGTCTATGTATGGTGCTTCATTATCCCCCAGTTGGTCTTTCTGCTCTTTTCGCCACTGCTAAGATCAAAGCCCATCTTTCGATGGTACTATAGAGCGGTTTTCCACCCCATTTTTGTCGACGTCAATAGGTTCAGGTGGAAATTTCGTACAATACCTGTATTTTACCTTTCTGTGTTCTTGTACTGCTCTGCACTATTCTTCAAAGATATTGAGAGGCCTATTCGCTCTGAACTGTATTTTCTGGAGCGCTGGATAGTTATACCGTTAGCCATAGTGACACCCCTTTTGTTGGGTGTGCTAACAATGGCAATACGACCATTGACCTCTCGTGATTGTCAAGCTACCGAGCCTTTCGACAACTTGATTTTTCACCCAGGATTGACGTGTCAAACGTGCAAGCTTCCAAAGTATGCTAGATCGAAGCATTGTGCAATTTGCAATCAATGCACGCTAATGGCTGATCATCACTGTGTTTGGGCAAATAATTGTATTGGATTGGGGAACTATCAGTACTTTTACCTGTTCTTGGTTGCAAATGTGTTTGTCACAAGCTATGGTTTCCTACGGCTTCTACTGTTGAAAGGTTCTTTCAGGTCTCGCTCGGTACTAGTATTATCAATTTTACTGGGGTGCTTCTCAGTTATCTTAGTGATTTTTACGTACTTCCAGGTGGCACTTGTTCGTGATGGAATGACTAGTAGCGAAGAGTCCAAATGGCTTGTGGTGCATGATATGTTGAACCAGGGCAACTTGGTGGTGGACCAAGCTGGGAAATACTACTACAAAGTTGAGCGAGATGATCCTGAAACCTTACTGTATCCCAAAAGATTTGATTACTACTCCACAAATGCGTACGACGACCGCGTTTACAATGTGCAAAGCCCTATGACAGTGCAGGACGCTAGACAACTCACGAATATCTACGACAGGGATGGGTTTTGGGCAAATCTCAGTGCTAGAATTAAAGCATGAAGTTAAACACAACCATGATTTAGTCCAATCAGGTCAGTATACGGATGATCAGTGAAGCTCGAAAATTCAGTTTAAGGCTTCTGAACTCTTCATTTTTACTAATGAAGCATTTTAAGCAAGGCCAAACCTTTGCTTATACGACTCTCTAATTGCGGCGATGATCATGTTTGTTCTTAGTGATTTGCGCAAAATCAAATCATTGCGAACCGTGGAAAAAAGATTCGCTTCAACGTAGGCGCTTGGTAGAGGCATAACTACCATTATTGGCGGCACCAACTGTTTTTTGGGTCACTACGTTTTATGCATTTTATTTGAAGAAGGAGAAAGGGCTTCAAATAGGTTGTTGCCAGGCAAGGGGCTCTTTTATCATAAGATGAATCTGAACTTTTCAAGACGATGCAGGAAAGACGTTAGACCGCACTAAAAATATTAAGAAAAGTCTGCTCGAAGCTAAGCAACGATCCTCGTCTTTTAAGATTCAGAATGGGGACAGCTTATATGCAATTCTGCATTCACTTCGTATACAGACCTAAATCTGGGGTAACTGGATGCCTTAGACCCTTTCCAGCGTGTATAAGCGCTTAACACTACCACACCCGCTCATCGGTGAACTTCCATTCGTGAACTGATAGGTTACAGTAAATATCGCTCACTATCGATAGTAGACGAAAATCATTTGTTCTGTCACATTAAAGCTAGGAAACTTTCATAGAATCGATCTACCTTCGCTGACTGCTAAACGTGCTATACTGCAGATTATCAAAAGGTAAACAACTGTCTTCGCTTCGATACCCTGACGTGAATTCGGCTCACCAGTTTTTGATCTTGTCGCACATACTTTCATTCTAGGCTGCGAAACTCTAGACCATTACACAAAATTTAGCCGCCGAACGCGAGCTTCGTCAACGACGTGTTCAGTTTAAAGCATAGCCGTATCGAATCCATGTCGTTTAGCACTCTACTCCAAACCCAAAACTGTTGTTTTATCTAGACTCAATTTGTTTACCCATGAACTCATATATTTTCCTAGACTCAGTTAGTGACCTTACCCTTTACCCACCACTTTTGTAGTCGGTTGAAAGACAAAACTAAAGAGAAAACATGAGATGAATGCACTTTAGGCGCCTAAGTAGTTCGTTGAGCTACTCGACGCCGGTTTGCATTAGCCGTCCTTTCATTTCATCCAAAATCTTAGTGGTCTAAATATTTGCCGCTCAAGTCTCACATATTCAGATGACGTTCGCAGTGATTTTAGAGTTTGAGTCTGCCTCACCAGTCGACAAGATGACTCAAGGCTGGAAAAATTTCGATATTGAAGGAAGTTAACGAGAGCTCGTGAGAAGACGAAAATTATTGATTTCATTAATCATTTCGATAACTATCAAATTCAATAATTCGAAGCATTGTCTTGGAAAAACACTCTTTCAATAGCATATCCACAATGGAGCTTACGAAAGTCCCAATTCTGGGCAAAGAGGTTATCCATGTCGGGTTCAATATCGCGGAACACATCGCGAATACTATTGTTAAAGATTGTCCTTCGTCGACTTACGTGGTTATCAGCGACACTAATGTGGAAAAGGTGCCATACTACCGTGACGTGGTCGAGACCCTAAGTTCAAGACTCACAAAGGGCTCTAGATTGCTGAAATACTCAGTGAAGCCTGGCGAGGCGCACAAAACTCGTGAACAGAAAGCTGCCATTGAGGACTATTTGCTCATGGAAGGTTGCACTAGAGACACCGTGGTTGTTGCCATTGGTGGCGGAATCATTGGCGACATGATAGGGTTCGTGGCTGCCACGTTCATGAGAGGTGTCCGCGTTGTTCAAGTCCCAACCTCGTTGTTGGCCATGGTCGACTCTTCAATCGGCGGTAAAACTGCGGTTGACACTCCACTGGGGAAGAACTTTGTTGGTGCTTTCTGGCAACCTCAGTTTGTGTTTGTTGACATCAAGTGGCTCGAGACGTTGCCAAAAAGAGAGTTCATTAACGGTATTGCCGAAGTCATTAAGACTGCTGCTATTTGGAATGCTGAAGAGTTTGCGCGTCTGGAAGACAATGCCGACAGCTTCTTGCAAGTTGTGAATGGATTCAAAACCACCAAGGTCTCCGTTGCAGGTCAAGTCCACCAGCTCTCGATCACAAATATCGAATCCATTCTAGATCACGTTTTTAAGCTGGTTTTAGAGAGTATTAAAGTCAAAGCGCACGTTGTGTCTTCTGATGAACGTGAGTCTGGCCTAAGAAATTTGCTTAACTTTGGCCACACCATTGGACATGCTTACGAAGCCATTTTGACACCACAAGCACTTCATGGTGAATGTGTTTCGATCGGTATGATCAAAGAAGCAGAGTTGTCACGCTATTTAAACATCTTGTCTCCAACACAAGTTGCCCGTTTAACTAAAATTCTAGCTGCTTACGGTCTTCCTATTTCTCCAGATCAAAAATGGTTTCAGGAGTTGACTTTACACAAAAAAACTCCATTGAATGTGTTACTTCAGAAAATGAGTATTGATAAGAAAAACGATGGCTCTAAGAAAAAAGCTGTTCTCCTTGAAACCATCGGAAAGTGCTATGGTACCTCAGCGCATTATGTTTCCGATCAAGATTTAAGATTTGTGTTAACTGACGAAGTTTTGGTCCACCCATTCAAGACTTTAGAAAATGGTCAAGCCAAGACCATCATTCCACCTGGATCTAAATCCATTTCTAATCGTGCGTTAGTTCTGGCTGCTCTAGGTGAGGGTACTTGTAAGATAAAGAACTTGCTTCACTCCGATGATACCAAACATATGTTGGCAGCTGTCCAACAACTGAAAGGTGCTTCGATCTCATGGGAAGATAATGGAGAGACTGTTGTTGTAGAGGGGCATGGAGGAAAGACATTAGAAGCGACTTCTGAACCTCTTTACCTGGGGAATGCTGGTACGGCTTCTAGATTCTTAACATCTGTTGCCGCACTAGTTAAGTCGACATCGAATCAAAAAAGTGTAGTTCTCACTGGTAACGCCAGAATGCAAGAAAGACCTGTTGGTCCATTGGTGGACTCTTTGAAAGAGAATGGTACCAAGATTACTTATTTGAACAAAGAAGGCTCCCTTCCTTTGAAAATTGATACAGACTCCCATTTCAGGGGTGGAAGGATCGAGCTGGCCGCCACCGTCTCTTCTCAGTATGTCTCATCAATCCTCATGTGCGCTCCATACGCCGATGAGCCCGTCACGCTATCCTTGGTGGGCGGCAAACCTATTTCGAAGCTTTACATTGACATGACCATTAAAATGATGGAAAAATTCGGCATCGAAGTCAAGCCTTCCACTACCGAGCCTCACACGTACCATATACCGAAAGGCATTTATGTCAATCCTTCTGAGTACGTCATCGAAAGTGACGCTTCATCCGCTACGTACCCACTAGCGTATGCTGCTATGACTGGAACGACAGTCACTGTTCCTAATATTGGATTTGAATCATTGCAAGGTGACGCCAGGTTTGCGCGTGATGTGTTAAGGCCTATGGGCTGTGTTGTCACACAAAGTGAAACATCTACTACCGTGACGGGACCTGCGGTCGGATCATTGAAGCCCTTGAAGCACGTCGATATGGAGCCAATGACGGACGCGTTTTTAACTGCCTGTGTCGTGGCAGCTGTTGCTCATGATAACGAAAAAGGAACTTGCAATGTTACAACCATCGAAGGTATCGCCAACCAACGTGTCAAAGAGTGTAATAGAATTTTGGCCATGGTTACAGAATTGGCCAAATTTGGGGTCAAAGCCAACGAATTGCCTGATGGTATCCAGGTTCATGGCCTCAATTCGTTAAGTGAATTGAAAGTTCCCGAATCTATTGACTCATATGATGACCATCGAGTTGCGATGAGTTTCTCACTTTTGGCAGGTATGGTCCCATCCAGTAAGGATGATGCTGCTAAGATGACTAGAATTTTGGAAAGACATTGTACCGGTAAAACCTGGCCTGGCTGGTGGGACATTTTACACACCGAATTAGGCGCCACTTTGGATGGTGATGAACCATTGGCGAGTGTTGTGAAAAGTGCCAGCAACAGTATTGTCATAATAGGTATGAGAGCAGCTGGAAAATCCACCGTAAGCAGTTGGTGTGCCAACGCTTTAGGTTACAAGTTCCTGGACCTTGACATCGTTTTCGAAGAACAATATGGGAAGGGCACTGTTAAGGATTTCGTTGCCAAAGAAGGGTGGGAAGCTTTCCGCGCAATGGAAGCTCGGATCTTTAAAGAAACTGTCGCAAAATGTGGCCAAGGTTATGTGCTGTCAACTGGGGGAGGGATTGTTGAAAGCCCAGAATCCAGAAGAGCTTTGAAAGAGTTTGCTAGCCATGATGGAATTGTGTTGCATTTAAACCGCGATATTGACGAGACAATAAATTTCTTACGGAGTGACCCTACAAGGCCTGCATATGTTGAAGAGATCAGAGACGTATGGGAAAGAAGGGAACAGTGGTATCACAGTTGTGCTAATTTCATTTTCTTTGCACCACACTGTGGCAATGGTGCTGAGTTTAGTCAATTACGGAAAGTATTCGAAACCTACATTCTCACAATAACGGGCAAACACAAAGTTTCGGTTCCAACTACTAGATCCGCGTTTGTCTGCTTGACCTTTGACGACCTAAATGATCATAAAGATAAGCTCGTCGATATTACTTATGGTTGTGACGCAGTCGAAATTCGCGTTGACCACTTGAAGAGTTATGATCTGTCCTTTGTTACCAAACAATTGAGCTTGTTACGTACCGTAACAAATTCTTTACCTATTATCTTCACGGTCAGAACTAAAAGTCAGGGTGGTCGTTTCCCTGATGAAAATCAGACAGAGCTCTTTGATTTATTAATGCTTGCATTGAAGGTAGGTGTCGAGTTCATTGATCTTGAATTAACTTTGCCCACGGAACTACAATACAAAATCGTGAACAACAAGAAAAACACTAAGATCATTGGTTCGCACCACGACTTCGATGCCAAATTCAATTGGGAGGACTCGGAGTGGGAAAACAGATACAACCAGTCTCTTTCTTTGGACGTCGATGTTGTCAAATTTGTGGGAACAGCCACATCATTTGAGGATAACATCAAATTGGAACATTTCAGATCGACCCACGTCAGCAAGCCCTTGATTGCTATAAATATGACCGAGACAGGCAAGATGTCCAGAGTGATGAACACAGTTCTCACACCAGTAACCTCGACCTTATTGCCATCAGCTTCAGCGCCTGGGCAATTAACATTGGCCCAGATTAACCAAATCTACGCGTCCCTGGGGGGCCTCTCTAACAAAGAGTTTCATCTCGTCGGAACACCTTTGGGACACTCCAGGTCTCCAATTTTGCACAACACAGGCTTCAAAATATTAGGTTTGCCCTATACTTTCAGCAAACACGAAACTGCCTCTGCAGCTGAAGTGAAAGAAAAGCTTCTCTCGAAGTCTTCCCTCGGTGGTCTTGCCGTTACCATTCCGCTAAAGTTGGACATCATAAATTACATGGATGAGCTTGCTGAATCGGCCAAGTTAATTGGTGCTGTAAACACTGTGATTCCGCTATCAGACGGTAGGCTCAGAGGTGATAATACCGATTGGCTTGGCATTCGCAACTCATTTATAGCCAATGGCGTTCCTGAAAATGTTGGAGCGACAGCGGGTATTGTTATTGGTGCGGGCGGCACCGCTAGAGCAGCCATATATGCGCTACACAAGCTAGGTTGTTCCACCATCTATAGCGTCAACAGGACGACGGAGAAATCACACCAAATGAAGGCGGAATTCCCATCGGAATACAACATTGAGGTTTTAGAAACTTGCGAGCAAATAGAAAATTTGTCACAGGACAACATTGCACTTGCCGTCAGTTGTGTGCCAGCTGACAAGCCTTTGGACGATGCACTACTCGCCAAGATTGAGAAACTGTTGGCTAAGACGAAAGACGCAAAATTTGCTCCAAGTCTAATCGAAGCAGCTTACAAGCCAAGTGTGACCCCAATCATGAAAATCGCTGAATCAAAATTCCAGTGGCAGGTAATTCCAGGTGCGCAAATGCTGGTGCACCAAGGTGTTGCTCAATTCAAGTTGTGGACAGGGTTCAGAGCACCCTTCAAAGCTGTATTCCAAGCTGTCACAGAGCAGTAGTTGAAACTATAACTTACTCTATGTAAATTTGATACGATTGAAACGTTATTATGCTGTGGAAAGGCCTATCTGTAAATTTAGCTTTTTATAGTTATTGTTTCTTGTAGGCTTAATCTTACAGATAACTTCGAACTCTGAAGTAAGAAAATACAAAACCCGAAAAGTATAAGGGCAACGCATGGCGGAAAAGCGAGACGAATGTCTAACTATATCGGAGACAATCCGTATAATTCAAACACCTTTGGCAAATCTCTGTCATTAAGAGTTGACGGGGGATTCAAGGCTGTTTCCATAAGTCCATCAGGTCGAGATGCTGTTTTAGCTAGCCGACAAGGCCTGTACGTCGTAGATTTAGATGATCCGTTCTCTGCACCTCGCTGGCTTCATCATATTACGTCGTGGGAAGTAGCAGATGTTCAATGGTCACCGCATCCGTCTAAACCCTCTTGGGTCGTCTCAACATCGAACCAAAAAGCCCTAGTGTGGAATCTCTCCAGGAGTTCTTCTGATGCTATCGAGCACGTCCTTCATGGCCACTTCAGAGCTATTTCGGACATAAATTTTCATCCTCAGCACCCAGAAATCCTGGCGACCTGCTCAATCGACGCCTACGTGCATTCATGGGATATGCGCTCACCTCGAAGAGCTTACTATAGTGCAAGCGTATGGTCTGCTGGAGCATCACAAGTGAAATGGAACTTTCAAAACCCCAATGTCATGGCGTCTGCACACTCAAACGACATTTATATTTGGGATTTGAGGAAGGGCTGTATACCATTGCACGTACTCAAGGGCCATGTCAACAGTGTCAATAGTATAGATTTTAATCGTGTCAACGAGACCGAGATCATGTCTTGTTCTAACGATGGCACCGTTAAATTCTGGGACTATTCGATAGATAGTTGTGAACCACAACGTACTGTAGTCACAGACTTTCCCGTGGCTAGAGGACGGTACCTGCCCTTCGGTAAAGGCTTTTGCGTAATGCCGGTTACAGGTGGCAATAATTCGATATACCTATCAAGCAGCGTCACGGATAGTGATTCAGAGTCGGTATCTAAGTTTCAGCCGATTTATATTTTCAAAGGGCATAGCGATTGTGTTTCTGATTTTCTGTGGAGAGTACGACATAATAATAATTCTGATGTTGATGATCGAGAATTTCAATTAGTGACATGGTCAAAAGATTGTGATCTCAGGCTATGGCCTGTCCATGATTCAACCTACGAGAAAGTGAACTATAAGAGATTACAACCTCTGAAAACGCCACTTCCAGACCATGAGTATCGAACTTATCGTCAAGAGCCTCAAGTTTCTCGAAATTTAGCCAATAAATCGAGTCGAGTCGTGGAGCACTTTGTTACAAAATCTGGTTCAGAAAGCTTCCGCGACAAAAATAAGGTGAATCACCTAGCATGGGTTTCCGGTGTTCGGCTACATCACGCAAATTCACAACACAATGTGTTTGATCAAGATAAGCTACAAAATCTTGGTGAAGAAGTCAGTATGGTTGGCCACAAGTTTCCAAAAATTGTTTTTGAGAAGATATCTGTATCCACGGGCACTTTGATTTTGACATTGAATGGACCTTGGTCGGAACAAAGTCCAGAAGATTTGGTTTTTCTAAGAATTCAAGTATCTTTCCCATCCAGCTATCCTCGCAAAGAATGCGTCCCTCATTTCAAGATTGAAGAAAACCGGGAGTTGAGCGCCTCAAAAATTGAGGAAATAAACGAACAGCTCAGTAAGATTTCTCGCAGATATGTAGATTTGGAAAAATACTGCCTCGAGCCATGTTTGCGTTTTCTATTGGGTGAGAAGATTAACTTAGATACGCTACTCGAAGAAGAGGAATTGCTAAATCTTGACGCTGTTGATCATGCAGATTTGCATGATCTCTCGTCCTTGGAAAGTTCTGATATAAGATCGGGTGCCATTTCTGAAATGTCGAGAACTTCGGATGAAGAAGCTGGCGATTTTGACAACAAGAGTAGCAACGATGCGTTCGTCACTCGTTCGGCCAACAATTTGGATCTCGATACTACTCCAATTCCTAAAGGCTGTGGTGCAACATGGACACCATCCGGCCAGCTTGTTTGCTTTTTTCTCACGGAAGGAAAAGCAGAAAAGAAGCAGCAAAGCTTGTTAAGGCTAGGTCGGCGCAGTGCTACTGGATTCAAGGATAATACGAAACCAGAACTTCTCTACGATGATGAATCACATACAGTTTCTAAGCGGCCTAAGCGTTACGTGGAGACACTTTCCGCGTCCTCCGCGCAGAATAGTGAACCAGCCAATTCAGCGAACGAGTCTGATTCTGAAGAAAGCTCCGACAGTTTTGGAGACGATTGGAATGACATTGTCCGTAGCGATATTACGTTAAGAACAAGAATGCCTGTGTTTTCAAATTTTAAGAAAACCTTAGCGTCTATTCCGTCTGATGGCGGAAAGAGCAATGTATCGGTGCCCAAGTCCAAGAACACGGTGATAATTCAAGACTTCAGTCATTTAGTCGCTGATAAGAAACAATTGGCCCTTGAGTATACTTTCAACGGCGAATCCTTAGAAGCGGTCTGTAAGTACAACGCTCAGGTAGCGGAAACTCATGATTTTGAAGATGTAGCTCATTGCTGGCGAATGATAGCTAATGTATTAATTGGTAGGGAAGAAAGGAATGATAACGGCTTTGGGTGGGACCCTCAAGCTTTGGGTGACCAGTGGTTTATTAAAGAGACGATGAAGTACTTCGAAAAACTGAAAAATGTTCAGATGTTGGCTATGTTAAGCTGTATATTAATGAGTCCGCCGCAGGGAAACGATGATACACAGGTGCCGAGAAATAGGGGAGAGAATATTATTACGTTTGATAACGATTTCCATGGTAATTCTGCGCGGTCCCACCAAGGCTCGGTGTCATCTTCCGTGAAGTCTGAAGACTATTTTTCCACACACCCTCCAGGAGGGAAATTTTCGAAATACAGGCCTTCCAATGCTGGTCTACGCTCGGAAGTCAACATGGCGCCTTCGCTACTACCTGATATTAAAATCGAAATAATAAGGGACGAGGTGCTTGACCTCATGGACGGACAAACTCCGCCCCTGCTTGACCCCCTTGACGAACAAAAATATAAGTCCTATCGGTATCAATACGCTGAGCTGCTTTTCTATTGGGGTCTGTTGATAAACAGAGCCGAGCTTCTGCATTTCAACAATACTGGTGATTTTTTTGCGAATGATTTGTGGCATCACCCTACGGGCAGTGACCTAAACGGCTCTGAGCAGCAGAAGTATACTGGGGTTTCTTACAAACTTGTAGCTAATGGTGGAGATAGTCGTTTGAACCGCATTTGCAATTACTGCGAACTAAAGGTTGACGGACGAGGCTTCGCATGTGGGAACTGTCAGCATATCATTCATGCTACTTGTGCCAAGAAATGGTGGGAAATTAGCGATGATTGTCCTTCAGGATGCGGCTGTCGATGTGTTGAAATGTTTGACGTTGTGTGAAGAGCGCCACGGCTTACTTTGAAAGAACTTGTCGCTAACAATTGAGATTAGCTAATAACCTTGAACCCTTATAGGAAATGTTTCTCAAAATGGAAATTCATGTATTTTTACCTCTTTGGGTTTTGGATTTCTGAAATTCGTTTAGCTCAGCTTTGGGTGTTGGATAGAAATTCAAACTGGTCCTTACTAGAGAATGAAAGGCGAATAGACCGACGATTGAAAGCTCAAAGTCAATGACAGAACCAAGAAAAGTTGCAGTTATTACTGGGACTAATAGGTATGACTTCTCCGAACTTTTGGAAGATCTTTTTTGGGGGCCGAACACTAACTTTTGAAATAGTAATCTCGGGCTCAATATCGCTTACCGTTTGATCGAAGAGGTCGATAGAGATGTGCGGCTGACAATTGTCGTAACGTCACGCACTCTTCCAAGAGCCCGCGAAGTTATAGACCAGATTCAACAATTTGTTAAAAAGAGTCAAAGACCAGGTCCGGTAGATTACGACTATCTGCTTGTAGATTTTACTGACATGGTAAGCGTCCTAGGAGCTTATTACGATCTAAACAAGCAATACAAAGAGATCCATTACTTTTTTGTTAATGCAGCTCAGGGTGTGTACAGCGGTATCGATTGGCTCGGCGCAGTGAAAGAAGTTTTTACGAGCCCTATAGAAGCGGTCACTAATCCAACTTACAAGATACAAAGAGTTGGAGTCAAATCGCAAGACGGGATGGGCCTTGTTTTCCAAGCAAATGTCTTCGGGCCCTATTATCTGATTCAAAAGATCCTCCCACAACTTCGAGCTGGTAAAGCAGTTGTTGTATGGATTTCCAGTATTATGTCAAATCCAAAGTACCTGTCACTCGATGATATTGAGCTCAGAAGAAGCCCAGCATCCTATGAGGGCTCTAAAAGATTGGTAGACTTGATGCATCTCGCCACCTATAAAGACTTGAAAAGCCAAGGAATCAAGCAATATATTGTGCAACCGGGCATTTTCATTAGCCACTCGTTTTTCAAATATTTGAATGTTTTGAGTTATTACGGCATGTTGTTATTGTTTTACTTAGCGCGCTTTATGGGTTCTCCGTGGCATAATATTGATGGCTATCGTGCTGCAAATGCGCCCGTTTATGTGGCCACTATGGCTAACCCGGTTTTTGAGCAACAAGATGTCAAGTATGGTTCGGCTACCGACAAAGGAGGCCTTGAGTACATTCGCACAGAGGAAATTGAGCCTACTGGTGTGCAAGATGTCTACTCTTACATCAACAAATTAAAGGAAGATTGGGACGGGAAATTGAAAGATCAAATCACAAATTCAAGACAGGTCTGATTTTGGTTGAATATTTAGCTTCTCTTTTTAACTTTAAGAATACACGTACATACTTCCTGGATATGAGCTAAAGGACCATTCAGTGTTTTAAGGTCATTAGAGACGCTACAAACGTCAAAATCAATCTGGATCTTACTTCATTTATGTCTTCCGGCACCAACCAAATTAGAGCGCCTAGCTTTCTGGCTATAGAAATTGCCAATCTAGCATTTGCGTATTTGTCCTCGTCAGTGTTACCTGCTGTAACTAAATCGTAGTCAACATATCCGGGTGCAATGCCGTTTAAGACGTCCAAGAGGAAATGGCCATTGGACAAAGCTGAATCACCGAAAGACCTGACATGAGATGTTTTGCCGCCTTTAGTTACTTGATCTTGAGCCCATTTCAAAATTTGAGCATCGCTTAGCTCTTTTCCATTAGAGGTGAGCGTTTTCATGGTATTGACAATGTTTCTTCTCATCAACTGCCATACCAGACCTAACGTAAGTAATTTATTTCCATCCACAATATCCGAGCCATCGATACCGACCAATGAAAAACCTCTTGACTTTCCAAGTTCTACTGCATAGTTAGTATTTTCCAGTGCTTTGAATCGAGAAAGTTCGTTTCCTGAAGCGGGGCGTTTGTTGACTTTTCTTTGCTCGACCGCGCCGGGCATTACTTTCTCGTATGCCTGCAATAGTACTAAACCGTCCTTCAGGTCTTCGAACAAGGACACGACAGGAGGGTCGACATCCAAGGAGTTTAACCATAGAGTAAAAACCCTGGCTTCTCTCTCACCTTCGGCATCAAATTCTTCGATCTCTGGTTTCTCAGATTCCTCAATAGGCTGTAGTCCAGGGTGTGTATTGAAGAGATGGGCAACAAAGGCCAAGTTCAGTTTGGGATTTCCAGCGACTAAAGCGCTAGGAGTTAAATACTTTCTGCACTCCAATTTTTCTGCATTTTGAAGCACTTGCTCAGCTCTGGTCAGTAAATCAGGCGTTTGTAGAGGGGCACGGGAGCACAATTCTGGCGCCAATTGGTTCAACAAAATTGTATAATTCTCAGCATCGGAAACGTCTTTTGAAAAATTCTTGACCCTTCTTTCCCAGCCGGCTTGCTTCAAGTGGTAATTGAACCAGCGTAACAAAATTTGCTCAGGAGGTAATCTCAGGAACTGTTCCAAAGTCTCATCATCCTCTAGCAGACGATAGAGCTCAGGATGGTGTTTAATGTCAATTTTGCTCAGTAAACCTCTACGAATAATTTGCCAAATTAGACCGAGAATCAAATGCTCTTTCCCCTCGATTATATCTTCAGAGTGAACGTTTACAACAATACAACCAATGGCCTTTGCAGAATTGATGACAATGTTGGCATTTTCACTTGCGGTGAAATTGTTGAGTCTTTTCCCCTTCTTCGGCCAGTTCAATACTCTGGTGTCGATAGTATCAGGAACGGAGTCATTGATCAATTTTGACAAGACCAAACCGTCTCTGCACTCGTCAAACAGCTGAAATGTGTCAGTGGCGAAGGGCAGTTTGTCACCAATGTCTGGGTCTCCTGCTAAGACGCTGTTGATGTGCTTAGTAAATTCGGTTCTTTCTTCCTCGTTAATGGTGTGCGTGGTTCCTGTAGTAGACCCACCAACGATAATCTTGGCTTGAGCGCCAGTTCCCTTGTGCTGTAGGCCTGCGAACGATGGCGTAACAGGGACATTTGCAGGCGCAGCACCGGTCTGGAAACTCGTAGCAGGAGGAGGACCCGCATGAGAATCTTTCAATTTGGCAATCAGCTCCACATAGTCGTCCAGTTCGACACGTCCAGATGCGTCTACACCAACCTGTTTCAGCGTTTCTCTGGCCTCATCGTAAGACGCCTCCCCGGATTTTGAAACAGCCGCTAGTACCTGGCCCTTTTCGACCCACCCATTGTCTTCGAGATCAATTTCTCTGAACTTCTCAATCGTGCCAAAAATGTCCTCTTGGCTCAAACTGGGGAATTTCCTCTGTACTTGTGTGTTAGTCAACCTCATGATAACCCGTTTTGCTTGCTTAAATCTTTCAAACATACCTGTAACTTGATGACATTCATCTTTGCTGTTTTTGGATCACCCTAGTAGTTCAATTGACACTTTTCGGATAGCAATAACCAGCTTTATATTAATCGAATTGGCTAGTCTACCGGGGCTTGACCTAGTTAAGTTCATCATTGTTAAGCTTTATTAAAGATTTTTGTAATGGTTTCTTCCCCCTTTTCCTTGGAAAATCAAAAATCTGTCACCTAATACGGTCTAAGAAAATCGAAATCTTGTAACGTGATAGTCGCGTGATAATGGTGTGATTATCACGTGTCTCTATTAATACCACTACCACGATTCATACCAATGCGGCCGGGTACTTCTTCGTCCAGCATCCAGGAGTCTTTATCCCAAACATTCTTACAGTACTTGCGGAGCCATCGGTAGGGATGTTCCGTTTCATTCTGGTGCGGCAGATGGTCCAGCTGCTGAATTTGACGCTCGCATTTGTGGATGAGGTCTCTCTCTTGCTGCAAGATGGAGCAGATGTCGCGAAGCTGGCTCCGTTCCAGCACATCAGCGACGTCTGAACCGTTCCAAAACTCTCGCAGTGTTGTTTTCTCGGTGCTAACGTTGTTTTCGAATCTGCGGATGTTTGGTCGTTCAACGGGAGGTAGAATAGTAGCCGTTGCCAGCCGGCCACACTCATCGTCATTATCATTGTTGATGTCGTTATCGTTGACTGCTTCGTCTGCTGAGCTATCGCAGCACCATAGGTCGAGATCGGGCCGGAAACTTTTGCGTGGGGGATACTTGTGCTTCGTTTTGTGGAAAACCAAACAATGCGTAGCGGCTTCGGAGTTGAGCAATTGCTCCCTTTTACTGGCAGTCAGCAGTCCTTTGTCGCTGAACGGCGAATAATCGTAAATATCCGGGTTTTTGCCTCTGTTTGGCGCCACGGGAGGCTTCTGTTCATATGGTGTTTCGAAGATATCTCCATCATCTAGTAATGATTGACCTCTGGAGGGCGTATGGTGCAAAATCTTGATCTTCGGGGTTCTCCAGGGAGGCAAAGACGGCAGCTCAAAACTGGGATGTTCCGGAGATCCCAGATGCTTCCTGGGCATGCTTGAAATTCAGACTTATGTGTTTAACTTTTAGAATACATATTCGTAGTGGAGCAGACAATATTTACATCTCCAGGAAAATACAAGAATTAACTGATTCCCAGGTAACTATTGAGATTTAAGACGTATCTAACTCCAAAGCATATTTCAGCCGCGAGAGCGTCAGGCGGAATCCAAGCGGAGAGGAAGATGAACGTATTGCGAAAATTTTGGAGCTGTCTATGACTTTAACGCTGCTACGAAGAATGGACAAAAAAGCTTGTGTGTATAAATACTAAGTAGAGTTCTATAAACTTCAAATCGATGTTCCCCTGCACTCTGCGTATCTTTTGCTTGCCTTGCTCGATTTTTCTTCCGTGTGCTCATAGTAGCCCACTTAGTGTCAGTTTCTCCAGAAAGGGCGACAAATCCTCGCGCTTTATTTCAATAATGGAACTTTCAAAATTATCAATTCTCACTTTGGCTCCTGTCTCCGCAGCTATCTGCTGGAATGCAACACTGAAGTTGTTAAGAAGCGGTTTGCGGGCCTCTAACTTATCCATGCCTCTGGGATATCGTGGGGCAATCCCTGCCACCAGATACGTTTCGGTGGAAGTATCCAAGCTTCCTAGTACCAACGGTAGCAATTGACGGTTGTCCGTTTCCGCACAGCACTCCACTATCCAGTTGCCCAGCCTCAGCAAGGTCAACGGATTTCTATAAATGTCCAAGTCGGGACCGTCCTGCAGCACGCATAGCCGGTAAAGTCGCAAGTTCTTGATCATGCGTTTCTCGAGAACAGCCACGCCAGTATTGAAAATGCACCGTTGCAAGTGTTGTGCATGTTTTATGCCACGACGCATGAGCTCGATGTTGTCATCCAATGCATCCCAGCTCAGCCAAAAATTGCTTACCCACTTTCTCTCGCGTCGTGACATTACCTCTTTCAAATCCAAGTCTGTATCCTTTTCTGCACCATCGCTATTGCTCTGGGATATATCCTTTGAATCAAGTACCTGCCCAACCTCTAATAATGCAGTTATAGATTCCACAAATTCACTAGCGCTTATAGCACCACGATATCCGAATGTGCGAACAAACCCATCTCGCACGATATCCTGCAGGCCGTACCTCTCTAAGTTTTTATCAAAAATTGTTCCCAATTCTCTTTTGATTCTATTATCCATATAAAGCCAATTTTCTTGTGCTGTGGACAAGGAAATCCCCATGCGTGCAAAAATCTTGTGCAGTCGTTTCTTCCCGTTCTCGTTCCACAGCGAAAGCTTTGCATTCACGTAGTTGGAGTAGAAAAAACTATCGTAGAGTGACGAATGTCTCAGCAGAAATAGGTAGTAATCAGGTTGAATTTCCAGAGAGAGAGTATCGGGAGTTTTGTAGTTTTCATTAGGCGAGAGCCGTTTAACTTCGTCCTGTAATAGAGGAAGTAATTGGTTGTAAACTTGAGGATAAGCCGCGTCTAAGGAGGACGCACCTAGAATTGTAAGCCACAGAAATGAAATGTTTGTTTCACCGAGTGCAGACAACAGTGAGTAAACCTGGACGGAAAGTGAATTAGAGATCGAAGTTCCTTGAGCATAGTAATCTTCCAGCACGCCTTCGTATTCGTTAATGAGCTTTTTTCGCAGCTTGCGCTGGTCTTTGTTATTATCTTGAGAGTTTTTCCTTTTGGACGACCCTGACTTCTCCCCACCATCACCGTCTTCGTCTTCATCATCTTCATTATTACCGTCATTATCAACATCTGTATCGTGCTCATCCTCGTCACCATCACTATCATTCTCGCTGTCACCGCCACTCACACTTCCATCTTCCGCTGATCCCTGCCGTTCCTCAAGTTCAGTGAGCTTAAAATATGCTTCTTGCTGCGATTGTAGTGTTTCCTCAACGGTTCCATCATCAAAACAAGTAACGCGATGCGAGCCAAACAGATTGTGCAAATTCCAAGGCCGATGCGTATCTAGCACATATATTTTACGTCCAGCTCTCGCGTCCTCATCTTCGTCTGAATCCTCAATCTCCAAAAATGCTTCGATATCAATCATTCCACCGCATCCTACAAAAATGACACTATTGACGTTCTCGTCCAGCTTTTGGTAGTAGCCTTTGAGTTCCGCGTATCCAAATACAGGTACCAACTGCAGCTGAATCAACTCCTTTTTGAATAGTTTAGTCAGTGCCTTACTGGCGCATAACGCGTCTATATTCAAACATGAAACGAATATCACCAATTGACAAGCAGAGTGTGACGAAGAGTATTTCAAAATTCGCTCATATGCATCTTGGAATTGTCTGACCTTCAAATACATGGAGGAAGGCTTTGAAAGTAGACTCTATGATAGGTTTTATGCGATTATATTCGTACTCATCGAAGCGATGAGTACCGTCAAGTATCTTGAATTTTCCAACTCTTCAAAGTTAAATTCCTGCTTCAAAAAAGATATACGTGTAAAGTCCTCGAGCAAGTAATTAGAGGACTCAACAGAGTTATTATTTGGATTCTACTAATAGAATGCTGGCAATCTTTGCTCTACTTGTGTCTGCTGTTTCAGCATTTTTCTTCGACTTCAATCAAGGAAATCAGCAGCAGCAGCAGCAGCATCAACAAAACCCACCGGTTTCCTATGAAGACCAAGTCCTTAACAATGCATGCGCCGATTATCTGTGTCCGGATACGCTAGCGTGTGTGAAATCGGCACAGGATTGCCCTTGCCCGTTTCCGAAATCGCAGTTGAGATGTCCGCTTCCTGACGGTCAATACTTATGTATCTCTAAGCCAGCAACTCACGACGTGAACTTAAATGCACTATATGACGATCCTTTGAAAGGTCCAAAAACTAGGTCAAAGGGTCTGAGAGACTGCGGCTGGGTCGAAAAGGCCTACAAGGGCACTCTGTAGAACAACATGGTAATGACCCAAGCCCCATAGAATTATTTGCATCCATAGATAGAACCCGAGTACATCTATAGGCCCTCGATTGAATTTGTGTATACGAAAGAAGCTCTCAAGGCACGCTTGTTCGATTGCTTTTTGATTTTTATCATCGAACACTTTGGTGAATTCGACGACAAGATCCTGATTACCGATTTAATAACTGAAGCGCACAATTCAATCTCTGTTTTTTCCTGGGACCCACCGCCTGTACAAGATTTCGCCTACCTTGTAGCTGGAGAAAACCGCGGCAAATTGACCGTTCTGCCATAGACGAAGTATTTCATCCTTTGGCTTCTGTAACTCTATGTAGCACAAAATAAAGCTTTTCTTGGCTCCGCCAACGACACGAGCAGCGCTCGAATACCAAGTGTAATCGAATGAGTCATCGCTGTTCAGAACCATTATCCCATACTCTGCATGTTGAAATGGTGGACCACGCTTGTAAAGTAAGTAATGACATCCAAATTTAATGCCGGATCGTACACACCAGCCGTGAGACCTGTAGTGGTGGTATGCCACATACATGATACACAGATCATGTATGTTATTGTAAGAAGGATTATCACCAAGCAAGGAGCGAACCAGCGTCATTGGAGACATATCTAGTACCGGCAGGGCAAAAGTGAGAAAAATAGCCTCTACAGGCATGAGCTCCAAAACCTCTAATTCCATCAGCTGGTTGTCGTCATTGAATAACTCAATGTCAGAACTGCGGAGCTGGACATCTTCACTTTCCTTCAGCTGTACAACTTCTCGTTCTCGAAGGGATTTAAGAAATTCTCTTTCTTGTCTAAGAATTTCAGTTTCAGCCACTCCTTGACACCTCAAATTTAGCTTGATGGCTTCGAAGCCGGCTCTCTCTCGCTTAAATTCCAGCCTCTGTAGGCGCCTTTTTTCTGTGACGTGTTCTAGGGCAGTTGACGATTCTTCAAGCCCCAAGCGAGTCAATGTCCTCTGTTTCCAGGTGGGTTCGCTTCTAGAAAGCTGAGCAGTTCCGAAAAAACCGTTTTGCCAGAGATACAGCATTTCTTTCGGGTCTGCAATGGTGATGTGTTTCCCGCTGGAGAACTCAACATGAATCTTTGCAGGCAGTGAATTTGTACTGGAGAGGTAGCAGTACAGCCAGTGAATCCAAGATACTGGGTTGTGTGGAATCAGTTCCGGCAGCTGATCCAATGGGTGAATAGGAAGTGGGTATTTGTAGCGCTTGGCATTGGGTATATACTTCGGCATGCCGATTTTCGGTTCTCGCGATGAGCTGATGTTGAATGCAGAAAATAACAGAACCGCCAATTGTTAAGAATTAAGTGAACATTTTTGGATGAGAAACCATTCAGCCTAATTTTTTACATTTCGATATACGAACAAGTTTGAAGACGGTGATGTTTGTTCCACATTCCACGAATAGTATTTTACTAAGTCTATGTACATAAGATCGAAAAATATCAGATACCGTTGTAGTCTATTGAGAAATCATAATGCTCACAGTGATGTTACTCTTCAAGCATTGATTGTATCATCATCATAATCCGTAGCCTGATGTGGCTATCACAAGAATTTAATTGTTTCCTTTAACTTAAATTGGACGAATCCTTCTGATGTTTTCAAAACCCTGTACTTTCTGGTACACGCATTTTCAAAGCAACCAGAATTCGGGTCCACCGCTTTGTTTCAAAGTGCTGGGTGCCATATCTAGGTAATCTACACCGTATTGCTTTATTTAAAAAAAATCATGTTCAGCTCATTCTAAGTTTTCAGATGCCGTTTGAGTTTTTATAGTCAAAAATTGAAAATTCCAGTGCCAGGGTAATTTCCATTAGATGAACTAGGTCAAGGAAAAGACGACAATAGAAATATACCGCTCAGTTGCTGAATATTGGTGCAATATTGTAACGTAGATTTGATTCGAATGATATTTACTTGCTAAATGATTCTATAGGTACATGTTTAAGTGGAAGCGAGTTCTGAGAAATATTGACGGAGAATGACAGAAAGCATCTCTGGCAGCTCTGAAATGTCGTGGACCACCACGTAAAATTCGAACGGAAATGTATCAAGGTATTTTTCGACTTTGAGCTGCACGTTTCCGAATTTATCAGGCACATATTTGACCTGGCTCATGTCCATTATTGATTCTGATGAGTTGATACCATCGACAATGACAAAAACAAGCATGATTTTGTTTTCCCGGGCACGGCGTACTAACCTCTGGATTGTGTCGTGATCTTCACAAACACCATCAGATATGATAATCTGAAGCTGCCACAAGTCGGCGTTGTTAAATGAGCGGCCACGATCGAATATACGAATCGATTCCGCGACCAGCTTCTTTACGTCGGTGCGCGTCTCTTGAAAATCAAACCACTGGAAAATCTTAGCACCAGAATCAACGCTGAAAGGCTTGTCAAATTGGTGAACTTCTTGAGTAGTATCTCCGAACTTAACGATCGATAATCCACCAGACTCTAATTGAGTAAGAGCTTTTGAGACTAGGCAAATACTTTGGAAAGCTAGGTCCACAGATTTTGACTCGCTCATGGACTTTGAGTCGTCCACAGCAATCATTATTTGGTATTGACGCTTACTTGGTTTCGTCCGTCTCAACCAAATCTTATCCTTTCGGAATTGGGAAGCAATGTAGGGAATGATTCTCTTCATGTTTAGCCTTTTTCCGGTCTTGTAGTCACCTTTTAATTTGGTAGCTAAAGTTGGCTCTAAAATGAGGCGCAACTGTTCTCCAAGCATAGCCGATAACTCAGCAGTTTCAGTTTCACTCTTTCTCCAAAGTTGGCGGGCCTCTTCCAATGATCTGGGAGGTTCCGCGGTGGACTCTTCAATTGTAACCTTTTGATCAATAGCATCGATTATTTCATCGAGATCGTTTTCATGCGCATCGAATACATCAGAATTAGTAAATGGATTCTGTTCGCCGATGTCGCTACGTTCCTCTGACACAGTTCCTTTGCTCTTGCCTTGGCTGTCTCGATCTTGAGGCTGTTCAGCGGGACGTTGCTCTTCTGTAAGGTTTGCTTCATCTTCACCTTCAAGCTCCTCCGGCTTATTATTTTCATTCTCAATATCGTCCATGTCGATATCGTCATCAATTGCCTTGTCCTCGTCAATCGCAGTGGTATTGTCTTTGCTGGCGGAGCCGAGCGCTTGTGTATCAGTGTCAGTCTTAGCACCATCAACATGCTCAAACTCATCAGGTCGCTCATTAGCAGTAGAGTCTTCTTGCGTATCCTCATCTCTATTAGACGCTTCGTTGATTTCTTGGTGACGCCTATGGAATTCCTTAAGGCTGTCACCTAGTTGTTTCAAACTTTCTTTAGCTTCTTGACGAGAACTTTCATTTACGTCTTCTTCAGACTTTTCTTGTTGCTCTTGTTGAGCATTTCCGAAGCTACCAATGTTTTCTTCTTCCTCTTCGTCGTTGGTAGCATCAGCACCTTGCCCTCGAGAACCACTCTGTTGTTGAACAGTCGACTCAAAGTCATCATTATCAATATCCATCATGTCATCCGCTCCGTCCAAACCTTCCAATTTGTCTTCCGAGTTTTCCTCTCCTCCTTTTTCTTTGAGATCATTTTCCTCGTCTTGCTTATCCTCTCCGGTTGCAGCATCGTCGTCTGCAAGTTCGTGGTCCGAATCTAAGTTTTCAACGTTCTCTTCTTGATTCGCAGTTTCGGAATTTTCCTCGGCATCATCATCATCATTGGAGTTTTCAGACCCATCAAGCGCGTCGTCCACTGCGTTGTCCTCGTCATCCTCGAGCGAAATATCTTGATCTTCTTCCGGAGCATTATTAGTGCCGGCCTCGTCGGTCTCTTCTTGCTCTTCAGCACCTGACTCATCGCCACTATCCGCCTCGCTGCCACTTGTTCCAGATTCTTCATCGCCAGAATCCAAGTTCATGTCATCAGGTAGATCCATTGTTTCTACATCAGGCACATTGTTTTCAAGTTCTGCTCCATCATCATTCTTGACTTCATCATCTTGACCGGCAGTTTCATCTTCTTCCTCAGATTCTGAGCCAGACTGTTGATCATTATCCTTTTCATCTTCGTTATGGTCACTGTTCTCAGGCTCATCCTTGGTTTCGTTGTCTTTCGTGGACTTCTCATCGTTGTCTCCCTCAGCAGCTTGGACATCGTCTTCCGTAGAGTTTTGTGGAGCTTCGTCTGCCTTTTTCTCTTTATTAGAGTCTTGAGCTTCTTCGTTCCACATTTTTTCGTCAATGGCATTGGGGTCATCTTCATCTAGGTCATCTACCTCTTCGTCCAGTTCTTCTTCTTCTTCGCTGTCGTCCTTTTCTTCATCATCGTCATCTCCGCCGCTTGCGTTTTCAAGGTCCCCGGCCATATCGCCTTCCATATCTACAGCGTCATCATCTTTGTCGTCTTGGTCCTCATCCTTATTCTGGTCCTTGTTAGGTTTCTGGGCATCCTCGAGAAGATCTTCGTCCTCTTCTACGTCCTTGGAATTGTTTTGAGCACCTTCCCCATCCCCGAGACCGGTTCCGTCTTGCAGATTTTGGTTCTCGGTCTCTTCATCTGGGGGGCTGGGAGAACAGAACCCATTTTTGGCTAAGTTGTAGAGGATCGATTCGAGCGTGAATGTTCCATGAGAAAGCGAATCATAATAGACTTTATGTTTGTTAATCAGCGACACTAACAATTGGTGGTATCTGGATATCATAGGCATAGTAAACTGTACAACAGCTGATATCAATTTTGACTCCTGTTTCGAAAAGTTTTGGGACTTTATCAATTGAAGGGCATTTTCCAGGTTGGAAGTTACTCTAGCAGAAATAACCTTCTTAGTTGTATTCATAATTCTTTTATGAGACGCCAATAGCCAGTTGTCATCTTCCATAGTTAATTCGACTGGTTGATCTTCCAAAAGCTTCTGTATCGTGAGCATGATTGAGGTGTTGATTTTGCGGAAAGCGCAATCGATGCTTTCGACCTCGTTACTATTTTCAAGATCATGAGACGGGTTTTTGGAAGATTTTTGTGTATGCAACCATTCAATAATAGCTTGAGAAATAAACGCTGTCTTTGTAGAGCAACTTTCCGAAAGTGAAACAACTAAATTGTCGCAGAACATTCCAAAGTCTTTCAGGATATCAGACACTGAGCCATCATATATTTTCTTGTCGTTGGCTAGTATCTTAAATGCCGCCACCCTTTCAATACCATCTGAGAGAACCTTGGATTGAGAGCTGGATTCTGGACCTTGTCTTGTTAAATCCAGCGTCTCGAGAGCATAGCGCATGAGCTCTGGCAACCACTTGCTGATGTGGATAAACATGTCATAATCCATCACAAGAGATTTGTGCATCAAAGCGTCTTTTGAACATGATACCTGCTCTAATTCCTCGCGTAGTTCCGTAACTTTTGTGAAGTTGTCTGCAAACTCACGAAAGGCGCTTCTACTAGTAATCAACAAAAAGAGAAGGTTTTCCGAAATGGCCATTCCCTTTTCAAGTGCTGGAAGAGGAGCATCATTTGCAGGACTAGATGCAACAAAACGAAGACGAGGAGCAAGTTCCAATATCCTGTAGTATTGGGCGTCACATCCTTGAAGAGGACTGTCTTCAAAAGTGTCTGTACAACTCAATATTGATGTTACAGATTCTTGAACCTTCCGAATGTCTTCCCTAAATCCTGTTTTTAAGCCCATCCTTTTGAGTTCCTTTAAGGTATCATTTAGCACTTTAGCCTTTTGAACTTTTAAAGCGGCTAAAAGCTTTTTATCGTCTTTGTTGTAGACGTTTGGAGTTTCATTGCGCAAACGATCGGCTTCTCTATTGATATCATCGGCAAAAACTGTTAAATCAGGGAAGGTTTCAGCTTCTATCGCAGCGCAATGACTGGCCATGTTTCTGGAGCTTAATTCCATGTTTCTCAACGAAGAATGTCTGGTATTCCATGACGCAATGGTAGATACCACGGCGTTTACTTCAGAAGAATCGGAACCGGCAGTACTTGAAGCACGGAGTGATTCAAGTCCAAAAGATGGTCTCTTAGTCCCATGAAGCCCATCCTCGATGATCGAAGATACGGCTTGGGAGAGAATAGCACGATACTTTCTGACTAACTTGTAAAGACTATTGTGCGAACGATGAGAACTCTGTTTGAGCGCATCAATGTTCACATCCTTCCAACTGGCAAGTAGTATAACATCAGAAACTTCTTTTTCTAACTTTTTTCTTCCTTCTCTTATGCTGTCTTCGATGATTGGAAGAAATTGGTTGTAGAACGTAATTGAATTGAGTAAAGAGTGTGTTGTTCTTGACTTGTACTTGGTTGAAAGCACCGAATGCTTCGCGAAAGCTTTCAGTAAAGCTAGACGGCTACTGAATTCACCGTAAGTACACTTGCTGAGGAAGACATTGAGGGATACAAGCAATTTTGCGTTAGCTTGGAAGCAATTGTCATCTGAAGTTTCCACCTCTGAAACTGTCACCATAATGGTCTCGAACAAGTGGAACCACCACTTTCCCATGGTTTTATTGATGGAGCGATCTTCATAATCGAATAAGCTGTTCCATGTACGCAATTCTAGTTTCCTCCAAGATACCACCAGATCAGTAAGATCTCTCAAAGAATTCTGTAAGGAGACTGTGACAGATGCATACTTCTCCCACTCGGTCACAATTGTAAATATTTGCTCAATTTTCTGAAGCAGACGAGCGATGGGCGTAGAGCCTGGATACTCCATAAATTCATTACAGACTCTGAACAAATCGCTGAGTGTTGAATGCTCTGGCCATCTCTTTAACAAATCGTTGACTGAAATCCAAAGTTTTTCTACTATGCCTATCGCTTTCTTGGTTTCGAAAACTGACGAATCGCGATAAAAGTCCAGACACTCGACATTTTTTGGAGTTTGAAAGCTCTTTATCTCCTGTGCGAGCAGGTTCAGGACGGAAGTTAGGTTGCGTGAGTTTGGTGCACAGTTTTTATATTCAACACCCAACTCTTCTAGTGCGTCCGCAATTTTAGAACCTTCGCGTACAACATCAGGCAAATCGCGATGAGCGTTATCATTGAAAATGTTCAAATAGGCCTTAGCAATATCCAAATAAATTTCGTCTAGTCCATTTTCATTGCTAGATTGCTGCGGCTTCTCTCCATCGATAAAAAGAACATCTTCGAAGTCTGGGAAAAGCTTTCTGAAATCTGACTCCACATCTATTTCGCTGTCGTCAAACTTGTAGACGCCTACTTGGCTGTTAGCTTCCTTCTCGTCGTGCAAACGACGCATTGACCATCTGTAGTACAATGTTTGTAACGCACTCTCGAATGTGTCAAGCAAGCGAAGATCTTTCCCGTGGAAACTGAAAAGCTTTAGATAAAAGGTAGAAGCGCGCTCTACATTCAGTGACGCGACCGTTTTGTTCTTGAAAAGGACTTGCAATTCAGCAAATGAAAGGTTGATTTGTTGCGGGTTTGTTAAAATTAGTGCGTCTATTGTCCACAACGGAGAAAGACTCAAAGATTTAGTTTCCTCTGCCTTTCCCTGTTTGAAGAGATCAAAACCAAATTTCAGACCCAAAACGTATCCGCGAAAGATCTCATTTAAGTCTGAGTAAACTCGGTAGTTGGAGATCAATCTTTCGAGAAACTGAGATGAGTTTTGTTGAAATAGGTTGAGCTGGTTGTGGGACATGGAGTCAAACCTGTCAAGTGAGTTTAGAAGTCTTTCAACAGGTTCCGCGCCAACTGTGGATTTCATAAACGCCTCCCATTCTTCGAAGAGAGGATCTATAGTTTCTTGAGGTCTGTAAACCTTGGGTTTTGAAGGTGCTTGAACGTCGGAGGCGTTGGCAATTGAAACTTCCATTTCCATGGGATCATCTCCACTTAGCACATTTCTACAGCTTTCCCATGATCTAGACAGCTCTTGCGACAAAGACTTCTTGACCATGAAGTTATCGTAGAGAACATAATCGTGCACAGCAGGATCAAATGGAGAGTTAGGAGCAAATAGCTGCATCGCTCCAACCGAAAATAGTATCCAAGCTCTACCTAGAGAAACGAGCGAAGTGGAATTTAAAGTGGAGGCGATAGCCGCAAGAAGAAACCGCTCATGAATGGTCTTGAACCATTCATCTTCTGAGAGAGAAACCAATGATTGGATGTCACCTAATGTGGATGACGACTTGACGTCTACATGCAGGGACACAAGCTTTCTGTACCATTCGACGAGAGCTTCTTTGTAGGCGCAAACCTTGTCCGCTATCACTGATCGCGAGAACTGAACGAGATTCTGTTGAAGAACTGACGCATCCTCTAAGGCTTGAGTGATCTGGCTGCCGCTGACGTGCTTGAAAGCTACCACCTTGTGAAGAAGCTTATCTAACACTGAGCTATCAAACACAGACGCTGTGAGAGATTCAAACACACCGTCGTTCTTATTCCATAGAAGATCAAAAACCGCTGGATAACTGTACGAGTTGGCCTTAATGTCCAGCAAAGTTTCTGTCGAAAGGGAAGTATATGAAGCTATTCTTGGAGCCACTAAATTGCGATCAGAGCCATCGTGGCACACAACTCTTAGCAAAGCGTCAAAGTTTGCTTTGAAGTAATGCTTTCTTTGGTTCAAGAATCGTTCTGAAATAGAATTTAACTGATGTACGCCACTTTCTAGTGTTGCAATAACATCTTCAAAATCAGAATTCTTGCCAAAAGTGATGCTCGTCTTGAGGTCTAGGATCGTGTCCCTTAAACGATCAATCAACTCGTATGAGTCGGAAAACTGTTTTTCAACAATGCTGTCGAACTGTTTGGCAACGCTCAGCAGCTTTTCAAGTTTTTTCCAAGCCGATTCAGAAGTTGGAAATGATTGTCTAAAAGCATCCCAAATCAGTGTCATTGATCGTCCGGTTTCTAGCGACAGAGATCTTCCCAAGCTTTCTGCTATTTGCAAAATCTCCTGAGATTTCTCACCATCCAAGGGAGTTTCCTGTTGCCAATTGTGGAGAAGTTCTTCATAAACTCTCAACTTTGAGTAGTTGTGAGTTTTAGACGTCTCAAAGGCAGCAATCCACAGAGAACACAAGTCGAAATAACTTTTGTAAAAATCTGGGATCGAGAACAACTTTGCTGATCGCACCGATTTCAAGATATGGTTGCTCAAAAGCGTGAGGACTTCGAAGATGGGAATTTGGGGAGTTTTTTTGATCATTCTACCCTGATCATGAGCTGCGCATAGTTCCAAGTAGTTGAGATCCCCAAGCTTCACGTGCTGCGCTCTTCTTGATACAGAGTCTAGTTCGTTAACAAAACTGTGAAGTAATCTGATAATCTCAAATAAATACGCAGGTTCGGAGGAAGTTATAGTTTGGTGCTTTAATGACAGACCTCGCGACGCGTATGGGTTAAGCGATGGTATCAATGGTTGGTTTTGGGCAAAGCTTTTGCAATCATGTAATAAACCGGGAACTAGCCCTTCGTACTCACTTGATAGTTCAGAAAGTTTGTGAAAGACACCAGATTCTTGCAAGTACTCGGCGAGAGAAACAAATTTCTCAACGGTATTTTTATCGTTAAAGTACCTTGATTTCATGATATTTTGCCCCCAGTTCCTTAAGTTGGGGAACGCCGACGTTGGTAAAATTGAAACGACCGATTCGAGGACGTTTGATTCTGCAGCTGAACATATATCATGCAAATTAGCGTATTGCAAGGTGATGGATTTGTCCGCGGAAACGAAGTGCGAGAGAGATGCGTATGAATGAGCCTCAGCGCTGATAGCGGTAGTTGTCTTGTCATATTCGATGGATCCCAGAGGTAATTCGTATTCTAAAATTGCTCTGTCAAAAGATGTAGCTCTGTCAGTCAACTTGTCAACGTAAACCTCTATACTCCTATTCCGCATAGCTCTTGATAACTCACCGTATTTTGGATCTACGGTCAAAAAAAGTCTAAAGTTAGGGTTAGGATTCATTACGCGAGGTTGACCATCCTCATGGCTGCACTCGTTGATTATCAACGTTCCGTCTGTTTCCAAAAGCGAGTTTAGTCTATCCAAAACGGAAGGAGAGCACAGATTTGCATTCTCCAACACCAACCACGAACCTTCCTCCATTGCTTTAAGAAGAAGTCCGTCAAACCACTCAAAGGTAACAGATGCTTCATTGCTCCTTTTGTCCAATATACCTTGAAGCTCGCTGGACACTGATGATATATCTGGATTATCCACAAAGTCTTTCACGTTGTTGATAAGGCCTAATAAGTGTTCAAGATTTGAAATATCCACAGTCTGATTTGAAATGTAGAGGAAGAGCTCCAAAGCGGCAACCTTGGCATCACTCTCAGATTCTTCAGACGAGATGTTCATTGCTATTAACTGTCTCAGGATTGTAGTCAGCCTTCCAACAGCTTGCGCTACTTTACGATTCAAATCGACCTGTTCATAGCCACCCAAAATGTCCATACTATCAACATCGCTATTCATTGGAAAGCTGACGACTTTCGTACCTAGCATTCCAGAAACATACCTGATAATTTCAGTCTTTCCGGAATTGGTAGGTCCACAAAGAACGAGAGGCCAATTTAGATTAACGCATCTTACTACCGATTCATAGATGTGAGTGTTACATTGTAATGGCATGAGACCCTTCAGCGGTGTGTGCTTTACAAATACATCTCTTGCGATAATTTCTCCATTAACTTGCAAATAGCCTGGTGTAGATTGAAAGTAGTTTTGACGCCTTCTGAATGTTCCAAAAAAGCGCTCGAACACTTCTTTGACTTTAGAACGATCCTCATCAGTCCGGAACCTCTGCATCAATATCATATCCAAGTAATCGACTGCTGCTCTATCCGATACAAAAGAAGGAGAAACCAAAAGTTTCAGCCATCTTAAAGTATCTCTCAAATTGAACTCCCAAGGCGACCCAGCATGGCCCCATAACTTTAAAACGGAAACCTCTTTCTCTAGAGTGGAAATGATTTCAATCAGTTGGGAGCAAGCCTTTGTGTCAACTCCAGGGAAGAGGTGAGTGGCAATCAAGAAAAGATCTTGTGGATTCAATACGTCGATGTAAACAACACTGAAACGGTTGACAAAGGACTTTGGAAGGCCTTTTCTTCCACCACCTTGATGCTGAGGATTTTGCGCAGCAAAAACCATAAAGTTAGGGTGCTTCGTGAAAGATTTGTCCAGCTCCGGTACGTAGGCCTCTCCTCTGTGATCCAGACAAGCGTTCAAACCTTCCAAAACAGACTGGGAAGCAAGGTTCATTTCATCTAACAATACCCATTCACCTAATTGCATTGCTCTTAAAAATGGAGCGTCGCGCCATACAAACTCACCAGTTCTTTCTCCAGGAGCATCAGATCCAAAGAGATCGATCAAATCCGTCTGCTCGGATAAATTGATACGCGTCAATTTATTACCAGTGCAGTCAGACAATGCCGATATCAAACTGGTCTTACCAACACCGGGGCTTCCCTCGAGCAAAATGGGTTTCCGCACTTGCATTGCTCTGGCAACTCTCATGAGATTGTTCAAAGTGGTAGGGGCATTAAGATTAAACTGTGGAGTTGACGCGAGAGAAGTCCGCTCTAAGGTAAACATTCCCACCGCAACAGATGCTTCATTTATTGCTAGCGAGATGTCTTGTTGATAATATTGATGGAGATCATATCCAGTCAAGTCACCTAGAACTTTCACGCAGTCAAGCTTCTGTGCTTTAAGCGTCTCGGCACTATCCGCCAGGTACGCAGTATTGTTCGTACCAAGTGTATCAATAAAGACCATGGCAGCACCTTGTACTAGCGAGGCATGGTGATTTTGTAATTTCTCCGCAGACAAATTCACAAACTCAACCCAGCTCAAAATATCACGCAGCGATATGACACCATTACTGGCAGTCCCACCACCGAACTTCTCACCAAAATATTTGGAAAACTTGACTATTGGGGCAGCTAATGAAGAAAGCTCCGGCCTAACTTTAGAGGATACAATAAGTTGTACATCTTCAAAATCTTCCATTGATGGCACCCAAATTTCAGTGAATCTATTTCTCAGAGCAGGAGACAGCTCCTTTTTGCCGTAATCCCCACCTGGATTCATTGTTGCAAAAAACTGGAATCCGTCTGAGGCCTCGATCAGGCTATCAGAGCCGCCTTTCTCAGCAAGAAGCAGGCTTCTTTCAGGCTCTAGAACACTATTGAGTCTTTCCAAAACAGAATCATCGGCCAAGGATATTTCATCGAGGAGAAAAAATTCACCACCGTTTAGAGCTTGAACTAAGGGGCCATCACACCATTCAAATAGAATGTTTAGATTGTCTTTAAGCTTCTTAATCCGCTCAATATCCGCTGGAGGCACCAAAGATTTGTCCATCATCTCGAAAAGGTTAAAAAGTTCTTCAAGCGTCCGGTCGCTGCCTTCAAGATTCAAGACAGCGGTGAGAATCTCAGTAAGTTCTCCTTGCAAGTCGGAGCGATGTCTGTTAGGGCGCTGAGCACCAAGAATGTCACCTGTCTCGGTATTTTGATGAGCATTAACGGTTATCAACTGTCGACCAACATAACGTGCAATAAGTTGGCAAATTGTTGTTTTACCGCAGCCTGTTTCGCCTACTAGGAGGACAGGTTCGTTGTTTTTGAGACAAGTGGAAACTAAAACTGCGAGTTTGCGCATAGCTTTAGTCCATACAATTGAACTTGGCATCGATTGCAACTCCATATTCTCAAGACTCTCATAGTAGGCGTTCATATCCAACTTGACTTTCATGACTTTCTCAATGATAGCCTTTACGACTTCTCTTTCCTCCTGATTTCTGCACCTCTCTGCCAACAGCATGTACCCATTTGCAGCCAAATTTTCATAGCCAACAGCATCTCTCAGTGCCCACCGGAATAGGTCACGTAAAGTAGCAAAACTATTCTTTTGCTCAAAAAGCCTCATTGCAGAGCGCTGTAGAGATAGCTGGCGGTAAACTTCCACTATTTTTAGAGCATACGAAGGAGCAATCTTACACCTTTCCCTGAGAATCACTTCGAGCTCATCTTGAGGAATGTCATCAAAGTGCAGCTCAAGAAAACGGTTGCGAAAAGCTCGCGATAAGATCTTCCGCCCACCGTATATTCCTGGTGGATTCTGCGTTGCAAAAAGCATGAAGTCAGGGTGTGGATGGATGACCTCCTGTGTTTCAGGGATAAAAAGCTCCCGGTTGTCATCCAGTAATCTGTTTAATGCCTCCAATACATCGGTAGGCGCCAGATTAAGTTCGTCTAAAACAATCCAGTGACCTTTCCGTAGAGCATCTACTAGGACACCTTCACGGAATGAAAGTTTTCCAGTGTCGTCTGCCATATACGTTCCCAGATACTCTTGTAGGTCGGTATGTTCGTGATTGTTAATACGAACAAATTTGTGTCCAGTGATATCAGCGAGGTATTTGATCATACTGGTCTTACCTGCAGATGTAGGACCTTGAATCAAAACAGGAAACCTTCGTCCTGAAGTTGCTCTCACGAGGTTAAGCATATTCTTCTCGACAAATGGCGTTATGATATAATTCGGCTGCTCTTGGATGTCATAGAGGCCTTTTTTCATCCAGTAGTGCTTGAACTGAACATACTCGGGGCCGGGGCAAGCTGGTGATTGGGAAACCACCGACTTGGGATTCTTCAATCTTCCAAGAGTGAATTTTTCAATCAATGGTCTTAGAAGGCCTTCCGACTTTTCGTTCAACAAGGTGAGAAATGACATGCAAAAACCTTCATACAAAGATCTCCGTAAACCATATATTTTGACGATATCCCGAACATACATGAGAGTACGCGTTAATGTACGGATGCTAAAGTGAGGCTTTTGGTTAGACCCATCGACGACCTTATTACCCTCAGCAAGTCTTTTGGCTTCAAGGTATAGCTCCGCAACATCGTTACCAACCCATTCGTCGCTTACACTGTAAACGCCAATGTATTTGTCAATGATGGAAAGAAGATCTGTAATGTCACGATCGGGTGAATGCACATATATTTCAGTAAACCTTGACCGAACACCAGCGGGCAAGTCCCTTTTACCCACATCCGTAGCTGGATTCATACAGGCAAAAATTCTAAAGTTAGGATGAGCCTTAACTGGCTCGGCTTGACCTTTTTCCGAGAGAAGCACACTACGAGACGATGGCTCTGATAGCAAGTCGGATATGCTCTCCAGGGTGTCCGACGAAGCTAGGTTAACTTCATCCAAAAGTAACCACTCGCCATTTCTAACAGCCTTGACTAATGAACCTTCGACAAAATTGAAAACAAAAGAATTTTCGATGGACGAATACTGGGCCTCAAAATTCGCTACATTTTGATGAAATTCGACCCATCGATCCATTAGACTCTTCCTTTGGTGAGAGGCAAGCTTTCTCTTCTTCTTTTGATTATCATCATCTCCGCTTTTTTGTTCTTCGTTGAGTAGATTTTTCGCCAACTTGAAGGCTTCATTTAATAGCTTGACGACGTTTTTCCACTGATTTTTGTTGAAGCATTTGTGCAACATAGTATAGAAACGCTCGTTCTTTTTCATAGAGAAGGTAGCCGGGAATAAGCTCTCGAAGTCTTCTAATAATGGAATCGCAATAGTTTTAGTGTTAACAGGTTTAAAACCACCAAGCAGGTCACCACTTTCCGTTTGTTGAGACACGTTGATGACTGTTAATTTTTGATTCACAGCTTTTGCGATTTGTTGGACAACTGTCGTTTTACCAGTACCTGTTTCACCAACAAGAAGAACGGGTTCGCACATTTGAATTGAAGCACCTATTTGTTCCATTAGTCTTAACGAGTGGTTTGTACGAGCAAATGAAGTATCATTAGCTGATTTTCTTAAAAGTTTAACATGGTTTTTGGCGAGCGTAGCTCGACCAATTGTTAGAGAAGAGCTGTCTTCTTCAAACGCGGGTACATGCTTCGAAATGTAAAGGTTTACGCGTGACGCTGGAATCTCTAGAGTAACCCCAATAGCCTCGATCAGAGGTTTCAGAGCTCTAAATTCACCGATTGCACATGCAAAGCAATCAGCCGCTTCAAAGAAAATGCTATCGTAAACGTGAGAAGGAATGAGTTGCTCAGAACTCTGAATGCTATTTTTCTGGAAAATCGTTTCGACTCTGCTGCAAAATTTAACCAAGTCCCGCACCGTTACAACTCTGGGGTGAACTCCCCTGTTTAAAGAAATAAACTGTGAATTGGAATATATGTTTCGCACCGAGTTGAAAGTTGCAATAAATCGAGCCACCAGATTTGACAATGATGGATACTTGTGACGCAAAATATCGGCAAGCTCTTGATCGCTCGGATCTTTCAGATTAACAGTACCCCATAGACGAATACCAATCAAGTCTGGCTTATAATGCATTTCATCCTTGTGATCGTTATCGGGTATTCTTATTGTTGAAATTAACTGAAAGCCATTGGCGGCCTTAATAGTTTCGCCTCTCGACGGTATGCTCAGCTGCCGTTGTTCTAGTAAGGTTAGAAGGACCGATATTACCTCTGTGGGCGCCTTATCGATGTCCTCTATTAGGACCCATCGTCCCTGCTTGACAGCAGTCGTCAGTACACCTGCTCTCCATTCGAAAGTTCCTGGTTTTTCACCGGAGGTGTACGTACCAAGTAAAAGTTTAGCATCTGTTTGCTCACCTAAGTGAATTTTGACCATGGAGTCATTGGCACCTGTGTATTTGCTGAGTTGATCGATGAGAAATGTCTTACCGGACCCGGCTTTCCCGATGAGCATAACGGGTTTCGATAGTTGTATGCACTTGCTCAGTGCACGCATTGATGAAAGCGCTTCTTTTGTGGGGACAAATTCTTGTTTGCCGCTTATGACTTGAGGTTTGGAGTTCATTCTTATTCTAGGCACAAGAACTCCGTAAATAACCACGATCAGAGGGCTCAAATCTTGTGGGTTTATCACTAAGTTGTCTTTAGACCGCAAATTTTCGCCATCAAATTGGGAATCCCCGGACGTCTTCAAAAGCGTGTGATATTTTGACAATCTTTGGGCCTCATTAAGCTCCAAGAACCCGTAATCAACCTCGGAATCCCCGTCGTAGGTCGCACAAACACCGTTCAGGTCTTTTGTATATTTATGACTCAAATTTAGGGTGGCCTGTTCGGCCATGTTCAAATACATAGACAGCACCTGAACTGCAAGTAATTTGATGGCGCCGTTTGCGAAAACGCCTTGAAGAATCTTGTACAGCGCAGTGGGTGATACAAACCGCGCAAACCGGTCTCGATCGTAGTGCAAGAACCGATAGTACGCCATTAGGATTGCGTGGAGTGCAGATTCGGGTTGTGAGCCTGACATCTCTAGTATCAAATTGAGGTGCTGATGATTGTTCTCGAGAAAGTAGTCGCACAGCGTGACGGTCTCTGGGTATACGCCCACAACTTGTCCCATTACGTCTGCCACCTGGCTGCTGCGGTTCTTGTCGCTCGAAACCGCCCATCTGCCCACCAAGTCGAGAAAAACGGGTCTATACACGAAAGTATATGCCAGCGGAAGCTCACTTTCTAGCGCAACCAGTGCCAACGCTTCCAGGTTTTCGTTCCCGTTTTTCTCCATGTCAATCCTCGCAATGCTGGCTAATTGTTTCTGCGTGAAATGGGCGTTATATAGCTCAGCTCGTTTTTCGCATTGCGAAACGTCGAGCACAAGCTGGTTTTGAAGCATCTCCAATGTCGTTCTTGTACTTGAGCTGCTCATAAACCAATACAGCTGTGTCTATCGCTGATTCCACTGTCTCTAATGCCTCTATTATGGCTGAGATCGTATACTTTGGAAAGAATCTATCAATTATTCAATCACATTTGAAGAGTTCAAAATTTTTCAGAGCTCATCGCGATGAGCTAGAGTGAAAAAAAGGAAAACTGACGAAAACCGATGCGAAAGATCACCAGCTGAAGAAGAATACAGTCAAGCTGGTGTTAGACGACTTTATTGAGCGTTAACGGTTTGTCTAGTAATTGTGAATCGCTTAGAATATGGGTCTAGTGCGTCCGGTGGACTTGAAAGTGCAGCCGGTGCCGTATCAGGTCCGATACGAGGTTCTGCAAAAGATTGTAAAGACCCTGGAAAGGTTTGAGAGCGCCTCTGGTGATACTGGTAGAAGAGCAGTTGAGATGGAGGCAAGCGTGGCGCGAAAAAGCGGATCTGGGCAGAGCTACCGGTTCAACGCGAGTGTTCTGCTGCGGGACCTGCTGAAAACCAAGGGTAAGCTGCCGCAGGAGTCGGCAGCGGGTGGAAGAGTCAAACGGGTAGGAACGACGATAAAACTCACCAGAAGCGACGCGATGCGGCTTTTGGAGGGCGCTGTGGTCGATGAAGCAATTCTGGCGGAGAATGGGTACAATACGGGCAAGCTGGAGCGCGAGGTGGAGGACCTACAGCTTTCTAGTGCTGGTCACAAATACACAAGCTGCATACGTTGCAATACCAAGTTCGATCGACTTCAGATCATGAGCCCGGCAACCTGTCGCTTTCACGTCCAGCGTAAACGGTACAACCGGGACACCCGCGAAGGTGAATATGCCTGCTGTGGCGAAACCACATCTTCTACTTCGTTCTTGGCCCTGGGTTGCAAGACGCTGCCTCACCACGTATTCCGTTCCGAGACCTTCGACGCCATGTCTCAAATCTCACCTTTTAAAAGCACCGCCGACATTCAAGGTGATGCCAACGTTTTGGCGCTGGACTGCGAGATGGCGTTTACGTCACTTGGCTATGAATTGATTAGACTCACCGTGGTTGATTTCTTCACTAGCAAACTTGTGTTTGACGAAATTGTACGGCCCTTTGGAGAAGTTATAGATTTGAACTCAGAGTTCAGTGGTGTTCACGCTATCGAGGATCATAAATCCATAACTTTTGCCGAGATGTTAACACAAGTGCTAAGCAAGTCCATGATCAACGGGAATAGTATCTTGATTGGACACGGTATGGAAAATGATTTAAACGTACTGCGTTTAATCCACCGAAAAGTAATAGATACGGCTATCCTGTATCCTCGAGGGAAGTTCAAATCGTCTTTAAAAGATTTGGCGTTTGAAGTGGTGAGCAAAAGAATTCAGTCGGGTGAGCATGACAGTTCTGAAGATGCAATAGCCACTATGTGCGTTTTAAAAGCAAAGTTGGAAATTCCACTAAGCCAGACCATCTGGGACTGAGATTAATATTTACCACGTACAATTGTAGACTATCCACGCTCTATAGAATCGATTTTAGCCTCGAGCTGGTCTTGTCGCTGAATGATCTTACTTAACATAGCTGTTATATCAGACAACTGATCTCGAACGTCACCTTCGCCGCCTAGAGATTTGAATTTGACGCTTTTCTTGCGACTCAACAACTTAGGTTTTCTTATCCGGAATCCATCCCGTTCTGAATCGTCCACGGGTGCAGAATTCAACTTTGTATTATTTGTGGTAGCGTCGAGATGAATGGCATCTTTATTGCTGGTTATTAAACCTCCTTCATCTTGTTCTTTGAGTTTAGGGAGTAAGTTTCGTGTAGGCATTGGCGCCAGGTCCGTTACTGTTGTCGCTGTTGACCTTGAATTCAGGGATTTCTGAGGTGACCTCTGTCCACCGCCGAACCTGGCTCTGATCCTACTAAGCGAACCATCCCCACCAGGAGCTATAGCATTACTGTATCTCGCTTTGACGGGAGAAGTGGGAAACGAGAGTTGGATCGACGTGTCGTCCGGGTTGTTATTGAAATGAACACGATCAACGCTTACCGTACCAGCGGCATTTTTGAAGTCTTGAAGGTAGGGCGGAGATTGCAATCTTTTTGGGGTGGTCTGAAAAGACATGGTCTGGTCCCAATTTCTTCTAGGTCGTACCGGAGACAATCTCATCGCACTTTTATTTGTGTTTACAGGTGATTTCTTGATTGGAGAAGTGCTCAATCTTCTAAAAACGTTCTTGGATGGAGAGCCATGAAGTTGTCTCTCGGCCTTGTCGCCAATCATCATCGAACCTTGCGTCTTTGATGTCACTACCGGCAATTGTGCCGGTGTCCTAGATAAGTGATCAAAGTTGTTGTTGTGGTGAGTGATGTTTTGACATCTAGTGTCACTATATATTTATGTGACACAGTATTGTAATGCATCTGGCGTAAACTACGAATCGTTGTTTAGAAGCGACAGAGGTCTGTCGATAAACATGCAGTGGAAAAATCCCATCATACTGAAATAGATGATATCTAAAAACATTCAGTATAAGTGGAAGCCATTTCCATTCTGATAAAATGTTGAACGGAAGAGGAAGAAGAAAACACTTCATGATATCTCTTGCTTCGTACCAATAAATTGGTGGTCGTTCATTCACTTGAGAAATGAGCGCATAGTTATGGGAGGTCTGTATTTTCCTCTGCTTTCTCAAGTCACCATTGACTCAATCAAACAGACTTTCATCGTCTATAACCTCATATACTTGGTTGGTATGGTAACCCTTGCCATTGTATACAGGCTCATTGTACCGCTGACCGCCAGGTCCTTCGTTCACTGAAGTCGGAACATCGTTGACATTCAGGAACTTGAGATTTGGGAATCTCTGTAGAAAATAGTTGAAAGTTCGTTTCAAAGAATGCAAATGAGCATGGTAAACTTTTATAATGTCGCCAGCAGTTAGAACACTTTTCCCTAAAGCTTTATTGATAATTTGCGCATCATCCTCTACAGGATCTTGAACAAACGATAGACCGGGACGAGAGTCCACGAATTGGGTATATGGGACAATAGGAGAGACCGAAATAATTCTGGTGATGATGTCCCTCTTCGGAACATCCTCGAAACTTTTAATGTGCAGCGATGACTGGGTGGGAAATATTTTTCTGTAAATAATATTTTGTAAAACCTCATGGCATGAACTGCAGATGCAAGTTTCATTGATCTCAAAATATGATACGCTTCCGTGGTTGACTGTGACTAAGTAAGGGTCCAACTGCCGGAATTTGATATCCAGATACTGGAGTGTTTGAGACTCTGGGCTCTGTGCTAGCAGCTCAATTAATCCTTGCTTTATGGTATGTCCAAACATGTAGTCTAGTTTCAAGCGACGAAGTTGAGTGAAAGTTTGTAGGCAATGTCGGAGGTAATCATCATTAGCGAAAAAAGACATAAACGTCAACTCCCTCAAATTGACAAACTCGAGTAACTCGAACAAGTGATATTTTTCATAAATATCAACGTCATCTGTTTCATACCATGATAGAATGGTTAACTTCTCGAGATAGCGCGTGTCAAAGACATCACTGTAGGTAAGTCTTGAAGTTTTGAAACAAGAAGCATCATAGGTATCGCCCCGGAGGCTCAGGCCTAGCTCTCTAAGGCGTAATTTTGGTGCATTGGGAGCATAATTGCTAAAGAAGAGACCTGGATCCATGTAAATATTAAGGTATGTGACATTCTCGAACGAGTAATGTGGTATCAGAGCGGCTAAAGTTGAAAGGTACAGGCTGCTTACCCGCTTCTGCGGAAGCACAGCAGGTGGGGGGAGATCCAGCGCATGCAATTGGGGTCCTAAGGCTTTTAATTCGTCGACGAGTTCCATGCGTAAAAAATTGCGGAATTGTCTCAGATTACCAGCCTGCCGTACCAGCACCTCCAACAGTTCCTTCAGCAGGGCAACGTCCAAATGCCATGTACAATGAACAATATCCAAGTATGAAGCGAGCAAAGGCGACTCGCTCAGGGTACGGATTAAGGCCGCTAATTTGCGATCCGCGTCTTCGTATCTCGCTTCCTGAATGTTGAGGACAGACCAGTAATTGCCTAAAAGCGGATCTGAATCACTGTGCATGCACGGTTTTTCATTTAGAAATAAGTTCCGGTACAAGATCGGCAAGATGGCAAATCTTACAGAAGAACTTACATACGTTAGTGATACCTTATCTTCTTGAGTCAGATATTGAGCCACTCCATCCCAAATATCGACAGGCAAATTCATCAACATGAATTAAGAAATGTGTGAGAATCGCTAGGTCGATGCTACCAGTGGTGCTCTTCCCAGAGGCACTTATACTTTGGTGATTTTCCGAATATCAATGAGGTCGCGTGATTCCTGAGGGCTATATAATAGTGTTTTTTATCTATATTTTTCGTCCCATCCATTTTGGTGGACTGGGACATTTGGTCAATTTGAAACAATACAGAGATGATCAGCAGTTCCCCTGCATAAGGATGAACCGTTTTACAAAGAGATTTACAAGTTTTTTTTTGGCAAATTAGAGTTTAGATTGAGACCAGTTGAAGTGTCACATCTACCTGGTTAAGGCTAAATTCTGAAGATTGTAATGCTCTTGCTGCTTTACTAGATAAGGTACATCTGATGTTCGAGACTCCTGGGATGCAACTTTAATTATTATGTGAGAGTTATACGTATTCCAAAGTTTTATTGTATTCCTTCAGCCCAGAGATTGCTTCCGCTTTGATAGCAATCATTAGTAGCTTTTCGTCACGCATACCGAGTTTCCAGAGCGACTTCATCAAGTTCAGCTTGAGACCAGGCACTAACTGATTTATATGGTTTGGGTTGTTAAAGTCTAGCACTTGATCAACTAGCTGAAAATCTTCGACCAAAGCGCCAACGTTGCGGCAAGGTACTGAGTTAACTTGCAACGAGCACAGTGACAGACATGCAGGAAGGACCAGTAGTGAGCCTTGCTTCAGGTAGTTGTTAAGATCGATGCCATTTTGTGACAAAAGTTTGTTGAAAATGGATCTGAACATATTCAAAGAGGGTCCCGAGAGTGCAACGTGGATGGTCTTGGAATTTTTAATGAAATATAAGGTGGCTTCTGAGTTCATTACTTGAAAAATCAACTCCCTTGCGAATGGGGCATCTGCATCGACAAATGGCCTTCTGTATTGCACAGAGGTCCAACACGAGTCCGACGACAGACGTGGCTTTTTTGGTACAGGCTCTACAGGTGACGGCGACTGCGAGAGACTCACAAACTTGGGTCTTATGTCGTTCATAGCCATGACAATTTCTTGGGTTTGTAAAACTGGATTCCACCTTAATTGACACGCTACTAATTGCTGCTCAAGGCGCAAAAACCTGTAATAGCGACACTCTTGTATTAAAGACTGCCTTCTTTCTGGAGTCAATTCTAGTATCCCACCTTGTAGTAAGGTGACCAAATTTGCAAAATAGTTTGGAGAGCGGTTCACGTAGGGGGGTGATTGAGGTGGAGGTCTAACCAGATTCATGGTATGATAGATGGCTTGCACATCATCGAATAGAGATTTGCAAGCCATTTCGAAATAATTAAGAGAGTTCCCGACTTGCGAAACCAGGGTCTTAGGTAGTTTGAAGTGGGTCCCGCCTACGCAAACAAAGTAATATTCTGAGTGCTTTAATAAGTCCTGCAGTCTAGGCAATTGAAAATATATTGCGTCTAGAAAACAGGTGGTGAATTGAGCCCCGTCTTGAATTTCGACGGTGTAGCCTTGCAAATGGTGCACGATAAGCTTAAAGACCTGGGGCGATCTATCAATGAATAACGTAGAGGACTCGTTTGCGGAGAAAAAATGCGTGAACAAGTTTGGTGAATCTGAATTAAGCGAATAGCCTGAAACCTGGAAAAGTTTGGAACCCACCTGCAGTGTGAACATTTGCTCTGGGGGCAATCGGCCCGTGGAAGTTAACTTGAGAGACATTCAAAGAAGCGCTGAGGACTTGAAATCTCGAGAGTGAGATGTGTGTGAAGCAATGTTGAAGTAGTAAATCTAGCTCACTTGAGCCAAGAGCATGAAGTACAGTGTTTCGGACAGGTACGGACGTTTGCCATGAGACGACAGCACTGTTAAGAAATATCTGTTTTAAACTATTCCAATAAATATCATGAACTGATGAACTTAAAGTTTGTCAGCACTAACATGAATCTTGAGGAAAAATATGAGATTTTGAAATCAAGTAGGATAGTAAAAGGAGATTTTGTAGATAGCAAGCGTCTGTCTGCTTGGATCGGCACAATTTTGATAGCCGTAGCATCGTAGCCTTGCAAGTGTTGAATATATATTTTCATAAAGAGTAAGATGTGAATTGTGGCAGTCTGTGCACACGCGGAAATAAAAGTGTTGTATATTCAAAAGGAGCTACTCGTTAAGACGTTGGGGGCCCTGATGGTGGGGAAGCAGTAAATTCATTTCTTACTTACAATGAAGAATAACAAATTGGCAAGCATGCTGCTGGTCAAAAAATATTAGGAAGGGAATGAAAACAAAAGACCCTAGCGACATGATCGGCAGGTAGACGACGACGACGACGACGACGACAACGACTCACACTGGACGTTACAAAATCAATTGATTAACGAACTATAAACACCCAAAATTATACAAAATGAAAAAAACCATTTCGGTTTCTCTACAATGATAAACAATTACTGAAGGGTTATTATGTGAGATATTTGCAAAACTGCAAGCATTCTATTATTTTTTATAATGAATATGCTTTTGCGTCGTTTGCGTATACCACGGTCACACCTTCCTAATGATTATTACAGAGTGAGCAGCTGCAGTTTACCTGCAACTACGCGCTCAAAAAAATCCCGAGAAAAGATTCCCCGCTTACAACAACAAAGCGGCGGCACCGGCGAACAAAGCACCAGCAGCTGGCAAAGCCTTGGCGGCGGCACCAGTGTAAGTAGAGGTGATAGAGGCGGTGGTGGAACCTGGGGCCACGGTGGTGGAGTTCTTGGAAGCGGAAGAAGAAGCACCGGTGGTGGTTGGCAATGGGCACCAGGTGGTGTACTTGGTGACAACGTCGTTGACGGTGACAGTAGCGGTGGAGACCAAAGCTGGAGACACGGACTCGGAGCAAGCGTGCGACTCGCAAGAGGTGATGGTCACCAAGGTGGTGGAGTCCTGGTGGACGGTGGTGGTGTTAGAAGCGGCGACAACGGCGGTGACGGTGGCAACAGCGGCGGCGGTAGAGAATTGCATTTTTGGTTTGAAAGTAAGCGAGTGACTGGAGATAGAGATTAATCTGTGAGGAGAGAAGAAAAAAAAGACAAGAAAAGTTCTAGAAGTGATAGATATGGAAGATCTCCTCGAGGCTTTGGGCCTGGCCTTATATACCTGAAATTTTGCCACCTGGCTCCAGCGAAGCAAAAAAAAAAAAAAAAACAAACGAAGTTACACCGTGCGTAGTGTGCACAACAGTCACTTCTTTTTTTTTTTTCGCTTTTTTTTGCTTCCCCTCGCTTGCTATTTTCTGCTCTCTCTCGATGGCGTGTTTTTGCTAGTTTGGGCCGCCAAGGGAGATAAGGGGCAGGATGCGAGGGAGCAGCTACAGGAAAATGCAGAGGCGAGAAGGAGATACGAGCGAGAGAGAGAGAGAGAGTGCGAGAGAGAGAGAGAGTATGTGTGAGAGAGACGCAGCTTCGTGGCTCGCGAACTCACAATTATTATCCGTTTTCGTACTGTCTATCGCGTTCGCGCCGCCTTTGTTGTGGGAAAGAGCCCGTTTTCTTTAGGCACTGGTGTTCGTGGATCCCACTAGCTCTGTATCGGGGAAAAAAGAGCACCGGCAGCGCGTTTTGCACGGGTCGTCGTGTGTTTTTGTGTTTGTTATTGTTTTGGTTTCGAGCGTGTTTTTCGCTTTTTTTGCGCCGCTTGGACGGGCGGGTTATTTGTTTTTAATATTCCTAAAAATAGCGTGGGCGCAAGAGATGGCGTCCGCGGTTTATTTTTAGGCGGCCAGACCGCGCCCGCGGGAGCACGTGTCTTGGCGCTGGCGCTGGAGCTTGTTGTCTGGGGGGCGGCAATTCGTGCGAGATGCTTTGGGGGTTCGGCGTTTGGCGCACAAAGTCCGGGCAGGGCGGGTCGATGACGTGGGTAGTACTGACGAAGAAAAGGACGGGGAGACGAGGAGAGAAACGAAGAGAGAGGAAGAAGGGTACTGACTGACACAAGAAGGGAGGTTGTGGGTAAAAATAGCAAGTAGCGCCATCATACAGGTGGGCACTACGGGAGACAGGGCTTGTGACACGGTGGTACAGAGTGACAAGGGGAAATCTCAATGCGGGTGTTGTTGAGCGGTGTCTGTGGTGGTGCCGGGGCGTGAGATTTACCGAGGCATGTTCAGTCAGCGTGCTGGACTGGTGGGCGGGTTTAATTAATTTGGGTTGGGAATTGGGTCTAATTAACTCGGATTGGGGAATTGTGTCTCCGCGGAGTTTCCAGAGGAGACTCTCGACATGGATAGTAGATCAAGGGTACACGGCCATTTAGATGGCGGGTTCTGGTAGCTTTGCTCCCGGCGGATAATAGGTCAAGGGTACACGGCCATTTAGATGGCGAGTTCTGGTCAGACTCGATATCGTGTTTTTTCCTCGGACCCAATGGCTATCAGCATTACTCGACTTCAAGGACCGCGTTGCGGTTATCGTATTCGCTATCCGAATGGATATGCTGGATTAGACATTTAGCATTGTCACTTTGTCACTTTGTCACTTTGTACTATTCTGTCAGAGCTCTTCATTGTGCAATTGCCGCTATCTGGCAAAAGCGCTAGGGTCTTGGCCTTCGTATCAACGCTTCTTCCCTGCTCTTCATTATGCATTTGGCGCTATCTGGCGACAGCACTAGTCTTGGCCTTTGTATCAACGCTTAATCTTGACACACCATTTTATGGGAAAATTCAAAATCTACTAGAAATTCGACCCAGTATCTCCATTCGGATTGTGAATAAGATAAGAATGTCAGGGTTCGTATGCTATGTCTAGATAGAGTCAATTGCATAATGAAGCAGATTACAATAGGATCATATCGGGAACCAAGAACCATGACAAAATAGTACAAAGTGATACATCAAACATTGATTGGTGGATAAATTACTCGATACATCCCCTCAAACTAAAGACGAGCAGCAGAATATACTCTATAGCGGTCTGGTAACTGACTGATGAATCGCTGGACTCTACTAATATACTATGCGATGTATCGTATGATTATTCTAATGCTGAGTAATAGTCTTTACGCTCAGCCAGTTTTGATATAAATACCAACCAGTTACGGCACTCGAGAGATTATTCTCAAAAGCCCAGAGAATCGCACAGAGATAAGTAGAAGCCTAGTTTCCGATAAGAATTGTTTAATACATCATGGTTGACTTAAATGACCACTTCAGCAAGTTGACGCATGTGTGCCTCAATAAAGAATAGTGCGGTCCTTGATATTGAGTAGCACTTATAGCCACACTGTCTTAGTACCATTTTGTCCGAGTAATGGAGGCTACTAATATTATATCGAGTCTGGAGCTCATTATCAGAAGTCGATATCCGAACTTAATTGTATGAACTTCAACGATTCATCCCCATTCTTCTCTTCGCATCAAGAAATACCACGGCTAGATATTTACAATCTTCACCCCCAAATCAACTATCCAAGAGCAAGCTTCCATCGATATATCAAATTCGTCTCAATAATTTGCACTAGCTGATAATTTAATGGGGTAAAAGGGTTTTATTATGAGCTTGCACACATTAATCGACTACATAATGAAAACAAGTGACGATCTCATGCTCTTGTTTGAACAGTCCGAGAACACGACTGCTACTTTTCACAAATTTGCCTTAGCGCATACGGTACTTCAATATTGCGGCGCTACCATACTGAGAGTGGTCTCTGCCCCGCACATTTGAATAATTAATCTATCTAGTAATGGAAAGACCAAAACCTGGGAAAAAAATACAGAGCCTTCATCTACAAATCAGCTCACTCAATTACGATGTCAGGAAGCTTTCTATGCTGAACCACATTCGAAATAGTTATGTAAGAAATGTTAGCTTTCACTGCTGGATCAGACGTCTCAACGTAACGCCTTTCTGGACCACTATCATTTTCGGTGGAAATCCCATACATCAGTATTATGTTATTTCCCTCTGTTGTTAATAGCTTTGTTTTTTTAAAAGTCTGTTTTATTCTCAAAATCATGTAATACAGAAAAACATAGTTCGAACCCTCAGACAAGTGAATACAAAGTAGAGCCAGATCTCTTATAGCTTCCTATATCTTTATCAGTTAGTGAGCATTTTTTCTGACGCCTAAAAGCATAATTTTCAGAGTGACAGAATGATGCAAATAGCACTAAGTTGCAATAAGAAGGGAGAATTTAGTACTAAGGACATGATGGTGCAAAGTGACCATAAACTGTGGGAATTAATCCCCACACTAGTCAACGATAAGCCTGCACTCAGACCACAGCAAAGTATCGCGGTGCCTCATACTATTTTGCGTGAGATTTTGAAATTGTCATGTTATAAGAACACATCCCACAGTTCCGATGAATAGCGGATGTCGCAATTTATGAACACCGATGTGTTTATTCCCTCTGTAAAGGTGCTCATTCTTCACATTTGGAAAACCGTGGGTAGACAAACATTTATGTCATCGTGCGCCTAATTCATTCATCTTAGGATATAAAATTGTAGTCATCTCTTCGTAAAAGACGAAAATACTAGAATCGCGACAATCCGTATTTATAACCCTTGGGTTGAATATTTTGATAACGAGGAGTGTTTTATTCCGATGTCCATGGTATCAGCCTACGTTCCTCAGACAAAAATGACGGAATCAGCGTGACTATAGGCAATACTCAAAATCAACGTTTAGACCAGAGCATTCTTATTCACTACGTGAATCGATATACAGGGTCTAATGTTTAGCTTTGTCATGTCTTTGTTCTGTCATAGTTCTGTGTTCCCGTTATAAATTTATTAATGTTTATTATGCGATTGGCATTATCTTTCAGTAGCACAGGGATCCAACGAGCCTAGCTTAGTCAATCATAAATGGTCTGAATAAAAATACAGGAAATTAACCCCCCATGCCGCAAATTATGACCGTAGAGACGAAGCCTCCCTGATTGACCTATAGCCCGATATCAAAAGTGGTGATCGGATTACAGCGCTGATTTTAGCTTCGGTCGAACAACTTAAAGATGAGCATGTAGATACTTAAGAAATGACATGGTCATTGAACTTGTAAAATAATTAATCTGTGATTCATGGTCAAGATAAATAGCAAATGCGGTACCCCTTAAGGTATCAAGCATGAACATCTTATTGTCTTAATCTCTTCCCCATTCAAGTTTTTTGTCAATATATTTACCTTAGATATTTTACACATCCGTTTGCTCATTAAAAGGCTTCATCGTACGCAAAAAGGGGTGTTTCGTGCAAATACACTGATATGGTGCTTCGGGCCAAACGTTGCTTCAAGCAACTGTATGAAAATCAGCCTACAATCTTGCGAGTTTAGTTTACTTCGTGTGCAAATTCTTGTGGTCATAGCTCTCGGCTGGTTAGAAATGAATCCAGAAGTTACTGAGCTGTCCTGGGACTAGCTTCTGTTCTTTCTTTCCAATGGCAGACCTGGTTGAGGTAATTAAAGGGGGTATGAAGTTTGTGATGAAAGGAATGGAATTCGATGAACAATCATTAATCGCACGTCTAAATCCCTAAGTCACTGTCGCAAGTACACTGCACGAAATTGCTGCCGTGATCAGCTACGCAGTTCTAGTTCGGTTGGCACCTGTCGTTTGTACTCTATTTTTCGTGGCTCGCAAAAGGTTCTGCACTACTGCATGGTATGTGTTTTTTGAGCTATTGGTACTGACAGCCCTCTTGACCCTCCGACGCCTGAATTTTGCGCAATAAGTCCCGTTTTCGTGCTTTCCGATACTGGCCGTGACACAATAGCATTCCGCATAGTTAAAATCTAAAGGTCCGGTGTATCTATCTGTCGATAACTCGGTAGGGTGCTCACAATCAGATTTACCGAGTGGCGAGATCTCTGACGTGAATTTCAACGCTGGCTCGTGTAAATCACTGAACAATTCGGTCATCAAATTGACTGCCCGATGATGTCGTGGTTATTCAATTACAACCAACAAATCCGCTGGTCTGAAAAGTTGCCAGGATAACTGCCTTGAACTGTATACAGTGAGCCCATTCACCACAGTAATTATTTAGTGTATAGGAACATTAGGCCGTGGTTATCCCTGTGATTTTTGTATGTGCTTATAATCTCGATATACTGAGAATTCACCAGCACCAATACATTTTCTGAACGGCCTACAACCCCCGTCTTATCGCGAGTGAACCAATGCCCACTTCGTTCTATCCTGAAGAGATATAGAGTACGACAATTTCGAAACTTCTGGAACATTTAACATGCATCTGAAGCAATTCAATTTCTTACTGCATCCTAGGTTACAGACTCATTTACTTTATCATTCGCAACTTCTGAGTTCATGATTATCGCCGCTGTGTACTATCAACAGTATATTCGTTTCTTATTATGCAACTAGCCGCGCTTAAAGGACACTCAGTCGCTCAACAACTCCGAATACTTTTGTTTGTCTTCGTTTTAACAGCTGACGACAGCAGTTGAAATGCCATCATCGCATAAATGTAATAAAATGAATGAAGGTTTTGCTCCTACAACTGCATAGCCTCTGCAAAACACCCAGCCCATTACATTCAACGATAAAAGAGAGAGAGAGGCGATTATTCATTAGGTTGCGAACAAGCGCTCGTACGCTATAGGTTACTTAGGCCTCGGGGATAGTGCAAGTCACGCCGAATTTCGCAAATCTTTTCTCCCTGCGATAGCAAGTGCTTAACTAATGCTAAAAGAACATTGCAAGATTAGAAAGAGCTCGGATTTGATATTTGACACCAACTAGTTGTGAAATTGTCAGTTTTACTTAGTGGGTGGAAGTAATTGCAATAAGAAATGATATCAAGGATGACAGGATATTACAAAGTGACAATGTGAATGCTGGGATGGAATAAACCAATACCCGTAAATGGAATTGTTGTATTGGCTTTCTAGACCTCTATCTGGTATGGCAGTTCGGCGAAATTTCTCTGTAATGGCTTCAATAAACTTATTATCGAGGAGACCTCCAACTACGAAAAAACTTGACCATTGATCATGGAAGAACACAGGCATTAAAAGGCCTTCCGTTTTGCTTCAGAATTGCCTTAAAACACATTTACATTGGGGCTATTGTAAATAACCTTCACCCTCCTGAGCTGAAGTTTCGACGGAACTTGTGAAGTACTGTCACTAAAGACAGAGTTTTCTAGTGCGACAACTTGTGATTGCGGTAGTTGAACTTGTTATCATCATGACGCTCACGCAGCATCAGGGTCAAACACTTATCTAAAATGAGCTAGGTTTCCTACGTATGCAACCTAGCACGGTATACGAATGTATAATAGTGGTAGTATCACTCAAGCTGCCTTGGTGTATTCCATAAGCCAGACTTGCCTGACCGGCCTGTAACAAAATGTGCTTTAGTGCGCAAGCTCGCAAAGGAACAATTGCGAAATTTTGGACAGTGACGATGCCTCGGTTTATTATATCGTTTCCTAACTGCTGAATGGAACCTTGACTCATCCATGCATAACCGAAACCTCAGAAAATTAGGACGGTGACCATAGAAAGCTTGAAAAGGCCATCCAAAAAGATTTGGCATCCACCTTAGTCTCTTTTCCCGTCGAGCATTCCCGCGAACAGCTCCAATCTTCAAAGAGACTTGCAATTCCATTCATGAAAACGTGAAGCAACCTGCCTACTCGTAAAATCCTGGCCAAAATATGTGCATCGGATCGAAACTGCCACAAGTTCACACAAGTTCACACAAGTTCACACAAGTTCGCACAAGTTCGCACAGCTACATACGTTCCTCCCATCACTTCATACTAAAATGACACACCGCAAGCCATACTGATTAATTTCTCTCCAAAAATCCGCGTCACTGCTGAACTTCCCTTCCCACAATCGGAATATTTTCACTGATAAATATCACCGTCAGTATATCCTGTGAAACGTATCAATGAGCAGGTCTATTTTCAATTGTCACCGTAAGTTCAAAGCATGCTGTTCACGAAATCGCTCTTAATGAGCACCTATATTCCAAAGCTCGCACACACGCAAGAGTAAGGTTACCTGGTGAGACTTCTAATGCATCGTTAACAGTTTTTTATTATAACGCCGATCCTTCAAACGCTGTTTCTAAATTTAAAACAAAGATTAAGCATAGAATCAATTTAGGAAACTTCAACACATGAAATCAGCACTCCTATCAACCTAGCAGACCCCCCGGTACAATAAATGCATAAATCAAAGCCACTAATAACATCCTTCTTTGAAATATCAGTTCCAAGATTCTATATTTTCCTTTCACATGTGACATATTATCTCTTCAATTTTTTTATATTTTTTGGCCACCCCAGTTGGTTTACTATTTGACGATTGCTTGCATTTGCTCCTTTTCACAGAATTATCACTTGCACAACCAGAAAAATCATCATCCTGGGTCAATTTGCCATCATACTAGCAGGTTTGACCCGAAGAGAAGCATATTGAAAGACCCCCGTTCTTCTATCCCATAACTGTCGCTGTACTCTGCCAGAAAAGAGTCGTTAAGGGCCGCCTCGTTCTATTATCAAAGACAAACTTACGTCAAACGTTAACACATTCCACTTCGCAATGGCAGCACAAGAAGAGTTCATAAGAACGCAAATCTTTGGTACGGTCTTCGAAATCACCAACCGGTACACGGATTTAAATCCCGTCGGGATGGGCGCATTTGGGCTGGTATGCTCGGCTACCGATACCTACACCAGCCAACCGGTGGCAATTAAGAAAATAATGAAGCCGTTTTCCACTGCAGTACTAGCCAAGCGGACGTATCGAGAGTTAAAACTGCTCAAACACCTCAGACATGAAAACCTCATCTGTCTGGAGGACATATTTTTGTCGCCGCTAGAGGACATCTACTTTGTTACCGAACTACAAGGTACCGACTTGCATCGTCTTTTGCAAACTCGGCCCTTGGAAAAACAGTTCGTTCAATACTTTCTGTATCAAATTCTCAGAGGCCTCAAGTATGTTCACTCGGCAGGTGTGATCCATCGAGACTTGAAACCTAGCAACATCCTGATAAATGAGAACTGCGATTTGAAAATTTGTGACTTCGGGCTGGCCAGAATTCAAGACCCTCAAATGACCGGCTACGTATCTACTCGGTACTACCGAGCTCCAGAAATCATGCTTACATGGCAAAAATATAATGTCGAAGTTGATATTTGGTCCGCTGGCTGTATCTTTGCAGAAATGATCGAAGGAAAACCTCTTTTCCCCGGTAAAGACCACGTTCATCAGTTCTCCATCATCACGGACTTGCTAGGTTCTCCTCCAGAAGATGTTATTAACACCATTTGCTCAGTAAACACTCTGAAATTCGTAACTTCTCTACCTCACAGAGATCCAGTATCATTCTCTGAACGTTTCAAGAATGTCGAGCCCGACGCTGTTGATTTATTGGAGAAGATGCTCGTATTTGACCCGAATAAGAGAATAACCGCGGCAGACGCTCTTACGCATCCATATTTAGCACCTTATCATGATCCTACCGATGAACCTGCCGCGGACGCAAAGTTTGATTGGCACTTTAACGATGCTGACCTACCTGTGGATACTTGGAGAGTCATGATGTATTCGGAAATCTTAGATTTCCATCAAATTGGTGACAATCAAATAGATCCAAACGCTACATTCGATGATCAGGTAGCCGCTGCTACTGCTGCGGCACAAGCAGCCCAAGCAGCTCAACACCAACAGGAGGGGCAATCACAACAACAAGGAAGCCACCAATCAGATACACAACAAAAACCATCGCAACAACATCAGACCACAGCGCAACAACAACAAGGTGGCAGTAATATGTCAAGTGACGGTCAACAACATGACACCTTGAATTCGTATGCTAATCAAGCTGCACAATACGCTACAGAGTTTCAATAGAATTCAAATCAGTTCAATTCATATTAAACAATCTATTCTAGTCTTCACAACCTTTAGTTAATTGGGAATATATATGGTAGAATTATATATTTCATCAGTTTTTTGTCAGACCTGCCTCTTGGCACAGAGAGTAGAACAAACTCTCTTTATTCTTCAACAAGGCTTCAGGTGAGTCAAATTCTGCAACTCGTCCTTGCTCCAAAACAATAATTCGATCGCTATCCAAAATTGTGTTGATTCTGTGGGCAATTGTCAAGATAGTACGATTCTTAAAAGCGGTTCTGATCGTTCCTTGGATTACTTGGTCTGTCTCAACGTCAACCGCTGCGGTAGCTTCATCCAGGACTAAGATCTTAGAGGGGACCAATAATGCTCTAGCTAGACACATGAGCTGCCTCTGGCCCACTGACAAGTTACTACCTCCTTCCGTTAGCATTGTCTCCAATTCATTCTTACCCAGGCTTTTTATGTGATCCTTCAAGTGCGAAAGCTCTAGAGCGTGCCATATCTGCTCATCTGTGAATTGGTGTGTAGGGTCAATATTTTCTCTAACAGTGCCCTCAAATACTTGAGAGTCTTGTGGAATAATTGACAGATGCTGTCTCAAATCTTTTAGCCCAATTTTGTCAATTGGCAACCCATCGATCAAAATCTGCCCGCTAGCAGACTCGATAATCCGGAAAAGAGCCAACGTCAATGACGATTTACCGGCTCCGGTACGACCAACTATACCAACTTTCTCCTGAGGTTTTATTTCGATGTTGATATCTTTCAAAATAAGATCTAGCTCTGGCCTGTAACGAGTGGAGTAATTTTCAAATTTTATGCCACCTTCCGTGGGCCAGTTCTGGGCCGGTCTACTGTTTTCAATAACAGCTGGTGCTTCTGATTTCAAATTGGAATATTCTTTAATTCTCTCCACGGAGACGATGTTAGTCTCCACTTCAACAGTCATTCTGACAATCCAGTTCAAAGACTGTGTGATTTGCAGAGCGTAACTCAGAGACAAGCCGATCATACCTGGAGTTAACTTACCTTGCTTCAAGCGAAATACTCCTAGCACTGCGGCCCCTAAAATAATGACAGAACCAAGGAATTCCAGTCTAAATGCCAACCACCTGTTGGCATTCACTGATGGATAATAAGCGCTCATATTGTTATCCACGCGCGCCTGGTTGATATGAACAAATCTATCTTGTTGGCTATAGCCTCGAATAGTACTGATGCCCCCCAAGGTCTCCTGAAAGTGAGCATATATTGGGGATCTCGTAACAGAATCCAAACGACGAAGCTCTCGCGAAGTCCTCAAATAGTACTGTTGGTAATAAATGTACAAGATACTCAATGGCGCGATAATGAAAAGAAATTGCCATGTGGTGTAACAAATCACAACGATAGTGAAGGAAACTTTGATGGCGTTGACAAAAAATTGCGCAAATGTCCTCCCAAGCAATTCATCAACTTTGTAGATGTCGTTAGAAAACCTGTTTAATATTCTGCCAATTGGGGTTGTTTCAAAAAATGACATTGGAGCTTTCAGCACTGCCGTAGCCATCGCATCGTGAAGGTAGCGAGAGCCGTGGATAGTACAGTAGACCCATAATATGACTGTCTGTACCAAAGTGGAAAGAGCAGATCCTACCCCAAGCAGAAAGTAAATACCAAGGTACTTGCTAACATGAGGATTAGAGCCATATTGGGTATTGATTTCGGACCAATGTTTCAACCAGACGTTACCAATCACAGATAGGAACATCGACAACACAGCAAAACCCATAAATATCATGACATGTCTAGGATTGCAAGCTTTGGCATATTCTAAGTAGATATCCCACTTAACCTTACCTTGCTCACGATGTTCCCTAGTGGATGGTTCCTCGTCCCCAAAACCTATGCTTCTCAAAGTTGCATCACTTGCTCTCCGCAATGTCAGGGCGTCGTCTTCAATCAATTTGTCGTCAATTTTCTGTAGATCAATACTATCGTCGACAATAGTACTACTTTCTGGCGTTGGAGTTTCGGCAGTGTCATCTTTCTTGCTTTTTACCTGCTTTTTACCATAATTGGTAATAATCTTTGATAAGGGTGAAGATTTATCACTGGTAACTTCTTCATACGTACCATGTTGCACAATCTCACCATTCTCCAACAATGTGATACTGTCTGCAATTGATAAAACAGAGATTTTGTTTGTGGCCAACACTTTCACCTTTGTACTCAAGAGACCTTGCGACCCCAAAACATGCTCAATTAAATGTTTGGCGACATGTTCGTCAACGGCAGCAAGCGGATCGTCCAGAAGATAGGTGTCCGCTCTAGCGTAAACAGCTCTGGCTAATGAAAGACGTGCCTTTTGTCCTCCTGACAAGGATATACCCTTTTCACCGACCATAGTCTGATCTCCCTCAGGAAGCGTAGCCAAATCTACGCTCAAAGCACAAGCTTTGATTGTCTTTGTGTAAAATTCAGCATTATATTTGTGACCGAAAGTTATATTCTCCTTGACAGTGCCATTCATAATCCAGGGAACCTGAGAAACATATGCTACACTACCATGTACTGTAGCAAAGCCTTTAACCCTGAATAAATCGCCAAGCATCGCCTGAATCAATGCGCTTTTACCGCTACCGACTTTGCCTACGATGCACGTCAATTCGCCTTTCTTAGCCTTGAAGTTAATGTTCTTCAAGGCAACTTTGTATTCAGGCTTTCTTTGCCACAGAAATGTAGCATCAGCACCAATATTAATGGCTACCTCACCATTCGTAGTTATTTTCGCCTTACGATGAATGGAATCTCTTTGCAGTTCTTCGTTAGTGAGGAAAGAATGCAAACGAGTTACCGAGACAGAAGCTTCGATAAAGGAGGTTATAGCAGTAGGAATGATTGCTAATGGGAATGACAGTAAATTGAATAATGTTAAAGCAGGAAATACCAAGTCGGTACTGAGAGGCCTGTCGTTCTGTGTCCAAACGAAAACGGCAAAAGTAGAGCAGGAGACTAGAAATGGAACAATATTGAACTGAAAGTTGGCAAGCGCAACTGTACATCCCATTTTTGTCAAGTTTTTCAGCTCCTTACCGTTTCTCACATGGTCTAGTTTTTCCTTGTAGGGATCTTCCCAGGCGTATAGTTTCAAAGACTTAATGTTGTTGAGAATTTCACTGATGATACGAGTCCTTTCATCTTTGTTTTTCATTTGGATCTTCTGTAATCTTTTTTGAAGCCTTATAATTACCGAGTTTATGGGAATCATGACTATCATAATAACGACACCAACCCACATAGATGGGCCGAGCAGTTTGTAAAGTGAAACAAGACATAATATCAACTGGAAGGGTCCAGACCATATAATTTGGCCCCATTGCGTTAAGTCTTGTAAACGCTGAACATCGACACTCATGAGGTTGACGATATCGCCAGTAGATGAAGCTGCTGAAGCTTCATTTGATAACGCTAATGATTTTTGGTATATGACAGAGGTTAATCCACTCTTGATATTCATACCAGTGTCGAAGGCACGTAGAAAGTATTGATGTAGAATAGAGGTCTGGATCACACTAACCAAGAACATACCTATAGCGATCATAAAACCTTTGATAATCGGAAGCTCAGCTATGGTGTTGCCTTCGGTATAATCAGTGACAAATTTGATGAGAATTCTGAGCAGTTGAGGTTGCGTGAAAGCCAATATATCAAATATCGCTTTTAAACAGGCCGCAAGAATCATTTTCCCGCCAAATGTAGTTAAAAGTGCCCACGCTAAGGAAGGTTTTGTTCTATGCTTTACCTCATAATCCCAACGTTTCGCAAAGGTGTCGGAGATCTCAGCACTACCAAAGCTAGCAGGTAATTTGTAAAGGTCGTTTTCTGTCAGAAATTTCTCGTAGCCAGTTTTCATCATTTGAGTCATCCACGAGAAAGAAATGCGGGAGAATACATTCGCACTGTCATAAGGATTTCTTCTGCGTTTAGTAAAAGATGAATAATCTTCGCGCCCCGATTGGGGTTTAGTGAACAGAGACTCTAATCCCAAGATGACGAAACTGGTTATGCTCTGACATACAGTCAGTTTGAATGCAGCTTCGGACACTGGCATGACGCCCTCGTATGTGAACCTAATCTGAAGATTTACGATTCTGCACAAGCCGAAGAACCCTTGAAACAACCAGTAAAACAGAACAATGCCGTTAGACACTCTAGACCGGAAATACTCGACCCAATGTAGCGCGAGCGCTACGAAAAGCGACAGAAAATTGAAGATACGTTGAGATGACGAGGCCCACTGAGATTCCACAGAAGTTTTTTCTTGGAACAAAGAGATGGCTGCGAAAAGGAGCTGAACGGCGACTAGAGTCATTCGGGAAATTAGCAGCCAATTGTTTCTGTATTTGACACCCGGATGAGACTTCCGACTAAGGCGCGCTAGCTCTTTGGTACCAAAAACCAGCATCAATAGCGCTGCCCCATTGAGCAAAACGCCGTCTACGAAACATAGCGTGAAGTCTCCATAACGAGAAATTGGCCCAAGGCCTTCTTTGTCCTGGCAAAAATCACACCAAAGACCGAGAACCATGGCGACCAGTACTTTGAATGAAATCAAATATCTATTAAGCACACCACTGTCAAGAAACTCCTTTTTCAATCTTACAGATGGTTTCGTATCTCTATATTCTAAAATATATATATATATATACGTGATTGTGATCTAATTATTTCTTTGGTTTTTTTGAATAACTAGGCGGCCATATAATTGAGCTGACAAACGCACACTGAAGAAGCTGAAAATGTTAGAGCTGTCATGAGCCTGGCGTCCATTGTACCAAAGGTGGGAACTGCCGGGACCATGGATAGAAATGGGACAAAATGCGAAAGAATTTCGAGCAAAACTGGGCGTTTTGGAGTGTGGCCTATTAAGGCATATTGTTAAAATGTTCAGTCTAAGAAGCGGATCAGAAATCAACATAAGGTTTTTCGAGGGCCATTTGTTATGACTGGAATTTCAGGTTTTGAAACTGCGCGGTCAAATTCCGTTTGGGAGGGAGGTGATGCGATATCGTACGAAAAGGTTATCTGTTGCTCCTATTGCGACTGATTGTGATTTCAAAACTATAACAGGGTTGCGCTCGCAAGCTTCTTTACAGCGGCCAAGAAGCGTGGCGGGAAGCCAAGGCCTTGACGTTTAGCATCGGCTGAGAAAAATAAAATAAAGTGGACAGGAGGACGCAAAATTACTGCAACAGCTAAGACCGCAAGGCGCTAGTCCTCTCCCGAACTATTCATTCTGAAAAGAATAAGTAGCAAAGGACCTGTAGGAAACTCAATACATGACCTGTTTTACCCATAATATTGAATGCATTTGATTCACTTATCAACAAAGTTCTTATTCCTCGTGGCCCAATGGTCACGGCGTCTGGCTACGATTGTATCCACTTCTGAAACCAGGAGATTCCAGGTTCGAGTCCTGGCGGGGAAGAACTTTATTTTTTGGATCTTTTTAAATATGCTCTGTGGTATCAGCGCATGGAACGATATTTATGCCTCGAACTCTAAACTTTGCTCACTGATCCTAGTATATGTATAAAGCGGACTAATCCCATTTCTATACAATAAATTGTGTCCCTGCACTTCATGTTTTTTAGTCAAGTGAAAGCTTTAAGTTAAATGTCCCAAAATTAGTGCTCAGTTTTAATCATCTGGGCACATAAAACAAACATAATGGAAACAAACCTTTGATACTATATATAAAAGAAGAATGGCCTGAGCTGGACAAATCGTGATTCGCTGAAATATATGGATACCGACAGTCTAAGACCTTATTTAACTTGTTTCTACATATTAATCCTTACAAGCAAGATCGTAAAAATTCAAGCGCTTGTCGAAAGACCACCCGCCGGGTTCGCAAAACATTCAGTAATGCCCCTAAAGCGAAAGGTCTTACCTCTTGACTTAGAAGCTCTTGGGTGCCAATTTCAATTTTCAACTCTTGCTTACCTTTCAAAAAATACAGAATCAACCATTCATACAGTAAAAGATAACATGTTCTCGACCCTTTACAAAAAACGTAACCCTTAATCAGCTTTGATCGGTTTCTGGGACTCCTATATCTCTTCATGCGAAATCATCGTGTTGATACACAAAAAGTGGCTGAAAATGTCAAGCTAGAAGTGATCTACGAATCCAATCCCTGCTTTGCAGGCGAAAGCATACAGGTATTAATTAGGTTGCGACACCTAGGATCAAGTCAGACTCGAGATCAATTGATAGAGGAGAAGTTAGCTATACAACGGGAACGGGAAGGAAAGGTGAAGGAAGCGGAAGGAGCCACGAGAGCTCCATGGTCTGTGCAGTCGTTATGGGGATCCTTTAATCGAGATCAAAGAGCGCAGGAGGAAAAAGAAAATGCTAGGGTCGCTCGCTTGGATCGAAGTTTGCAATTCCACGATTCCGTAAGCCTCACTTCGTGTTATGTTCAGATATATGGGCTATTCCAATACGATCCGGAGATTTTGAACCAAAAAAGCTTCGAGCATTCAGTTCATCATAAGCTGGCAGGAATGGGCCCTCTCAAAATTTCCGCTGGTAAGGGTTCAGCTGGCGAAGGCTTTGCGAGTTTGCTTTTCGCTAACCTAGATGACGTGGCTCGCGAGTCTGTTGCAGAGTCGAGCGTGGAACTCGTCAAAGTGCCTACGTTGCTAGTTCCACAAACGTTAGTCTTTTCAGAGATTTTACTGGAGCCAGGCCAAACGCGAACTTTCCAATTCAAGTCGCCTAGGCTACTTCAAGAGTTGACTCCATCATACCAGACCTCCAAACAACTAAAAATACAGTACTTTTTGAATTTTGGACTGACAGAGATGAAACAGGACAAAATTAATCCATTTAATGCAGATTTTCCGATACATTTATGTCCTTTCATTGATACGCTCGGCCGCCAGTTTACCTCCACATTAGATGCCGATATAAGTATCATGACACCCGGGCGCGTAAAAGAGATCAAAGATAGTCAGCGCTCGCGACGCAAGTCGAATTCCTCTCTTCTCCTGAGACGGAAAAGTTCTTTGGTATCTGTATCCTCTCTCACCACAAAGAAAGAAGCGGGGCTGGAGTGTAAGAATTTGTTCAAGAAATTGGTAGTCGACCATGCTTCCTCCGCAGAATTGGCAGATGGCATCGAGGGTTTAGTTGACAAAATGATGGAATGCCAGTTTGGTGTCGGTAATTATGATACTTCAGAGGAGGAAGATGGTGACATCACGAAAGATCAGAGTCAAGCTTCTGTGCGAAAAGATGCGGTCTCAGTGCGGGATAACTTAAACGTGCTCTTTCGCGACTTGCCAGATATGCTACACTCAGACGAAAAGACAGATAATGAACACCCGTCCGAGAGCGCTGATCTTTTACCTCAGTTAAAAAATTTACAGAAGGAATACATCATAAACCGAAATGGAGTTTTTGTTGCCAAAGTGGCTCTTTCAAGTCCTTTTTACACAACTTCAGACGACTTGGACTTCACAATTCATCTTAATACGGAAGAAACTCACAAAATCTCTGCTGTAACAGCATCTTTGAAATCGTTTGAGCTAGTGAACCCGAAATTCTCCACAGAGACGTCTTTGAGCAATACCAAACAACAGGGCAAGACAATGGATGAATGTCGAGCCATATGTTTTGAGGATACCACTACAATACACATGAAACTATTACCACAGAAATCCCCGAATAATCAAATGACAAGCCAATTCAAGACTGATATATTTCAATTTAAGTGGATGCTTTGCTTAAGATTTGTGCTTATAGATAGGCTTGAAAACAAGGAGCTTCTAGAGGTATTTTATGAGGACAAAAACGGATCATTGTTGCACGCGAAGCAATCTTTAGACGGGGAAGAATTTGTCTGTCATCTTCCTTTAACAATACTGCCCACCGCGAAGAATTTTGCCGGCTGGTGATAAAATCTAAGAATTTACTGTATTAATGCTACCTACATTTACCCAAAATCTATTTGTGTATACGATGTTTTACTCAGCCCAAACGTTCGTTTGGTCATTCCCAAAGTGTTGCTCCGTGTAATTAGAGCGTGGGAGGCCTTCTTTTAAACTGGACAATGAACTCTCTTGATGCTCTTGATCATCCTTGTGCTCTCCATGCTTTCCATGATCTCCATGCTCTCCATGCCCTCCATGATCTCCATGCTCTCCATGCTCTCCATACTCTTGATAGTCTTGAGGGTCTTGAGGGTTTTGATGGTCTTGATGGTCTTGATGCTCTCCATGCTCTTCAGGCTCTCCATGCTGTTTAGGCTCTCCATGCTGTTTAGGCTCTCCATGCTCTTTAAGCTCTTCATGCTGTTTAGGCTCTTCATGCTCTTCATGCTCATTATACTCATCATTTTCGTGACTGTCATCACTGCGATTGTCAGGAGAGTCAACTTCTTCAAACTCCTCCTCTTCAGTCGGCAGTTGCGAGAGACCTAAGCTGAGAAGGGCGTTCCCAATAGCAGCTGATGTTGAACCTGAATAGATTGCGTGACTCGATGGGACAGACATTGAAACTTCATCTCGTGCCTTCATTTTCTTCTTTTTGCTGAAATAGTCTCTCCACGAGCTCCAGTCATTTTCTTGTGAATTAGATAGAGAAGAAGCTTGCTTTGCATCAGCTGAAGTTACGGCAGCGACTGGTTTGCGTTCACCCACATTGAGTTCTTTGTCGCCTGGTAGAGAACGGTCTTTTCGCCTCAATGCCTGAAAAGACCTACTGAGTCTCTGTTGTAAGCTGGCTAATGTATCAGCTGAACTGCAAACGTGTTTGGGTGGGAAAAGATCGAAGATTCTATCATCTGTGGAGGCGTTGAAGCCCTTATAATTGTGAGTTCTTCGCCATTGCTCTACCCAATTTACGCCGTAACAGTCAACAACACTTTCAATTTCTATCTCCTCGGGAACAGATTTCATAGCCATTTCGTTATCTCGGTTATTTATCAAAAATGAGTCCAGTTTCTCGCAGGATACTAGTCCTGTTAGATAGTCCTCGAATTGCCATCTTAAAAAATCCTCGCTACCCTCGAATTGCAGATTCTTAGGCGTCGCATAATCATTTTCATTCCAAGTATCTGTTACAATGGAAACAATAGATTCTATCCACCTTTTGTCGTTGGACGTCAATTGCAATGCGTTTTGTAAAGATTTATCTGTTGTCACTGTTTCAATAGAGTGGGAGTTGACATTAACTAGAATATCACATAGTTGTTCCTTCTGTTCTATTAATAAGGAATTTGAGGTGCCCGCAACGAAGTATTTTGTCAGTGGAGATGATAGATCGTCAAGTTGCTGGAGTGGACTATAAGGTGAAAAAAGCCCGCCCTCTCCAAAAACTTGTAGTGGAAACCCTAGAAATTTGAGAACTGACTGGCGATCACTTGATTTAAACGAATCTGCGACCGTCAAGTTTTCAAAGTAACTATGGAGCACCGGAGATCCGCAATCTTGAAGATTTGAAATTAAGTTTGGAATGAGACTAATGAAACCGAACTGAACGTTGCAAAGAGCTTCAACATCGCTGCCGTAGAATAAAATTTTGCGCTCGAGCAAAATCGCTTTTAGTATTACAAGGGCATCTTTGCCGAAATCGTGCATTACGCGACGAAGGCATAGTCCAACGTACATGTGCGCTTCGTCATTGACACTCGAAGGCCTGTAAATGGCGGCTAAATTCTCGTAGAGCGTGTCAATGATAGCCTTATTGGAAAAATCGAGCTGGAGGAAAAAAGCGTTGGTGATAATGCTCAGCTTGTCCTTGATCTGGCCGAAAATTGGTCTTCTGGCCACAACGACAATGGCCTTTTGAACCGTCGAGCGCGTTACATCATCGGCCTTTTCCAATAACTGCTCGGATCTTATCTGCCGCGAGCAAGAGATGGCAAACAGTGTAGTGTAATCGTCAGCCTCGTTCGAGGGAATTGCCGCCCCGCCCTCTGCTGGCGGACCCATGTTCTTGGTGTCGTTGTACACCAGCGTAAAGTATGTAAAAGTCTCTTCAAAAGAGTGCGATCCGTCTGGCAAAGCCTGGAAGGGCAAATAAGGCCAAACTTTTGAGGGTTCCACATTGCTCGGTAAACCGTGCGAATACTCGATTTCGGGTCCCCTAGAGTGATGGAAATTTACCAGTAAGACCCCAAATATGACGTCTTTTTCCGCCATGTTCCAATTAAAGACTCAAAGAGAGATCTCTGTGGGCTTACTTCGAGTTCCAAACTTGTGCTACAGATAGATGTACTTTTCAAGAGATCAGGGTTCGATGTATGTTTAGTTCATAGTGACATCGTCACTTTTTTTATAGTGCACTTAAAAGCTTCGAATTTGACGTTTTTTAAATTGTTAGCGAATGGCTCAATTGGTTATTTTGTTCTTGAAATGAGCCATAGTAGAGTTTCAAGATGAGTATACCAGATCCTCAATTGATGCAATGCGTCGAATTAATGAACGAAGGTCTCTTTTTGGAGAAAGAATGGGATGAATCCGTGCTTGAGCGCCTTACACAGGCTGACGAGATGCCAAGTAGTGTGATCCAGGAACTTGCGCAGGACGGAATTGATGGGTTGAGAAAAGAAATTGCGGTGAAACAACTGTTTCTAGAAACAGCTCGAATCGCGGATGAAAACACCAAGATTGTCCGGTTCGCCGTCATCATGGACCTATGCCACCACATGAGATCCAGCGGAGAGGGCTCGAAAGAGAGGGTCAAGTTTTGGACTCTGGTATTTTTCGAGCTTTTCAAAATGGTTCTGAGCTTCTTAAAACTACCGCATGGCCATCTGCGATTCTGGGGTTACGTAGAGAGCCGTGTGGAGTGGTTTAAAATGGGGTTTTCGGATCGAGAAGAGGTGCAATATGGACAAACCACTCTGAGCGCCATTAAGGCGCCTTTCTCCAAGGTGACATTTCAGATCAACAAGATGCTTCTTGCGCTACGAGTGAACTCAAAACTTTCTACTTTGCTGCATTACAAACTTAGCATGAAGATTCAGTGGTTTCTATGTCAGTGTTTGTCACCTATAGAGCCAGCGAACACGAACAAACGTGGTAATATCGCAAAAGGACTTCCAGAACAGCTTTGGAACCCCAAACATGATATGGACGACGCGTCTGCATTTTTTACCGATTTTAGAAAAGTACACTCGGAACTCATCGAAAATCCACTGGAGTGGGTTTTCGCTCCTTCAAATCGAAGATTAAATTTACACGATTATCTTTTGCCTGTTATGGACGAAATTCTTCTCCATGAGTCTGAATTTTACTCTCACATCGAGAACAAGAAGATACGAGCGAGCAGAGTGAACCAGAAGTCGAAAACATCTGCTGACAACAGCAGTTCGAAGACAGTCACAGCTTCAAACCCGAAGGAACTGGACCCATGCTCATCCACACTACGGCCACTCATGTTAGATCAGCCCAATTGGGACCCAGAGTTAGTTGTCTCTCAATTACAGGATCCTGATAATGACTTTCTTCGCAAACGCTTCATCTCACAACTTTTGATATCGACGAATCTGATCGAGCGAATACTTTTAGATGAGGCCGTAAGAAAATTCTATCGCAGTCAATATGACCAAAATGACAGAAGTAGCGCAAGTGAGGAGGACGAAAGTAAAACCACGGCTACATTGAAAAATTTGTCTCAACTAATAACAAAAAGGCTTGAACAGTTTTACATGCTGCGAGATCAGAATTTTCAAGAATTGTTGTCCAGCCTGATTGCAAGTGAAAACACATTGATAGACTTGAAAGTGAAGAAGGGTTTCAAAATATTCAACGGCTTCAAATTGCCATCCAGTCAGCTTCAAACCATACCAAGTTATGAAAACTCATTTAAAAGCTTCGGGTGGATAAAGCTAGGCAATAAAAAGCTTGACACTGCGTGGAAGATAGAAAGTGGCCTTGAATCCATTAAAAATGACTCATGCAACTCGCAAGAAATGTTTGCGCAACTAGAGCAAGACTACCAGGACAACAATGCCGGAAGTGTTCAAACGTCGCACGCAGACAACACGGTACTGCAGTGGAAACAGTTACGATGTCTTAGACCGCGCTTCATATTTGAAATGAGCAATGTTGACGAGAAAACTGGTGTTCGTGGCCTGTTTGATGCCAGTTTGATCAACAAATCCCGCAAAGAAAAATCAGATTTAAGCAAACAGCTCCAAGAAGCAACAGAGTACTTCGAAAAGAAGAAGCGGGATATTGATATGGCCGAGAGTGTTGTATCGCGACCTGGAAAGAAGCAGAAATTAGCTACTGCATTAGTTGACGCACTGGATGACACTAAAGATGGCGACGATAAGCCATCATTTTCCTCGATAACTGAGAAAGATGACACTACTATGAAATTCACCGCAGAGGAAGAAGAAAACACCTCATCTAGGAATCATTCATCACAAGATCAGAGCCCGGTAATCACTCCCCCTCCAGCGACAAATGTTGAGGATAGTACGTCCGAAAGTATGAAGGGCGCAACCGGCCCTGACGTCAGTAAGACGATCACCCAACATGACAATCAAGAGATCACAGCGGAAACGTCTGTAGAGGAAGAAAAATCGAGCACTCCTGAACCACGTAAAAATGAGGAAGAAAAGCAAGATTGTTCAAATGCGGGTTTTGGTAGCACTTGCGCTGAAGACGGGCTCAACAACAGCGCTATGCATGAACCCGTGGATGACGTTCCCTTCCCTTCCGCTGAAGCCAACGATTCTAATGTCGATAAAGAGCAGTAATCAAATGAGCTGGACTTGATGTATTAAGACAGCAGAGCATGGCATTATTTGCGTAGAAGGGTTGAGCGTGGGGTTGGCTACTTGTACAATATGAATTGGCTAATATATTAGGCCTCAAAATCTCGGACAGATAACTCACCTTGCCACTTCTGTGCTTTGGATTTCCGCACTGACCGCTATCGTAGAGAGCCTCACTGTCAGAGTCTCACGACTTGAAGATCTGCAGAAGGGCCAGACTTTTGTGTCCTCCTTAAAGACTTATTCATCGTACAATGGCGTCTTCAACAGGAAATACCAGTGATGAGTCGCTGCCGACCTCCTCGTTTGGGCCTATTCGCCATTTCAATACTTGATGGAAGTCTGCGCTACTTTCCAGACAGTGGTCAAAAATGTACTTTGTCGTTTCTAACACAGAGATTTGGGTACCCTTGCAAAACGTAAAACTCAATATTTGATCCTCACAAATACAAGACTCTTCCCCCTGGCTAACTGAAGTAAAGCACGGAATTGTGGTAGAGGCGAAGCTGCTAGCGCGCCTTGACTGCAAGTAAATATCGGAAGTTGGACTTGAGATACTAATAATGCTACTTCGGCGAGCTGTATCGCTATCACTCCCAGCTAAACTGTTTCTTCGAAATGCCGACGGCGAAATCGGATTTTGTAAGACATCAATGCTAGAGCCCTTGAAGGTTGCGTAAGAATTGAATTGCGCGTTGTTGAGAGCAGGCTTGGAACTTGGCATTAAACTAGGTTCAACAGAATCGATATCCAGCAAGGTGATTTTCGATGATCTCGGTAGCACCATGCGGAAAACTTCGCCATCATTAGGTATTTCAGACAATTCGCAAAGTTCGCTTCTTGTTATATTGTTATTGTTGCAGTAATTCTTGATGTCTCCTCCAAGTTCCTTTAGGTCAATTTTCAGACAAAGAGCAGCAGTTTTGGAAATATTTGGAAGTATCATGAAATGAAGTAATGCGCATTGCCATACAGTCGTGATGTTCATTATGATTTTCGAGCAAGCTTCGACCATACTTCGACATCGAGGATCTTTGACGAGAGTTTTCAACTCGTTTTTCATGGACAAAAGATTAGAGTTCATGACCATTGATGTGATTTTTAATGTTCCTGGTAGCTGATACGGGCACTGGATGAATGTTGCCAGATCGCGGCAATTGTCGAAAGATATTTCAACGGACTCAAGGGTAGCTCCACATGCCGAAAGACTACCCCAATCAGTGAGGCCAAATGCATGCGACCCATCATAGATTTTTAATTTTGGGAACTGACAATTTTCGAATGTTACATCTTCTACTAATGAGGCAAGAGACGCTACAGTGAGTTTTCTGATGTTAGGAAAATTCAAGTTTCTCAAAAAAGATTTCTCCGTTTTCAAAGAGGTAGTGATTGATAGATGCTGCCTCACACTTTGGCCTTCCACGACGGGGTATGCTAATTGAGGGTTGAATTGCACTAGTTTGATGGAGTCGCACGGAGGAAGCACGTAAGATTTTAGACTTAAGCCGGTTGGAATTCGAAACTGAATGATGTTGGAGAGTCTAGGGGTATTTTTGAAAGCCACGACTAGATCAATTGACGAGTTGACTTCCAGTTCGCGTATCGACTCCAGATTCGGAGCTAATAGTTTGTGATTTGACTTTTGTATGTTCAGGCTGAAAAGATGACGGACGTTGTGTAAGTTCGTGACCTCGAAAACAAGATCTAAATCCATGTTGTCATGCTCTACCGATTCTTCACAGCCCAACAAATGGAGCTCGCAGAGACGAATGTGCTTTGGGAACAATAGAAACTGCCGGAAGTATACTTTGCTGAGAAAATTGCAGGGAGTCTTGTAAATCATGCACAGATTTTTGCGATAGTTGGAATTGATCTTAGCAATTTGTTCCGCGACGCAGTTCAAGACTGAAAGGAGCGGATCACTGAACTGTTTGTAGGTAACTACCACAAGAAGTAGATTTCCGTACTTTTCTAAAAATCCTTGCAACAAATGTGAGTTGAATGAATCTGCATCTAAAAGCAAAGTATTGCGCCCATCGCTCAGCATTTTGTAGTCCAGCACCTGCAAGTCTCTGGGATTATCCTTGTCGTGTCCATCACTGGCGTCGGAAATTATTACAATTCCCATATTTCGTGTCACTTGACTCCGAAAACATGGAGATAGTTTGCACCATGCTTTGGCGGTCTCGAAGCTGTCTAGTCCGCTGACTACGATTTGTTCCAGAATCTCTAATGGAAGAATCATATTGTTATTTCATTTTATGTGTATCTTTCGATGGCTGAGACCTTTTAATTTCAAACATCCCCTGGGGGCTCGATGTTTCTCACTCTGTACTATTTTGTCACTCTACTATTTTATACGTTTCCTCATATTATAAAAACAAAAGCCATGATCTCATTCCCGAAACGACCACAATTGCTTCTTCATCTCTGTGGATAACAGCACCGTGCCGAAAGTCTGAATCAATCCACATACAAACCTGTCAACCCATTGAGTTTTCCTTTATTCAAAGATTTGTGATACACCGCCTAATCTGTCTTAGCAAGGAAAATAGCCTCCTTCAAATATAGAAGCCAAGCATTATTTCGGAGTAGGTTGGCTACAAATCTGCTACACTCGAAATGAGGTGTTGAAGCATTAACTATTTCTTTTCTACATTTTCGTGCACGATATTCGGTTCTCTGTAGCCATAAGTCCAACGACCGGCTGCAGATGGAACTTAAAATAATCAACTTAATACAGGTGATAACAATACGCTACTCAACCAACAACTGGCTATTGATTCCTGCCACTACTAAAATCATGAACTTAACTTCACCAAATTGCTCGTGCAGTGTGACATCTGAGTTATGGAAATTTGAAATTTGACTCAATAATCAACTAAGCAGACGACGACAACAACACATTCAGGGCGTTCTTTAATGACCTACAGCTTCACTTGCCATTCAGATCGCTCGGGAAATCATCAATGTTCGGTTTTGACGTTTGAAAATGTCACCATTATGATGGACCCCGCCTGGAATGGCAGCAATGTGGGTTATGATGATGCGATGGAATTCTGGGCTCAGTTGATTGCGCAAACGGATATCGTGCTTCTTTGCCAGCCAATACCGGAATCACTTGGTGCGTATGCTGCATTGTACACGAAGTTTTTGGCCCATTTCCAGTCTCGCATTGCGGTTTATGCAACCCTCCCCGTGACGAACTTGGGTCGAGTTACAACGCTGGATCTGTACGCATCACAAGGCGTGATAGGACCCGTAGAGTCTAATCGCATGGATTTAGGAGACATAGAAGAAGCCTTCGATCATGTTATCACAGTTAAGTACTCGCAGATCTTGGACTTGAAATCGAAATTCGAAGGCATTACCTTGGTACCGTATAACTCAGGTTATGCACCTGGTGGATCGATTTTCTGCATTACAACGTATTCGGACAAAGTTATCTACGCACCTCGCTGGAATCACACTAAGGACACTATTCTAAACAGTGCCGGAGTACTAGACATTCTCGGAAAACCCGTTTCTTCGTTAATGAGACCATCTGCAATTGTCACCACCACGTCCCACCTAGGACCAACACTGCCGTACCGCAAGCGTGCATCAAACTTCAAGGATCTTTTGAGAGAGGTTATTTCAAAAAATGGTACAGCTCTGATTCCAAGTCAAATCGGTGGCAAGTTTCTGGACTTGCTTGTCCTTGTTAATGATATGCTTTATGAACAAAGACGATATAGAAATCAAAGCGACATACCTGTTCTTTTAGTTTCTTACTCTAGAGGCAGAACTTTGACATACGCAAAAAGCATGTTGGAATGGCTATCCTCCGCTGTCGTGAAAACTTGGGAGGCTAGAAATAACAGATCTCCATTCGATTTAGGATCTCGATTTGCTATTGTTTCTCCGGAAGAATTGAGAAAGTTTCAAGGTGCAAAAATTTGTTTTGTTTCGCAAGTTGATACACTGATAAATGATACTGTGGTAGCACTGGGACAGTCGGACAAAACGACCGTAATTTTTACTGAACCCTGCACTGTATCGGGAGGCTCTAATAACCTTCTGTCAACCATGTACGCCAAATGGGAAAAAGCGATGAATGGAAAAGGCAAAAAAGCGGCTGATGGAAGGCCTGTTACGTTTGGAGAAGCTGCAAGCTTACAGTTGTTTAAATTGGACCAACTGAAGAATAAAGATCTTGAAGAATACGAGAAGAAGATACAAAACAGAAGAAGCGAGCATACAGACCTCCTTCTAAAACTGCAAAAAGAATCCACAGTTGTCGACAGCGCTTCTACTGTCCCTGGGATGCTTGACATAAACACGGCCGAAGACGACGATGACGATGACGTTCCAGATTTAATAACAGCCGCTGGTCGGAAAGCCGATGCAGTGAGCAAGCCCGTTGAAATTCCGATTGACATATATGTAAATCCCGAGGCACCGGCTAGATTAAAGATGTTTCCCTTCCAACCTTTGAAAGTGAAGCATGACGATTATGGTGACGTCGTGGACTTTTCGCAATTCATTCCTAAAGACCAATTAGTTGAAGCTGAGTAAAGATCTTCCGCGGATGCCTACGATGAGGAAGAAGATCCTTACGAATTAGAGGTCTCTTCGAGATCCACCAAGAAAAGACGTGGGGGCGGTTCAGAGAGGAAGAATAACAGTAAGAAAGAGGAAAACATGGACGATGCATCGTATCTAGATGCCCTCAATAAACCTTATCGCAGAATTGCGAGTGACGCTCACATCAATCTAAAATGTCTGGTGGCCGTCGTAGATCTGTCCAGTTTGGTAGATCAGCGTTCAATGTCGGTAATATGGCCATCATTGAAGCCTCGCAACCTCCTGCTCATGGCCCCCAAGGAATCTCAGAATTCAGTAGCTACGAAGACGCTAAGGAGCAAGCTGCTGGATGTTATAGATCTCGAGTTCAACGCAACTGTCTCATTTGAAACTGTTATCAAGTCCTTGGACGTCTCTGTGGATCCTGAACTCGATCAGCGTCTCAAATGGCAAAGTATCAGTGATGGCTATACCATTGCGCATGTCGTGGGACGTCTGGTCCGCGAAAGCGTTATACCAACAGAAGTAAAGCAACAGCATCGCGATAAGTGGGTGCTGAAGCCGCTAATTAACGGCTCTAGACTGTATCCCAAAATATCTCTCTCCATTGGTGACGTAAAGCTGGCAGAGCTAAAGCGTCGGCTGACCCATCAAAATCATGTTGCTGAGTTCAAGGGCGAAGGATCCTTAGTGATCGATGGAAAGGTTGTTGTGCGGAAAATAAGTGACGGTGAGACCGTCGTCGACGGAGCGCCATCAGAACTTTTTTATAAAGTTAAAGCTGCGGTTGCTGACATGCTGGCAAAGGTATGAGCTCGCCAGCACCTCTCGATCAATTGCTATCCTGTCAAACTTAACTTACCATGTCTTAAATGATAACAGACGATCACCATCCACGAAATTACATTTCTTATAAACAAATTTGAAAACTCTGCTGCGTTATACAATTCCATCAGCCGATCAGTGAACTTCGAAAATCTGGAATATATGTTAGACCATGAAGCTAGGACGAGAGGCCGCTCCAATACGGTCTCCGATGGATTATGGGGTGTTTCTGAGAGAGGTGGCAGGTCTAACTTTCAAAATACGCTTCCGACGAGAGTTACGGGCGCATTGAGCCAGGAGCAAATCGTGGCATACCAGGTTATGTTTCGGATCCAAGAGATCACTACGAAGCTGAGGCTTAATGTAGTGAATCCGCCAGCTCGTCGAAGTCGATCTCCATCACCACCTCCTGTGTACGACGCTCGCGGGAAAAGGACTAATACTAGAGAGCAACGCTATAAGCGACAGCTTGAAGATGAAAGACACCGACTGGTGGAGATAGCTTTGAAAATGATACCGCATTTTGTGGCACCAGATGATTATAAGCGGCCCACGAAGTTCCAAGACAAATATTACATCCCTATTCAGAGATATCCGGAGATCAACTTCATGGGTCTTCTCCTAGGACCTAGAGGCAATACGCTTAGGAAATTGCAAGAGGATTCCGGATGTAAGATCGCTATTAGAGGTCAAGGTTCAGTTAAAGAAGGTAAGAATGCCTCTGAACTTCCCAAGGGTGCTATGAACTTCGAAGAACCATTGCACTGCATTATTAGCGCTGAAAGCGAAGACAAGATTCAAAAGGGAGTTAAGGCTTGCGAGGGTGTAGTAATTAGAGCGGTGACATCTCCCGAGGGTCAAAATGAACTGAAAAGGGGCCAGCTCCGAGAACTTGCAGAACTAAATGGTACTCTACGCGAAGATAGCAGACCCTGTCCCACATGTGGCCTGCGAGGTCACAGAAGATTTGAGTGTCCAAACAGATCTACATTTGTGCAACAGATTATCTGCCAGAAGTGTGGACAGGCCGGACACGCAACTCGAGATTGCACGTTTGACGAACTTGAAGTTATTCCCCAGAAAGAATTTACAAGCCCCGCCATGCTTTATCAGCGAAATGCAGAGAGCATAACGAAAAGGCCTCATATTCAAGACGAAGAAGTTCTCAAAAACGATTGGAAAAGGCGTAATACTAGCTATAGTGCCGATTACAAGCCTTCTCATGAGACTGTGCCCCAAACTACATCCTACCGATCGCGACAACTACGTGATTCGGGTCCTTCGGAAGATAGTGAAATGAACTATGCTTCAAGCATGCCATACAATGGACCTCCTGGTCTTGATAATTTCACACCCTCGTACGAAGCCTCCTCTTCCGGAACAAATAACATAATCAATGGGGTCGCAGTATTAGAAAATGAAGGCCACCAATTCAAGAGAACATCCCAAGGTGGCTCGGAGCCTATTGCATCCGCCATTCACGGACCACCCGGAACCTCAATTTCAACTGCATATGTACCTGGTCCTCCTGGTGCGTCAACGGGCGTCAGCGTAACTGGGCCTCCCGGCATATCAATCGGTAGTTCAGATGCTGCAACTAGTCTTGGTGGTCCATCGGAATATCACAAACCCTCTCACGACCCTGCCTCACCAACAAATTATCAACCGATGCCAAACGGTCCGCCAGGATTGTCAACAATGCCAACTATTAACGCTCCCCCTGGGCTGGATGCTCCACCATTTGCTGCTGATGAGAAAAAGAGCCAAGAACCTTACCGACCTTTGGCAGGGCCTCCTGGTCTCAGCGGTCCTCCCCCAGGACTGTAAAACTTGCATTTAAAACAGATTCTTTACGTAAATCTCTACATCAGTTTATGAAGATTCTTTTCCTCGTTGCCATTTTTGAGCCATAGCCAAAAGTTTTGATTTTCTATCGGTCGCAATTTCACCAGTCGCATCTTCGGGGAACTCAAGGTCAACGTATTCCACATCGATGCCCCCCTCACGCTTTGTCTTTGATTTCTCGACAGGAAGTCTCTCCTTAGTTGCAGCCTGAGTTTCTATTGTTCCATGCACATCTTCGTAAGCTCTCAATGCTTTCAAGATTGCATATCTGCCCTCCTTATCGTTCATTTCTTTGTAATACGAAAGAGCTTCTTCGAAAACTTTTCTAGTATTCAGTTTGTGAATGTCAGTGACTTCCAGAGTGTCTTCGTCTTCGTTATCATTGTTCGCTTCCTGAATAAGCTGCTCTTCAGTTGGAACAGAACTTTGAAAGATTGCCAAATCAATCCACATGCTGGCATCATACGAGCTCATAGTCAATAGTTTTCTGTAAACACTTTCAGCCCTCGCATATTCGCCCACTGAAATCTCAAAATTTATGAGCTCTCTCAAAATCTTTACCTGATCTTGATGCTCCAATCCAATTTCCTCTGATACCGCCAAGTGAAAGATAGCACGGGCTCTATCCTCGTCACCCAGGTTATCTTCCAATTCAGCATACGCCAGCCAGTTGGAAACAGCATAGGGATTGAAGGAAATAAACTTCTCATAAAGCTTGCGCACCCGATCAAACTCTTTTAGTTGTATTTCCAACTGGATGTAGTCTTTGAATATTTTATTCTTCGGGCATGTTCCCAGCGCATAACCTAAGATCTTGCGCGCTGTGGTCAAGTTGCTTTGACGCAGCTCAAAATTGGCGTAAAGCCTCCAAATCTTGGCAAATGTGAAGCTGCTGTTCGGTATGACGTCTTTTATCAATGTTTCGAAAATTTCTCGAGTTCTTTCATAGTTTCCTGCGCTCAGCTCAAAGAAAGTTAAGGCGCGAATCCACAGATAGATGTATCTTCGCCAAGTTAAAGTCTTGGCCTCATCTTCAGGAGCGTTGCTTGCAATTGAATTTCCAAGTGCTATTTCATATTCGCTTGCATAATGTTTCTGAAGTAGATCTAGGTAAACCCACCAAGTTTCATAGTCTCTGGAGTTTTTTCTGAGAATGTTTTCATACTCCATTTTTCGCTTTTCTGTGATAGACGTGTCTAAATTAGTACTGAGATCATACATTTTCTCAAACCGAACTCGTTCCGACACTAAAAGTTCATTATTTGGCCACTTCTCAGTTGCCAGTCGATACAGAGCACTCGCGCGTTCACTTTCCTGTTGAGTAGCTTCCCATTCAGCAAAGGTTCGCACAATAGACGCAATATCACTGTCACTAGTAGACTCATAAAGGCCCAATGTGTCTAGTCCCAAAGATAAAACTTGTCGTATTGAGTTGACATCACCATGTTTTTTTTCAAAGGCTATCCACCGCAGCCAGGTTTTTACACCTGGATGCACTAACACATAGCGAGAATAAACTTTTCGTACATTTTCAAACTCTCCGCACCTCGTCTCAAACTCCACGAACGCGTCGAATGCGTTATGTCCAGGTTCCAAAGAACACCACTTGCTGAACAAAGCTCTGACAATGGGTAGATTGCCTAGTGACTCCTCGACAATTACGTATTTTAGCCACAGTTTATCGATGCGCGGTAGCAGATTGGTAGCTCGGTCTAGGAGATTTCTAGCGTGGTTGATGTTTTTGGCTTTCAGCTCGCAGTCAATGTATTTGATCCATAAGGGCACATAGCTATTGTTGACCTGCAACGCCCTTTCAAAGATAGACCTGGCTCTTCGGAGATCGTGCTGTAGAACTTCAAACTGAGCATAACGAATCCATTGTTTGACATCGAGTCTTTTAACCTTTAACACATTTTCAAATTCGGCTCTCTTGCGCCCTTGGTAGTCTTTCAACTCTTCTAGATCTAGGATTTCGACTTTTGTTGTGTGCCTCGCAGCGTGCTTCGGAGTAGCCGCTTCCTTGAGAATGTCCTGGCCCGACAACTGTCGTATTCCAGCGTCCATCATGGCCTTTTCCTGTTATGATTTTAGACGTTATCGATCTGCTTGAAATTTGGGTGATGTTTTGAAGATGGTTTTCGATAATTTATTCATTATATATACCTATCATGAAGATCATAGAGAAAATACTGGTGACCGTGTCTCGTAGATTACTTAAAGCTTGATATCCATGAAAGTATTTATTTAAGCAAGCCAATTGGTATTTTAGTACACAATGTAATTCGTGCAGTCCTTGCAACCAAAAAAAAGGCAAACAAAGCCTGGCCTTTTATCCTTGTATACCGTAACGAAATAAGAGCTTACTTGCGCGTCGTCAGCAATCTATTTGTTTTCTCTTCTTAGAAGCCGCCTCGTAGTGTTAGAACTAGATGCAACTGCATGCCTGAGCTTAAATTGGCAGCAGATATCGTCATTTCATCGTCACTATAGCAGTCCATTTGTTAGTAGGAGACAATTTGAGTCTTTTCAAAAGCTATCAGCTAATGCTCGCAAGACGGGCAATAAACATTACATACATTTGCTTTCCCTGGAAAATAAGTCTCTGTTGAGTGGGTGGAATACCTTCTCTTTCCTCCAAATACTCCTTGATTCTGTAAAATTTGTCCTCGGGATCAACAACTACTTCAATTTCTTTGCCAGTCAAGGTCTTGACTGTCAACTTCATATTCTAGATGAGTATTCTGATAGGTTGTTCAGAATATGCTTTAAGATGAATGAATTTGTTTAATTTTTAATCGCAGTTTAACTTGTTAATCATTACAAAAATCATCTCAAAATGCTTCCGACTCCCAATGTTTCTTGCGATTATGACAAGGTTTATGAACCTTCAGAAGATACCTTCCTACTACTGGACGCTCTTGAAAAAGACCAGAGTTTTCTAAACGGATTTTTGAGCTCCAAAGTGAACGTAGTATGCGAGATTGGCTGTGGATCAGGGATAGTAACAACTTTTATGATGCAAAACTATATTCCCAGCAAATATGCTATATACATCCCTACTGATGTGAGTCCATGGGCAATGGAATCCATGGTCGATACTGCAGGCCGCAACGAGTGTGACCAACGAATCTTAAGTCCCGTGCGCATGAATTTGGCTCGGTCGATGCGTTCGCAGCAAATTGACTTGCTAGTCTTTAATCCGCCCTATGTGCCTGCAGAGACAGTCCCAGAGTTACCTCAGGAAACAGAAGCACCAGGTAACGAGGTCTCCGGAATTAATGGTGACTGGTTAGACCTTGCGCTTTTAGGAGGTGACGATGGAATGGTAGTCACTTGGCAATTACTTCACAGTTTGCATGAGTTTCTGGCACCCAATGGGGTAGCATATATTCTCTTTTGTGCAAGGAATAAACCTCTCGATGTTGTCAAGTTTATGCAGCTCCAAGGTTGGAAATGTGAATTAGTCAAACATCGAAAAGCTGGCTGGGAAGTACTAAGCATCTACAAATTTTACCGTTAAGCCCTGATGAATGCAAATATGTCTGCCAGAACGTCCTTACGACAAGCGCTCCAGTCCACAGTCTTCAACGAATACATTTCTTCGTAATGTGCATAACTGACGTTGTGGAAGAATTTTCGGAGTTGCGTATGCTTCACGATGGCATGTACGCCTTGCAACAAGGGCGCTCTGAACTGAGAATGCTCCGTGACTTCAAATTCGTTAACATCGCTTTTTATGAAATCCTTGCAATCACTAATCTCATCGGCCAAGCTAATATACGGATCAGTCTTGTAAATACAGTTCATGGTATCAATGACGAAAAGCCACTCATAGCTAGCGGAGAATTCTTCGAAGTTCAAAGTTAAGATTAAATCGACGCATTTGGCAACCTGAAGTATAACATTGGGATCAGTGTTCTGTTGCATTTGCAAGCATTCGAAAAAATTCTGTAATCCTGTTTGTAAGCTGTACGAAAGCATACTCCAATATTCTATAAAATGCATGGCCGAAAATTGAAGTAGCACACACCTCAGAAGCAGAAATGAGCAGGATCTAATTTTGAGGTCCTCTGAGATTAAACTTTGTTCCAGTTGTGTCATTATTATTTTGAAGTTTAGGATATAGTGATCCTGAGGCGAGATCAAAAGCAAATAACAAATCCGTAATATGTTGTGGCATCTTAATTGAACTTCGGAATCGCTCCAAGCAGTGAACGGATTGATATTGGGGCTGATGGCATTTGCTTTAGCACTTGTGGAGACAAGCAATTCGTACATGAGTTTTTCTTTGTTTTCTGAATAATTAGACCATTCAAATACAATTTGACTCCACAAAGGGCATTCTTCAAACAACGCAAACTTCTTATCATTACCAAATTCGTCACTTATCAGTGTCTTAAAGGATTTGACCTTGCTAGCCATGTGAGAAACCGTGAGAACTAGCTTCAAGACGCGTTCTGGAATAGGTTGTTCGCTCTGTTTTTTGAAGCTTGGGGAAATTGCCGATTGTACTATTGTTGAGATACAAGAAGTGAACTTGTCACCTGCTGGATAATCCATCACAATAAATTTGAGTTTTGAACAAACAGCATTTAAGTCATTAAGAGCTGCATCTTCTGAAGAGTTTGCGTCCTCCGCTAATGCGGTTTGAAGGAACTTGCAGAACAAGTCGGACAGCTCCCTTTTTACCGTCTTTTCCTCGCCGAATCGTGAGTTATTGACTTTTTCGCAGACAATTGCCTGGGCCATTAAAAGTAGAGAGGAAAGCTTTTTATAGTGCTGGTAATAATTCAAGGTTTCCTTTATGAAACACATAAAGTCGTAGTAGAAGTCTTCGATCGCTGCGTTTTCCAACCCGGTCAAATATTCTAAAATGAATTTCAGTAATACCTTTGCATTGAGTTGGTTTATTAAAAGAGGGCTTGGTGCACTTTTCGAAGACACGGTATTTGAAAACGTTACAGTCGAAAACTTGTTACAACGATAAACAATGCCTTGGAACAAATGAGGCAGAGTGAGAGCGGGCTTGTTGCCGTCGAGGGCATGAATGAGCGTTAAACTCACGTTATCGGGGTGTTCTGATATCAACTCTTCCAAGACTTCTAAAGGTTCAAGTGCGAACACTGCGCTTAGAAGCTTTTTTGACTGAGATTTGTACTTATAGGCCTGATGATGAAGGGAGCCTCCGAACAAACTAACCTCCCCTCCTAATGTTTCGATTTCTTTGCTCTTGGAATAGTTTTGTGCCCAGGTCCATATCTCTAGACAGCAATTGACTACCAGCTTGAAGGATTGAACCACAATCTCCCGTTCGTGCCTTAGCTTAGAATCCACGCTTCCAGAATCATTGGAAAAAACGTTAGCAACCATATTTTGCAAAAATTCATTCCTTGAAGGAGCAGATCCCAAATAACCCCCACTCTCCTCTGCAGAAAGGTAGCTGTGCGAGACTTCCATCAATTCTTGCAAACCATTAATGAGGTATGCTATCGATTGGTATGTGTGACCTTTTTCAGAGTGTCCCCTGAATAAATTCTTGATGCATTCAGTAATGGAGGTGGTTAAAGGAAGAATAATCGAGAATATTGAGTTCTGAAAATAAACCAAGCTTTCTGATAAAAGTTTGACGTAGGAGTGTATTATCAGAGGCTTTTGCATACTCATTACACCAGTCACAAGAAAATCAATATACCGCAAGTGAGAATTATCATCCTCAAAAATGCCTAGTGTCAATTGCTTGTCATGAGATAATGCTAACACCCTCGAAATGATATTGAGTAGTGAAACCGAAATCAGCTCTGATTCTTGGGTTCCCGTATTGAAATGTTGAGTGGTGAGTTCTAGAAGGAAGGTCACGATAAGCTGAAAATTCTGCTCCGTACCATCAAGCAGAATACCGAGCAGAAGTAAAACTGTTCGCACACTCTTGCCTGTGGTGTTCTTGATTTTTAGAAATTTAGTGGCGATTGCGATAGCGAGATTCTTATAGTTAGTCACATCTTCCCCTTTCCACAATTCAAGTGGTTGCACGGAGGTTTGCTCTGTCTCAAATGACTTCAGCACGATTGGATGCTCAACTTTGAGGACGTTTATGAGAATTTGGCAATAGTACACAAACGAATCAATATCATCCAGGTCTTCCAGCTCACTCTTCTCAATCAGCTTCTGATTGAGGAGATTTTCGCACAAAACGTGGTATAATCTATTGGCAAAACCGTGTTTTATAACCCCAGTCACCCACCTAGATGTGCTAAGATAATTTGGATCTTGATTGTCAAAAAGTTCTTCTAAGACCAACTCTAATGGCCTGCGCGCTAATGTTCCCGTGTTTTCCGAATGTGTCCAAAGCGCGTCGAGTGCGCTTATCCTAGTGTCGATGTCTTTATCTTCAAGAAAAGCAAATGACAAAGAGCTTTCAACATACCTCCCACCAACGGATGTCTCTAGCGCATCTAAACATTTGACTGCCTCTATTTGTGTGTCAGGATTGATTAGATAAATCCAAAGACCTGCCACTAGAACCTTCGTAAGTTTTGCAGCTTCTATAACAGTGAGGTCGGAAGCCAGATAATTGCTGTAAAGTTTGACCCACCCAAAAATTGAATCTGTTCCTGATTCCAAACTTTTCTTTGCCTCGAAAAGCTTATTAACTATCGGCCTTGATAGACCAACATGGCAATTTTTGTCATCAATATCCCCCTGACTATCACCAATACTATCACCCTGAGGAACCCTGTCGAAGAAAAATACAAACAGATCAACCATTTGGTTGAGCTGAGATGCTTCATCCGAGTAAAACAATAGACAATCATGCATTCTTAATACTATCATGAATGTCAAGTCTTCGGTGGAAAAAGGCGGAGAAACATCGCATACCTCGTTTACATTATGAGCATTCCCGTTTAAAAAGCTCGTGTAGTAGTCAGATATAGCAGAAATGTCGTCTTTCTGTTTGTGTTCGAAGCTGTTTGCGAGACCTGAGTGTTTGATTGGCAAATAAGCTCTTTCCGGAATCAACTCAAGTAAAAGTTCACATACAATATGAAACTTCGTAACTGCAAAGTCTGTGTGCCTGCAAAGAATTGCCAATAGAATAAGAGGTAAATGGCGCACAACGATTTCTTCATCGTGCCCAATCTTGAATCTGGAAAGAACAAAAACTAGAAGATCGAGATCGTGTTTCTCAATGGTTGCACGGAAGAGGTGACTGCAAATCACATTAGTCTCTACTGAGTCGAAAAAAGCGGATGCGTTTTTCATAACGATCTGATTTTCTTGGAACTTGAAAGCAGCCTGCATCAGAGGTACAAATACTTTAGGAATGATGTGCGACGCTATTTCCCAGCGATCCATGATTGCTAAACAAATCTTGAACGCTTCCGGGACTTTCTCTTCATCGTTTATCATCGCAGCAAGGCCTGCCTCAAGACCGGCCTCACCAAAACGAGGGAAATAATCATTGGCGTTGGCTTCTTGTAAAGAATTTCCTGTTGTAGATGCCGGTCCAAGAAGCCAATTCCAAATTCGCCTACTGATTGACATATCCCTGCTCAACATTGTATTGCAACAACTCATCATTAATAGGTTAAAGTCTGAAGGTGACGTCAAATCTTGGAGAACAGGTGAGTCCAGATTAATTCGCTGCAACAGCAAATCTAATATCCCCCTTTTTATAAGTAGCTCGTTTTCCTCTTGCAAACAACTAACCAAGCATCGTATTAAAAGGCCAGGCTCAGGATGGACAACATCCTTTGCGGCTGGAAGAAGAAGTTTAAGAGTTGATTGACGCTTGTTCTTCGTATCGCTCGCAGCTTGCCCTTCAGATGCTTCCTCCGTTTTACTACGCTGCACTTTGTGAGGAACAGCATTGAGAGAAGGGAGGGTTTTGGTAAGCCATGCAAGACCACCAAGCCTCCGCTCTTTATTGTTGATCATAACCATAAAACAGCTCTGCCAGAAGAGAGGTTCGTCAGCCACATTTTCGCGCAACGTCTCAATCAAAATGAGAGTAGCTGGCTGAGACTCGCTACTCTCGTCGTCGACATCTGGAAAGAGACTTGCTAGGAGAGGTTTTATTAGGAGACGCAGTGCGGATGGGGAAAGTTGTATCAAATAGTTTTCGTAAAGTTCAATTAATGGAGCCTTTACAGATATGGATGCATAAGACATCAAGGGCAATATGCCAGGAACCCAAATGTTACATTCCTTATTGAGGGCCTCAATTCCGATCTTGGCGAATATGATGTTGTAGACTTCAATGGTTTTCAAATGAACACCAGAGGGCAAGTTAGGGGACAAAGACGATGCGAGACGTCTGCTCACTTGATAGGGATACGGCACATAATATTTCACATTTTGAAATTGTGGTGTCCAGCTTTGTAGGGCCTTCAAAAGTTTGCCTAAGCTAGCGATATAGTCTGCCCATTCTGTCACGGAATCGAAATGTTGTAAAGCGCGTTCAATGCTGGAATGGAATTTTTTCTGCTTGGAATCTAATTGCCTGTTATTGAAGTCTATAGATAAGGGTTTTAGTGGCACAGACATACTGACTCACTGACTGTCCGATGATTACCTCCTGTGTTCTTTCATTTCTTGTGAACTTTCTGATTTGACCAAGCCGAGTGAACTAAATGATATAATTCTAACCGATCACGTGTATGGTGACAGTAAAGCATAGTAGATCTTGTTGCATCTTGAGCTTTGAGAGATTCTTGTGGTGCTAGCATACCTAGAATTTGTCTCAACTGCATAGTTGCAGTACAACGCAAGGGCTCTTATTGATTTAGCTCTAAAGCATTCCGAAGAAACTTCACAACATCATCAATTTCTTCAGGGCAGGTGCTGTGGGCCATTCCAGGATAGACGTTCATGGTGTATTTAGAAAGCTCGCACGAGTCGCTAAAAAATTTCTGAGCCGTCTGGCCCATTCTCAGCGCGATTATAGGATCCGCATCGCCGTGGCCATGGAAAACGGGAGTGTCCTTATTGACCGAATTCCTTATCTGTGTCAATTTGTCGTTGATGACAGAAAAACCGGACAAAGCAATAAACCCTCCGATCTTGACAGGCAGTGTGACGGAGCTTGCCAGGGCCAAGGCAGCACCTTGTGAAAAACCGCCCACTATAATGTTCGTTGGTTGAACTCCATTGTGAATTTGTTCATCCACAAGATTACGAACTAAGTCCAAAGACTTGACAAACCCATCCACGTCCGGTTTGGATTGCAACTCGTCCCATTCACGTATGTCGAACCAAGATGGCGATGGATAGCCTCCATTGGCAGTGATCCTCATGGTGGGCGCATTGGGAAACACAAAATTTGTGTTTTTGAAGGCTGGGTCTCTTTGCAAGAACTCAGCAAAGAACGACCAGCCAGATCCTGAGTCGCCAAGGCCATGCAGGAAGATTAACGCTTGCTTAGCAGGTTTTGCGCGCGAGGGAATACGAATAGCACTTGTACTAGACATGTTTAGTGATAAAATGGTGAAGAGGACTAAGAAGAACGATTGAAACAATTGATGTAGAGGAAAATCGTCACAGCTATTTTTTCTTTACATAAGTTAAATGTTTAAACCCATCTTGAAATTCGGTAATTACAATTAAATTTGATCTAAAAGATTTAGAATTTGTGACTAAATCGGCAATGAACGTTGAAAGACCCGAGCTACCACCGAAGCCTGGTAATAATGCTGTTGAAACTGCAGCTAACGCTGTTCCACTACCAGAAAGCGTAAATCTGTTACCGGTAAAGGCCATTGAGGAGTTAACTTCCACTCATCGAGATAAGCTAAAGGATTATGTCATGAGGTTTGAGAATTGTGCAGATATTCGGGCTGGGAGCCAACAGTTGAAGGACGAGTTGCAGGTACTTTTACAAGAGTTCGAAAGTATACAGGCTCGTCGAGAGAAAGTTATGACAAAATTTAGCTTCGTTAAGGGTTTGGAATCCGAGTACGAGGCGTCTTGGGAGACGCTTAACGGCTTGATTTCGACAAGGTACGGCGAAAATGCCCTCAGAGACAGAATGAAAAGTGACCTGGGGATGTTGAACTCGCAAGCAACTGCGTTAGAATCTAATCATGACTTGGGAATGGATCAGTTCATTCAACAACACTTAGAACTAAAAGAGATATATCATCTCAAGAGACAGTTGCTACATTCATGGCATTAAACTTGTGGGCCCTTTCAAGCGCTATGTTATTTGCTAAAGATTTTTCATCTACCAAAGGCGTACCAAACACAAACGTCTCCGTCCCATGCAGTAGAGGCGATGTAGCCCGGTTGTCCCCACAAACTCCAATCAGCACCAAATACAAACTCCGTATGGTGCGGAAACATGAAGCGGCAACCTTTAGCAGGGTCAACGCTGTTTGTTTTACCTGTAGGTCTCCTACCATCCACGCTGAGATCTTGCCACACCTTACATGTCATGTCGTAGGATGTGGAGAGTAGCATATCAGAATGATGCGGCGACCATGAAACCTTTCTTACGGCCAAATCATGACCACTGATCTCGTTAACACTCATCGGTTGTCGTGAATTGGTGCTCATTTTGCGCACCATGCGAAGATCCCAGACTTTAATCATATTATCGACACCCCCTGTAGCTACGATATGTGGCCTGTACTTATTATAGTCACAAGTCAGTGTCTCCATGCCACTATGCGCCATGAAGCTATATTGATTGGAATTAAGTGGCTGCCGCAAGTCAAAAAGCGTAACGTATGAGTTCCCCGAGCAACTCATGATTGAGTTAGGGTCGTGTGGCGAAAATTGCGCCTGGTATATACAGTTCTTATTCTTGGAAAGCGAATTATGTTGTTGCTGGTTGGACATCGGTATATCCTTCGAGGGGAGAAGTGCATTCTGCATATTCTTGGGTTTGGGAGTCAATGTCGTGATGCTGGATTGCCTTACGGGCGACCATACTTTGACTGTGCCATCCCAAGAGCTGCTCACGAAGAGGTGTTTGTTGATAAGGTTCCAGTTACAACTGAGAACTTCCTTATCGTGCTCTTGGAATATAGCTATAGGGTAATCGTTCAATAGAATATCAAATAGTCTCAATGAACCATCACCTTGCGCAACCAAGACCTGATTCTCATGCAGCTCATTCCATGCAATATCGAATAATCCATCTTGAGTTAGGTATGCTTTTGTCTCCAACATCCTCCCTTGATTGTCGATATCTAAGATGAATAATTTCCCATTCCCAACTAAGCCGAAATTGGAACCTGAAGCTACGGCCAACTTGTTATCAAAGAATGGGGAATATTGGACTCCATACCCACTATATCCTTGCATATGGTATCTTAACATCTCGAGTCGTCCATGTATCGTGTTATTTCAAGTTTGCTCTTCTCAAATCATCGATTCAAACATTATCGATATTCTCTTGACCTTATAAAAATCGCGAATATGATGATCACTCTCAGAAGGAAGTAAAAATATGAGACTATTTAGTGGTAGGTACATTTATATATATATATAGATACGTATATGAGATTGAAACGGTTCGTAATGCATTAAAAACTTTAGTTGTAAACCGAGCTCCATCAATTAGGATTATTATCGGTTTGATCTGTTCGTGATGGATAGGATCTTTCGGAGTCTGAAATATGTGTGTCTGAATTCGCTTGCCCGGACTCAGTGGTCTGAAATTCATGATGGTTCTCCTGATGATGTTGAGATTGCATTGGAGGGGCCGGAATTTCCCCGTTGAAGTTGACAGTAGAGACACCTTCTTCGCTTCTATGGCTTGCGACACCCGTACTAAACATCTGAGTCGAGACACCAAGAGGGAGTGCGCTTTCGCCTTGATTAGGATTGACTGTATTTCTAGCCATCCTGAAAAAGCTGTTAAAGTTGAAGCCTCTGCGAGGTTCAGGTCTATTATTGTTTGCAATATTAGCGCCTGCTCTTTGATGTTCTTCATTCGAAGCGAGCGAAGCAATTGGGACATCAGAGGAGACATTCAAAGCGGGCGAAGTTTCAGATCTGGCGGTTGGATCGGTTCTTGGCCTGTTTCCATTGGTAATGCTGAAAATATGATCCAAAACGGTCATGAGCCTGTTGGTTTCTGCAGAGTTATCAGTAGTCAAGGGGTGCGTGCCTCGACCCATTCCGGAGTTGGGACCCAGGTTGGAAGAGAGTGATGGCGCTGTAGATCTATTGAGAAGGTCAGAATCGACCTCCCCAGAAGTTTGTTGGCTATTAGCTTGAGGTGACTGTTCTTCGTTGGCGGTTCCTTCTGCGTCCGGTGACTGTGCTGAGTTTCGTCTACGAAGATTAATAAAAGTGATGGGCAGTAGACTAATACCACCCGATCTTGTGCCGTTTGAGACCAATCCATTGCTTGGGACAAATCCAGGGCTCATCTCTGTGGTGCGTTCAACATTTGTATCCCTCGATACATGCTGGTCGCCGGACCTAGTATTAGTCTCTGAGTCGGCGCCATTCGAAGCAGGAGCGCGAGGTGGTCTAAGAACAATGAAGTTTGACAAAGAGCCCGCCGCGTCGGATATAGACCCTAAATTTGTGGGTGAGGTTTCGTTAGCAGGCCGATTGGCACCTAGGTGAGGGGCAGATTCTGGCTCCGCTGAAGAACCATATAGAATGGTTCTAATTCTCTCAAAAGTTTGTTGGTCCATAATGTTTTCCTCTTCTTCATTAATAGGAGGGCTGTTGAGGCCTTGTGCATCTACAATCGAGGCTCGACATATTGGACAAGAATTATGTTCCTGTGTCCACTGTCTTATGCACTCGCGACCAAAAACATGACCGCAAGGAAGCTTAACAGGCGAATGTTTGTACGTGACGGGATTAGAGTCTTTAGCCGCAGATTCGGCCTCAACTGATTCATGAAGGGAATCCTGAACAGAGTCCCGAGCAGACTCTTGTAAAGTTTCCTCAGCAGGTTGTGGGTCAGATGCGTTAACTGGGCTCTCCATCTCAGTTAAGTTCTCTAAATGGACCCGTGATCTTTTTGCCTCACTTGAGTCATCTATACTACCCATCGAGCACCGATCTCTCTTCTTGTTTCCCACTAACAAAGATTTGGGCCGTTCTAACTCCTCTACAAAGTCGTCATAGCATATACTGCAGCAGTCCTGAGTCACTTGTTCCACATTAAGCACCGGCAACTTTTCAAAGGCCTCTCTCGAGATACCCTTTGGACGGCTGAATCTACGATGCAGACGACTTATGGCCACGTTGGATGCTAGTGAAACGACTTGCTCTAGTCGTTCTTGAGTTGCAGTGGACGGAACATCCGTGAAGTTCAATACGAATGGCACCCTGCTCAGAATTTCGCTTGGATCGTTCCCGTCAGTAGCCAATCTCCCACCGTTCAAGACAGCGTACTGAATGGTCACAGTTACATTCCTAGTATGCCTAGCGTTAGGATCAGATTGTTGCGCCTCAGACGGCGATGAAGGTTCTGGATCTGATCTCTGTGGCTCGTCACTGTTGCGGTCTGCCATTACCGTTCTTTGACTTGAAAAGTTCCCAAGCAGGTGCGAAAGCAAGCACGATGATCTACTGAGTATCTGGAAATGTAGAGCGCAAAGAAAAGACCACGAATCTATTCCTAAAATACTCTTTTGTATGCTGTTCCTGAAAGATTACAGACCAAGCAGAAAACTCAAATGTTCGGAACTGGTAATCTGAGAAATTCAAAAGGCTTCCGGTATCGATATGACAGCAGCGCTAAATTCAGAGCTTAAGCTGTCTCTCAGAGATCAAGTCTATGAACACCTCTTAAAGATTTCATTTACGAGATCATGATCTTTAAGGTCCAATTTGTCAATCTGTGAAGCACCATGCACGAAACTGGGTACTACGACTTATCCGTCAACTTGAACATCACACATAATACCACGCTACATAGCTAGTATAGAGCCTTGGATATTTTCTTCCTTGAAATTGACATGCTATGACACGCCAATACCAGAACGTTTTTTCTGAATAAGTGCGACGAGTTGCCAGCGTACCTGTTATATTCAAAATTTGAGCGCGACGTGGGTATGTGCTTGCGGACGCGCTTGTAGAATAAAGTAAGGAACATGATTCAGCGTCTCATATTCCTGTAGATGAATGTGTGCGCTTTAGGTAAAATATGATGCTTTCGGTCACACCTCTTATTCATTCTGTAACTCTATTAAGCTAACAAGCAGGATATAAACCGCCCAAATTCTTTACTAGTTTGGACGCCGAGAGTTCAAGATAGCGACAAAGAACATTGACCTTTGCAAAAATTGTTCACGCAACACGAACCAAAATATAATCGCTAGTGTTACTAATAAGTTACACCTGTGACACCTCACGCTTAGCCATTCTACTATTCGAGAGCGAAATTGTATACTCACCGCAAGGCTTCTCTCTTTGTTGTAAGTAAGCAGACAGGTGAGCAACACTACCAGTGAACAGACTGTTTAGACTGGCAGTCAAAGATCCCAAATCCGAGAACAATCAGGGAGAAGATAAACTTGTTATCGATATCGCATTCGGCGCTGTCATTTCCTTTTGTAACAAACTTGTCGCTAGTAGTAAGTAGCCCCTTTTCGCCATCAATTCACAACTCAATTGTCTGAGCTTATTGGTATTAAACTTGAGATAGTTCCAAGATCCTACTTAACCTCCGTTATCTGTGCATCGACCTATGGCATCAGAGACCTTTCAGCAACATCTAATCGAGCGAATAAAGACCAATACCAAAGAATCGCCAAATGTAGTACATTTGTCCCATTTTTGTGGACGTATCATTAATGGTAGGGGTATGTGATGTACGAGAAATTAATGTCACAGCGTATGCTGGTAGAGCAGTTTTGACAGTGCATTTGCATCGAAACACGAGCAGAGTATCAATATCCAGAATTTGGAGCCTATGGTGACGATAAATTTTCAACCTCAAATTATTTTACTAACTTGAAAGCCCCATTTGGGCTACTTACAAGCTTGTTCTCGTCCACTAAAATACTAAGGTAGGATTCCAATTGTGACACTGTTGCTGTAAACCTTAATTCTTTTGGAACAGCCATTTTTAAGAATGAGTGTATCTTTTCTACTTTCATGCTTCCCAAGTTTGTTAACATACCCTTTATGAAGGGCCATATTTTTTGCATAGAATCAATAAACTCCTTTTGTTGCAAGTCCATGGCGCCAGAGGTGTCGTGTTTCGGCCTGTGAGCAGATCCTTCTGTACCTGCATGCTTTATTGATGTCATGTTCTTCATATGATCCCGATGCTCCAGTGCTTTGTAAACATCAGCTTTGTCATCATAAAACAAGACAGACGAGTTAACCCAAAAACTCAAAATTCGATCGACATGTAACTTTTCCATACTAGTTTTCTCTGATATTTCTTTTTGACTTAATCCTGTTGAGTCTGTAGGGCTAGAGAAACATGAGAGTATGATTGCCTCCTCCATCGGAACTTTGTAAACTGAGGTACGACCATCTGCGAACTTCAGATTGATTTCTACGGTGCTTTGCTCTTGATGTAACCGGAGTTTGCGGCCTTTCTTGATCTCTGAATATGCTTCCTTGTACTTTTTCAGATCATTGTCTAGGTCCAGTGGTAATTTAACATCTTGTGAATGGTAAGAGAAATCTGAAGCAGCTCCCCAAAACAAGTAGGAAATTATTTTTGGAATGATGTTAGGATTCAAGTTAGGCAAGTTATGCATATCCAAACACAGTTCTTCACTATGCTTGATGTCTCTGAGCATGACATCTATGTTATTCACATTAGAAACATCTTGCGCGTTTGGGTACTTCTTGAAATCGAACTTTTGTTTCAAAATTTTGAGGCTTCTCACCCAATTGTGTTCAAGTTTGTAGCCCTTCAGATTGAGCAATTTCTCTGTGAATAATGCGAGGAACTCGGCGATAATAACATCTCGGGAGTCAAATAATTCTACCACTATGTCGAAGAGGCCTTTACTCATCAGGGCATCATCGTTGCTCGCTTGAATAGAGTCTGAAGGCTCGGGAGTCCATTGAAGATAGTAGTTGATCACTTGCTGACAGATCGGTGCATTGGGATTTAAGACAGGTGACCGCTCTACTGTATTTTGGCAAGAGCTGCCGAGCATTGAGGTAGAAATAGGTTGATGAGAGTCCTTCAGTTCAGCTGAGAGCTGTAATGCTATGTTCATGTGCGCTGGTGTCTGACTAGCACCCTTAATTTCAGAAGCATCTAACCCTAACATAGCATAGAGAAAGGTGACTACGGTGTCACGCCTTTCCATAAGATATGGGCGTACAAAGTTCGTAAGCAATTGAAAATAACGAAACGAGACATCCACAATCAATATGCTCTTAATGGCTTTGACATAAGACAATAAAATTTCAGTTGTTGTAACACTAGGCTTCAACCTTTTAGCTTCGAACTGACACAAAAACTCTGTGATTAGCTGCGTGTACTTAGTTGGAGACTTCAGAACGGTTCGCAACTCTAACAGAGTTGGCTTAGATATCGGATATTCGGTGACAAAGAGGTCAAACACCTGTTTCGTCCGTATCTTTATGAATTCTTCCTCAAAACACTTGTAGATTTCATTAGTTATCTCATGATCATCTTCTGGACATTGCAACATGCCACTGAATACGGTCCAGTAATTACTGATGAATTGATTGTATGTCTCCATGATCACAAATCGTTTTGTCCAAACGGTGCCCATTGTTTTAGCAGAGAATAATCTGACCTTCATGAGAACGACATCAACTAGTAAATGAGTCAGGAAACCACCTTCTGCTTGACAGAGCCAGTCGTAAATCTTGCATGCCATTTCGAAGTCGTCTTCTAGCATAAGCTGTTCGAATCGCAGCCGAACGTTTTGTTTCAATGTTGGGTGATGAAATATTAGATAGTTACGAAGCCCATTGATCTCTTCAGCCCATTCTCCAGGACCGAATAACTCCAAAAATCGCAAAGGAAATTCGTAATAGCGCTCTAGTTTTTGAATATCTTTAAAAGACATCAACGACTGAAAATTAAGGAAGAAGTGTTTCCGTGTTTGATAGATCATATAATGTCGCAGTAGGTCTAAAAATGGCTCCTGTACTATCCTAATATTGACGAGCGTTTTAATCGCGCTCTTGATTCTCATAATAGGCGGTCTAAGTTGATGATTACTTTTGGGTTCATTTGGGTTGATCCATGTCAGCATACCTTCCAAATCGTCACCAAAATTAGCATCAAGGTCCCCCAGTGCATTGTGCAGTTGTTCTTCGAGTCTTAGACCTTCATTGAAGTGATTCATTGATCTTGAGCTGATTGTGGTTTTAGGCATTGGCATCTTTATTTCTTCACATGATGCTCAAATTGTGTACAAATTATAAAAGAACCAGTTAGCTATGTGTGAAGCTCACTAATAGTTATTGCTGATGACTTAACAATATAATGGTATGTGAGACTTCTTGCTATGAGTGTTGATAATTAACAACATTAACTGACTGAAATGGTCGCATGATCAGAGAAACAATGATGTAGACGAGTTCATCGCACTTACGAAAAGTACACGACAGCTTGCCCGTGAGTTTCTCGCAAACAACAATGGAGCGTTGGAATATGCGCTGAATGACTTTTATGATACCTGTCATGGTGGATTTGTTACCGAAATTAGACCACCGGCCCCTAAGCTGAACAAATTGTTTGATCGGTATCGATCCGAAAAGGCGGACAGCATTTGTACGGATGGGTTAGTCCGCTTTGTGTGTGATCTGGGGCTGCAACTCGAAGATCCCGTAACTCTTTGCATGGTCCATATAATGAAATGCACCGGCCTACACGATTCAATCTCCAGGGATCAATTTGTCCATAACTGGCATGACCAAATGTGTAATGACCTCGCTGACATCAAGGACAAACTACAGGAGCAAGAGAGCAAATTGCGTACTGACAGCGAGTATTTTGAAACTATCTACAATTATACCTATGGGCTCATTTTAGAATCCGATCACAAACAGCTGACTGTGGAAGTCGCTGCAGAATACTGGAAACTCTTTTTTGATGACTCCAAAGGCTACAGATATGCCGTACAGCCATCCAACCAGCTTATAGAGCTCTGGTCTGCATATCTGCTAGATCAAGACGTCCTCAGGATCAGCCGCGATGCGTGGCGGATGTTTTTCAAGTTCGTAAGGAAATACCCCACGATTCAAGCAGTAAAGGATAACTACAACGAGCTAGATGCCTGGCCGCTACTGATAGATGAATTCTATGAGCACCTGGATGATCTAGGACTTCTGTAACGAGATATATAGCATCAAGTGTGACATTACTAGCCTTCAACACATATAGTTACCCGGAACTTAACTTGTCGTCGAAATGAATTGTCAAGTGAAGCTAACTAACATGCAGAAACATGGAAAGTAAGAGTTGTTGAACAACAAAATCACACCTACAAAGCTTTGATAACGGCAACTGAGCGCTGATTACAGTCTTACGAAGATTTCAATTTTGCACACCGGTTTTTTTCGCGATTTATCAGGATTAGTCTCTCTTAATATTCATTAGTCGCGAACAGTCATTCGTATTCACCAATCTCACAGGAATTGCAAGCCACTAAAATCATGTCCTCGAATGCGAACTCTGGGCAACCTGCTCAAGGGGGTAATAATTTGCAGGGTCCTCAGACACAACAGCTTACGCCCGACTCTGTGCAGCAACTGGCATTGCGATACAGACAATATTTCAACGAAGCACAGAGAGTCGGGACCACTACGCCTCAGGGCCAGGAATTGCTGAGAAGGGCATCTAAGATTAAAGCCATGTATGTTGCGTACAATACTCAAACACAGCAGGCTAACCAAGGGCACGCACAAGGATCTAGTGGTGCTCTTGGAGCCGCCGAAAACTCTTCAGCTTCTCCTACCGCTTCACAAGCTTCTAACGGTACTCCAACCAGCAACTCAATTTCCAGTAATATTCAAAATCTACTCACGCCACAACAAAATGAAGCTTACGGCAGACTGATACAGACATTTAACGAAAATGGCGAGAAAATCAAGGGTGAGTACGGATATCTCAAGAAACAGATTGAGATATTGGATGGTGAAATCAAGAAGAGACAAAGCAACCCAGCAACTGTGAATCAGCTTGAAACTAAAAAATCCGAGATACTCAACAAATTGACAGGGTTTGGCGTTTCCTTCCGTGCTCTCAGTCAAAAGTTGCGCGAGGACAAGAAAAACTTTTACATTGAGTGCGCGGCAACCAATGCAAACTTAAAGCGGTTTCTACAGGCCTCTACTCAACAGCAACGTGCCAATGCGTCAAATATGCAAAGTGCTGCTTCTCCAATGACAGCAAATACTTCTCAGGCAAATGCAACTACTCCCGTACAACAAACTACAGCCACACAGCCGCCGTCCCAACAGCAAGGTAATGGGACCCCCGTTCAACCCAGGTCTGGTGCTAGTAGTAGATCGCCCACTCAGGTCACGTCTGTAAATGCTGCTGCTCATTTGGCCAACAGTGCCAGCCCTGCAGGAAGACAAGCAATCTTCAAACAACCTAATCCATCGGTACCGATCTCAGAGACTGTATCCCAAAAAATGCCTACCCCTGTCGTACATCGCTCCAATAGACCTACAATCACAGGCGGGAGCGCTATGAATGCCGCTGCCTTAAATACGCCAGTGATGACCAAACTACCCCCCTACGAGGTAGATAACGAGAGGGTGATGTCCAAGAGGAAACTTAGAGAACTTGTCAAGTCTGTAGGCATTGACGAAGGAGACGGAGAAACTACAATTGATGGTGACGTTGAAGAGTTACTTTTGGATTTGGCTGACGATTTCATCACTAACGTAACGAGCTTTGCATGTCGCTTGGCTAAACATAGGAAGTCCGACAACTTGGATGTACGCGATATTCAACTGCACTTAGAACGGAACTGGAACATACGCGTACCAGGCTATGCTGCTGACGAAGTGAGAAGCACTAGAAAATGGAACCCAGCTACCAGCTACAACCAAAAAATTCAGGGAATCAACTCTGCTAAAGCTGCAAAGTCAGCTACCGCGGCTCAGGCTGCAGCAGCTCAAGCTGTCACAGGCAATGTTGACACTAAGAATCAATCCATGCCTTGATTCCTAGGTGACTCAACGGTAAAATGCAACTGATCGATATCAGCATACCGTGTACCGGCTCGCAGTGGTAGTTATCTACCGAATGGTGGTACACACTACCTTTAAAGAACAAAATTTGAACGTTGTTAACGACATATGCATTTAATCAGGCATTTTGAACGGCTCATCGCAGATGTTGAAAAAATTTTAAGCGCACTGCTTAAACTAAATGCTCAGTAATTCTAAAGAACTGGAGCATTAACCAGTAACAATAAGCCAGAATGGTGAAATCATACCAGCGTTTTGAGCAGGATTCTGTGCTCGGTGTTATTTCAAGTAATTCTAACTGTTTATGGGTCCCATCTCAGAATAGGAACGCATCAGGCCAAGTTTTGACTGGTGCGCTGGAAAATGTAAACTGCTGGTCTATAAAGTCTGGCGAATTGGTGGGGACGTTGAGCGATGGTTTTCCGCCTGGAGCTGTGGATGCCCAGTCTTCAAAACCAGCCGAGTCTGCTTATTTACAATACCATCCTGATACCAATCTACTGGCCGTAGGTTATAACGATGGCATGATCAAAATTTGGGATTTGCTCTCTAGGTCAGTTCTCATGAAATTTAATGGCCACAAATCTGCAATTACAATGTTGAGATTTGATCATACTGGCACGAGGCTCATTTCAGGCTCAAAGGATTCTGATATTGTGGTATGGGATTTAGTTGGTGAGGTGGGTTTATACAAGCTACGTTCACACAAGGATTCCATCACTGGTATATGGTGCCAAGGGGAAGAATGGTTGATAAGTACCTCTAAGGATGGATTAATCAAAGTGTGGGATTTGAAAACGCAACAATGCGTCGAAACGCACATGGCCCATGTCGGGGAGTGTTGGAGTTTAGGTGTTCACGAAGACCTTGTTGTCACTGCTAGTGCTGATAATCAGCTTAAGCTTTGGAAACTTGATCTCGAGCAAGAACCTGGGCATATGCTAGTCGAAAAAGGAGTGCACGAAAAGCAAAGCAAACAAAGAGGTGTCGCAATTGAGTTTGTGACTGTCAATGAAGCCGTAACGTTTTTCTTTGTGCAAAATGCTGATAGAACTACTGAAGTTTTCAGATTAAGAACCTCAGAGGAGATGTCCAAGGCACTAAAAAAAAGGGAAAAGAGACTGATAGAAAAAGGCCTTTCATCGGAAGACATTGAAAAAAATCTCTCAGAGTCTTTTTGCTCTTTCGTAATGCATCCTTTCCAAGTCTTAAGATCAACGTATAAAATCAAAGCTGTTTCCTGGGCCACAACCACTACTTCCAAACTAGAATTGGCGGTGACCACGGCAAACAACACTGTTGATTATTACTCGATTCCTTACCATAAGAGAGACCCTACCACACAGTCACCCACGAAACTTTATTCCATCGATATAAAGGGGCACCGAACCGACGTTCGTGCAATCGACATCAGTGATGATGGAAAACTTCTCGCAACTGCATCTAATGGATCACTCAAAATATGGAACATGAAGACAAGCAGCTGTATAAGAACGTTTGAGTGTGGGTATGCTCTAAGTTGTAAATTTTTACCAGGAGGAGCATTGGTAGTTTTAGGGTCCAGATCGGGTGAACTACAACTTTTTGATTTAGCTTCCTCGACCCTACTGAGCACAGAAACCGTTCACACCGGTGCTATATGGTCTTTAGACATAACGAGCGATGGAAAAAAACTTGTTACTGGTTCAGCCGACAAAACGGTGTGTTTTTGGGAATTCCAAGTCGAACAAGAGCTAATTCCAGGATCCGTGGATAAATTTGTACCAAAGCTAAAGCTCTTTCACGACACAACTTTGGAGCTTAACGATGACATTTTGGCCGTTAAGATCTCACCAGACGATAAGTTACTCGCAGTTTCCCTGCTAGATAACACCGTAAAAGTGTTTTTCTTAGATTCAAAGAAGTTCTTCCTAAGTTTGTATGGGCATAAGCTACCGGTATTGTCAATTGACATATCGTTTGACTCAAAGCTACTGATCACTTCCTCAGCAGATAAAAATATTAAAATTTGGGGATTGGACTTCGGTGATTGTCATAAGTCTTTGTTTGCACACAATGACTCCATCATGAAAGTCTGCTTTGTTCCCGAATCTCATAACTTTTTCAGTTGTAGTAAAGACAACTTAGTCAAATACTGGGATGGAGATAAGTTCGAGTGTATTCAAAAGCTTGCTGCGCATCAAAAAGAAGTTTGGACTCTAGCAGTATCTGCTGATGCTAGAACCGTTGTCTCCGCATCTCATGATCAGAGTATTCGAGTCTGGCGCGAAACAGAAGATCAAGTATTCATAGAAGAAGAGAGAGAGCGCGAATCTGACGAACAGTATGAGCAAACCCTATTAAACTCATTGGAGGATGGGAATGCTGATGACATGTTTCGTAAGGATAAAAATGAGGAAGGAGGCATTACTGACGAGGTTACCGATGTTCATAAACAGACAATTGAGTCATTAAAAGCTAGTGAGAGACTTGTTGAGGCAATAGACTTGGGGATGTCTGAAGTCAATCTTCTGCAAGAACACGAGAAAGCCATGAAACTATGGCAGAAGAAAAAATCGGGGCCACAACCAGGGAAACCGCAGCCCAACAGCATTCTACTGGCAGTCCAAAAATCACCACTTGAATATATCATGGATGTTTTGATTAGGATTAGGCCGTCACAACTGGAAGACGCCCTACTGGTACTTCCATTCTCCTATGTTCTAACATTACTGCAATACATCGATTTGGTGGTGGAAGAGAAGACCATTGTTGGTAGGCGTCTGCCTTTGATCTGCCGAGTGTTGTTTTTCATAATAAAGTCAAATCACAGGGAATTATTCTCGCAAAAGAACGAAGAGCTGAAAATTCAAATTGATAGAATCAAGCTCAAGTTGAGGAGTTCTGTCCAGTCGAAAGCTGATGATCTGGGATTCAACCTTCAGGGCTTGAAATTTATCAAGCAACAATGGAATCTTAAGCATAATTTCGATTTCACTGACGATGTAACAAAAAGCCAGAAGGACAACAAGGTGAAGAAGAGGGTTTTTGAAACACTTGTATAATTTAAATGGAACTTTGCATAGTATTATAATGAACATGGTGTATCGTACTTCCTGATTGTATTTTCCTTTATCGATATTTAGATTTACAAACTGTCCATCAGATTCCTGGACGAACGTTCTCTAAAGGGCTTTCCATGTTAGCCATTGAGGAAGAAGGATTTAAAAGTCCATTATCTATCAACTCCTTCCGCAGTTGTTCCTCCATTTGTAATGCAATCATCCCATGATTATCACGCGCCACTGACTCTTTGACAGGACTGCTAGTGACACTGTACGTACCATCTTTCCTTGGCCTTCCACGCCGCCGTGGCGATTTTTTTATCACCACGTTATTGAACTTTTTGCCTCCTACACAAATCATTCTGCTGCGATGCACAATTAGCGCGTCTTCTCTTACGAACTTCTTGCCGCACGGACATACGAATGATTTCTCTGCATGGATCTTTTTGTGCCTTATTAGATCATGATTTCGGACAAATGCCTTATTACAACCTTCATAATCACAAATGTATGGTCTATCTTCCAAGTGAGTTTGTATATGTGAACGGATATTATACCGTCTTCTAAAAGTTTTTCCGCAGGTGGGGTACATGCATTGGAACGTTTTGTCTGATAGTTCCTGCACATATCTATCAATCTCACCTGGAGGTAATGTAGTAGGCTTCTTCGTGATTTTTAATGGACTGGAATTGTTGAAGTCGTTCTCATGGTCGAAATGAAAGTCTTCACCATCCTCATAGCCACCGGATTGGTCTTCAATATGGTCGTGCCCAAGTCGTGGACTAGAACCTTCGAACCTACCTTGCGACCTCAGTATAGGGGAAGGGGTTTGAGCAATTTTGAACTCACTCTCTGGTTCATCATCATCGTAGTCATCATCATTATAGTTATTACCATGACCAGTGGGTGGTTTCAGTTCTTCTTTGAGTGTTTTGAAAATAGGTTTCGAAGGTGACTGCGCACATACCGAGTTCCTTGCATCCCGAGGGTTGACTGCATTCTTACTTGGGGTGTGTTGAAATACGTGTTTTTGAGGTAGACTTCTCGAATCCGTGCTTACACCAAATTTTTTATTCAGTGGGGTATTGTCGCTGGAGCCTGGTATCGTTGGCAGAACCTCAAGCGACGGCGGTTTGTTAAGGGCATATTTTGGTTTTATTTTTTCGTTCGTAAGTTTAATTCCCAACCCGACAGTTCTGCTTGAGGCTGGCTCGCACATGTGGCGGTCTTCGTCATCGTTTAGTTGTGGTATAGTTGATGCGCTGGAAGATATTGATTCCTTAGGTCCATGCCTGTTTATGCGGGGAGATGAGGAAGTCGAAGAAGCCCCACATATAATAATTTGTTGTTGCGGAGTGATTGGATTATTGTTCACTGGCCGGTCATTCAACGAGGCTTGATTGTTCACCTTTTCGAAATACTTGCTCATGTTTTGGATAGTGCTATCAGAAACTTTAGGCCTTACATTCGAAGCACCTAAATAGTTCTCGGGACTAGAGTAGTCATCTGCACTATCCGTAAACGTTGCCAATTCGTTTAGATGTAGTTGGTGACCTTTTGTCCTTAAACTTTTACGGCTCGGCGAACCATTCATTGAAGTTCCTGAAACTGGTGAAATGACCCCATTATGAAGAGGATTACTTGCAGAAGGGGGAGGAAACTTATAGCCACCATTTGCGCTGTTTGTGGTAATAATTATGTTTCTTCCACTTTGTTGTGGTGTCCTTGAAGTTGGACTTTTTGCCGGTGACACGTTTGCCGATAAATGTTGAGCCGCCATTGCTTGTTCCTTAAGCGCCATCTGTAGTTGTTGTTGTTGAAGCTGACTAGATCTTAGCTGTTGCTCTAATTGTGCATTCATTTGTTGTTGCCTTTCCAAAGCCAGTCGTAGTTCCTCTTGTTGTTTTAATATTAACGAATTAAGGTTATTCCCTTGGGCTTCATAATTTTGGTCGATATCATTTGAGTTGTCCCTAGACGGCCGAAGATAATTGATGTTATTATTATTACTAACTCCCATTTCTTCAGTGGTTAACTTTGAAACGCTCAGTTGCTTGTTGTGATTCGTGAACCCAAATATTGCTGTTCCGCTGGGTCCACGGTTGTGCGATTTCCTAGGAGTCTCGACGTTGTTGTCAGTTGGGCGGTTCCAGACCGCGTCATAACTTGCCGAATCACCGGAATTTGGCTGCGAAGAAACCCGTTGGGGAATCATGGGTATATCGAGGTCCTTGAGTTCTTGGGTCAGGAACTCGTCAATGTCTTCGTAATTGCTGGGGAAAAACTTGCCCAAGTCCGGGTCTGCGATGCCTAGATTTGCGTTGCTAAAATTTTTGGAGTCAAACCCGGTTCCGAGCATCGTGTTGATGTTGATGTTCGCGCCGAGATCCAGATCTGCGGTCTCCGAGTTGTCCAAGTTCAGCAAGTCGGTGGTGTTGTTGAACCACTGGTCCCGCGTCGAGGTCATCTTGGTATTGCTAGCGAAAGAAAGGAAAAAAAATAAGTTAGTTTGTTATTCGGGCTCCCTGGAGGCTCCTAGCGATCGCGCGTGGTATGTTTTATGCTCTGGAAGATGCGCAACGCCAGCGTGCAATTGACGCCTTTCTTCGTGCTCTTGGTGTTTGGCTCTAAGCTTCAATCAGCTGTCCACGAATTTCGATACCACACAAGCACCAGTAAGTGTGAACGTGTGCGTGAGAGAGAACTCTGAGTGTGTGTGTTTGTTTCAAACGCTGGCAATCCTTCAACTAGCAAGAATCGTCGTCAAATTAGAACCAGGGAACGTAGAATACCGATTTGAGTCCCGGTTCGCTGCTAATTTAAAGCTTCCCTTGAGTTAAATATCCAGCTAAGATGGGTACATGCACCGTACTTTGCGTAAATTTACAACTTTTCATATGATGAATTTTGGAATGCGAGCGTTGATTCACCGTTTAACCCAATTCGGAACTCCTGTAAACAATCCCAATGTTGACGCTTTTTCCAGGGAAAAAAACCAAAAGCCGAAAATCCGAAAATCTGGAAAACCCACAAAGAAAAAAAATAAAAAACAATTTCGAAAAAATCAAAAAAATCGGAACAAATCGGAAAAAATCGAAAAAAAAACGGAGCAAACCGGGTGGGAAAAGGAACACGTGCCATGGTCACGATCGACGAAAAAGCTCGGCGGCTAAACGCACGATTACAGCATCGTGCATGTTTCCGTGCATGGAAGATCAGGGCTCGAGTGAGTCCTCTCCAGTAGAAAATGGTATCCATAGATTGGACCTTTGCTTGGTGAGCTTGATACCGCGACACTGGAATTTTAGAGCATCCAGAGTCTCCTTGCCCACGGGCACGGTTTTCAGAGACTCGTTTAGGTCGTCAATTCTGCGCCGGTAGGATCTCCAGGCGTCCCCGGAGGATGCAGCTGGGAAGTTGTGGGCCAAAGAAGGGTTGAAAGCTCTGGCGATCGACAGATGCGCCCGTTCGTGGCTCCAGGTGTAGGGCGCTGTGCGCACAGGGCTTGCGTCGATGCTGTGGTCGTGGATGTCGTCCTCGTCACGACGGCAAAACTCGATAGATTCCTCGACCGCGGACCGCAATTGGCGAATCTCGGCTTGCTTGATCGCAGGCGCCACGTCCAGCGCCAGAAAAAACGCGTTGCGGTCGACGTTGTCGTACACTTGCAGCCGCGGCTGGAACTCCAGGCTGAAGGTCCCGGGAACCTTCTGCAGCACCTCGATCTGTAGCATCTTTGCAAACGTGTCCAGCTCGCCTGCCGTGGGAAAGCTAAAGTTGGCACTCAGAGACACGTGCAGCGGCAGCGGTGAGCCCAGCTCGCTCATGTGCAAGGGCTCGAAATTCAGGTCCGAAGCCCGCAGCTTGGCGCCCACATCGCGGATCAGCTGGTCCAAGACCAACCGTTGGTGCATAGACGGACGCATTTCGATGAAAGCGAAACTGGCCCATTTGCCGCGCGTCGCAGCAAGATTCATCGGTTCGCTGTATTTGTCTATGTTTGGAGCGATGTGGTATTTATCCAAGATCTCTTGAGGCACAGCTTTCAATTTAGCAACCGACCCAGTTTTTACCAGTTCTTGTTCGTCACTTTCCTCTTCACTCGAATACTGATCTTTCAACAGATCCATAACTCGTTGCGAGCGCTCAAATACACGAATCTACACAACAGTTACAAGACTTAAGCACCGAGTTCCCAGGGTCTCGTTGACTGTAGATTGAAGATTTCAACATTTTAGTAGTGTACCTGAATAATTTTTTTTCACATGCTGGAAATTTTATGTTATTTCGTTCATATATAAAAAAAAGGCGAATTTGAAGTTGAAAGGTAATGAAAACACCTTGTTCTTATTCAAATAAGTGTCTTAAGTCTCTTTAAAGATACTGTACACGTCTTTTAACCTCTTCCACACATGCCAGAAAGGCCTTCAAGTCAAACGAAAACGAGATCGGGGTCCAGATCAAACTCGAGCAGCGGCAGGAGATCTTCGCTGCCGCGTGTGAAGTCGTCACCAAGACTAGTTCGCACTATAAGTACCGATAACGACAGTATATCGCATGGGATGGGTCATTTGAGCTTGGACGCAGGGCCACATGAGTCTATCGAGGTGCCGTTTGTCAAGGGAACGCTCAATGCCAGTCTGCCTTATGAGTACCTGCGCGCAGATGTGTTGAACCTGGCACAGGCACTCAGGGTCCACAAATGGTACAATAAGAAGGGGAATGCCACCCATTTGACGCCATCTCACGTAACGCTGACCAAGATCACAGGCGCTCTGACCAATGCCATTTTTAAAGTAGAGTATTCCAATTTACCCTCGCTATTGCTGAGAGTCTATGGCCCTCAGGTTGACAGCATCATCGATAGGGAGTACGAGCTGCAGGTTCTGGCGCGTCTCTCGTCGCACAAAATTGGTCCTAAACTATACGGCTGTTTCACTAACGGACGGTTCGAACAATTTTTGGAAAACTCCACAACATTGACGAAGAATGATATTAGAGACTGGAGAACCTCGCAAAGAATCGCACGTAGAATGAAGGAGCTGCACTCCGGTGTCCCGCTTTTATCGTTCGAGATAGCCCAGGGTCCAAGCGCTTGGTTGAGATTGGACAAGTGGGAGAAAGTTATCAGTAATTCAGACTGGTCCAATGACGACGCTAACATTCACGCCGTGTTGATGTGCGAAAACTGGGAATTTTTCTTGGAGGCAGTAGCAAGATACCGCAATTGGCTAAAGGACTCCTACAAAGATTTACATCACGGCTTGGTTTTCTGTCACAATGATGCACAGTACGGTAACTTGCTCTTTACATCCCCAGTGGCTCCACCTGCCCCCACTCCGATCTCTTCAGCAGCATCGGTGGAAACCACAGACTCTTTATTTCCAACAGCATCCAATGTCTCTCTCGAGCAAATTATCAAACCTTCTGCGCAGGAACAAATGCAAGATTCCAAACTAGTTGTAATTGATTTCGAATATTCAGGAGCGAATAGGCCCGCGTTTGACTTGGCCAATCATTTCAGTGAGTGGATGTGCGACTACAACTGTGCCGAAGCCTACAAATCGGACGAAACGCGCTATCCAAGCAAAGAGGAGCTTCTAAATTTCATGTACTCATACGCTTCGCACAAAAGGGGATCTCAGAAGAAAAGTATTGACGAGGAGGTAAAAGAGCTTTACAACGATGTCATAAGACAGCGCGCCTGCGTTTCACTACATTGGGCAACATGGGCAATTATACAAAGTGGAGAGTTAGACCATGCGAAGAAGGAAAAGATAATCGAAAAAGGACCGGGTGGTGAAAAATACGTCATTACTATAGATGATGAAGATGATGAAGAAGCTATTTTAGATTCGGAGGAAAACGTTGATGGTGTCGATATCGATACTTTTGATAACTTGAATTTTGCCAAGGATAAGATGGCAGTGTTTTGGGGTGACATGTTACAATTAGGCCTCATAAAGACGGAAGAACTTCCCAAATCTGTTAGCATAAAGTATCTGGATACTAAATTCATATAAGAGAGATGGCAGAAATCAGTGCCATTCTCTTCAGCACAATGGCATTTAGAGGCAATAAATAAGTAATAAATATTTTGAATAATTTAAACGTTGATATTCGATCGATCAAGGTTTACTTTTTCGTTCGACATATGCGGCGATCATAAACAGCTTCTGCCCTTTACATTTCTTTCATACACTAAAGGACAAAAACAAAAAACTTGGTGAGCTTTTCACTTTGTACAATAGAAAAGCGTTTCGTCTCAAAGACCGTGGAGATTGTCGTGACTAATAGGCTCGCTAGATAGCGTTACATGCTCTTCGAAGCGATGCTTGTAGTTTGGTAGTTCTTATGGGACCTTTACATAAGCATCATCTTTCTTGGGTCTTCGATCAATTCCTTGACTGTCTTCAAGAACGTAACCGCTTCTCTTCCATCCAAGAGTCTGTGGTCATAAGTCAAAGCCAAGTACATCATGGGTCTGGATACGACTTGACCATTTACGGTAACAGGTCTTTCCTTAACACCATGCAAACCTAACACAGCAGTTTGTGGCATGTTGATAATTGGTGTACCATACAAGGAGCCAAAGACACCACCGTTCGAAATAGTGAAAGTGCCGCCAGCCATGTCTTCTAGAGTCAATTTACCGTCACGAGCCTTCTTTCCCAACCGAGAAATTTCTTGCTCGACGTCCAAAACAGTCATGGATTCTGCGTTACGGACCACAGGAGTAACCAAACCCTTTGGAGTGGCAACAGCGATTGAAATGTCGGTGTAGTCGCGGTACACAATTTGGTCACCGTCGATAGCGGCATTAACAGTTGGTACATCTTTGGCGGCCAACGTACACGCTTTAGCGAATAGACCCATGAAACCAAACTTGACACCAGTCTTCTTGATTATTTCATCCTTGTACAGTTTACGCATGTCCATCAAAGCAGACATGTCACATTCGTTGAAAGTGGTTAATGAAGCGGCTGTGTTTTGAGATTCCTTTAATCTTTCTGCAATTCTCAAACGCATGCGGTTCATTTTAACCCTCTGTTCGGAACGGGTAAAGTTTGCAGACGAAGCAGAAGGGGTTGGGGCAGACTCCTGCTTAGGAGGAGCTGATTCTTGCTTTGGAGGAGCTGATTCTTTCTTCGGTTGAGGAGGAGGAGGTGGTGGTGTGGATTGCTTTGGCTCTTCCTTAGGAGGTGCAGATTCTTGAGGCTTTGGAGCCGCCTCTTCTTCTTTAGGCTTGGCAGGTTGTTCCTGCGATTGCTCGCCAGCAGCTGGAGCTTCACCAGCCTCGATTTCGGCCAAATCGTCGCCGACAGTGACGGTGTCATCCGGTTGGAAGTTGAGCTTAGAGACTTTACCGGAGACTGGAGCGTTCACTTCGACATCGATCTTATCAGTCTCGATGGTGGCTAGCAGCTCGTCCTGTTGAATGAACTCGCCCACCTGTTTGCTGAACTCCTTAAGAGAACCCTCGGTAAGCGACTCAGCCATTGGAGGCACTTTAACAACTGTGGACTGCGATCTAGATGTGATCATGACTCTCTGCAAAAGTGAGTTTTTGTAATGAAGAGCACCGCCAAATTGTGGGGCAGCAAAGCTCAACGAGCGCTTGCTGACGCCGGACACAATAGGTCTGGCAACTTTGACACTGGATCTGAACATTTGGAGATTTTAGAAATGGTATACTTTCACACCCAACTGATTAACGCTTCTCTTTACCTGCAGAAAAAGCCTGTTACTTTGCAACGACCTTGAAGTCTATATTTGATCAATAAAAGACGGAGGTGTTATTCAACAACTTATAAATCAAGTGAAATCTAGGCGTCCAATACTTTTTGTTTTCTTACATATGAAGTCCATGTTTTTTCCCTCATTATTTGAAAGAGGTAAACTCGGTTCCGACACCGGAAATGAAAGTTGAATAGCAGCCAGTACGAGGAACAGCAACTAAGAACTGCAATAAAGTAGAGGTTAAATGTCTATACAGAGCTAGCAGTCGAGCTAATTTTACGCGGTTAAATGTAGCGCGGATTTTGAGTAAATTTTGAGGAAGTTAGCCATTAGATACGCATATGTTTTATTAGTAACCAGAAAAGGGAAGGACACAGACCGATACGGCTACGGGGACTGGGGAAAGTATCGCAAACAAGCCAGGATTCCGTTCGTGAATTTCCCTTTTTGAAGCAATATCGATAAATCGTTTGTTACGGGTGTGTCGTTCTTCAGAGGTGCACGCTCTTCCATGCTTGTTTTAAGAACTAGCAAGCTAGTCTGTGTATCCGTATTTATCTTCAGACGAAAGCTCTTGTGCACATGGCATAGCACAACCCTATGAATAAGCTGACGGGAAGTATGACAGAACGTTCCTACTCGCAAGGAACGTGTTTCTTGCCTAGGCCGAGCACGCCAGTAAACAGACTGATAGTACTATATCAGAGTTGATAGACTACTGCTTCAGTATGATGATTGTTCAACCCCTTTCTACATAAAATTGGGACCAGAAAACTACCGCCTGGCTTGATATCCCGGCTCATCAGGAGCTGGAAGCCAGCACAGCTCGAACAGCTCTCTAAAGGGACACGAAACTCCAGACAAGAACAAACGCTGCAGACCTATTGAAATGGTCTCCCAGTCAAGTACAAGCACGTACAGCCAGACATCTTTTCTCGTCGTTTCCGCATTATCACTTTTTACTATTCTGACATCGACAACTCGAAGTACGAAAGACCCCTCGATCGCTGCTCTCACTGGCGAAAACATTTCATTCCCGCTCCAGTAGCTGCCCAGAGCTGAGATCCAAACTGATCGACGCAACTGATCTTCGTTGTGAGACATTAACTGTGTCTCAAAACGCTTTGTTTCAAAACGCTGTGTTTTGACAACAAATTACCACAGCTAATGCAGAATTTCACACAAAGACTTCTTGAGCGCTTGCCACTGTACAGGCATCATTGCCATTCTCAAATCGAGACCGGAGAATCCGCTACGCACTCATTCTTTTTCACTCCTCATCACTTTTTTTATCTTGTATGTTATTATATTTAACGGATAAGCCGTTCGGATTTCGCAAAGGTCCTGATAAGCTGTACATCTATAAAAGGCTGGAACAAAGACAAGGATCAAAGACATGAGGCAAATAGACACCAATAAGCCATACTTATCCGGTGTACAAAGTCTCCGAAAGTAAATCTGACTTTAGCATACTTTCAGAATGACCAAATTTAGGGTATTTTATGGAACTTTCGTAGATACTCCGGCACTCGGCCAGCTTAGAATTCGTGCCAGAACCAGCTTGGGTGTAAGTCCAGATGGAACTATCCAGTTTATCAAGGCTGAATCGCAAAACCCTCTACAGGATGCTATGGATTTCGACAAGTCTCTGAAGCCATGGGAAATTTCTGTTATTGACACTTTCCAGCATCAAGGCTTCACTTTCTTCTTCCCGGGGTTCATAGACACCCATGTACATGCGTCGCAGTACCCAAACGCTGGAATTTTTGGGTCGTCGACCCTTCTAGACTGGCTCGAGACATACACTTTTCCACTCGAAGCAGGTCTTAAAGACATCGACCACGCCCGCAAGATTTACAGCAGGGTCCTAGACAAAACTTTGGCTCACGGCACTACCACGGCATCATATTACACCACCATCGACGCAAATTCCTCCAATCTTATGGCCGACATCTGCGCGCAGAGAGGTCAGCGGGCGTTCATTGGTAAAGTCTGTATGGACCAAAACTCCCCTGATTATTACATCGAGTCCTTGTCGGATTGCCAACACTCTTTACAAAAAGTTGTGAATTATATCAGAGAAGAGCTCAAAGACGACAAAATCAAGCCAATAGTAACGCCAAGATTTGCTCCAACTTGCTCCAAAGAGCTAATGACGTGGTTAGGTAAAATCGCACACGATCAAGATCTACACATCCAAACACATTTAAGTGAAAACAAAAACGAGCTGAAATGGGTCAAAGAGCTCTTTCCGGAATGTGAATCATACTCAGATGTTTACGACTCATACAATCTACTAACCAATAAAACGGTGCTGGCTCACTGTATACACTTGTCTGACAAGGAGATAGATTTAATCAAAGAAAGGGAATCTGGAGTATCGCATTGCCCGATTTCGAACTCTTCTATAACTTCAGGAGAGTGTGAAGTTCGTCGACTATTGGATCATGGCATCAAAGTAGGGTTAGGAACGGACCTTTCTGGCGGTTATGATGTAAGCATATTAGCCACAGCTAGACAGGCTTTATTAGTTTCGAGACATTTGGCTATGAAGGAGGTAGACGCTAAGAAGCAAGAACACCTGAAGCTTTCGGTCAATGACGTGCTTTACCTCTCGTCTCTGGGTGGTGCCCAAGTTTTGGCCATGGACCAGCAAGTAGGCACATTTGAAGTGGGCAAGCAATTTGATACGCAATTGATAGATCTGGAAAGTGCAGGTTCCAGAGTGGATGTCTTCGATTGGCAATACACAAAATGGACCGATGAAGGCCGTGACATAGAGAATACAAAACTCTTCGAAGATCTGTTGGCAAAATGGCTCTTTACAGGCGATGACAGAAATACAGTGAGGGTTTGGGTTGGTGGAAAACAGGTTTTCCCCGGCACCAAGTAATGGCTCATTTTTATCTTTCAATGGCAACATGAAGCTGCCACTCTCTTTTAATAATTCTTTAGTAATATGCAGGTGAGTACAGAAGAGGCAGATTAGAATAAATCTCTTGCCACTGGGTGAGTATTTTCATTACGCAGTCCTCGAATGGTTCGCCATTTTTCTCGCAATCAGTCACCGTTTGTGACAACATATTTGCAAGCGTTAGAATGGCTTTGCCGCCAATTTTGGCGTTTTCATTGTCATCTCGAATATTGACGTTAAAAACGTGCACTATTTTGTTTAACGGTCCGCCACGGCTCATGAGATCCTCACACACAGCGTCGAAGCAACGTTCCTCGCAGGTGATAACGAAATCGAATACTTTGAAGCTTTCTTGCCATTTTTCGGGTGCCCGTTTGAGTTTCCGATTCCGATCCAGCATTTCCAGTAGACCATTAGACTTGTAGCGTTCTACTGATTGCGAACGTAGATCGTTGTATATATCATTGTAGGGCGTCCCGAAGGCATAAACGTTGGGTTTGTCCTCTGATAGGCCCGGTAGCCTCACAGCCGAGCCAGTACCGTACGAAGAAACGTCATAACCGGCTTCTTCAAGAATCCTGTGAGACTCCATAGACCGATTGTTGTTGGAGGCACATACCGTACAGAACTTGAGCGCCTTATTCTGTTCAGAAGCCATATAAAAAGATAAATTGAGAGCTATGCAGGATGATGTTAGGTGTTCTTCAAGTTCGTTGAGATCAATCTTGTCCCATCTTCAAAAAGCGCTGATCAACACTCTACGTATTAAACATCACCACGAACGATGTCGTTACATTTGCAGCTGGAACTGTAAAGCTATGATGATATGACACATATAGGAGTTCATCCCTGCCTAGAATGTGCACCGCGTTTCGGATATTTTATTGATGTAAATTTCGTGCTTCTCAATTTCTAAAGCATACTACAACGCTATTCAGAATCAACAGTCGCTTTTCCCTTACCGCTGAGCTGTATAAAACAGACGAAAGTGATTAACAAAATATGCTTGTTCGAGATGAAAGCTCCATCAGATGGTCCACAAGTGACTTTCGTTCACGAATATGCACTTAATAGCTACCTTTAGAATTGTCACCTTGAACCATGGTGCCACTGCTATCTGGCAAGAACTATTTAAGTTATTTAACTTTATGGAGCGACCTTTCTTCTCGTTTACGTAATTCATGGACATTATGGACTTGAGAGCGTCCGTGGCACCTAGATTAATCAATATCTTAGCTGCGTGTTTTTTCAGAATAATGACCTTATGCTCCAGAAACTGTAATTTATGGAACTGGCATAATTAGCCCCTCCGCCTTTCTAAAAGTACCACCGCATTTCCATGCAGTGGAATTTAGAGGTTATCTGCCTAAATGGGGTTTGCTAATTGCCTTACGGTGAGGTCACATATTTTCTCTCTGTTTTTGCTTTCAGATTGAAGAGCCATTGTAGCTTTTGCAGATTGATCCACATTATTGAAATTGTATTGAAGAGTATTGTAAGCTTAATCACACCAATAAATCCTTGAGCTTCCAATCTCAATTGCAGAAATACAAATAGCCCGAAGTATATATCAGCATGTAGAACAGTGTTCAGCTCGCAATTTTAGTATTGATAATAGCGAGATCATAGGTGCTGTATTACCTGCAGCGGACCATGTCTTTCCACAGGCAAAGTGGAATTCATAAGACAGGAGTTATAGCTGTTTTGGGCTCCTGGGATATCACAAGCGGCACGGTTTCTTGCCCTACGAGTACACGCTCGACCTCTGTGTCGGGAGCCGTGCTATCGTGGTCTCCAAAGATGAGGATTTTTTGATTTTTGCACTGAACGTCTTGGAACTCATCATCGTTGTTCGAAAGGCCGGCCTGCTGACACATTGGCGCCACATCTACATACTCTCCATCGAGTGTTGAATCGCGTGCACCCACTTGATCGGTTTCGTCCTCAAGCTCGCTGATAACGCCATCGTCATCGAGAAAATAGTCTTGCGGTCTTGAAGGCAGGACATGTATAATCTGAGAGTCTGCAACATCTTGCTTCCAGGTTTTCCAACCTTCAGAGCCGCGTAGGAGAACGCCGATTAGCATGGACGGGTCAAGCTCTGAAAAGTGAATTTTGTTGAAGCGGTGGGAGTGCACAGAGTTGTATTTTTCCTGGGATGAACTCAACGACGCAAGATCCAGCTGCGACGTGTGAGGATCTAGGTAAAACAAATATTCATCCTGATATCCAAAAAAGTAGAGCGATGATGAAGGGCGCCCTCCAGCAATGCCAACTGACTGGTGAGAGTTTAGAATTTGCCGCACGTCATTCCAGTAGCGCGCATTCACATTATCTAGCCCTAGTTTGACTCCTAGGAGTAACAGCACAACAGAATCTGGGTCCTTCGCAAAGATCGGTTCCAAGTCTTCTTCGTAGACGTCGGCAGAATCAGTCGAAATAACACATTGTGAGATGCCGCATTCGGGAAAATCAAGGACAAGACTCTGGATACTTCGTGACGTGGCCGAGGGTCCGAACCACTCGCCAGGGGACTTATGTGACAGTTTTAGACCCTGCTTGACAAAGTTGTGCAGCGAAAAGGGTGCTGAGTACCGGTCCTCGAACCAGCCGATGACCTGTTGTGTTTGCTGATGCGACAAACTGTCGCCCTTTGTATGCAATTTTTGAAGCTGCTGCAGCGCATTTCCAAGCAACGCCTGGCCCGTACGGATCATGCACCCCCAGCCGATATCGCTGCAAAAGCAGTCGGGGTGGTTTATGGCACTTTCTATCGAGTTTAGCGGGTTTTCCCTGAAGAGCATGCCGAAATTCATCGGCGATGGGCCCGCAGGATCTTTAGGTATGGGCTCGAACTTTGTCCTGTACGTGAAATGCACCAGTTCTTGAACTCGTTCCAGGAATTCAGGGTTCCAGCCCTTGTCTCTGTTGAACAGCTGCCCAAAAACACCCGGCGACGCTGACGTTGTTAACCCAGCCTCGCTTTCAGACCCATCCTTCTCCATAGCCGCGTAAGTTTTCCCTAAAATCACCAAATCATGAACCGTATCTGTGTTTTCAAGCTCGAATAACTGCTGTGACACCCGCTGTAAGAATTCCATCTCTCTATTCTCACAGTCTCCCTTTTATTGCAAGTTCAAAAACATGGTTTAAGATAATTAAAGTATTAAAACTTCAAATTACAATAGTAAAGTAAAGATGGCCAAAAGACACGGTCATTACCGAGCCAGAGGCACTGGTAGAAAACAGGGCGGTCGTGGGAACTTCAAGAAAGCGAAGAACAACAGAAAACAGAATCCCAGAGGCGATAACAATGGTAATAGCAGTCGTGGTGGTGGCAGCTATCTTCCAGTGGGAGGCGGTGATTTAGGAAACGCCGATATGGTAGAAGATTACTATTTTGGACAGAAATACGATCCAAACTCCATGCGTATGGGTGGCTTCAGGCCTGGAAAGCACCATGAGATCGCTGAAGAGGAGAAAACGCGGAATCTGCCGTTGCGGAAGCGGCCAGTAGAGTTTATAAGAGCCATAGAGGTCTACGATCCCTCGCACGATCTGATTTTAAGACTACGTGGGGAGCTTCCGCCTGAAGATAGCGAGGAAAACGCTCTAGAAATGTCGGACGTTGGTATGGAGAGCTCTGACAACGAGAACGACGAAGAACACGACGAAGAACACGACGAAGAACACGACGAAGAACACAGCAATGAGATGGGTGGGGAGGATGAGGAGGAATCACATGCTTCCGACACTGTAGAGCAAATACCGGTGAGATTTGAAGATGAACCTGAAGATATACCAGTGCGGGTGTGTAATCCATCTGGTGAAGCACATGGGACCGAGGTTATTGCTGCGCAGGAAATTCCAAACGAAGAGCTCTTCTTCGTTGACGAGATGCCGGAAACCAGTGGTAAAGTGAAAAGTGTTTATGTGGACGCCGCCACCACCGAAACTCAGAGAAACCGTTCTGTAAACACCGAATTCGAGCCTGTGCTTCTGATAGGCAAGACGGAACTCAACCTTACGCAAAACAACGACGGATCCACCTCTGTTTCCGTGCCCAATTGGAAATCGCATCCTTGCAAACCATCTGTTTCTCGGAACGGTTCACAGGAGAACTTTGACAATAACGATGGCTACGATGATAATGATGATGATGACTACGAGGATGACTCCTACGGTGACGAAGTCGAAATCGAATGGGAAACAGAATCCGAAGACAAGGAGGAATCTGAAAGTGGCTTACCAGCGCGCAGAACTTCACCCATGCTATCAACTACAATTCAAAGCCTGTCACTCAACGATCAGGAAGTTGAAGCTGAGACTCAGAGTGAGCCGCCTAACTCTGCTCCCGAATTTGGATTCTTAGAGGAAGATTTTGCCCTTAACGTTTCCGAGCTCAATATCACTAATATTCGGGTCGGCGCCCGGGAAAACTCTTACTACTTAGGCAGTTACAGATATTTCGGAGACTACGAGCCCAGATGGGTAGACCAAGACGATTTGGTAGAGTTTGTGACAGAAATGGGATTGCCTGAACATCGGATCGATTCCTACTTAAGCTATGTCATGGATGCTGTTGTACCGAGGGGGAGAAGTGACGATGAACTCGACAAAAAAATTGCGAAGGAAGCGGCTGTATTGGCTAGTGAGACTGAGACTGAAGAAGAAGACGTGTATGATAAAGCCTATTGTATAAGCGACGACGAAGATGACGAGGACATGGGAGAAAACCTGGAAGATCTGGTAGCCTACAGTACAAAATATGAAGCTGTCAGAAACCAGACTCACGAAACCAAAAGCATACCAACTAGCGGAAGAGGGAAGAAGAAGAAACTATTGTTTGGCGAGCAGTTTGCTCTGGATGCAGACATGAAAGATGGGCTTCAGAGTAAGCTTTCGACCCGCACAAGTGACAAAGCCAGAAAAAGGCTCGCCAAAGAAGACTTTATGTCACAACAGAACAGCACTTCCGATGACTTATTTTTGAAATACCCATATGGATTTCATGTCCAGAACATTAAGGATGAGTTCGACTTGCTCCTTTCCAAGAACAATCCGTCTATGGCTTTTCCGCCATTTGACCCACAAGGCAACAAGACCATAATGAGCTTCGCGGAGGCCTACTCCATGAAGGGCAAGAAAATGGGTAAAGGTGGGAAGACGTACGTCATGGTGGAGAAGGTAAAGAAAACCAAATGGGCGCTGCCCAACTACAACCATATCAACCAATTACTTAACAATAGACGTGTATTCATGCGTATCGACGTGCGTATGGCCAGGGAGGACCGGTTCTCGAGCGATAAATCCTTCAGCAAGGGCAAATTTCAAGTCAAAGAAGGTGAAATTGTTGGTGAAGATGCGCCAGAGATCGGGCTCGACAACGTCGGTAGGCGAATGTTGGAAAAATTAGGCTGGTCCAGTGGCCAGGGGCTTGGTGCGCATGGGAATCAAGGTATCAGCGAGCCCATTTTCGCCAAGGTGAAGAAGAGCAAATCAGGTTTACGCCACGACTAGTCCGCAGGCGACTATTTCAAACAAAAGATCACTTTCCAACGGGCTCTATTATTTAATATGACTATGTAATCACTTTTCTAAATTTTTGATAGAATCAAGTTTTGTGTTTACATGTCATCTCTTTCGCGTCTGTGAATCTTTATTATTCGACAGTAATTGATACAAAAACTATCAAAGGCCAACATTCGAACTCACAGGGAACAATTGTACCAAGACGTTGATAGGGACTCAGTATTGGTATGTTGGGACTAGGGAATAGCCATGTGTATTCAATGGCTAATCAAAGCTCGATCTCGAACATTTCCAGAGATGAGAAGTACGATTATGAAGATGAAGTGTCAGACGAGAATGATGAGTCAGGGATCTCATTGAACAAGGTCCGCGCAGAGCATGGGTTTAGCCTGCGGTCTTTCATAGACCAGATAAACGCCAAGACGAAAGCCCTGGCCATTGCGCGAGAACTGGACGCCAAAAGAGGCATCACTCATCAGGATGCCACTATGAGCGCGGGCTCCATAGATTCTACCACGAGCACGTCTACCGAATTTCCGAGGGCCACGGTACGCAGAGTTCCATCGGGAGCTCGAGCATCGACAGTGGAGCCTAATCTTAATGCTGCCACGCCGATGAAAGACGTATCTCAAAACGGCGATTCTCAGAACCAGACTATTGACGACCTCTTGGTGCAGTCCACTCCGATTAACACCAGCAAATCCGCACCTTCAAGTCGAAACACGCAGCCGAGAGATATTCTTAAAGGTAAATTCATGGAAAGCCACAAAGCGCAGACTGGAAAATCTACAAGACTGCAAAGTGAAGATGTCCAGTCGGAGCAAGAGCTTGTGTTGGAGGCGGAAATGGAGGTCAAGACTATCCAAGGACAGGGCCTACGGTCTGAACCTTTCAAGAACGGGCCATCTCAGAAAGATCAAGATATCGATGAATTACATCAAATCGTCGATAAGCAAGAACAGCATACTGCGGAGCTACTACAGAACATCCAGAGTCAACAAGAACAGCTTTTTACACAACAAGGGGAAATGGAGAGAGTTCGGCAACAAAGCTTTGCAGACCAGCAAGAATTAAGGAATCGCAATGAAGAAATACGTTTCAGAGACGAGGAATTAATCAAGATCAAAGAACAAATGAACTCAAAAAGTCAGGATTTCGAAATTTACACCCGAGGCCTCGAGCAAGAGGTTCAAAAGCTACGAGAAGCTCTCAAACAGAGCACCTCATCGGCTCAGGAACTTGCAAACAAGGTAACAGCTTTTGAGCGAAACAGCGTGGATCTTTCTGAGAAATTGCACCAACAAAGCAGCGAGCTTCAACAACTTCAAAGTGAACGTGTTGATGAGCAGAGGTGTTTCGATGCAGAAAGAAAAGGCCACAGCTCTAAAGTAGAAGCTTCTGAAAATGAAGTTACTTCACTCCAAGCCATGCTCGATCTTCTTCAAAAGGATCTCGATACAGAAAAAGAAGCCGCTGCGATAAATCGCTCAGCTCACGAAGTTGAATTAAAAGCGCTCAAAGAAACCAATAAAGGGCTGAAAGACGACTTGGAGTCTCAAAAAATCAAACTGCAGAAGGATTCTTCGATGTATGAAAATAAGTTAACGCATTTGGAGACTCAGCTTGTTACTGCTCGCCAGGAAACAGAAAAAATATCTCTCCAATACAACATGTTAGAAAAGCAGCATATCGAGCTTCAAAACCTGCGAGATGGCCTAGAGGAAACCAACCAAGATCTAAAAACCGTTGTACACAAGCTTGAGAAAATCTCTTCAGAACAAGTTCAGACTATTGGTAAACTTGAAGACGAAGTTGAGAGGAAAGTGAAAAAGGAAGCAAATTCACTTTCTAACGCTAGGAAGCATTCCAAGCAGCTCGAGGAAAAAGTACGGCAATTGCAGGATGTAATTGTAACCAAAAAAAACGAGAATGATCTACAAAAGCAAGAAAGCGAATCATTTGCAGGATTCCTGAGAAATGTAGCTTTGTTTCAAACCCAAATTGGTGAAATAATATTCGAACAGTATCAACAGGATAGGTACTGCACTCATTTAGATGGCATCTTCACTGCAAAAAATTCGGAAATTGTGGGATTTTTAAAACAAGATCAGATCGAGTCCATGATAGCTACCTCGGCACGCTTAGAGGCCGTGACCGCGGAGTCAAACAATTTGCAACAGTGTATTAGTGATGAGTGGGAAGTTAAGGTCAAAAAGCTAGAAAATGAGTGCAAAGTACAAATACAGGGGCAAGAAGAACTAAACGACAAGATTCATATTGATGAGCAAAAAATACAGGCCCTGGAGTCTAAGGTGTCCGAGTTAGAAACTAAGAGGCAAGCTGCACTGAAAGAGAAGGAAAAGGATGTAGATGTTCGTCAAAATTTGAGCAACGAAATTAATAGCTTAAAAACGCAACTCGTTGAGAACCAAGGTAAAGGCTTGTTAGAGCTTTCCAGCAAAATGGATCTATTGATCGAAGCGAAATACAATTTGCAAGATCAGGTGCAGGGCTTAGAGACCATTATAAAAGATGGAGAAAAATCTATCGCCGAACTCACCGCACTTGTTGATCAAGAGCGTGCAAATCTAGCAGCTTCGCAGAGCGAACTGCTACAAACTCGCCGGGAGCTAGCAAAAGCTTGTGGAAATCCTGCACATCGTATCACCTTCCAGGTAGCTTCTCAAGCCCGACCCCATTTAAGTCGCAAAACTTACGAATCACTCATGGTTGATGCCGTTAACGACATGGACGTTGTGGAGTTGCAGAACGTAGTAAAAAATTTAATACTGCTACTGGAGATTCCGCTTTCCAAGATAACCAAGAAGATGCCACTTGTCGCCATTTATTTGCGTTATGAAAAAAGCATATGCTTACATTTCGCCAATAAATTACATTATCTGATGTTTCGTGAGACAATTGACATCAAGCGGTTCACAAATATTGTTTATGCTCAGTACGTTGACCATCATGACATCTGTCACCTCGAACATCCGTTAGAATCATGTCTCGATAATCTGTACAAAGCGGTTAGTGCCAGAATTTCAACATCGCCTTTGACGAGTGGATAAAAACTTTTGGAATGGCGGTTGTTATCTGATGAGCTCTCGAGAACTGGAAACGCCTCGGATATGTATCCATATGTGTAAGATCGAATGAATCGCATGAAAGACAGAACTGAATTGAAATGAAGACATGTTACTACGAGCTATTGGGCGTAGAAATTACCGCCTCAGACTCCGACCTGAAAAAAGCGTACCGTAAAAAGGCGCTACAGTATCATCCAGACAAGAACCCAGGCAACATAGAGGAAGCTACAGCTGTTTTTGCAAACATAAGAGCAGCGTATGAGGTTTTAGCAGACCCTCAAGAGCGTGCTTGGTATGATTCTCATAAACAACAAATATTGAGCGAAGATATAGGAAACTTCAACGCTGGAGATGGAAGCGACGATGATTATGAAGTCGACGTATCTGTGACAGGAATAACGACGGATGATCTGCTAAAGTTTTTCAATACAAGTTTATACTCAAGGGTTGATGATTCTCCCGCAGGTTTTTATCAAATTGCGGGGAAAGTGTTTGCAAAATTGGCGACTGAAGAAGTACAGTTTGGGAGGATGCAAGGATTACCAAAGTACGACCACTATCAAGACGTCTTCTTTGAGTCAGATATTCTCAACTTAGGGTACTGCAAGGCATGTAGCAAATACACCTCGCTGTCAGAGACATCGACTTTATTTCCATTGTTTGGCGACTCTGGCGCAAGATTCCAAGATCTCAGGGTATTCTACCGAGACTGGTCCAGTTTCAATACTGTGAAAACTTTCAGTTGGAAAGACGAGTATATGTATTCGCGGAACTATGATAGACGAACAAAGAGAGAAATCAAAAAGCGTAATGAAAAACTGCGACAACAGGCTAAGAGTGAGTACAACAAGACTGTAAAACGGTTTGTGACGTTTATCAAAAAGTTCGACACAAGAATGAAAGACGGAGCTGCTAAGTACGAAGAGGAAAAACGTAAAAAAATGCGTGAGGATTTACAAAAGCAGATCGAAAAGGATAAGCAGGCCAATCTAAAAAACACAGGCGATCCGTTCAAACTTCAAAGTTGGCAGACCGTCGAAGATTATGATTGGACCGAAGTTGAGAAGCAGTACGACTCCGGAAATGATTCTGACAATGGTAAGGAAGGCTCCCAAGATGAAATATTGGTTTACGAGTGTTTCATTTGTAATAAGACATTCAAGTCGCTAGCACAGCTAGAGAACCATCACTCTACCAAGATACACAAAAAGAAACTGCAGCAAGTACAAAGAGAAATGCAAAAGGACAACATGACGCTGGGGCTGGACGCGGTATCTGATGTCGAAGAATTCAACTCTGCAAATGAAGAGGTGGTTAGTGATAAAAGACAAATGGAGTTGGACGAAATAGATGCAGAGCTCAAGAGAATTGAAAAAGAGCTGGAAGGCATAAGTGATGAGGAGAATACAGAGTCGGAAGGTAGCGATTGGGACTTGCAGGGTGATGCAGAGACTGGAAGCCTTGAGTCGGGCTCCGCAAAATTAAACTGTGGGGATAAACTCAGATGTGAGTCTGAACCTGAATCTGAGTCCGAATTCAAATCCAAACCTGAAGTGGAGATAAATAACTTTAGCTCGCGCACTGGTCAATTCGCGGTTGACGACGAGATTGACAACGATTTTGACGTGGTCGCTAAAGATTCTGCCGAGGCCGATGAACTCAGTGTTTTACTGGCTTCGCTCAACGATCCGCAGGAAGCCTCTGATGAAATCGACGAAGATTGGAACATGTCCAAGAGCTCAAAGAAATTAAAGAAAAAGAAAGCCAAAACAACTACTTCTGTTCCAACATCGGAAACAAACCACACACCAATATTTCAGTGTGGGGTTTGCGCTACTAAGCACGCCACTCGAAATGCGTTGTTCGCCCATATTAAGCAGGAAAGCCACGCGGCTCCCGCCCAAAAATCGAAAACAAAGAAAAAGTCCAAAACGCCCAAAAAATGAGGCTATCTGATGTGCTTTTCTCATAAAATCAAGCTCTTTTTTTTTAACTCGAGTACTCGCTGCCCGCAGAAATGCCAAGCTTCCATCTCCTCTAAACCTGTTCTTCACATCTCTTCATTTGGTTTGTCCGGGTGTCACGAGTGTGTCTGTCGAAAATATCCAGATGGCTAAACCACTCACTGTGAAAAAGTTTTCTAGACTGGGCACCAACACGGTGAGTAGAATTCAACAAAAGCAAGGATCGAGACCTAACTTCAGCAGTTTGAGAGCTGATAAGCTTCGACGTTGCCGAGTATAGAGTTTAAAGGAAGTAAATCTGCCTAAAAACAGGCCTTAACGTAGATCATAATGCAAAAGCTTGCAGGAGAAAGACAAACGCCGGTTGGTGGGAGTTCGGGCAATGCAGCGGTATCCAATCTTTCCAGTGCGCTTCGCCAAGTCAATCTAGGGAATAGTAACACCACTACAGATCAAAGCAACATTAGTTTTGATTATCGGAGCCGAATGACCCGCCAGCAACTGCTCGATGAGGTACAGCGGAACAACTTGAGCGCACAACAAGCGGATGAACTTCTCCGTCAGCATGCTCAGCAACAAGAACAGATCCAACAAGCTCAGCAACAGCTTCTTCAGCAGCAACAACAAGCCAACCAGCAAGCTCAGCAGCAACAACAACAACAGCAACAACAGCAGTACATGGGTCCGGCCCAAATCGACAGCTCCAGGATCACAAAATTCTTCCAAAACCAGCCCGAAGAGGGCTACACCCTCTTCTCACACAGATCTGCACCTAACGGTTTTAAAGTATCCATTACACTAAGTGAACTGAATTTGCCTTACAATACGATTTTCTTGGACTTCAACTTGGGCGAACATAGGGCCCCGGACTTCGTGGCCATTAACCCAAACGCCCGCGTTCCTGCGTTAATTGATCACAGCATGGACAACTTGGCTATATGGGAATCTGGGGCCATAATTCTCCACCTTGCGAACCGTTACTATCGTGAAACCGGTGAACCACTTCTGTGGTCGGATAATATGGCAGACCAATCTCAAATCACCGCATGGCTATTTTTCCAAACATCAGGGCATGCCCCAATGATTGGCCAGGCTTTGCATTTCAGATACTTCCATTCTCAAAAGGTACAGAGTGCCGTGGACAGATATACGGACGAAGTACGGAGGGTATATGGGGTCGTAGAGATGGCTCTGGCTGAGCGGAGGGAAGCCTTGATCATGGAGTTAGATACTGAAAACGCAGCAGCATATTCGGCAGGAACAACGCCTTTGTCACGCAGTCGATTCTTCGATTACCCAGTATGGCTAGTTGGTGAGAAGATATCGGTTGCAGACTTATCGTTTGTGCCTTGGAATAACGTTGTTGACCGTATCGGCATAAATATCAAACTTGAATTTCCGGAAGTTTACAAGTGGACAAAGCATATGATGAGAAGGCCTGCAGTGATCAAAGCTCTTCGTGGGGAATAATTCTAAGCATAATGATGACACCTTTGATCAAATTTTGGCAAGCGCAAATAATTTGAAGTGCCGCATCGCTGTAGAAAGGCATTGGAGACCGAAGTGTGTGTAGATGAACTTGCAAAATTTCATACTGGCGTTTCCTGCATTACCGGTCCGACATTAGACTGAACTATGTAATTTGTAAGATAGATAATGCGGGCGTGGTTTTCTGAACAAAGAGATCAAGTTCCTCAATAATACGGTGAAGTCTGGGATGATCGGTCAGCTTATAGCCAATTTCACACTGGTCCGTTATCAAATTACTTCGACGATTGTATTTAACTTTTCATGGAAATGAATTTCATTTGCTCTCCGCTAATCCCAAAAAAACAGCATAATCGAAAACCAAGAGAAGAAGTTTGGGTCTGTTGAAGCCACTTTTGCCAGCTTTTGTAGCTGTGTAACCTTTGAAAATGATGTCCGGCCAAGAATCGAGGATCCAGAGTTTGAGTTCGCTGTGCGAGATAACCTTAATGAGAAATCATCTCATGCTCCAAAATGTTGCCAATATGCCCTACAGATTGATCCGCAACGTTCTCATGAAGCTGAAAATGGATCATCTGCGTAAGCTAGAAGAGACTAATGTCTCGCTAATATTTGAGGATGACGAAGTTTGGCTAGAGTTACTCAAGAAGGACTACTCGCTACATGTGCATGAATCATTTCATCGGAAACGGGACAAGATAGTAGAATTCTACATCTCTTTTGTTGAAGCGCACGATCCCGCTTTTCTACAAGACATGGAACTGATCAAAAGCTTTCTACGATTTGCGATCAAGAAAGATTCAGAATCACAGAGGTACAGAGTACCTTCAAGAATGTTATACTTCACATATCAAGAGGATACACTGCGAAAACAAGAACTAAGCACACAGCGATTACGACTGCGAATGCAACAACTACAGCAAGAAAAGGAGAAAAATCAAATTGTGCCCTTAGAAGACCCAGTCTATTGTGAAAGGAAAACTAAAGGAAGTGGCAGAAGCAATGATAGATCAGGGCCATATATCAAATCTTATAAAGAACACCAAAAGCGCCAGCAGCATTTTAGAAGTGGGGGATTTGATGCGACAACGAAGCCCGTGAAGCGGGTGGCATTTGGTGGTCAAGCGGGTACACCTGCTTCGCAAAGAAATGAAGCTGAAGCCCATCACGCTGAGGCGAAAGGCATCAGCAAAAATCCGTCAGCTTCGGTATCAAGAAGTCCGGTACAATCACAAGTCAAACGACCTGCGACTCCGCCGCGCGGTAAAAAGCCCTCCTCCGATCAAAATCCGTTTTTGAAGCGCAGAAAGCCGATACCGCGGCTCAAAAGTAAAGCTAGCTGTACACCGCCCATTTTGCCTTCGAAAGATAGGGAGCCTGTTGTAGTTAAGTTGAACTCCACCAAAATCAACAAGAAATCTACACGGTCCAGTATTTTTGCTGCACCCACGCCACAAGAGATGGCGTTTGGTCAAGATGGGAACAAGCCAAACGCCTACATTTTCGACAGTTCTCAACGCTAGTTGAACTGCAGCTGGTCATAATTTGCTCTCTTAGCAAACTGCATCTGCAAGTGCTCCATACTTATGCGAGCGCTTGCTCTAGTCATATCTGTGTATATAGGTCATACATAGACATCTAACCACGAACTCCGTCATCGAGGATGTGAACGCAAGAACTGTCGTTTCGTAAATTCTGGTTTACGGCATATGAATGATTGGTAAGAACCCTATAGCATTGTTCCGAAGAACTAGTATACTCGCAACTGCTCTTTTCAAAGAACTGTCAAAGGGCGCTCTTTAAGCGTCGTCCGAACCTCTCCCAGCTCTTGCAATATTGAGCCGTGAAACTGGCCCGGGGAAAACAGGCGTCGTACTACGAAAGCCAATGTGCTTCGCTAATGATTGAAGCAACTAGCTCCAAATGTGATGGAGATTGTAAATGTAACCCGTGCTACGAGCGCAGAAAGCACCCAACAATATGCACCGTGTGACTTGTCACGCTGGAAGCTACAAACACTGCTGCTTCCCACATTTATCAACCCTCTATTCATATTTCCATCTTGAAGTATGGGAAACTTTGGAATTACGGCCTGACTGAGGAGAACAAAGCTTTTGAAATATCAACGTTCTTGCAAATTACCTTTTGCATCTATGCTCCACAACAAGAGCGCTAGTTGACAAAGGTTCAACACAGAGAAAGGAGCCCTGCCCAATTTGCGCAATATTTCACACTTTCCGAATATTACTCGCCTGTTGTTATGTATTTCTTGGTTGTTCGACACGCTTTCCTAAAAAGAGGCCGAACAAGAGACAACGTGAAATTTATATTGCATTGACACACTGAGAGGCGCTGTAAAGAACCTGGACCCTTGCGACCTGTGCCTAGCATGTGTCAGCGCAGACTGAAGGTGCAAGTTATTCAAAGTTAGTCTCATGGCCATAAAACGTTGGCGGGACGCCTGTAAACCTTTCTACGCGTTAGCTGTTGCTTATATCACAAAATATCAAGGAGTAACCGTCCGCGCACTTTCGTTTTCGAAAAGTTACCCAACTCAGTCATGGCGCCAAAATTAACCATACTTCAAGTATTTTTTCCGCCAGAATAGGCTAAACTGATTGTCCGCACACAGTTCCCTGCATATTATTAGTTCAAGATTGTTCCACCGTTCTACAATTGATAACGCGGGGCAAAATGCCCCGTTCGTGGCATATACTATTCATGGTTTTGCTCTAAATTTTGATATATTGGCTTCCGGGCTGAAAAATTGGATATTTTTCAAATATCAGCCACTGCACTTAACTAATTGGAAAACTGTTTGAAAATAAATATAAATAGAAAAGGGTAGTCAAAGGTGAAGCATTCTGGAATTTTTTTGCATAAGCCCAGTTCATTCACTCCAAAACGCTGCTTAAGGACTCGACCCAACTGCATAACTACTGTGCCGCTCGCCAGCTAGTAATATCATAGAATCCTTGTATCACTATCCACGATACCACCTGTTTGCCACGATTCACCTGCTTTTTATCTTGCCTAGCCTATAATGAGACTCTCAAGTGCGATAACCTCGCTTCTGTCACTAGGCGCTGCCTCTGCGTCGCTCGTGGCCCGCGATAGCATCGACGGGCTCGATTTTGACATCTCGTTGATCGAAGAAACCGTTCCTATGAAGTATATCAAGCTCGATTTTGACAAACTTAGAGGTGATTCCCCTGAGACAGCTGTCAAGGGAGCCCAAGGTGCTGCTCACTTGGTCAAAAGATCTGATGGAACCGCCTTGGTTTATCTCAAAAACGAGCAGACCTTCTACTCCGTCGAAATCGGCGTGGGTACGCCAGCGCAAAATCAAACCCTGCTTATTGACACGGGCTCTTCAGACCTGTGGATCATGGGCTCCAACAACCCTTTCTGCGCGGGCTCTACCTCGAGTAAGAAGGATGTCGCTATCGACGAGAGAGGTATCCTCAGCTTTCTATCGTCTTTGACAGCCACTCTCACTGTCACAGCATCTGCAACTGCATCCAATGTTCCTTCTAGGTCATCTGTCTCCTCTGATCAGGCGACTTTGTCCTGCTCTGAGTGGGGAACTTTTGCCACTGGTTCTTCTTCAAGCTTCGAGTCCAACGATACTTCGTTCTACATTGTCTACGGTGACAACACTTATGCCCTTGGTACTTGGGGTTCGGACAAAGTTACTTTGCAGAATCTTGAAATTCCTCGTGTGAACTTCGCTGTTGCTAATGAAAGTACTTCCGAATTTGGTGTCATGGGTATCGGTATGGAAGAGCTGGAATCGACATACGCTTTGGCCTCCAGTGCAGCAGACCGCCACACCTACGTCAACTTCCCGTCGGCATTGAAAGCGCAAGGTGACATTCATTCCAAAGCGTTTTCCTTATTCTTAGATACGCTCGATGCCAAACACGGCTCGATTTTATTTGGCGCTATCGACCATAGCAAGTACTCCGGCACTCTATACACTGTCCCAATTATCAACACTTACAAAAGTAAAGGTTATGCCAACCCTATAAGATTCGAAATCACCATGCAAGGGATGGGTCTTTATGCTAACAAAACCTCGACTACCTTCACCAACTCCAAGATCCCGGTTGTGCTTGATTCGGGCTCTACTATCAGTTATTTGCCCGATACCTTGGTAACAGCGGTCGCTAAAAAACTGAAAGCATCATACAGTTCTTCGAGCAGCGCATATATTTTTAGCTGCTCTGAAGTAAGTGACGATGATTCTTTCGTCTTTGATTTTGGAGGGTTCCAAATAAGAAGTGCTTTGAGCAACTATGTTCTTGACGTTGTCGATAATTCAATCTGCGCACTTGGATTAGTGCCTCAGGACGCTGACAGCAGTTTCATTTTGGGTGACAATTTCTTGACCGCTGCTTATGTGGTATATGATATGGACAACATGGAGATATCTATGGCTCAGGCCAATTATAACGGCGGGGCTGAAAGTATTGACATTATTACCAGTACCGTGCCAGGAGCGGTGAAAGCCCCAATGTATTCTTCTACCTATGGCTCCTCTTTATCTGTGGCTACGGGTGGTAACATTTTTACCCTATCATCAAACGCAATCGTGTCCACGTCTGCTACCTCAAACGGTACCGTAACTGGGAGCGGGACAACAATCTCCCGCTCAGGATCTTCCTCGAGCACAAGCACGAGTACCAGTGGAAAGAAAAATGCCGCAGTAGGTGTCGTAGCCCCAAGTCATGGCGTTTACAGCTTCTTCACCATACTAGGAGTTAGCATGGTTGCTGCCCTCTTATGATTTCTAAAAGTTTTTATGAGTACTATAGTGTAAATTGCATTTTACTTAGAAAAGAGCAGGAGGTATAGAATAAAGCTACATGTTAGCCGTCGCTGTTGTGCTTAGGTCTGCGACGTGATGATTTTTTTGATTTACTTGGTTTGCCGTTGAACATGGCTCGAAAACTCGCTTCGCTCATCTTGTCAGAAACAAAAAAGCCATATGAGCGTAACCAGGGATTTGAAATGAACGGTGTTGTAGGTTGTTTTAAAAGGAGGATCCAAAAAGCGGCAAAAAAAGGAATTTAGTGAATTGATAACTGACGTAGAGCAAAGGGACGCTTAAAAAAGAGGCCCTCTTTCAGATTAAGTAGATCATGGAGGAATAAATATTTGATTATTGCTACTTAGTATTAAAGTTTCAAAGTTCATGCCATACTACCATATGGTTTCAAATATAACCATCGGCAACGAGCGTCACTAGTTGCCATCACGTCATAGGACATCGTATTGTCACTGTGACTCGCTGGTCTAAAATGATCAAAGTTGGATATCGGCCTCAGCATATCGATACAGGCAGTCTGCAAATAGCAAACGCCCAGGTATTGAAATGAAGTATTGCATAGAATAATGTTTTAATATCATTGCTCTGGGAAGCAATTTGTACACTTTATGCCCAGCCTAGTGCTATTCACCTCATCAGAGATTGTTGACCAAACCTGCTGTATACATAGCGATGGTTTGTTCCTTCAATCGAAGTTCGCTACAAATCGCGTTTATATAAAAACTAGAAGAATTCACATCGCTGAGTTATCGATCAATTGATGTATGGCCATTGACGAGCTCACTGAACTCGCCTTATATCGTATATCCTAAGATGTTAATTGGTTATGCGAACACGCCGACTGAGCACAAGGCCTATTTGAGTTATAAGGCGCTACCCAAACGCTCCAAAACTGATGTAAGCCTTCTCGGGGGAAACAAGAAGGTATCAATCAAAACAAATGTCGTTCATACCGCTGTCGACTTCAGAGATCTATTTCGCGTAACAATATACATACGTATGGAGCAATTAGACTCGAGAAACGGGCTTCTCAAAGGCCAGGGTAGTTGAGCAAAAAGCATTGTTGGACCATTAAGGCTTCTTTATACTGGCAAAGAAGATTCCCGGCGGCCTTTATCTGCTGGTGTAACAATACGTAACGTCTAAAGATGTGATGTTTCCAAGAAGAAAGCCCATGAATTGTCAAATTAAAAAAACAGCCCTAGCAAGCCCTCGAAAACAGGGCGCGGTCGTGGCCGATTAGCGCTCTACCAAGTAGCGTATGGCTCTTCGTCCGGTACGTTTAAAGTACTGGCCCAGATGTGTTCTAACAACTCCACTTACGGCTTGAGAGATTAATTTTTCGGCGTCGCAACGAATTTCCTAGGTTCTCGTGCTACATTCGTCTCGTAATCCATGTAGCACCACCCTCGCACTCGACACTGCTTCTCTTACTACAATTTTGTTATTTCATGATTGTTCACTGAGCTTCGCGCTCTGGACTACTTACTACTCGCGCTATTGAACAAGACTCGCTAGAGCTCGTTCTTTCTCGCATTGTTCAGTAGTGCGAGTATCCTATTGAACAAGACTCGCTGAAGCTCGCCCTTTCTCGCATTGTTCAGTCTTGTCATACCACTGCGTTGCATCGCCATCTACCTGTTTCTCCACCCGGCCCTCTACTCGTCTCTGCTGAGCCAATTATCTACTCGTTTAAAAAAATTGATAAAAACCCTACTGGATTATAAATGCAAGATTTAATCGATCGACACCACCAGAGAACCCACCCGCGACTACTGCCACGCACCGAATTCATGCAAATTGACGCTTCGCCCCGCGGACGTCTCGTAAAGTTTAGTCCCAGCATTCCATCCAACTATTGCCGCAAGTATATATTTCTGTTAAAAATCTCTCTTGCTTCGGACCTCTAATCTACCCGCTTGCCATCACATCAGTTTGGACCAGAGTGCGTGCATTTCTGCAGGGTGCTCCAACTATATGTGGTAAATCCACGATCAACTCAAATGTCACTGTCTTTGAATTAATTTAATAAATTACAACGCTGTCCACCTGGTGGTCCGTCCATCCATAATTATACAGCACCTACACTTGTTTTTAGCTCGAATTTGCTCGGTGGGATTTAATTTCTAATCCATTCGTAATACCCTCTGCTTGGTTCCGCGTTTCGTGCGGTACAATACGGCACCTTTGATATTTTACGGGTTTCGCGGAAAAAGATACGGAACAGAATATTAGACCTCTAAGAGGTCGGAAGCTTTAAAAGAGCTGAATTTAAATTTGATGTTTTAAAGATTATTCTCAGAGTGTTTTAAAAGCTAACAGAGCAGTGAGTATCCTCTGTTAACCGTGTTTAGTCGATCGCATCAGTATCGCATCAGTATAGCATGTTTAGACGTAAGAAAGAAAAGAAAGAAGAGACTGTAGACAAGTCGCGGCTGATACCCACGGAAACACCCATTGCAGAGTTGCCAGCGTCGATACAGCCTCCGCCAGGCCCCAAATTGTCGTCTGAACAGCAGGCCAAGTATGTGGAAGTTCTCCGGCACTTCCAGGAGCCGGACCTGAAAGTTCCCACGCAGGAGAAACCCAAGAACAGCAGTGGTGATGATGGCGACGAAGCGTCGATGACGGCGATTTCGGTGAACGAAAGAGCATGGCTCACCAGGGAGTGTTTTCTGCGGTACCTGCGTGCCACCAAGTGGGACGTGACGGACTGTATAGCGCGCATCACGCTGTCGCTAGCCTGGAGACGGCAGTTCGGGATCGACCAGTTCGGCGAGGAAAACGGCGACGCGCTCAAGGCTTCAATGGTGGCCGAAGAGGAGGAAACGGGCAAGCAGTTGGTTCTCGGGTTCGAGAACGACGCCCGTCCAATCCTGTATCTCAAACCGGGACGCCAAAACACCAAGACTTCGCACCGCCAAGTCCAGCATCTGGTCTTCATGCTCGAGAGAGTCATCGACTTTATGCCTGTCGGACAGGACTCGCTAGCGCTGCTGATCGATTTTAAAGATCATCCCGACGTGCCCAAAGTTACGGGAGGTAGCAAGATTCCTCCCATTGGCGTGGGTAAGGAGGTTTTACATATTCTACAAACGCACTACCCCGAAAGGCTCGGTAAAGCTTTGCTCACCAATATACCGTGGCTGGCGTGGACTTTCCTCAAAATGATACATCCCTTCATCGATCCCTTGACGCGCGAAAAACTGGTCTTTGATGAACCTTTTATTAAATACGTGCCCGAAGACCAACTGGAAATGCCATATGGTGGTCTCTTGGACTTCACTTACAAACACAATATCTACTGGCCGAAACTACTGGAGATCGCTTCCAGCAAGAGATCTCACTATCTCTCTCGGTTCGAGAAATTCGGCGGTAAAGTAGGTCTCAGTGAGTACGATTTAAGAGGTGACCATCCAGATTTGCAATATCCTGTAGAGTGAGTTATCAGAAATGGCCATCACGGCTCATGTTAGCAGTAAACACATAGAGATAAACAAATTTTAAAAAAAGTCAATAATTATATTATAATGCTTATGCTAACGCTCTCCGCTATATACACGGTTGCCGTCTTTTAAAATGGTTTTGCACATTTCCGTAACTCCATGAACCCTGTTGATGGAGCAACCATGGTCTGCCAGTCAATAGCATACATCAGACCTCCGGCCCCATTACATGCCCGTGCGAACACCACACCTAGATCGTTTCTCGCAGTTGAAAGATGATAGTTTGAACCATCTCCCAATGAGATAACCTGCGCTCTTACTATATCGCCCGGTCTAAAGCTTTCCATTATCTTCACTTTATCTCTGTCGGTAGCCCTCACGTCCCGTGAGCTGATAATTCCTCTGAAGGTCTCACCTAAATCGGAAGACACCTGCGACACCGAAAACGTTGCCGCTCCGGAGCCACCTCCTGGTGCTGTGATTCCAGTACCATTACTACCTACTCCGGAATCAACTGGAACAGTTCTATTCTCTACTGCCAGAATCTCAACGTTAGCTCTTTGTGACGATATGCGCGTAACTCTTGCAAGCACAATGTTGCCTTCACATGGCAGGTTGTTAGCAAAATCCTTGTTGACGCTCCTTTTAGAAGCTTCTTGATCACTCACAGTAACGATAAATGTCCTTTCAGTATCAGTGCTACTTGTATCTTCCGTGGCCTCCTCTTTTGGAGCTTCTTCACTCGGTACCGCTTTCTTCAATTCTTCTTCAAAGTTGACCTCCCCTACTACAGTTGCTGTCAAAGCTCTCATAACCTTACCATCAAGTTCATAATCCTCCTCAGCGACCCCATTGCCAGCGATGTATCTTATTATCTCCTGGGATTCAACGCTTTTTGCCCCCAATTCAAAAGCTGGGCAAATTAATTGGCCGGGGTAAGCGGTCGGATACTCTTTGGCGTAAAATGCCATCTTCTGCGCTAATGCACTTGTCTTCTTTCTTTGGAGACTTGCAGTTTAAAAATTATGGATTTTCAAAGTTTGGTGCACCATAAAATTTTTAAGTCTATTAGGCGTGTCTTCTTACGAACAAACATTTGATGATGATTACTCAAACCATTGATTAGCATGAACCAAGGACGTTGAGCTAGCTTTCATATAGCGACAGAGGATAGCCTTAATGTTTACAAACCTGAGTATTGCTTTCAGAAAGCAGCTTGTTATCTTTGTTATAATTTTAGTAAAAGTGCGTAAAACATCTTGAATCCTCGTGAACTTCCATCTCTGATTTTAGCGAGTTCAGCTCGTCTTTTATCATTTGAGCTAGCTGCGGTGTAAGCTGGTTACAAGTTGCAATTTCGGGGTGTCTGTCATACTCATCTTCGGTATAGGTTGCGTAAAGGATTATGTTAGTCGAAAATGTCACGGTTTTGACAGCCGCATAGTCATCAAAGGATCCTGTGCCAGTGTAGTTTGTCGGTGAAGTTTGAAAGACTGAAGGCTGAGAATTGCTGTTAAGCTGATTTGCTCGCAACCCTTTAAAAGACAACGACAATGGTCTGCCGGCAGTGAGCGGGCTTTGCCACGTTGGCGAGTCGAGCCCTTCAGATTCGACGGGTTCTTCCAGTTGATTGAAGTTTTCACCCTCAAAATCATCATCATCGTCATCGTCATCGTCAGCAACAAGGTAATTGCGAACAGACTTATCGCTTCTCGACTCCTTTTCACGAAGAGGTGAGGCCGAATTCTTTGTTAGGTGTTCATCCCTATTAGTTACTTTATTATTCTCGTATTGCGAATACGGGTGATTACTTTGATGATTATCATGATCGGACTGAATTTCTTGCGTGGTCTTCTGGGTGTCTTTCTCGAAGTTGAAGGAGTCTGATGACGCATCATCCGTTTGTTGAGTATAATGGTTTTTTTCAGACGGGTTTAGAGATCGGTACGTAGTATCAGCATGATCAAGATCTAGGTTCAGATCCAGGTCTTTATCAAAATCGATGATACTGGCGAACTCCATAATATCGGACATAAAATCAGTTTCGTAATTTTCACCCAGAGGTCCTGCCGTACTTTTCTCGAGCTTCTCTTTCTCTTCTTGGCTTTCACTATCAAGAGTGAGATCATTGAGCTTCTGCTCTATAGATGTGAAAGAAAAGTCCCTCTCCTCAGGTTGGAAAGCGCCGCCTGAATTTCCCAAGCCTTTTTGACTTCTCGACGAGCTTTTTTGTGGTGAAAATTCCAGGCTGTCAAAGGTGCCATTTCTCAAAATGCTACTAGTTGGCGACTTACTCAAGTCCGGAGTAGAAAGTTTAACCGCCGCTGGCTCGGTAATAAACATTCCACCGTTGTGTGCCTTGTTTGACATGTTATCGGTAAAAGACCTTCTATGCGAGCTCAAGGAATTGCGTTTATTAGATTTAACTGATCGCGATCTTTCCAAGGACACAATGGACTCGACCTCTTGGGCGCTCAGAGACTTTGGAAACAGAACTTCCCCGAAATCAGTCCTTCCGGTATCACTGACGTCTATTGAAGGAGAATGTGGCTCAGGTGATGGTGGAGTTTTCACTATCAGATTAGTCGGCGCCTGATTTAGCTTTTTATCCATGATTTCAGGCTCTGTGCTAATATGTTCCAAGTTCGGAACAGCCTGAGATTTTTGTTCGGGACTTGAAGTATTTTTTGGCGCCTTTTGCAGCTGCGGTGGTGCAGCTAATTTTTGTTCAAAGTCGAGAGGAGTAGGTTTCCGCAATCGAACGTCTCGCTTTACAGGCGAGCCGCCAGTGTGATTTGTGGACACTGCTGAGTCAGTGCGACTGCGTTGTTTGGGGATTCTAAGATTCCGGTCGACTGCTTCTTTCTTTGCAGTTTTGTTCTTTCTGAACGAATTAAATATACTCCCGTTACTGTGTGATTTCTTTGCCAACTTGTTCGACGCTGGTAAATCGGCATGATCGTTAGTTTTGGGAACAGAAAAGGTCGAAGATGTCGGAAGATTAGAGTTAGACTTAGAGTCTAAAACAACGAACGAAGCAGACTTCTGAGGCTTTCTTTTCAAAAACGAAAAGATGTTTTTGCGCTTCTTGCTACCATTAGAGTCCTCTATGGAGTTTTCTACCGAGCTTCGTGATCCCATAGACATGCCTGAAAAAGATCTTATGGAAGAAGCCTGCTTCTTCGGAGTAGGGCGTGGGGGTCCAGCTAAGTCAGCCGAAGTAGAGGGCGAGGGCGAGGGTGCAGCAGTATTTCCCGATGTGTTGCGTATGGGATTCTCAGCATGTTTTTCTTCCACATAATCATTTTTAAGATGTGCTTCATCTTGCTTAGGTGCAGCAGCGGGATGTGGTTGGATTTCGCACACATTTTGAGGAAAGTCAGAATCCGCCGGTTCCACGCGAGGAGTTGGAGGGTCTAATTTGGGTGTGGTTAAGAAGTCAGGCTGTTCAGGTATCTTTGCATGATGGGCAGCGACCTGGGGGGCATATTTGTAGCTTGAAAAATTGTTGTCGTTAGAGCCGCCCATGTCTATGAGATTGGGGGAATCCCGTACCACAGGTTCAATAGGATTGCTAGGTAGTTCTTCCTCTTCTATGGACTGTTCCAACACTATATTAGAGCTCATGCGTTGTTCCACTCTTTTTGCCTTTTCACTCAGTATTCCGGACAACGCGCTTAAGGAAGGTGACGCTGTAACCTTCAAAGTTTTGGTCTCTGTTTCATCGATGTCTGAGTCATTTCGATAAGAGCTTGGATCTTGAGGCTCCTCAAACTCATGCAAATTGGTTGTATGGAGTCTCAGGCCCGACTCATAACTGGCGTCCCTGGACATATCCGGCAGGATCACAGAATTGCGGAAGTTTCGAGCATGTTCGTAGTTGTCGATTGAATTTGACGAGTAAAAAGTGTCGTTCAAATAGCTTTCACTGTCATTCACCGACCCATCTTGGTAGTCGAACATGGTATCCTCCTCAGCTGTGAAGAATTCGACTCTTAGATTAAGATGGTATTCCTTATCACTTTCTGCAGCAAATACACTGTAAATATTATACCTGTTTGTGCAGACAAGTCTCTAATGATATCCAGATGTTTTGAGTGCGGTAATCGCCTCTGAAATGGCCGCTGTTTTAGGTTGAATAGCGTCGATTCACTTCGAAAGTTGAACAAGGCTTTTTGACTTTTACGCGATCTCAAAGACAATTTTCGTGATCTCGAGAAACCATACTCCGTGTTGGATGATTAAATTTACGAACAATCAATGGGCTAAAACAGCTAATTACTAGGCTATCTGAAGGATATGGTGAGCACCTCAACCGGTGTATTATGGCGAATAACTCGCCCTGATTATTTTGAGATCATTACAGCTTCCAGGCTAAACTGAGGCTCGCGTCAGTCTTTTTTTTAGAAAATGCAAGGGTTCTTCACATTATCACACAGTCTTTATCTTGTTCTTGGGATTTATTTGTAGCGTAAAGCGACCTAGCTGGGATTTCGTTCTTTTTCAGCTGTTTTGGTGTCTTTATAGTATTACTTCGTGGAAGTGATACTGGCTTCTGCGCCATAGATAACATAACCTCTGGAGTGGAGCTTACTCTGAATTTTTGACTTGATGATTGATGAGCCATAGAAGGACTTTGAAGTGCACTAGCAGTGTAAGGAAGGCCCTTGGCCACGTCTGGTACTGGGAATCTTATTTCGTTTCTCGTGGCATCAATCTTTAGCACCGGGTCGATGCCAAATTGCAGTATACTGTTGGCCAGATAACTGTACAGTCTTGACCACGTTTCCTCCAGTTCCAAAGTTGTGTGGACTCCGAAGCGCTCCTTTATAGTTTTAAGGAAGGCCATGCCCATAAGCTCAAAGTGAGGTGGCTCAATAGCCAGAATTCGAGAATGACGTTTACCCAGGCCGGTAAGATAGGTCTCTAGTGTCGAGAGATCATCCAGGTTGTTGACTGCCATAGTGAGCACCCCAGCAAACGATACTGCCTGATGTTTGATCGACGGAAACATTTGTTCGATAGCGGGTTCCATGTATAGCAAGTTACCGTAGAACTGGCTGCAGAAAATAGAGCTTGCGAACGCACCGCTACTAATGGGTTTAGAGGCGGAAGTGAATGTTGGTTGAGCATTTGAAGTCGAGCCCCACGTATTGTTAGACCCCGCACGTGCCTTGCTAGTGTGAGGCGTGCGCACGCTCGTGACGGAGCTTTTACGCTGTGAATTACCGCTACTGCCCCAAGAAGAAGCTCCTATCTCATTCCAAATCCTACGAAGCACTGTGCGAAACCTGTCTCCGGAAAGATCGTCGTTGAGCATCATACTCCACGAGTTGCGGATCAAGTTGATCTCCCGCACATTGAGCTTGAGTACAACCTTGTAGCGAATGCCGTGGCTCATACCAGTGCCACACGACGAGCCGCTTGACACACTGGAAAGCCGTTCCATGTTTTCGACGGAACTCCATGGACTACCAGCGGTGAACCCGTCACTGAAAATGCTCTGCGACGTCTCGGACGGCGCCAAAGAGTCACGACGAGAATATTGGTCATTGAAGGGCTTGCGCAAACCGTCTAAGCTTGGCGTCGTGTCCGGGACACCCTCGATATCTACAATGGATTCCCGGTCTGCTGGAATGAAAGCGATCTGCGACCTATCCAAAGGATTGAAAAAAGACTCTGTCGTCATCGGGTAATGGAGTTCAAATAATTTAATATGATCTTGGGGAGCCTCCAAGTGTGGCGATGTTATTTTGGTGTAATGGTGAGATTTTCTGAGATCACTCTTAAGGTCTTTGATCTTTTTTTGAATTTGCCATTCTCAGATCCAATTCTTTTCAATTATGTCGATCTCTGATCTCAGGAATGCAACCTGCAACGGTTTTTTTCATTTTTTTCAGAGCACTTGATCACTTTTTGAATCAAAATGAAGAATGCAGATTTCAGGCAAAGCAAGTGCACTTATTGGCTTGAATCAGGCCGACAGCTGCAGTCCACACTTTACCCAGATAGGCGGAATCTTGGAGCTCAAGTAGGAACAGTAGTTGCATTGAAGAATCTGCAGGATACTTTGGCCGAAGCAACTTATGTCGTCTGAATCTGATGTAGGAACGAACCGCAAGCAGCTTGGCTAAGTCGTGGTATCTTTACGAGGGATTTGCTAACCTCGGTAAGTGCCTACGGGGACTTTTTAACGATTGGAAGAAAAAAAGTACTCCTTTTTTAGTCGAAGAGCTGTTGCCGTAGATATACAATGCCGGGGTTAGTAAAATTTCTAACGGTTGAAAAAATGAATGCGAAAACGTTCGTGCCTTTGCAGTTGGCGAAGCAGTTGCATTTCGAATAGTTGCCTATGAAACCAAGCAGGTGATTGGCCTGCAGAAAACAATCGAAATTAGCGAGTCAATTGAGTGGATGTATGTTGTTACCGACTAAGGTGGCCGGAGAAAACTAACGGGGCTCTCAATGTTGGTGCAGTTCCAACGGTACATCCAGATCTCCCGAATAGCTTACTAGAGTTCGTAATTAACGAAACCGTTGTAACGCGTTATTCTGAGTGTCGAGAAATCGTATCTCGTTCGAGGAAGCCTCTTGATACCGTTAAATAGCATGGGGCTGGTCCCTTTACGCGCACATCTTAGTGTAGTTGCTGCAGTTCTGCGGTAGTAAAGAGCCACGGAAAGAAAAATTCGTGGCTCGAGGTTTTTGACGTCACAATGCGACAAAGTGATGAGCGAAAACTATCATAATTGTTGCTGGACACCGTTCTCGCTCTAGCTCGGACCCTGTAAATATGCAAGATGCTCTATCGACATACTTTTGTTGAAGTACCGACAAGCGTGCAGCGCAAATGAGCTTGAGCAAAGGCCGGCTTTTAGCACCAATGCCACGAGTGTTTGAAGTCTGGCTCTCGCACCCTGCGAGGAGTTATACCTAGTATTCAAGAGCCCAGTAATACGAGTGAGTTATTATCGGTATCATCCTGCGTATCTTGTACAGCATGCGAGCTCCCGTTGATATGAGTGATATTGGCTCGCATTGAAACCTAAACTGTGCATTTGTTCATGCAGCTCAATTTGCGCGCTCAATCCCAGGGCGTTGCTTCACTCTCGACAATTGAGTACTGCTCTGCAATCTTCGTTATTCAACTGACCTCTTATGATAACTATGCGTTCCCCGTCATCCCATCCTGAACGTACTTATTTACTCTACGCGGGATTTTCTTGGCCACTATACACTTGTAACGACGTTCTCAGGCCTAGTCACTTGTTAGTCTACTGTGTTTCGCTTAAACATTTTTCAGAGCTTTCATTTATTTGCCCTTTCAGAGTCCATTTTATTCAGGCTTGCTGTTACTCTTGAATTGCTTCTAGAATCCAAGGTATTTGCGGCTGTACCATCCATCTTGTCGAACATAATTTCCGTAGTTCACCGGCCCACGGCTTATTGTTTACTCTTTTTGTTCTCCGCTCGTTTCAGGATGTTCAGTAATCGTCCTGCGATCACAGCTCACAAATCCGTGGCCTTTTTTCACTACCCTGGACAATAATTCATACTTTGAGTCTTTGTTTACTGACACCCCGAACTCCTGCGCGTAATACTGCAATTTCAAAATCTGAAAATTCACAAAACACCAAAATCACTATTGCATTTTGAAAATCCATTGTGCAACAGAAAGGGTTCATGGAAGTCCGAAACCACGTCCAGGACGTTTGCCTCATTGAGAGCGCCCCAGGAAACACCTTTCTGTCTCGGCTAGTCAACTTCCAACCGCTCACGAACTCACAAGTTAAGGTGAAATCGTACCCGCTAGACCAGATCAAAAATCATAGGGTGCAAGAGTCTTTGGTGGTCCGCGACTTGCTGCTTGTGCTAGTTGGTTTAGAAGGTGTGTATATTAGGTACAACAACAGTTATGACCCAAGAATAGGCTCCGAAGACGAGATCAGAGGACCAGACTTTAAGATTGCAAAGAATATGGATCCTTCGCTCAAGAGCTTCGCGAAGTGGATAGTAAAATTCGGAAAAATATATGTGGTCTTAACGAGATTCAGTGAGCGCTTTACTGATCCTGTTTATGGCGCTGTTTTGCATCGTCTCTGTTTCGAAATTCGCCAGTTTTTGAGTAACGAGTACATGAGGTGCATTGTAGAAACAGCAGAAACTGAGTTTGAAACCAACACACAGTTCAGTATACGAGAACTCGGCCAACTGCTTACTCAAAACTGTGTATTCAAGGCGCAGCTACTCCATGAGCTGGTTCAAGAAATCATGCAGGAAATGAATCGTAGGGCAATGATGGACCGCGAGGAAGCCGATTTCCAAAACTTTATACAAGATTTAAGAAAAGAGAAAGAAACGGTTCAGTCATCGGTCCGCAGTGATCGTACGACAAGTGTCCTATTTATGACAGACTCTAGAATAAATCTTCATGCAAGAGGGGGTGTAATCTTGCAGCTGGTTGAAGATAAGCTCAAGAGCAACTGGGGTAATCAACGAAACGTTGATTTTCTTCAAAACCTGTTCTGGAATATTTCAGCTCAGTACTGTACCATGCTGGAAAAATGGCTAACTAATGGTTCTCTGGAGGACCCTTATGATGAGTTCATGGTCTCAGACACCACAAAAGCTGCTCCCAACCAAACATCAGTAGCACTTAATTCTCTAAACAGTGAACGTCTATGGGATACACAATATGTGATACGTAAAGATGGGCTGATGAATCAACTCAACTCCGGCGACGTTGCGTTCAAGATACTGATGACAGGCAAATTATTGAATTTGTTTCGCACATGTTGCAATTTACAAGGATTAGACGGCGTTTGGCCCCTTGGCAATAGTGGACCACTAACTAAGCTACCACAGGGTACACAACTCACTTTGTATGTTGATGTACACTACGAGCGCGCGAATAAACTAGCGTGGAGCTTATTTTACGAAGGGTATAACTTGCCTCGCGCGTTACAGGAAATCCATCAAAACTTTCTACTATACAATATCCCAACCTTTTTCCGCAAGTTCTTCAATAGATCACTGGTAGAGCTTACAAAGGTACGAAGCGATGCGGTTCAAGAGAAGCTGCAAGTCTCGTTTCAAGAATATCAAAAATCGCGATGTGAAGAGCCTCATAATGTCATATTGCCTCTTTTGAACTTGCAGCTTGACAAGCGCACCTTTTATCGCATCATTGAGCAGTTCTCATCGGAAACTACTAGCGAGAAAGACAACGCAGACTTATTACAGGCTCGAGATTTTGGCAATCTTCGAGATATGCTACTACAAAACCTGAACATGCAGGATAGGAATGAGACCACCGCTTCACAAAGCAAAGAATCTCAATACTCCGTCCACCACTTGCAATTTGAGATTCTAGTGCCGTTTCCTCTAAACACGTTGGTGTCAAAAACCTGCGTCGTACAATACCAGATGATTCAACGATACTTACTCTTGCTTCACTACTACAATAAGATCTTACAAGATACGTGGCTGGAGATAAATAAAAACAAGGTTTGGAGGCACGCCGGCTTTGGCATGAACGTGAAACGCTGGATACGACGTTGTAGAGTGGTGCATTTCCGAATGGCGCAGTTTATGAAGTTCATGCTAGAGTATACCAGTCAGGACGTAATACAAGGTGGATGGGTAACACTTGAACCTCAACTGAGAAACTCTCGTGCAGCGGGCTTTGATTATTATCATTCTCAAGCTGCATTACAAGATTTCTTGACCCAATTAATGTCACACTCTTTACTGACAAATGCTTCATTGGTACGTCTATTGATCCAAATTACAGACATTGTTCACAGATTTTGCAAGTTTGTCACATCTCTACGCAAAACGCTCTGTTTATTAGATATTCGCCTATTCTCTAGCTATCAGGCCCAATTGCCTGATGGGGACCAATATGACGAACAGATGGCATTGCAAAAATTGCAGGAACTACAAGATTACCTAGATCTCATCTGGGACAGCTTCACTCAACACAGAAACGCATTTGCGGAAGGTGTTTTTTATTATTGTGACCATGGCTCTGTTCGCAGCGGTGAGAATCCGGTGCTGTATCTAGTAGAGAGACTGAAAAGTCTTGAATAAGAAGTTTTGACATTTTAAGGATAAGAGCTATATCTGCGAGAAGAGGCCTCACGGTGCTGACCATCTGATCCAGATGAGAAAATTTGGACCATACTTTAGCTAGGCAGTTCAAGGTGTAAGAAATTTACAATTGATGCTAGCCATTTGAAGGCTGCTAAAAAAGCTGAACAATTTAGATGTACGTAATTGTGCCCGCGACCCTCAGCCATTCTTCCAAGCGCAAGAGGCGGTCATAAATAAAAGCATTAATTAAAGGCTTGGAATACATAAAATGTATTTTCTGCCTTAGCTCACCAATAGAACAAGATCTATGGAGATCAATATCAACCCAAACATGAGAAGCTGATAACAAAAAAAGTTATTCTCCGCGACGGGGAATTGAACCCCGGTCCCGGGCGCGACAAGCCCGAATTCTAGCCACTAAACTATCGCGGATTGTTTCTTGAAAGTCTAAAATGTATTTGATCCATATTTGATACGTTGGGTGTAGTGGCAGCTCAGTTGTTCGCAGGTAGACTTTACAGAATGCTTTACACATTTCAACACTCCAAAATCCATCGATCTTACTTTTTCAACCATTCGAATTAATGGCAGGCATAGTTTTCACATGTTATCTTATAAGCTTGTGAGTATTGGCTTTTGAGCATTTATTACATTATGTAAATTCGGTGATATTGTAGTGATGACGTCAACGGACATATCATATCACTTAATTGATTATTACTGATGCCCTTCTATCACGTCGGCCTCTCCTGATTTCACCTTCTCATATCAGTAATCGCAGCACAATGCGATACAGGTGGACAACCAAGTTGTCTTCATGCCTCATCTGTGAGCACACTTCAGCGGAGTTTACCAAATTCAGGAGAGCAATCGGGAAATAGATATACTTCGACTTATGAGACGTAGGTATATAGTGACAGAACTCGATGTTAGACTCGGCAAATTGATACCAATAATTTATTGAAATGCCAAAATTCAGCCTTCGCTAACAAAAGAAATTCGTGCACGTCTGGATGAACGACATAAAGCTTGTCGATATCTTTGTTATTGGGGCGAGTCTGTTTTTAGTTGGAGAAAGCTTGCTTATATTTTTGTTAAAAAGGAGAAAGGTGTAAGTGGGGTAAAGTTGTTTCAATAATTAAGCGCTCCATTTGCTCGTATCGGCAAATATGAGGCTGTTCGCGACAGCACTTCTTGCCCTTCAACCATGGGGTGGTAGAAACTCAGAATCAGTAACGCAGCCCCTGTCACTTTATACTAATGTGACATGTCGAAAGTTGACAACTCCGAGTCAAAAGTCTAAAGCCACCAATCCCTGTTATTATCATACGTTTCAGTGATATACGCGGCAAAATCACTATCGGATGGTACATTCCCTGGAGAGATCATGATTTTCGCTAATGTTCGTAACCGCCCTAATGTTTCGGGGACTTCAAGTGTGCAAAGTCCCCCAGTGTCTCAAAAACGTAAAAACTAAACCGGAAAACACAACTGGAAAACCAAGAGAAATTTAGTCCTATATTTCAACGTCTGAAGTATACTCAGCTATAAAAGAGAATCGAAGTGAGTAGCGGGGAGTAAAACTACCAAAGTTGCAAATTCTAATGAAGGCAAGATCTGCGTCAGAAGTGAGCTTGCTTAATTGTACACTCAGCTCATGGTGTCTGTAGTATGATATGGCATTCCATCCATCTCTCCGCGATTTTCTCAGCTCATGGTGTCTGTGTTATGATATGGGAATCCATCCATCTCTCCACGATTCTCTCAGCTATGAGGACGTTCCAGTTTGTTTCCAACTCGCTATGTTTCCAGTTTAGCTAAAAAGTTCAGTTTCCTTTCCAAAACGCTCGTTTGACACGGCCTGGGTTCACGTGATATCTGAAGAACAGGAGAGCTAATCTGAATTACAACAAGCGCGTCCAGTTTCCGCAGCTAGTGAGCCTACAACTACCAACGCAGTGCGATTTATGTGGGGATAACTCTACGTCCCAGCTGCCGTTTCTCGACGATTTCCAGCACGTTCCAATTTGTTTCCAACTCGCTCTGTTTCCAGTTTAGCTAAAAAGTTCAGTTTCCTTTCCAAAATGGTCGCTTGACACGGACATTCATTCACGTGCTGGGTAAGGAATTGAGAACCCATCTAAAGTACAGCAAGTGCGTCCCACTTTCACGGCCAGCAACCTCATTGCTGCTGACGAATGTAGATAATTCTGCGTTCTAGCTGCCGCTTCCCATCCTTTTCATCGCCTATTTTCCCGTCTGTTCCAGTTTGTTTCCAACTCGCTCTGTTTCCAGTTTAGCTAAAAACTCCAGTTTCCTTTCCAAATCGCTCGTTTGATACGTCATGTGTTCACTTGATACTCGAGGAACTAGAGAGCTCACCTGAACGTCCCGCCTCCTCCTGTGTACCCGACCTCAACAGTGGTTCAATCGTGGTGTATCAACTGTTGAAATCTGAGTGATCACAATGCCATATTGCCAGAATAGTACAGAGTGATGCCAACACCGTCGAAGTAATACCGTACAATGATCTGATAGTCGTCTCGTAGCTCATTGCGCACATAACTTGACATATTCGGGACTTTATGACGCTCACACAATTCTCCGAAAGTGTTCGCAAGTTGCTCCACCAGATGACTCAATGCTGGAAACACGTCCAGAAACGGCAGTTGGGACGAAAGCCCATCTATCCCCCACCTCCCGCTAGTACATACGTATCCAACGAGCGATTTGGAATGGAAACTGGAGTTTTTAGCTATCCTGGAAACGCAGCGAGTTGGAAACAAACGGGAACAGCCTGGAAACAAGTCGAAAAACGGCAGGAGCGTAGAAGTATCTTCATCTTGGCGAGTCGGCGGCTGGTATCGAGTTCCGATCAGAATTCAGGGAGTCGCCCGACTTGTGCCCATGCAACCACCTCATTGTCACGTTAGCCACCGTTGTAACTAATCTGTCGCCACCAATGCTATACTGACACCTCAACAGGTCAGTACTCGAGTACCCAACGTGCTCGAAGCGCAAGTACTCGTTCCCACCACGTAATTTCACAAATACTCCGAAAATACTCACGCTCCCCCATCACGTGGCGGCGAGCGGCTTCCTTTTCCGTTTTTGTGTCCGTACCATTTTTGCTTCCGCTTCCTCGACTTCCTGACGGCTGCGGGCTTCCAGTGTCAGCTTCCAGAAGCTTCCATCGGCTTCCAGTCCTGCCGCTCGACATTTTTGTAAATTACATGTCCAAAGTGAAAAAATATCCCAATCAGCAGACCAAGGCCTCAGTCTCTAACTCCTACACACAGACATCTACGGTTCTAGACAGCATCACCAGAATGGCCACGCGTGCCCGCGCGTGCCGAGCAACTTCCTGGAAGCCCGCGTAGGTCTCACTCAATCAAGAGTGTATGGTGTGAGTTGGTTCAGGACATTGCAAAGTATATATAGAGCAAGATTGTGCTAGATCAGAAATTTAGTATCAACTCCATCTTCTTTTCTGGTCTTTTTCTTAGTTCTCCAGAATACTCATCATATTCCATATTTCTCACCATCAAAAAACAAATAATGGCTATTTCCAAGATTCACGCTAGATCCGTTTACGACTCTCGTGGTAACCCAACCGTTGAGGTCGAAATGACCACCGGTAAGGGTATGTTCAGATCCATCGTTCCTTCTGGTGCCTCTACTGGTGTCCACGAAGCCAACGAAATGCGTGATAACGACAAGTCCAAGTGGATGGGTAAGGGTGTCTTGAAGGCCGTTGCCAACGTCAACAACGTCATCGCCCCAGCTTTGATCAAGGCCAACCTTGACGTCACTGACCAAGCCGCTGTCGACGAATTGTTGTTGTCTCTAGACGGTACCGCCAACAAGACCAAGCTAGGTGCTAACGCCATCTTGGGTGTCTCCATGGCCGCTGCCAACGCCGCCGCCGCCGAGAAGAACGTCCCATTGTACCAACATTTGGTCGACATCTCTGGTGCCAAGTCCTCCCCATACGTTTTGCCAGTTCCTTTCTTGAACGTGTTGAACGGTGGTTCCCACGCCGGTGGTGCTTTGGCCTTGCAAGAGTTCATGATCGCCCCAACTGGTGCTGAGACCTTCTCCGAAGCCTTGAGAATGGGTTCCGAAGTTTACCACAACTTGAAGTCTTTGACCAAGAAGAGATACGGTGCCTCCGCCGGTAACGTCGGTGACGAAGGTGGTGTTGCTCCAAACATCCAAACTGCTGACGAAGCTCTTGACTTGATTGTCGACGCCATCAAGGCCGCCGGTTACGAAGGTAAGGTCCAGATCGCTTTGGACTGTGCCTCCTCCGAGTTCTACAAGGACGGTAAGTACGATCTAGACTTCAAGAACCCAGACTCCGACAAATCCAAGTGGTTGTCTGGTTCCCAATTGGCCGACTTGTACACCTCCCTTGTCAAGAAGTACCCAATTGTCTCCATCGAGGATCCTTTTGCCGAGGATGACTGGGAAGCTTGGACCCACTACTACAAGAACGCCGGTGTCCAAATTGTCGCCGATGACTTGACTGTTACCAACCCTCTAAGAATCAAGACCGCTATCGAGAAGAAGTGTGCTGACGCTTTGTTGTTGAAGGTCAACCAAATCGGTACTTTGACCGAATCCATCAAGGCCGCCAACGACTCTTTCGCCGCCGGCTGGGGTGTCATGGTCTCCCACAGATCTGGTGAGACTGAGGACACTTTCATCGCTGACTTGGTTGTCGGTTTGAGAACTGGTCAAATCAAGACTGGTGCTCCAGCCAGAGGTGAAAGATTGGCCAAGTTGAACCAATTGTTGAGAATCGAAGAACAATTGGGCTCCAAGGCTGTCTTCGCTGGTAAGAACTTCCACAACGGTCAAAAATTGTAAGTTCACAACGAGCCCATGCAACGCATGACCTCGCGCTGAGTTTATATAGATTATGAAATAAGATTTAACGAAATATAACGTGAAGTTTAGACAATTTTATGCGACGAAGACAACTAACGTCGAGGTTCTTCCCGTTAAGTTTATATTCCACCTTTTTTCCTTTTCGTAGGTTAAGTTGGTTAAGTTTTAAATTGAACCGTTCTGCTGTAATGCAGGAAAAATGAACCCTCGACTTGAAACCACACTATAAGAAGGCTTACCTATTTTTTAAACCATTTACAGACTTTACTCTTATAGTATGGCCAATAAGATATCCAAACTTCACTCAACAATGGACCATGGGGATATGGATCATGGGGATAGCGACATGTGTTCGATGAACATGCTGTTTACTTGGAATTATAAAAACACTTGTGTTGTGTTTAAATGGTGGCACATCCGTACCGTTTGGCACTTGCTGCTAAGCATGGCTGTAATTACAGCATGTGCGTATCTTTACGAATATCTTAAATACTTCTCGACAAAGTCCCTCGTCGCCAGCAGCAATGCAAGCATGGGAAGAACCGTTCAATTAAAACGAGCCAGCTGGTATGGCGCGCAGGTCGGGTTTTCGCTCATGCTCATGCTGGTTTTCATGACCTACAACGGGTGGCTTATGTTGGCAGTGGTTCTAGGTGCAGCTTGGGGCCACTACTCCTGGGGGATCCTCACGGAGAGTAATACCCGAACTTTGGCCTGTCACTGATATGTTCTCGAAAAGTTAACCTTGCGCCAAGATTGCGACAAGAATTGGGTTATACGATTTGTTAGGTATTATATATCATTTTACGAGCTTCTAGGAATTTAATATCTTTTGTTTTGGATTCTTAAGTCTTTTGGGAGGATCGCATCGCATCTCCTCGAGGATATTTTAGGGATATTGAGTCACTAAGAACCATGACCCAAACAGCAAAACGGATAGCCATTATCGGAGCAGGTCCTGGTGGTCTGGCAGTGGCCCGGGCTTTTTTGGCCAATACAAATTTTGAACTGGTACTCTACGAGCGGAAGTCTCAAGTTGGCGGAGTCTGGTACTATCCAAAGGAGGATGAAGAGCAACGTACGGATAGTGCAATGTATGATGTTTTAGAGACAAACCTGAGCAAAGAAATAATGCAGTTCAGCGGGTTCCCCTTTCCAAACAACGTCCCTACATTTCCGAGTAGGTCCCAGGTGCAAGATTATTTGGTTGATTACTACCAAAACTTTGTCCAAGGTCAAGAGCGTGCGACTGTTCATTTGAATTGCGCAGTGAAACTCTTGGAAAAAATTGGGGACTCATGGCATTTGCACGCTTCGGGCCAAAAGCCGGAAGTGTTTGACTTCGTGATAGTCGCCAATGGACATTTTGACGTTCCCTATATTCCAACAAACCTCCCGGGATACAAAGAATGGGTAAGGACTGATCCGAAGTCGCAATTGCATTCTAAGCATTACAATACTTGCACCAAATTCCGAGGCAAGCGAGTCATCGTGGTAGGAAATGGCAGCTCGGGGACCGATATCGCTAACCAAATCAGTTCCGTGGCACAGCAGGTGTTCCACAGTGTTAAGGACATGTCAAAGGCTCGTAAGGACAGTAATCCGGTGATAACACCGGTGCCCGTAATTTCGCAGCTCGCTATCAATAACAATAGAACTGTCACACTGCAGAACGGTACAACGTTGCCCAAGATCGACTATGTGATATGGGCCACAGGGTATATGTACAGTGTACCTTTCCTGCACAGCTATAAAGACCAATTATTTGGGTCTCAGCACTCAGAGATGCCAGTTACGCGGCTTTGGAACCTCTGGAGACAAGTTGTGTTCACAAAAGATCCTACGCTGGCCTTTTCGCTCCTATGTAAGAACGTGGTCCCATTCCCCCTTGCAGAAGCTCAGGCTTGTTTAATGACCAAAGTGTTCAGCTGTGAAGTTGAAGTTCCGCCTACCGATGGCTTGGCTGGCGATATGGCGGCTGGGAAAGACTACCACTCGCTGGTCACACCTAGGGACATAGAATACTGTCGAGAATTGCAAGGAATTCTAGACTCTCACAATGGAACTAAGGATAGGCTCCAGCCAGTGCGCTGGGATAACGAAATGGCCGCCCTACGCTACGATACTGCCGCGCTGAAAGCAGAACGCAATAAAACGCTGGTGCATCGCGCTATGCAACTGCGAGATCGGCATGAGGATTATTCCCTGGAGTAATCCTGAATCGTCCCTGCTATCAATTCACACATTTTGATGATCTAGACAGACACGTTGCTGAAGGCACTTATGATTTTCTATTATTATGGGCGATGAGCCTGTGTAAAAGTCGTTAGTGTAGTTTTGAGGTGAAAACAAGTTGATACATCAACAAGATGTCGCAATTTAGGAGGGACACTGCGTTACAAACTGTCAAGGTTAGATAGAAACTAAACTAGCTACTGCAAGTGAACCTACTAAACAGAGCCTTACCCATACATGTAATGTCTCGAGGGTTATCTCTCTCTATCTGAAGCGCCGTGGATATATAAAAGATCCATCGTAACTAACGACCACATTATCAGAGCCGATGAGTATACCATGATTGATTTTAACGAATAGTCAACTTAACTGATTTATCACAAAACCTGCAAGAGGTTGCTTTGAAGGCTTCTGTTAGGCTGGAGAGAATGAGCCAGGTTGAAGGATTAGAGATAAGAGAAAGCAAAGCGACCTATGAACCCTACTCGTGCGCTAGATGCCGAAAGTTGAAGAAACGGTGCTCCAAAGAATCGCCCATTTGCGTAAACTGTGTGAAGGCTGGCGAATCGTGCACATATCCAGGAAGAGCTCCGAGAAGAAGTAAGCGGGAACTGGAGTTGGAGCGACGAGAATCAAGTTTGGGCTCAAACAGTGATCAGAAGTTCAAACGCAGTCATAGTTGCGATTCTCAGCCGCTGAACGCTTTGCAAGACGATCACCATCATGTTACAAGCTATAATTTTCGAGAACAGAACGAAAGTGACTGTGATCGTGAAAGTGGGAACTCCTCAGAGTCCACATCCATGCTAAGTATGATTCCGAGTACCAATGAGCCTTTTGCGGCTGCAGTGAATCAAAGTGCCCAAGTTGAGCACGTTAAGTATCCACAAGGTGGTCTTTTATTGCATGAAATTCACAAGCAAGAGTCGGTTCCTATCAGGGCGTCGTCCTTACAGATCGAGAACGTTGCCGCGGTGTTTAAAGGTGGAAGACACACTAGTATGCTCGACCCAGACGGCAAATGCAAGCACGTTGAAAGACCTCTATACGACAAGTTTATTGCTGCGTATTTCAAGCATAATCATAGATCATACCCGCTTTTGAACAAGATTGAATTTTTGAATAAAGTTTCCACTATCCGTGATTTCAAAGAAATGGAAGGAAAATACGAAAATACATTTATATTTGAGCTATACATGGTAATGGCTATTGGATGCACCACCTTGCAAAGAGCTGGTATCTTAAGCAAATTTGAAGAAGATTGGAGTGAACATTTTGCTTATCTCGCCATGATGAAATTCTGCCCTGTAATGCACTTGCAAAATGTCGAGACTATAAAGTGCCTATTATTGCTTGGAATTTATTCGTTTTTCGAGCCGCAAGGTGTCTCTTCTTGGACCATAAGTGGGATAGTCATGAGATTGACCATTGGTCTAGGATTACACAGAGCTCTAACAACTAGAAAAATTCAATCAATGTCTCTTACCGACGTTGAGATGAGATACCGCGCATTTTGGAGCTTTTACAGCTTTGAAAGGTTGGTGTCCACCTCATTAGGGAGAATCTCTGCGATAGATGATGACAATATTAGTGTCCCGCTGCCACATGCCTTATACGCCGAAGAAAGCGAAGACATTGAAGTTACTAAGATGATGATATCTCTACGAAAAATGGGCGGAATAATATACAAAGAAGTTCACAGCGTGGGTGCTGGCAAGCGAAATTTGTCAGCCGACGCCAAACAAGAAGTTATTGATAGCTTGAGACGTCAGATCGATGCTTTATATGAACAGGAGAGAGACAAAATCCGAGAGGCCAACTTAATTACACTACCCAATAAAACGAATTCTTGTATCTCCTTCCACACGTCTGATATTTGGTTGGCCATGCGATATGCGCAACTACAGATTATGCTGTATCGACCCTCTGCTTTGATACCCAAACCTTCTATGGAATCGCTATCGATCTTGGGAGATTTTTGTCTACGCGCCTTAAAGCACACCTATACATTGTACAAAAAAAAGCTGCAGCCGCTCAATTGGATCACATTGTTCAGAACTCTTACAATTTGCAACACCATGTTGTACTGCTTGTGCCAATGGAGTATTGATCTTATCGAATGCAAAATCGAAATTCAGCAGTGTGTCGAGATTTTACAACATTTTGGCGAGAAGTGGGTTTTCGCCGCGAAGTGTGCTGATGTTTTTCAGACTATCAGCAATGCTATCTTAGATATAAGTTTGAGTAATGGTCAAGTTCCAAACATGGATAACCTTACAAGGGAATTGTTTGGTGCTAGCAACGAATACCAGGATATCCTGGACGAGAATAATGTTGACATCTCGTGGGGAGACAGTCTTGTATAAATATATGTAACAATAATGATTATTTGATAGCTTAAACGAGCACACTGAGCTACGAGATCAGGGTTTTGACCCCAATCATTGCCTCAGTTTCTTCATGGCGAACGTATCACCCGAGTATTTTCGAGATATGCCTCCTTAGCTTAGTGGTAGAGCGTTGCACTTGTAATGCAAAGGTCGCTAGTTCAATTCTGGCAGGTGGCAATTTTTTATTTGGCTTGTTGCACTATTTGAAAATAGTTGTTGTAAAAACTGTAGCCTTTTTTTGAACCTTAACGTATCTTGGCTGTCTGAAAGTCGTTTGAGAAGAAAGGCACATACCCATCTCCTGTACCGCTGGCGTTTGATCATATTGTGTACAAATATCATCTTTGACGTAAAAGTCGCGTCTAGCAACTTTGTTTTATTTCAACGATTTCCACCAAACGCTAAAACAGACCCTAACGTCGAGCGGTAGCTGTGGTCACTCCCATTGCAACTTTGTAATGATTCTACAAGCATTATCATACGCTGGAACCCTTTTGGGTTTCCTATTTCTGACGCTCTCAATTGCAGCAGGTTTATATTACATTAGCGAACTGGTTGAGGAACACTCAGAACCAACGAAACGGTTCCTGAACAGAGCAATTTACGCCATTATTGTATTATACCTTTTGCTTTTGGTACTGGACTCGTTTCCCTTTAAACTAAGCGTTTTCTCCATTTTGTCATATGTGGTATACCTGCAGAACCTCAAGCATTTCCCCTTCATTTCTCTGACTAGCCCGACTTTCATTGCTAGCTGCTTCCTGGTTGGAATCAATCACTACCTATGGTTTAAGCATTTCAACGACACCGAAGTTCCACCTCAATTCCGGTATGACCCGAACTACATACCACGCAGACGTGCAAGTTTCACTGAAGTGGCTTCCTTTTTTGGCATCTGCGTATGGTTCGTGCCATTCGCATTGTTTGTATCCTTGTCGGCAGGAGATAATGTTCTGCCAACCACAACTGCAGGATACTCGAAGAAAAGCGATGAATTGAGCGATGATTCGCCTCGATTCCGCAAGAAGGCCACAGGCCTGGTTCGGGTTGTCATCGATTCTATAAGAGCATATTTTTACTCCACTGCCCGTGTATTCGGTTATGAAGTAGACCCTAGTAGAGGCAGGCTTGTGGTATGATTATTGGAATCTACTATATATTAAGGACCATGTAGCATTTAAAAGTTTACACTAGTTTGCAAAATTGTATACGTGTGCGTGAAAGGGTCTCTCATGATACCGGATCTATGATACGGAGGAGCTACTGTCTAAAAGATTGCTTCGATGACGACCAACTTCTAATACCAAGCTCTTATATAACCACGACAGCTTAGTTTTTACGTACGCGTATAGCTCTTCTAACTTCAAGATTTTGACTTTAAGAACTGCAAGAACTCAAACTTTTCAACACTACAGCCCTTCAGATTTGATTGAAAGTGGCTTAAATTATGGCGGCTCGCAGATTCCTAGAGATGAGGTGTGAATCAGAACGTTTTGTTTTCAGGTGTTTCGTATGTTGAGCTAAACAAGTTCTTCAATTCGAAGCTTTATTTGATCTCAAACGCATTAAGTCAAGGATGAAGGGCAGGGCAAATGAGCTTATGCGCCCGACCTTCTGGTCAGAGGACTACATTACAGGAATAAATTTACTTTATAATAATATAAAGAATGACATCGCGGAGCTGCAAAAGAATGTCGCGATTATTCGAGGTTTCGACGTACGGGTTGTGTCACCAGCGTTTCATTCACTGGAATACTTGATGGGGTCAAATCTGAGTGATAAAGAAGATCTCTCTCTGTGTGCAAACATACAGCGGCAGCAAGCAAAAGTTCTAGGTGAGTTACTCAAAAAGCTAGAAATCGTAGATCATTCGGAACTTGAGCTAAATTGCCAGGTGCCGCTGGAAGCACTTATTTACGAGTACGAGGAGTTTCATCAGGAGTCACATCAGCTCCTTAGTCAAAATTACGAATCATACAAAAAACATCTATCACTAGCGAAGCAAGTGCGAGCAGATTTAACATCGAGGGCAGCGCAAATTCGACAAGCATTGAGTCACACTTTACCCTCGCGCGAGGAAAAAGATGCTGAAAAATCAACTGCAACGCTGGCAGAAACTTCGTCCCTTTTGCTGATATCATATCCTTTTATCATGGATAAGAAATTAACATTTAAACAAGAGTCCGAATTGCTTGACTTTTGTGACAGACTGAAGAAAGCCACCAAAACTTCTAGGAGTCTAATACCAATTCCCGGCATGACCAACGTTTATTTCTCCGGCTCTCAATTATTTGATGGTCTAAAAAAACTGGAGCCGAGAATGGACATATCTCTGTTTAACCTAGAACGCGTGGGTCAAATTCTATTAACCGCTAAAATCATATGGCCCTATCAAAATATGATGGGATCACAGCCTAGATTTACAGCTGCCAAATACTACTCTTGGGGTACGATTGAACAATACACTGGTGCCTTATCTAACCAACCACCACCACGAACTGGTGCAGTTTTCAATGACTTTTTCAAAAGAATGAGCAGCAAGTCAAACGATTGCGAAGTTATTGCTACACTCGAAGATCTTGAAGAAAAGCGTCATGAATTCAAAGAGTGCGATAACAGACTTTTTCAAGAATGTCAAAACCTGGATTACTGGCGTACTCAACTAGAATTGGAGCTGCAAAAGGCTATGAATCATTATTGGAGATTAATTCATCGAAAAACGAGATGCTTGGATCAAGTCACTGGCAAATTTTTCGCTTTGTTACAGGACTCGTTTTCTCTTACATCTAAACGGGAACCAGTCGACGAACTTTGCGAGATTAAAAGAGTTTACGGCGCTAACCATAGTACTGTTGGATATTATATGCCACAGCCGGGTTTGACATATGCCAGATATAGCTTGGATGGCGAAATGGTGGGACCTGCAATATTTCATACAGAGTTGCAAAGTATGCCGACAGATGAGACAGGGTTCGTGATAGTGCTGGTATTTTTGAAGACATACTTGGAGAAGTACAATGCCGACCAAGTATTGCATGCATGGGCATTACCTCTAGACTTAAAAAGAGCTTCCAGACTGCGGCGAGACTGTGTTGCTGAGTTTCAGTCAGCCGAGGGTGACCATCTGACTGCTTTAACACATTTCATAGCTAGCAAGAGCCCTGGGCTCAATGACGTAGTCGCCCTGTTGCAAGACTGGCTGCTAGAGCTTCCTGATAGCGTGATTCCTATGGCTTGTTACGAAGGAATTAAAGAGAAGGGAGTTGACGGGCTTCGAAGGTCTCCAGGAGAGCATTTGCTCAATTTAGCACTTTTATGTGAACACTTTAAGTGGCTAGTTCATCATTGCGGTGCTGAAAGCATAAGTGAGCTGTTCCATAGCCGCACAGACTTCCCTTTGTCGCAAGTTTTTGCACGCAGTAGAGTTCAGGAGCCACAGGATGTGGAGAAAATGTCACATACTGTGCATGACATTATGTGCCAAGAAGGTAATTCGGAATTTTTCTTGAAACTGGCCGCCACTGAAAAGGAACCCGCAATTGCAAGATTGAGTGTTCAAGAGCCGCCCCAGTTCTCAGATGCAGCCTTTGTTCCTCGCCCTCTCAAAACTGCAAGCACGGGGCCCTCCCCTGTGCCCTCGCGACCCAACAGTAAGCGCATAAGTGGAATAGATCTGTTGGGCAGAGAAAGTGAGAAACAGATTAGCCCTTCGACTAAATCATGATTATCAAGTAATTCAAGGCTATTAACTCACGCATGAAATGGGTCTAAGTCATTGAACCCGAGTTCAGTGTACGAACGTCATAGGCCTGGAATACCGCAGAGATATATACCCACCAGTGCACATTCTGCTATCGAGACCAGCTATCTACTACGTCTATTGACAACATTACTAGCCGCCTCAAAGACGACCGATACCCAAGCCAAATGATTCTCTCGAGCACGTGCTGATGCCAGTTTACTACATAAGTTGAAAGTCAAGACGCCTGAAATATCGCTCGTTGAGCCTAGTAACTCTCTAAATGCATACACTATAATACAATTCAGCACTATTTTTGTGAAATGTGGGTAATGGAACTTTTCCCAATGAATTAGTTTATATTTCTGATGTTATTAAAGCAGCAGGAACGCCTTTTGTTTCAGGTTCCACTTATAAGAACCACAAAAACCTACGTTCATTACACAAGCAAACTCGCATATTCATAATGAAATCATCTGGCTAGGTGTTCATTACCATTGTTATCTTACTTTTGAACAATTCGCATTTTTTTCAAGTGATTGAAAATACAAAGAGGACAATTGTCTACCGCATGAAAATTAATCTCAACAATTGATTATTTAGGCGAAGTAAACTGATACAATTCTTTTCATTGATTGGACAAGACATCTGTATTTCATATCAACTAAATATTGAATGATGTGAGCAAAGATAACCAACTTCTAATTTAAAGAAAATGAAATATCACTGTTAATTTTACCACATAGAGCGTTTCCGTACCATGCTTGTATCTCTCACCTCAAAATCTGTACTTGTTTTTTTGTGACACTTGTTCACCTCCTCAATTGTTGATAAGTCCTCTATCAAATCCGCTTTTCGAATTCTCACAGCTCTGGAGGTGCTATGTCACCACCAGCTCCTTTAGAAATGCTTCAAATAATGCACGCCAGAAACGATCAATTACAAAGTCTGTCCATTTGTTTGCAAACAGAGGTACATTAACACTGCTGTTGACCATCATGTGTTTAAAAGAGCATAAACAGATCGTATTTTTCTGAAGCGGTCTTATGTAATCCTAGGTGTAATATTACAACAAAAGTTTCTGACAAAGCTGAAAACTGTCTCGACCTTTGGCCAAATATCTGACCCACTGGAGACGGCCATTGGCTCGGTCTTGACATATCAGTTCCATTTGTTTCACGTAGATTTACCCCCACACGCGCCGATCAGTCTTCAAAAAGCGCTTTCTCTGCGCCGCACACTCATTTCAATAATGACTACGCTGACGTCCTACAATGAAACACTCAGTTACTAAACCAACCTCGCGCACCCACTTCTCCTGGCTCCAGAATCAAGCCACATGCCGCCGTTGCACGTGATCTTATACACTATATAATTTTCACGATTGTCATTGTCCACGGCGGTGTCACCGCTTAATTACGGGAATTTCTCAAAGCGCAAGGAAAGAGGAAGCCCGTCCATCAAAAGTGCTGGCTCTTCAAGAAAATTTCACTAATCTGAACATTGTTGCTGGCCATCAGTGTAACACCGCTAACTTCTTTGCCCGATTTCTTCTCCCTCTTATTTAGCTCGACCGTTGCAAATTCACAGCAATTTCTAATCATCCGCCGTGTGACGGGACCAATATTTTTTTTCAAATAGCAGGTATACTTATTATATAAAGACGTGGGAAAAGATCGGGTACTAGTTTTTACGTTTTGCCACCTACTCTTTTGCATTGGAAGCTGTAACTCTATCTTTTATAGATTCCAATTCATCCCTATACAACATGTCTCAACCTACTGGTGATCTTGGTTTGATCGGTTTGGCCGTAATGGGTCAAAACCTGATTTTGAACGCCGCAGACCACGGCTACACTGTGGTGGCCTACAACAGAACAGTGTCGAAAGTCGACCATTTCATGGCTAACGAAGCCAAGGGTAAGTCCATCATTGGCGCCCACTCGATCCAAGAGCTTGTGGACAACCTAAAGAGACCCCGTCGTATTGTGCTGCTAGTCAAGGCCGGCGCTGCCGTGGACGCTTTCATCGAGCAGCTGCTACCCTACCTCGAGAAGGGTGACATCATCATCGACGGTGGTAACTCGCACTACCCAGACACCAACCGTCGTTACGACGAGCTAAAGGCCAAGGGTATCAACTTCGTCGGTTCCGGTGTCTCTGGTGGTGAGGAAGGTGCCCGTTACGGTCCTTCTTTGATGCCAGGTGGTGCCATTGAGGCCTGGCCACACATCAAAGAGATCTTCCAAGCGATCTCTGCCAAGTCCGACGGCGAGCCTTGTTGCGACTGGGTGGGTCCCGCAGGTGCTGGTCACTACGTCAAAATGGTCCACAACGGTATCGAGTACGGTGACATGCAGCTCATCTGTGAAGCCTACGACATCATGAAGCGTGTGGGTAACTTCACCGACAAGGAGATTGGTGACGTTTTCGCCAAGTGGAACTCTGGTGTTTTAGATTCGTTTTTGATCGAGATCACTCGTGACATTTTGAAATACAACGACACAGACGGTACTCCTCTTGTCGAGAAGATTATGGACTCTGCTGGTCAAAAGGGTACCGGTAAGTGGACCGCTATCAACGCTTTGGACCTAGGTATGCCTGTCACCTTGATTGGTGAGGCTGTTTTCGCTCGTTGTCTATCTTCGTTGAAGAGCGAAAGAGTTAGAGCCGCTAAGATTTTGCCAGGCCCTCAAATCGCCAAGGACGGTGTTAAGGACAAGCAACAATTCGTTGACGACTTGGAACAAGCCTTGTACGCCTCCAAGATTATCTCTTACGCTCAAGGTTTCATGTTGATCCGTGAAGCCGGCAAGACTTACAACTGGAAATTGAACAACCCAGCCATCGCATTGATGTGGAGAGGTGGTTGCATCATCAGATCTGTTTTCTTGGCTGAAATTACCAAGGCTTACAGAGACGAACCAGAATTGGAAAACTTGTTGTTCAACAGCTTCTTCACCGAAGCCATCACCAAGGCCCAATCTGGCTGGAGAAACACCATTGCTTTGGCTTCTACCCAAGGTATCCCAACCCCAGCTTTCTCCACCGCTTTGTCCTTCTACGATGGTTACAGATCTGAAAGATTGCCAGCCAACTTGTTGCAAGCTCAACGTGATTACTTCGGTGCCCACACTTTCAGAATCCTACCAGAATCCGCTTCTAAAGAAATGCCAGAAGGCCAAGACATCCACGTTAACTGGACTGGTAGAGGTGGTAACATTTCTGCTTCTACTTACCAAGCCTAAAGTGTTGGTCTAGACTAATATACGAAAGAGCCTTTACAAGTGAAGAATGGATGATGATAAAACGTAGATCACCACTGATTTTTTCTTATTAAAAATAAATACACATAAATAATTTGATCAAGATTGGAATACGCGCTGACGCTAAAGTGAATTATATTGGCCATGGAAGAAATTACCCAAAGAGAAGTTAAGTTAATTGCTAGTAGAAGTAGTACTATTCTTATTTCGAGTTCTCATTTGTGTCAAATCTGTGTAAATACTAATTATCATGAAGACGCCAAAAAATGAAAACAAAATTTAAAAAAAAAATGTCAGCGTCAGTTCACAAAATTCACCAACACGAATAATAAAATCAAAAAGCTATCACAATTGTTCGCCAGCATCAATCCGTTTTCTTTTGTTTCAAAACGACCTAACTTTCACTCAGATCATGGCAGACTACTACCGGGAACAGGATATGCTTTACTCAAAACAGTCTTACGGCAACGATTCAATAAATTCACAATATGAATCATATGATAGCACGTCGCGGCCTAATCATCGTCCCAAGGGTTTTTTGGCTGAATCTCATAGTTTTTTCGATCGGTTCAAATCCAAACTGAATCTCTTCAGAGGGTTTGACGATTCAAATGAAAGCTCCATGGACCAGAATTCCACAGCAAACAGGCAAAGTCAGCTGTGGAATGCCATTAAGCGCAAGCCGATCCAAATGATCGTTGATGATCCCATAAGCAGAGGTCAATTACACGATGCTCATCAGCATGATCCTATTCTGGAAAGTGCCAATACTTTCCTCACTGACAATAATCAAAACTACGACAAGCTATCAAATTCTCCGAAGAAAAAGGAAGCTGCGTCAAGCGTACCGTTGAGTGGATCACCTTTTGCCAGTAGTGGAATAAGCGATTTCATTGGCTTTGAGAATGATCCTGTTATTGGTAAACCCACATCTCCTTGGGATAAAATCACTGCCAAGTCTGCACTCAAAAGCTCCACTACTTTGCAAACAATTCAAAAGCGATTGCTTCAAGTCTCAATGAAAAAAGAAGATGTTTCTAAAACTTATCAAAAGCTTCTCAAAGAACTCAGTGAGTGGTGGCAAGATACAATCGAAGCAGAGGAGAATATGGAATTGATTTCGGACTTGCAAAGATTATTCCATGAGGATCTTGTTTTTGAGCAGAGGCTTGCTAGTAAGCTGAGAGAAGTCTCTAAAGCACTTGAGTTCACCAAAATGCGAGAAGAAGAGATGTTACAGGAACGTAAGGAGTTGCAACACACAATCAAAAGATATGGTCAAATGAGAGCTAAAAAGGGCAATCACAGCGAAGAGGCTCACTTTCTGAAAGAAAAGGTTGTGACCAGGCAAAATTCACTCTCGGTTATAACAGGGCATTATCAACAGTCTCTGTCCACCACTGCAAGGGAATTGTTTGTCAACGCTAGTGTAGAATATTTTGAGACCGCCTCTGATATGAAGGATACTAGCAAAAGGTTTTTCCAAAATTCAGTAAATTACTTGCGAACAATTCAAGCAGATAACATTGAGCAGCACATCGAAGATTTGAGACGAAAGCGGGCCGATAAACACTGGTCGAGGTTAACTCCTCAGGAACGCGATGACCCTAATAGGCTAGTAGAGATAATGAGTGGCATGTATAATGGCCAGGATTCGCTAATGCGGTGTGTCAATCGGAAGACAGCTCCCAAAAATCTTGCGAAAGTTACCATCGGGACGGGAAAAGAAAATCAACCTCAATCAGATAATCAATCGGAGCTCAGGCTTGAGTTTAGAACTGGTCTAGAAGACTCGCTATCTCAACTCCCCAGTGAAAGTAATAACAAGTCTGAAACGGATCCAAGTTTTTCAAAAATGTCGGATTACGCAAAAATACGCGCCAAGAGAAATATTCAGGTATCTTCACTAGATTCGAATCGCACTTTGCGTTGTGAAGGCTTGACACAACAAGGCAGAGAAAACGTTCGCCCTCGTTTGCCCTATCCAGATACCACTGAAACCATAAGAGCTCAAATCGAAAATTTGAAGAGTGGTTTCGGCGGAAATAATGCATCTCACGGGTTTGGGTTTAAGCAATGTGAGGACGACGGCGTCATAATCGGGCTTTCTCGTGACAATCATGATACGTATGAGCCAGAACAAGAATTAAATCGCAACAAATGGATAGAATCTCCTAGAGGGTAAATGTTGCAAACAAATCTTTTTCTTTCAATTGACTCATTCATTTTCATATCCTATTTACAGTAAATGCACATTATTGCACTTCAAAGTTACGAAACCATTCAAGCACTGAATATTAGTTTACAGACCTCGTAGGTTGATATCATGATGGCGCAGCTTGGTGCAATTTTTATAACTCTTGGCGCCAGTCCAGTGTAAAGCGCGGCTAAACCCTCGCTGTTGCGGATTCCATTCAAATATTTGAACATATTTTTCGATGGTTTGGACTCTTGCGAACTCTTCATGGAAAAGCAGATTTGCATTCGGGTTTTCCCTACATCAAAAGGGTGAGTTAGCACCGCCGCTACTGTACCACTTAAGCTGCCACCCACAAAGCTATTAATGAAGTGGTTCCAGTTCGTATTTGACGAATTGATTATACTTTGGTTTGAATTTATTGACACTTTGCCTCTGTAGAATTCGTAACAGCCCCAGTAAATGGCGCTGAAAGGCACATCTCGCCAAAGTGTTATTTCCAAACCCTTGAAAAATGCGCGGTATCCTGCTTTTGAGAATTCTTGCCGAGATTCTTTTAGCAGATCTTTGAGCATCATGGTCGCAGTACTATTAGGTGTCGAGCGAGGTATACTTTGAAGCCGCGTACGCAGCAAATCGAGTGGTGCAACTATAGTAGCCGCTAGGACTCGGGCCACAGCTCCGCACATTAAGGGATTCAGTGTTGGATATGCTTCTTGCAAGCGACTTTTATCACGGAGTGTTTCATAGCCTATGAAATACACCATATTAGCTGGGGCTGCCATTAACAGCGTGATGGATATACCCCGCCATAAACTTGTTATCCCCTCAATTTTGGCAATTTTTCCAAAAGCATCCCAAGTGCTAGTGTATCGTACGGGACTGCTCTTGCATCGTACATCTTGGAAACATGCATCTTGCCAGAAAACACCTTTGGAGGCTTCGAATTTCGGTAATGGATTGCCCTCCGAATCGCACACGCATTGTGGCAGCATTTGTTGCTGTTGGAGCCGTATTCTTACTACATCCATTGGCGTCAAAATTAGTGACGTTATCAATGAACCCGACACGGCACTTAGCAAACGTTCTTTGACACCAATGCTGGCCTTTTTCTCATCAGCCATAGTATGTACAGGCGTGAGTATAGTGGCCACTTGAAGGGCAACAGTTAATGGGTTATCAGAATCCTCAAATTGAAGAAATCGATTGTTTAATGATTTTGCCATTGAATCTAATCTAACGAAAGTTATATCACCTAGAAATTAGAAAAAATGGGCTTGCCATGCCAGTTAAGAAGAAAGTGACAAGCCGGAAAGCCTGACGACGATCACTGACAACAATGTTAAAACTATTTAGACTTCATTAGATGGATATGACTAGGCCAAGCCGGTTATTGCCCTCGTTTATCTACCGGTAGTGGTGGAGCTGAGTGGTATTTCGGGCGTCAGTTCGTAGATTCTACGGACCAAGGTGTCAAGCCGCTTTGCCTGAAGATGCAGAACTTCATCTGCAGTAGCGAGCGAAAATGGCATGTAGTCGTGATGATGCGCAAGCCCGTAATCGAACTCTTGCTCCTCCCAGTCAAGTTCAAGATCCACGCTATAACACTCGGACCTCCATCTTTCTCCAGAGACGTTAAAGGTGGGTACATTTTCGATCCACTTGTTGACCTTTTCTTGGTGAGGCATGTTGCTTGCAGTGCGCGGGTTAAAGTACGAAGGGAAAGTCTGGAAGCTGAATTGCTCAAAATCGTCGAAAATGTGATTAACGTCGTGATCTGCCGGTTCTTGCAGTCTCGGCCCTGTCAGTCCTTCTGGTTTGTTACCAAACGTGACGTTAGAATTGAGCTGGTTGTTGCTGTTGGAATAGCTCATTAAAGTGTAATGCGCCATAGAGCCATTTGCCGCGGCATAAGCCCTATTTGTATATGCTGAATTCCGCATTGCACCGTTGCTATCGAATTGGGAGCTCGGCACAAACCCGTTGTGTTTTTCTGGGCTCTCTCCATGTGGGGAGCAGGCCTCAGTGGCATCAAATCGTTTGGTTTTCTTGATCTTGAAACTGTCTCTTTTCTTCGGGGTCCTCTCGTATATGGGTTTGCCACTCGACGGGTTTGGTGAATACTCAATATTCATAATGCTTCCGTTGGCAACCAGTGCTCTTGCGCCTTTGTGGTAGTTCTTCTGAGCTTTCATCACGGTTTCAAACTTTGGGGTCCAATCGTGTTGAAACAGTGATGGGATCAGATTGAAGGGAGATGAACGAAGTGCAAGAAACTAATAAAGTGCTAAGTCTTCTATCCACAATGTTCTTTTCATTCCTCGCAACTGTCATTGACGTTTAAACGTCATGGAATTATACGCTTCACTTTGTAAAGAAAAACAAAAAAAAACAAAAATACAATGTCTCCTAAGGTGGACTAGTCTCATAAGATGTCAGTAAGCGCGACCTCATTTGGTGCGCTGCTTCTTTAATTTAAGCTTACCACTAGCATTTTTAATTCTTTTTCCCAACTTGAGATCTTTTCCTGCCTTGATGTACTCAGAGGGGAAGAAATTGGTCAAAGTATTTTGAATACCGGTTTTCTTGCGGCTATTGACTTCTCTTATCAGAGGAATCATGACTTCATCCGTCTTCTCCTGCGGCCATCCAACAGTTGTTGAGAAAAATGTCCGAAGTTTATCTAGATCGGGTACTCCCCATGTAAATTTGGTGGTGTCGTGGTCTACTTCTGGACGGATATAGCCTTCTCTTACTATATCGCTAGGAAACTCAGATCCCAGCATTACTTCATTTGTGGTTAGCTTTTTACGCAGTTTCTTTTCAAAGGGCGACTCATTTTGTTGAGTTTGCTTGTCAAACTGCCCTGCATTGTACCAATCCCGAAACTGGGCCAAATTCCCAAATTCTGCTAGAATTTCCATAGCTGAAACGGGGCCTACGCTCTTGACACCTGTCGTATAATCACTCCCCAACAACTGTGCTAGTTCAATAAACTTCTCTCTATCTAAGCCCAGTTCTTTCTGTATCATGTCACTGTAATAAAACTCGACATAGTTCTTTTCCTGGAACATATTCTTGTAGATCTTGTCTCCGCCGAATAGAAAAATGTCGCTATCGTCAGTAATAATACCATCAACTAGTTGTAATATAAGAAGCTCGGCACATTGAGCCTCCGCTTCCATGGGTGCTGTCAAATAAGGGATCCCAAACCTTGTCAAAAGCTCTTGAACCTCGGTGACCATAGCCGCTGTGACCTCATCAGAGTCTCTCTTGTCTCGCATCTGTTGGTTAACTAAAGCCTCATCCGCAAATGTCGTATTAACACTTGACGGATTCAAAGAAGTCTTAAACACATCGTAATCTTGCTCCTCCTCTCTTAATTGATCAACTAAGGCGTCTTCCTCGTCTTCCGAAAAGTCATAATCTATGACAGGAACCGGTCTTGTGCTCTGACTTTGTATGCCAACATCTAGTTCTTCTGAAGGCGGTCTGACTGCTGAGCTTTCGTCAGGAAGAATCTCCATCAAATCTTGTTCATTTGAACTACTACGTTCTTCTTCTTCATCAATTCTTTGTGCAATAATCTCAGCAGCTCTTGGTCCTGAGAGCAGTCCTAATTTCTCATCTTCAGTAAGCGCCGCCTCGGCGTCATTGTTGTTGCTCGCAAGAAAGGAAGTTCCAAGGTGGGGGTTGAAATCGGAAGGCCCAGAAGGCCTGAACCACTCTGGTGTTGGTGGCTTGGGGTTTTCGGTAGAGGCCTCTTCGTTCGTATTATGCTCTTCGATAGAGCTGACTATTGTGTTTTCATCTTCCTGGGGTATTTGTTCTAAAACAAACTGTAGATTTTGTTCGGACTCTGTGGGTACTCTAGCAGGCTGATAGATCGTAGCCGCCATAGGCTCTTGAAGATCACCATTGATTTTCTCTCGGTATTTTTCAGTCTCTTCAACCTGTTGAGTCGGCGAGCTCATATTCTCGAGCGTCGTTATTGAATTTCTCTTTTGTTCGCCATCCACATCATGAGTATCATTGTTAGAATCCTTCGCATCCGCAGTATGTTGTTTACTAGCTCTTTTAGAGTTCACAACACTGTTCATTATTTGAATATCTTTAGTCAAATCTGCGTAGTCATCATCATCATCGTTCTCCTCGGAATACTCGCGGTTCGGAATTTCTTTCTCCCAAACTACTTCATCTGGAATATATAGAACTTCATGTGCCTTACCTGACTCCGAATCCGCTTGTCTTTTATCTAAGAAAGATTGCCCTCCTCCAGACTTCTTTGTTGTTGCCATTACGGGAAGTAAAGAAGCTTTGACCGAATAATCCAGTTTCTCGTCTTTGTCCTTTTTTTCAACGTCTACGTCTTCCCAGTCTATATCTTCGTCTTCTTCGTCATCAGCTTTGCTGCCGTATTGTTGCAGTTTCGACTTCTGAGGACTTTCATCAACAACAATAGCTTTGCTAATTTCAGAGCCGTCGGCTCCTGTTAAGCTCAACGCCCAGCCATCTTCAGTTCGTACAAGTTCATATTTCTTACCGCGCTGTCCTGCTATTCTCTTGTGAGGTTCATTTTCCGATTTGGAGGCGCCGCCATCATGAGTATCGGTGGCATTCATAAGCTTTTGAGTAAAGAAATTACGCCTCTTGACCATATCAATTTGAAATTTCGAGAAATCCATGCTGTCGGGGAAGATGTTCTCTAGCTGTTCTTTAGAATATCCCATTCTCAACCTCGACTTTAATCTCAAGGCCGATAAAATCATGTACTGAGTAGATTTCGGCAGTTCGTCGAAATCTTTGGAGGCCGGATTCACAGAGTCAAGATCGACACCATCTAACTCATCGATACTTTCCATGATAGACTTGAAATCATCAGCATTGATTCTCGCGTCTTTCTCATCATACTTGAACCCCTGGATTTGCGGCAAATCATATTCGTCGTTAAGTTTATGGATATGCGGCTGGGAAATAGTCGTGGCAGAAGTTCCAGAACCCTCATTTTGCATTTGGCGAGCTAAGAGTTTCTTCGCAGTATTTGCAGCATTATCTCGGCGGCCTTGACGTCTTTCTTTACGCTGTTGAATTGTTCGCCTCTTCAAGGCTGGAGCTCCACCATCAAAAACAAATACCGGTTTAACTCCAAAATATAGCAGCTTGCAAATCCGCCTGAAGAATCCCACGATATGAGAATATCTCATGGCATTTCCCTCCTTATCCCTAACAGCTTTCAGGAATTGGTAGATCCAAATCGATGCATCCACAGCTAGGCGTTTATTACTCAGCGACTCCAGCCGCACTGGTTTTGCAGTAGGACCAACAATATCCCACAACGCATGAACACCCATGAGATAGTGAGCAAAAGTGGTTGAAACTGGAGGTGAAGAATGATGTATTCAGTGAAAATTTATCGATGCTTTAGCCCAATGCTGAAGGAACGTAGTATTATCCCAAGTTTTCAGATTCAGAAAGAAAAAAGCATATACGACTACCGAATATATGCTGCAGGATTGCTTTGCTCGGCTGAGGCTGATGCTTCCGTGTAGGTCTATTTTCCTCAGTTTCAGTTGGTAATCATGCTTAGATACTTGTATAAAAAGTGGCAAAAAACAAATGTTCCGACTGGGGGTCGAACCCAGGACCTTAACCGTGTGAAGGTTACGTGATAACCACTACACTATCGGAACATGTTAGATAGTTAATTTGGTTACAAAAGCGTATTCATGGCTAAGTATATGATGTTAATTAAGAGATCCCTTGGACAACAAGAGCAGAAAATTATATGAAACCAATGCCGCACTATCGAGAAAACCGGGGTTTTGTACATTAATTATAGAGATTGATGCTCATGATTGAATAACGAAGGTATCAGGAAATCTATAATATAAGCCTATCTACTAAGGATACAGGAACACGAAAGGACGAGTAACAATATGAGTAATGAAACATACGCAGATTGTGTTTACCTTAGACTGTAGTCAAGCTTTATGTGATTGATTAGCCACAGCAAGCGTGATTCACAAGCTGGTTGAATACCAAGATGTAACATTTCCACGAATATGAAATGAAACAAGACCAGAGAAATTCGTAAACGTCGCCTACTAAACTCGCCTGAGATGCCAAACTGATTAAAACAAAATTCATACGTAGAATGAGAGCCAGAAGGGTGGCTCTAGGTATAGAAACGACACTGTTGCTAAATACCACTTTTGTTAAAATCACGTATCGGGAATAGTTGTATTATAAAAATAATTGATCAACTCGAAAGCGGTCACATCAGAGGCCACTATGGTGAGAAACCAAGAACTATGACATAAGAGAACCAAGTGACAAAGATAAATTTTCAAATTAGCATACCGATTTAGATTTAGAATAAGAATTGAATAGTGCCTATACTCACATGGCTTGTGTTGCTTCTGGGGTTTGGCGTCCGAGGAAAGAAGTCAGATACAGTGAATATAGGTCCAGAACACTTCTCGCTTCCAATACCTGCCATGCAAATACAATCGTGTAAGCGCCGATGGTTTATTTTCTATGTTGATATTCCGATCTTCACATTCAAAAATCCACGGAGATATGAATAGAACACCAGAACCTAGTACGAATTAATTAGACACGCCGTTAAGAGCTTCAATGACCAATTCAGCAAGCTAAATACCTCTGACCCAGATACGCCTCAAAAAAAAATGTACAACTTTTGTGGTAGGAAGAGCGAGATAGACAAAAGATTCTATAAGTTGAGTTTCGAGACTTTTCGCTTAGCAACTGGGCTTTCTATGTTGTCTGATAGATTTTATGGTCGGTAGATCAATGATTTGACGTCAGCCTCACACACTGTCACTAATTCATAAATGTGTCACCATAACATTAAATAAGTTCAAGTGACTTTCAGATTTTCTAATCATCCTCCCATCCCAAAATTTACATTCAACAGTTTCAAATAGTTATACTGCCTTCTCCAAATATACCTCAGAGTTATATTTCTTAGTGTAAATAATGCCATCTTATATGAGGAAATATCGCTGATTCATCTAAAGTTCTGTATTAACAGCCTATTTCTCATTTCCTAGAATGCTACATTTTTGTTGAAAGATCTTCGCTCAGATTCGACTGTTCTCAAATAAAAATATCATGACTAGAACTTCACAATACATGACATGGCATTCACATAATGTGGTTTCGTGCGCTATTCATGTTAAAACAAAACCCAACTTCGCCATTTATGTAGTACCTTACCATATTGAGAAATGTTCAAAATAGGCCAATTTGGTCATCTAAACAGATTCAACCATCACTGGAAACATGATTAATGGATCATCACGTATATGTCCTCTTTTATTTTTTTTGGTTTTGTGGAAACACATATTGTACTAAACATGAATCAGTAAAATATTTCAAATTAATGTTTTTATGATCCTTAATCTTTTGAGGGCTACTTACATTTTCGTGCATGGGTAACTTATCGTCTTTACACATATATTACATTCTATACAAGTATAGTTTTATGGTTGACATGGCTTTTTGAAATTAGACCGATTGTCGACGTTCAAGATATTTCAATAATACAAGTAGTCAGATCTTGCGTCATGGCATTCATAAATATTGATGCTTGAGTTGTGCGAGTTCGCCGCTGCCAATATCATTTCATGTGGATGAAAGGCCATTGTGGAGATGAAAGAATTCGATATTCTCGAGCCGCTCATACCAGTTGCAAGTGTACCCGCCACACCGCCTGCATGTGTCTGTGGGGTATTCTTAAAGCTCGATAAAAGGTCACCTGACGTAGTCCAAATCTTTAATTGTTTGGTACCAGTTGCAATGATCGGGGCATGCTCGTGTACCTGCATCGATGTCATGGTGGTCATTCGGGTCATTGCTGATCCGCTCTTGTCGCTTTCATCGTTGAATGTGCCAATAGAGTTAGAGCTCCTGAGATCCCACAATTCAATCTGACCGTTGTCCGTTCCACTAACCAATTCTCGGTACCCGCCCCTTTGCAAGTGAACATTATTTATTCCTGAATTAGATTTGCCATTGTTTGCCCTCCAAGATCTTACCATAGAATCTCTAGGGTCAACGCGACGATCGTAAGCCCTCAAAGATCCATCAGAAAAGCCAGCCACAAACATATTTCCAGAAACCTGATCCGACGTAACGGAGGTGATCAATGATGAGGATTTGGCTGGAATGTCCACTTCGACAGTTTCCGTCAAAGCGTCCCAAATTCGTATAATCTTGGCATCGCCGGTGACTAAGAGCGAGCCCCTACTTTGCTGCCATTCAGTCAGCAGCCCGGTAGATCTTGGAGTTAATAAAAGGTCCGTGAGTCCTCTCCACGAGGAGACAAGTTCAAGCTCATCTAGGTCGTGGAATTTGTTATAAATTTTCACGATACCATCAGATGATCCAGACAGCAACAGTGGTATATCGTCTTCATTCAAAAACTTGATGTCGGTAATTTTGGTTCCGAACGGATTTCCATTAGAAAATGTTGCAAGCTTTGAGTTTTCTACCCAATCAATAACTGATATGTTGTCCCTGTCATCTGAGGATACAACGTAATTTTCAAATTGACTGAACTTTAGAATTTTCGGTTGAGTCTTGTTTTCTAAGGTGGCTATATTGTTCGACCAGTCGCCGTAAAGCGAGAGTTTCTTCTGCGCTTGAGTTCTTTGTATGATAGACTCGTTCCTGTTCCTCCGCCAGAGCCTTGAAGTATATTCGACACTTCCTGGCTCGTCTGCTTCTTGTCTTTTCATTTGAGGCTCTTGGAAATACTCACTGGAGTAATTCAAAAATTTACTGACTAATGGTACCTCGATAGGACCTGTATGCTTTTTGAACTTCGGAGTTACCGCCGTTGGCGCAGTTCCGTGCGGTACACTCAAAAGATTTGTGCCTTGAAGCCTTTCGAAAGCGCGCCTACCAGGAGTCTCCCCTAAAGACTCATTATTGTCGTTTTGCCATCCGAGCGACTTTAAAAGCCCGCTTAGCGAGACTATTCTTCTCGAAAAACTGTGCGTTGTTTGGTCCGCAACATCTCGGCTACTTTCTTTGCCGTTTACTGATAGGCTAGTAGGCCGCTTCGCAGTCGGCAGGGTTGATACTAATGCTTGCCCCGAGTTTGAGCCATTTCCATTCCCTCCTGTATGTTTCATCAAATACAATTCCATCAGTACGACCACTTCATTGAGTTCCTGGTGATCGCTTAGCTTGATGAAGATATAGTCCACAACTTGCTGAGCTAACGACTTATTTTCAAGGTATGGGTCTTCAGTTAAAATGAGAAGTGATTTCCAAACGGTGTTGAAAATAGAGCCATGTGCCACTGATTGCTTACTATCAAGGCCACAGTCTTCCCAGGTGGATTCTAGTTGCGAAATTTCATCACATATCTCATTAAACGCAACAACAAAGAAAAAGTTAATATAACGATGTACCAATTGAGAAAGACATATGATAAGCTCTTTCCTCACAAGAGGAGAACCGTCATTCACCAATCCCAAAGCTCCGATTGTCATTTTTATTTCTTCTTGCTTTAGTTTTCTCGAATCCATATTTCTCAACTGAGACAATAGAGTCTGAAGCTGTTGAAGTTGACGTTCAGCCTGTGCTTGTTGTCGTTGCATCTGCCCCGAGGATTGAAATGACTGCAGCTGAGCTTGCAGTTGTTGACATTGCTGCTGCATTTCCTGTTGTAGTTGCAAAGCCAGCTCTGGTTCCCCCTTTTCAGAGAGGAACATGTTTATTGCTAAAAGAGCTGCACAACGGACCTCTGGAATAGGATCCTTTAAAGATGTGTAGATTTTATCCAAGAAACCACAAGTCATGCAAATGTACTTGTTTAGTGGATTTTTGTAGTAGAGTTGTCCCAAAAGAACAATACACCATTGCCTCAAGAGAGGAACATCAGAAGCTTCAACATAATAACACAACTTACTCAGCAATTCTAATGAGAAGGCACACTTCTGACCGAGCGGAAAGTCACGTAAGAACGAAGATAAAACAAATATAGCCATTGCCTTTTGCTCATCAGTTGTATTATTGACCGAAATCACGGCGCCACTTGTGCTTGAGTTCTGTTGGTTTTGATACAGTTGATAGCGCTGCGTCCCCAAGCTGGCATTTGCGTTCATAGTTAGGCCACCTCCACTACCAGTCCTCTGAATATGCGCCCCTGGACTAGCAACAGTAGTACCTAACTCTGGAACCAACATCTTGACAAAATACAGGTAACCTTTTTCCTTTATGAGCTCGGCTTGGGTATTCTTGTAGTCAATTGACATTATGCGAGACCAAATAAACACGAGAATAGGTCTCAATTCCGGCGCCGGACTTTGCAAAAGCTTTAGAACATAAGGGAAAATACCAATCGAAAGCGATAAATACACAGCCCAAGGTCCCAGATCAAGAAATCGGGACAGTAAAACCAAGGCTCTAACACGATGAACCTGTGACAATAGAACTTGTAAGACTATAGGAAGTTGTTCGGGCGGATGGCGTGTATTAGATCCATACTTAACCCATAATTCAAATGCAGTCAAATTCTGCTCGAAGAATCCCGTGAATTGCTGTTGTTGTTGCTGCTGCATCTGGAGATTTTGCAATTGTTGTTGTTGAGCAAGATGTTGGGGAATTTGGTGGGCGCTAGCCAATTGATGATTGGCGAGAGACATTGTACTCAATGTCCCTGCGGGGGCCTTCGACAAAAGAGGTTCGTCACCTCCGTTCAGTTGTTGTTCTTGCAGTATGACTTGAGTTTCAGACTCGGAGGTATTGGACGAGGCAGCTTGGAGATCACTAACAAGTTTGCTGAGAACTTCATCAATCGCTAAATCCCAAGATTTCCACATTGCATGATCGGCGATTGAGTCGGGAAGCTCTGGATCAGACATTGGGTGACAATTGAACCAAGGCATAATTCTTTTTGCGAGTAGGAAGTTCCTGAATAACGCTGCGACCATAAGGTCGTGTCTAAATAGCTTCTTGAACAAGGGCCGAGGGAGCGAGGTCCAAGCAATCGTGTCAGTTATGGCAGTAAATATCCAATTCAGTTCACCAAGGGGTGTTCTTCTATCGGATAACTTACCCGGTATTGTTACATTTGGTTTTGCAGACGACGACTTGTCTCCATTCGGTTGAGCTCGTTCATCATTGTTTTGGAATAAAATCGCATACTTGGTTTCTCTTAAGGGCGATTGCATTAGAAAGATATCCACGCTAATTTCTATGGGACATGTAAGACAGCAAGTGAATAAATCTGCCGGCAGTTCTGGTTTCATTGGTAATAGCTCATTTGCCCTACAAGATGCCAATTGAATGCACTCGGTATAAGCTTGAGTTGGTGAAGGAGCAGCAGCATCATGATTGCCATCTTGATCGTCTTTTATTCTTTTCTGCACAAAGTTCTGGAAATTGGTGACAATATTTCCAGCGCTGTTGCAGTCATAGACGTAGATACATGGTGCCCCCAACCATGTTTGAAGATCGTAAAGTGACACGGGGATATACTGAGTGTAGCCTCGATTGAATACCCACATCTCGCCCGACGTTGTGGGTTGTGGTACGCCATGGCCGTTGTAGTGAAATAGGATGCGTTCATCTTTTGAGGCGCGTCTGAGGGAATTGCAAAATCGTTTCACATCTTCGACACATGGGTCGAGAGATTGTTTGTAGCGAGTCCTAAGTGACAAAGTCTCATACTGCGATTGCAAGTTTTTGCCGATCTGCTCTATGGCTTTTTTCGAGTCCTGAAAGTTGAGCGGATCAACCCACGACTCAAGACGTGCACACGGGTGGGTCTTTGCTACATCCGGCGGATCGACACCGAGATTTAAGCAGAGTAGGAGCGCTGCAGAAACAGTTTTTTGTCGTTCTTTGAGGATTTTCCAGTCCTTGATGGGTTGATAGTACCGATCCGGATCCCGCTTCTTCTCTTCGCGGGACGTAGGATTTCCATTGGTTTTGTGACGTTTATCGTCAAAGTAAAACATGAAGTCATTCTCAAGAGACTCCAGAAACTGCTCTGACAAGTACTGGTCTCCAAATCCATGCCTGGTCTCTGTATTTAGTTTCTGCAACGGCTGAGGCCCGTAAGTGATGGGCATGACTCAGCAGCAATAAAACAAAGTCTTGAGACCGCTTGGTAGCTCAATTCACACAGAAAACTTTAGGAATACTCCTAACGCTGTTGAGTGTCAGAGAGCAGCCTTAAGGTTGTTAATCTCATTATTTCGGTAATGCACATTCGCCTGAACTTTTAAAAGATTAAGTATCATACACAACGAAATTAAAGCTTTTGGCAGCTCATCGCACCTTCCGAATTGAGTGTTCAGTTTGAAGAAGAGACATTGAAGAGGGATTTAGACTTTCAAATCATGGCCAGTACCTCACACAACCCATCGATACTTCTGCGCCGCGTTTTAGCTCTCAAAGAGAGCTCACCGTTCGTTCTTGTGGTGGATTCGATCGGTCGCACGGGACATTGTGTTTTAGAGGAAGTTGCTCGAGAGACTGACGAGTCCACGACGATCGTGTATGTTTCATTCGAATCGACCAGGAAGCCTGACTATGCTACATATTTTTTGGAAGGAACCAAGTCTGAGTCAAAGCTTCTGAGCACAATTCAGTCTTTTCTCCCCACTCCAGAACAAGCAAAGACCTCGAAGTTTAAGTTTCTGGTAATGATCGACTGCGTGAATTTCGTGGCTGGTCCAAGCATAATGAATCTCGTCGCACAACTGGCTTCCCCTACTGTGGCACTTTTGGCTGTGTTCCACAAGCACCAGCCTGAGTTTCGATCTCCTGAGCTGGAAAATTATCCGTCTTCATTGGACCTTCTACAATTCATGGCAACTTCGATCCTGGAAGTACAGCCACTTGCAAATGACTATGGATCAGAGCAAGAGCATGAGTCTCAATTGCAAAAACTAGAGATTCCTCGGGGCCTCAATTCGCACCGCTACAAACTTATCTTGACTAATCGACGCAAATCTGGCCGCGCTTTGACCTATACGTTCCAATGCGATACACAGGCACATACATTTGCACTGATACAGGAGAAGAATGTGCAGGACGGAGCTCAAGAAGACCCTGAAATGTTTGAAGGTCTCACAACTTTCAATTTAAACACTTCCAACAAGCAAAAGGTGGCAAAGGAGCAGGTCGCTTTGCCTTTTCTGGAGGCCCAAACTTTCAACACTGGTGGTGCTATTGTGTACGAATTCGAAAAGGATGATGACTACGACGAAGAGGACCCTTTCGAAGATCCGTTTTAATGTCTGCTGGCCACTTAAAATTTGGCGGGAAATATCGAGTTTCATACTAAATAAGACGGGATAGACTGTCTCAAGAGTTCCCACAAATTCTTATAAATTGTTGGAATGCTAAAATGAACTTTGTTATGTACTATATGTAAAATGCTTGCTGGTCTTTGCCGGTACAGATTGTGCAAATCGCCTATTGCTGTTTTTTCTCAACATCAACTTTGCCACCATTTCTCTTTATCCTGGAGAAAAAGCTCAATAGCCTACTTTTGAGTCCTCGTCTAGATGAGGATTTTTTATCCGCTTCTTCTATGGTCACTAATCTCTTAACCATTAAATTGTACAATGTGCCGAACGCCAGGCCCATTATCGTGGAGGTAAGTATTATAACATTGTAAGGCATACTGAAATCAGGCGTCGATAACGAGAGCAATAGCGTAGATGTTCTCATCTCGTATTGCGTAGGCTCAATGACAGTTACCACTGCAGACTCGATTTCAAATCCATGATTGGCATCTGGAGGGTATTCTGCGTATTTGAGCAAAGCTTTGTCGAATTGATATGACAGCGCCAAAGATGTGTTCGCAGGTATAGATAGACTAAATTCCAAATGCGTTGGTCTCTCTCTGTCAATTGCCGGTAGATAAAATGTGCTCTTTATGACATCTTCAATTTCAAGTCCCACTTCGCTTTCCAACTTTAGAGACGATAGGTATAGCCTCATGTACCATGGTAGCGATTCAAAGTATACGGCAGTCACAGTTTCATTTCCTGGATTTCTGAAAACTACACGAAGCCCGCCACTGTCCTGTCCATATCCGGTCAAAGACCTACTAACAAAGATTGGAGCCTTGTCAGGTTCTGCAATATCAGCAGTATTTTCAGATTCGAAGTGTAGATCGTGAAGCTCCTTGTCCTTAACAGTGAAACAGTTGTCATCTGTTGAGTAGAAAACATCACCTACACTGATGAGAACATTCCAAGCATCACTGACTACTGCACATACCTTAGAAGGGTACTCAGAAATTAAGCTTGATCCAATAATTTTTTTCCCGAAAAGCTTTGATAGTTCAAACTTGGTTTCCTTGCGTTGCGGTAACGGAAAACATTCGTAAGAGTCGTGTGGTTTACTTTCGTCGCACATTAATGCGTCCTCCTGCAAAGGCTTTGGAATCGGCTTATCTGCACGAGCCAAAGAGCTAGGAACATTGAATACCATTTCAATGTACTCCTCCATATAGTATTTACAATGAATACCTTCACAACGGGTCTCAACGTCTATAGACAGACTGTGCCAATTCGAGTCGAAAACTTTGTGACCATCCAATAGAGAAGAGATTCCAGCTCTACCTCTTGTGGGTAGAAGTTTCAAAAATGGCGTCAAGTTCTCTGTGCAGATAGGTTCATTGGCCAGTGCTGCTCGTATGAGAAAGAGATGGTTTGAGGAATTGAATATTGGCATAGATTCCTTTTTGGCTGGTTGGAACGACAAAACCGGATAGGTTGTCTTTTCGATATCAATGAAATTGATGGAGGAGCAGAAAAGTCCACTCAAAGAATTGGCGAGCGATATCCAGTTGTCAAACGCCTCATTTTTGTTGCTGGCTTCGATGACGGCCCAAAGTTCAACTCCGTTTCCGCCAGACTTGGAACCTCTGTGGGGCAATTGACCCCAGGATTCTGCATCCCAACGACCGTGTGTGAAACGAATATGCAATTGTCGCGTTTGAGTATATTCAAGGATTGGACTCAAGGCCTTGGGGAAAACTGTATAGTGGCGGTAAGCATCAAAATCTGATTCCGCCTCTCCAACAGTGAGATTGTTAGAGCTCATTTGAAATTGAAAGGAAGCAGCCATAAAATTGCGTGGCAATGGCTTCAATGTCAGCTTTTCTTGAAATGGATACTTAATGGGCTCTACATTCTCAAATAGAACAACCCTATCGCCTTCCCCCTCTTCATTCACAGCGCCATCGAGCTCTGTCGTGTCGTTAAACAAGCTTCCTGCTTCTAATGACTCACTTGTACTATCGGTCTCGGAAGAGGTCGTAACGATAGGACACGTTTCGAAAACAGTCCCAGCGGTATCGGTTTCATTTGGTATAATTAGCTCTTCGTCAATCGAAGTTACATTTGCATATGTTTGAGCCACTAGCAGAGCCCAAGAAAACACAAAAGAAGTCCTCATTCCATCCACTCCAGCGTCTCAATAAGATTTTGAGAATCGTTTTAAAAAAGGTTTTCCATACATCAATGAATTCCAGTTAAACTTTTGAGAAGTGTTGATAGCATTGCTAACGAAAGGACAAATGTGATAAAGAAAGTGGAACTTTTAATGCTCTTCAACAAATCTTCGGTTTCAAATAACTAGACAGGAGGCTTCTCTTTCAAAGGACGGTGAATTGATATATATCTATTATGCCAGAGGTCGAATTTGTCAAAAAAACGGGGGCCAATGAGAAACGAAGCTTGACGGCAGCCTACTCGATGCCGAAAGAGCTGCAGCAGGGATTACAAAATGACGCAGGAGAAGATCAGCTAAAGAACAAATCGGAGGCCAAGAGTGTCTACGCCAGAGAGTCAGAATACCAACGGCAGAGGTTTAATTTAGAGCTGGGACAACCTTCTTCTAAGAGGCCGTTGGACGAAGGTGAGTCTGCAGTCGAGAAAAATAAGAATGATAATAATGATAATAGCAGCAACAAGAGGTCAAGGTGGGATATCACAGAGACAAATGATGACAAGACTCATTCCGCAGCTCCACCAAAATCAACGGAGCAGAGTAGAAAATCCAGATGGGATGTTGAGAAAGCTTACCAGATGCCTGAAACCAATAGAAAAGACACCAAAGAGCTATCTAAAGAGCTGATAACAGACATTCCGGGAACGCAGGATCTTCAGTTTTTTAAGCCCACGGACAGGGCCCATTTCGGTGAGCTCTTGAGCCAAAAGGTAGAATTTACAGAGGAAGAAGATAAAGATCGCCAATTCCTGCGGCTTCTACTGAGAATAAAAAATGGTAAGCCACAGACTAGAAAATTAGCAATGCGTGCATTAAGGGATCGTGCACTTGACTTCGGGGGACCTCGAATATTTAATCGCTTGTTACCAATTCTGATGGATAGAACTCTGGAAGACCAAGAGCGCCATCTGATGATTAAAGTCGTCGATCGCATTCTCAACCAGCTTCAAGATTTGGTCAAACCTTACACACATCGCATTTTGGTTGTGATCGCCCCTACTCTTATAGACGAAGATCCAGTCACAAGAGATATAGGCAGGGAAATAATTTCTCGATTAGCACACTGCGTAGGTTTGGCCACAATCATTACAAATGTTCGTACAGATATCGATCATCAGGATGAATACGTACGAAACATAACTTCAAGAGTTCTCGCGGTGGTAGCCAAGGCGCTTGGTGTGTCAACTATGATTCCCTTTTTAAAGGCTGTTTGCCATTCGCGCAAGTCATGGCGCGCCAGGCATACCGGTATGAGAATCATTCAACGTATTGGAATATTTATGGGAATTGGAGTTTTGCCCTACCTTCAATCTTTAATCGAGTGCATAAGTGACAGTCTAAGCGACGAACAATTGCCCGTTCGTATCGCCTCAGCACAATGTATTACGTCTTTAGCACAAAGCACGTTCCCTTATGGGATTGACACTTTTAATGTTGTTTTAGAACCATTATGGAGAGGCATAAGAACCCACAGAGGTAGGGCGCTTGCATCATTCTTACGTGCCCTGGGGTTTCTGATCCCGTTGATGGACGCTGAATATGCCGGTTACTATACACAGGAAGTAATGAGAATTGTACGGAGAGAATTTCACTCTCCGGACGACGAAATGAAAAAAGCAGTTTTATTGGTATTACAAAAATGCTGCTCAACAGAAGGCCTTACTCACAAAGAGATCAAAGAAGAGGTAATGCCGGAATTTTTTCGCAATTTCTGGAATCGCCGTATTGCCTTAGATCGTCAAATTAGCAAAATTGTCATTCACACCACAGCTGTACTCGCAGAGAAAAGCGGGTGTGCCTTTTCAATTAACCAATTACTCAATCCTCTCAGAGATGAGTCAGAGCCTTTAAGAGTGATGGCCGTTCGGGCTGTGAGCAAAATGATAAAATCTCTGGGCTCTCAAGATATTGATCGAAGATTAGAGACCAGGTTGATTGATGCACTACTAATTGCTTTTCAGGAGCAAACTAATGAGGATCGAACCATACTTTATGGGTTTGGAACAGTGATAGAGTCTCTGGATACCAGAATGCAACCATATTTACCACCACTTGTGAGCACGGTCCTACAGCGATTGAAACACAAGGTGCCTGTTATTCGTCAACACGCAGCTGATTTGTGCGCTATGATGGTACCTGCTATAAGTAATTGCAGGGAGCAGGCCATGCTTAATAAACTCAACATCATCATGTTTGAGTCTCTCGGTGAAGTATACCCCGAAGTATTGGGCGCTATCATAGGAGCCATGGCTCAAATAGTAGCATGCGTAGATTTTGCTAAACTGCAACCTCCAGCCAACCAGATTTTGCCAAACCTTACTCCAATATTGCGAAACCGTCATAGGAAAGTTCAACAGAATAGTATAGTGTTGATCGGAAAAATCGCTGACAAGGGTCCTGAAAGCGTGCCACCTAAAGAATGGATGAGAATATGTTTTGAGCTGCTAGAAATGCTTAAAAGTCCAAACAAGTCAATCAGAAGAGCTGCAACCAGTACGTTTGGCAGAATTGCCAAAACCATAGGACCCCAAGACATACTCGTTGCTTTGTTAAACAACTTGAAGGTACAGGAGCGGCAACTTCGTGTCTGCACCGCCGTCGCTATTGGAATTGTGGCAGAAAATTGCGGAACAATTACAGTTCTACCTGCTATCATGAATGAGTACAAGACGCCAGATACAAATGTTCAGAATGGTGTTCTAAAGGCACTGTCTTTTATGTTTGAATACATCGGTGGCATGTCTAAGGACTATATATATGCCACCATTCCACTTTTACAAGACGCCTTAACTGATAGAGACCTAGTCCATCGCCAGACAGCTGCCACGGTCACAAGACACTTAGCTTTAAATTGTATGGGCAAGGGGTATGAAGACGCTTTCTTGCATCTAATGAACTTGCTCATGCCAAATATCTTCGAAACCTCTCCTCACGTAATCGTCCGCATTACAGAAGGTATTGAAGCGTTACGAAATGCGCTAGGCCCTGGCATTGCCTTGAACTATATTTGGGCAGGTCTTTTTCATCCAGCGAAAAATGTACGGAAGGCATTTTGGAATCTTTACAATAACACCTACGTTCAATGCTTAGATTCTATGGTGCCCTTCTATCCGCAAGTGGAAGATGATCAAAACTACATGATAGAAGAGTTCGAAGCTCTTCTATAATAATGCATATCTAAGTAAATACAAATATCTTCTATTAAAAAAGCTACAAGCTCCTCTCTTCGTCTCCGTCACTATTAGAGTCTGATTCATCATCTACGTCGCTATCGCTGGAATCCGTCGATTCATAATCACCACTATCAGATTCTTGCTCCGATAAGTTATCCTCGGACGAGCTGCCCTCATCGCTGGTACTCTCTTGTTCAATCTCCCCCCTTTTGACAGTTTTGTGCTCTTTCGAAGGAACGTCTGAAAAGAATTCATCTAAACTTTGAAGGTGATACTTTTTACCAATTGATGAAGTGAATACTCGAGATGAGGAGGCTTTTGAACTGTTCTGGTTTTCGGCTATACTGGACGAACGACGCTGATTATCTTTGCCAGCAAAAAATGAGGAGGAAGAGAAACTAGTTTTCAGCTTATTGTAGTCTTTTAACTCCGCAGGTTTTCGCAGTTCGGAACTTTTGTTGTTTTCCTGGTCTTCAGACCAAGAAATAGTGGTGAGATACTCTTCCATGTCGTGATCTATGTTCAAGTGCGCCAAGTTGGCGGCACTCAAACTAATTGGCGCATCAAACGTCAGAGAACACATTGAGGCAGGTTTTGGTGCCTGCAGCAATAAGGACGCAATTTCGTACCTTTGTTTATCAAACAGAGAGGAAAACATCCTTGCGCGGTCTCTGATATCGAAGTCGTCGTCGAATTTTGCCAAATGAAAAACTGCCTGAGCCATTTGTGAAATTCTTGATTGATCAAAATCGTACGATTCATCTTCACTTCTACTGTTCTTGAAATTGTCAAGGTCGCAAGATAAAATCTTGGCGGCAAACAAGACAATTTGCGATCTTGTTTCTCTTGGCTCTGAGGAGAAACCTGGAACTAAAATCCTTAAAACATCGGGGCATATGGAGAAATTAGTGGCGGAAAACTCTCCAAAAAGCCAAATGATTCCAGCTTTTGCGTTACCGGACAACTTTTTTTCGGTTTTCAGTGTCTTGGCTAGGTGAACCATAGTACCGAGGTGTTGAGTGGGATTTTCTTGAATCAAATATCTCACTACGTTAACATACGAGTCCAACGACGTTGACACAATCGAGGTTTCCATACCCACTAATAACCATTTTGTAATATGAAGTGACAAACTCTGAGACAACTGACCACAAGCTGCAATTGATTTTAGTGCTTCTTGAATTACCGAGGGTCGCTTATCGTGGACTATATGATACTTGAGTTCCAGAACAACTTTTTTGACATTATTGAGATTGACTAGCGTTGCAATGATTTTGAGCTTGTTTACTGCAGTTGCTGTATCGTCACTAGGAAACAAGAAGAATTTCTTCAAGAAAGGTGAGAAAGTAGTGGGGTCTACAGCGCAGTAAACCAGGATACATTGTAAGATAACGCCACGATCACTAGCAAATGAGGGTGCACTTATCAGCCGTGCTAGTACATGAGTAATTCGAGAGTTTTTGAACGCAACTGGAGGACTCAATTCGAAAAGAGCTTTGCTAATAGAAACAATCACAGCTGCGCTTGGAGAATGCAGCATTTTTTGAATGGTTTGCAGGAACAGCTCTAGGTCAGGGTCAAGTGCAACATCGTAAGTTGCAAAGGGAATTGCATTAAAGGCGTCTGGAAGGGGCATAGAGCGAGTTGTGTCAAGCGAGTCCGTCAAAATAGGCCTAGGAATAAAAGTTTTGCAGTAATCGATGAGCAAATCGATCAAATAAGCCTGCGACCATTGAGAGAGTTGAGGTAGAATCTTGCAATACCGACGAAAATGGCCGTGAAGAAGATCCAAAGACTGAGGAAATGCTTCTTTAAGTAATAAGAGAGCAGATGAGACTACCAATGGGTCTGTGTCGCTAAGCAAGTCTACCAGAAGTGGTTTGACGTCGTCCGCAACAGTTTCGCGCTGTTCACGATATAACTTGAGAAGCGCGAAGCTCACAGCACTACGTACTTCTGGAGCACTATCTGATACGGATTTTTTCACGGAATGCAGTACTATCGGGTACAAAGATGGGATTTTGATGTCAGAGAGCATTTTGAGTGCCAAAGCACGGCTTTGAGGATCTGGGTCAGTAAGGGACTTCTGAATTGAATTGACTGCCAGAAGCGCCACATTGGGTTGCCTTTCAGCGTACCGTAGTAGATACACTGCAATCAGTCTCTTGACCTTGATATCGTTAGATGATCCGATGTTCTTAACCACATCCGCAAAGTACAATTCTAGATCAATTGTGGGATCGTCTGAAGCCAGGAGCGATGCTACCCGCTTCATGCCGTCTCGTACTTCTCGCTCATTGCGCGAGTTCAATAGTGAACGGAGTCCTTCGGGCGTTATCTTCTGCGAGTATCGATGGTAAGACGTTTCTCCTAGGCGGGAACTGGCCACGGCTGCTGCTTCCAGGGTCAATTCGCGCGCCGACTCCAGTGCAGAGGTAATGCGTGAAATAGAATCCACCATGGCGTGCAATTGCGTGCGTAATTAGCTGAAATAAACTGCCTGTCTTGCAAAAGTAACCGACATCAATAAGTGATCGGTAGCTGTTTTCTGTCAGGTAGTATAATCAGCTGACATAAATGTAGAATTTAACAAAAAATAAAGCCCTGTAGGGGGCTCGAACCCCTAACCTTATGATTAAGAGTCATACGCGCTACCGATTGCGCCAACAAGGCTCTTAAATTGGATGGAAGTATTCCAGACTAAACTCTTACAGAACAGCTTTAGTAGTCATGTGGAAAGTTAGATATTCGAACAGCTTTGGTTCTTGGCAACAATTCCGGGTCCTTATATGTATTGTACATGAGTGCTAGCTTTATATTAAATCTCAGGATATGGGAGATTTCTTTGCGCTCTGTAGCGGGCTACAAGAACTATATTCAGTTCTTGACCAGGCTCAATGCCTCGAGAGCTCCTACAACTATGACAAAGCAAATACGTTCATGTTTCTAAGTTGTAAATTGTGGGGAAGAAGTGTTTTTCTTCTGAATCATTGCGCAGCTTATAGCTTGTGATAGCTTGTTGTTAGCTGGTGTAAATAAGAAAGCAGGGTGATCAAGTGCGCAGCCGGATACACGTAAAATGAACAGGTGGTATGTGACGGGAGAATCTATTGTGCATCTTCCTTATCACTTAACAACAGTCTCCTCGCAACAGCAATAGAGTTTTGCTTCGTTTAACTATTGGGACAGAAGCTCTCTAGAGCCCCAATGAGAAAAACAATGGCTCCAATATTATCTTAACTCGAGACCGCATATATATTTTGGGTCACTCAAATTTTACTAGTTTCGGTGTGACCTATGGCCAGATTGCCAGAGCATTTTCAGTACAACCTTGAGGCTTCTTAAGAGACGGTTATTTCTCTTTGAGTATACAGTTGGTTTGGAATTGAGACACCCTACGCACTCGTTTATTTTCTAACTTAAGAAAAAGAGCCGCTTGTGTCGAGGATTTCCACTAAATGTGACTAGTCTGAACACTCGACAGGGTGCTAATGGCGACCATGACCAATTGCAGCTAAAAGAAATAAGTAGTATTTGGTTTCTACAACGTACTTTATTGAAGCCACCACTTCTGCTCTAAAAATGCACCTCTGGTATGCGTCTTTCAGTCGTTTCTCGATGTGATTATCTATCCAGCGGCCTTTTTTTTTTTTCTCTTTCTTCCTGCAAGTGTCTTGAGCTCCTGCCTTACCAACTGGCTCATCGAAGACCCTAGAGATAACTAACACTACCGCCAGGCTGGAGATATATGCCCACCTAAATGACTTCAGCTGACCACGAAGAATCCGGGCTAAGCGAGATGCAGCTGCAAATCTCAGAAATCGTGCAACATGGAGTTATTGACCCGAATTTCAAGTTCAAGGATTCAGAGTTCGAGATTTTATCCACGCTACGCTACGACCCTAAATTTACCCTAGCAAACCGTGGTGCTACTGGAATTGCTGATAATACTATCTCTGGAGCACAATCTGACTTGGATCCGCAACTTTCGATGCTGGACCTTCATGAGTCCCTCAACGAACCAGGCAACTCGCATAACAACGGGGCACCACTGTTCCAACTTTTCCAAGAACTACAGAAAGGAATCTTGCCGATTTCACCACCTCCGGAACCCGAAAACGAACTCCGGAGCGACAAGACGGAGCAAGAGCTACTTAAAATATTCTACAGTCGGTTTTTGCTTCTTGGAGAGCACTATCAACGCTTGAATTTGACTCTAGACTATTTCCACTGGGAGTTCGACATACCTATTGAGCTTTTGCTTGAAAAACTGATTTTGGCTATTCCTTGCCCCGTAGAGTCTGCCACAGATTTACGTTCTCGAATGCAAAGCTTGTATTACCTGGATAAACGCTATAAGATGCGCATTCTCGTCTCACACATCGGAAAGATGCGCATAGAGGCTCATGAACTTCCGCCAAACCCAGTCTTTTTCCCTACCACGTCCCAATACTTTGTCAACACGGTTCTGGGTGGGTTTTTGAGCCAGCCCAGCGAAATCTGGGATGTTTTTATCGATACCCAACCAATGACCGCTTCTCCGTTCACAACCTTCAAAACTACACGCAGGGATCATTACAATGCTGCTAGGGTTCGAATGACAGAGCTACGTGGTACTGTTAATGATCCAGCGGCTAAGTCTGAAATCTTGGTCTACAACAGTTCGTTTGAATTGATGGAAGGGTCCATCACTAATGTTGCTGTACTGCGGCAAGGAACTGCACAGTCAAGTTCCTTCTATCAAACTCCATACCTTTCAACAGGCTGTCTATGTGGCGTTACAAGATATTACTTACTGAAGAAGAACCTGATAAACGAGGGAAACACCGACGTCCGAGACTTGAATATTGGGGACGAGATTCTTCTGTTTAATGGCGTAATGGGTTGCGTGAGAGCGGTAATCAGGAACTCTATGAATTAATCACAACCGGCTAAATAGATCATCAGCTCATCCCAGCATACTTCTTTTTCTGCCTCTCAGCCTAACTTCTTCAAACCTTTTCAATATATCCTTCATTTTCTGCTGGCCCTTCTTGCCTTCATCCTCGTATACACTTCTGAATCCTTGCATGATCCATTCGTTGTATTTTGCTGCAAACCGCGAGTGAGTACTGATTATAGCCCTTTCCAAGACATATAGATCCACACCTTTATCCTCCACGAGTGTTGAAGTCGAACCTAAGCCAAAATCAATTAGGTATGGTTCCCAATGTCCGTTATCTTGATGAAGCACAACATTAGACGTGGTGAGATCTCCATGACAGTAATCGTTCCAGTGTAAAAGTCCTATTTGGTGACCAACTTTTATTAGTGTCTTCTTTACGTCATCACAGTACGGATCAGATGCATGCATCCACAAGTAATTCTTAAGATTACTGAACCCAAAGCTATCGGGTAAATCTTCACCTAGAAATTCGATCCATATGCATCCATTGTAAACGTCGGTCGCGATGAGCTTAGGGACATGAAGACCTGGAAGTTGGGATAGCTTGGCCAATATCTTGGACTCGCCGAGGGTCCTGTGCTTTGTGAGAGCTCTATCTATCGAAGGATGTCTATACTTTTTGTGAGGCCTATATTTGATAACATATTTGGTTTTGGTTGATTGATCGTTTGGACTTGTCTTCGCATTTATGGGCTCATATGGGTGAACATTAGTAGTGAAAACCACAGCTTCGGCCCCTTGAGAAATTGGAACTATGGGGATGTTAGACGTCAGATAAGCGGCAATTTGATCAATGACTTCCTGGGACATCCTTTAGGGTATTTAGAATTTTGTTACCTAAGAGTTCATAAAACTTGAATTGGGGGTTTTTGAAAATTTTGGCGAAATTACGTCTCAAGCAGAAAATAAGCAATGCTTGCTGCCAGTTATTTAAAGTTCGAAACTATGATTCTATCTTTAGAGCTTATTTAATGTAGCAAATAGAGGTTCAGGAAATCAATTATGTTGACCTCCGTACTTGCTTCTCCATTGATCAATTTCTTTCTCGTCGATGCGCTTGAACAAGTACTCGGCCTTGTTTATGTTATGCCCACCTTGTATACATAGGTTGAAAGAACTGCCAATTCTAAGCTCTGGTGCGTTCAACATCCTGTATATGATTTCAGCTGTTTCAGGCATGAAAGGGTAAATGAGAGATGTCACAGCGTAAATAATGTTCAAGCCGACACCCACGACGGCATCAGACTTGTCTGGAGATTCAGAGAAAAGAGTATTATCGAGCTTGTTGTCTTGCAAAAACAAGTTACCGCGGGCACTTAAAGCCATTGCTAGCTCTAATCCTCGTCTCTCATGAGATTGTTCCATTTCCGTGTTGTAGCTGACCAAAATGGTGTTTAAATCCTCTTCCACCTTCTTGAAATCGACCAGATGATTTGTGTCAAACTCAGGAACCACGCCGTTGTATTTGGCGTTGACAAATTTAACTAACCTGTTCACAAAGTTACCAAGGTTGGCCAACAGTTCACTGTTGTTTCTCGCGACGAAATCGTTCCACGAAAAGTGCGAGTCACTAGATTCAGGCCTAATAGAAGCCAGATAGTATCTCCACACACTAGGCGAAACACCAGTCTCTTTAGCATTGTTACCAAAGACACCGACACCCCTACTCTTTGAGAATTTACCTCCCTCATATTGTAAGTATTCCGTTGTGCTCAAATGGTGCAACATGGTCCAATCTTCGCCGGTACCTAGTTGAGATCCAGGGAAAATAACCGTGTGAAATGGAACATTGTCTTTGCCCATGAATTGATACAAGTCAACGTTTTGTGGGTTCTTCCACCACTTTTCCCAACCCTTAGTGTAATTGGCAGTGATAGAAACATATCCGATCGGAGCATCAAACCAAACGTATAGGACTTTATCCTTGTACTTCTCCATTGGTACTTGAGTTCCCCACACAAGATCTCTAGTAATGCAACGAGGTTGAAGACCTTCCTTTAGCCAGGAATTGGTGATGGTTTTCGAGTTTTTGCTCCACCCACCCTCAGTTGATGATTTTTCGACCCAAGCTTTGATTCTGGGTTCGAGTTTATCCAAAGAGAGGAATACGTGATCCGAAAAGCGTGGAAGTGGTGTACTGCCGTCCAATTTACAGCGAGGATCGATCAGCTCGAAAGGATCTAATAGAGCGCCACATTTGTCGCACTGATCACCACGTGCATCTTCGTAGCTACATTTAGGACAAGTACCCTCAACGTATCTATCTGCTAAGTAAGCTTTGTGAACTTCGCAATAAAGTTGCTTCATAGAGTGCTCCTCCAAAAAGCCGTTGTTCTCCAAGTTCTTGAAGATTCCTTGCGCGATATCTGTTTGCTGCTCGGTGGTGGTTCTGCCGAAATGATCGAAACCGATTTGAAACCAGTCATAAACTTCTTTGTGGATCTTGTGATATTTGTCACACAACTCCTGTGGCGAACATTTCTCTTCTAGAGCCTTAGTCTCGGTAGCAGTACCATACTCATCAGTACCACAGACAAATAAAGTATTGTAGTTTTTGGCCTTGCAGTAACGAGCATAGATATCTGCTGACAACACGCTGCCGACAATGTTCCCCAAATGAGGGACATTGTTCACATATGGCAATGCCGATGTAATCAAAATGTTACGTTCACCGTCTTTTGGGAGAATTTCACCAGAAGGTTTCTTAACTGCAAAATTGGTGTCAATCTTGACAGCACCGGTGTGCTTTGCATTGAAAGAGGTCCTCGTACATTTCGATTTGGCAATAGTGATAGCGGAGGAGAAGAGCACGGGCATTTCTTTAAATTTCGATTCCACCATGGAGGGACTCAAAGCGTAGACATTAGCGAAAGTAATCAATCTGGTAGCACAGGGCGTTTCCTGAAGATCTGTTAGGTAGTTCTCCAAAGCTTTGGTTACAGTTTCTTGGATGTGAACCTGAGGAGCATTGGGGTGATACAACATGGCTTCCAAAGAGGAAACGGCGTAATGGGTCTCCTGAGAATGCACGCCCTCAAAGTCGTCTAAAACGTACCTTAAAATAGCGTTAGCATTGAACAAACGGAACTCAGAGCCAGAAACTGTCAGTTCAGGAGTCGTGGCATCTGTGTTAACGGTTAACTTGACTTTGGCATCCGCTAGCTCTTGAGCAAAAGCCAATTTTAAGTTGTTGCTAAGCTGTAAGGCAGCATTCTGGCCTGTTGTCTTGTCAAAGGCTAAGCTGAGGGCCATTTTTATACTTGACTTATGCACGATGAGTTGATTTGATGTCGAAAACATGAATGAATTTTTTTCATGACAATTTCGTATGTGCTCGGCACACTGCCATTGTTAATTACATGCAAGATCGCGAAGAGATAAACATTGACGCACAGACACGACCTGGCGTTGCCCGAAAGCATACTATGTTAGGTAGAGTCCGACGCACGTTCTTTGCGCCGCCAAACTCTGACATATTTCTATGCTTCTCTCCTTTCGATGCAGTAATAAATATTTGCACTTGAAAGGGTGATTCGATATATATAGACGTGGTCGTGAGGTAAGTTCAATTTACTTTTGAACCACTGGGAGGTCTTAAAATTTGGATCTAAATGTGTCTTACATTTGATCGAAGGAGCATCATTTGGCCTCACATCAGTTTCTTGAATCTCTGTGAAATTTTAACTTTGGGCGCTTAAATCGTCGTCGTGTTACTTTCTTGGCTGTTCACTCATATTGAACTTTTCTCAGTTAGGGATCGCAATATGTTCCCATGCCTTTCCCTCCAAACTAAGGTTTATGATCCATTCCTTAGTTGTTCATCTCAAAAATCACTTAGACGATGCGCTTTTCGTAAAGGCCACGCAAGGCTTAATAATAAGAAAACAGGCAGATATTGACATTTGTATGTCTGTTCTCGACGCTGCTACTTGCCCGATTCTCTAGCGTAAAATTCTTTATCTATTCTAATTGTACATATGGCCTAGACTGAGAAGCAATCCATCTCCCTCAGTTTCTAAATTTCCGCTTCTTAGGATCCGGTGTCTTACCAGAGGCGCCGATGGTGATATTGACCTTTGGAGGAACTGGGAAACCGTATGACTTGGCAACCTTAGTCAAATCCAACTTGTCAATTTGATATACAGTTTTCAAAGCGTGAGATGCGTATGCTTGTAAATATGACCTGTAACCATCTTTGGCAATCTGATGGAGATGGTAATTAGATCTAATCAATTTTTCGAGTTGGGATTGCACGTTGGCGATCTTGCTGACTGGAAACTCAAACTCATTTAAAGGAACTTTAGCGGCTTTCAAATAACGCAGGAATCCAAGTTCATTGGGAGTTAAAAACATCAATGACTTACCCTTACCCTTCGAGCCTCTGGCGGTTCTGCCTACTCTGTGAATGTAGTCTCTTGGATCATCGGGAGGATCAAACTGGATAATCCAGTCGACAGCAGGTATATCGAGACCTCTGGCGGCCACATCGGTACACACGAGTGTGCCTCTTTCGGCGTTGCAGAACTCGAAGAAAGTGTTTGTACGCTTTTGCTGCTTTTGTTTTCCGTGGAGTTCTAGAACGGGTAGGTCAATATAGTTGAGTAGCTCAGCATAATATTTGACAGAGTTACAGGACGACAGGAAAACGATAACCTTCTTCTTCTGGTTACGTTTGAGAAACGAGAATAATAGCAAGAAACGCTTATCGCTGTCGCATACCACGTAGCCTTGTTCAAGACCGTCCACAGTAGAGGTCTCCTTTTCGGAGTCGACGTTAATAAATAGCGGGCCGGGTCTGAGAGAAATACGGGCAAGGTCCTCGACCTTCGTAGTCTGAGTCGCCGAGAAAAGCATGGTTTGACGATCCTTGTTGGGCAAGATTTTGACAATTTGACGCATCTCGTCTTCGAAACCGATCTCAAGAATACGGTCTGCTTCGTCAATAATCAAAGCGCGAAGATTGGTAAACACGAACCCCTGAGTGTTTTGAAGATGGTCCAGAAGTCTTCCTGGTGTAGCAACAAGCAAGTTAACACCCTTGGCGAGCTTGTCAGCCTCTTGACGACGGTTGGCACCGCCAATGACAATACCAAAGGTTTGGGAGTGAAACTCGAGCAGTTGCTTGGCAACACCGAAGATCTGCAGCGCCAGTTCACGCGTGGGCGTAATAACAACGACACCAGTCCCGTTTCTAGGCTTGAACTTAAGAGAGTGCAGCATTTCGATCGCAGGCAGCAAAAAGGCCAAGGTCTTGCCTGAGCCGGTTTTCGCAGCGCCCAACACGTCGCGGCCAGCCAGCAGTGGTGGAATCGTGCGGGATTGTACCTGTGTCATCTTCGTGAACCCGAGCTTTTCGACAGCCTTCTTTGTGGCCTCGGAGAGGTTAAGCTCGTTGAAATTCTCCTTGTAGTCAACAGCATCCGTGGAGGCCGTGTTAGTGGCTGTGGAGTTCGCTTCAATCGCTAGTTCGATTTGCTCGTCATCAGCGTCATCTCTGCTGTGCTTCTTGGAGCTTACAGGCGAGGCTTTATCAGAGACCATCGTTACAGCTACCAGTGAAGAGAGAGAGAAAGTGTGGAAGTCTTGTGGAAACCTTTTCGTTGTTTTCTTTCGTCGTAGCTTAAGCGTAGGCGATGAGCTTTTTTTTCACCGATGAGGATGCGATGAGCACTTAGAAAAAAAAAGTTTTCCAGGAATTCGAGATAAATTGCGTACACAGTGATTAAACGAATAAAAAAAGGAAAAAGAAAGTCACGGGAGGTACACGTGGTGCAGCACCAATCACCATAAACGACATACATCACGATACACGAATCATGAAATCAAACACGTGATTATATTGTTAGTCACTACTGACGGGTTTACTTGGCTCACACGTCAATATCACTATTTTGTTCCACTGACACAGACAATCCAGATTAGCTGCCAGCAGAAATGAGATGGGTGGATACGGCTCGTTATAAGCGTACGAGAAACCGAGGTGACTCGAGCGATGGCTTTATAGAGTAAACGTTTAGGGCCCCATCTTGCTTCATTTGAGGTTTCACACCAGCTTAAGTACGATTCTGGAGTTTTGTTTATCTTGGCTTGGCCTAGAACACATAACATGCTGTTCCGCCTGTCTAACTTAGCCTTCCAGAAGTAGGAAGAGCGTCGTTTTTAACAATAAAAGCAATGGCAGGAACCTCAACGCCAACGTCAATAACCAGCGAAAGCAATACCACTGTCGTCGGTCACCTTATTGAGCGGTACCCACATCGTTCGAACATCTTTTCTCTTCTCCAAATGCGTTCTGTCAGCATAAACGCTCCGAATGTTCTATCACCACCAAATTCCTGTGGTGCCATGTAAGTGGTATGAGCCATTAGAAAGTTCACCAAGGGGAAGGAAGAAGCGATTATTTGATGATGTTGCACCTCTCTTAACGGGTGTATATCATGCTGTCTGAAATGGAAGGATTTATTGCGAATACGTAGCCTCACATGTCTTCTGCTACAAATGCTGAACGCTGCTGCAAACATACCAGAATGGCTACGTTTCCCGCTAAAACAATGTCATCAATTGTATTGGTCCCGCTGAGAAACCGGGAGCTTTTACCAGCGTCAGGGTGGAGCTGGAACCTAGTTGAGTAGTCAACCTCATCTTACCTAGACACACTAACACCCCGCAAGTAGAACTGGAACCTAGTTTAGTAGTCAACCTCATCTTACCTAGACACACTAACACCCCGCAAGTAGAACTGGAACCTAGTTGAGTAGTCAACCACATCTTACCTAGACACACTAACACCCTGCAAGTAGAAAAAGAACGCTAATTGTCTTATCGCTTCAAATGATGGTTCAACATCAGCGATAAGATCAGCGATAACACCAAAAAAGAATATCAAGTTTAAAGAAGCAAGCCTCCTTGAGCTTCTGGTTCCAGCACGTTCACAGTATAACGTGGTATTTACGTCGTTTTGACAGCTTGACTTCGAATTTTGGCTTAAAAGCCATGCTACTGTCCTTTTTTCGTGTTAATATGAAAAGATTAAGTAAATACTAATTAGAAAACCTGTCAAAAAAATTGGTTTTTCACATTGCACAAACTCAGAGCTTGACAATCAATCGTTTCCGTTCTCAAAAGTGCTCCATACGTTCGCTAGATGCAGGATTTTTACGACAATTGGGATACGCAAGCTTTATATCAAAGCGAGGTCGACGAATGCTACACCTGTGATGAGCAAAGCCCTGTTCCAGATGCAGGAATATTGTGTGGACCTACACTGCGGTTGATCGGCGTAGACTACGAACATAATTTATATCGTGGTAGCATGCTTTTGGTGTGTCGTAAAATTGATGCTCCTTCGGTTTCGTTTGTAGCCGGCCCCAGCAACGGTGAGCTTGCCAGTGGTAACATGAACCATGGACATTTCAACAAAACGATGTTTTACGTGGAAGATGGCATTGAATTCTACAGATACACAATTCAATTCCCAATGGAGGACTACGAGCAACTCATAAAATACACTATCAATGGAGAGGACAAACCACACTACCGCTTTTACATTCCTTCTCAGACTACCAACTTCAACACTATTTCGCATTCATGCAATGGGTTTTCTCTTAGTGTTGATACCACCAAGTTTCACGGCTCAATGTGGTTTGACATTCTTAACAAACATGCCAAGACCCACTATCACGTCATGCTTGGCGGCGGAGACCAAATATATTCCGATGGTGTAAACATTTTCTGCAAAGGATTCCAAGACTGGTTGAAGGAAAAAAACCCAGCGACCAAATACCGGTCGCATTTGACGTCCGAATTGCGCACGGAGCTCGATCAGTTTTATTTGAAGGAATATCTCGAGTGGTACGGATATGGCTATTGGAAAGGTAGTACTCCTAAATCCAAGACTACTCAAAAATGTTTCCCCATTGCTATGGCCACCATTCCGTCAATAAACATCTGGGATGACCATGATATCATTGATGGCTTTGGCTCTTACTCGCATTCTTTCCAAATGAATGAAGTGTTCAGGGGCCTTGGTAAAGCTGCTTACAAGTATTACATGTTGTTCCAACATCATGTGTCCATTGAAGAAAAGGGGCCATACCTGGAAGACCCATCCTGGCTCCTGGGTCATCAAGACGGTGACTACATTGGCGAAAAATCGCATTCTGTTTTCACTAGATTGGGCCCCAGTAACGCGATGTTGGGTCTAGATTGTAGAACTGAAAGAGAGCTAAAGCAGATTGTGTCTTGGAAAACTTACGATATAATTTTCAAGCGCTTGGAGAAAGAAGTGGCCAAACGCCCAATTGACCATTTGATGGTCATGCTGGGGGTTCCAATTGCGTATCCCAGATTGGTTTGGTTAGAATGGATCTTTTCCTCCAGATTTCTGGCTCCTTTAAAATATCTAGCCAGGAAAGGCGTGATTGCACATGGCCTTGTTAATTCGTTCAACGGAGATGTAGAGCTGCTAGATGATTTGAACGACCATTGGTGCGCTCGTCACCACAAGAAAGAGAGAAACTATCTTGTTGCTAAGCTCCAAGACTTCGGTGCCAAATATGGAACTCGTGTCACAATTCTATCCGGCGACGTGCATTTGGCCTGTGTAGGCCGTTTCCGTTCAAAACTGCACTCTCACCATGTGGGAGGGTCGAAGCAAGACGAAGTGAAAAAAGTTTTGAATGAGCCGGAAAAGGACTTGAGGTTGATGTTTAATATTATCTCCAGCGCTGTGGTAAACACTCCGCCCCCAAACGGCATGGCCGCTCTTTTGCAAAAAAGATCTGGAGTTCATCATTTCGACCACGAAACTGACGAGGACGTGGTTCCTCTATTTAAAACTGACGTCGACGGCTCACACAGAGCTCATGGTTCCTTCATGAACCGCAGAAATTGGTCCGACCTCATCCCCATCGAAAACATCTTGGCCCACGATTATCTCCGCAACCTGTACCAAATTTCGGAAGGCGATGCTTGTTTCTCCGGCTTAGTGACCAGTCAGGGTCTTGCGAAGCTCGAAGAAGAAGCCCCACACAGCGGTAAAGAGAAACAGGATGTTACGTACCCTATTACCGCAAAGGGGCTCATTGCCACGATTCACGCAGAAAAAGATTCTTTGGCCAAGAATTCTCAAACAGAGGCATACGCCGTTGTTATCCCTGAGCTACAGACAACTCAAAATAACCTATCCCATACTGGCATCAAGCACATTAACATGAGTGCCTGATTAATCTTACCTCGCAAAAACGTTACTTTTCAACAGAAAAACGAACATTAATTTGTAAAAATAACTTAAATAAGACGTGCAATAGCTTAGACTAATAATTATCTTCACATCTCTTGTCTTTACTTCGATATCTTGCTCTCATTTTCGAATTCTATAAACAAACTATTTCATCACCCCAGATTTAAAAAGACATCTGGTGACAACTTTTAGGGTAATTCGGGATAAAACGAACTCTACTAGAGACACGACTTCTCCTTTGTCTTGATTAGAATCCTAAGGTGAGAGCAGAACTATAAGAATTGCTCCTCCAGCTATTTTGCAACTTGTGTTGAAGAGTAATAACAGATTTGATTAAAACCATTTGGACAATGGCATCAGAGGTTGTGTGGCCACAATGGCGCGGAAACGCCAAATCCGAGGATGCAACGCGATGCAAGTATGTCACGAAGAATGCACAGCTGGGAGATGGCTGTTTCAGCGTTGTCAAGGAGTGTATGAACATATACACCCGCGACAGGTACGCCATGAAGCTCATTAGCAAGAAAACCGTCCAGGGCAAGTTGTGGCTTATCCAGCGTGAGGTAAAACTTTTGAAAGAGGTGAGTGGGAGGATTAGAGACTTAGAGCACTCAGGCACGCAGTGCAAGGACACTTTCGAGGGTCATCACCACGTTTTGCAGTTGTTCGACTATTTTGAGACACCGCAGCATATAGTTCTCGTTACTCAGTTGTGTGACCACGGCGATCTTTACGATAAGATCATCGAGGCTGGGTCTCTGGATCTCTCCAAACAAGTAAAGCCATACGCCGCATGTCTTTTGAGCGCCATTCACTTTTTGCACTCAAACGGTGTGGTTCACAGAGACGTCAAAGCAGAAAATATTATCTTCAGGCTCCGGATCAGCGAGTTGGACGAGTTTGCTCGGCGGGGCTCGCACTACGATCACACTTCCCACGACGTCGTGCTTGCGGATTTTGGTCTGGCTACCAAACTTGACAGCGGCGACGAAGAATTGAAAGAATGCGTTGGGACTATCTCGTATTTGGCTCCCGAGGTTGTGAAATGCAATAACATAGCCAGAATGGCTCCGTCTGAATCCAGAAAAATTCCGGCTTATGGAGAGCTTATTGATATTTGGGCATTGGGCGTACTGACCTACTTCATGATGACAGGGTACATGCCATTCGATTGCGACACGGACGACGAAACAAGGAAATGCATAACGGAAGGTGACTTTTACGTGGAAGACTCACTCAGAGATGACGAGCAGCCACATAACGCACACTTTTGGAACTTCATCCACTTATGTTTCAACGTCAGTGCATCAGAGCGACCTTCGGCTCATAATTTGAGAAAACATCCGTTTGTTCAAGAGTTTTTCCACGATGATGACGATAGTGAGCCTTTCGGTGACAAGATTGCATTGCGCAAAAGTACTTCGTCTTCATCTATTCACAATCTCGGAACTCCGTCCAGATCTTCAAGCGTTTCTAACATTGCGCATCTTGGACGCAATGATTCGATACCGGAGATGATGAGAAGTGGATCTAGAGACTACGATCTGAATAAGATCAGAGAAACTTTGAAAAAGACTCTTTCAATGGCGTCTTTGACGCTCCCCAGAGCTGGCTCTGTGAGCAAAGCAAGTCAAAATAAGGAAAACTCTACGTTCAAGTTAGAGCCCGCCCCTCCTACACAGTCTTTGATGAATGGCTGTTTTTCGCTAACGCCAGAGAGCAAATCCAACTTTACAACGTCGCCATGTGTCTCAAGAAATCCGTCGTCTAACGACGTTACACGTTTAATGTCAGCTACAGACTCAAACAGCACATCTCTTACAGGAAGAAGTACAGCACCGGGAAGAGAGTTGACCTCAGAGAGTTTCAAGGCATCAAATGCACACCCGAACAATCCTATCAAAACAGACATTCGCGCACAATTTGACCTTTAGATTTCATTTATGTTTTGGAGGACTGACCTTAGGATCAATGTAGTTCGCCAATAGGTGCTAGATAAGAACTGGACAATTCCCAGGCCATCAAAATACAGAAAACGGTTCGGAAATAAATAAAACAAATGTAAAGAGTATTTGTAATAGAAGTTCGAATTGATATCTAGTATCACTATATCATGAAGTTGAATACATGAAGTAGTCTGAAGCGGTTGCTTGTAGGTTTTGAAATAGAGAGAAATTGGAAATGCACGAAGGAAAATTAAAACAATAACGTAGGTATCATGAAGTGGTTGAACAAACAGAGATAACCAGTATCCTGTATTCTTCGGTGGCATCTTGGCCCTGAAACAGCGTTATATGCTTCTTCTGCTTAACAAATTAAGGAACTCTTCCCGCGTCTTATGAGCTCCTCTAAAACATCCCAGCATACATGAAGTTACTGTTGAAGATCCAGTCTTTTGAATGCCTCTAGAAACCATGCACATGTGTGTAGCCTCAATGACTACTGCAACACCCCTTGGCTTCAAAATTTCACTCAAAGCCATAGCGATTTGTTTTGTCAGACGCTCCTGGACCTGAAGTCTCCGAGCATACATTTCGGCCAAACGAGCCAGCTTGCTGAGACCTAACACCTTTTTGTTTGGAATATAGCCGATGTGAACTTTACCAAAGAATGGCACCAAGTGGTGTTCACACAACGAGTAAATCTCTATGTCTCTTACGATGACCATTTCGTCGTGGTCTTCCTCGAAAACTGCGTTTTTGATCACGTCGTTGACAATATTGTGTTGGTAGCCCTTGGTGAAGTACATCATGGCCTTAGCGTACCGCTGAGGTGTATCCAGAAGACCTTCTCTAGTTACATCTTCACCCAGCTCCGCCAGGATAATTTTCATAGCATCTGCAATGCGGTCAGTTCTTTGCTGCTCTTCTTCTGGCGTTTCTTCAGACCGTATTCTAGATCCTAGAGTGGGCCAAGAAAGGCCATCGGCGTCCACAGGAGGATTTAAAGTGTATGGTGATGCTGGACGGGTATTCAAGGGAGTGTCTTGTCTCCCGATGAGATTGGAAATTTGCTTGTTTTCCATCTTACTTTTCAAACACCACTGATCAGTTTAGCGATTGAAATGTTGACGGTGGCTGCGCTTCAAGCCAGAGCGATTGATCTTAACGTTCATATACTGAAGGGCCGGCCTCGTGAATTTCTAAAAAATTTTTCGGATGGATGATGATGTTCAAGCGTTTAAAGACCGGCGGAACTTTAAAGCTTCCACACCTTCTCACGTGCAGCGAAGAGAAAGATGAGTATCTAAGTGACGAGCTCGGAGAAGTGAATTAGAACACTCTACCCACTCCGTGACATAAGGTACATATCTCTTTGTCCAGTAGAAAGCGCACTCTGCCCTTACCGCGACATTCGCCGCACGTCACGCCGCCAATCCTGGGATCGCCAGGTTGAACCATAAGCGGCGGCCCTGATGAGGGTCCGCTAGGTAAGTTCGTAGACCCAGAAAAAGGCCGAAATCCTCCAGGAGCTTGTGGAGCGCCAGCTGGAGACATTGGCATGAGTGGCATGCCAAGGTGACTGTAGTTCGAAGGATAGCCTTGAGGGTAGCCATCAAAGACCACCCTGACGCTGTTGTTCGAAACGGATTGGGCAAACTTGCGCCAGCACTGTTTACAGGAGTGCCCGTTCTTGATCTTGTAGCCTGTATTTCCACATTTGGTACAATAGTAGCCGCTCGGATAAGTCCAGGGAATCTTCGCTGGGCTTGCTATATTCGAAGGAGGACTAACATTATAAGAGGAAGGACTCGAACTGGATGGCCTTGGTGGCATGACAGGTGGCCGTATGCTTGCCGGAGCGGTGGGTGGACGAGTTGGCATGGGAGGTGCTGATTCTCTCAGCGCCTCATCGTACGACGGTGGTAAATCATCATCTGGTCTGCTCATAGTGATGGACTTGTTTTGCCGTTGATATGTTTAAAAGCCTAAAAATACGCGAGTTTAACGGCCTAATGATAGCCTTCGCCCTTGATTCGGCAAGATTGCTTATTTGTGAGGCTCAGACGCTGCAATTGATGCTCTTGTGTGAGATTTTCCGGGTACGGTGTGATTCAAGATTTTTTGATTATTCTTAGACGAAAACAAATTGTGACGGCTTGGTGATTAGTTACAATAAGCCACGAAAACTCAGCTCTCCGAAGCCTCAACGTTGCTACACCGCAAGTTTTCTCTAGTATTCGATTCAAATGGTCTTCTCAAAGGCCAGTAAAAAACTCAGCACGTAGAAATAAAGACTGCACAGCGATGCTTACACGTTGTTGGCGTCGCCATGATTATTGAAATCAAGACAAAACAAGCTCCTGAAAACTAGCAGCGCTTTCAGGGTCGTAGCTCCTGTTGAAGGACATTGAAAATTGTGCTCCAGGAAGCAAAAATAGCGAAATCCCACCCCCTCTCTCACCAAGTTTAGTCCCCACCCGCATGGCTACCTCAGTAGTTTTTGAGAATGTCCAGCGCGTAATATTGTGATTACCATATGTCGCTACAGTTAACCATCGCATGAAACCTATTTTGTAAGTTTCTTCACTATTCCAAGTCGTGTGGGCTTCTTGTCTTGATCTTCGAATTCATCTCGGTGGTTCTACAACAAGATTTTTCGTATCATCGCCTTTCAAAAGACGCTTGCTGTTGTTTAACCGCCCAAGCTAGCTGGATTCGTCTTGCTTGGGTCACATCGAACTTAACATAATGTCTAACTCTTTTTTACTTTCTACTTTTCCTTTTCTAGCACATTTAGTAGTGTGCAATCATTCAGCATTCTGTGTTTCGTGGCGAAGCTTGCTTTGCTAACAAAATTTGGCTCTAACATCCTTTGTTTTGATATAAATGATTTCAAGGTTTTCGATCATATAAATCTTTAATATCGAAAACTCGCAAAAGTACACACAAAATACTGCACCAAATGTGGCTTTCTGAGTCTCAAAGTATGTCTGCACTTACTATAGAATCACCGAGTTGCTACTAAACAATACATACTAACACTACTGCTTTAGAATTTGGCGTGGCCTTCACGTTTGGAGGATTTTTATTCTTCGTGTTCGGAATTATCACATTTTTTGACCGCGCGCTACTGGCGTTGGGCAACATCCTGTTTCTGATAGGTCTACTACTGATTATAGGGCCTCAGAAGACATACACCTTTTTCTCCAGACCTAACAAGAGACGTGGGTCAATCTTTTTTGTTTTAGGAATTCTCATGATATTGATGAAATGGACTTTTGTTGGCTTTTTGGTTGAGTGTTTGGGAATTGTGGGACTATTTGGCGACTTCTTCGCAGTCATAGTGCAGTTTTTGAGGTCTCTGCCCATCATTGGAACTGCGCTCTCACATCCCGCAATTGCTCCATGGGTTGACAAAATAGCAGGAGTGCGTGTGCTTCCAGTGTGAAAATCTCATCAATGGTTGCTCAAGACCTCTAATAGACTAACGAGCTCTGCGACGCAAGGGTAGGCTAAGGTGTGTACAGTAACTTTCCGCTGTGTATGTATTCGTATCAAAGCATTCGAAATAATAAGTACTTTCGGCACTTCCTCTTATTTTGAAAGTAGAGATTCCGGGTATTGAACTAAATACGGTAAAAGCTACCTCGGTGTCAAGCTTGACACTTGTTCTGTCTGTCTCAGAGCTTCAATTCTATAATTGAATCATTAACATACTTTTGGTACTCTAAAACCCTTTTTTGGGTACGGAATAAGAAAACTTTCTACTTCGGAGAATAATATGACTCGTCCTCATAGATCAAAGCACCTCAGGCCTGCTGAACAAGAGCAAGATCAAGCAGAGACTGAGTTCAAAGACGAGAATGGTATCATTCATACAACGACACGCAGTCTGAGAAAAGTAAACTATGCAGAGGATGAAAACAACTACAATTCTATGGAAGATGACGATGATGATGAAGAAGATGGCGTTGTCAGAAAGACGGCTCGCAATAGGAAGAGAACAGATCTCCCGGAAGGAGATCAAGATTTTCCAGTAGTAGACGAGCTAGCAGAACACAATCATGTCACTGCCTCAGATGTCCCAGCGGATAAGCCCAAGGCATACACTTACACGGACGAGGATGAAAGCTTCCACGAGGACGACCTTGAAGAGCCAGAGGACGAGGATGCAGCTGGCGGCTCTGCTGATGAGTATTTATCGGAAGAGTCCATAAAGAGAAGCCGTCGTAGAGCTGACCAGAATTTTATTGTCAGCGACGAGGAAGACGATGATGATGATGGTGCTGATCCAGCAAACAACCCCATTAAAAATAGCGACCCCTTGCGGCCATCATATCCTCAGGATCAGCATGTTGACACTGATGATGATGACGAATTGCGCTCGGGCCGAAATTTTAGAAGCTCCACTATCCAGGCTCGCAGAGGTCGAAGAAACGAAATTTCACCACCAAGAAAGCTGAGACGGAGAGGAAGGTCTGCATATATGGCCGAGGATGGGGAGTCTAGGTCTGAAAGAATATCTTTGGCAGATGAGCTCCGAGAATTGAGAGACGACAGTCCGATTCGGGAAAAGCGATCTCTTCGAGAAAGAACAAAACCTGTAAATTACACACTTCCTCCACCGCTGCCCGACAACTCAATAGACGAGTACACAAGAATCACTAATGACAAAAGCGCTCTAGCATATCCCTCTCCCCGTGGTCGACGAAGGTTACCAACAGGCCAGAGTTTTGGGCCTTTGAGAAGACTGTTCCCCACTGGCGGACCATTTGGAGGAAACGATGTGACAGCCATTTTTGGCACAAACACCAATTTATACGAAACGTCAAATGGCAACGAAAACGGTAGTAAGCTATTGCTGGACTCAGACTCTTCTGAAGATGAGATTCTTCCTTTGGGAGCGACATCAACTAAGGAGAAGAAAGTCAATTCCAAAAAAAAGAAATCAGAAATAGCGGATCTCGATCCGTTAGGGGTTGACATGAATATAAAGTTTGAGGATGTTGGCGGACTTGATAATTACATTGACCAGTTGAAAGAAATGGTAGCCTTACCATTGTTATATCCAGAGTTATACCAAAAATTTGGCATAACTCCCCCAAGAGGTGTATTATTCCACGGTCCACCTGGTACTGGTAAAACACTGATGGCAAGGGCCTTGGCGGCAAGCTGCTCTACAGAGCAACAAAAGATTACATTCTTCATGAGAAAGGGCGCGGATATCTTATCGAAGTGGGTAGGGGAGGCCGAAAGACAATTAAGATTGTTGTTCGACGAGGCAAAGAAGCATCAGCCCTCTATCATATTTTTTGACGAAATTGATGGATTGGCACCTGTAAGAAGTTCCAAGCAAGAGCAAATTCATGCAAGTATTGTTTCGACGTTGTTAGCGTTAATGGACGGCATGGATAATAGAGGTCAGGTCATTGTAATAGGAGCTACAAATAGGCCAGATGCAGTTGACCCTGCTCTGAGAAGACCTGGTCGGTTTGATAGAGAGTTCTTCTTTCCCCTACCAGACTTAGAAGCCCGTTCTAAGATTCTCGAAATTCAAACAAAAAAGTGGAATCCTCCGTTACCTAAACGTTTTATTGACAAAATGGCATCTTTAACAAAAGGCTACGGGGGTGCTGACTTGCGGGCACTGTGTACTGAAGCAGCCTTGGTCAGCATCCAACGGAAATTACCGCAAATATATCAATCGGACACTAAATTAAGCATTGATCCTTCAACAGTTAACGTCAAGGCGAGGGACTTCATGGCAGCTCTGGAGAAAATTGTGCCCTCTTCGGCCAGGGCGGTTGGGAATTCAGCACAGCCACTACCCGAAACAACCAAGATGTTACTGGACGAACAATTAGACGAAATCAAAGGCAGATTATTGGAAGTAATGCCTTTAGACTCTACAAAGCAGCGCACGGGAAAATCTACAATAAAGCACTACCTGGAATACGAAGATGACGACTCGAGTGAAGAAGAAGACGGATTTTTGAAAGCAGAGTTTCTGAGAAACGTAACGAAGGCACGAACTTGTAAACCGCGCCTTATGATCACTGGCGCCAGAGGGAATGGCCAGCAGTACATAGGAGCGGCAGTTCTTCATCATCTCGAAGATTTCAACGTACAAATGCTGGATGTGGGTAATTTGGTAAGCGACAGCTCTAGGAGCGTTGAGGCAGCGATCGTTCAAAATTTTTCAGAGGCTAGAAAACGTCAACCTTCTGTTCTATATGTTCCAAACATCGAAATTTGGCTTCAAACAATACCTGAAAATGCCATTTTGACTCTAGCAAGTTTATTAAGCTCTCTTAAGAATACTGAGAAGGTTTTACTACTTGCTGTTGCCAATGATTTGAAGGAACGGGACTGCGCAGAAGGGATTTTAGCACCATTGGACCTTGGTAGAGCTATCTGCAAAATTCGCAAGCCCTCTTCGTCTCAAAGAAGCAAGTTTTTCAACTCAATAACGGAGCTTTTGAAGATGAAACCTTCAAGTTTTGACTCAGGTAAAAAGAGGAGAGAGCCGCTTCCTATTCTTCCTGCGGCCACGAGCACGACATCTGTGGATGATATTGACGAAAATGGTCAGCCCTTAACGGATGAAGCTAAGCTACTTAAATCCCTCAAGCTTCTTCAAAGTCATGACATGAAGCTTAAAAACACTCTGAAAATCAAGCTTTCCGGCCTCATGGATCTTTTCAAAAATCGTTATAAGAGGTTTAGAAAGCCACCAATCGACGACGCTGCACTTGTTCATTTGTTTGAACAAAACACTGCCCTGCACGACAACCCTGATTATCAACCGGCTTATATCAAAGAGGATAACATGATACTTGAATGTCTTACAGGGAGAAGGTTCTTCAACATGGACCTCGACATTGTGGAAGAGAGACTGTGGAATGGATTTTATTCGGAACCTCGACAATTTCTAAAAGATATCGAACTTATTTATCGTGACGCCCATACCAGTCGTGACCGCGAACGCATCATAAAGGCATCTGAAATGTTTGTGAATGCTCAGATGGGTATAGAGGAAATATCGGTGCCTGGGTTTGTTCAGGACTGCAAAGCAGCTAGGCAACGGGAGCTCACTCGCCAAAAGTTATATTCCAAGAAAGAGGCTGAATTAAATTCTTCTGAAGATAAAGAAGAAGTCATATCACAACTAAGTGATGCCGAACTGCGGAAGGAAGACTTAACAACCTCACCGGAAGAAAGTAACCAGGTTAGCTTTACAACTGAGACAATAGCCAACGCCGGTGTTGGTTCGGGCAGTCAGCTTCAATGCCAATCTCGCATCGATTCTGGATCTTGTGAAGAACTTGCTAGCGACCCTAGTTTCAAAGCCAATACTGGAAACGGTACAAATTCTGTATCTAACGAGACAAGCAGTATTGAGCCAAACGAGAAAGAGAAGCAGGGCGGTGCTGATAGCAAGGAGAATAATGACGTAGCCGATGAAAGAGTTGATGTGAACGAGAGTTCTGAACAAACTCACACAGAAACAATATCAGTACCCAATCAACGAACAAAACCGGCAAAGCAGCGAAAGCTACCCAGCCCAAATGTTATACTTGACGAAGATAAGCTTCAAGTTCTTCTCAGAGAGCTCGAGCAGACAACTAAAGGGTTTACCGTGGAACAACTAGAGGAGCATTATGCGTCCATTGTAAGTATCATATGGGCAGAAAGGCTATCACTCGATAAAAGCCATGCACTGGAGAAGCTTGCTGAGGTAATTAGAAATGCATGATTATATATTTAGTCGAAACCTACAGAATTTCTCTTGCCGCGTTTAATACTGTAAGATCATCTCCGAATTGACCCATTATCTGAACACCTACTGCCTTTAAATTGCCTCCTGGTACTGAAATTGCTGGTAGGCCGGCCAATGATGCAGGTGTCGTGAAAATGTCATTAATATATGATGTAATAGGGTTATCTGTATTCTCTGAATCGTACTCGGAGGTGGTAATGGGTGTACTAATGGCAGATAATGACAATAGTATGTCAATGCCATTCTCAATGCCTTGCGATCCAGTCAAAATGTTCGGCAGCGCAAATATGTCATCAAATTCATTAATGAGTTCGACACGAAGTTTTTGAGCTTTGATGTAGTGATTGTTGAATGACTCTGAGGATAGATTATAGTTTCCAAGAACAATTCTGTTCTTTACTTCTTGCCCAAAGGCGGCCCTTGAAGGCGCAAACAAAGTGTTGTCACTGGAATCCTTTTCCCTGTCTCTGTTTCCATATCTTAGACCATCATATCTGGAAAGGTTTGAAACAGCCTCTGCAGGAGCTAATGTATAATAGACAGGCAAAGCGTTTTTGATGTTAGGAATCGATACTGGATAAATTTCATGACCCCTTGCTTCAAGCCTTTGAATGACAGCTAGGTATTCAGCCCGTAAGTCCTGAGAAACTCCCATAGGCGTGAATTCTTTCGGTATGCCTATCCTGAGCTTGGACTTTGCTTTTGTGATGGCCGACAACTTAGAGCGTAAGGCCTTGTTAAGACATGTGGGATCTTTTTCATCGGGCATATCAAGAACTTTAAAGACTTTCTCTAACGTATTAACGCTTTTAGCCATGATTCCAACTGTGTCAAGACTTTGTGCGTACGCGACCACGCCATGTCTAGAAATTCTACCATAAGATGGTTTAAAACCCAGGACAGATGCATATGCTGCCGGAAGTCTTACAGAGCCACCAGTGTCAGTTCCTATGGAAAAGTCCACGACGTCAGCAGCAACCGCTGCTGCAGACCCAGATGAAGAGCCACCGACCACGATGCTTTCATCAGGAAAGAGAGGGTTCGTAGTAGCACCAAAGCATGAATTAGTTCCACCAGAACCCATTCCGAATTCATCCAGGTTTGTTTTTCCCACATTTACAGCTCCTGCATACTCGAGAAGCTGCACAACCGTGGAATCAAAGGGTGAAATATAATTCTCTAAAAGTTTCGATCCACAGGAAGTGGGCAATCTCCGCGTAACGATGTTATCCTTAATCCCGCAAAGCAAATTACCTAGAGGTTTTACCGCTTTCTCGCTGTTATTTTTCAAGCTTTCTTCCGCATCTGAATTAATACTGGTGAACACATTGAACTGCTTCTGCACTGCTGGAATCCTTTTCAATCGACCAATGGCAGTTTTTGAAGACATTTTAGAAGGCTAGCATAAGGTTTTTTGAACGATGGTAGGCCTAAGGACTGTTATATCGAATGCTTTGAAGCGGAATATTCCAACTTTCATAAAATTAATTAGTTCAGTTGATTTGATTTGGACATTATACTAAAAAAAGGACTAGTATTGCAAGATGACATCAAACAGGAATCCAAATATGAGTGGTAGCGTAATCGAACTAGATGATGACATACTCTGGAAAGAGGCGGTGATTCCAACCAAAAACTGTGAGCAGGAGATTTTTGAGTCAAGCGATCAGGAAATTACTAGCGATGACAGCGAGTCAGAGATGCTACTCAATGACGATGTGGATGCAAAGCCTTCAGGATACCAAGAATCGAGAGAAGTCTTTGAAAATCAGGTTATAGAAAACGCTAAAGCTGATTTTTCAGGTAGGTCGGATAATTTGAACAAAGTTAGCAATAAGACGACCAGCGGTTGCGAAAGCGTGCCGGTTAAGTTGGCGCGCATACGACGAGAGCTACAAGAAATCGGGCTTCTGAATCATGATTCTAGTCTCCAGGATACCGAAATGGCCGGTGTTGACAAACTTCTAGATGAATTAGATCAGAAATTTAACCGTGAGACCCAGCAAATTAAGATGAGGCTTCAGAAAGGTTGTGATGACAAGTCTCCTTTAGATGCTATAAACTGTGCAAAACTCCCAGACCTTTCGCTAGATTATGAGGGCTCTCAGCAGATCTTGCGGCTTGAATCACAGGTGGCCAAGCTGGAGAGAACGTTAGGCGTATTTGAATATAATGGCACGAAAACACTTACAACATCGATCAACGAGATATTCAGGGAGATTAAGCTTCTACGGGGCAATAAGAATGACTTACAAAAATTTCAATCCAAACTTTCTTCTATAAGTAGCGAATATGAAGAGACATTAGTGGCCAGGAAAGCTGAAAAAGATTTAGAGACTCAGAGGCAGATTCGAGACAAATTGTTAAGCCCTGAATTCAAAGTTAAGGCCCTTTACGATTCCTACGATGTACTTAAGAAATACAAAAAAGCACTACCGCACTTAATGGCGCGTTTACAGTCGCTAAATAATTTGCAGCTAGAGGTTGGGGAATCAATTGGGACTGTCAAAACCCTCGACACTTCCATAAATTGGATCTCTGATCAGGCCACCCAGTGGAAACAAATGCTTGAACAAATGGATCAAAAACTGAATAATGCAGAGGGAAGAAGTGCTAGGAATAAAAAAGAGGTAATCGAGTGGTTAAAAGCTGTTGAGATGAGAATAGATAACATTCCTTAATGGAAGGGCTTCTTTTATCGTTATTGACGAATAGCCCTGCACTGATATTAGACACAATTTAAGATCGAAAGACAGTGAGCATTACATATATGGAGAGTAAAGAATAAACCCAAACCAATGTCAACCCAATTTTCCATAGACTCTGTTGGCTCTTATATGCAGGCAATGAATACCATGGTATCTGCTGCTCAAAATTTCACATTTGGTAGCAATGTGGCTGTCGCTCCGGAAATTGATAATGAAATCGATCAGCCCAAAGACAAGTCAGTTGTTCAGCTAACAACACTCTCTCAAGATAGAAATGAATGGGATGATATATTCGATAGGTTCGGAGAGCTTTCGCGAGAGAATGTTTTGAAGGCGATTAGAGAAGTGACATCTGATAATAAACCATCAGGCGTCTTGAAAGATTTGCAAGCGCTTTTGGAAAAAGAACCACTTAGTATGGATACACAGACTTTACTGGAATCTTTGTTGGTTTTGCTAGAAAATAAAGATTTAGATTCATTGCAAATGGAGCTTTTTGATTTCCTTGGAGACGAAAATATTGAGCTGATTACTTTTTTGATAGAGCATCGCAATTACTTGCTATCAACCACAAGCGAAGATCTAATGAATTGCATTGGGGGCTCAGCCGACTCAGAAACGTTTTTATCCGAGAAAGAAATCCGTGAACAGGTTTTAAAGACCGCTCAAGATATAAGGAATCTCGAACTAAACCCACTACAAAGACAGGAACAGTATCCCCATGTGTTTCGAAAATCCGAAGCTGGATCAAGTTGTACACTTTCTTTCACGAATCAAAAGTTTGCCTTACCTGTTGGAACCACGAGACAGTCCTACGCTTCACGAGAGGAAATTATTATTCCGGCTGCTGACAAAGGTTTTCAAAAGTCTCTCAGATTCAAGAACATAAGGGTCAAAGACTTAGATAACTTCTGTACTTCTGTGTTTTCTTATGAGTCATTAAATGCGGTTCAAAGCTTGGTATATCCCGTCGCATATGAAACAAACGAAAACATGCTTATATGCGCGCCAACGGGTGCTGGTAAGACCGATGTAGCTTTGATGACAATCCTAAACACAATAAGACAATTTGCAGAAGTTGACGAGCAAGGAAACATCGACATTGAGTACGATTCATTCAAAGTTGTGTACGTAGCTCCGTTAAAGGCTCTGGCGGCAGAAATTGTCGACAAATTTAGCAAGAAGCTCGCCGTCTTTGATATTAAAGTCCGTGAACTTACTGGTGATATGCAGCTGACGAAGGCCGAGATACTGGAAACGCAGGTCATTGTCACAACACCCGAAAAATGGGACGTTGTCACAAGAAAAGCTAACGGCGATAACGATTTGGTGTCTAAGATCAAGCTCTTGATCATCGATGAAGTTCATTTACTACACGAAGAAAGAGGTTCTGTAGTGGAAACGCTCGTTGCTCGTACTTTGCGCCAAGTTGAACGGTCACAATCAATGATCAGAATTCTTGGTTTATCTGCTACTTTACCTAATTTTATTGATGTTGCTGACTTTTTAGGAGTCAATAGGCACGTTGGTATGTTTTATTTTGATCAGTCATTTCGACCTAAACCTCTAGAACAACAGTTGCTTGGTGTTCGTGGTAAGGCCGGGAGCAAACAAGCCCGCGAAAACATCGACAATGCAGCATATGAAAAAATGGTTGATATGATACAGCGGGGAAATCAAGTGATGATTTTCGTTCATTCCAGAAAGGAAACTGTAAAGAGCGCTAGGACGTTCATATCTATGGCTCAGTCCCACCATGAGATTGATCTTTTCACCGAAAACTCCTCGATAAGAGATTCGTACTCTAGAGAGATGACCAATAACAAGGACAAGGATATTAAAGAGCTTTTTCAATCTGGGTTTGGTGTTCATCATGCGGGTCTGTCAAGGTCAGACCGCAATCTTTCAGAAAAAATGTTCAAAGATGGCGCCATCAACGTTCTAATCTGCACTGCTACCTTAGCCTGGGGTGTTAATTTACCTGCCGACTGTGTCATCATTAAAGGCACTCAAGTCTATGATTCGAAGAAAGGTGGGTTTGCTGATCTCGGAATATCAGACGTCATTCAAATTTTCGGGCGGGCAGGCAGACCAGGTTTTGGCTCGTCAAACGGAACAGGTATTCTTTGCACCACGAGTGATTCGCTTGATGATTACGTCTCCCTAATTACCCAACAGCATCCTATCGAATCTAAGCTAGGATCCAAAATAGTAGATAATCTGAATGCTGAAATCTCCCTCGGTAGTGTTACAAATGTTGAAGAAGGAATTCAGTGGCTCGGGTACACTTACCTATTCGTAAGGATGAAAAAGAATCCATTCAGTTACGGAATCAATTGGGAGGAACTTAAAGACGACCCTCAACTATACGAAAGGAGAAGAAAAATGATTGTTACAGCTGCTAGAAGGCTACACATATTACAAATGATTGTGTTTGATGAAGTCTCACAGCATTTCATTTCGAAAGACTTGGGTCGTATTTCATCGGATTTTTATCTGCTAAACGAATCTGTTGAGATATTCAATTCGTTATGCAATCCTGGCGCAACCGAAGCGGATGTTTTAGCCATGATAAGCATGAGTAGTGAGTTCGATAATATGAAATTTAGGGAAGAGGAGTCAACCGAGCTATCTCAATTGATGAATAATGCGGCGCAATGCCAAATTGGTGGAGACATTGAGTCATCTCAAGGAAAAACTAATATTCTGTTACAATCGTACATTTCTAGGGCTCGTATTTTTGATTCCGCTCTTTCATCGGACTCGAATTATGTTGCTCAGAACTCGATTCGAATCTGTCGGGCGCTATTTCTTGTAGGCGTCAATAGAAGATGGGGTAATTTCTCGAAAGTCATGCTTGACCTGTGCAAGTCTATTGAAAAGCGAATGTGGGCGTTTGATCATCCCCTGTGTCAGTTCGAATTACCCGAACCGGTGATAAGAAGACTTAGAGAAAAACGACCATCTATGGACAGTCTTTTTGGTTTAGACGCTGAAGAATTGGGAGAGTTGGTACACAACAAGAGGGCGGGTCACAAATTGCACTCTGCTTTAGATCGCTTCCCACTTCTTGACGTGAATGCCGAAATATTTCCGATAACGGCCAATGTGATGAGAATCCACGTAACGCTAACCCCATCGTTTTTTTGGGACGTCAAAGTACACGGAAATGCGCAGTTTTTCTGGCTCTTTGTAGAAGAGTCGGATAAATCTCAAATTCTGCACGTTGAAAAGTTGATTATCAGCAAACGGCAAATGAAAAACCCTCATGAAATGGACTTCATGATTCCTCTCTCTGATCCTTTACCTCCACAAGTCGTTGCGAAAGTTGTCTCGGACGTTTGGATCGGCAGCGAATCTTCTCAAATAATATCGTTTCAGCATTTGATCAGACCGCACAACGAAACATTACAAACTAAATTGCAAAGATTGAGACCATTGCCAACAAGTGCCTTAAATAATGAATTGTTGGAGGAAATCTACCCGTTCAAATACTTTAACCCAATGCAAACAATGACTTTTCATACTCTCTACAATTCTAATGAGAGTGTCTTTGTTGGATCACCAACGGGATCCGGTAAAACTGTTGTAGCTGAGCTCGCAATGTGGCATGCTTTCAAAACTTTTCCGGGCACTAAGGTTGTTTACATTGCCCCTATGAAGGCATTGGTAAGAGAAAGAGTAACGGATTGGAGAAAGAGAGTAACACCCATCACTGGCGACAAGGTTATAGAGTTGACAGGTGACTCGCTTCCAGATCCAAGAGATGTAAGAGATGCAACAATAATCATAACAACGCCAGAAAAGTTTGATGGTATATCTCGTAATTGGCAAACCCGTAAGTTTGTGCAAGAGGTTTCCCTCATCATTATGGATGAAATTCATTTGTTAGCTAGCGATCGTGGTCCTATCTTGGAGATGATTGTGAGTCGTATGAATTACGTGTCTTCACAGACAAAGAAGCCTGTTAGGCTTCTCGGTATGTCGACAGCTGTCTCAAATGCCTACGACATGGGAGGATGGCTAGGGGTCAAGGATAATGGTCTGTACAACTTCTCCTCTAGTGTTCGACCCGTTCCATTAAAGATGTTTATTGATGGCTTTCCTGACAATTTAGCCTTTTGTCCGCTAATGAAGACCATGAACAAGCCAGCTTTCATGGCAATCAAGCAGCACTCTCCAGACAAGCCTGTTCTAATTTTTGTTGCGTCTCGGAGGCAGACTCGTTTGACAGCATTAGATCTAATCCATCTTTGTGGTATGGAGAGCAATCCTAGGAGATTTTTGAAAATCGACGACGAAGGTGAGTTACAGTATTATTTATCGCAGGTTTCTGATGAGACATTGAAATTAGCTTTGCAATTTGGAATTGGTTTGCATCACGCAGGGTTAGTTGAAAAAGACCGCTTCATTTCCCATGAACTTTTCCAAAAGAATAAAATACAAGTGTTGGTGGCAACCTCCACTTTAGCTTGGGGTGTCAATTTACCTGCCCATTTGGTTATTATAAAGGGCACTCAATTTTTTGACGCTAAAATAGAAGGTTACCGCGACATGGATTTGACCGATATCTTGCAAATGATGGGAAGAGCTGGTAGACCAGCCTATGACACATCGGGTACCGCTATTGTCTACACAAAACAAGCAAAGAAAATGTTTTACAAGCATTTCCTTAACATTGGATTCCCAGTTGAATCGTCCTTGCATAAAGTTTTGGATGATCACTTGGGTGCCGAAATTGCATCTGGGTCTATAACCAACAAACAGGAAGCAATGGACTTTTTGAGCTGGACATTTTTCTTCAGAAGGGCGCATCATAATCCAACCTATTATGGTATAATGGAAGACAGCTCTGCAGCCGGAATAAACAGTTACCTCAGTGACCTAATTGATAAAACTCTCGAAAACTTGGAAGAATCGAGCTGTGTGACATTGAAGGGAGGGGAAATCGAGGCTTTGCCCTTCTTGAGCATCTCGTCTTATTACTATATTTCACACAAGACTATTCGTCAGCTACTAAAACAAATTTGTGATAATGCAACATTTCAGGATGTACTGAAGTGGCTTTCACTTGCAGTTGAATTTAACGAGCTTCCGGTAAGAAATGGAGAGATTATCATGAATGTTGAGATGTCCGCACAGTCTCGCTATTCAATTGAGAGCACATTTACAGGAGAGCAAGAGCTTCCCATGTGGGACCCACACCTGAAAGCATTTTTGTTGCTGCAAGCTTATTTTAGCCGTGTTGATCTGCCCATAGCTGATTATCATCAGGACACCATCTCTGTCCTGGATCAAACACTGCGTATCTTGCAAGCGTACGCGGACGTAGCCGGTGAGCTGGGCTACTTTTCAACATTACTGACCATTATTAAGGTGATGCAGTGTGTGAAGCAAGGGTGTTGGTATGAAGATGACCCAATCAGCCTACTCCCCGGCGTTGGCTTGAAGAGACTTCATAATACTGAGTTTAATTTAGGAGGCTATCCAGTTGAGACTTCTGAATCAATGGGTCTCGACCACCTTGGCAGGCTCGGACACAAAAGGCTCGAACAACTGGCCAGGAGCTTGAAGATTCCCCACAACTTTGTTAAGAACTTCATCAACGAAAGCTTGAGGCTACCAGTATTAACAGACATTAAGGTAGAGCCGCAAGCCAGTCCAAATAGCCTACTTATTACCGCAAAACATGGAGGGTCCAAGTATAATAAGAACTTCGAGGTTTATTGCGAGAAATTTCCCAAGATGCAAAAAGAGTTATGGTTTGTTATTGGTTCTCAAGGTCAAGAGTTGTTGATGGTTAAAAGGTGCCAGCCAAGAAAAAAGGATAGTGGTGTTATGATTAGCTGCGATTTTGTAGTTGCCGAAGAGCTGCACGGTCAAAAATTGAAGTTCACCATAATCAACGATGCTCTTGACCTCAAGTACGAACTAGAGCATACATTGAAACAGTGAAAGTGCCTCCGGTCTTGTAATATTGGGCATAAGTATATATATATATATATATATATATACATATGTATATTCTTCATGCATGAGGAGTTTTTTCTATAATATACACATCTGCCTGACTCAAAGACTTTTTACTCAAAGAAGTCGTCTTCTTCTTCGTCTTCTTTGTCGCCAGCAGAATCGGCTTCACCAGCTTCCTTCAACTGGATGCCGTTATCATCTCTTTCGAGCTTGCCACCCTTGAGAATTTTCGACAAAGACACTGGCAGGTCACCGGATTCCATTTGAGCCGCAACCAACTCGCGGTAGCTTGCTCTATCAGCGTCTGTTTTTTCAATGCCATGCTTGGATTTTTTCTTTTCGGAGCCTTGGTCGTTTTCTTCTGATGGATACAATGCAATGTACTTTTCTGTCTTGGGGAAGTTGACCACGTAGCACAAATCAACCGCACGCTCCTGTGTTTCACTTTTGTCGCCGGACTTCAAAGCCTGGTTGTATTTTCTTAATGCTTTCTTGCGTTCGAAAAACCGCACCATATGATATTTCTTTGCATTATTCTGCGCTGTGACTCGCAGTTCTGCATTTTTGAGCTCCAGTTTCAACGCTTCCAAAGCTCTTTCTTTATCAATCAGTACTGTGTCTGGAAGCGTGTCCTTCTTCTTCTGCAAAAGACGTTCAATGTCTCTGATCTTCTTCTTGATCTTATTGGATCCCGATCCCAGAACATGAGCCAATTGAATAGAGTTTCCAAGCGGCTTATTCGACCTCCTTTTCTGCTTCCTGTCCATTGTAGTACCTGTGAACAAACTGCTTTATCAAGTGCTTCCGTAGACTTTTAGTTTTCCAGTCTTTATGCGATGAGCTCTTGAAGTTATGGAAATTTTTCAAAGGTTAATCAACTACTGGCGCCAAAATCGACGACAGTATAGAGAAATGATGAGAACCGAGCACAAGAGAAACAACTTACCACGGCTAAAGATTTCGACATAAGCTGCGTCCAAAGTAGGGTATATAATTTGGGTATCTTGGGAACTATACTAGATAAGTAAAAAAAAGTCATTTTTCAATGGCGGAAGTGGGCTTATTCATTCTTCTTGCGACCAAAGAACCCCCGCTTCTTCTTCTTTTTGCCGCCCTCAGGCAATGAGTCTGGCGCCGGCGCCGAATAGACTGCCTGGTCGTGCATGTAGGGCTGTTGCGTCGAAGACGACATGGCATGTGGGTCAACATTGCCAAACTGTGGGAAATCAGGCCTTACACGGAAGCCGTATTGCTGAGTTTCAAGTCTTTGACCCCAGGATGGATCACCAGAAATTGAGTACTCGAAGCCGCGGATGGTGTCGAGCGGCCTTTCGTCTCTGGACCGCGTTGGATTCGAGATATCCGGTTGATTAATGGGCTGGCCGAAAACGTCCTTAGGATGATTGTCAGCGTGTTCTCCAGAATAGTACGACTGTCTGTTGGGGTCGTCCCGCGACGTGTCCGCAGCCTGTTCAAATGGCTGGGCCTCCTGGACAGCCTCTAGAACAGGGTCGTGAACCGAGCTCGAGCGAAGCTTGAAATGGTCCCGGTCTTCTTTGGTGATCTTCGCATCCTGCCCATGCGCCTGATTGGTGTGCGCGTCGTGGCTACTTTTGTTGAAAATACCCATCTGGGGAATCTGGCGTAGTGTAAAGATAGTACAACGCTGTTGAAAACGCTATGTCCTTTTTGCAGAGGAAAGGATGTAGTGTTGTTTGATCTCTGTTAAAGTTAGAAGTATGTTGTTACCAGTGGCTTGGCATGACCATTTCGTGGAAGATGATAAATATGGTTTTGCAGTCACGTGGAGGAGTACGATTCGAAATTTGACTAGAAGAGTACGTGAAGGAGCAACATGATGTTTGAGTCGAGAAACCACTTCTTTGCTTCGAGACCAGAGCTTTTTGGTGTAGTTTTACGATCCATGGGGGGAGGCATTGATGGGACGAATACAACCTTATATGCTAATGGAAAATTTGTATCTTGGCAAAAAACATCAACTTGGCTCGAAGTCCTGGTTGTTTCCACGTTGGTGGATATATGTAGAGAATCTTTGGGGCCGCCAGTAGCTTGCGAGCTACAGATGGGTGGCCCACGTCATCGATATACCTCGGCGATCAACTCTTGTTGGCGGCTCGATGTTGCCGTGTGGGCAACAAAAGCTGATACTCTCGAGGCTTTCTCTCAGCAGCTCATTTCGATATGAAACGAAGCTCTGTAGCAGGCAATTGTAGCTACTGCCTGCCAAGACGTATCCAAAATGACGATGCATCCGGGCGATTGCCTTTCTCTATTTTGTTCACCTTGCCGTGAAGCAGGTGCTAGCATTTGGCATACTTTATCTCACTTTCCATTCTCAAGTAAAGTTTTGCAGCAGGTCTGCGAGTGACATTCAGAAACATGAATTGGAGGATGGTTGAAGCATACAGAACATTTGTACCGTTAAACTTCTCGAGAACGGACGGCTATCACAAATCACGTTCTTTTTTTCAATATATGTTAACAATGTCTACCTGGTAATATCAATATTCCGGAATTTATACAATCCCCGACTACGCTACATATGCTTCAGGTAAAGTTGACTGAAAGCCTCATAGTGCAAGTGGCAAAAGCGAATTTACCGCTTTAATTGTCTTTCTCTGGCTGTCTCCTTGTTTTTGATTAAAGCTGCTTCAAGTGATGCTGTAAATCTTGCCAATAGAATAAAAGGGCTACGGTCTCACAGGTCTCCTCTCGCACGGATGACTAAGTGCAACGGGCTGGCACTTCGTTAGTATTGTAAAACCTACGGCTGTGAATGTATTTATGGAATCAAGACTCAGAAGATGGCGTATTTTAGCCCCACCAAAGACGCAGTCAATTTAGTTGGAAAGCTGGAAAGCTTGGTCGAAAGTTCAAATTTGGCTTTAAAAATGACAGGCCGCTCATGAGATTTCTGTGTGATGCTTTTAAAGGGATCGATTACCTAAATTGACAACTGACCACAACGATGAATGGGCAAACGGTGTCTACAACAGCATAAAATCAAGTCTCGGGCACCAACTCACCGGTACGAAGAGCGTTCTTTTTGACGAAAATCAGCAACGGAAAAAGGCCACAATCGAGACTTTTTGGAGTCCCACCACGGACTTTATTTGCCGGTCAAAACTCTGTCCACGAGCGGATTGACTAATATGGCTGGATAGCTTTCATCAGTTGCAGATGATCACGGCGCATGTGAAGCTTTTTGCTTGTTCTTGAAAACTTTCAGTGACAATGTCTCAATAAACAAGCTCGGAAGAGCTTATTGGTCTATGCCATTAGCCGCTCGGCTTAATGAAACATTCAGTAACAGTTTGACGGATGAAATTGTTGTTGAAAAGCCCATTGCACGGTTTCCAGACAAATGTAAATCACTTGAATTTATTACTGGAGAGCTCAACTTGCCCAATATTACACAAACGTGTTGTCAACTCAAAAAATTTCTAGAGCTCAAGTTTAGTTCGCTTCCAGGAATGAAAGTGATGCGCTCAATAATGCGACTTTTTAACAAAACAAGACAAACCATTTCAGACGCATGCCTTAATCTGATACGACGCTGTGAGTATTCGGAGACAAAAAGTTCAGGATGTGCGCGGTTTTGGTCACATTACTAGAGTAAAACGACTGTACGACAAACGTTATCAAGTACAATAACATTTCTCTACAGCTTGTTAGGTTCTTGGTGGACTTGGGAGATGGGTATATTGCCTGGATATCGACGAGGATACTGCAGAAAAAAAATGCCGTATATTGTGGCGGAAAGCTTTTTGGATCGATAAGTTGTAATTAGTGTTGCTCCGGTAAGGCACCTTTGACTGTTCGTTATTATCTGTCGTATTTTTTACCACGAAAAGCTTTGAATTCTCGACACAATGGATTATAACGCCATGCTAGAACATAAGCCAGCTTTTGGTTAAGGTGTGGATGCAATGGTTCAGGTAAGTCATTCGAAAATTTAGTATTGCTTGGCTCGTGTTTTTTGGCTGAACTTTACATGCCAAAAGGCCATTTCATTATAAGGCTTTACGATAATCTAGAGTCAAGACTACCCATTGCCCTTAAGAAAAAAGGCTTTACGATAATCTAGAGTCGGGACTATTCATTGCCCTTAAGAAACTGAATTAAAAGTAAGAGGCTACTTTAATTTTAGAAAAAACTTGATACCAGGTTGCAACAGTTTTGCAATAAGAGCGAAGATGGAGGTCCAGCTTTTCAATAAGTCAGTGATTAGCATTTGATTTCTATATGCTTGTTCCGAGCCTTGGATAACCTGTTTACCAGAACAGAAAAGTCGTGGCATCTGTGCAATATGCGTTCTTGAGCGAAGGGCTTAACAAATGCCGTGTACAGCTTTCTGAAACTTGCCGGGCAGCACTGACAAATCATTTGCAGGTCGGTACACTGAAAGAAGTTCTAAAACAGAGTTTCACATAATCAGTAATCTCAATTCTAGTTCTCGCAAACACACTTGTTCTTAAGCCACCAGATGAGCCGTTGCATGATTGGTTTTTGTCCTGCAGAAACTCTTTTTGTTTCAAATCATTCCAAAAGTCTGATGTTCTACCGACAGCTGAAGAAGTGACTTGACGCCCAAGCACTACTGTAATGGCTTCGGCAAGCTTATGCATGCATATTGAAAACTAATGAAATATCAAGGAAGGAACTGTCAGTAAATAAGGGGCAATTGGAACGGACTTGTCACTGCTTCGAACGCTTGACGGAGTATGGAAACCGCTACTACTCTGTCGAGAGATGTCTCTGGATCATCAGGCATTTTGCAATATTCAAGAGCAGCAGGTGACAAAGATGGAGGAGAATGTGTTCCAATGAAAGAAGTAAACGAAAGGGGGAGCAGGAGCATAAGGCGAGTACAATTCTGGGTCACAAGCTCTTGAAATGAAAAGTGATAAGGGTCTGGTCAATGCAGTTAATCTCGAATTGGGAGATCAGCTGGCGAAGTTAGAAGCGCTGCTAGGTTTTGACAAGTTTCCAGATCTTAAATATGCCCTTCTCCTAGATTTGAGCTTGAGTGACTTGGTGGAAGCTTTGCACTATAATCAAAGTCAAGGTAATTAGCGCTGCTTTCGGAATTTAAACTCAAAACTTCATCAAATGAATAACCAAAAGGGCTCCACATCTGACAACAAAGGCAATGCTCCGGTTCTAAGATAGTTTGAGGACCTCGTCAAGGTAAATTATTTGAGTAGTGCGGAAGCAGAGGAATCTGCATAACGCACATATGCTTGTTTTTCTGAAACTGTGGAGAACATGACAAGCCTTCATCAGGCCTAGACAGCAGTGGTCAACTCGAGAGTACGTCGAAGGATTGTACTCCTATAGGTATGAAAAACTTATCTGGGAAGCTGTGACCAATTTTCGTGCCGCGAAATGCCTCCAGAAAAAGACATGATGGTGCAAAACTAGACTGACCAGAGCGCCAGCGGAGAGGAAAACGAAGACGTGGAAAGATACAGACAAGCGTTTTGGAAAAGGGGCAAAAAATTGGAAAGCTCGTCAAGATACTAAGGACATTTATGCCACAGAGTACCCACCTCCCAGTCGATCAGAACACAAAGATAAGGATGGCACCTGAACGCTCGAAAACTACAGCCTCAGACCCAGAAATAGCGATTGTATGGATATGAAGATCGGTTTTGAAACGGCCGTAAAAATTCGGATATAGGTAAAAAAACGGCCGTAAAATATGGATATCGGTTTTGATACGGCTTTAAGGAATTAGGCAGGCTCGCGCATGTAAGCTGTGCTTTCCAAATGCATGAAGTTGACGCCGCAGAATTCAGTTGGCATCTGTTGAATTGAAGTGAATTCGTGTAGTATCCTCCAGAATTGTGCAAGAACGGGAGCAGGGCAGCGTAGTAATTAATTGCTAAATTACTAACCCCACACTAGCCTACTTCCACGGAACTTAACCAAGCGCTATCAAACTAGAAAGTACCCCGGGCCCTTAGCCCTAATCCTTTAATTGAAAGGCATGTTTTTAGTCGTGGTATCCCATCTCAATTTGGCTTGCCTGCAGCATGAGTTACTCACAATAACTTTGAGCAGGGCATTTCACTATGCAGAAAATTCGCAATTGCGCTGCAGGGAAGAAACAATCAAATAGCCTAATAGCGGTTCCCAGGGCTCAGCCTCGCGTATCGTTTAACAACAACGCAGATAGGATGTTACGGGCGAGATGTTACGGCCTCACAGTTAGTGGCTCGGGTGACCGCATCTTACGCCAGTGGGCACGCTGATAACGCAGGTCTTAGGCACGCAAATTGTATAAGAAGTGTACTGTTAAAGGGCATTTGTATCCAAGACTGTTAGGATCCGGTAAGAAATCACCAGCACAAGCAACAGCATCAGCAAACCACAGTATGGGCGAAATATCTAAAACAACGTCTACTGGCTCGGGATTCACCACAACCATGGCATACAAGTCATACACCAACAGCTTGGGACAAATGACAACTGTTCGAAAGAATCCTTACTATAAGTATTCGCCCAGTGTACCTGGGTCGGTGATTTTCGCGGTTTTGTTCGCGATCGCGCTCGTGGTGATGGTCGGGCAGGTCGTGTACTTCTGCAGAAAGAGAACTGTAATGGAGCGGACCTTGCTCGATGGTGGCGGCAGCGCTTACGGTGGCGGTCTCGCCGACAGCTCGGTGAAGAAAGAGAACACGTTCGAATCCACAGAGTCGACCACTTTCGTCCCAGTCAAGCCTTGCACTAACACTAGACTCGTCACTAAGTTTCTGCCGCTGCTCATAGGGCTCGGGACAGAATGCGGAGGGTACATTGCAAGGATTGTGTCGAAAAAGGATGTATTTGCGATCGGGCCGTACGTGGCACAAACCGTTATGTTATTGGTGGCCGCTGCGTTCATGGCCGCTACGATCTACATGAACTTCGGTAGGCTGCTGGTGGTTATGAATGCCACAAAGGTTTCGTTCGTTCCGATTAGGTTCAGCACCGCGATTTTTGTTACTGGTGATGTCGTCAGTATCTTGTTGCAGGCAGCCGGTGGTGCGATCCTAGGAACCAGCGACAACGACACATTAGGCTCCAACATAGTTATCGGCGGCCTTGCGATCCAAGTAGCCATCTTTGGATTATTCGTCATTACCGAGATCCGGTTCTTGTGCCTCGGGGACAAAGTGTCGCCTATCACCGCTTGCATCTCACGCCAATGGAAGGTTCTCAACATCAATCTGTTTGTGTGCAGCATTCTGATTCTCATTAGATCCATTATCAGATTGATAGAATTTATTCAAGGCTACTCCGGTTATATTATGGTACACGAGTGGTTTCTTTTCGTATTCGACGGTATGGTAATGATACTGGTTGTCGTGCTGTTCATTGGAACATTTCCTAAAGGTAATTTATTCAAAGTTGAATTCGAGTGTACGTATATGCTCAAGAAACCCTCCTATTATGCTATGCGAGATGCTTAGACTTCATTTGAGCGGCCTAGATCAATAGCAAGTATTGTGTGTGTAAATTGGGCGCTCTAAATGTATTTACAACATTGATAGTAAGCTTTGGTGCAGGGTCAAGTACCGATGCATAATTACAATCACCAACGTTAAATCGATTTATGCGTCAGTATCTGAAGAATGAAGCAAAACATCATTGAGTGTGGCTCTCGTATGCGTTATGACGACATCTGAGGACACCTAGGTTCCCCCCTCCATGCTTCTGATCTTGATTTTGAAGTCTTTTTTCAATTCACCAAGCAACGTTTCTCGAAAACTTATAGAGTCTGGAGTTGGTTTTACAAGATGACGCGTCGTTTAGAGACTTCTTATGACGCCTCTGAAGGGATTACTCAATCGAATTTATAACCGGCCACATGAGACAATTATTGCTGCAAAGCTCAATCCGTTGAATACGCCGCAAACGCGTTGTCGAGTTGTCGAATTGGTATATTAAGATCTTGCAAGTTTGGTTCGCTTTCAATGAACGGACATGATGGGCTCAATTTTAAGACATCATACAAGGCAATCCAAACGATGTCAGCGGAATACCTTAAAATAATGTGTACGTCAGAGAGATTAAGCCAAGAAAATGCCAACTCTTTGGTCACATTCTTTGAGCTTAAGGACTGCATGACAGACCTTACGGAGTAGGTTAAAATTGATGTCTAACTTAATGTGCAGTTTGTTAGATTTTTGGAGGATTTGTTGGTGGGATAAGTGGTATTCATGTTGCTTCGTTAAGGCACCATCGGTTGTTGGTACATATCTGTCGTGATTTTTCTCACGACAAATCGTCAGACCTTTAAATTGATGACACAATGAATCTCAATGCCGTGGTAGGACATTTTTCTCTGTCTCATTGGGCGATTTTGCAATATTCAGAAGCAGGTTGCAAAGCGGGAGAAGGTGTTCTAAGTGGGAGGAGTGGAAGAAAGCGAGAATCCTGGGGCTGGCTAGGGGGGGAGCAGAAGCAAAGGGCAGTAATTTTTCTGGGTCATAGGGCCTTGGGATCCGAAGTAGCAAGGACCAGGCCAATGAATTTGACCTTGAATGTGGAGATTACCTGGCGGCGTTCGTTAATCTTGAAAAGCTGTCTGATCTGAACTGCGCTCTTTTCGACATTTGAGCTTGGGTGATTGGGTAAATACGTTGGGCTACGAATTCAGAACAGCGTAGAACTGGAGCTAGATATCAATGATTTAAGCCATTGATATTGAGGACCTATAGACTTCATAGACGTGGACACGTTCACTGCAGAGTACAAGTGGACACACTGAAGATCGAAGCAACGGCGAAACAAATATTTTCAAAACCTCGTTCCAGGCTCCAAAGCGGTTTCCTGGCTGCGTGGGATGTATCGGATTTCCAGCTCATTTTAGACAGCAAGGTAAAGATGGGAAAGGCGAAAAGGCCGACTACAAGACTGGGAAGCCCGACTACAAGACTGGGTAGCTCCAATTTTAGATCGAAAAGCCCGACTACATGACTGGGAAGCACCAATTCACATCAAAGAGCCCGATTTGCACAAGACTGGGAAGCCCGACTACAAGACTGGGAAGCTCCAATTTTAGATCGAAAAGCCCGACTACAAGACTGGGAAGCTCCAAATTCACATCAAAAAGCCCGACTACATGACTGGGAAGCTCCAAATTCACATCAAAAAGCCCGACTACATGACTGGGAAGCTCCAAATTCACATCAAAAAGCCCGATCTGCACAACACTGAGTTCACCACGCCTGTAGGAAAATACAAACAGAGCCTTGCCATTCGGGTTGCCAGGGGATTTTCTCGCCAGGCATGCTTGAATTCCAAGCCAGCGTCCATATGCTGCGGGTGTGTGAACTGGGCTCGAGAAAGTCTCGAGCATGGCAACGCTTTGCTCGCTGCTATAACAGAGAACGTGCAATCCTAGTCACATGGCTTCGCCCGCTGTCAAGAAGAGTGGGCCTTCATGCATACCGGTGATTTTTCGACATAGTGGGATCATTCTCTCGCCCCAAAATTCACCAGCCAACGCTTGTTCCGCCCCAACGTACGCGCCAATCCCAGTGCCTTTGCCTCCATTCTCTCGAGAGGGTCCGTACCTTACGCTGCGCTCATAACTCGCTGGACGCCTGTCTGCACGTTCTTATCTCACGAGCACCGCCGTGCTATCAGCCAATACGGTTATTTATAGATGTCAACACACCAAACACACCAAACGTACGCTACTCTTACCTACCTCTCCAGATCCACAATTGCTGTCCACTTAGCATGCGGCCCGTCTACAATCGCGCTTCCCAATATCTGCCAAGTTATTTTTATCGTCTCGACAAATTGAGCCTGCGTCCGGGCAGGCTCGCGCGCATGAAAACTCCGTTTCCCAAACGCATCAAGTTCATTCTTCAACCTCGGCTGTCAACCGTTGATCTTAACTAAATTAACCGTGAGGTGCCCTCCAGAAAACACTGCTGCTACAAACACTAATTTGACGCTCGCTCGATTCTACGAAAGCCTACAAACACTGCTGAATTTTTCCTCATGGCCACTCCGGCATTCCATCTCTGTTGCTTGATTGCCCTATAGCGTATTCGATAGTTTCCCATGCTCGAATTGTGAAGAAAAGCTCATTTTTCAACAATCGCGCCTCAAATTTGCTTGCCTACGGCATGAGTCGCACAATTTCAGTAGGGCGATTTACTATGCAGAAATCTCGCATAGCTCCCACTGCAAGGAAGAAAGACAGTCAGATAAATGGCTTTAGAGAGATGCCCAGGGCTTAGCCTCGAGTATCGGTCAGCACGGTGGTGGGTAAGGCTTTACAGCCTCGCAATTAGTGGCTTGGGAGAAAGCATTTTTAGAAAGTTTGTAGCGCGCAAAGTAGTGGACACGATGATAGCGAGCAGATGTCAGGCACGAAAAGTATATAAGAAGTGGACTAGCGATAGGAGTCTATATCGAAAGTAGTAGGGAGGATACAACAAGGCACAGGCACAAGACATAGGAAAGCACAGTATGGCCGGTTATTCCACAACAAAAGTCACGAGCGCAGGCTTCACGACAACGCTGGCGTTCTGGTCGTCCACCGACAGCATGGGACAGGTGTCGATGTACCAAGAGTACGCACTGTACCGGTACTCGCCCAGCGTGCCCGGGTCGGTGGTTTTCGCCGTTCTGTTCGGGATAGCGCTGGTGGTGGTGACAGGGCAGATCGCGTACTTCTGCAGGAAGAGAACGGCGATGGAGCGGACGTTGCTCGATGGCGACAGCAGCGTGAGCAAAGAGAACCCGTTCGAAGCGGAGGAGGCGACCACTCTGGCGCCGGTCGAGCCTTGCACCAACACCAGGCTCGTGACGAAGTTCGTGCCGTTGCTGGTCGGGCTTGGGGCAGAGTGCGGAGGATACATCGCAAGGATCGCGTCGAAAAGCGACGTGTTCGCGCTGGGCCCGTACGTGGCGCAAACCGTGATGCTGTTGGTGGCCGCTGCGTTCATGGCGGCCACGATCTACATGAACTTCGGTCGACTGCTGGTGGTCATGAACGCCACGAAGGTCTCGTTCGTTCCGATCCGGTTCAGCACCACACTTTTTGTGCTGGGTGACGTCGTGAGTATCTTGTTGCAAGCAGCAGGGGGCGCGATCCTGGGGACCAGCGACGACAAGGCATTGGGTTCCAACATCGTTATCGGCGGCCTTGCGGTCCAGGTTCTCATCTTTGGATTATTCGTCCTCACGGAGATCCGGTTCTTGTTTCTCGCAGACAAAGTGTCGCCGCTCACCTCGCACATCTCACGCCAATGGAAGGTTCTCAACATCAATCTGTTCGTGTGCAGCATTCTGATTCTGATCAGATCCATTATCAGATTGATAGAATTTATTCAGGGCTACTCCGGTTACATTATGTCCCACGAGTGGTTTCTCTTTGTATTCGACGGTCTGCCCATGATCATGGTTGCCATCCTGTTCATTGGAACATTTTCCAAGGGAAATCTCTTCAAAGTTGAATTTGAGTGCACGTCTATGCTCAAGAGGCCCTACATATACGCTATGCGAGATGCTTAGGCTTCATTTGAACGGGTAAGATTGACGGTATGGATCGCGTATGTAGATTGTGCATTTTAAATATATTTACAAGATTGATGGCTCTATTGTACGCTTTAGCGCTGGGTCAAGTATCAATTCATAATTATAATCACCAACGTTTAATTGATTTCTGCGTCCGCATCTAAAAAAGGTAGCAGAGGGAACGCCTTATTAAGCTTCCTCGAGTGCGCCTCTCCCATGCGCCAGGACGACATCTGAATACGCCTAGATCTCCACCTCCATGCTTCTGATCTTCATTACAAGTCTTATTTTCAATTCACTAAGCAACGTTTCTCAAAATATTATATCCTAGCTTTTATCCGCTTCTCCCTTGGCGGCTCATATATTATTGTCTCGCAGTTCACTCAACAGATAGAGGTGTCTCTCTGATGATTATATATGATTGGCTGGCGAATGCCATCGTTGTGAGGTCAATTAGGCTAACCGAATTCACCTCGTTGCCAACTAGGCACTTTTTAAGTCAACCATCATGCAGTTTCTTGCGTCGTGTTGACAACGCTCAATATCGCTGTTTTCACACCGTCGCATGCACGGAACAAATCCTGGTCGGCCATTTGGGCTCCGCAACAGACCTTCAGACTTGGAGTTACCGGTAAAGTTTCATGTTTCAAAACAAATGTATTGCGGCTAATGAGAACGTTATATTCCTTCAAAGCATAATCCACAATTTGTTGCAAGAATTTTTCTTCAGATTCGTAAGACTCAATGTGTTTGTTTGTCAAATATTTGGTGTGCATGGCAGAGATTTCCTCGAATAATGACTCCTCCGTGTAATGAAATTTCTTGAATCTCATATCCTCTGTGAGCCTAAAGTGTAGAACGCAAGAATCTTTGTCGGATGTAACCTCAATAAGTGGCTGTAATTCTTTATCCTGGCTGAAAAACTCATGCATCTGGTTAGAGAGTAAACGAAGTCGTTGCACTATGGAATTATCTTCATCTAAACGCCTTAAAACTTCAGAAGCGGTTGTCACGGTAAATGCAGGTAGCGAGGCCGAAAATGTGTATGCGTGGGAACCAATTCTTTGATGTAAGGACATAGAATTATCACCCAGTACAAACCCACCGGAAGAGCCCAGGGCAGTGGCCATAGATCCAATAGTGATGTCCACAGATTCCTGGCGAGGCATATTGAAATACTCGGTAATACCGCGACCAGTAGCTCCCAGGACACCCAGTGAAAAGGTTTCATCCACCAAAAGCCTGTATTTGTATTTGCGTTTCAATTCCACGAGCTTAGGCAAAGGCGGAATGTCACCAGAGTTGTGAAACAAGCCCTCAGTGATAATAAACTTTCTTGGTAGCGCTGGAAGTTTTTCCTTCAAGTCGCGTTCTTGCAGTTGCTGCAAAAGTTCCTCCAACGCTTCCGTGTCATTGTGATCGAAATAGTAAACGGTAGAACGACTCAATTGTAGTGCATTCTGTAGAGAAACGCTACACTTGTTGTCCGCAACAATCACATCACCACGCTTGGTGAACGCAGGAATCACTGAAGCTGCGATACAAAAATCTTGACCATATAATACCGCGTTTTCGGTGCCGAAAAAGCGCGCCAAGTCATATTCCAAATGATTATGAACGTCTTGGTTACCGTAAAAACCGGCAGGTCCGCAGGCACCGACCCCGTAGTTCTGGATGGTGTCTTTGGCTATTTTGATAACGCTGGGCTCGCATGACAGTTGCAGGAAGTTGTTGGAGGCACAGTTCAGAACATCGGAGTAGCGTTCAGCACCGTCGTTGCGCACGACATCGACATGAGAGCCCGAGCTCGAATTCAACACGACCGGGATCTTTTTGGTGCGCCATTCGACTGTGGACGCATCCTGTGCTAAAGGCTCCGGTTGCCACTCGTCCAACAAAGCGTCCACTTCCTTGGTAGACATTTTGGGGCCCTCCTGAACTCCCTGTTTGCGCGGATTCCGCAGAAAGTATATAATCCCATAGATGATCAAGAACACCTCCACGATAGTCCGGTAGGGGTCTTGTTGATGCGATCTTTTGACGTAGTCCACCACATAACTACTCCCAGGGATAGCGTTAACGGCGTTCTGGCAGTAATACCATAAATACGACGAAGAGCGCAGAATAAAGTCTGGAACCACAATGGAGCTGGGCAGAACCGCCGGAGGTTGCATTTCAGGTTGCTGATCTCTCTTTATGCTCGAGATAACTCCCACCAGTGTGTTATTGGTTCTTCAATATACCGAAAGGTTTGAAAACTAAGAGGGTAAGTTAGATTTTGTCCTGTATACACTTTGGTTAGTGAAAGGCAATACTTTCGTCTCTGGTGATTATAATGGTAAAAGCTCTCAACAACGATCGAAACGAACGGTTGATAATAGCGCGATGGATTTTGGTAGGAAAACAAGTGCGCATCCGTTAACGCTTTGCTGGGCATCTTCTTGGTAGAGTTTTCAGCCGCGTTTTGATAAGGGCGCAGATTCCGTTGTGGGTGATGTAAGCTCGGAGTTGGAATATTGGTCCTGCAGGCTTGTCAAGCACTTGGGAGAAGGATTTACAGTGGCGCTGCAGTCGGAAAAGATATTTTAGGAGTTGAGGAGACGGAGAAAACTACAAATATGATTGGAACTCTTACTCGTGGAGAGCTCAATATTGGACAAGTGGTTGATGCAAAATTCTCTTTCAAAAGAAACCCATGTATGTTGTTTTACTTTGCTTTCGCTAAAAGATAATAACGCAAAAACAACTGTCAAGATTAGATAGTCCTTGCTTCTCTCTGAGTTTTTTTCAACATTAAAAAAGCTTCGTTTCACTCCCATTCTTAATGTTTTTGAAGGTAGGATAAACCCTTTAGCTGCGCTTGCGCTTAGTTTAAAATACTTTGGAGAGTTCTTAGATATTCACCCAAGCGCGGGCTTCGGGCAGCTTTTCAATATGAAATCTATTTTAATCAAAAAGGTTAATCGTTGTTTTTGAGAGCGTGAAAATAGCTCTCCAAGATTTTGAGGATCTGCTTATAAATTCTGGCATTTTGCAAACACTTTTGAGTGTCGCTTTATTGTGTGTATTACCATGCAACTCTTGTGATTTTCTTTATAGCATAACCAGAAATTATCTTAGAGCGAGGTATTTATATTGAGGCAGGTTTGATTTAGCAAGAGAAAGCGTGCTTTTGCTTTATTGTCGCACTGCTCTTCTATGATTGATTGATTAATTTGATTCGAAGGTTGTAAATGTTTGCCTATGGTTTTGCTTGATGCGACTAGTATATCCGCGATATGTTAAATGAACCATGAATATTAATTAGCTTGTCGAGACCTGGTAACGAAAAGAGCTCTGGACTGGCTTATTAAATGTATCCCTCCATTTTTGGACGTGATAATACATAAAGAGTGTGACTTTAGGCACGAATCAACATCAACGCCTCTATTTCTATTTCCTATCTGAATCGATATGTCAAATTAGAAATTCAGGTTTGTCACTTCGTACTATTCTGTCATAACTTCGGTTCCCCATTAACACACTCTTCTGATGCATTTCTTTAGGTGATTGAGGTTACCTAGCACTAACACAGAACCGTGGCACTTACTCGCCTCAATATCTGTGGGAGTAATAAGCCCTGTATTTTAGCAAGCTTTCACTTCACCTCAATAAAGTACAATCTGCATACTAAATGCACCCTGCGGATAAAAATCGAGCATATCAACCGCGGTGAATTTAGAAAAAAGGGCCCACACACATCATCTCATGTTGCTTTCTTTGAGACTTGCGGCTTTAAGTAGCTCTTTGGCGCCAGCCGGATGTCCTAAAGGACTCCAGCTTGTTAGCTCAACCAGCCCCCGACCTGGCATTGATTTTTTGCAGCTCTGCAATGCAGGGGCTACAAACTACCATCACAGAAAGCTGATCTCATTGCATAAACAAACTTAACGTTCAATCTTGTAGTTTAGGTAAACCTGTCCCAAAATCATCAACACAGTTTACGAAGCTTGTCGATCTTACTTTTATCCTTGCTCATATGTAATTATACCTCTAGTGCTTCCTCAGTCCTTTCATTCTTCACGCTCAATCGGCCAATACTTTATGTCTTCTACCCATTCCTCTACTTGACTTCACCTCTGTGGTCATTCTGTTATCGCATTCTCAGCAAGGGGCAAAAATAAAAGGTCTAATAATTTCACCCTTTTGAACATATAAAAGGGCTTCAAGAATATTTAGAGATTTGACGATCTTAGAAAGTATCTTCAAGACAAAAGGCTGAAACGAAGAGTCACCTGCTTTCGAAAGACGGCTACAAGACTTTTCAGCAAGTCTAGTGTTCGTAAATAGCAAACTTTAACATTTTTCAGCGGTTATGAGAGGTTCCGCACTACTGGCAGGAGCTTTGGCGGCTTCGTCGTCGGTCCAGGCCGCTTCGCTACAGAATGTGTTCCAGGCAAACACCCTGCTGGACAAAGCGATCAGCGCGCTGGGGCTAAATCAGCAGCAGGTGCTGGATTCCGTTCCCAAGAGCATTCAGAAGGTGTGGGGCGAGATGGGGATGCTTTTTCCCAAAGAGACCGCAGAGCTGGAGTTCATCACTAAGCCAAAGACCAAGACTAAGTCCAAACCGGATTCCGAGTGGGATTTCGTGGTCCAGGAGCATCCAGAACACAAGCTGCGTGTCAACAAAATTAAGGATCCTAAAGTTCTAGGGATCGACCCGGACGTGAAGCAGTACACCGGGTATCTGGACGTGGAGGAAGAGGACAAGCATTTCTTCTACTGGTTTTTCGAGAGTAGAAACGACCCAAAAACCGACCCCATCATTTTGTGGCTCAACGGTGGGCCCGGGTGCTCCTCGTTGACCGGGCTTTTCTTCGAACTTGGACCTTCATCTATTGGTTCCGATATCAAACCCGTGTACAACCCCCATTCTTGGAATTCCAATGCCTCTGTGATCTTTTTAGACCAGCCCGTAAATGTTGGTTACTCCTACTCCGGCTCCAGTGGTGTTTCGAACACAGTAGCCGCGGGCAAAGACGTGTATGCGTTCTTGCAACTTTTCTTCAAACAGTTCCCCGAATACGCATCGGGTCAAGATTTTCATATTGCCGGTGAATCCTACGCCGGCCATTACATTCCAGTTTTTGCAACAGAGATACTGTCACATCCTCTGGAGGAAAGAAACTTCAACCTAACTTCTGTTTTGATCGGCAATGGACTCACTGACCCTTTAACGCAGTATCCTTACTACGAACCAATGGCATGTGGCGAAGGCGGTGAACCATCAGTTTTAGACCCCGAAGAATGTGAAGGCATGTTAGACACTTTACCTCGTTGTTTGAGTTTGATTGAGGCTTGCTACGACTCTCAATCAGTGTGGACTTGTGTTCCTGCATCGATATACTGCAACAATGCACAAATGGGTCCATATCAAAAAACTGGTAAGAACGTTTATGACATGCGCAAGGAGTGCCATGGTGATCTATGTTACGATGAAATGAAATACATGGATGAATACTTGAATTCGGACTTGGTCAAGAAAGCTGTTGGTGCTGAAGTCGACAATTTCGAATCCTGCAATTTCGACATCAATAGGAACTTTTTGTTTGCGGGCGATTGGATGAAGCCTTACCACAAGGCTGTCACTAATCTCTTAAACCAAGGCTTGCCAGTTTTGATTTACGCAGGTGATAAGGACTTTATTTGCAACTGGCTCGGCAACGAAGCCTGGTCCAATGTTCTTCCTTGGAAGCACGCAGAATCCTTCCAAGATCAACCTCTAAAGAACTGGATCTCCAGCACCACCGGTGAAAAGGCCGGAAAGGTAAAGAACTATAAAAACTTCACTTTCCTAAGGGTCTACGACGGTGGGCACATGGTTCCATTTGACGTTCCCGAAAACGCACTCGCTATGGTAAATGACTGGGTCAGGGGCACTTACAACTTCGAATAAAAGTTGCAACCTTGAGTCAAGTCTACTCCTTCTGAAATGAAATCAATAATAAAAAACGAAAACTCTTACGGCAGGGTCCTGATGCCATCAAAATATATAAAAATATGACAGTGTAGATATTTACAGACAGAACATAAGAATTCTTTGAACTTCTTTGGCTAGTAGTTACAATATTCGTCATTTTCCCAACGAGGGATCGAAGAACTCACGCCAAACGTAAAAAAATCAAATTCCTGCAAATTAACAAATCCAACTATCTATCCAAATATATCACTTCTCCTGTGAGCTAGTACTCAAGACTTTATGGCACAAAGAACTCCCCAAGTATTGAGACTACTGCAGTATGTATGTGTAGGCCTTGCACTTATAGCCAGTGTGGAACTCTTTAAGTATTCCTTTAGAGTGAACTATGATTGGGTCCACTGCACGCCCGTCAAGGAACAATTGAGCCAAGGTACCTCCGCTTACAAGATTTTCTCTGTGGGAGGCCCAAGTTGTGATAAGAGAGGAGAGTTTAAGTCTATCATGAAGAAAATGGCGTCTGATTACCAACCTCAGGTGGATGGTGTCTCGTTCTGTATAAAGGAGTCTAAAGACGTCCCACCCATCCACTATCCAACTGGCACACCAAAGGGTAAACCAGGGTATGTTGCCTACGTTGCTTATGAGTCCGATTCTCCTTTGATCAGTGAAGTGTGTCAAGACGCCACCATTATGCATTTTTAGTGAACTATGTTTATATATCTTAGGTTTTAAACCTCGATGTTTCATGGATAGCTATCTAATTTTCAGTCTTGACTTCCGCAGGCTCCTCGGGACCGGAAGAGAGAGGGGGTCCGGGCGTGTTCGAGCCGCCCATGCCGGTGCTGGTTCCGCCGTTATACATCGGGCAGGACTTGTTAGTTCTAATATGTCCGATCATACCACAAGTAGCACATCTTCGATTTGTGTTCTTGGACTTGGTGACTTTGCCGTCCTTGGTCTTCTCTTTAGCCAATTTACGAGCTTGCCTCCTTTCCTGCGACTTTTGTAGTTTGGCCAACTGTTCCTCCAGAAGCTTCTTCTGTTTAAGTTGCTTTTCCTCCGTATTTTCGCCGCTCACAAGATCAATATTGTCATTCATTAGCTCATCCAGTCCGAGATTAGCTTCCGCTTCTTCCCGCTTTCGATCGTAAGCCTTAATGTAACCTTGGATAACACGGGGATCCTTGATTACCACGGTTTGTCTTTGTATAATACCGTTTTCGTCTCGCTTCTTTCTTATTATTCTCAAAACTTTGTGATCGTCTCGGTGGGACTTAACCCGCCTATTTGTCTTGTTGACTTCATCTGGATTTTCCATTTCCTCAAATGGGTTGGAAATCCTTAAGCTCTTCGCTTGAGTATACCAGGTTTTACTGATCTCCTCCTCGTATGCTTTTTGTTGCTGCGCTACATTGTAACTATGGCCACCAGCAATCTGCTGTTGTCCAAGCTCCGAACCTGATCTGGTAAAGCCACCTTTCATAGAAGTTTTCAAAAAAGAGAAGCCCTCTCCACACCCAGTTGGATCACCAGCACCATGAATTTGAACCATTGCGCGCATTTGAGTAGCGTTCAAAAAATTCTTAGTTGCAGCCCACGGAATGAGATTTTCCTCAAGTTTACGAAGCTTTTCGTCAAAGTTATAAAGCTCATTATCCTCTTGATATTGTTGTCCATGATACATAGACTCAGTAAGGGATACATCCTCCGGAATAATCATTTTCTTCACATTTTCATTGTCCGGCAAAAGCTCCGACTCTTTCAGTTTCCAGAAACCGTGATCGTCACCATCTCGCTGATACTTCATAAACTCCTTTAATCTCTGTCGATTCTGCATATCGTTTTGGTCTGGGAAGTGTCTTGCAACTTGTTTGACGAGAAGTCTGTGCTCAATTGATTTGTTCAGAATTCTGTAAACTATCATGCGCAGCCTGTTTTTGCCCATAGACGTAACTCTCCTTGAGTTCGGACCTGGAACCTCAACTACAGGGAATGTTTGACCCACGTTGAACAAATGATTGATATTCTTTAGGTAAAACCTGTTTCCCATCCCATTTCCTGTGCTTCTTATCAAAAGAAAATCGGTGCCAGAAACTTCGTGTTTGAATACAGGAGCTCTTACCATGTTATTGTACAGCGTCGGAACAATGTTTCCAGGTTCTACGAACCCAAAGTTCCAAAATGGTGATTTATCTTGAACGCCAAGAACATGAGTTTCCCCAACTGGTAACTTTGGTCTTGAAGCATCCTTGTCATCCGTTTTGCGATAGTAGTTGATAAGCTTATTACCCATACCAAACTTTGACAACGCAACGGGGGCTTCCTCTGAGTACTCCATCAAAAAGATCGAGGCACTGTCTCCTAAAGTCAAGTCTTGACTTCTTGCAAACAGTTCACGTACGTCTTTGCCCTTGTCTTTCTTTCTCTTTCTTGTCTTGATCTTACTGAAGACGATGTTAGTGCCAGGCCTAATTAAACAACCAAAGTTTGGCTTGTGGAAATTTCGTATTTGAGGCTTGGGCGGTACCACCTTATAAAATGGAGATTGTAGCCTGAGTGCTGGTTGGGAATGCTCGATTGTAAGATTGGAAATAGTTGAACGGATTTTAGTTTGATAGTTCTCTTTCAGTATTTTATACTTGTCGTCATTTGAAATGTTGAACTTTTGAAGAAGAGCTTTCTCATTGAACGCAAAAAGAGCCACTTTAGCATTAGCATCTTTACTCTCGCGATGCTTGTCTTTAACAAACAACAGATTTTCGTCATTCATATCCAAACAAATCTTACTCTGATCAACTTTACCCTCTATTAGATTTTCCTCATCCCAATTCCAGTCCTGGTGAGATGTCACAACCCTTGAACTTGATAACACTTCTGAATTCAAAGGAGCCGGATTGGTATCGCTGCTATATTCACCTAGTATCTTGTCGTATTCCCATTCGTCGGCAATCATCATCAATTCTTCTGGTATAGGTCCATCAGACTTACGGCGCTTTGTATTTTGAGTTTGGTCACCATACATATCACCTAAAGGGACCGATATCAGACCTGGTTTCTTACGTTTCTGAAGTTGTGCCATGACTTGCCAACTTTTACTTTTGGCTTTCAACATTTTGCGGGAGTCGGGCTGTACTTCTAGTCGAAGTTTTAACGGGATAAGTGGTCTCAAGTTTCTGTTCGTAAGATATAGGTCTCGTTGCCACTGGTACTGGGTAAGTTGCTTCGGTACAATGCTGAGCAGACTTAAAGATTTTCCCTTTTGAAACTTGGGGAAATGAAATGCTAGCAATTCTTTTTTCTCATGGGACGCCCTTTTGAGCTCCTCTACTTTACGTTGTTCTTCTAAAGCCACTTGATGTTCGTCTGCGAAATCCTCAAACACATGATGCTCCTCGGTGTACGGTCCTTCCTGTCCTTCAACCCCCAAGAACAATGTATTACTTCTATCGTCATATACCCCGGCATTGTCGCCCAAAATAGCACCTTGACCGCTCATCATGGCCAAATAATCATCGTCACCATCAGGATGAGATGAGTTTCTGTTGCTAGTAGACTGCGTTTCCTCAGGCAATTCCTCATCTGCTAGTTCATCCTCATCTTCGAAATCTACTGCGTCTGGTAGATGCTCCGTTTGCCCATCGTTTGACCCTACAAAGTTACCAACTTCCATAGAACCAAACTCCCCACTAAAAACAGCATCATAGGCGTCATCCTCGTTCGACAAGTCACCTTTGGCAAGCTGCTGCTTCTTGGAAGGCTTTTGATTTGCCATCACTGACTGTAAATACAGTTTCCGAGTTCCAACAAGAACCTTGCGAAGTTATTTTTTTATTATACTTTGGAAGTTGAAGTAAAGTTCTGAATTGTTGTTTATTTGAAAAACCTCTGGAGCGAAACCTTTAGGGACGTGTAAAGTAAATCAGCACTACTCACAATCCAATGCAATCCAGTACACTTATAGCACGAGCAAACAATGCCAGTGCTCACACTTTTGCCAATAGTAACCGCAAGTTCTGGAAATTCGACTGGTACACACCGCTGAAGCCAAAGCAGAATACTACAGCTAGTACGGACAAAACGGACAAGAACGATAATGCTGGGGAAGAACTGTATAATTTCAAGTACAAAACGTGGCTTCCAAGTGACCAGCAAGCATGGCAGATACTTGATAACGATTCCGACGAAATTATAGATTTGTCTTCCTATGACAGAACACGCCAAGTAGTACAGCCACAGGGAAGTGCTCCACCTAACGGTGCGCAGAAACCGACTGAGGGGCTATCAGCAGACGATATAAGGGGCGCAGTTGGTGGACAAGAATCGCTTCCAGGCTTCTCAGCGCCGCACGCTTCTGAGCTTGAGAAGAAAGATTCAGAATCAAACCCTGATCAACCACAACCGCAAGATCACACTATAGATCAAGAAAAGATGCTAGGTCAAGAAAAGGCTGTAGATCAAGAAAAGATTGTAGATCAAGAAGAAACTGTGGGCCAAGAACTACCTGCCATTGTCGATGAAAAACAGTCAGAAGATGCCGACGGAGACATCGATTTGGCTTCGTCTTGAACCACGCTAACAATTTCAAGTTTCTTTGAAAATTCATTCTAGTTGTTTACATAATTATTTCGTTTCTGTTGAAGACGTGTAGCCTATATCGAAGGTTTGGGCATTTCTACTTTTTTACCCATAATAAGTGCTATGGCGTCTCGGGCTTTGGAGACAGCAGCCTGAATTTCAACTTCTCTCTTTTTCTTCTCCTCAAATCTTTCATCCTTATTCTTCATGTTAAGTTCTGCCATGATCTTGGACCAATCCCGAGTGTCTCCCGTACCAGAGCATACAAGAAAAACTGTGGAAGGAGGACATTTCTGATAGAGTACTTGAAATTTGCTGACAAAGTTATTTCTCGCAGTTAAAACATCTTTTTTCTCAACATTCTGCGGCGGTACTGCAAAGTCTCGAGCATACTCTAAATCTCTCAGTCTTCCTACAAACAGATTAAAATCATCAATATGTTTGTCAATATTATCAAAAATCTCATCGTCGCATTGGCACCTTTTGTTGAACTCCAAAGTTTTAGTATTTGAGATCAACTCATTTTGTCTTGGGGCGTAATCGTTCAAACACATGCTTTTAATACCATTTCTCGCTAGTCTTTGGAACAGATTTTCAGTATTCATACCAATACCAAACGCCAAACCGTTTACGATTTTCAGTTTGGTAAGTTCCATGCAAGCACGAGCATCTTCAAACGAGTCGTGGCCCAGCCCCTCACTATTTTGAATTTCTTGACTCAAATATTCAAATGCAAGATACTTCAATGCAGGCCTAAAAGGTGGGCCTGCCTTATGTTCGTATATCATTGCGGTATCGATGATTCTGGGGTGCCTTATCTTCAAGACGTTCAAATCTGACTGCAATGAGTGTCCGATTAAAATATCATCCGAACTTACTAATTTTAAAATGTCGGATTGGACGTCGTGTAAGGTCGTCGTAACATCCCTGAGCTTTTCCTCAGTGATGCCGCTGTACTTTGTGAGATAATCCACGATTGGTACATCTGGCTTGACCAGACGATCGTAGATGAGATTACACTCGAAATCTACTAAGCTTACGCGTGTTAACACTAGCCCACTATCTGCCATACACATTTCACAGTCCATGGCGAAGGTATGTGAACCGTCGTGTTCGAAAGGTCGCGTACTCTTCCAAATTGAACCTTGTTCAAGGTGTTTGGCTAAGAGGTTTTCTGTATCCTCAGAACTTAGGCCAACGGTGTCTTCGTGAAGTGGATACTCATTTTCTAATAGTTGGTCTGATTTCATCACCAGGTCATTCAGGGTGATACTTTTCTTGCTAAGCTCTTGTCTTTTCTCTTCTTTCTCTTTCTTGCTCAGACCCACGTTTACAAATGAGTTGTATGCAGAGTATAGTGTGCTCTTAGAGCCCGGTGCCGAAACAGGAACTCGCTGTACAACGTCTAAAAGTTCTGTATCTTGTAATGAAATTAAAGAAGTGGCACGCGCGTTTGTGGCTCTGTCTCCACCAGTGTGTTTCTTATTATCTTCAAAATCCTCCGGTAAAAGACCTGGAACAAATAGTACGATCATCTTGTTGATGGCTACCCGATTTTCAATCTGTATCCAGCTTGGAGAATTATTTGTATCCTGGAAAATGTAGAGTACTAGATCTCGCAGATCTTTCATGGATATCCGCTTTTGTAAAGCCTTTTGACTGACGGTTAGTGTTGCTGGTTGTGAAGCCTTTTTCTTTTTTTTTGTGACTATAACGGGCGACGCGGATTGCACACCATCAGCATTTTTAACAAAACTGGGGCCCGCAATTCCACTAGACCGCCTTCTTCTTCTTTTAGATCCTGCCTTTTGTTGTTGATGCTGGATCGAAGACGAGTTACTAGATCTATCATCATCAATTAAGATGTCGCTTGATTCCCGGCGCAGCATTGATTTGAGTATCATTTCTCTAGATTTGTCGTCTTCGCAAATACTGAGTCTGGCGACCCTTGATTGGAACGACGTCTCATCTTTGGGCTTTTTGGAGCTCTCAGCAATTGCGCTAGCTATGTTGTCAGCTTTTTCAACGAGCGCCGCATTGGAAGCGGCCTCTGCTGTAGCGTTAAAATTCTTGCTCATCTGAAATCCCATCAGTCTCGAAGCTCACTTTAGAAAAAAATAGATTTGGTACGGTGTAAAGGTATTCCTTCTTCGCTCACAATCAAACTTGCTAGGTTGTAAGGGCGAATTCTGTGAGAACTCTGAATGAGATGACCTATTTAAAATTCCACGGAACTCAATTTTCTTCGCCGTTTTTGTAGCCGGAGCGGTATAATCCAGGCTTATAAACAATTGATGGAGCACAATAACGAACTATCAAGCGAACCTGTTCCAACAAACCAAACTGCAATACGTGTGTATCCTTGTTACGCCTGCAAAAGATGGGTTCAAAGGTCTAGTCTCAAAAAATTTGTGTGTTCACAACGACCACTCACGTGCAGATATGAAGCTTCCGTGATAATGAGCTGGACAAGGCTCAGAGAGCACTTATTCAAAGGCGTCATGGCTCAATACTAATATTATGCTCGTGAGCCTTTTCAGCATTGGGGATGTCGATTGTTGCGTTGTGTGCGGCAACAGAACTCAGAAGCGATGACTTTTGTAACTTGTAAACGTCAGCCAATTCCTTTTGGACGTCCACCTCTTTGAGGTTAATAACAGGCTCTTCTTCACTGAGTAGATCGGTACTGGGGGTCATCATTTCGCCAGGTATAATACGTTCGAACTGACCACCTATGAACGTCTCTTGTTCGATCTGCGTGACAGGAAATTCTTCACCCATAGTCTTGATTTTACGAGCACTATCCGAGCCTTGTGGTACGAACAGCTTGCTCATAGTGATGTACTCAGGTTCTTGACTAGACTCCTGGCCCAATACTATTTTGCAGACTTCAAGCAAGCGTTCTGCGGGCGTTTCCTCTTCTAGCGACAATAACGAAGCATGTTTTATGAGCGCAAAAGATCTTAAGGTCTGATTCATGAATTCCATCTTCAGTGAATTCCAATGAGGAGAGGTCAATTCCATATTTGTGCAGTTTTGAGCATGCAAGCCAACAACCGAGCAAAAATCTAACTCTTCTAAATTCCGGCCAAGCTTGTGCCTCAGCAGCTCGAAGCTTTCACACAAACCACGCAGCCAACTTTTATGATTCCCTTCTAGCCAATCAAGCAGGAACACCCACCGAACGCCGCTGATTTCGGAATTTACAAAAATCGACAACAAGTCTACCACAGTAGCAGTCAGGGGCCAAGCAACCGTGTAAATGTGAACGACTAGCTCTTCAGCGATATCACCACGTAAAAATGACAGTTCTTTGTGAAAGTAACCAATCGAAGCCAAACTGGACTTCTCATCTTCAACTTGTAATACTCGCACTAGGAAGTCCTGCAGGGCAGGCTGCGATTCTGCCGACAAAACTAGCGTCAAATCCGCATTTAATTTTGTCTGTGGCTCTCTGTGAGCCTCTAGTAAGGCGTTCCAGATACTAGATGACATGAGCCATACAGGTTGTAGGAGTTGAAGACTTTGAACCAACGGTTTGTTAACCTATTTGGCACTCTGCGAGTATTAGCATTTTCATTTGTCACGTATCCTCCGGCACTTCACGTGGCACTGCTCCAGTTAAACTGTGAGCAGGGTGCTTGAGCAAGATATTCTCTGCAGGGTTGAAGTCGCGATTACAGACGAATCTACAGTTGCTACATATGTGGTCCTCTTTTCTTAAACCGGTCGCACTTGGCGTATCCGCGAATGGAAGATGTTTCGGAGGTAAAGTAATTTTAGACTTAAATAATTAGAGCATTGCCACATTCCGTCGTTTTGATCGAAGTCCGATTAACGTCAGAGACCTAAATTCAGTAGAAAAACACGGTTCTCAGTATAACATTTCCTTGGAAGTCTTCTTTACAATTAATCGTCTGTTATTTCAGCTGTTTGATGACACAAAATACTTTTAACTCCTTACTTGCTGCAAGAGGAACGTTTCTCAGAGACACTGGTTAGAAAAGGAAATGCGAGACTAATACTGTTGGTTCTCCTCTGCAGCGGGCGATTTAGCTGTTTGAGTGAGTCAGCAAACCAGGTCAAGTGTGGAGTTTAGTTTCTGTCGCTTTATATCAGATTGCCGCCGTCTGAGACAAAATAGCAGGAAGCCTCGCCGTACATCCAGTTGCCTTTTCTATTGCGTGTAGTGCGTAAGTTTGGATTATTCATATTAGCTGGGATGTTCATTCGAGTACCCTGGTGTCAGTTTGCTGAAATCGCACACATAAGTCTCTCCGTCATTTTTCTTATCCCTTCAAAGAGATTTTAGCTCACGCCTAAGTCTAAACATCATAAGTGGATGCCTTTTGCCCCCTTTATGCTTTCTATGTCTACTATATATCTACAGATTTTCTAAGTCAGTTACTCTTTTACCAGAATCTAAAAGTCTGCACTGTTATAGAGGCCAATGTCGTACTCAGCTTTCGCGTGACATTTTTTAGCCGCGTTTAAGGCACGAGCTTCCTCTAATTCTTGAAGGTAGCCGTCCTCAACGCCAGTGACATAATTTCCAGTAAATACACCAACCTCAAACTTGGAAATGGTATCAGTTTTGCAACAATCAATTAGGTCCTCCAAGGATTGGTAGAAGACTTTATCGCAGCCTAGCTCGGTACTTACTTCATCTTGAGTTTTATTGTAAGCAACGAGCTGCTTGGTATCGGCTAAATCGATTCCGTAGATGTGGTTGAAACGGATTGCGGGAGCTGCAGAGGCAAAGTAGACCTTTGCAGCACCTGCTTCTTTAGCCATGCTAATGATTTCTTTGGAAGTCGTACCTCTTACGATAGAGTCGTCAACCACCAAAACCCTTTTGTCCTTGAACTCAGAGTCCATGGCATTAAGTTTCCTTCTAACAGAAGAAACACGTTCCTTCTGGTTTGGCATAATAAATGTTCTTCCCACATATGTGTTCTTCACAAACCCCTCGCGGTAAGGAACTTTAAGACGATTAGCGCATTCTATAGCACAGGTACGGGCGGTGTCAGGTACAGAAACAACCACATCTATGTCCTTGGGGTCAATTTCTTTCATTATACTATCCGCTAACTTGATACCCATCTGAAGTCTGGTATGGTAAACGGAAATACCGTCAAGAACACTGTCCGGTCTAGCAAAATAGACGTATTCAAACAAATCAGGTCTTATAGAATTAACTGGCACAACTTGTTTGAATGCAGGTGGGTTGGTACCGCAATCTTTAGGCACGATTACAGCTTCTCCAGGAGCTATGTCACGAAACTTGTTGAAGTTATGAGCCTTTAGAACCACACTCTCTGAAGCCAGCATGTAGTCTTTGGTTCCATCCGGTCTACTTCTCTCACCAATTAGCAGCGGTCTGATACCGTTCGGGTCTCTAAAGCCTATCATAGCGTAACCGGCCAGCATCCCCACGCACGCGTACCCTCCGCGGCACAAACGGTAGACTCCTTCCAGAGCATGAAATATGTCCTCATTGTTGACACGATATTTGTTGTGCTTCTCGAGTTCTGCCGCAAAGATGTTTAGCAGCAGCTCTGAGTCACTGTCGGTATTGATATGTCTGTGCACATCTTCGTCCATGTAACGCCTGAGGGAGCCGGTATTCACCAAGTTACCATTATGCCCTAAAAGGACACCATAGGGACTGTTCACATAGAATGGTTGTGCTTCAGAGTTGGCACTGGAGCCTGCAGTTGGATATCTCAAATGCGCGATGCCCATCGATCCCACCAGACCAGCCATTCTCTGTTGTGTAAACACATCCCGAGCCATCCCGTTACCTTTGCATTGGTAAAGTCTGCCACGCTGGCCGCAGGTAGCTATACCAGCAGCGTCCTGGCCTCTGTGCTGCAGAAAGAGACACCCATCTAACAGTTCTGGAGCAACAGCATTTGCTTGATCTGCTAAAGCTATACCTAAAACACCACACATCTTGTTATTTCTAGTCAAACAGTAATATTATGTCCAAGAGCGCTAACTATGCCAACTAACAGAGATATATTTTGTCACCGAAGAGTATCAACTTTTTAGAATGCTTTTCCTCGCTTCTTCTTTTTGAATCTTCAATGATTCATTTTTTTCAATATAAAATTAATTAAGCCGAGTCAATAGCGTTAGTTATGAACATTTTCATATAAATTAAGAGAAAGACAAGGCTTTTGATACACAAGTAAGTATCTTTCTTTGAAACAGGCACGGCCTTCTGCGTTAGTATCTAGTTGTTTAAAAATTTGGTAAAGAAACTTCACTAAGATTTGAAGGACAGTTGAGTGGTCCGATTCGGAAACGCAGTCAGTTCAAACTTAACGGAAATAAAGACGTTTGTTTGGACGCTCGGCCAGCATTCATCGTAGAGCCGACACTTATTTACTGACTAATGCCGCCGACTATTATATATCTTGATATTTACATGTGGTTCTCTTTCGGCTTGTCTTCCGCTATAACCTCATCCTTCAGCTCATCTTCTAGAACGTCTAAATTTTCTTGAATGGTCCAAAGGTCTTTATAAAGCGAATCCGGACGCGCAAGCAGCTCTGTGTGCCTTCCTTCTTCCTTGACTTGGCCTTGGTCCAATACAATAATCTTGTCTGCATCGGCGATGGTTCGCAGCCGGTGTGCGATATAAACGCTGGTTTTCGACCCGCTTGTGAAATTCTGCTTCACAGTCCTCAGCAGCGCCTGCTCCGTGTGAGTGTCTAACGCACTGGTGGCCTCATCGAAAAACATTGTGGGAGCATCTTTCAACAATACCCGTGCGATTGCAAGCCTCTGCTTCTCACCGCCACTAATCATCAGTCCGCGCTCTCCCACAATAGTGTCTTTTCCTTTGGGAAGCTGTGCGATTAGAGAATGTAGTTGAGCTTTTTTGATTGCTTTAGCAATCTCTTCGTCAGAAGCGGTGATTTTACCAAACCTTACATTTTCCCAGATTGTGTCATTGAACAATGGTGTATCTTGTGGGACAACCGCGATAGAGCGCCTTAGTGACTCCATGTCCAGCTCTCTCACATCTTTCCCATCGACTAAAATTCTGCCTTCACTTGGGTCGTAGAACCTGAATACAAGTTTCAGAATGGTTGATTTTCCACTACCAGATGGTCCGACTATAGCTGTTTTCCAGCCAGCAGGTAAAGTGAAGCTAGCGTTTTTTAGAATAAGCCTTTCTGGGTTGTAACCAAAAGAAACGTTTTCAAATATAATCTCGGATGGTAAGCGATCTGGGAGCATCAAGGGTCTCTCGACATTTTGGATGCTGATCTTGTTTTTTTGCAATTGAAACAGGGATTCCATGTCAATCAGCGATTGCTTTAACTCACGATAAACGCTTCCAAGGAAATTTAACGGAACTGAGAGTTGAAACACAAGCTGATTAATCAGGACTAAATCACCGACTGACAATGATCCGTTGACAACACCAGTGCAACCCATATACATCATAGCAGTAAGTGCGGAGGTAAAAATTAAACTTTGACCCGCATTCAAGAACGACAATGATTTCGCAATTTTAATTTGAGAATCTTTGTAATTACTCAACGATTTGTAGTATTTCGAAGCCAAATAGCTTTCGTTGTTGAAGTATTTCACTGCCTCAAAGTTTATTAGTGAGTCCACTGCAATCGAAGCCGCTTTATTGTCCGCTCTGTTGGCTGATTTTCTGAACTCTGTTCTCCATGCAGTGGTCTTGAACGTAAAGATGGAGTACAAAATCATGGTACTAAAGGTCATTGCAGCAAATGAAGCGCCAAACTGGTAAGTAAGAATACCACAAACCGCTCCGATCTCCACTGTTATTGGGATGATGTGAAAAACCATTGCGCTTAAAACGTAAGAAATACCTTTAGTACCCCTATCCATGGCCCTAGTGAGTCCACCTGTTTGCCTGCTCAGGTGCCATCCCAGATCCAATTTCATCAAATGTTGAAATGTCTGAAACGATACTTTAGTGATCGCGCTTTGCGCAACAGACGCAAAAATGGCGTTCCTCAACTCTCCAAAAAGGGCCGACCCAAACCTAGCGGCACCATACGAGATAATCATTGTTCCAATGGCAATAGGCAAGACTGACCCGGTATCTGACCATTGTATGTTCATTGAATCAACAATCTCTTTGAAGTAAAAAGGAACCTGCACATTCAATAACTTGGATCCTACAAGTAGAGACAATGCAATAAGAACTCGGGCTCGAACTTTGTTGTCGCCATGCGGCCATATGTACTTGAACAGATCTTTCAGAATCTTAAGTTCCGAGATAGTTGGGGTTTTAGAGTCATTCTTGGGCTTGGAGTCCGCCGTTGACTTCTTGGGAGCTTCCGCTTGAACTGCTGGAAATTTTCGGAATGTTCTCAATCTTGAGGTTGAGAAAGGAGTACGCTGAGCTCCAGCTAAGAAGGACAGCCTATGAAATGAGTTTGGTTTTGCAGCGAGTGGTCTTACGCCTCGCAAGAGAAGACTGCCTAGATATAGGCCGCGAGCAATCCGCATCAGCCACTTGTAAACCTGGGTTCCGGATCGCAGCTGCTGTGCTTCAAAGTTCAATTCACAGCTACTTTAGAGACTTCATAACCCAGCTCATGATGATTAAGAGACCATGGAAAAATCTCATGTGACCTCAGGAAAACCTTAACTCGCGAATGGATCGCTGAGCGGTCTCAAGACAAGCTCAGCTATCTCGTAAAGAGCTCATCATCTGGCAGGCAGCCAATGCAATGTTGTGTACTAGATATGACGTTAATTCTATACTTTACATACGTTAATAACCTCCCGCATTTTGTTGTTTTGTCTGAGAACTTTCATAGATAAGGCGCAACAGATTCGTCGTCCAAAACTGTGAAAGGCTTACCCTCGCCCACGATTGCTATGGATAGGTTTTTGGTGTTGAGTGATTCGTCCTTCAAGCAATGTCTGAGCGCCTCCACAGCAACTGCAATTAGCTTGTCAGCGTCTTCAATCTCCAAATATTCACTTAGAGACCTCTCTAGATAAGTTTTAGCACCTTGGGAACGAGCACCAATGGCCGACCCGTAAAGCTCCAATGTGTTTCCCGAAGGCTGGAACTCCAGTAGATGAGGACCGCTGTTATCGTAGCCTGCTAAAAGAAGCCCCACCCCGTAAGGTCTTCCGCCGTAAGACTGTGTGTTTTTTTGCGCCTTGTCACTGAGTAGATGACCGGCCTTCTCTAGCGACAGCTTGCGGTTGTAGACCAAGCTGGAGTAGTTACACTGCTGTCTCAGGAAATTACTCAACACACGGCCGTCAGGAGCCAAACCTGCCAAAGAAAGTCCTAAATGCTCATCGCACTTGATTATTTTCTTCTGGTACGATGATAGTTCGTCTGCATTCCGTTTTAAGGCCACTAGAACGGCGTGTTTCTTGGACCTCACCCCAACAGTCACACTACCTTGTTTGATAGCTTCTAAAGCATACTCCACCTGAAAAAGCCTACCAGTAGGCGAGAAAGTCACTGTATCGCCGTCATAGTTATTTCTGAACATTTTGCCGTACTCAATTCCTCTTTGGGCGATAAATTTAGCTTGTTCGATGTCTGTCTAATACTGTTACTTTAATAGTTTGATTGGGTTCGAATTTCAAAGGTTTGCCACCGAATCTACTCGTAAATAAAGTCACTTTTGACGCTTCTGTCACTTTGAATAACTGAACAGAATTTAACATAAAGACCTCGAAGTTACACCGAATGTACTGGTTGTGCCACAAGTAACGATGAATTTCCGGGAATTGCTGGCTTTTCTAATTATGATTTTTAGATCAGGCTTCAGATTTCACGCTCTTGTAACCTCCAAAGCCAATTGCTATTCGTATTTACGAACCAAACCCCCATGTTGTGTTGATCGAAAAAGTTGTACTATCATCAACGTGATTTGGAGCAACGATTTATTTATACCGTTCTCCTCATTCTATTTCCTCGCTGACACCTTTGAATGTCATTAATATAATCATACTTAAAATTCTAAAAAACTTGCTCCACACCACAATCAGACCAAAACGGCGAAAAACGGCACCATTAGCAGGTCTAGTAGTGCGTTCGAAGCTTGATACCTGCTGATCCGCATTCATACTAATAAAAAACCGCTTTGAGACGAGTTTTTGGACTTTAGGAGTCTCTAATTGTGCAATATTGGATTTTGCTGTGCAAATACCACAAGAACCACTTTCAAAAGCCTAGTTAAACGCGCCAGGCTACATCAAAGAGCACTTCGGGTATATCAGCAGGCTATAGGTCATTAGTTGCTTTACATACCTTTTGTTCTCACCAAAAGCCCCTCAATTGAGTTGCAACCTAAAGGTGCAAAGTTAAGCCTCGTAAATCGACACCCTCCGCGATGATAAAGCTGTACTTTCTTTCGTTCTTCTACTCAACTCTCAACCATATACCCCCTTTTGTTTGGGCCGTCTTCCATGTCATGGGGGACATCTTCCAGTTTTGGATGCGGCGACTGATGAATTATTTCCGTCCTAAGTCTAGAAATTTATATCACGGAGCTATTGCAGATCTGGAACAAAGCGACAACTACGAAGACTGGTATCAAAGAGCTGCTGTAGTCGATGAAATAACCGGTGCGGACCTTTGGCGGCGCAATTTTTACTCGCAACGTTACGATGTCAATTCAGTACTTGAACAGTACGCAGTTTTGGATGAAGCTTTGGACGAAAGTGATGCCCATGTTATCGTCCACCGATTCAGTACAACAGGACCGTCTATGCTCAGAAATTTTGCTGGAATCGTAGACAAGCGGCTTTTCACAAAATCTCTTATTGGCACCAAGTTATTGATCGAGCAGTATCTCGACAAAGTGCTTGAATGCCTCCAGTTTCTTTGTGAAACGCCAGCTGTTGCTAGAACTTCGTTTTTTCAAAGATGTAAACTCTCTTTGGGTACAACAGCCTTCATTTTGCAAGGTGGCTCTTTATTTGGCCTTTTCCATCTAGGCGTCATAAGAGGTCTATTAGACCAGAAGCTGCTTCCAAACATCATCAGCGGTAGTTCTATGGGTGCATGCATTGGTAGTTTATGTTCTGTGCTCACGAATGATGAGCTATTTGCGTTGCTTTCTGGTGATAATCTTTTAAACGAGATTAAATCGGATCTAGAACTGTTGAAGAAATGCGGCTACGGAAATATCGATCAAGATTTGAACCTTGGTTCCCTACTGCAAAATGTGATACATCGTGGTTACTCGAAAGATGTCTTCTTGTTTATAAACTTCGTGAACAAAGTGGTGATCAAGGATTTAACTTTCGAGGAAGCGTTTCAACGGACAGGAAAAATATTAAACATTATTGTGCACCCTACTGATCGCAACAGGTGCCCGTCATTACTGAATTATGTTACTACGCCCAATGTGCTTATAGCTTCAGCCATAGATTGTAGTCTTGGTTCTGAAGTCGTTTCAAGTGGGACCAAGCTGCTGTGCAAGAATCTCAAAAATGAGATTGTTGACTACATCACAAACACTGGCGATTCTCGTTTGATGTTTTTAACTCCTCAAAATGCTACCGAAACTGGCTTAGTTGAGAGCCCGTATACAAGGCTGACCGAGTTATTCAATGTTAACAATTTTATCGTGTCATTGGCGCGTCCCTATCTGGCGCCCCTTGTGATGAATGACCTTAAGCATGAAATCAAAACGTCAAAATATTATTATTACAAACACTATCCCACTACAGATATGAGCAATTTTACTCCCTTACAGCTCTCCAACATGAACGAAGTTGAACCTCTTGGATTTAAATTTAGGTACCACTTGGAGCGGAAGTTGAAGCATATCATCACCATGGAGTTTCGTCATCGAGTCGAGGTCTTAGACAACCTGGGTATACTAAGTCATTGGATTAAGAAGTTAGCGATAGATGAGAAGACGCCTAGATCTGCCACTGAAATCACTATTGTACCTAATATGAAGAGTCTATCTTTCAGCAGAGTCATTGAAGGCCAGCTGGATAATATTCCGTATTGGATAAAATGTGGAGAACAAAGTTGCTGGCCAGTTTTAGCTCTGATAAAAACTCGCTGTGCGGTTGAGTTCGGTCTGGATGAAATTATCAAAGCCAGAAAAAACACATGAAAATGTAAGGATATATCCCTATTGCAAAACATACTTCATCGATAAAAAAGCTTGGTAGCGTCCTTTTGAGTGTGGAACAAATATTCATTTTCGGCCACGTTTATAGGAAGATGTGAGAGCGAAGCTCCGCCTCTGGAGATGGTAAGCGTGCCGGTAATATCTTTAGCCCGGCCTGTCATCAATGGTTTAATCCCAAAGACAACGATACTTTTGAAGAAACAGCCGTTCAGAAACCTAATCTGTTCAATCATGTCCGGGGAAAGCCTTTCCGTTGAATCAGCACCTGGGTTGTCGTAAGACTCTGTATAACTTACAATTACTACCACAGGTATAATTCTCGTCAAAGGGTTGATAAAGTCCAAGTGAAGCACATCGCTAGTAATGTTTAGTAAATGCATAAGTAATTCCGGTTGCTCCAGGATGAGTAAATCAGTAGCCGATTGCATAGTCAATTCTTGTATTAGCGACTTGAGAACTTTGCTGGCCGGCTTATCGTGGTTTTTTAACACAAAGTCGGTTAAATAGTCATGGACTTGGTATCTGTTTTGGTCAATTTTGAGCTTGCCAAGGGCCGAGTGGAAATAGTCACTGCTGTGTAACCATGATGCGATAATTGCTGCCTTCTTGTCACTGTTCGCAATAGGCAAGCGGCTGTGGGCTCTATTAGCGGCGCTAGAGCTCGATTCGTTCAGTGTCAGAGGAGCTCCAAAAACCTGTGTTTCCACTAAAGCATTTATTAGCCATGGGGGAGATGTCCCAAGCTTACTTGTTACAAAAAGAACGTGGTGCTCGCCCTGCTCGAACAACGCTTTGGAAAGTGTCGAGTGGTCATCAAAGACAGACAGTTCCTGCTTCTGAACCGTTGTCATGGACGTCTAACTGTGGTAATTGACTTCTCAATGATGCGGTTTCCTAATGGCAGAGGACTAGAAAGAATTTGAAGTTACCTCTTTCAACACCTTTGTCCCATGTTTTGCCTATGAATATATATGTCGGAAAATACTAACTAAGTAGGCGAGTAATTACCGTATATAATCATGAGAAGTTTAAGACACTTCTTTGATATGAGATGAACAGGCTCGTTGCGGGCTACATTTGAGTCCGTGACAATGACGCTCGCAAAGATTTAGGGAATTAGCCTTATCCATTGAAATTAATTTGTGCAAAACTTTCAAATATGGACGCCACTCTGACCAAGCTTTGAATCAATCGGAACCTCGCAGTTGTCAGCTTGGCTCGAAATGGTAGGATCTACAAATTGAGATCAAGATCCTACAACTTTGTATACGCCCCAGCAACTCGCTTATTTTAGGTTAAATACCACTACGATTGTGATTTGTATTCCTTTTTGATTGGAGACCAAATGCGTTTTGCGCTTCTACCCGGCACAGTATGCCCTGATACATACGTCTGCCATCGCGCGTTACCTAATGTTTGGAAAATGTCGTGGCAATGATGATTTCAACTTGTCGAAAAGATTTCCTATACAGATCACCGAGAAGTAACAAGCGTTCCAACTCGCAACAAATTTCATTGTTTGGAAGTGCTGTCGAGATTCGTTGAGAACCATGGAATAATGATGATCTTTCATTAAATCATGAAGTGAGTCGGTGTTATTTCAAGTATTATTGAGTATGTTCAATCCTTCGTGTATAGAGAGCCATGACAGCTGAAAATTCAACTTAATTAATTTAGCTCATCGCCAAAACTTTTCAAGCTCGACAAAACCTTCGAGTTTCAAAAAATACGCTAGTATATTGCCACGAATGCTTACCTTACCAGCCCTTACCAGCGACATTGGCGTTGCCGTCAACACCAATGTACAAAAGACCGCACCTGTGCGTCGTCCCGTGGAGCCAGTTGGCCGTAATTTCATGCACCATGCTCAGAGAACATTAAGAAACCACACCTGGTCTGAGTTTGAAAGAATTCAGGCCAGCAAAAACGTCCAGCGTGTAGAAGAGGCGGTCGATCCAGACGAGGCGTTATTTGATGACGAACTTGCGGATGAGTCGTTGCTGGAGCACGACCCAAGAGACTGGAAAACCGCCGATTTGTACGCAGCTATGGGTCTGTCCAAGCTACGCCACAGAGCTACTGATGCCCAAGTCATAAAGGCCCACAGAAAGATGGTTTTGAAACATCACCCTGACAAGAAATCTGCCTCCGGTGGATTGGAACAGGATGGCTTTTTCAAGATCATTCAAAAGGCATTTGAAACCTTAACCGACTCCAACAAGAGAGCTCAGTACGACTCGTGCGATTACAACGCCGACGTTGCTCCTCCTAAGAAGGGTGCAAAGTACGACTTCTTCGAAGCTTGGGGACCAGTTTTCGACTCTGAGGCTCGTTTCTCCAAGAAGCAGCCAGTACCAAGCTTGGGTGGTCCAGACGCCTCCCAAGCTGATGTCGAGAGGTTTTACAACTTCTGGCACAGATTTGACTCCTGGAGAACTTTCGAGTTTGACGACGAAGAGGTTCCTGATGATTCTTCCAACAGAGACCACAAGCGTTACATTGAAAGAAAGAACAAGGCCGCCAGAGACAAGAAGAAGACTGCTGACAATGCTCGTCTTGCCAAATTGGTCGAAAGAGTCGGCAGTGAAGATCCTCGTATCAAACAGTTCAAGGAAGCTGAGAAGAAGGAGAAAGAGAGAAAGAAATGGGAGAGAGAGGCAGGTTCCCGTGCCGAAGCCGAAGCTAAGGTCAAGGCTGAAGCTGAGGCTAAGGCTAAGGCCGAATCTGAAGCCTCTCTTGCTGCGAATGCAAAGGTCGATAAGAAAAAGGCCAAGGAAGCTGCCAAGGCCGCCAAAAAGAAAAATAAGAGAGCCGTTCGTGGTTCTGCTCAAGCTGCTGACTACTTTGGGGATGCCGACAAGGCCGCTACCATTGACGAGCAAGTTGGCTTGATTGTGGATACCGTAGACGATGAACAACTGGTTGAGCTTGCCGAAAAGATCAAGGGTGACGTCAAAGCTGCTTTGGCCGAATATGCTCAGAAACTGATCGATTCCAAGAAGTTGCCAGCTTCGCTCTTGTCCTATTTCGCCTAGGGAGGCTCTTATTGCCTATCGAGTATATAAACACTATTTTATAGAAAGCAATTGGACAAGACAATAGTCAAGGATTATAATGGTACCCTGGTTTATAACAGACCCCTTACAGCAGTTTACTGTTGATTAAAAAGTTTGTATGTATCAAAATTAAGCATATTGAGGCTGCTCATACTACTAAAATCCGTTATTTGACATGTCAAATTTGATGTTCGCTCTACGTTTTTGATTCGAATCTAGAACCCTCACAAATTTCTCACGTTTGTTGTCAACATTTGATGGTACTCGCTCGTTCTTCTCTGATCGTACTCACACATATACTTTTACCAAAAAAAGTCCAAGTGGCATCTTCGATGTGAATCACTAATTGCGAATTCCTCAAGTACTTTGACGTCAAGAAACGTTTGAGCATTGTTTTTAGGCGGATAAGGTAGCAGCTCGTCGTTGATACTAGGGAAGGAATCTGTTACAGACCAATTGAGCCATGTCTTTCAGGGGAAGTTCAAATTTCAGTGGCATACCAACTACCCATCAAGGGTACAAGCAAAGTGGCTCCGTGAGGTCCAGCGGTGCGGGATCGCAGTCGTTAAAGAAAACAGCTCTTGATGAGCTGGATAAGTTGTCGAACAAAGTGGACGACCTCACGGATCACCCTTTTGTGCAAAAATTAAAACCCTATACGCCAGCAATCTCTCGATTTTTCATCGTTGCAACATTCTACGAAGATACTTTCCGGATTATTTCGCAATGGAGTGACCAGGTGTTCTACTTGTGGAACTATAGACATCTGCCCTACTTCTTTGTGGTGCTCTTTTTGGTGACTGTCATATTGGCAATGACTGTGGGGGCGACCATGTTGGTGCTGCGCAAGAGACTCGTGATCGCCACAGGCACCTTATGTGCATGCATTATACTTCAAGGGCTCGTCTATGGACTTTATGGTGCCTCCTTCATCCTGAGAAACGTGAGTGTGATCGGCGGACTGTTGATTGCTTTTAGCGACTCGATCGTGCAGAGTAAGACTACTTTTGGTATGCTTCCGGAATTGAACAACAAAGACGGTAAAACCAAGGGCTATATTCTGCTTGCTGGTCGGCTCTTGCTCGTTGTGTTGTTTATGACATTCACTTTCAGTAAAAATTGGTTTACGGTCATTCTCACGATAATGGGTACCATTTGCATTTCTGTTGGATTCAAGACAAAGCTCGCATCTATTTTGCTCGGCTTAATTCTCACATTCTACAATGTCACTGTCAACAACTACTGGTTTTACAACAGCAGTAAGAGAGATCTGCTAAAATACGAGTATTTTCAGAACTTGAGCATTATCGGTGGTCTTCTGCTTGTGGTATCTACTGGCGCCGGTCAACTGTCAATAGATGAGAAAAAGAAGATTTATTAAGTAAAGATTTGGGAATCCGAACTCACGAATGTTACGTATTGGCGGACTCATCTCCTCTACCCAAAGCATATAAATTGTTAGTACAAATATCTGAAGAAAAATCAAATAGCGCAAGTAAGCCTGAAATTATGAAAATTCTAATGAAAAGCTAAGAAATAGGCCCTGAGTGAGGAGAGCAGGGGATTTTTCTTGAAGGTCTTCTGAACTCAAAGGTCAAAAAAACCTCCTAAATAATAAAATTTATTAAAATGAAGTTTGGCTTAGCAAAAATTAAATATGCAACAGTTTACGTAGAAGCTGAAGAATTTTGAGAAGAGTCCTTTGCCACTTGAGAAAGCCACTCAGGCTAGATATTCAACGTCAAGACCGATTACGTATATAGCGATTCTTAAATTACGATTGATTGAATAAGGGAAACCTTTGACAAACGTATCTATATTCCCTCGAATAAAGAAGAGAAACAACCCTTACCAACGATAACACAGTCTCTCACAAACTGCGCGAGATGGGTGGAATTCTGAAAAATCCGTTGCCAGACCAAAATGGACATGTCGAAGACTCCGAGTCAATTTCGGAGTTTAGAAAGCAAGTCTACAAGAACACTCAATTGAACGCTCAACTGAGCTCTAAGAATAACAACGAAAAGACCCAACAGCCTATTACGCCGAAGAAGCACTCCATTCCAAAAGACATTGTGAGTTTAAAGCACGAACAGGATATCCTCACACAGTCGGAGGAGCAAGAAAGGTTGAAATGGAATCAGCAAAATCTTGATGAGAACGATGTGGCTAAGCTACAGTATCAAGATATCAACATAGATGAACCTAAGACGCCGTACCAGGGTGCCGTAGATCCCTCGGGGGAGTACTATAGGGACGACGAAGAGGAAGAGGACCTAGAAAGCTTATCTTTAGGTGAACCGGTTGTGGGGCTGAAAAATACCAACGAAACGCAAGAATCTAGAGAAGATGAACCTTCTCAAGAAGATGAGGTAGAGCCAGAGTCCCCAGAGGCTCGCCACAAGCGTTTCGAGAAGCTTCGGAAGCAGCACTACAATGTCAAAGAAGCCCTCAACGCTCAAAAAAGTGGCTCACATGCCGATGACGATGATGAAGAGTGAATTAGCTGCTCCTAGGCAGCCTTAGCCGACACACACGACGGGCCAAAGAGCTCAAATCACCGTGAATATCTGTCTACTTTTAACGCTTTTATACGAAAAATGTACAATTGAAGAATTTTTTGGAAGAAATCGAGCAGTGAGCGAGCGATGAGCATACTTAGCGTCAACATATCTGAATAACGCTCGAGTCACTTTTGGAAGCTAAGGATGGTATCGAAACGCGATGAGAAGGGACCGGCCAAGGGTGAACCGACCAGGAAGAAAAGCAAGACCAGTAAGCCTTCAACTACACAAGCTGTCAAAGATGTGAAAAGTACTAAGAAAGCTGAAGTTAAGCATTTCAAAAAACCCAAAAAAACAGTGAAAATACTCTCCAAGAATATCAATTACTCTTTATGTATTCCAGTGAGCATACTGGACAGCTGCAAAAACTTGGAGCAGATCACGCATGTTGTGTATCAAGTAGCCAAGAGTGCGATTTTTTTCAACGCTGGTGAAATTGTGATCCTTGATTTAGGACGCAAAACTAAGCAAATCTCTAGTGACAGTCGTGACCACAAATTGTCTCCTACGCTTCTGATAGCTTCACTTTTGCAATTTTTCGTTACACCTCCATACTTGGTAAAATCGGTCTTCAAGAAAGAGTACCAAGAATGCCTACAAATTGCTTCTAAGCTGCCGCGTATTTCTGCGTTGCCCTTCATGAGATATTTGAACGACGATAAAGGTCGTTTTCGTGAAGGTTTGGCTGTCACAATGGATAAACCAGGACAAACCAATACCAAAGCTAAGGGTAAGAAAAAGGCATACGATCAAACAAAGTATATCAATGTAGGCAAGAGCGATATGATCGAGCTGCGAGGCCAACTTGTGCCAGCAAATGTTCGTGTGACCGTTGATGTTGAGGAGCGCAAAGTGGTTTCTCCAACAGAAGCCTATGGCGACTACGTGGGGGCACAATCATCTTTCGGTTACCACGTTCGTGTTGCTAAAAACTTCGGCGACATCTTCACGCAAAGCGCCCTACCAGAAGGATATACTCAGTCCGTGTGGGTAAACAGTGGTGACTATTATCACAATGCCGAGCTTGCAAAGAATGTCAAATTGGCTTCCAAGATACCGCGAATCGAAAAGATATTGAAGCCAACGGCGGAAGAAATTGAGAGCGGAGACGCTGAAAAGCCAGCCAACTTAATGGTAGTTTTCGGCAAGTGGGACCACTTGTCCCAAAGTTTCAAGCAGTGTGGTGATATGTTCGAGAATTGTGAAGGTGCACACCAGTTTTTTGATGGCCAACTGCAGCTACCAGGCGCGGTTCCAGAGGCCAACATTGGAATCCAAGATAGCTGCATGATTGCGTTGACAATGCTTGCAACTTTGTAGCGTAGAGAAGAGCGCCCTCTGTTACGTAAGTACTATAACTGCATAGAGGACAACGAATAAGGCGAGTCGATATGGAAACTTGAACCTCCAAAATCGTGCCTTCATTGAAATTTAGCTAACACTTTGGCTCGCAGAACTTGAAGGGAATGCGAGCACAAGAGCATCATTTGTTCAAAAACCAACCGGACTTGATCCAGAAATAAAAAAAATCCTGAACAACGTACGCAAACGGATCAAGATACTAAACTTGCGTTTTGACCAATTTTCCCATTGTGCTGCTATATAGGGAAGTTGACGAGATACTCTCACTTCTTATGATATCTGCATTCTCCGTGTGCTTCCGGAACACCAAAATTCTCGGTTCAACGCTCCACACCCAGTGTACTAGACGAGATACCATTTTATTCATTTTCTATGCTTCTGATTCTCATTTCACTTGTTATTTACTCAAATGCTTCGTGAGTTGAGTGGAGGAGAGCCTAGAGGTCCAACCAAAGGACACTCGTTTGGCGTGTAAGGCGAGTATCCAAAGTACCAATCTTGGAAATGCATAAGTTGGAAACAAACGGGAAACAAAGTAGAGATCATCGTAAAAATATTAGAAGCGTTAGAGACCAACTATTTGAAGAAACTCGGCACTGTAATCAGAAAGGGGATGAAGGTGTTTTATGTCGTCTAAGAGACTACGCTCTTCCCCGATCGGAGAACATTATAAAAAAATGTAAGAATTTTGCACCCTTGTGCTCCACTGTTTACAATAACAACAGCTAACACCAAATTATCCTGCTAGCTAGGTCGCGCTAGTAGTGCCTATCGTGTAGGTATAGTGATAGGCTTGTTTTCCTTGGCGACATCAAAACAAAGCATCATCTTCAGCAATTCAATATCACTATATACTCATCTGGACTTCTGTATCACTACTCACGTATGAATTTAAAAATTTTCTCGAGGAAAGATTATTTTTAGCTTCAAAACAAGATACTTGGTTTACATGTAGCCTCTAATGTTGAAGAAGTGAAGCATTAAGCAAGAGAAACAGAGACTTGGGTATTAGCAATCAAAAACTAACATTCCGATCTCCGATTCAAAAGCTATTCCACACATCTGTAAAGCATACAACATGAAACTCACTACAATCGCTTCCATGGCAGCAGCTGCCTCTTGTGTCTCCGGTATGGGAGATCTGGGATTCAACCTTGGTGTGAAGAACAATGATGGTACCTGCAAGAGCACACAGGACTACGAAAATGACCTCAACATCTTGAAGGGTTACACCTCGACTGTGAAAGTGTATGCTGCTTCTGACTGTAACACACTTCAGAATCTCGGCCCAGCTGTCGAAGAGGCTGGATTCGGTCTTTTCGTCGGTGTGTGGCCCAACGATGACGCTCACTTTGAAGCTGAAAAGGAGGCGCTGCAATCGTACCTACCTTGGATCAAATCTTCCACTGTTCGCGGTATTTTGGTGGGTTCCGAAGCCCTTTACCGTAACGATCTAACTGCGTCTGAGCTTTCTGATAAGATCAACAATGTGCGCGATCTCATTGCTGACATCAAGGATTCGCAAGGCCAATCTTACTCCGGCAAAGCCGTTGGTACTGTGGACTCTTGGAACGTTTTAGTTGATGGCGCCAATGCGGAGGTTATCAAATCCTCGGATATGATCATGGCCAACGCCTTCTCCTACTGGCAAGGTCAGACTATGCAGAACGCTTCTTACTCGTTCTTCGATGATATCATGCAAGCCATGCAAACCATTCAAACTGCCAAGGGTTCTGACATTCCTTTCTGGGTTGGCGAGACTGGCTGGCCTACCGACGGTACTAACTATGAGTCTTCTTACCCAAGTGTTGACAACGCCAAGCAATTCTGGCAAGAGGGTATTTGCGCTATGAGAGCTTGGGGTGTTAATGTCGTAGCTTTCGAAGCTTTTGACGAGGACTGGAAGCCAAACACCTCTGGCACGTCAGATGTTGAAAAGCACTGGGGTGTCTGGACATCCGAAGACAGCTTAAAGTACTCTTTGGACTGCAGCTTCTCCAGCTAAATGCCAGAAATAAAGTGCATCGCAATGCGCGGGCATTTGAATAAAATTTGATACCCTCATGACAAAACAGATAACTGAATCAGCCTCCGAAGTCTTTTGTTAACCATCAGCAACTCAACAACATATAGTTATATACGCTGAGTAGAAATCTCAAGCAACAGCTGAAAACTTTGACAATACGTAAACAGTAGGCAGATCCGCGTGTTCCTACTTTGAGCGTAACTTCTTCGAAAGGTCCACTTGCTTATTATGATGAGAAATCTTCTGGAGATTCATATAAACGGCCATATCAAACTCGCAAGGTATTAGTTATTAGTTCGAATACTTAAAACCATTTACAGGCTAGCAGACAGTGATGTAGTTGTACGAGACCTCAACAGTTTCTAAAAGCCTCATTTCTTCAAATTTGATTTTTGAGCCTGGCGTGCTTGCCTCAATGCTTTTCGCCACTATGAAAGCGTTTACGTCGCTGCCCTTCTTGGCTTTCGGAATTAGAAAGCTTCCCGGCTAGATGGTTTATCGCACCAGGCTCAATCTAGGTACAGTAATAAAGATGTGCAATGATCGGCGCCTCTATCACTTACCGGTGTCCCCAAACCATGGCCCATATCGGCTCCTTGAGCGAAATAGCCGATATTGGCTTATTCATCCGGTAGTAAATCCTTGTCATTCTATACCAACATGTCATTGTCAAAAGCTGACATGTCTATTATCCAGACATGCCTAACTGTTGGGAGGATAGTGCCCAATTGCAATTGCATAGTGACAGAATAGTTCGAAATGATATGAACATAACAAGAGCGGTCAATGATATTTGGTGCGGGGCCCCAACAAATTTTGCAAGTGAATGAAAACTTTCCGATAGCTCACCAACAAACAAAGGGGATGAATTGGCTGACACAGTTAAACCTACTCATTTGCTAGTCTCTTTTCTTATTCGCACCTCAAGCTTTTAGAAATATTAATGATTTGATTTGAGAACTAGACATTATCTCGTAGTCGAAAAAGCCAACCAAAAATTCATCCTGGGACTTTATTAGTTAGATCTACTAAAGATGAGCTCAAAAAAGGATATTTATAAGGTTTCTATCAGTAGGCCAGACTCTTCTCGATAGGCTTCATCAACGAAACTCTGATCATAATTCATAGTTTATAGTGGAAAGGTGTATCGAGCATGAGAACTAAATTAATAGTCGTGTCTTCGATTGCCTATCCTTGTCAGGGAAATAATATGTTATTGATATTCAAAAACGCTTCAAGGTAGAATATATCAAGCGTATGTCAATGCAGAGATGAATTTCGTGGATGCTAGAACTAAAAAAAGATTAGACTTCCAAAGTGTTTCAGAGTCCTCACTTTCATTTTTTTGGCCGCCATTCTCAGAGCGATGTGTGAGAGTTAAAGAGTTATCTTTACGGTAGAATAAATCAATCCTGTAGAACGTAAAGCAAAGCTGCGTTAACGAATAACCCATAAGCCCTTCGCTTGAGGCTTACTATTGGTTATATGTACTCTAATCATTCCAGTATAGTGTTTGATATTTGTCAGGGCAAATTTATTTGTGGACGCGAATTATCCTTCAGAGTCGCTTAGCTGGAAAATTCAAGACGAAGACTCTATATTATGTCGTTAGTCAAAGTAAAGGCCATATACGCTGATTTTTCAAGTTCCATTTTACAGGGACATTAAGGACCCCAGTGCGAAAAGGGTCAGTAGACAAACCATATCCCTGTAAATGCTACAAGGATACTAAGCGCCTATATGGAGACGAGACATGTGTCATTGGGTCTTAGCGCCCCGATCTCATTTAAAAATACACAAGTATAGTTCAGTTCGCTCCCGTTTGTCTGTCTGGATACAATCTAAACTGCCTTCGGTGCACTTGAAAACATAAAGAGAAAGTAGTATACTGGCTGAGTTTTGATCGTGTTGTATCTCTCCTTAAAGAAAGCTTGTCAATAGATCATACTCTATCTGTACTTCCACCTGCAGGGACAGCGTTATTTCGACTGAGAGAACTGGCGTAATTCTATGATTATTCAACGATATATATAAACTAGTCCTTGTCTAGCTATGGTGACAGATCCGAGTCGAAAACTTAGTTTACTATCTCATCTTTGAGTACATTCAACACGAGTACTTTAATGTTGAAGTATCACCAAGGACGAACATTTCCCTTTCATAGTGAAAATTTTTCAATATTTGGTGCTTCTCACTACTACGACGAGATATTGAAAAAAAATCCTCTATCCCATCGCATTCATAACTAGATCTGAGTTTTGAAGGTTTTTAGCTTGGAAAGGGCATATACCAGTGGAGAGAGACACGTTTGATTCGATACCTAATAGTCGACATTCGGAATTGAATAGCAAATCCCCTACTGCTAATAACTCGCAACAACATGTCCAGATTCTTCGCCAATTCGTATGAATCCGAGAGCGGGAGTTCGTCTTCTGAAGAAGATCTACTTTCGGCATCAGAAGAGGAGCTATTGAGCTCTTCTTCCGAAGATGAGGGGCTCCAGGAGTCGCAGGACGAGATGTCTGGCGACTCATTTTTCGACGAGTCGGAAGTAGAGTCTGACGTTGATTCGGACGACTCGGACGGTAAGCCATATGGTCCAGACTGGTTCAAAAAACCAGAGTTCAGAAAGAGCGGTGCCACCGGCGCTTCGCGGTTCTTGAAAAATGCAGACTACTCGGAATCCGAGTCTGACGATGAGGGCAGAAAAGTGGTCAAGTCCGCCAAGGACAAGCTGCTGGACGAAATGCGTAATGTCCACGACAAGATTGATGTGGCTGATATGACCCAAGACTTTGTGACAATCTTGAGCGAACTCGACACCATGACGAGACTCGTTACTAAGGCTCAGCAACAGAACTACGGTATTCCTAACGTGTTCATCCAAGTGTTGGCCCAGGTAGAAGACGCCGTTGCAAACACCTCACAACAAGACATCTCTAACAAGGCCGCCGCCAGAGCTTACAACACCACTAAGCAACGTGTGCGTAAGATTGCCCGCGACTACGAACACATTTTAGTTCAATATCGTGAAAACCCAGAGGCCTTCAGCGTCAATGCGGATGGTGACTCTACCCACGACAACTTTGCCGTATCATCATTTGCCTTAACCGGCAAGAAAGAAGTTGATCTTTCATCAGTGGCTACTGCGACTTCTGAATCTGACTTCTTCTCCGCTCTTCGCATTGTCATCGACTCCAGAGGTAAAAAAGGTACCGACCACCAAGCACAGATTAAGACTTTGGAAGAACTCTTGGACATTGCCAAGAGTCCTTACGAAACTATTCTTGCATACTCGAACTTGATCCCTATTAGGTTCGATTCTTCGGCAACTCTTTCCTACCAACCTATAGAGCAATGGAAGGCCTCTCAACAAGATATCGCTAAGCTCTACGATACCTTGGAGGCTCATGTAGATCAGTACCACGTTTCTGAATTCGGCGCTCCTAATGACTTCATAGAAGAAGAACCTCAACCCAACGAGAACGGTATCAAAGAGATTTTGGGTTCCGCTTACTCGTTTGTGGAAAGACTAGACGAAGAGTTCAACAAGTCTTTGCTAAATACAGACCCTCATTCCAGTGATTTCTTGGACCGTTTGAAAGACGAACAAAGTGTTTACAATCTGATCTTGAGATCACAACTTTACTTGGAAGCCACCACACCAGCTGAATCTGACGTCTCGAAGAGATTGGCTCGTGTCCTAACTAGAAGACTTGATCACATCTATTACAAGTCTACCAAGCTAGTGGTGGGTACAGAACAGAAGGCTTGGAAAAACATGCACCAAGACGCCAAGTCTCAAGCTACACCTTTGGAAGGTGAAGTCGACGAAGCTTACGTTTTCAAGCTCATCGACACTTTGCATCAAATGTTATCCACTCAAAAGGACGGTGCCCTACGTAGAAGAGCTGCATTGTATCAAATTTACTTCTATGCGTTGAACAATGAGTTCCAAAAGGCTAAAGACATGTTGCTTTCTTCGCATGTTCAATCTTCCATCAACTACGCTGACCCACCTTTGCAGATTTTGTTTAACAGAGCTGTCGTGCAGTTGGGTCTTGCTGCATTCAAACTATGTCTAATTGATGACTGTCATCAAATTTTGAACGAAGTGTCTACCAGTACCCACTTGAGGGATATTTTAGGTCAACAAAGTCTGCAAAGGCTCGCCAATAACAACCCCACCACCAGTGGAGGAACTCCTAACGAGCAACTATGCTTGCCGTTCCATCAGCACATCAACCTTGATTTGATTGACGTTGTCTTCATGACATGCTCGCTTTTGATCGAAGTGCCTCACATGGCTGCCTTCTTCTCTGGTATTAAGGTCAAGAGAATTCCATACTCGCAAAAATCCATTCGTCGTGCACTTGAGCATTATGACAAGTCCAGTTTCCAAGGTCCACCTGAGACCTTGAGAGACCGCGTACTATACGCCGCCAAGGCTATGCAAAGAGGTGACTGGGATCAGTCGGTTGAATACCTAAGATCGGTTCCAACCTGGTCTTTGTTGCCCAACACCGAAGAGATGCTAACGAATCTGGCAGAAAGAGTTCAGGTAGAATCTTTGAGAACTTACATCTTCACATACAAGAGATTTTACTCCAAATTATCTATCCAAAGACTTTGTGAGCTATTCGGATTGGCGCCAGAATCCGTGGTGGAGATTGTGCAATCTATAATCTCCCAATATGACATGCGTGCCTCTTTGGACGAAGGTTCAAAGAATGTTGTATTTGAAAAGGGCTACGAAATTACCAAGTTGGAGGAAGTGGCCGTTAAATTGGCGAAAGAAACCAAATACGTGAGCGAACGTCTCAATGAGAAGAAATATGTTGGATCCACCCGTAGACAGGAGTAAGAAGATAATTGACAATCTTGTACATTATATATCTGAGGAGTACGAAAAGCCTTGATATCAAATAGTCACTAATCGCCACATATAATTAGTATTTTTCGGAGGTTCAAAAACCGTGCCGCTTATAGGGACCTATATCACTCTTTTAGGAGTGTGATAGAGGGATGATGAGAACGGTTACTTCAAAAACGAGAAGGATGACCTTCATGACAGTATGGTACGAATTTGAATGATTTAAACGGTAATAATTAGACAAATATACAATCGAGAGCTGGCTTTAAAACCTCCACATTTGAAAGTACTATTGTTACGGTAATTTTTACTTTGCTATTCGTGTAGTGAGTGATATTGTTTGAGATGTATTTTTATGGAAATATTAAGGCCGAACGAAGGGGATTCACTATGCTCATTAATAAAATCGCTGTTTCTCATGATATCAAGATATTTACGGTGTAACTGTACCTCAGTCGGACGAGGTCCAGATTCACAAGTCGAATTGATTCATCGTAGCTCAATGGGTAGGTGGAAATACTCTATATTTCATTAGCAATAATAGTATACTTACTTGATTAAAGTTGATTATATGATTAGCAGGGTGGTTGGGAGGTATTCAAATTCCGAACGGTACGCTCCTTCTTTATGGGGCAGTATTTATATTTTGGGTATACTTCGTGATGATGCTGCTTTTCGGTATGAGAAAATTCAACAAAATGTTGTTTGAATTCCTGAGGCTCGGTGTTCCACATCAAAGTAATGACTTGAGCCACATCTGTTTGATTTGCAAACTTGGGGTCCACGGGTTTCAGACCAGCATTTGCGGCGAAATCGTTTGAATCGGTGTAGTCGTCTTCGCCGGCGGGTTCATACATGGTGGTTTGAATTGCATGCGCAACGAAATCGAGATCGATGAGAACGGGCAAATCTAGTGGAAGCTCGGATTCTTCGATGACACAGCGGATCACTGAAAGCAGCTGTGTTTCTGTGAGTTGCGGATACCGTTGGGCGACAAATTGGCAGGTTTCGGTAACAACGTTGCATACTTTGAGAATAGCGACCGCTTTCATTAGGGCGGAGCGATAAAGCATAAAACTGTTGAGCGGGCGCTTCATCTTGCCCTCGATGAACTCGTAGTACTTGTTCTTGCGTCTGCGATCGTCACTTTCGCGAAGCAGCGACATGTGGCGGAGCTGCAAGAGATCGCAGTCCCAGTTGGAGAGCGTGGAAATCTCGGTAGAAGCCGCGGTGTAGTCATTGTAGCCGCTACTAGTGCGTACCTCGACGGCCAAAAGACTCGGTGGTGAACCTATGGAGGTGGCCTCGCTGGTGCTGGCGCTGGTGCTGGCGCTGGCGTTGGCGTCACAGTCGTGCACAGTGAGGCGCGGAAACTGTTTGGCCTGGCGAGCCGCGTTTCTGGGAATTCGCTGGTTGAGCCAAAGCGTATGGTTTGCGGCGTCGAGATCGCGATGAGCAAGGGCTTCGAGTTCGGAAGTCGTGGTGGAGGTGGAATGGGCGCGACGACGACGTTCCAAAGCCAAGAGCTGGATCTTCTCGCGCACGTGACTCTGCTCGAACAGCCGCAGAACATGGGATACGATCTGCTCGCAAGCGCTGGAAGCCTTTGGATGGGAGCGTTTCTCGGCAAGACGTTGTGCGATGAGGGCGTGGCGCTCGGGCGTTATGCGGGCGATTCGGAGCCAGCCGCGTTTGTTCTCGAGGGAGTTTTTGGGCTGGCCGTACTGCATGGCCATTTGGGCGTGGGCAACGTATTTGTAGAGAGGAGCTGAAGGAGCGTTGGCGGCGCGGGAGACGCTGGAGGCGCTGGCACTCCAGGAGTGGGAGCGGCCGGTCACGTGGCGCGAGGATTTGGCGGCGGCGGCGGCGGCGGCGAGTGAGCGGCGGGCTTTGGAGCCGTGGCCGTGGCCGTGGCCGTGGCCAGGGGAGTCGGCGGGCGAAGACGAGCCGGCGCTGGACAGCGGGAACGCGGTCTCGAACGTCGTGGGCGACGCCTCGGACGAGGCGGACGAGGGCACGTGACTGGACGACATCACGTGCGCGAGCTCGGTGGTGCGGGTAACGCTGTTGTTGCTGTTGTCGTTGCTGTCGTCATTCTCGTCGTCGTCCGCGACGACGCGGTCGCCGCCTCCGCCGCTTCCGCCGCTTCCGTCGTAGTCCGACAATCCCAGCGACAGCGCGTCCCGCGCGGGGTTGCAACTGCCCAGCAGAAAGTTTCGTTCCAGCAGCAGCTCCTGCGCCTGCTGCGTGTCGCAACCGTGCGGGCTGGGCTGCCAGTCCCAGGCCAGCCAGGCGGGAGCGGTCCCGTCACCGGGCGAGGCGCCATTGGCCACGCCGAAGTCGGCCACGAGCGGGTCCCACGTGGGCTCGAACGCCCAGGGATCGTGCTCGAACTTTACAGGCATCTGATATGGTATGGTATGGTATGGTATGGTGTGTGTGTGCTTCACAGTCGTTTGGTGTCTTTGTGTCACGTTCGTACTCGATGCCACAAAACAAACTAAAACCGCTGTGCTATGCGTGCATCTCCCCCCCCATGGCTTTGACATCTTTTACCCCAACGTCATATAATATATACCAAAGCACAGCGGGTCGCCAAAGTATCGCCATTTCGTATCCGCTGGCTCTCTGCGGCAGCTGCCTTACTGGCTTACCCCGCGTGTCCGGAAACCCACAACGATGGCGCACTTGGGTTCGCGCCTGGGGCCTCACTGGGAAAGGCGCACATGCACATGCACCCGGCTAGCCAAGAGATCGTCGCAACGCGGAGGTACATGTCCGTTCCAGGGGATCAACCGCAATATGCGACAAGCTGGAGTGGGCGGGTGAGTGTTGGATTTATTTTGGGTTTGACACAGTGCTCGGCATTTTGCCGCGGCAGCCCAAACGGGAAGTGTCCGGAGAAAAATGGAAGGAGGAATGTGAAGCACGCGAGAATTTGCACGGCAAGCGAGGGGATCGTCGTAGTGGGACGCGGTCGCTGAGACTTGGTTGGGAACCACTTTTGCTGATTCTTGAGAATCCCCATTATGGACCGTGCGTTTACCGACGTTGTGGAGCCATCCATGACATTATTGCTGGAACGTGCGGTGGCCGAGTACTCGCTTTTGCGTGTACTCGCCGCCGTTCGTAATAACCGATATCGCACGGTCACTCGCCCACAGTAATACTTAGTTATTGCTCTCGCAGTTGGTGTTTACAAGGCGCGCTTCGACACTCGCGCTACACAAATCCAGCCCCGGCGTTAGCAGCACCGGCGAATCTTCGGATTGGCCAGATACAGGGCCGCAAGTCTAGATTCTTCATAGGGGTGTGGGCAATGTGTCCAAGATAAGGGGGGGGGAGGGATCCCTCTGCGTATGCGCTTGGAACGTTTCTTGGCCCAATTTTTTGTTTGTGTAAATCCCAAGACATTTTGTCACATATACGTGACAGAGGGCACGGGGTGTTTTCTTTTGGGCATCTTGCGCTGGCCCAGTGGTGGAAATTCACGCTGGGAGCAGCAGCATTGCTAGTTTGCTCTCTTCCGAGAGGGACTCTCGTTTTGGGACATGTCCGTGATGGCCTGGAGCGCCTGGCTACTTGCTCTTTACACTACCACCGCTGCTCTCATTCTCGACCACTCTCGTTCTCGACCGCTGATGCTGCTCTCTTTCTACACTCTCGTTCTCGACCGCTGCAGCAGCTCTCTTTCTACACTCTCATTCTCGATCACTCTTACTCCCTCTTAAAACCATCGTTCTCGATCACTCGCAATCGCTCTTTACACTACCGCTGCCACTCGCTCTTTACACTACCGCTGCCCCTCGCTCTTTATAAACTCTGCGATGCCTGGCTTTTCCACAGCTTCCGGTAGCCGGAGTTGAAACTCAACGGCATGTTTTCCCGGCTTCAAGGGGCGCTTGCCTTGTGTAAATCGCCCTTCTGGATATATGCAGAGCGCAAAGGCATAGTGAATTGTCCTCGTCGCCCACATCGGATGCTCTGCCACAACTTCCATCAGAAAAACTGTATTTTCCATGCAGGAATCGGTTCCTTGGAAAGGTAGTGCACAAGAGAACAAGAGGACTTGCAGCGTAAGGAATCATTTTGCGAGGATGATCTTGACTCATCGCGTTTCGGCCCAATCGCACTCGACTCAATGCGCTACTTAATATCCAGACGCTAGAGCGCTTTGGCCCAATCGCACTCGACTTAATGCGCTACTTAATATCCAGACGCTAGAGCGCTTCGGCCCACCCATGTGTTGTCATTTTCTTTTCAACGCTGTCGTCGTTCTCCACATGATGTCCCTTACTGTCCCCATTCCCACTCTTGTAATAAAGACATTGACACGAATTTAACTCAGCAAAGCTCACCAATACCTTCTTTAGTTTTCCGAATAATAAGGGTTTTGAATACTCCTCTCTGGCTTCCGCAAGGTCTCGTTCCCACAACCGATGGCATATGTGGGCACACCTGCGAAATGCTGGGAATTTGCCAGGAGCACCGTGCGATTGCTAGATAGCGTCATGCATGATGAAGAACCACGACAGAGATCGATCTGGAACACTTCTCGTAACCAAGATCCGTCGTGCAACACCCATTGTCCATGTCGACATCTTATATCCTCACATCTAGAAAGACCACGGAGAGATAGGTAGCATTCCAGATTCTAATACGAATTACGACTCAAAATGACCAGTTCAGCAAGCTAATTACTACTGACGCACATATACAGGCAATACATTCCATTTTACCAATGATAGGCAATGTGCAATGTTTACACCACTCAAACCGCTCTGGTAGCTGAAGTAAGGCCCGGAACTACCAGACATCACTTCGCGCTCTTGTCACATTCCAATCACTTTGTACCATTGTGTCATACCACTATCACCACTAACATCGCACACATCTACCGTGCGGTCAGTTCTGAAAAACATGGAGAGACTCAGCACACACTTTCAAAAGCTTCAACTCTGAAGCGTGGTTGCCCCTTTGCATGCATCAATGTGTCAGAATCAATCTCATTTCTGTATAGTACATAGTTACGTTGAGTTATGCATGCGGCTCAAAACCAATCCTGTCCTGTTAGAAAATGCGTAATTCAACATCTATCGTGTCGGGAGAAAGGCACTCCGTGCGTTAAATAACTGTACAAGTACCGATTAGCTATTTTCACCATATAGCGAGAGATCTCAGTCATTAAAGCCTTTGAAATATATCCAGCTTAAACCTAATTTCCATTACTGCTTGCCAATTCTACCACGCAAGCTCAAGTATCGGTCTCAATATTTCGGAAACAATACCGCTGTGCTTTGTAGCAATCGTATAGTGACTCTAGTTATCTTTATTACGTATATTCGGCAAAAAATGCCCTCTCTATAACAAATTATGATTCTTTTTCAACACAACACACACGATGACACCTTAACCTTTCGTTTGTGAAAAGTTGCGGGCGCCGTCGCAATTCGGCCTGGTCCAATTAAAGTACCTCATCTTTTCTCGACATTTAAGATTTGCACTCGCTATATTCCAAACAGTCAATGTTCAAATGTTTTTCAGAAATGGAAGGAATTCCCCCTAAGTGCAAATCCATAGTCAACTCTCCTAGCAGTGAGCGAAGGACGTGACTTACACCATCTTGTCCACCCAAGACCAAACCGTACACATATGGTCTGCCAATTAAAACCATTTTGGCCCCCAATGCCAATGCTTTAGCAATATCACTACCACATCTAACACCAGAATCGAAAAGAAGGTCAATTTTAGATCCGACAGCCTTGGAAATTCTCTCCAAACAATCAATAGAAGCGGGACCACCGTCTTGCTGTCTACCACCGTGGTTCGAGACGACAATACCGTCCATTCCATGCTCGACTGCCATTTTGGCATCTTGAACGCTTTGAATACCTTTCAACACAATAGGGCCGTCCCAATGTTTGCGTAAAAAGGCAAGATCTTCCCAACCGTGGCTGAAATCGGGGAATATGCGCGTAATCCATTCTTTAGCAGCATTCTGCAAATCTTCTTCGATTTCTTTCCCGTGTTTTTCCTTGAATTGTCTACGGAAGACGGGATCGCTATACCCCAAGGCCGCTCCTATGGAGTCAGGGCGCAAAAATGGATTGTAAGCATTGTCCAGGTCGCTAGGGCGCCATCCCAACTTGTAAGTATCTAGTGTAACGAATAGAGTACTGAAGCCATTGGCTTTAGCACGCTTCAAAATGCTTGCGGTTAGATCATTGTGCTCATTCCCTGGCCAGTAAAGCTGAAACCAACGAGTTCCATTACCGTTTGCCTTAGCAACGTCCTCCAGTGTTGACGCTGATGCAGAGCTGAAAATGTACGGAACATTTTCGCTAGCAGCAGCGGCAGCGCTGGCAATTTCACCGTCAGGGTTGAAGATCCGTTGGACACCAACAGGGGCGATGGCAATAGGCACTGGCAACGTTTGGCCAAGTAAATGGGTTTCCAAAGATGGAAAAGTTGTGGTTTTAACCAAACGACGGGGAACAATCGACCACTTTTGGAAGGCGGCTCTGTTTTTCCTATCGGTTTCGCCAGTACTGGCGTTTCCGCAGACGTAACCCAAGGAATTTTTTGACATGCGGTCCCTAGCGAGGCCCTCCCACTCAGTACTATGAAAAGTGAACGGTGGCTTTTCATATTCCAAGCCCTTACCATAAACATTGGCCATGTATTGTAGTGCGTCACCAGCAGAAGATTCGATGTAATTCATGGTGAAAATTAAAATGTGTATATGTTGTGGTGAGGAAACTTAGGCAAGTTAATGACAATCGTTTTACGATTCTCAGCTTATACTTATCAAACCTGCTCGATTTGAAGTCTTGTCTCTTTTATAATAAAAAATCTATAGAATCTCGAAAGCATTCGCTGTTAGTCCGATCACATTTGCTTGAAGTTTACAACGTCATTCTGGCACCTCCGAAAGCTTGGCAAAAAGCAGATGCAAAACATTTGGTAAGAACGCATCTCGGAGATAATAGACGTAGAACGTGCAGCTTGGCAGCCAATCTATAAGGTTGTTTTTTGCTTCGTTGAAATTGTTGCTGAAGAATGTACTTATTTTTACACTTACTTTAAAGTTGAGAGCGAAAGTCTTGCACGTAGTTCTGAGTAAGTAGCGAACAAAGAACAGGCCTGCATGTAGTAGTAGAGTCAGTGGGTGACAGTGCTGAATTTAAGAGGACTGTAGTTGCCATGGAAGACAACGCGATGAATCAAGCATCACAATCAGTGAAAGTCTACTACTATATCAGATAAGTAAGAAAAAACGACTTGAGACTCGAATGAAAAACAGAAACACGGGATTAAAAGGATTGTAAAGAGTTATGCGATACCTCGTTCATGCGCTAGGGAAATTCGACCGCAAAGTGGTTGCTCTCTGTGTAGTTACATTTAGTGTCTGCCAAGACTAAAAGCGTCAATCGCTGCGTTCCTTACATAATAAAGAGCGGCTACCATTTCCCGCACATATGATGGCTTGGCATTTACGCCAATCTATTTGAACCACTAGAGACACTGAACCGTCCGTTCGTAAATCCGTTGTTTAAATAAATAGATTTTTTTATTGATTATTTGGTATACTGAGGGTGAATATGCTATTTACAGTATTATTATGATTACTCACCTTATTTTGAATTTTTTTTTGGGTCTTTTAAGGTTTTTTTTCCATGATGCGCCAAGACGCTATGCTTTGGCGCAAAAAGCGTCCGATGAACATTTCAAATATGACCATTTGATGCCTTTATGTCGTCTCTGGTTATTCCAGATCGGCTGCACATTTCCGTGAATATGCCCTGTTTGTCAAATAGTGAGACAGGGGTATCGAACTCCGCTACCTCGCCTTGTTCGAGTACAAGGATTCTATCATAGTCCAATATAGTGTTCAAACGATGGGCAATGCACAGGATCGTACAGTTTGAAAAAGCTTCGGCAATACGCAATTGAATCTTTGCATCTGTTTCGTAATCAACAGATGAGGTTGCTTCATCAAGGATTAAAATCTTCGACTGTCTTACAAGTGCTCTTGCCAAAGCCAACAACTGACGCTCACCCAGGGAGTAGTTTGTACCGTCTTCCTCAACTTCTTGCTTCAAGTGAAATTTGTGCATGCTGCTCAAAGAACCCATATTATCATGAGTCTGAAGGCTTACTTTAGAAGCTTCTTCGGCCTCAATGGCACCACATTTTATCAAAGCGTCCCACAAATCCTCATCACTACGTTCGTGGAACGGATCCAAGTTTTTGCGCACATCACCCTTGAAAAGCATTGGATCTTGCGGTATAATTGACAGTTTTGATCTGAGTTCGTACAAGCCCAAAGTTGAAATATCTATCCCATCAATCCAAATGCGTCCTGTTTGCAATTCGCAAATTCTGTACAGCGCACTCATGATTGTTGATTTACCAGCACCAGTACGTCCACAAACACCGATCTTTTCGTTACCGCGAATCTGAAAGTTGACATTCTTCAGAACAACAGGCAGACCAGGTCTATATGCCAAGCTTGCGTCTTCGAACTCTACAGCACCTTCGGTTGGCCATTCGGCAGGTGGTGCCTTTTCTGGCTTACGGTAGTCTGCCTCTACAGGTAGTCCGGTTGCATAAGCTATCACTCTCTCGGCACTATTCATATCATTCTCACCTTGGGTCATCGCCCTCATCAGAGAGTTTAAGAGACCAGGCAACTGTAGAACATACGTGAGTAAAACACCCACGGAGGCAGGGGAGATGTGGAATTGACGTGTCACACATAATAAAGTAATGATCAGTGCGAAAACAGTAACGATCATGTCCAATGCAATCGATACCCATCTTTGAAGGGCAACCACTACATAACCAGCCTCGTTCATTCTGTCAACTAAGAAGTCAGATTTTTTCATGAAGCGGTTTTGGCTTCCGTAGGCCCTAATTGTGTCCAACCCTCCCAATACTTCGTTGAAGTTGTTGAAGACATGCGATCTTTGGATAGCTTCAAGTCTTTTGATTTCACGGCTAGCACTCTGATAATGGTCGGCAACCGCGACAAAAACCACAACCAAAAATGGAACCGCGATAGCAAACCATGGTAGGTAGATGATGCACATTATAATAACACCAATGATGTTAGCAAACTGGTAGATGAATAAACGAACACTTTCTGTAAGTTCTGTGTCTAATGTATCCGTGTCCTTAGTAAAACGGTTGAGAATACGTCCAATCGGAGTTGTGTCAATGAAAGACATTGGTGTGTGCAGTAATTTTTTCACAGCTTTTAGGTTCAGCCACTTGGAAGCGGTCAACCCCAAGTAACATAGCAAAGAAAATTGACTTGTGGTACAAATGTAATTGAAAAACACGAAAAAGGTGTAAAGTCCCATGTAGAATGGTGTCTTTTTGTTCTTGAATTTAACCTCGGTCCAAAATGATAACCATACGGACGAAAACAGAAGAGTGAAAGTGGAAAGGGCGATGGTTAAAACGTACAGGGGCAAAAATAAAAACCCTTTCTTACCAATACCGGAAGAGATGTATTCCTTGTAGACTTTGATGCTGATCGAATTTACAGCACGTTCCTCTTTGGCCATTAGCCGCCCGTCAGCTTGAGGGCCAGTGTCTTCCTGGGTGGATGATCTCTTACTCAGTTGCTTCTGTAGCTCAGAAATCTCTTTCTCACTTTGGCGATGATCGATCGATGGACGTGCTTCTGCTTCGCCTTGTTGAGGATCATCAGAGCCCGCTTGATTGGAGTAATCCATTAGCTTTACGAAACCTGGGTGTTTTGATTTCAGATTTTCCACTGTGTCAAGATCGACAGATCCATCAATGTCAATATATATAACTCTGGGGGCTCTTGCAATCAAACTCAATTGATGTGTAGCCAAAATTCTGGTCTTACCCGCTAGTTTGCCCATCAAGCATTCATCCATGATGTGTTTACCAACACGAGCATCGACAGCACTTAGGACATCATCGAATAAGTATATGTCTTTTTCCTTGTACACGCTTCTTGCCAGATTGATACGAGCCTTTTGACCACCAGATAGTGTTATACCACGCTCACCGATTTCAGTCCTGTCTCCGGCTGGCAACAAGTCCAAATCAGCTTGCAAAGAGCAAACGCGAATTACTTCTTTGTATCTGAGCTCATCGTACGCTGATCCAAATAAAATGTTGTCTTTCACAGTGGCGTTCTGAACCCAAGGGTAACCGCATGATAGTAAAGTACCACTTTTATAAATGTTACCACTAGTTTTGGTCATGAAACCTGACATGGCACTCAACAATGAGGATTTACCAGTACCTACCGAACCGGTGATGATGATCATCTCACCTTTTGCGATTTCAAAATTCAAATTGTTGAACCCATTGAATTTAATTTTTGGAGAATCAGAAGTATCCGGCTTGAGAGTTGCGTCCTTGTTCGTCGAGGACTCCTCCAGTTCCAATGCCTTCTTAGCTGCTTTTTGTTTCTTTTTGCTTTTGTTTTTGGATTTGTCTTTTAGCTCGTCTGCTTGAGCCTTGACATTAGCTTCCTCTTTGGCTTCTTCAAATTCAAAGTTTTCCCATTCAAAAGATGCATTGACCAATTTGAGAGCTATCTTTTCATCGTCCATAGGTAAAATACCTCTTTCGATATCTTGATCCTCTTCTCCGGCCTCTAAAACTTCTTGAACACGACCTAATGCGATCGATCCATCAACAGCGGTACTCAGAGCCATTGGTAAAAAAAACATCTGAATACTTAACACTTGGAAAAGAGAAAGCGAGGAAAAAATATTGGCAGGAGTCCTACCATTATTGTGAACTTTGTACATGGCCAAAAATGTGACCATAGAGGCAAGACTGGGTAAACAAACAGCCAAAGCCATCACGAAATTTCTAGTAAATTGCATGACTCTGGTTCTGCGAATTTCCTCGGAACGAATATCTTGAATGTTTTTTTCGTACGCATCTTCCCAGGCGTAAAACTTGATCATCTTCATACTATTTAAGATCTCACGCATTAAAGTTACACGGGCGTCTGTGAACACATTGGTAGCTTTCCGAACTTTGATCAAGGACTTGAAAGCCAACGCGGAACCAAAAAGGGCGAAGAAGAAAACCCCAACACCTACTAGAGCAATTGGACCAAGATTCACAATTAACAACACGATGCAGATTGCAACGGCGATAAAGAAGGCGCCCAATAGTGGTTGAAAAATAATTGCCATTTCCAATCTCGATAAATCCGTGGACATGATAGACGTGATTTTACCATTGGGGATCTTGTGCTTGGAGTAGCCGGACAGCTTCAAAGATTTGGATAGTAACGCTTTAGTGAGCAAAGACTTGACTTGAACACCTGTGATTTGCGAATTAAAGAAAAAATGGTTGAAAAGAACTGCGTTCACAAGCATAAGGAGACTGGCTCCAATGGCATACCCAATACCTTTGTTGACTTTGAGGCCTGGCACTTCCGCTTTTTCCGATACGAAATTGATAACGCGCTTGGTGAGCATCGGCAGAAACGCAGACGTGGCATTGGACAATGCCATGCTGAGAAACGCTACGAAGTACTGCAGCTTAAAAGTCCAAAGCAGCGCCTTGAGCAGTGTGTGTTTGGGCAGCACCGTGTTGTCCAGGACCTCCTGGGCAGAGGCCTCTGGGTGGTCCTCAGCGTAGGCGGCGCGCGCACGCTCGATGTAGACATCGAGGTTCTTGCTGAAGGTGTCGTAAAGCGTGGAAATGGCGATGCGCTCGTCCATGACCCACAGATCGTTGGGCTGCAGCGTGCGCTTGTAGCCGACGCGGATGATGGGGAAGACCCACCAGAAGAACACGCGGTACAGCCAGTTGGTGTGGTAGAGCGGAAACACTTTGCGGTCCTTCTGCTCCGGGATCACCGGCATTTTGCGCGTGTGCAGCAGCGAGAACAGCCGTTTCTGCGGGTATATGGTGGAGTCGGTGACCTTTTCGAGATCGTCGCTGTTGAGGAAGCTCTCGGGCTCGTTCGCGTCGTCTGCGAGCGCCACGGCCTCGCTGGTGAGCGCCACCTCGCCCGCGTCGGCGTTCGGCGCCTGGAGCAGCGCCTGGCGATGCGCCTGCGGCGCATTGTGCGGGTCCAGCCGGGTCACGTGCTGGTCCTTTTCGAACCCTGACTCGGAGTCGCTGGAGCTTGTGGGATCGGGCGACATGTGTTCTGCTGCTTGTCCCTGCTTCCGAATGCGCTGTGTGAGCGGGTGTGTCTTGGTGTGTGTGTGTAAGAGATGTAGATCCACGCCACCCGCTGCCGCCAGATATACACTTATATATATGTATTCACATACATAATCTCCACGCCCTGCTCATCGCATAATTTTGCCACCAAGCTCGTATTATCTTTCATAAGCCCATCTGTTTCCACGGCATAGCGGCCGTAAGGGATATAACACAAAAAAACGAAATCATTCCGAAATCCGCGGAACGGCGGAATAGAAAAACGTTAGTAATGCGGAATTGGAGCACGCCACACGGGAAAACGAAGCAAGGGTGATTGATGGATGAATAATGGAGATGCCGAGAGGACTGGACCCGGTGTGCCTGGTGTGACACATTTGTTTCTTGGCGAGCGATGCTGGAGGGGGAATTTTGGAGGGGTAGTTATGGAGTCGTGAGAGCAATCGGACGGAAATGGCTATAATATGTTGGCCAAGTGAGTCATGCTTTTCACATGCGCAGATCATCGCTGTTCCCCCTGTTGTTTGTGGCAATCGCCGCCTTTCATTCTCTTCTGCAACTGTGCCAATCGCCACTATTCACATCGTCTCGTAACCGCCGATCACCACTCTTCTCTCTCTTGCCATTTCGAAAGTGCGAATCAGCACAGTTGCCAATCATCAGTGCTCACTATCTTGTTCGTGCCAATCGCCACTATTCACATCCTCTTCTAACCGCCAATCGCTACTATTGTCACGTGCTAATCAGATCCGCTGAATCATCTCACTTCTCCCTCAATCATGAGAGAGCACCAATCGCAAATACTCACCTTTTCAAGCACCAATCGCAAATACTCACATTTTCAAGCACCTATCGCAAGTACTCACATTTCCAATTGCCAATCTTCGCAGTTCACTCTCTTGGCCATTTGAGAACAAACGTCGCCACTTTTCAAATCCCTCCTCACCGCCAATTCACATCTCCTAACCGCCAGCACATACCCCAATCGCCAATTCTTTCCCCCAACCACCGGTTAACACCCCCGACCGCCGATTCACATCCCTCGAATCATCACAGCTCAGTTTATCCAAATATCGTAGCCACGACCATCAGAGTCCAGCCTTTGTGTTGTTCGATACTTTTACTTCCAATCTAATAGTATACGCTCAATCGTACTCTTAAATAGTATACAACCATATTATTCACGAGATTACCATCATTAAATTGTTTTAGTCCCACTCTTCACAATACTCGCCAAGGCACACAGGGGATCAATTATTTTACCCCACTCTTCACAATACTCGCTAAGGCACACTAATACTCAATAGTGGTACAATCTGGCTTTGCAATCTTGTGACTAAATATTTGATACAATACTCACACTCTTCACAATACTCGCTTAAGCCCGTATTGATTCTAAATAATAATTATATCGACTCTCCGCTATGTCACGTTGGTATAAAGTGATAACGGCTTTACTACTGGATGAAAATGCCAACGCCTGCATTACGGCAAAATTGCAAATCAGAATGCTGATTAAAAACATAGGTTAGTGGTGTAGCCGCCTTACATCGCACATCGCACATCCGTATTACTGCATCCTTGAATGAAGCTGGTATAACTGCGGATTCCGTTTGGAACATTTTATTCTGTCAGAGCTCGATGATTGAATATACTGATTTTATAAATCGAGGTTCTCTACTATTCACATCTAGAGAAGCCACAGAAAGATTTACATCACAATTGCGGTAGTAATCATTAAAGCGATATTACATGCCCATTGGCACTATAACCGTACCTCAGCGAATACACCTCAGGTGATACAGATACAGATAGCCAGTTATATTATCACTCACACACCAACGAAAGGTGCATGTGCTGTAAGTAATGGTTGTATTTTACTCTCATAATGCTAAAAAAGTTTCTTACCTAGAAGCGCAAGGCTGTTATTGGCCGCTACATCTTTGTTTACTCTTTTGCGCACACTCTCTGTGAGAGAAATTAGACACCAAGTACATTGGCTTTGTATCTCTTCCTGATATTTGGCTCCATTATAGTTGACTACCTCCTCCCCATATTGTCCAACAGCATCATTGAAATTTGGCACAGATAAGACGCACCAATCCACAAGCTACAAGCCTGTGTGTACTCAAGAGTTTGGTTAAGCATATCTGTCTTCAAAAATCGTGACGTTCGATTGCACTAACACCGTTGATTTTTTTTTTAGCCATTGTAGCTCTAATATAAATTACTCCGCAAAAGCAAACGATAATGATTTTGCATTTCTATCTATGCAACTGCTGCCAAGACGTCTCGTCTTGTCTTCAATGTATTTCACCTGGGGTGCTTATATTTTGGCATTTATCGCTCGCATATTTATCCTTGGCATTCAAAAGTTTATTGGTGATCACTACTCACGTGATTACATGTCAAAGAGTTGTATAATGATGTTACTTTTTCAAATCATTTCAATAGTCAATGCGTTATTGATTCAGCCCATCAATATTACGCGTCACCACAGAAGTCTCCATCATTGTCAGCGGTGCTTCTCTGCTCTCTACTATAATGCAGGCACTTCTGACTCGCAGACGTAATAGAATCTCGTTGTCATGTGTAGAATGCAGGAGGCGCAAGACTAAATGTGACAAGAAGAAACCACAATGTACTCGTTGCGCGAAAGCTGGAAACTCGTGCAATTACACACATAACAAAGGGAACCACCTCTCGAGTACAGAAGGTGATGCCACTGGTAATCTCGACGCAACAGTCTCCTCGGCACCTTTTTCGACAACTCCCCTTTCCTCTAGTGCTCCGCCAAAGGACCCCCATATCTTCGAGCCAATTGTACCTTCGCAACGTTGGCATGATCTATCCATCAGTCTTGATGATTCCGAGGATACAATAGTTGCGATTAACCAGAGAAGTTATCCACACAAACCTAACTCGATTATGGCGATGAGCCAAAGAGACCGATATCTACGAGCGTTCATCGGCTCCGTTTGGGGATGCACAATCTCGGCTGGAGAAAAGTCGTCCTCAGACCTCAAAAAGGGAGAAAAGTCTGTTTACCATTTTGTTGGTGACATCATCCAGCATTCGCGTGTTCGTCAAAAAGATAATAGCTTTTCTGCACTTATGCAGTATACTCTTTTTGCGCGTGGTCCTACGTTGGAAAACTCTTTAATGCCAAATTGCCCATTACCAGATGAGCTTGCACAAACTCTCACGGAAATACAAAACATTATTCCTACGATACCTGCGGTAGAGCTATTACTAAAATACTTCTACTCGACAATATATCCGATTTATCCGTTCTTGGATGTAGCAACGTTCGAAAATTGCATACGCTGTCTCCTTCTCAAAACTCATGATATGCCCTCCAAATACAAAATAGAGCTAAATCCGAGAGAAATTCGGAAATCATTAGAAAACTTATGCATTCTACTTGTGGTGTTGAAACTTGCCCACGCAGCTATGTCCAGGGATCGCGATCCACTTGTAACGCAGGTTGCAGCCTCTATGGGATTGTTTACTCACAACACGGTGCCTGATCAAGCTTTGGCCATTATGCAAAAATGTTTGCTTCTCTTGAACATCACCACTTTCACGAGTGAAGACAGCTTATGCTGTTTACTCTATTATTGGGTACACCACTCTTTGTTGGGCATGAACGCTACCCTCAGACTTCCTTCCCAGGTGGTATTGGCACTCGACTCAATACTGCAGCTGGCGACCATTTTAAGATTACACAAAGACCCATCATCGTTCAAAACATTGATGAAGCCTTCTCAATTTGATATAAGTCTTTTTAACTACAGACGCAAGCTCTGGTTAGGCGTTACCATTATAAGAATGAGCGAACTCTTACCTAACGGGTGTGGCTCATACTTGACTACTACAGTTTTTTTGAAAACTTTCATGGAACATAAGCACCACAATTCTACCTACATGTCAGCAGTTGTGGCTGATTCTATGAGCCCTGATGATTTCGATATTCGGTTGCATGATCTGTTTTACAAAGAATATAAGATGTTCATTATATGGGGACAGCTGTGCACTACCTGTTCACCACTGAATGAATCTATATTGCTCTCGAGCATTCATAAAATAATGGCTCAATGTGAAAGCCGTTTGAACCAGTTATTTCCCCTATCGCATCTCAATTGTATTGTGGTTGATGAGGATGTATCAATGAGAAACATTGGTAAGGCTACCGTATTTCCTAATATTAATTACAGTCATATTCGAGCGATTAAAACGTTTTCATCAAACCTTCAAGGTAGGCTGATTCTGCTCACCATCGCAGGAACCTTGGCGCATGGCCTTGAAAATAAAATCAGACTAGGTTCATCGGAATATTTGGAGCCATACCGACATTTCACCATAGAGAGCTTTCGCTACTGCATGGAATTAGTGAAACTTTTACTCAAATACCTGACTGGTGAGCTACAGGACAGTCTTCCCCCGAAATTTGGGTACTTTTTCAACAGAATACTAGTATTTTCTTTACTCCGAACCTGTATGAGTTTGACGAGTTTAGTAATCCGGTTGTCTTTTCGTGAATTTTATCTGGAAAGTACAATACGTTCCGAGTCATTTCTATATGAAAATTCGCAGCATTCAGGAGCTGCACGTCAATTGGGATTGACCAAAAGAGTGAAAGAAAGCATAGAGTCACTTCTTATATCTCTGATTGCAATTTCATCGAGAACAGTGTGCAGAGACCATTATGGATGTCATAAGACGATAGCCATCTTCAAATACGTTGCCCATTTGATCGAAGTAGGAAGCTTATTCGATGCAACAAATCGCCTATGGGATCAAATACTGGCTGGAAAAGAAATTTCCGAAACACTAAGAAATGGTATTTTATTCAAACTAGGAATTGATTTGGAAGAATCGAAAGCATTGAAGGAAGAGCTTTTCGATGTCCATGTTATGGAAGCATTTGATGATGACGTGATAGCAAATTTTTACTCTTCTTTGGATAGCTTGGATTTGAAGAACCTCTCTTCTTTGTCTACGGACATGTTCCAGTCAGAGCGTGCAGAAAAGCAACAAGACGTGTTTCCGGACGGCATGTTTGATGATTCGAACATGTTTTCTGGTGACGTGCTCAAATATTTTGACATTCTTGAGGATTCTCTCGATGACATATCAATGTTTGATCCCACTTGATAAGCTAAACGGTTTTTCAAGGCTGGAACTCTAAAAGCAGCGAGTTCATACTATCTGCTCTTCGCATAAGAATCAGACTCGAGGATTGGGGCAAATCGAGTATTTCACCCAATTTGGAGCTGCGGTATACACACAAGAATGCTTTGATCTCCCGCTAAGATAGCATCGGGTACTGTCTTGAGCACTTTCGTCTCTTGTTAGGTCACTTTATCCTAACTGAAGCACAAAAGTCTGTGCGAAGCTAGGCCGCACAAATTTAGATATCACCTTGGCAAACTCAACAACAAAAGCGTCTCGACTTAAGCTTCCCTGGTCGCAAAATACTTGAAGTTGAGTACAGCTTATAGGTGAAAATAAATTCGTCAGATAGAGCTTGACGGGCTCAAAAGATCTTAAAAACTGAAAACATTTGAATCAACATTGAAAAAGTCCATGCCGTCCATTATGAAAGGGTTCAAATCAGTCTTAATAGGGATATCTGGAATCTGTGCAGCGGCGTGTTCGTATTCAAGAGCCTTTTTTTCCTTCTCTGTGAGTTCGACCTCTCTTGAAAATCTTGATAAAAACGTTTTCCGCAGAACGTTTATCATGTATTTGAAGTTATTCAGGAGATTCGGCCGCAACACTGTCGATGCTTTAATGTCCAATCCGGTAGAAGTTTCAAAGGGCCTCTTGAAGTCACAGTGTAAACGCGCCATCAAGCGGATATCTTGCTCGAACTCAACAGAAATCTCTTGTTTTGACAGGGTATAGACAAACAATTCAAAAAAGGCCAAGTTAATTACCCATTGAAAGGATCTGTAATAACTTGCTAAATTGAGTTCATATAATTCAATGGCGACTGAAAGCACTGTTCTCGCAGTCTTAACGCTTTCGTAAAATGGGATTACATCAGACTGTCCGATGTTTGTCATGTAGGCTTGTGTCTTGAACAAAGCTTTTTGAATAAATATCAAGTTCATGTAATAGGAGAAGTGGATGCTGTAGATAAAAAGTCTGGTCATTGCTGATGGTAAGTCGCTGTTTTTGACAAGCTCCGTTAAAGACGGGTTGTTCAAGGAATCCATAGGTCTCATACCTTCCGGCAGAGAAAGCCTAAAAATTTCCATTTCTTTGAGAAGATCTTGAGCATTGCGTAATTGCTTGGTGAGATTTCTGTTCGTTAATGGGGCATACAACTGACCGTAAACGCGAGAAGCAATATGAATCAATCGACAGGTATGGAATCCGCCAAACTTGTCAAACCCAACATCTTTGAGAACAAGAGTGTAAAGGTTCTTTGCAAACGAGAGCCCACAATAAGATGAATCGGCCGACGCCGCTAGTGTCGCACCTGCAAGAAATTCCAAAGGCGTGCTTTTGAAACCAAATGATGCGGTAGTATCGTAATTCGCAACAATTGGGGGTTTCCCTAAAATAAGAGCAACCTTCAAGTCAAAATATCGACAGAGAATCCAAATTTTTTTTCGTCTATTGCTTTCTTCGAGTGTAAGACCTTCGTAAGATATTTCGGCATGTAAACCGAGATCATGAGCCAGCCGAGTTGCCAAAGTTACCATCATGAATGAAGCATGAAGTGCGCCCGTAAAATCGGTGTAAGACATAAGACAAAGAAATGCCTGCAAGGTGTCTATGCCCTCTGGTAATATGGATACCTGATGGTAATGATACAGAGCATTGGAAATGAAAATATTCTCCATTTCTCGCAGTTTTTCGTCATTCTGGACCAGGTCAGATACAAGGCGAGACATGCCTTCAATTGGAGTCTTGTAATAGTGCTGTTGAAAATGGCTGACAAGCGCGAACGCCACATTAAGCGTGATGCAGTGAGAGCGTTTTAAAGATCGTAGTCCTCCTTTCAGATAGGAATCATATATATTAGAAACGTCTTTGAAGGGCACAAACGATAAGCTTTCAAGACCTGATCTTTGGCTGATTTCTAAAAGTGCTTCTAAGATTTCATTGTTTGGCAACGGTTTGAGACCTAGAGGCACGGGAAATAGGTTCTCTGGTCGGCTCTTTTGCAAGAACTGCGCATACCACTCCGAGAGATATTTGGTTTCCTCTTCACAATTTGAACTTTTGGATTTAATCCACTCTAGTCCCTTAGGTGACAAAATGGCATAAGAGGAAAAGACTCCGAAGTCGCCCAAAGTGCCAGGTCCTGGGATCTCTGAGTGATCACTGGAACCAGAGCTCCCGGTAGTGGATGTAGAGCTGGGGTTTGCAGATAAAGGACTTCCTCCCTTTCCTGAATCACTGTTCTGAAGAACAACATTTGCAAGCAAATCGAGCGAACTGACCCGCTGCAACGACAGGGCTGCAATTTTGCGTTTTGAGGAGCGCGCTGTCTTTGCTCTCTCGCTTTTACGCTTCTTAGATACTTCTTGGTGAGGTCTGGAACGGTTATTGAAATCCTTGACCATTGCCGTAACGTGGCTTTCGAGAGACTCGATTTTCTCCAGTATCTTGTGAAATTGATCTGCTTTGTTGCCCATAGCAGGCTCATTGGAGACATTGTCATCAGTGAAATGTCCTCCCATAACTCGAACAATACCCACTACTATTTACGGACTAATATCTCAGAAATAGTAGTGTACAAAGCTTCCTTAAGCTTGATTATTTCGTACTTGAGCATGAGCCACTCTCAGTTTTATTAATGAAAACCAGAGGCTCGTTAACAACCAGTGATTGCGTAATTGAGAAGTGACACGTCAAAAATCAGGTCTCTCAAAATCGTGTCAGTTTCTTCGTCTACTGGAATGCCCCCAAAATATATGACACAAGCGCTGGTTGCGGTAACCGCGCCCAAGCGCAGTGTTGGCAAGAACGTGTACACGATGCGGCAGTGAGCTGAACACCAGCTATATTTCTTGTCTAGGCGGGTTCATCAAATCTGCGATAGCGAAATTGCTTGGCCCCTAATGGGTCTGAGAGGCTGCCAGCTTCTGAGGTCTTTCCTTGTACCTTATGGATCTGTTGACCTTTCGAGCTTGCATGTTGATAATCACCGTCACCCGAGCTAGCAAAGCGGCCTAGCTCAATACATGACGCCTGCTTAAGGCCATCTATTGTTGCATTAACAACGAGTAACTAATTAGGGTATTTACGCGGCAGGCTCGCCGTGCTAATTTCGGCTCGTAAATAAAGACCGAGAGAATGGAAACTCAAAATTGGTGCCCGAACGCAAATCTCACCTTGCTAATGTATTCTTGCTTACATGTTCAGCTAATATAAATTCGAACGCGGTTACAGCTCGTGCGGAGGCCGCTATCCATTATCTTTGAATCAAAAAGTAGTGTATGTGCTTTCACGTGAAGTGCTTTGTGGGCTAACTACAGACTTGGTCTTGAGGTAACTTGGATCAATGAATACTTGAGTTTGTGTGTGCCGGATCTTTGATCAGTAGATTTGTTTTTCGTTCTGAGATATCTGCCTCAGTGATCAATAGTTTATCTGGGTGCCAGTGTCAAAATACACTGGCCGCCGACATTTTTTGAGCTATGTACCTCACACGACGTGGTTTAACTCCCCGACTATGCTAAGTTTTTCGGCCCCTTATACGTCAGGTTTTCGTTGGCTTTCCGCACTGATTATCAGTGAGCACCGCATTTATCTAGTAATCAAAATATAAATCGTCATTTTTATTGTCTCAATCTGCATTGACGTTCCTTCCGCTGAGTATTCAAGGTTTCCGGTGTATGGTGGTTGCAGCATCTCTAATACTGTGCTTCGGCTACCACCAATCCTAGCTGACATCCATCAAAATCCTCAAATAATTTGTCAATATTGGACCTCCACAATATTGGTTACGACGTAAAAAAATACAGGTGAGTTTGAGATGATGAAATGACATGCGCCATGACGAGCTAAACGTTTGGTCACAGATGCCAAACTACGTGTACCCACCGTTGATGTAAATCCTCATATTCGTTCTCAGTGACAATTGATGTATCCAAGTCTGGATAGTGTTAGAAGGATAATTCTACACGAATGCTTTTTCATTAACTAAGTAGTTAATAAAAAACTTTTCGTTTTGAAACCTGTGAAAACGGTGATTAGAAGGACTTACTCAGTACAAAAGTTGAAGTTCATCAACGCCCACTTGAGCCATAGTAGCGGTGTTTGAAAGCCGCAAAAGCTGAGTGAATTTGGTGAGGGCTATATTTTTCAAACTCTTAAGTGATCTTTAGCTGTTTACCCTCTTGCCAATGTCAGCGCTTCCAGACGACGTGAACACAACCTTGATCGAGGTCTTAAACGGATTTTCATCACCCGTCAATGAGATTCGTGCCGCTGCTGAGGATGCTCTGAACAAAAACTGGATTACGCCCGAGAACATTGAGATTCTCTTGCTATTTTTGGCAGAGCAATCTGCGTATTCCGGGGATATGACGTTAGCAGCACTTTCGGCTGTGTTATTCAGGAAACTGGCTCTGCGAGCTCCTCCTTCATCTAAAACTGTGATTATTGCCAAAAATATCACTCACATCAGCGGATCTGTGTTGTCACAGATTAGGGCCACGCTATTGAAAGGTTTTGTTACAGACAGGCCAGGCGGAATTCGTCACAAACTTTCGGATGCAATTGCAGAGTGTGCTCAGGAGGATTTGCTTGATTGGTCAGAACTTTTGCCAGCGCTTTTTGAAGCGATCAAGAATCCAGATCCCAACTTTCGTGAATCCAGTTTCCGTATTTTCACTTCAGTGCCACATCTCATCAATGCTGTAGACATCAACAGCGTTCTGCCCATTTTCGAGGCCGGCTTTACTGATATCGACGATAACGTGAAAGTCGCGGCTGTCACTGCATTTGTCGGATATTTCAAGCAGTTGCCTAAGCAACACTGGTCCAACCTCGGAGTGCTTCTACCAAGTTTACTGAATAGCCTACCCAATTTTCTGGATGATGGGAAAGACGATGCCCTGGCCTCGGTATTTGAATCTTTGATAGAGCTTGTGGAACTAGCTCCAAAACTTTTTAAATCCATGTTTGATCAAATGATTCAGTTCACAGACATTGTTATTAAAAACAAAGACCTAGAAACATCTGCAAGAACAACAGCCCTAGAACTATTGACGGCATTTAGTGAAAGCGCCCCCCAAATGTGTAAAGCAAGCTCCAACTATTCCCAATCGCTGATCATGAACACACTTCTCATGATGACTGAAGTTTCCATTGACGACGATCAGGCATCCGAATGGCACAATTCTGACGACACTGATGAAGATGATGAAGAAGTAACTTACGATCACGCTCGTCAAGCCCTGGATCGCGTCTCGCTCAAATTAGGCGGCAAATACCTAGCCCCAACACTATTTCAGTATTTACAGCAAATGGTCACCTCATCTGAATGGAGAGAAAGATTCGGGGCTCTAATGGCTTTGTCCTCAGCTGCTGAAGGCTGCAGAGATGTTTTGATTGGTGAAATCCCAAAGATATTAGACATGATTATCCCACTTGTCAATGATCCTCATCCCAGAGTTCAGTACGGTTGCTGTAACGCTTTGGGCCAAATATCAACCGATTTTGCGCCATTAATTCAAAGAACTTCTCATGAACGCATCATTCCGCCTCTAATATCGAAACTTACGCCTCAGTCAGTAGATCGCGTACAAACTCACGCTGCCGCTGCGCTCGTAAATTTTTCTGAGCATGCAACTCAAACAATTCTGGAACCCTATCTGGACGATTTACTAACAAATCTGCTTACTTTGTTGCAAAGCACCAAGTTCTATGTTCAAGAACAAGCACTGACAACAATTGCATTCATTGCCGAAGCCGCTGAGAAAAAATTCATCAAATACTATGACACTTTGATGCCTTTGTTGATTAATGTGCTAAAGACGGACACAGGCAGTGCCAATAGATTATTAAAGGGTAAGTGTATCGAGTGCTCTACCTTAATTGCTCTTGCTGTTGGTAAAGAGAAGTTTATGACACAATCGCAGGAACTGATCGAACTTTTCATCGTTTATCAAAATCATGGGATTGAGGATGACGACCCTATCAAGTCATACTTAGAGCATGGTTGGAGTCGAATTTGCCGTATTCTTAGGGAAGATTTTGTTCCGTTACTGCCAGTCGTCATACCTTCTCTTCTGGAGACCGCCAAAGCCACTCAAGACGTAAGTTTAATTGAAGAGGAAGAAGCTGCCAACTTTCAACAGTATTCTGATTGGGACGTTGTTCAAATTCAAGGGAAACATATTGCTATTCATACTTCCATTCTAGACGATAAGGTTTCAGCTATGGAATTGTTACAGGTTTACACGAATATTTTAAAAAATTACTTCGCAGTGTATGTGGGGGAGATTATGAAGGAAATTGCTATCCCATCGATCGATTTCTATTTGCATGATGGCGTCAGAGCGACTGGTGCAGGTCTGATTCCTGTACTTCTGTCCGCTTTGGTCTCTGCGACGGGTTTACAAAACAACGAAGTTCTACAACTATGGCACCTGGCCTCCAGTAAACTGCTGAACGGCATAATGATCGAACCCATGCCCGAAATCACACAAATTTATCACACGGCTTTAGTTGATGGCTTAGCTATAATGGGCGAAAACAGCTTGAATGAAGATCAGTTGACTCAATACACGAAAGGAATGTCTGCCAATCTCTCAGATATTTATGAACGTGTGAAACAGCGGCGCAGTCAGGAAGACGAATATAATGAGGACGTTGACGACGATTTTGAGGATTACACGGATGAAGACCTGTTAGACGACATTAATAAATCGTTAGCTGCAGTCTTCAAGTCTACGTGCGGAGCTTACCTTAATCAGTTTCAAGCTTTGTGGCCCCTTGTGATCACCTATCTTAGAGACGGCGAAGTCATTTTGACGCTATTCGCGTTATGTGCTATTGGAGACATGGTAGAAAACGCTGGCCCTGCAACAGAGCCTTTGAAAAAAGACTTCATAAACGATGTCAAAGATAGCCTCTTATCTCCAGATGCTTCTATTCGTCAAGCAGCATCTTACGTGATTGGTGTATGTGCGCAACACAGTCGAGAGGCTTATGCACAAGAGTGTCTGGAGTCTCTAGAAATTCTGAACCGCGTGATATCCATCCCTGACTCTAAATCTGAAGAAAACGTTACATCGACAGAAAACGCTAGCGCTGCTATTGCTAAGATCCTTCACAGTTACGGAAGCAATATACCTGACTACGATACGTACGTGTCAACCTGGTTGAAGTCTTTCCCAATGATACAAGACGAAGAGGCAGCCGCCTTCAATTATAGATTTTTAGCCCATCTGATCGACTCTACTTCCCCTGTTGTCACAAACCAAGCCGTTCTTCCAAACGTGGTAGATTACGTGGTGCAGGCCTTGCATCACAAATCTCTTGTGGGTAAAAACGCAAAAGCCGTCGTTGAGTCCACCAAAAAACTTTTGGGTTCCTTGCCTCAAAACGAAGCCATGGCTTTATTCCAAAGGTATCCAGCTGATGTTGTCCAGGAAATTCAGCACTGGTTTGCGTGAGATCATTTCTCAACTTAGTTTTTCAGTACATTTTCTCTCTTTAGTCTGCATCCTATAATGAACACGAATATTAATCATGAGATGTGACATCTCGAATGGATGCTTGAGTGTAAAAAGGCGCATGCTGTACAAGCTGGGCATGCTGTAGTTTGCATGAACAATGTCTCATTCCGAAAAAATTGGTGACAACCTTTAAAAACGTGATGATTGTAAAATATTTAGCGCTGAAATATTGAAAAATTTGACAGGGCGATGAGATGTGAGATGAGCATCTCGAAAGAGCATCGTTTCAATAACGCACAGTAACAACAGAGTTCTCGAAGTCAATATCTCCAGTCGTTCTTCTTACCACGATGGGCTTGGCAGCTGTTAAAAATAAACAAAAACTAGGACTAGACCCCAGAAATACCAATTGGAGTAATGACACTTCGCGGTTCGGTCACAAGCATCTCGAAAAGATGGGCTGGAAACCAGGTTCCGGTTTGGGATTGATGCCTGACGCTACCACAACACACGTTAAGGTGTCGATCAAGGATGATAATCTCGGTTTGGGAGCTAAGCTACGGAAGAAACAGAAAGTCGATGAGTTTGATAGCGGAGAATGCGCTGGATTGGACGCATTTCAACGTCTTCTCGGTAGACTAAATGGTAAAGAAGACACAGTTACAAGTGAACTAGATTTACAGAGAAAGAACAATATCATAAATGGTAAATGGGGCGTTCATTTTGTAAAAGGTGATGTCTTGGCCAGCACATGGGATGCCAAGACTAAGACTTTGAAACTTTACAGTAACAAGCCTACCAAGAGAAAACATGAAGAAGAAGACGATGACTCAACTGACTACAAGAAGAAAAAGAGCAAGAAAAGTAAGAAGAACTCAAAGTCAGAGAGGAAGAATGGCAGTAAGAATTCTGACACGGAGATATGCTCCGACGGCAAGAAAGACAAGGAAAAGACTAGGAAAGACAAGAAAGACAAAAGAGCCAGAAAGGAAAAGGTGAAAGAGTTCAAGGTAAAGAGCGAGAAGAGAGACAAGAAGGATAAGAAAACAAAGAAAACAAAGAAAACAAAGAAAACCGAAAGTGAAACGAGCGAGAAGAAGGACAAGAAGGACAAGAAGGACAAGAAGGGCAAGAAGAGCAAGGAACAGCGGAAAATCCAGAAATTGGAAGAAGCAAGTCGTGATGCTATGTTGAAACCAAAGACAGATTCAAGCGACGTCATAGCATCAAGGCTCTCAGTACGGTCTAGATGGATAAAGCAAAAAAGAGCAGCCGTAATGGATGCTAAAGCTTTGAACGAAATCTTCATGATTGCCAGCTAGGCAAAGGTTCATAATAGGGTCACGCAAACTGGAAAGTTTAAGATAGTTTCTTCCTCTGCGCAAAAGACACTTTAATAGGTGGGTTTTATTAATTCGTTATTTTTTGTCCCGAACCGAACTTAATTGAAGATAGGCTCAAGCTCAGATACGTAAGAATATGACAACTTGGTCAGAACACCGAACTGTAAGAACTTAAGAACTGTGGGGACGAACGAATAATTGTTTTTAACCACTCAATTTTGATAAATATATAAAGAGCAGTCTGCATAATAGCTGATCGAAAGGGAAGATTGATAAAATGAAACATAATACAATTGTAAAGTACATACGCGAGATCAGATCATTCGATTCGTAGCAAATAGAATTCTATGAGTTTCTTGGCCACTATCAAAAACAACAACTACAGTTAAAAATTCGGCCATCATAGAATTTGTATACTCCTATTGGAGCTGTTCCTCATCTTCAGCGCTGATAGCGTTTACGGCGTGCGGTCTTGATTCTCTTTATAGATAATTCTTAGACTCTACGAGCCGGTTGCTCTCTTAGCGAGGGTGTCGTTTTAGATGGTTCTTCGACTGCTCTATAAGATCGTGGAAAATAGCCCGACAGAAGCAGACATCACTGATATGGCTGCTAGCCATATGCCGAAAGCAGAAACAGGTTTTACTTGCATCCCAGCAGAGGACTTTTTCGAGCTTGTTGAGGAGGCGCTTGAACTGGATCCACTTCCAGTTGCAGATGATCCGGAACTTCCAGAACTTCCCGAGCTCCCGGACCCAGATGAACCACTCTGGGAGGCCTTTGCCGAAGCCGAAGAAAGCTTAGTTTGGCACGAAGAGGCTAAACTGGTAGCGGAAGCGAGCGAGGCAGAACCGTCAAAAGAGCAAGCAGACTTTGACTTCCCATTGGCTTCGTAATATTTGTTCAAGAGGTACGATAGCTTGACAGAATTATCGCAGAATGAATAGGCACCGTAGTCTCCAGATGTACCATTGGCAGTGATATCACCGCAGTCAACTTTGTCTCCGCACAATATTCCGTACAGCGTACCATAGTCCTCTTCATCTACGCTATCGCTCAAGACACACGTCAAGGAACCTTCTAAGCAATCGCAAACGTCCTTATCCGGGCTTGGTGGCAACGCAGTTGCAGCTTTCCAATTTGAGTTTGTTGCAGGGCAAGAGAGCGAAGTAGTAGAGGGAGTATAGGAATTCATATTGACAGCAGATGGCGACACAGAGGCCAACTGACTTTTCAAATTGTTGTAGTCTGATAATGTGCTAACTTTGCTACCATCGACGGAAACCAGTCCATATTTGTTAGCTTCTTCAAAGTACATATAAACAATTCCGCCCGACCAGACATCTGTCATATCTTTGCCATATAGGGTTCCAACTTCTTCAAACTTTCTTGGTGGGTCGGCGTTGCATCCGTACTCCGAGAAGAAAGCTGGGATACTCAAATTGCCGAAATCTTTTGTTCTGTCAGCATAACCAGAGGTTTGGAAAGTAGAGGAACCACACCACTCGTACATGTTAATACCGTAAAAGTCAGCCCTGACATCGCTGTCGCCGCAGGCAAAGTAGTCAGCCATCGGAACTCTCGTATCTTCGTCATCATTAGAGGAATAACCTACTGGAATGCTTCTGTATCCTTTGTCCTTAATGTACTGTTTAGTGTCTCTGATAGCAGCTTTCACGAACGGCGAAGCGTCAGTGTTGGAATTGTTATTGGTAACTTCGTTACCGGCAAAGAATCCTAAAACGTTCGAGTAGTTAGACATGGCGTCTACCACTCCTGTGTAACGTTTGTATAGATCTAAGGTCCATGCAGGCGAATCTCTGTTGATGGACTCTGATGGTTCCGACAAATCCGCGACGACATAAATTCCGGCCTCACCAAAAGCTTTCATACACTTGCTGTGATCCAGAGAGGTGTTTAGAGCGTAGACACGAACCACGTTGGTCTCTGCTCCTAGTAGATATGGCAAATCTCTGGAACAAGTGTCGTAGTCCGCCAAAGGATCCACAATGGTAACTTCAGTAGACGAAGAGTTCGCTGTGTCGGCCTGGTAAGCCACACCCTTCATATAAAACTGGGATCCATTATTGGAATAGAAAAACTTGTTCCCCTTGACCTCAATAGCTGGGGTGTTGGTGAAATTGCCGCTGCTATCGTCGGCACCCACCAGCTTCAGTGCGTACAGCACGTAAACGATTGTATATGGCACAAGTCCTAGCATCGTTATCTACTGGAAAACCTTTTCTGCCGTGCAATACTCGTCAAGTGCTAACTGGAACTCCAACTCCCAAGATGCTTCTTACCACCACACCGCCTTTTATATATGAGCATGAGTGCGCCGATTTTAAGCAGACCAAGCAAGCGCGACGAACATCACGAAAAGTCTCTTCTGTGCACACGAAACACCGGCCAACAAGTTTCACCAAAAGAAATCCATCCTGAGCCGTTGTACCGTTATAGTGCGACGGTATCACAGTAGACTACTGTTTCTATCTTACGCAACTCAACTTATTTTGATATGCAATGCCACGAAATTGTACTACGCTGGTTTCACTTCACCTTGGCAAATTCTATTCCTTCCATTAGTGAGTGATTTCTCTCCATGATGGAAAAGGTCGAGAACCTTAAGATTTACCTGTTGTTGACATTTTCATGTTCTTATTTAGAAAAAAAGACGATATCGAAATAAGTCCAGACTCAAAAACAAACTAACATGTTGCCAAATAAGTCGTTATGGGCCAGCTCTGCGATCCAAGACGAAAGCAGCCTTGATCTGGAACTATCTAAACATTCTCGAACAAAAGTACTCTGAAGATGAAGCGCCTTAGGTTATTACTTCATAAACAGGAAATTTATATAAAATACAACTTGATATTTAGTCCGCCCGTTGTCTGTAACAGTTGGAGTGTATTTTCTCCCTCCTAAGCAATGACAAAACCGACACCAGCGGTAGCACCGATGGCAATCAAGGCAGTCATAAAGACCTTGCCCAAAGAGTTTTGAGTGTTGGACACAGCAGCGCTCTTCTTGTCAGAAGAACCGCTGGAGCTGGAGCTGGAGCTGGATCCAGAAGCACTCTTGGAACCGGATCCAGAAGCAGAGGACGAGCCAGAGTTGGAGAAGGTAGAAAGACCGCTGGCAGAACCGGTGCCGGCGGAACCAATCTGGCTTAGTACGGAGGTGCATGCCGAGGCGGTAGAAGCACTTTGCAAAGTGGCTGAACCGCTGAAGTCACAGTCAGACTTGCTTTTACCGTTGTTCTGGTAGTAATTGTTCAAAACAAATGATAGCTTGTCCTTATCATTACAGAACGAGTAAGAACCGTAACTACCCGCAGTACCATTGGCAGTAATGCCGTCACATAGATCTGAGGACATGCCGCACACGATTCCGAATAAATCACCATAGTCATCATCACTAACGTCATCAGCAACAACACAGCTCAAAGACTGGGACATACAGTCACACAAGGCACTGTTTGGGGTAGGAGGCAAGCTGGTAGCAGCCTTCCAATTAGAGTTAGTTGCGGGACAGGACAATGATGTAGAGGATGGAGAGTAAGAGGCGGAGTTGGTAGAAGTTGGAGAGACCTTGTTGATTTCTACAGAATAGTAACTGTAATCGGACAAAGTGCTGACTTTGTCGTTTTGGATAGAAACCAAACCATAGTTGTTTGCCTCTTCAAAGTACATGTACACGATACCACCGGACCAGACGTCGGTCATGTTCTTTCCGTAAAGCGCGGCAACCTCCTCAAACTTTCTAGGTCTGCTCTCGATGCAACCGTACTCGGAGAAGAAAGCTGGAATGCTCAAATTACCAAAATCCTTGGTTCTGTCAGCGTAACCAGAAGCTTGGAAAGTAGAGGAACCGCACCACTCGTACATGTTAATACCGTAAAAGTCAGCCTTGACATCGTCATCACCACAGGCGAAATAGTCAGCCATGGCAACTCTGGTATCCTCGTCATCGTTGGTGGAGTATCCGACTGGAATATCTCTGTATCCTTTGTCCTTAATGTATTGTTTGGTGTCTCTGATAGCGGCCTTCACAAAAGCAGAGGCGTCGGTGTTGCTCTTGTTGTTAGTAACCTCGTTACCCGCGAAGAAACCCAAGATGTTAGTGTAGTTGTGGAACTCATCAACAACCGATGTGTAACGCTCATACAGCTCCACGGTCCATGATGGACTATCTCTGTTGATGGACTCGGAGGGTTGCGACAAATCGGCAATCACGTAGATACCGGCGTCGTTCAAAGCTTGCATGCATTGGGTGTGGTCCAAAGAAGTGTTGAGGGCGTACACACGGATAGTGTTCGTGTCTACGGCCTGCATGTATGGAATATCTCTGGAACAGGTGCTGTAATCTGCCAAAGGATCGTTGAAGCTTTCACCAGAGGTAACATTGGCACTGTCTTCCTGGTAAGCAATACCTTTCATGTAGAACTGGGATCCATTGTTGGAGAAAAAGAATTTGTTGCCCTTTACGTCGATTGCAGGCAAGTCTGCGGCAAAGACCTTGTTAGCAATCAAAGAGCCCAAGGATAGGGCTGTGATCTTGTTAAACAACATTTCGGTAAGCGAGAGTGTGTCTAGTCGTCCAGGGTTTGGATCTGAGTATCTTCTAAAAAAGAGATCAGTTCGAACAAACCGCTCTTTATTCTGCTGAGTTTTTATTTAGCATGCTCGACGGATCGTCCAAATCGAGGCTTTTTACTACGACTAACGGATACCAGCTCACTCGACTCGCGGTCCGCTTCTCGAGTACGATAATTTCGCGTGTGCACTGTCGAAAAACCACTCAAATGGGAAAAATTCGTGCCAAAAATCGTGCCAGATAAGAAGCCCAAAAGGGAAGCACGCTTTTAGTGCGGTGCCGTCCTCTTTTTTTTTCTTCTAAGGGAATTGCAAACATAGGGCTGCTGGAGTTTTAAGCGGGGCATTCAAAGGACGTGGTAGACTGCGAGTTCGTTACTAGTTTCATTGCTGGCTGCGCCAACAAGAAATGACCCGAAATGCGACGGTGTCGTGAACAATGACAAGACTCGACGGATCTTAAGTGAAAATTTTGAATTCTCACCTCTGATCAAGCCACGGAGACTAAAATAGCACCCATAATTGTCGTGAACAGCCATTCATAGCATCAGCCCTTTCGACTTCTTGCGGCAAACAAATGAGCTCACTCAATTGTCTTCCATTTACTAATTCTCCGGGTAATAGGTGTAATTTTCTCTGCTTATTTTAGCCGTTAGCGAAAGCCACCTCATGCCGCAAACGGTAGATCCTGAGAGGTTCTAGACCACATAAGAAAAGAGGAGCTGCAAGTCCCAGCGGCCGATGCGTTCAGAGGCAACGTACCGCACATCTTACCGTTTCGGGAATAGGCGCTGCCCCATCCGTGAAGTATTTTAGCAAACACCTCTCGACAAAGATGAAGCTATTCTCGTGACACTATCACATGCGACGTCACAATTTGAGGATCTGGGTAGTTTGTTCAATGACGTATGGTAATAAGCGCTGTGGTACTTAAAATTGCAAATGACCCGTTCGTTAGGCGGCTAGCCTTCCGTTCAAGGCGCAGTTTTGAAGACTGGCATAGGTGGGGTCGTGGTCAAGATATTAGCCGGAGCTCTTGTATCGGTATCATTGTTATGCTGGCCGTTTGGCTGGACAATGCCCTCCAAAAGCGAGCCGTGGAATAATTCAGGCCCCACCGGCATGTATTGAGAAACGTAAAATGGGCTCACGAGCAGCCCCAAGAATACGACGAGCATGACAAAATGCAGCAGGAAGTACCTGCGCACGATCCGCCTTCTTCTTTCCTTCTGTTTCTTTGTATAGGCAAGCTTCTTTGAAATCAAGTTCTTAGGTTTCATCCAAAAGAGTATCATAGAATGCCAGTAGTTGACAAATGGTAGGCATACTAAGGGCAGCTGTACAAACATCAGCATGTGTCCTAAAATGAAGTCGCTAGCGAAAAGACTGCACTCGATGGTCTTAACGAAAAGCTCTCTTGTGGGCTGAAACACAACGGACCACCCCATTCCCGTGTTATACCACTTTCCGGACCACCATGCCAAATGAGACTTGTTGTTCTTGTATTCTCGCGTGAGTAAGAACACAGTGATCACCTTTATGATGAGCTCTTGGAAATTGATGCACGTTATCAGCAACAATAGTGCCCGCGTAAAGCTCCATCCCTCCAAAAACCACATCACCTCGAAGTCGATCAAGTACATTATCACAGAGAACGCATGCACAACAGCGGCTATCGTAGAACCTGTTTTCTTACAACACAGTGATAAGAGTGGCGCGGCAGAACAGGATAGAGTGAAGCATATTAAGAGCATGCCCATGTTGGCTATTATCGGCAAAAATGTCACGATTCCAAGTCTTATAATTGAGCTTGTTGCTCCGACAGAAGCGACACCCGTCTGTGAGTTGATGAAAGTGTAAGCTGTAAAACTTAATCCGACTGCGCAGAGTGGAATCAGAATCTCAGCCACAAATATATCTGTAATTTGAGCTCTCTTAGTTTCACGCGCACTTTTCTCAGAAACATCCTCAATAAGCTTACTTTTGAAGCCCGTAAACCTGGCTCTTGAACTTCTCACATACTCCACCCATGAGTTCCCCTCAAATGTGGCATTTCCTCGAGACAGCCAGTGAATAAAATTTCTGTAATCTACAAAGAAATCAGTAAACGTGAATTGGTGGGGATTGAATAGAAATGGCGCCAGACACATGGAAATTACAGTTATCCAAAACCAGAGCAACGCTGGCTGCCACATCGATATTGTGGCAAACACCAGCATTAGAAATATTTTGGAGCCAGAATAGATCGAACTAGACGCAAATTTTGAGTATAGCTCAGGAAAATCAAGTCTTGTAATAGCAAAACCTCTTCCAGTTGAAATGTATTTAGCCCCTCCAAATGTTACATTTGTGAGAAGCGCACTGGCGTAGATTTGACAAACAAACACCTCGAAGAAGGACGCCAAAGAAAGTAAATGATGTATAAACCTCGAAAAGGCTTTCCAGGCTCCCTTTTCAAGAAGTTCCTGGATCAATAATGGAGCAAATGCGATGAAGAAGACGATGAAAATAGATAACACGAAAATGGTTACCCAATGTAGCACTGGTTCGATATTATAGCAACCAATAGGTCTTTGAAGATCCGTAATCGGTAAATCTCTATTGTATTCACATTTGATGGTCTCATGGTTTAAGGACCCGAGATTTATTAGTAGCACAAAAAACACTTGAACGGACAAAGTAATGAATAGGTTGTTCAAGTGAAATCCTGCATGAGCATAGAAAAACGAGAGAAAGCGATCAATTGGTAGCTGAGTTCCAAGGTAATAGTATTCTCTTGACAGAAGTTGCTCCCCCATTCCAGCACCAATCTTTGTTGTAAAGTTCAAAATAGACCCAAATCCGAGGTCGCGGCCCTTTCCACACTGGTAATAATCACTATGTTTAATTCTACCACCGCGACAGATCGCGGACATTCCTGCATAGATGTCTTCGTTAAGATGCAAGCCCTTTTGAGCTTTGGAAATCCCACCTCTAGTTGTCATAAATATACCATTCAAGAAATCGGGATGACCATAATGTAATTTCCCACCAATTTCAGCTAAAGTTCTAGCGAAAAGTGTCCCAAAAGTCTGCTCCTTGCCTGCGGCTATGTCTCCGAGGACCCCGATGTTTTCAGAAAATATATACTCTCGAGCACCGACAATCGCGACTGGCGCAGCCCTCTCGTTGTACTCGATTCCGGGAATATAAGGAATGTTCTCTTCCATATCAAGCTCCTCAAACTCACTCAAAACTGACCTAATCTTTAAACATTCCTCCAAATAATTATCTTGGTTTGCGTCAATAACTTGAATGTATTCTCCTCGGTAAAATATTAAGGAATGGTTCTGATTATCAGACTTCCCATCCCCAAGGATAGGGTTACCTGAAAGACGAACTCTATATTGTGGGATCCTGTCACCAGTCTCTTCATCAACATCACAATGGCCATCGATCAAACAGGAATAGAAATGCGGTTCGCCTTCGGATTGACAAACTTCCTCCAGGTAAGAAATGCACATATCTGGGAAAGCTCTCATCAGTAGGTCAGTAGCTCCTTTTTCATCTTTATCAAAGCTAGTCAACCTTTGCATCGCTACCACCATTCTGAACTTTCGCCTCGACAGGTTTTCCAATTCACTTTCCATGGCTTCGAAATTTGTTCCATAAGCTTGAACCATTGTAGGATTTTCAATTCTGTAAAGGAGTTTGATGGCTTTTGAGTAGTTCATAAATCCCGTAATAGTCCTGTATAGTGTCTGAAATCGTAAAGACGCCCAGATTCTTGTCCTCAATGTATATTCAGGATCTGATTTGCTAAATCCCATGCAATAATAAGGTAGATCTTTGATCTTACTTTGAATAAATCTGAATCTGTCATCAGCATCCTTTGAGAAATCATTGAGACTTTTTTTGAGTGAATCTTCTTCATTATCTGGACCATCACTGAGCTCCATATTCGTTTCCACAGCCAAGAGTTTTGTGTCTCGAACAAAACACTCCCATTCATTAGGATGCAAGTGTTTAAGGTACTCCAGCAAGGTAATGCGGGATTTGCTGGATTCTTCCTTTATAATCTCTTTTAGTGACAGAAGAATCTTTTCTGAGTAGTGAGGGATCAAGACAGTAAAAGTTGGCATACACTCAACGGGCATTGGTTCAACAATGGGAGTGGACAGTGATTGGGCAAAAAAAGAAATACGTCGCTCGGCTTCCGAGTTCTCTGGGAAAAACTCCATCGATTTAAAAGTTGAGTCGTCTTGGGCAACGAAGAAAGTAGGCGACTTCAATGCTCTCTTGTCATGAGTCATAGAATCCACTTGTTGATAAAGTAGCCTCTGTACGTGTTCAATTGATAATAAGTGTTCGCGGTACATTGAGATGACGATCGCGTTCCATACTTGAGAGACTAAAATCTTCGGTTTGTACTTGACATCCATCTCCGAGGTTGCCAAGATTTTCGAATGTATACGTTTCGGTAATCTGGAATAGATATTCTTCCAAGGTGTCAGTATCGATGTGCCCAAAGAGAAGGACAGGATGATTGAGAATACGCAATTGCAAATGATGTACCATAAGTAGGTATCAAGGAAAAACAGAACCAAGTCTGTCAGTATCATAATTCCGAGAGTAATTTTCGGCTGAAGGCGACAAAGATGAGTGCTTAATAGCGTGTCTCCCTTGCATCTACTCATGTCCATGATAGACAAGACACGCAGAGGATCTCTCAAAGATAATGTAAGGAAGAAGTATGACTCTATGAACTTGCCCACAAAAACAAAAAGCCATAGCCCCCATGAAAACCATTTACTACGCCCAGTCAATTTTGGAAACTGGGCAGTGAAAGTTTGTGATGACGAGTATCGTCTCCTCTTTTGTCCTTTGCGCAAATACGATCCGAATAAACCGCCTAATGGTCTGATAGCGAAAAATAGAGTAGTAATTATTGCAATCACCAACTGAATGATCGACACAATGTAAGCGTAACCAGAATGGACATCCAAGTCGAAAAACCCAAAGACATATATGGATGGAGCAATATTTATGAAAAGACAAAGTAGCAAGCCCATCATTCTCCTAGTTAAGTGTTGACCACCTGGCCATTGTCTAGGTACGAAGCTCCATTCAAATATAGTAGCCACTATTTGAATAAGACAAGTGACAGTTCCTCCAAGAGCAACTGCGGATAATTTAGCCTGCGGGGTTGGAGGGTTGTTTAACAATTGAACGTAATCCTTAGTGTAGAGTGTTGGAGCATTGAAAGAGGTGAAGAACCAAAAAGATGACAAATGAATAATCCAAATACGATTGAAATTTGTAGCGCAATGCATCCATGTCCTTGTTTCTTTGTAAGTCTTGTAGAAAACTTTGGTCCATTGGACATCTTTGAGAAGCAAGTACCTTTGATCACGGGGCTTGTCTACCAGTCGCTCACCCGATTCGAGTAAGAGCCTTTCAATGCCTTCGGGGTACCAAAATAGTTGGTTTACATCATCATAGCCGATTATGTTTTTGTGATCTTTTTCTAGTCTTGTTAATTTACCATTTTTGATATCAACATCATAGACTTGAGATCTCAAAAATTTGTATAAAGGTGTGATGATTTCATTTAAATAAGAGTGCTCTGGTCTTACTTGCTGGCATTCATCATTTGTACTTAGATCGTGATCAAGAGCGCATTTGAAGATGAAGCATAGACATTCCGGCGTAAATCTTATCTGGTTTGCTTCCCCCCAGCATAAAAAATAAAGAGCCAATTGCCGCGCCATTTGCGCAGGCTCTAGCTCTCGCATCTTCAGCTTCCATTTATAGTCAGCGATTTTATAATTTTTGTCGTCTTTGAGCTGAGCTGGCGTCAATGAGATTTTGGGATGACTTTTGATAAATTCTTCTTCTCGGTCTTTCCATTGCACAATCTGTTCTTCAATAGACACTCCTCTTTTCTTGGCATAGTCAGAGTTGCGCTTCTTTGATTTCCCGTGAAGTTTCATGTTTTGGAAACCGATCTCGTCGTCAAGGTCCAACTGGGCGGCAAAATACCATTTCTTGAAGTTTGCCTCGTCTCCACCGATATACGAAGCGTGGAGTGTAATCAGTGCCATTTGGGCGTTCGAGCGGCTTGCGCGGGAATCCAATTGAGCCAAGAGGTGATGAAACATGTTCTCTTTGGACGATTGTTGGAAACCAAATTTTTGGCTTAGATCCTCAAAGATGTCCTTGAGTTCTGTTCTTGTGACTGGTACTTCATCATCCTGGCACCAGGCAGGGTACTGTACATCGATCAATGACATTTTGATATTCTGTTTCTTAGATCAGGAGATTGTTACAAGGGACACCATCTTTTCCCGTTTTTATAACTTAGCCGCCAGCTCCACAAAAACCAAAATAATAAAAAAAACTTTAAATTAAGGCGACAAGCCGGTAGCTACACCAATTTATTTATGATATGTTGAGTCATTCACATATATACAGTTGAGTACAGTCGTGATAAAATAAGCTTCCAGATGACAATTATTCTGCGCGGGCTTTATCTTTGAGAATACGTATGAGCTACATGAGTGACAGCTGTCTGACCTCAGACAAATGCCTACTTCCCTGTCTAATAAAACAGAGTCTTCAAGAGTTGTTGAGGTCGTGAAGAGGAGCTTGCGTCGTATTTCTTTCTCTTGGTGAGCCTAGAATTACTTGTAAATGCAGACTTCGATGAACCATCGTTGTACCTTGTTGAACGGTGGCGAACAAAAATGCAAGTGTGGCAACATGCCTGTAGAATGTGGTGTTCCAGATCATTATGCCAGAATTTTTACATAAAATTTGGTATGAATTATTGTTATGAGGTCCGAAGGCTACATTTAGCACCCAATTTGATGTATGTCATTTTATTACAATACGCTCTCGAGCTAAAAGCAGCAAGAACCAACGAGATACTCATATGAATAATGATCTCTTTGTTTTCTTTTTGACGCTTGCTGCTTTTTACTAAAAACCTAGCCCGCTTATTCGCGAGGCTTTGAAGATAAAGAGCTCTATGAACGTTATACTGCCGCGTAACTATGTATGTGGCATAATTGTGCGAAACATCGAGGCCGCTTTCTATTTCCCGTCGACGTGGGTAAACCACATGCCACTCTGATACGTAGCGCTTAGCGAGATCCAACGCCACTTCAAGAGAAAACCACCTCAGGTCAAAAGGGTCTCCAATGCACTCTTGTGAGCCAGGGCTTATCTGGTTTGCGACTTAACCAGGATTTTTCGAAACGGGATTTCTGACTAGCTAAAGCGAGGAACGCCATTGAGATTCAAGCCACGGGAAAGTGTCTTGGAAACAATTTTACGACGTCAAATTTTGTGTCTCTTTCACGAATGGCCTACAGTCTGACATTTGCTGTCCTGCGAGAAGGCAGATCTTGACTGACTGGAAATGAATGTGATTCGTAGATTACCATTGTGAATTTCCATAATCAAATGCGCTAAAACCCAAGCCACTTCTAATTGCAAGTAAGCAGATCTTGCTCCTGTTTTCAAAGCTCGATCGATCTTTTCGTTAGCGGGCTTGCAACTTCTGCAGTACAGATAGATATTCGAGCTTTTCGTTCAAGTCACTTCGATACCTGAAGGCGTATCTTTAAAGACATCATAGACCGTCCACTTCAAGCTCTTACAAAGCTTTATTTCACTGCCTTTGTTGTGATGGCCTTGTTTTTCAATTTCTAGTAAGACATGGACCTTTTCCTACTTCCTAGCCGCCGAAAAATTATTCAATTCTAAGATCGAGGTCGATAACCGCTACTTCATATCATGAATGTGGGACTTGTTACAACTGCGGGCATGTTCAGCCTTAAAAATCTGAACGGTTGACTCTTAACAGTCCCGACTAAGAGAAGAAAGGAGTTTCGCGAAAGGAGTTTCGCGATGGAGGTTTATGTTGATCCCCAAGATTTGGATTCAATTACAAGACGCACTGATTCTCTGGTTCAGGCATCAGGGCAGAAAGCTCCAGCCGCAGGCCTAATGATTCCACCCAATCAGTATACGGGTTTTCAATTCCACAGGCTCCAGAACTTAACGCATTACGCGACACGCGAACTCATTTAGCTTGCAAAGAGTGGCATTCTATTCAGCCAGGAATTTAGAGTGATACTCGCCGCCGCCCGACAACAATCTGGTTCCCTACATTGTATGAACAAAGCGTTTCTGCCAACAATGTGTCAAGAATTTGTCCGTCGAGAACCACATACTCGTCTAGTTTCACGCATCACATCTTTTTAACTGCAATTTTCGCATCTCAGTCAGTTTCACCTCACGACAAAATTTACGCTTTTACTGCTACAAGTAAGAAATGGCGCTGTATTCCCCACAACCCGCCAGACCCTCATGTGGTTACACTGGCCTCCCTTCCCCTTGTGGCTAGATCTCAATCTGAATCCAATAGTGCAAGAAAATTTTTTCATTCCACACGTTCCGGTACCCGTGCAACGAGTGTCCACCGCGATGTATTCTATCTGCCATGTACATCTTTCCGTGCTTACGACTACGTCAATCTTACTCTTTTGGTAGGAATCACCGATCTCTACCGTTCGTTTACTACCTACTTGGGAAAAAACTAACTAATACCACCAACAACAACGCTCCTTGCCAACCACGAGAAGTTAACTGTTTTGGGCAACCTGAAAAACTTTCCTCAGGAAACCTCGAGTACTTATCGAAAAAGTTTTATCGACAAAACGACGTCGAGGCCTTTGAGAAAATTTGTTAAAATTTAGATGGTTATAATCTAAGAATTTTGAACTTGGATAACTTCCTTCTGGTCTCGTTTCAGTCTTTTAACTCTCGCCAAGTCCAACTGCCAGTCTTTCCTTAACCACCCAAACAGCGAACTTCGAGATCTCAAAGAGTATCCCAACTATACTTTTGAGCCCCCCACCAGAAATCGATTTAGCTTTCGTTCCCCCACTTTATTACTCTAGACTTCAAATGCGTATTTCTCAAGTCTTTTCCTCCACTGCTCTAGCCGGTGTCGCTTTGGCTACCCCCATGGGCCACGATCACGCAGCCCACAAGAGGGACGTCGCGTACGTGACCAACGTCCAGACCACCACCGTTTTCGGTACTGCTCCTCAGCAGATCGGCGGTGCTTCCACCACTGTGGCCCTTGATAGTTCGAACACTATTGCTCAACAGGCGGCTACTCAAACGTCTTCCTTGTCCGAGGTTTCCAGAGGTGTTGAGGCTGCTCCAAGCTCGGCCCCAACCTCCACCGCTTCGGCTTCAAGCTCCAGCTCCAGCGCCGCTGCTACTTCTTCGGCTGCTGCTTCTTCATCGGCTGCTGCTTCTTCGTCTTCCTCGTCGGCATCTCCAAGCTCTTCGTCGTCGGTTGGTTCTGCCGGTGCCAAGGGTATCACTTACTCTCCTTACAGTGACTCTGGTTCGTGCAAGGACGCTTCTCAAATCGCTTCCGAGGTAGCTCAGCTTTCCGGTTACGACATTATCAGACTTTACGGTGTCGACTGTGACCAGGTCTCTGCCGTTTTGCAAAGCAAGGCCTCGAACCAAAAATTGTTCTTGGGTATCTACTACGTCGATGCCATCTCTGATGGTGTCAGCACCATGAAGAGCGCCATTGAAGCTCATGGGTCTTGGGATGACGTTTACGCTGTCTCGATCGGAAACGAGTTGGTCAACGCTGGCTCTGCTACCGTTTCCCAAGTTGGCAGTTATGTCTCCGAGGGTAGATCTGCCCTCACTTCTGCCGGCTACAGTGGCTCAGTGGTCTCTGTTGACACTTTCATTGCTGTCATCAACAACCCTGGTTTGTGTGAATATTCTGACTTCATGGCTGTGAACGCTCACGCCTACTTCGACTACAACACCGCTGCCGAGGACTCTGGTACTTGGGTCATGGAACAAATCCAAAGGGTTTGGGGTGCTTGCCAAGGTAACAAGAACGTCTTGATCACTGAATCAGGCTGGCCATCCCAGGGTGAAACTTTGGGTAAAGCTGTTGCCTCCAAAGACAACCAAAAATCTGCCGTGGAATCTATCAGCGCTTCGTGCGGTAACTCAGTTATTCTGTTCACCGCCTTCAACGACTTGTGGAAGGCTGACGGCGCTTACGGCTGTGAAAAATACTGGGGAATATTGTCTAACTAGAGATGTTAAACGCTCCCGATCTTTTCTCCCATTAGGGTTAATTTTTTTCCTCTTTCAGTTCAATTTTTATCAAATTTCCAGCACCCTCAGCTTTGAGTTTTGTTTGGTTCGATACTCTTTCCGGTTCATTGCCATTGGGCTACATACCCTGGGTATCTTTAGATACCCTCTTTCGTTATTTTAGAAGACACTTAGTTTTTAAATAACTTTATTTCGAAACATGGATTATTACTTAATTACAATTATGTAGAGGGATGGGTAGATGGAAAAGATTGTTTTACCTGCGGTGATCGCGATCTTCGGGAGGGAGTCCGAGATCTTCGTCTTATGGGCGTTCTTGATCTTCGTCTTGTTGGTGTCCTTGATCTGCGTCGCGTTGGGGTTCTTGAGCGCCGCCTCGTCGGAGTTTCAGCACTTGCTGTCTTCGACCTGCGAGCCCGATTAAATTTCTCCCAGGTCCTTGAGGTTTGATCCTCTTCAAGTTTCACAACATCCTCCTCGTCTTTGTGTTCATTCACTTCCTCATCATTTTCATTTTCTTGAATTGCTAGTTTCTCACTTTCAAGCGCCTGCCGCATTTTGTCTGTCAATGGCCCTAGTCCAATGGCAGTGAAGAAATTGATAGAGAATCTAGTACTGTCGATGTCATGAAGCGGGAACATATTGACCAGATATGGAAGGATATATGGTTCATCAAGCCGTTTTTTCAGCTCTTGAACGCCTAAATCAAGCACCAATTCTTGAAACAAAAATTTCAAATATACTCTACCTGCCGATGTTGTCTCGTCGACATTCATGTGAACAGTTTTGAATACTTCCAAGCCAACATAGTCCGAAGCCAAAATGTGGCCCCATAGTTTCCCCATATTTCGTACTTGAGTTGCGTTGTATCCGTCAACCTCATTGTAATTTTTCTCGAAATTTTGACTAAACGCACTTTTCCAACTTTGATGGCTTGAACATAACCTTTCCGCAGTAATACCGTAGAATTTAGAGTACGTTGTTTCTTGTGAGCATGCCATTATAAGAGTCTCTGCAACAACGCTTTTCTCATCATCTGGGATTCTCAGCTTCAATAACTTATGGGCCGCTTCGTCACCAGAAAGTGACCCCTTTAAGGTCAGATAAACTTTCTTTTTAAACTCCAGTTCCTGACTTTGTGTTTTATCGTTGAAGTTTGTGATGTTCGTCTTTTCAATAGGCTTCTCCTCATAAAAAGCTTGATTCAGTTTGATAGCTTCGAATTCGTCCTCTTTGGCGGAAAAATCTTGATCGTAAATGAACTCATCTAGGTTTTCATTGGGTTGTAATAGATTGCCATCGAAATCTATTAAAAATGTGTGTATAAGTGGTTCATGTCGAGGCAATCGTATTTTCTTGACGGCAGTATGGTAATCCCGTTTGCGTAGCTCGAAGAGCATGTCAAACTCCTTGCGCATATTTTTGTCAGCATTATTATCCTGAACGTGCGTTCTGATACTCTCATAAACAAGGTCGTGAGCCGTTTTAGCTACCGCCGAAAGTTCTCTTCCACATTGACGCAACACCTCTATAGCTAACCTGATGGAGTGCGAATTAGGGTGCTCCATAATCACATGAAGAACTTGCAACACAACGATTTCGTGTGCCACATCGTAGTTGAAGAGTTGTGAAATGAGACTGGCCATGGAATAGCATCCTGCAGCGTCATTTCTTTCAAACGAAGACAAGAACCGCAACGTGGTTTCTTCCACCAAAAGCAATCCAGCAGATGAAATTTGTGAGTTTATCAAGCTCGCCACCGCCGCCAAAGCCTCATTATTGCCGCCTCTCAATGATTTTTGCAAGATAGCATTGACCAGCAGTCGCTGGCCACGCACCAAATTAACTGCAAACAGGGCTTGGAAGGTCGGAAAAACAGTACCAGTATTGAGTACATCAATGGCAGACGATACGTTGCTTTTTATGCGCTCCCAATCTTCTTTTTGAAGGGTACTGTCAGGCTTTTCGTCAGCGCTCATCTCTCGTCTTTTCTGCAGATAACTATAACTTTAATTATGGTCAGTTTTCATCTTAATTACTAGAAGCTGAAGAACTACTCTACAAATAACGAAACGATATTCTCCTCTGTACACGATTTTCAAGAATGCCATTGGTAGCATTAGTTCTTAAGGGATTGCGAACAACATGCGTGGAAAGACTGAAAGGAGCCATAGAAGAGCTTTTGCCAATCCTGAAAGACGATGGGTCTACGCTGGATGTTATTCTCACTGAACAAATCAAGTACTCCGAAGACCTCGATTATATTTTGGGCCATCTCTATAGCAGCATTCGAGAGATTCTACTGTCAGGAAACCTTTATGAGACCCCTGTCAATGTACTGTTCAACCAGGACGCTCGTTGGCTGAAAAAACACATGTGGGACTTGATAGTAGTGGACACCGCTCTCCACCCTCTTATACTTGATTACAATTTCAAGAAGGTGAAGACTGTGGATCTAGCAAAGCCAAATATAGACAGTGACACCGAAGTGAAGCATGAGAAAAACGACGAAGAGCATTATACCGTGAGTGCTTTGGGCGGAACTTTTGATCATCTTCATGATGGCCACAAGATTCTCTTAAGCGTGGCAACTTTTTTAACGTCGCAAAGATTAATCATAGGAGTCACCGATCAGGAGCTGCTGCAGAATAAAAAGTTTCCAGAGTTTCTTGAATCCTTCGAAATGAGGGCCAAAAACGTCACAGGATTTGTTAATCGAGTCAAGCCTACCTTGAGGGTTGAAGTAGTACCTTTGAGAGATGTTTGTGGACCGACAGGAGCCGTCCCAGAAATCGAAAGCCTTATTGTTAGTCGGGAAACAGAGTCGGGCGGTAGGTTCGTAAATGCAGTGCGAAAGGAAAAGGGATTGACCACGCTTGCGGTTCACGTAGTCAATGTTCTCGGCGGGCAGGAGGAAGACGGTTGGAAAGAGAAGCTCAGCAGCACAGAGCTGCGAAAGCGCAAAATCACATACAAATAGCGAGCTCAGTTCACACTAATCAGCAGAACGTATATAGTGGCTCTTTACAAACGTTACTCTAATTTTTGATAACCATTGGCCTGTCGTGGTATGTCTGAGTCCTGGTCCGATCGGGATGATCCATGCAAATATAATCTAGATTGTTCAAAACATCAAACAACACAATTTCACGTAATTCTTCATCTGTGTAGCCATGAAGAGACTTGAAAGTTAAACCATTATCTGAACTGATGGTTATTCCAAGTTTGATTTTCGAAAATTCTTTGCGTCCTAACCCAAACTTAGCGTGCAAACGGTCTCTGGTTTCAAGGCAGTTTTCCCCTGGTATAAGGTTAAACAGGAAAGAAATCCCATGTCTGTTTTCGAGGTCTTTGAAATACTGGATCACGATTACAAGCTTTCCATTTATTACATTAGCTTTATTGTTCAGTTGATCCAAACCGTCTTCTTCAGCTTCATCCATCGAATCGAGATTTTCTAAAGACACCTCTTCAAGTTGATTTACCAGGGCCAATTCGTCCGGTAGTATTCTGCCAAAGAAGAGAAACGACTCGGCTAGCTCCTCAAAGACGTTTTCCTTTGACAAAATGCCCTGAAACTTGAAGTCGCAGTTAGTCCATAAAAGAACAGACTTTGCCTGCTCCTCATCGAAACCAAGTCTTTTTTGCAGCTTTCCCATAAATTCACTTATGGTACACGAATTTGGAACTCTAAATTCATACGGTTGGTAATGAACATAGCTGTCACTTAGCCAATAGAATTTAATCGATCGCAAGTGCTCAAATTCCTTTAAAGGTATCGATAAAACCTCAAACTCGAAAGGAGGAATGGAGTCCCGAGTGTAGTTCTTTACAAGGAAATCTGAAATCAGACAATCTGATTTTAGAGCAAAACGCCCATTTGCGTATACAGCGAACGTTCTTATGTTTGATGGATTTAGCTTAGTTCCTGCAGCAATCATGTTGACAAGGTCTTGGTAAGAGGCCTTCGCTGAAATCCAGATACTCAATTGATCGACATCGTTGTCGTCTTTCACAACAGCGTATTCTTCTTCGGTGTTAGCGGTTCTTGTCAGTGCTATGTTGATTCTGTATCTCAGAAAGTCATAGTGACTCAAAATCGAGATTGAGTTATCACTTTCTTTGGGATTGCAGATCGAAAACGCTAGTATATCGCCATCAACCAATTCTGAGGTTATGAACTGCATTTTTTCATCAACAGCCTCGATCGTGTCAGGTTGAAACTCTTCGAAAAATGAATATTCTTGATTAATCGAGCACAGGCTTCTTAGGATACCAGATACCTTTGATATCTGGTCGATTTGCTTTACAACAACATGACCAAACCCTTCGAGACGGCATTTATCAGAATTGTAGGCTTTTAAAAAAACCAACACCGTGTGAGAATCATCATCAAGTGATCTTAGACTTGTTGAAGAATCAGGTAAATTACCCTCTGAGGCAGCGGCCCTTAATTCACATATAGTTTCAGAAGTAAGCCTCGAGAAAGGTACTGTCTTCGAAGTAACGATTTCGTTCAAAAAATTGAGCTCCAAGTATGGCTCTTCGACAAAAATGTCAATAGAACCAGCCCGTGAAATCCCCAACTTGTGAATCACTTGCTCCAAAGGTAAATTATCTAAGTCAGGACTCAAAATAGATTCCAATCGTAAGGTATAGTTTTTTCTGTAGCTCATAATCCAATAATTGATGCTACATGACCTGGGAAGACTCATTTTTTTTGATATTTCGTTCTTGACATCCCTAAGCTTTGTAGACTTCAAGACGCGCAGTGATTTTGAATACTCGCCCTGGCCATGAAGCTCAGAACTAAAAAGTTTGGACCGCTCATTTGGCGACAAATCGAATCCCTGATAGTTGACAAAATTGCTCATGGAGTGAATGTGCACTTTTGTGAACAGATGCATTTCTTCAAGTTCTTTCCTTCTCTTCTCGCGCTCTTGTAGTTCTTTTTCTATACTAGTAACAATGTGCACTGGGACATCAACGTCAGAAACGTCTTCCAAGACCTTGTCTTCCATGTCTTCCCTAATGTAAACAAGCATGTAAGCACTTGTTTGCCGCGCTATCAGGTAATTTTGATACTGTTCTCGAGTAAGAGTCCTGAGCTTTTCATCCGGCAAACTTTCATGACCAAAGTTTTCATCAAATGCTTGCTTCTTAGTAACTCTCCATACTTTGTCATCATCAAACCTAAACCATTGATCTTTAGTGCTGGGCTTTATCATAGCATAATAGTGGCCAACTGATATATCCCCTGAATGAACTAAAACACAATGTAGATTATACTTGCAAGGTATGGATCCCTGCTTTTTGATCTCTGGATCGAGGTAAGGCGCGAGGTCTATGGTTTCAGGGTATTCGTATCTATCATTGATTTTAACCAATTGGTCGTAGTTAAAATCATACTCAAACCTTTTCAATTGCAAATGGAGCACAGGTGGGTAGCTCTCGAACACAACACCTTTTTTGGCATCCTGAAGACCATAATCCTGAGCGGCGTATTGGTTTTCACCGTCCATCATCTCTACCTCAACATAGTTCTCAAATGACTGTTGGACACCTTTCAAATTTTTGACATTGAGTTGAATATCCCAGAAGTCTTCAACTCTTGACGATTCGTACTTTACGTTGACACATCTAATATAACTCTTCATTTTACCCACAAATAGTTCACTAAGGACGCCTTCTACCTCTGTTCCTTTCATTCGGGTCTCGAGCCTGTCCATTAATATGCGGTTCAGCTCCTGAACATCATGCTGCGTAAAAGCGTCGCCAGTATCCCAACCAAATGACCTTGTAAGTTCCAAAGTATCAAGGGGTTCCTGGGATTTTTGCAAAAGGAAAAAAGAGCGTTGTAATGCTAACGACACGCTATCGTTAGGCGACTCCTTATCTGAGGGAATCTTGTATACGACTTTGCGGAATATCTTGGTGAAGAAATAAGACTGCAACAATGAATTGAGATAGCAAGTGGCTCCCTGGTTTTTAAACCCAATATAACCTGTGAGCTTTTTCGAGTCGTAGTTCAAAAAGTTGTGCCACATGACGCCTGTGGGGTCATCTAGAATGCGTACAAAGACTGAAACATTAAGTTGGTTGTCGGCAAGAAACCCAGAATTTCGAGAGGATGTGCGCTTTTTCAAAGTGTCTAACCCGATGAAACTGGCAAAACCCCAATCAGTGTCTGTCGCGCAAAACCTGTGGTGCGACACATTGAACAATTGGCACTTGACATCTTCGCCGGGTCTCGAAACGCCAATTGCAAACTGAGCACAAACGTGCCAGTCTGCATTGTCCAATTTTTCGGTTTGTGTGTTTTCATCGCTTTTGATCTCGCTGGGACGAGGCTCTAGATACATCGATACACCTTTGTTGTGATTGCCCTGGGGAAACAACAATACACTCCATTCGAAGTCACCAACTTTGAACCTAGGCGATGCATGCTTGTCCTGTGTGAGCAGGTTCCAATCAGAAATGTGCCACGTGAACGCTCCTTCACATTGCGTTTCCTGTGAATCCAGTTCAGGCAAAACGTCGTCTATAGTTTTGCCCAACTCGATAAGGTGGCCAACAGTACCAACGTAAGTATCCTCTGTTGCAGTTTCAGCCATGATTAAAGACAGTGACGAAATGAATTCTGAAAGAGTGTCAGAAGGTATTGATTAACCTTGGTAATGAGGTAGAATTTGAAGATTCAATAATACTTTTAACGTTTAAAGGGCTCCCCTTAAAATTTGAGATGTCTGTTACCCGACATTACGAGGTTGAGTACATATGTACTCAGGATGCTCCGTCTTTACAAAAGTACATTGATACTCACAATTTTCAAGTTCCACGATCTTTACTATTGGCAAACCCTTGCTTCCTTAAACTCTGTTTAGAGTATTAAGGACACTAACGACTTACCCATGCTACCAGCTGCGGTAAAATGGCCTATAAGGTCAGTCGTGCGCTCCAGTTTTCACTGGAGCTCTCTCAATGTATTAAGAGTTAGCTCTAAGCGTTTAATCTCAACTGAGATCCAACAAAAAGACGAACAAGCTGGTGAATCTAATACTGCCACTGACACAGGTGTTATTCATAAGACGGAGGAAGAAACTCTTCTGTATTTTGACAATGTCTATCCCCGTGCAACATCTCTCTGGAGTCCCACTCAATGGTATAACGCTTTGCTGTCAAATCAATCTCGGGACGCAGTGCGTTCCAAGATCTTAGAATACGCCAGCCCCAAAAGTAATCCAATCCACGGCCTTGAACTTAGGTCTACTATTCCGGTCAAAAGGGATGGCGGCGTTTTTGCCACTTTTTTGGTTCCTCCAAGGTACACCGTTGCTGAGGTCAATTCAATGATTCAAAAAAACACTGCTGAGGAGTCCTCTAGATCTATTACGTCTTTTGTCACCACAGCCGCTGCGTTTCCAGTGAAGGGCTCTCCCTGGATAGAGGATCTCCGCAGACTGCCCAGCACTATCATCAAAATCAAATTTGAGGGCCAGCCTCTCATTGAAGAGGAAATCTATTCTTTATTCAGAAGATATGGCACCATCGTTGATATTTTCCCACCAAAAAAGGGTGAAAGTACCGCAACCTTAAGATATCGCTCGTTCCGCGGTGCCATTTGTGCCAAGAATTGTATTTCAGGTATGGAGATTCACAATAGCGTGATACATGTCCAATATGAAAGACTCGCAAACGAACATATGGTAAGAGATTTTTTCCTGAATCACACCAGAATAGCTATACCACTACTGATTGCCATTTTGTCCATTGTTGCTGTACTCATTTTTGACCCCATTCGCGAATTTTCTATTCAGCAGAAGATCACGCATCAATTTTCTCTTTCAAGGGATAATTACTTCATAAAGGAATTCTTCAAGCTAACCTCCTATACCGTTTCTTCTTTCAGAAGCTTCTTGGGTACCCAAAATGTAGAGACTAACAAGAAACAGTTGTGGGAAGAGCGTATCGAAAAAGTGAGTGATTTGAGAATGTGGCTGGAAGAGAATAACAATACTTTTGTGATTGTCAGAGGACCCCGAGGATCCGGTAAGCATGATCTTGTTGTTCAGCATACTCTCCACGATAGACCTAATGTCCTTTACTTGGATTGCGATAAGTTAACCAAGTCAAGAACTGACTCGAAATTTTTGATGAATGCTGCCGCCGAAATCGGATATTTTCCTATCTTTCCGTGGGTCAATTCGTTGACCAATGTGATGGACTTAGCTGTGCAAGGGCTGACTGGTCAAAAAACAGGATTATCCGAAAGTAAAGAGACTCAGTTTAGAAACATGTTAACTACGGCATTGATGTCCATTAGACAAGTCGCCTTAAAGGGGTACCAGCCAGTGATTGGCAGCGGTGACGATGCTATCACCATGAAAGAAGAGGACTACTTACAACAACACCCAGAGAAGAAACCTGTCATTGTTATTGATCGCTTTAACGACAAGTCTGAAATGAATGGATTTGCGTTCAAAGAATTATCTGACTGGGCTGCTATGCTGGTTCAAATGAACATTGCTCATGTCATTTTTTTGACCGAAACGGTGTCTCCAAACCAACTTTTGGCAGACTCTCTCCCAAACCAAGTTTTCAAGACCTTGGTGTTATCTGACGCATCTAAAGAGTCTGCTCGCTCATATGTTTTAGCGTCTTTAGACCACGTTGAGTCTAACAGTGACGATGAAAAGTCCCTTACACCTATGGAAATCTCAGATGAGGTAAAGAAAGAGATCGATGCGTCGCTTGAGCCCCTTGGTGGCAGAATGCTTGATCTGCAAGCATTTGTAAGAAGGGTCAAATCTGGCGAAAATCCAAAAGAAGCTTTAGATAAAATGGTCGAACAAGCCCTGGAACAAATTACTCAAATATTTTTGGCAGAAAACGTCGAACAAACTAGGAGTGCTCAAGCGTGGGAACTAATAGAAATGCTAAGCAAACAACCAGTTGTTCAGTTCAAGAACATCGTCTTCAGGCCATTGTTTAAATCTGCGCCTGAAGCCGGTCTTCTGGAGTTGGAGAAAAACGGCCTAATAACAGTTTCAAGAGACCGAGGTGTTTTGAAAGAAATCAGACCAGCAAAACCCCTTTTCAGGGCGGCCTTCAAGTACCTATTAAACAGTAATGAGCTTTCCAGTGTCCTTGAAACCGGCTATTTATTGAAGGTGATAAACTTCGAAACGAAGCGAATCCAGAAGTGGGAGGAGGAGTTGAGATCTTTAGGCAAAGTCAGTGACACCAAGATGTTCAAGAGCCGACTGTCCTACCTTGCCGGTAAGATTGATGGTAGTAGTGACAGCATTAATCAATGCGAAGAAAAGATCAAAGAACTTGCTAAACTCTCCAATCAGAAATGACCGAGCCTTGATGACAAATCATATTCCCCTACTTGTACATAAATCTAAATTCATAACGCAAGAAGTTTATATTTGAAGCTTGATATTAATGAAAGCGTCCTTGAAGTGAAAGCAAATAAAGATGTTACTGATTGTTTTAGCATACCGCCCAAATATGCAATGCAGTTGCTATGATGTTGTCCTATGAGCACTGTGGGATCCTGTTATTCTTTAGGTCATTTCTCCCTGCTTTTAATCATTTGTTTGATGGCACTCGAATCAAGCAAACGACACCGCCACAGTCCGTTCAAGATTAAGTCCCTTCAAATTTGTACACCAACAGAAACAGTTCACCAACTTCGTGGCTAAACTCTGAAGAAGAGCCGTTAATCAGAGGACCAATCACCGCCCTGGTAGGTCAAGCCATTGAAGTCACTGCAATTCTTCTATATAACGCTGAGCCACATGAGAAAGAGAAGAACGATCTAAACGCTGAACGATGAGGTCTTGCCTTGTTTGTTTCAGTCTATCTTTTACCCTCGAGACCTTAAGCTTAGAATTTTTACTTGCACATACCGCTATTATTCTCTTGGAGTCATCCTGAATCATCCTCAAATGACTAAAAATTGCATGGAAGACTAAAGAGAACAATTCAACAAGTTCAACCAGAGTTGATGTTAATGAGCTGATGAAAATGAAGCTAAGAAACACTATATATACCGAATACTGGGCATGCAATATGTTGGTATTTGAAACACAAAGTTGGTAGCATTCATACCTTTCTCTCACCAGCATGTCATCGGCGAAATCAAATGATGCCTTGAGCACAGTTTCTGTGGCCGAAAGTACCAATCAGAAACTTTCCCGAAACTTCGGATGGCTTTCGCTGTTAGGTATTTCTTTTTCTCTCACAAACTCGTGGTTAGGTGTCTCATCATCACTAGTTGTTGGTCTTTCCAGCGGTGGTCCACTTCTGATTGTTTATGGATTGATCATCGGGATGTTCTTCACTTTTATGTGCGGCTGGTCACTCGCTGAGTTTTCCTCAATGCTCCCAAGCAGCAGCGGAGCTTGTTTCTGGGTTTTGAAAATGCTCGAAAGAAGACAAGACGCGATAAAACCTATCGAAGACTTTGCACAGCCTTTGAGCTCAGATAACGAGACAGAGGAGATCAACCTTCAATGGGCCTGCACTACAACAAATGTGGAGATTACTTCGTCGTTTCAAAGATCAATGGCTTTAGTAGTTGGCCTCATCAACTACTTTGGCGCGATCTTCACGACAGCTAGCGTATTTTCTTCTTTGGCGCTGAGCATCCTTGGCGTTCATTCCCTTCTAAACCCGGACTACCAGCTTAAACACTGGCACATTTTTATTACTTACGAAATCCTTAATGTGCTGCTTACTTTCATCAACTGCTGGTCTGTAATACTCCCTCTTTTATCCCAATTCGGACTTTACATGTCAGTGCTAACCTATTTGATAACTTTTATTATTTCGATGGTGTGCCGCAGTAACAATACAGATATTGCTTGGCCCAAGTCTAACGAGGTATTCGGAGAATTTAGAAACACGACGGGATGGAGTTCATCCGCTATGGCATTTATTGTCGGACTCATCAATCCACTGTGGGCATATGCTGGAATTGATTCCGCCACACATATGGTCGACGAAGTTGGTTACAAGCAATCGAGAAAGCTTGTTCCTAGAGCTATAATAAGCACTATTCTCATCGGTTTTGTGACCAGCTTCACATATGCAATTGGCATGTTTTTTTGTATCACAGATGCCGAAAAGGTGACTGAATCAATTTTACCGATATTAGAGATTTACTACCAAGCCACTGGTAATAGAAACTTGAGCGTATTCATGCAATGTTGCTGCATTTTAACAGGTATTACCTGCGGGATTGCCAGTGTCACTTGGCAAAGTAGAATATTGTGGAGTTGTGGTAGAGATTTTTCCAAGCTTTCCGAGGAAAGACCTATGTCTCGCAAAGTAATGGGATTCTTTGGTATGGTGAACCCTCAACTCAAGGCTCCGTTGAATTCTCACCTGTTTTCTCAGCTGCTTGTAGCTGTGATAGGCTGTATCTTTATGGGATCATCGACAGCATTCAATGCCATTATTACAGCTTGCATTACATTGTTGCTACTGACCTACGCTATTCCTTGCACTATTTTGTTTTTTGTGGGTAAGGCCTCTTTCTACAGCCGTATCAGAAAAGAGCTCGCGAGTCTAGGCGTCTCTACGAAGGGCTTTCCAGTGACCAGCAAATTTGGATACATTCCCAACACCCTCACGATTTGTTGGGCCTTGTTTTGCTTAATTTTCCTATCTTTCCCTTATAATCTCCCCGTTGATTCTGCGAGTATGAACTATGTCTCTGTGGTATATGGTGCAGTTGGCCTGCTCGTCGGTATTATAGTAGTTTTGTAATCTTACATAATATATTTTTGGTAGTTATCGTGAACTTTGCGACTCAACAACTTTTCCTTCCCTGCTAAGCAGTTGATGTTTGAGCAACAAACTCCACTTAAAACCACCGAGAGAGCCACTCGAACCTATGACTCGGTGACAGGGAATAACCAACGGCAGCGGATTAGCGCCACAAGCGTTTGCTACAGCTCGGAAGGAACGTGGTGTTCCTAATTCAATTGCAATTTGTTTGTAAGTCGTCGTTTTGCCCCAAGGGATCTTGATCAACTGTTCCCATACAGCTCTCTGGAAGTTAGTGCCGTAAAGGTACTCCGAGCATATATGATTTTCGGAGTACCCATTTAGCAAGTTTTCGAAACTTTCTCTAATGTTCGAGAGGTCTTTTAACGTGTCTTGTTCAAGTACATACTTAGTTCTTAAGCGCCTAAAGATGCGATTCAAACATCTTTCTATTTCACTAAGCATGGTGTCCCGGTCGGAACCTAAGTTCACAAAAACCAGACACGAGGTGCACTTCCGCGCAACCAAAATAGCGTCTGCAAGTTGCCCTCTGGCAAATGTGAAAACTAATTCTTCTGGCATTAGCTACCTGAATTGCGAAATGCCATAGATTTCTAATGCCACCGGCCCTGTCATGTTTAATTTATATATGGGAAGAAATCACGATCGTTGGCGTCAAATTCTAAATTCCAAATTCTAAAATCTGTATTCTACATTTCGATGCGAATCATGCAACATAACAAGTGTCTTAGTTAGTGAAGGTAGAACACTATTTACCACCATTCTAAAGGGCAAAACAAGTTCTGTTGGGACGTGAGTAGTCACTAGCCAAGTATATAATGACATAATAGTACATAGTGATATATGAAAACGGCGAGAGCGCTTAATGCTATCTCGTATTTCAAGTCTTTGACCTCAGAAGTTTACCCAGAGACCCAGCCTTTAGTGATTACTTGTAAATAGCCCAAACGGAGCAAAGTGCTGATGCACTTGCTTCCCTTCTTTTCTTTTTTTTGATTTACAGCTCAGGATTATATCATTACCATTTGTCTGTCCTTAGAACAAGACATCAATTTCGCACAGAAAGAATTTCAGAAAAGATTTAGAACTGTCATCTACGCATTAGCTCACTCGATTAATTATGAAAGAACCAAAAAAAATAACTGGCAAGCTTTGGATTGCTGAAACAGACTTATTAAGAAGTTCAATGCTTGAGCTGAATTTTGCAAGAAGAGTGGCTTTAGGTGAGCTTGTAATGCTTTGAAAATGCTCAAAAGCTCAAACACCTCAGTTTTGATATGCTATTAATCTGCGGACACGAGCGTCATTTTGCTTACTTCTTCATATTAACTTCACCTCGTTGTATAGATACTCCTCTGTGCATGGGGCAGTATATTAGATATATTAAGTTATTACGAGGAAGTTTTCTTTTTCTTAATGCGTTATCAATACATCATGTTTAAATGAAATTGTTTAGAGGCTTTTTATTAGGCTGTTGTATGCATTAGTAGTTAGTTACTCTAAACAGTTATTTCCTCTTCCTCGATATAAACTCCACCTATCTCTTAGTTGCCGATGTAACGTAAAGCAGAAAATCAACTCTCCACAAATCAGATTTGCCTTCACAACTATAAGGATACTTTGGCTATATAATTCTAGATAGTTTTGATATATATCTAGTGTCAGTAGTAGTTAGCTTGCTGAACAGCTTATTTTATGTTGTTTATGGTATGTCTAATCATTTTGTATTAGAATCTGTGATTTAATTCTCTTCTTAAGTTCTCTCAGCTATGAAATTATTTCTTGAGTGAAACAACTGGTCGATATCAATATAGAAACTGATTGGCCGTAAAGATTCTTACCCTATCTTGAACAATCGCACGGTACATCGTGTGGCACTTCAGACAGTGCCCAATGAGCTAGCATTTGAGAAGCAGACCAGTTTAGACTATTGTCAGGTATCTGTCGTCAAAGCTAGATGATGCCTCGAGTTTTTCATCGACCGACTATATTTGGCCGACATCACTCTGTACTATTATGTCACACTTTTTGGTGTACTTTTTGATCCTATTCTGTTCTACACACTTAAACAATTAACGCTATCTTTTAATAGTTCAGCGATCCTTGAAGAATATCGGTGCAATAAGAAGAGATGTCACCTATCGGTAAAGAGGGCGCTACTAATTGGTTACTCAATACAGTGTAAAGCTCGATTTGTACAGTGAGCCCTGTTTGATGGCGCTGCTTAGAAGGTGTTGTCCTTGCCCTCAGATAAGTCTCTCGCACTGAATCCTTAGTCGGCGCTTACCTACACTCACAAACGGTCGCTTCGTTTCAAATTTCTATTTAATATTGGCCTCTCTACGTGATACTAATCTTTCTTATCACCAATGCGTTTCCATTTTCCCACAAACCAATCCGCAATAGGATCATTATGACTTTTATCTACGTACTCTCCGTTTTTTATGTCTTCCTGAGCCACCTTATCAGTTAATGGGGGATCTCTTAGGCAAAGACCGCATACGAATAGCGGCACGGTGAAAACCAGAGCGACAATGGTCTCATAACGCTGAACTTCCCTGTAAGCCTCCATCATTGCATTTCGCTCTGATGTGCCCCAGGTGTATTCCAGAATAAACTCAAAAGGAGCACTGTAAGCAGCTGTGGCCATATTCACGTCTTTCAACCTTGTTACCAAAGCCTTGTACAAAGTTTGAGTCCATATAGCACCCGAGACAGCAGCACCTGTAGCCAATCCAATTCGGTACAGGGTGTAATTCAACGCCGTGACAGTTGCCATGTTATCATGAGAAGTCACAGATTGAACCGATATTGTAGTAGGATAAATCAACAAAGTGTCTCCCAGACCCCAAATTACCATAGCTGCTACAATCCCTGAATGAGCAGATTCTCCGCCTCTGTAGTGGTAGAAAAGACCCATGGCAAGTGCCCATATCCCGCAACCGCCTACAATATAGCCTTTCAGTCTAGTGCATCGCGTAATCCATATTGAGAAAAACGTTGATGCAACCGTCGAGACAAAGCTCGACAGCGAATTAATAACGGTCGCAGACTTTACAGTTTCATTCACTGCGACAATAAGGATTGTGTAGATGTAGCCTGCAGCCAGGTTATAAATGAAACCGATTAAAAATTGACAACCTAGTGCTCCCCAAATGGCCCTGTCCTTTACGAGGTTATAAGGCACTACCGGGTACTTGGACCACTTGCTTTCCCAAACCAAAAAAATTGGTAGAAGAACAAATCCTAAGACCAAAGGGCCTATCAAGTGAGAATTTGCCCATTTCGCCTGGGTCCCTCCAGCAAGTGTTAGCGGGGAAAGAATACACCCCACAGAGGTAGTCATTAAAAGTACTCCCAAAACGTCTAGTCTCCAAAAAAGTTCAATTAGGGTCTTGACTAGGCCATCAGCCTGATAAAAACTCTTCTCTTCCGCTAAAATAGCCCACTGTTCGGTCCGTCTCGCCTTGAGCCTCATATGCACCATACAGCAGATGATTGGCAACGTCGACAATGGAATTATGAACGCCCACATCGCAATACCCCAGCGCCATTCTGCCTGAGGCTTTGCACGGGCCGTTATTGTACCAGCAATCCAGGTGTTGATCATTGTTGGCCAGCAAGGCGCAAATTGATACAGAAGTCTCCATTTCAGTGACGAAAAGTCTGAGAGGATGAGAACCAGCATGAGCAGAATGCCAACGTACCCGGTGCTCCAAAATACCGATCCCGCTGCGTACCTCTGAATATCAGTGGCTTGAGATTGGATAATGGTTCCAATGACATAGAATACTATGGCAGTGATAAACAGTGATAATCTACCAAAAACGTCCGACAGTCTGGCAAAGATTAACTGCGATGCTGCCCCAATAACTGCTGTGATAATTGTGATGGTTGAAATAAGAGAATGGTCAGAGTACGACGACGCCGCATAGCTGGTGTAGATGTATCGAACGTTGCCATCTAACCCGTAGCCGTAGCCGCATATAAACGCGGAAAGTAGCAAAATCGCATGGTGGTACCAGTGGTCGTACTGCCCTGCCATAATTTCAGTCTTGCGAATCATCAGTGACTTTGTTGTCTTTAGTGTGTATAATTCTTCACTCTTTTCGGTGTCGATAAACGTCACATCTTTGGCATCGGGGCTTACCATGTTGGTGACCGGTATCGTGCTCTATAGATTTACAAACCTCAGATGGCATTTTCATTCATCTTGCCAGTTACTCTTATACAACGCAGGGTAAAACGCAAGGTACAATGCAAGGTGCATCGCAGGGTGCAACGCAGGGTGCAACGTAGGGTGTGACGCATTAGCATGGTTGCACCCGAGAAGCCACGATTTCCATTCGAAACCAATGCTTGTTGGGGTCTGGAGTGTGCCCGAAAGACTCGGACGATAGTAGATGTTTTGAGATTGGCTTCGAGCGGCATGATGCTGCAATAGTGATCTCACCTGATTGACACCCGAGAATAGCATTTTTGTATACCAACACTTATCTTCGTGCTTGAAATTAGGTGCAATGTAGAGTCTTTTTTATCTCAGTATCCGAATATCTATGTGAGAGGAATAATGGCTTCTGATCGGTCTTTTTCGTCAGCCATCTAGCAGAATCTAATTTCATCTACTCCAGGTAATATAAGCGGCCCTCCCAAGGCTGCAATGTCGCTGGTGTCAATTTCATTGTAGTTTCCTAAGAGGTATTTATAAGAGGCGTTCTCGCGAGGAATAGTGAACTTAATCTCGTCACCGCTGAAGTTCAACGCTGCAAACAGAATCTTGTCGCCGTGACGCTTCGTGTACGAAAAAGGCTTGGGTTGTTCAAGTCATGAAATTGGAAGTCGTAACCGTAGACCAAAACGTCCTTGTTCTCCTTTCTTATTTGCAAAGCCTTGCGCCAGAAATGCAGCACTGAGTCGAGATCCTCAAGCTCCTCTTGGGCGTTGATACCATCTCGGAAGGACTCGTTCAAGTCAAACCATGGCGCAGTAGACTTGGAAAATCCAGCGAACGGCTCGTCCTTAGTCCAAGGAAACGGGTTTCTGGAGTGGTCGCGCGAAACCAACGCAACACCTTGGAGAAATTTCTTCATTTCCACAGAGTTCTCTCCATACTTGCCTTTGATGATGGCGTGGTTGTTCTTGACGTCAACATCTTCGTACCGATCCACAGTCCAGTTTTTTAGGTTTATTTGGCCCAGCTCTTGTCCTTGGTAGACGTAGAGGGTGCCAGTCAAAGAAATTTGAAGTAAAGCCAAAAGCTTAGCAGAAGTTTTGCACCACTCAATAGAGTCGTCACCGAAACGTGTCACACTACGGGGCTGGTCGTGGTTTTCGAAATACGCAGTGCACCAGGAATCCGTGCCGTCAATCAACTGGAAACTGTCGGCGATTGCGAGTTTCCATTCTTTCAAAGTAAAAGGGGAAATATTGTACCGGGGAAGAACCCAGATGTGCCCACTTCGGTATGAGGGAAACTAAACAGCTCCGAAAGCTCATTTTCCCTGGCTCGGGTGTAGTCCAGACGGACTTCCTTCTCAGCAACACCTATTTCGCCCACATTCAGGAGCTCTCTGCCGTCCTTAACACGACCTCTCATGTAGATGTTCATCTCTTTGTGGAATTCGTGGATGCGAGGGCCGTTGTGTGTACATGGGTTAGGATCCTGAAATACGGACGTCTCATCAACGATCGGCGTATCCGGCAAGCCCGGAATTTTGGAGTATAGCCCAGCAGTGTCAATTCTGAAGCCATCTACACCGTGGTCAAGCCAGAACCCGACTGCAGATTCGTAGATGGCATGGCAACAATCCTTGTTATTCCAGTTAAAATCAGGCTGTTCTGAGGCAAACAAGCGCATGTAAAACTATTGAGTCTGCTCATCCCATTTCCACGCAGAACCCCCAAAAAACGAGCGCCAATTATTGGGTGGAATCGGCTTTCCCTCGGTATCCCAGCCCTTTGCAGGACGCCAGAAGAACCAGTCTCGCTTGGGGTTGTCCTTTGACAAGCGCGACTCCTTGAACCACTTATGCTCCGTGGAGCAGTGATTGATAACCAAATCGACGAGGACTTTGAGTCCTAAAGCATGAGCCTTGTCAATAAGCTCGAAACACTGCTCATTGGTACCGTAGCGCGGCTACATCTTCTCATAGTCAGCGATGTCGTAGCCCATGTCCTGCTGAGGCGAGTCGTAGAATGGACAAATCCAGATCACATCGACGCCAAGATCCTTGATGTACGACAGCTTTTCGGTGATACCAGCAATGTCGCTTCAGCCGTCGTTATTAGAGTCATTGAAACTGGCTGGATAAATCTGATAAACGGCCGCTTCTTTCCACCATTTGGGTTGTGCTTCTGGATGCTCGGTAACGGTCATTGGTCGCGTGAAGTAACAATTCTGCAATGAGCTCAACTTGCTCGAGCCATCCTCGATCAGCTTTATATGTTTCTTCGAGCCACAATTCCGCTGGACCGTACACTTCACTCAATACTTATACACCTCACCATGTCTCTGATCGAGATACTCATCTCGACGAATTGGCAACACAACTCTTCCTACATATATCTCTACGACTATCTACCCAACATCATTCTTTAATAAGCTGCGAAAGAAACGGGTGTTAATTAGTAAACTATAAATTCGTTGTTCCGCTTCTTAACGTTCATGCAATAATGTGGGGAGCTGAGTCAATGTGGAGAAGCTGCATCTGGAGAGACGGACGCCACGCGGAAGGTAGAAAAGCGGATTAGGGAAAGATTCAAGGTGTGTAGACAAGGCTGGCAGAGGCTGGCGGAATTTGGGCTTTTTTTTACGTTGTAGTGCCTTGTTTTAATGAAGAAACTCCGCTGTTGGTTGGTTTTAACATCAAGAGACATTGTTTAGAGTCGCATCTGAGAGCTCACAGACGGCTCAGAGAGGCTCAAAGAAGGGCCAAACAGCTCAATTACAGTGTGAGACATTTGTTAAGACAAGGTATGCGCTACTCGCTGCTCATTTCACAACGGATATAGCACACTTGTGATGAGTTTTTCAGCCTTAGCTTGTTATTGATAAATGTCTTGATTCTTGATAATGTATACCCTGCGTGTGGAGGAGAAAAAAGATTATGATACGGTAAAACGGTAACTGGAAAATACAAAAATAACATACTCTGCTCGATTCATAAGGCAAGCGAATGACAACAACCGTTGGTGGCGTTCTTTCAGGCGTCAATCCTTTTAACTACAATGCCAGCTCTCCTATCACTCTCTTTCTGATCCAAGTATGCATCATACTCCTTCTTTCGAATGGTCTGCACCTATTTTTGGCAAAGTTAAGACAGCCTAAGGTGATCTCGGAGGTGATCGCAGGCGTCATTTTGGGGCCCACGGCATTTGGCCAGATTCCAAACTATACTGAAACTATCTTTCCCAAGGCATCAGTTTCTGGCTTGAACCTGGTTGCCAACCTGGGGATCATCCTTTTCATGTTCTTCCTTGGCCTTGAGGTCGACGTGCGTTTCATAAAGAGCCACGCGAGAACAGCTTTAACCGTGGGGCTGGCGACGCTAGTTGTGCCGTTCGGCTTTGGCTGCCTGTTTTCCATCCCGCTGTTCAACACCTACATGAAGGGAAGTGATATCAAGTTCACGGTGTTCATGGTGTTTATTGCTGTTTCGCTGTCTGTGACGGCCTTTCCGGTGCTGTGTCGTATACTAGCAGAGCTGAGACTACTTAAAGAACGTGTCGGGGTGGTGGTGCTTGCAGCTGGGACAATCAATGACGTTATCGGCTGGATACTTTTGGCCCTGTGCATCATCCTCTCAAACTCGCAATCAAAACCTGTAAATGTGGTTTATATCTTGCTCTGTACCTTGGGCTGGTTCCTTGTATATGCATACCCAGTCAGGTACGCTCTGAGATGGATTTTACTGCGCATTCACGAATTTGAACGCAGCAAGCCATCTACCAGAAGCACATTGTTGATACTGCTTTTAACCATCGTCAGTGCGTACTTTACCGACATTATCGGAGTCCATCCAATTTTCGGTGCTTTCATGGCTGGTTTAATTGTTCCCCGCGATAACAATTACGTGGTTAAACTGGCCGACCGCATGGAGGATCTTCCAAACATCGTGATGATTCCCATTTATTTCACCATTGCGGGTCTTAATGTTGATCTCACAAAGCTCAACTCGGGCGAGGACTGGGGCTTCACATTTGCTAGTATTGGAATAGCAGTTTCTACTAAACTGCTGTCTGGTTTTTTGATGTCCAAACTAAATGGCCTTTTCTGGAGAGAATCTCTTGCCGTCGGCGTGCTGATGTCATGCAAGGGGATTGTGGAAATTGTGGTATTGACTACTGGGCTGAATGCCGGAATTATTTCCACCAAGGTGTACTCAATGTTCATATTCATGGCACTAATTTCAACCTTCATCACAACACCGCTGACCGTATGGCTTTTCCCGGCTTCTTACCGAGAAGACTTGAAATCACGCTTGGACAACACAGAGGGCGAAGCGCAGCAAAAAGAACCAGCTACGGATATTGGTTCTTTCTCATCATTGAGCGACCTGGAAAACCACCGTATAAGTCGAATTGTTACAGTACTTAACAAACCTGAATCCGTTTTCTTCACCATATCACTATTGAATCACTTAGTTAGTGGACAGAAATATGCACAGGAGAAAGGAACAACTGCTCACTTAGGTAGGCGCTCTGACATGGCGCACTCAATAAAAAACGCAGGAAAACCTTTAAACCTGGAACGATGCTGACGACGGTAATCTTGAAAAACAAGTGACTTTTGTAAATTCGGCTGATAGTATCCAACTCAGAACGGTTTATTTTAGGCTTTTGACTGACAGAACGACCGATTTGCTTCAGAACCTGCCCTCTCATGACACTCAACGCCCCGATAAAGACTATTCTGGCGATTCGTGTTTAAACATTTTGAACATGTTTTCAGAACTGGCCAATGTTGCACACTCTGGCGAGCTAGTTTTCTCCTTATTAGGAGACAAAAACTCTCACATTAACGAAATCTCTACTGCTACTTCTGATTTACTTTTGTTCCCTATGAATGGGGTCAGCGAGACACCGAGCGAGAAATTTAAAGAGTGTTTAGCACATATGCTTGCACAAAATGAACTTGATGAAAACTTTCTCCAATCTGTGGCCTCAAATGCTCGTTCAAATTTGGCATTCTTCATTTCGAATTCTAACGCAAGAGAGAGGATGACAATACCGAAAAAGACTTCGTTCTACCTTCTCCTGACAGAGGAGGTCCTCACCAGCTCTGACTATCTTTCTTTAGACTTGCTGTTGCTAATCCTCTCCAGAGTTTCAAGTGAACCTTCGAACCCTTCCCAACTGGCAATTTACGTTAACGATTGCAATAATGATTTTATTACGCGCTTTTGTTCGCGTTACAAAATCGCTAGGGGGCAAGTTGAGGTAGTTTCCATCGGGTTGCAGAATCAAACGTCTAGTACAGAGGAATCTCTACCCAAATCTGCATTTGTGGATGCCGTCTTGCAAAGAATCTCTCAAAAAGAGGACTCAACCTTAGAAGGCAGCCTTTTCCTAATGGCGGATTCATCATTTTCTCAGAATCAGTCGTTTGACCATGAAGTCGAAATGACAATTATGAGGAGTTTCACAAAACAATTTGACCTCCTCATATGTCATAGTGAGCAGATGTGAGAAAGAGGCGTGACCATCACTCGTTTGAACTCTAGCGATTTACGCGGATCGCAAATTTCTGGGAGGCCATATTTTGAGTTTATCTTTTATCGCTTATTGCGAGTCTGTTGACCGTTGAAGCAACTGGTTATTGATTTCAAACTGTTTTAGCGGGACGGCTCTTGAGAACGTGAACGAGCATGAGGCAAGCATAAGCTACGGGAAGCGAAGAACCTTCTTCACAACGAAAGGATTTGCCTGTCGCCTGTTATCAGCTATCCCTAGACAGCTTTGTTCTATTATGTCATGGTGAAAATATTTTAATTGACAAGTGCCGACGAATGAAGAGACAATGGCTTAGTATTGGTGGGGCGTATATTCTTCACTCGACGAGTGTTTCTGTTTTGCTGAGCGAGCATAGTAAACCCGACGCATCTTTTTTCTATGCTTATCAGTACTTATTTTTCCCTGCAGGAATAAAAAAGCTCGATGCACAGAGCAGTAAGCTAATGTCCAGATAAGCGCTCCAATAGCAGGTAGTATCCATTCACTGATCAAAGAAGATACAATCGCCACAATCTGAGTTGAAGACCTTTACTGAAAGTGCATATAAGATGAGATATATTTCCGTGGTTTCGAGACAATTTCCATCGTTGACCACAAAGACTCAAAGAAATGAAGATTGCGGTGGCTATTGCGCTGTCTTTATGGTGTGATCAGGTTCAAGGGTCTCCAATCTATGACCTTTTGAAGAGATTCACTACTGGAAGCCCCGCTGAAACGCAAGTGGTGAATACCACAACTTTTTCATACCCTCAGACGCAATCTGCGGAGCTGTTTCCTATGAGTTCCTGCAAAGGTATTACTTTGGAGGACGCTACGATTGACCAGTTGCAGGATTACTTCTCGAAAGGAAGTCTCACGTCCGAAGATGTGGTTCGCTGCTACCTTGACCGCTACTTCCAGGTTAATCCTTATGTCAACGGTATTTTGCAAGTGAATCCCGACGCTGTTGCAATTGCTCAAGAAATGGACAACGAGAGGGCTCAAGGAATTAACCGGGGCCCCCTCCATGGTATTCCTTTTGTCGTCAAAGACAATTACGCAACCAAGGACAAGATGGACACTACAGCGGGCTCGTGGATGCTACTTGGTTCGATTGTTCCTCGCGATGCTCACGTTGTAAAAAAATTGAGAGATGCGGGGGCAGTATTGTTCGGTCATTCAACCTTGAGTGAATGGGCTGATATGAGATCTTCGGGATATTCAGAAGGCTATTCGGCCCGCGGTGGACAAGCTCGCTGTCCTTTCAATCTAACTGTCAATCCTGGTGGCAGCTCTTCGGGGAGTGCGGGTGCCGTTGCCGCCAATATGATTCCTTTCAGTTTGGGAACCGAAACAGACGGAAGCATCATCGATCCAGCTATGCGTAACGGTATTGTTGGCTTCAAGCCCACGGTAGGCTTAACGTCAAGAGCAGGTGTAATTCCCGAATCCGAGCATCAGGACTCCACGGGACCCATGGCCAGAACAGTGAAAGATGCAATTTACGCCTTTCAATATATGTGGGGTGTCGACGATAGAGACGTGTACACAAAGAACCAAACAGGACAGGTTCCAGCAGATGGCGATTACCTTCAGTTCCTAGCAGATAAGAGTGCTCTAGAAGGTGCCAAATTTGGACTTCCGTGGGAAAAGTTGTGGTCCAAGGCCAAGCCTGATGAAATTCCCAGACTTTTAGAGGTTATCAAGATGATTGAAGACGCCGGTGCAACTGTCTACAACAACACTGATTTTGAAAACCAGAATGTCATTTCTAGCAAGGGCTGGAATTGGGACCTCGGGCCTGTTGATGAAAGTGAGTTCACGGTTATAAAAGTCGATTTTTACAACAACATCAAAGCGTACTTGAGCGAACTGGAAAACACTAAAATCAGGGGACTTGAAGATATTGTTGCCTACAACTATCAATTCAGTGGCACTGAGGGTGGATATGCAAAGGTCAACCCGGCGTTTGCATCCGGTCAAGACTCGTTTTTGGATTCGTTGGCTTGGGCAGGAGAGAAAAATGAAACCTACTGGAATGCTGTCGATTTTGTCCAAAGAACGTCCAGAAAAGAAGGTATCGACTCTGCTTTGAACTATACAGACAGCGAAACCGGAGAAAATTTCCAGCTTGATGGTTTGCTTGTGCCCAGCGGCAACTCGATCACTTATCAGCAAGCGGCGAAGGCTGGTTACCCAATGATAACTTTGCCTGCGGGCGTCAAGGCGGCAAATGGAAGACCATTCGGATTGGGCATAATGCAATCGGCTTGGCAAGAGCCTCAATTGATTCGCTATGGCTCGGCAATCGAAGATTTATTGCAGTACAAATGCAAGCCACAATACTTCGAGTATTTGGCCAAAAACGTTCCTGTAGTTTAGTAGAATTTAGATGTAACATTAGTAAAGATAACGGTGATGTTTGACTTTGAGAGATGAACAGAAGTATCAAGCAGCATTCAATCATAAGTGAAGTCATGACGGTCACAATTGTCTGGACAACGCTTTGAAAATGACAAGCTTTTCAAGTCTTGGGAAGGATACTGAAAAGCTACTCACAGCGTGGATGTTTATTGAATAATGAAAATCACAAAGGTCTTTGAAGCCTATGGGGTGAAGTAGCGACCAACCGAGATAAAAGGTGATTTGACAACTTCAGCAGAGTTTGTCGACTTTTAGTCATGACACTTTGGTGTAAAATGATGAAAGCATTATTACTGGTTGAACGTGCTAACATGTGGGTATGACAACTTATTTGAAATGAGGCTCCCTTACTCCATGGGCTTCACCAAGCGCCACTTAACGCTAAACAAGGATATGGCGTGGTTTCATAGGCACTTCTACCCTCCCCTACTAAGGTCTGCGACTGTGAGGAAATTTTTGGGTGGCTTTGAATTGCTCGGAGAGCCTCAAAGAGACTTGACTGCCGAACAAGCTGCGAAGCGTTTAGTAGATTTAGACGGTAACACAGAGAAGGTGTAAATATACATACCGTATTGAAAAATAACGCTGCTCCTTTATCGGCGCAATTATGATATAGTTGATACTGTCGATTAAAGAGCTTGACTGGAAGGCTTTTATGTCCGAATAGTTCAGAAATCTAATCTAGCGAAAGGAAACAGTACATCTGATTTGCCTCGCTCCGAGATTTTCGTGAGTGGACAGAGCGTTGTCAATATAAAAGGCACGTCTATTCATGTATTTGTATACTTCTGAGTTATACAGGGCCAAACGGTTCACAATTCAATCACGCAGCTACCTAGTGCTGGTTTCGAGACAAGCACCGCCTCCTCCAAAGCCTCTTGTGACATTTCTGTAAACCTTTTGCGGTAATACTGCTCAATGAGGGCGTTCAAAACAGAGTCGGCGTTATCACTGGTCACTAAATGAACCGTACAGCCACCCCAACCCGCACCAGTGAGCCTGGATCCATAGGCTCCATTACTTCTGGCAATCCGGCACAACTCATCTGTTTCGGGGCAAGAGCATCCGTAAAGCTTGTCACACGATTCTTGCGATCCGTTCATCATGGCGCCAAAAGACTCTAGGAAGTGTTCGTCAGAACCTGCTTTCCGGCTGGTGAGCAATTTCAGTGCTTGCAACACACGCAACGATTCTGAGTACACATGCTTGGCTCTTTGATACAGCTTCAAAACATCGAATCTGACTGGAAAACTCGTCAAGTAATCTTTGGTGAACTCCTGCACAGAGCATTGCAGGGCCTCTGCGGCATCTTCAACGGTGTAGCCTTCACGCTGAGTGAGAGTCTGTTCGACCACTTCTAGCATTTCATTAAGCATTTTGATACCGTCTTCTATGTTTCCGTCCCAGGATTCCGAGGCACCGTGAACACGGGAATAATAGGCGTCCATAAACTCCCGCAGTGTTCCTTTCTGCAAATTTCCAGTCTTACGCAAGGCAACCTTGAATTTTGAGGCAAGCACATTAGCGGCAACTGTCACCTCAACGACCCGTAGATTGTAGTTTGTAGGCGCTGTCTCAACTTTATTCGACACCACCATTGTGTTGGCGATTATAAATTGGATTTCCGAATGCTGCAGCTGCGGGAATCGGAAGGATGTAGCCTTTAGCTGAGGCTGAAATTCCACGTAAAGAGCATGGTCCACCTCACCACATACTGACGCAGCTTGATCCATGCCTCCATTGTTGACTCCAACGTAGTGCTCTGCCTTGACAGTGATTTTGGTGAGCATTTGTTTGGATATTTTGTAGCTCTTTTCGGTATTGGCGCGAACGACAGCCAATGCCACGGCGCAAATAAACGCCGCAGAAGACGACAGACCACCCCCTGTTGGCACGTTGCCACTCACAAACACTTTCATGCCTGCCAAGGATGCGTTGCCGAATTTTTCGGGAAACTCTGTTTTCAGCTGTTTTTGCGCCACCAGAAGCCCGCACTTGAAGTAGTTGCTCCAGTCCGATACCGAAGGGTCGATGGAGACGTCAGAACCGTCCAATGGAAGTTCTATGTGACGCTGAGCAAATGCTTTATCTTCGTTGGTTAAGGTTATCGACAGGCCTTTTCCTGCAGCCAAAACGCCCACAGCACACAAGACGTCTGCCTCAATGGCCATTGGAAGCACAGAAAAGTCTTCATAATCGATGTGCTCGCCAATGAGATTCACTCTTCCTGGCGATCTGCTAACGAAATCGGGTTTTTCATCATAAACTTTTTGAAAATCGTTGACGACACGATCTACACGGGTCTTGTGCTTGGAAAAAAGATCCCGACTATTAATTAAAGGAACTGACATCTTCAAATAGCAGATATATGAACTGCTGGGAGACCAAAGATCATTGTATAAAGTGTTTTTCCAGTTCGTTATAAGCCATTGCCGCTTTCTGACCCAACGGTTGTCTTCAAATATCTTCCTAAAATTATTCTCTTTTGAATCCGGCGTACTGTTGTTCGAAATCCGGGGTACTGTTGTCTGAAATCCGGGGTATTGCCACTATGAGGAGACAATTACATAATTATGTTTTCAGGCCAAACGGCTCTGCAACCTCGTTGTATTCACATAAATAGAAGGAATGTAAGCGCTGGTGTGTCCCTTCCTTCTTCAATAGAGCACTAGGAGCTTTTCTCAACAATGACAGGTGCTACAAGGAATAGCGACAAGTGGGTACTGGTCACTGGTGGAGCCGGCTACATTGGATCACACGCAGTGGCTGAGTTGATCGACAGTGGTTACAAGTGCGTGGTGGTGGACAACTTCAGCAACTCATGCTATGAGCCTATTGCGAGACTACAAGTGCTGAGTAAAACCGAAATCCCATTTTTCAAAGTGGACTTGATGGATGGGCCCGCTCTGGAAAAAGTCTTTGAGCAGTACAAAATCGATTCTGTGATTCATTTCGCTGGCCTCAAGGCCGTTGGGGAGTCTACCAAGATACCACTCACATATTACCACAACAACATTACGGGGACTGTGGTTCTCCTGGAGACGATGAAAAAGTTTGGCACATACAAGCTCGTATTCTCGTCGTCAGCGACAGTATACGGCGATGCCACCAGGTTTCCTGACATGATTCCCATCCCTGAGGAGTGTCCCACGGGCCCTACCAACCCTTACGGAAAGACTAAGCTGGCCATTGAAGAAATTCTCGAGGACTTGCACACCAGCGACCCCGAAAAATGGCGGTTCGCAGTTCTCCGATATTTCAACCCAATCGGGGCACATCCTTCGGGTCTTATAGGCGAAGATCCTCTGGGAATTCCCAACAACTTGCTGCCTTCCATGGCTCAAGTTGCTGTGAAAAGAAGAGAAAAACTGTTCGTCTTTGGTAACGACTATAACTCTCGCGACGGCACTCCCATACGCGATTACATTCACGTAGTAGACCTGGCTAAGGGCCACATTGCTGCTTTAAATATTTGGACCAAGTGAACGACAACCAGGGTCTGTACCGGGCGTGGAATTTGGGTTCCGGAACCGGATCCACCGTGCTTGAAGTCTACAAAGCTTTTTGCCAAACGTGTAGTATTGATTTGCCATATGAGATTGTGGGACGTAGAGCTGGTGACGTGCTGAACCTGACTGCCAAGCCCGACCGGGCAACAAAGGAGCTCAAGTGGAGTACGCATTTCAAGGTCGCTGATGCATGCGCAGATCTATTGGAATTGGACGACAAATAATCCATTTGGATATCAATTGCTAGGTGTTGTGGATACCTTCTTTGGCACGCCAAATGAGTATGAATCGCGACTCGTAACTATTGGCCGCGGTTCCGGGTTCGAAGTTTCGCTGAGCAATTTAGGAGCCAGCATTGTGGATCTGAAGGTTGATGGCAAGTCTGTCACACTGAGTCTCGCGAATGAGTCAGAATATCTCGATGACCGTAACCCATACTTGGGCGCCACCGTGGGACGCTACGCCAATCGCTTACGTGGCGGCAAATTTAGCATTGCAGGTGCTGAGTATCAGTTAGACTTGAACGAAAGCGGCGCTGCAGTTCACAGCTCGTCCAGTTCGTATCACAAAAGGCACTTCCTTGGACCTCTTGTCATCAATCCTTCAAAAAACAGATACACTGCGAAATTTGTGCTTTTGGACACTAATACGCAATTCCCCGGAGACGTCTTAACAAAAGTTACTTATGAGATAGATGTCCAGGCTAAGGAGCTTACAATAGAGTATGAAGGAGAACTTCTGAGCGGTGAGGCTACCATCATGAATCTTACGAACCACACGTACTTCAACCTTAACACGTTTCAAGACACTGGATATGATGGCACCAATGTAAAGATCCTGTCCGATCAAGTTGTTGAGGTTGATTCCAAGGGTTGCGCTACTGGCAAAATTACCAAGGTCCCTGATGTCTCGGCATTAACGCTGGCCAAAAACGGACCTCAATTTGACACTTGCTTCGTTACCGGAAGCAAACCTTCTATAGACACTCGCAAAAATAGTTTGAAGACTGTTTTGCAAGCTTACCACCCAGAGTCAGGCGTCAAACTTACGATCTCTACCACCGAGCCCAGCTTTCAATTCTATACCAAGGGACCCGGTTTCTTGGAAGAGTATGGAGAGAGATTAGGTTTCTGTTGTGAGCCTGGTAGATTTATTGACGCTGCGAACATTTCAGAATGGAAAAGTGCCGTGACTCTTACAAAAGAGGAGGTTTATGGGTCCAAGATTTCCTACAAGTTTGACTAGAAATCTAGTTTAGCTTGTGACTAAGCGAGTAACATTTGTTCACCGCAGAATAGGTATTTTATTGTTTGTATATCTTCTAATTCATACACTTATAGAAACAAAGATGCACTGGCCTATTTTAGTTTTGGAAAGACTCCGATCAGACAAGCACAGAAAAGACGTGGGCTACTTTATAATTTATTTGTGAATGAAACATCTACAAAGACTTATTTAAGCAATTGAGGAGGGCATGAGATATTCAGGCAATCCTCTCACATTGGGCTGAGTGATGACATATTTAAACGTCCGTTCAAGTTCCTCAGCGGCAATGAGAAGACGAAAACCCTTCTCTGTGCACTGAGCATTTTAAAGCCTGACTTCATTTTGCTGGATGAACCAACAAATCACCTGGACAATATAGGAATTGAATGGTTAGAGTCTTTTTTGAAAAGATACACGGGCGCTGCTGTAATTGTTACTCACGATCGTAGTTTAATCAATGCAGTTTCAGACATCATTTCGGAACTGTCACCTCACACCAAGAAGTTTGCACATTTTAAAGGTGGCTACAAGCACTACTTGGAAGAAGAAAGTAAGAGACGACTAAGATTAATTGAAGAGAGACGTTTCCAGGACAAGGTAGCTCAAGAAACTGAAGTCTAAGACTGCACAAGCACAATCTAGAGTTAAGGCACGAATAGTTAGGTCGGGGTCGGATAGAGATAAATTAAGTTACAATAATAAAGAACAAAGGGCACAGAAGGGAATTACGGGTCTTGTAAATCAGATGTCTGATAAAGTTGAGCAGCTTAATGATAATCTAGTAGAGGTTATTCCTGAGAGATTACAGGGTATCTTTTCGATTTCGATGGTCTTTCTGCGTTCAGCTCTCTTTTGGGGATAACTGTAGTTGAAGTATCAAAATCATACCAAAAGCAAATATTCGCCAACGTATCCTTTACGGTGGCAAAGGGTGAAAGACTGATTATCCAGGGACCCAACGGTTCTGGTAAAACCACTTTGAATCGAATTCTTATGGGTCTTACTGAACCGGACCATGGGTCAGTTTCTATCAGCGGGAACGCAGTTGTTGGGTATTTGGACCAGGAGCAAGAGAACCTTCCTTTGGAAAAGTCTCCGTTACAGCTAATTGAGGAAGATACCAAAATCAATGCCTCGAGGCAGACTGCAATTCGTAATTTTTGTGACTTCGGGATCTATAAATGGCACGACTTAAAGACTCCTCTGAAGAACTTGAGTGTCGGGTGTCGCCGTAAATCACAGCTTTGCCAGATCATTATGCGAAAATCCTCTATACTTGTTTTGGATGAGCCTACTAATCACATTGATTTTCCTAACTTAGAAGTTATTGAAGATGCTTTATTGACATTTCCAGGTATTATTATTGCAACTACACATGACCGATATTTTACGGAAAAGCTTGCCACCAGAGTCATAGATCTGTCAAACTACGGTTCAAAATAAGCTGCTTTCATGTCGATAAGTCATTCCATCCGATGAATAGCTGAAAGAGTCATGGAGAGATGTAAAATCTCAGCACACTATAAACACTTCAGTGAGCTTAATGCTACTGAGAGAGACAAGCTTCGATATTTTTTTGATAGCTTGTTTACACTGCTACTATGGAGATCGTTGTCAATCACTAATCTTTGCGATACTTATAATATTGTGTTCTTTCTTTAGACCGGGAACGTCCGCGCCCCTAGAAGAAGCACCCCAAGGTAGAGCGTAGTAGACTTTATCCCATTCACGAGCTCTTTGGCAGCATTAGTGAAACTTAATCCATCTCAAGGGCTCA